GTTACGAAGATGGGCACGGTAGTCCTTTCGCGCGGCTTTGGGCTCCACGTCTGGATTTGTGTATGCAGAAGCGCGCTCTTTCTCAGGGTCGTGACCAGTGCGATGCTTCCAAACTAGCTCAGCAGCCTCGTCCTGAGCAGCTGCATGTATGCGTTGTTCCTCATCCAGATTCAACTCTTCTATAGCCTCGTGTATCGGTTGTGAGACCAGAGATGACGGCTTGGCCACATTGGAAGGCCCAGGTTGCGATACTAGAGGGCGACCGACGAATTCGCCGCGGTCAATGGAATCCAGGCTCTTTTGGCGGGTATGCGTGGTGGTCGGAGCTGGTCTGTTGGTGATGGCCGGAAAGGAGTCGTCGCTGGAAGTCGGTCGCTGTTGTTGGCGCTTGCTTGCTATTCTCGATGGCGGAGGCGGTCTTGAGCCATTGAGTCGTGCGACGCGGTTGTTTCGAATATCTTGTAAGTAAGTTGCTGAATCATCGTCGTGTAAGCTCAAGTTGTTGATTTGGTCATAGTCGGGTATAGAGGAGAGGCGTTGGCATTGTCTAAGTGGTGAGGGTTTCTTTGGAGAGTGTGGTGGCTTGGGAGGAGAAAAATGAATGTGCTGACCCAGTCGTTGATCTTTGTGGTTGTCACTGTTGTCAAAAGCCATGGCGAGGCTGGAAGACAGGGATATCGAATTCGTCTTGGGTCAGCTTGTAGGAGGAAGACTGATGGCGGGCGCAGGATGATTAAAAGAGATATAGCAAAGAAAGAGAATCGTTATCAAAACAGAGAAATCAATAGTGCAACGAGAGAAACGAGAGTATAACGACGTGGAGGTAAGGTATCCTGGAGCGAAGTACGGAAGATAGGCATGACGGTTTATTTGCACTTAACAACACAACCAACCAAGCAACCAAAAGCTTGGACCAACGTGGCTCAAGCACTCCGATCCACGACCCTGAGTGCGGTCAGACAATCTTCAACGACAAGATTGAGCTGCCCTAAACTGACGATTTGTCCGTAAATGCTGCTTGGAATTGTCAGGCAGCTTGGAAAAGTCGGGCAGCCTGATGAGGACATGTCGTTGTCGAACGACAGATGAAAGATGATGGTTGTGGCGCGTAGAGGTCTGCACCGCCGTTGTCTTGGAGAGAAGAACCGTCCTCCCCGACAATCGATATGACCTACTTCAACTTTAGCTGGCACACGCTTTGATGTGCTCGGGAAGCCAGACGAGATTAGGAGGCAAAAGTAGATATGAGGGAGTGGTCAGTGAGCGCGAAGCGGTCTCTCTGTAGATTGCATTTCTCGTTTGAATAATTGCAATAGGGGCTGCTGGTTGAGCATCAATGGGAGCTGGTACAGTAGAGTCGTGTCCATCGATCCTCAGGAAGTATTGTGATGTGTCACGAGACATGCCTGATGTAAAACAGGGAAAAGGTGCACGACAATGTGGATGATGAGAAGTAGACAGGCACATGGACGGGGCAGGCGGTAGGAGTAGATCAAACGTGGAAAGCTTAAAAACTGATATCAGGAACAACGGGAGGGCAGGCACAAGACCTGATGACATAAACCATACCAGCTATTTCATATAGCTTTCGAGAACAGTCAGGAGTAGTATGAAGATAGTGAAAGCAGAGCTGAATGCGTGATTGAGTGAATGGACGGTAGAGTAAAGGGCAGGGTCGCGGCGGCTGTATGCAACGGAAGCAGCCGATTGTTGATGTTTGGGCGCCAAGAGAAATCTAAGCAGGAGCGCTCGGTGCTTTCCTCCTGCCTACCGCCTCCCCTTGATCCCTTCCCACGCCCATTGCCAACCGACAATCTCCTCGACCACCGCATCTCCACCCTCAGACCTCTTCATCGCTCATCCATCACAGTCACCATGCGTGAGATTGTGTGTATTCCCCACTGTCGCTCGCGCAACCACGAGCTTTGTTGCTAACGTCTTTCTCCTACAGGTCCACCTCCAGACCGGCCAATGCGTATGCCTACCTGAAATGAGCTCCAATTGACCCCAAGAACCACGCGTCTGACTCTGCAAACAGGGTAACCAAGTCGGTGCCGCCTTCTGGCAGACCATCTCCGGCGAGCACGGCCTTGACGGTTCTGGTGTGTACGTCGACCTCCTCTGCGCATCCTCACACATGGTGACGGCTCGCTGACTGCCTAACAGCTACAACGGTACCTCGGATCTCCAGCTGGAGCGCATGAACGTCTACTTCAACGAGGTCAGTCACCGACCGTCGGCCCTTCATTCACTACTCGAATGCTAACGCGCACCACAGGCCTCTGGTAACAAGTATGTCCCCCGTGCCGTCCTCGTCGACTTGGAGCCCGGTACCATGGACGCCGTCCGTGCCGGTCCCTTCGGTCAGCTCTTCCGTCCCGACAACTTCGTCTTCGGTCAGTCCGGTGCTGGCAACAACTGGGCCAAGGGTCACTACACTGAGGGTGCCGAGTTGGTCGACCAGGTCTTGGATGTCGTCCGTCGTGAGGCCGAGAGCTGTGACTGCCTCCAAGGTTTCCAGATCACTCACTCGCTCGGTGGTGGTACCGGTGCCGGTATGGGAACGCTCCTTATCTCCAAGATTCGTGAGGAGTTCCCCGACCGTATGATGGCCACTTTCTCCGTCATGCCCTCGCCCAAGGTTTCCGACACCGTTGTCGAGCCTTACAACGCTACCCTCTCCGTCCACCAGCTGGTTGAGAACTCCGACGAGACCTTCTGTATCGACAACCAGGTTTGTCTCGATCTTATCCTTCTACACCGCTTCGTAGACTAATCGTGCTAGGCTCTCTACGACATCTGCATGAGCACCCTCAAGCTCAACAACCCCTCCTACGGCGACCTGAACTACCTCGTCTCGGCCGTCATGTCCGGTGTTACCGTCTCGCTCCGTTTCCCCGGTCAGCTCAACTCCGACTTGCGCAAGCTCGCCGTCAACATGGTCCCCTTCCCCCGTCTCCACTTCTTCATGGTCGGTTTCGCTCCCCTCACCAGCCGTAACGCCCACTCCTTCCGCGCCGTCTCGGTCCCCGAGCTCACCCAGCAAATCTTCGACCCCAAGAACATGATGGCCGCCACCGACTTCCGCAACGGCCGCTACCTGACCTGCTCTGCCATCTTCCGTGGTAAGGTCTCCATGAAGGAGGTTGAGGACCAGATGCGCAACGTTCAGAACAAGAACTCCGCCTACTTTGTTGAGTGGATCCCCAACAACGTCCAGACCGCCCTCTGCTCCATTCCTCCCCGTGGCCTCAAGATGTCGTCTACCTTCGTCGGTAACTCGACCTCGATCCAGGAGCTGTTCAAGCGTGTCGGTGACCAGTTCTCTGCCATGTTCCGTCGCAAGGCTTTCTTGCATTGGTACACTGGTGAGGGTATGGACGAGATGGAATTCACTGAGGCTGAGTCCAACATGAACGACTTGGTCAGCGAGTACCAGCAGTACCAAGAGGCCTCGATCTCCGAGGGTGAGGAGGAGTACGATGAGGAGGCTCCTATGGAGGCTGAGGAGTAAGATGTTGGTTAAGCAAACGACCAACTTCTAATTTCGTATTCACGTTGTCCGAGAGGGGGAAGCGCTTGGATCCTCTTTTTCTACTCTTGTTCTTTTTCCACGATAACCAAGTCAATGTCCGAGCATTGGGCGCCTAGCGAGTTTGAAATGAAAGCCCTTGTCTTTTTGTAATCATCAAAAGCTCTTTCCACACTTCTGGCCTCTTGTTTACCAGCCTAAGCTGAACTCACAGACAGCCATCAATACAACGTAATTTAGCATGCAATAAAATGACAGAGATCCGGAGTTGTATGCCCACTTCGCTATGCAGACACTATAGTAACCGTGGAAGACGAGACCAACATATGCTTATTGTATGAGTCAATACAAGCCATATCAAAAACACTTCACTTGCTCAAGCAGATACCATGGGCTGGATATCCAATAACCAGAGAACCAGCAACACTTCCAGCTCGCAGAGCAGCAGCGTACTAGAGTAGATACAACATGAGTATTCACCAGGGAGTCGTCACAGAGGTACGTTTTACTCCCAAAGCTGTGCACGAGAGATCAAACAGGGGTAACAATAATGCTTTTATAGGTATGCTAGAGGGAAACAGAAGTAGAAGGGGGTATGTGTAAGAGAAAAAGAGTCAAACAACAATGGTGAATTCGTTCGCGCGAGGATGGGTGGAAGGGATGAAAAATCGCAATGCTATGCAGAAAGATAAAAAGAAAGAAAATCACAAACTCCTTTTTGGCACCCTTCTTGAAAAACGCCCGTGGCCCCCTCCCGGTCTTTCCGAATTTTCGTGTTTGTGCAGCTGAGAAAAAGAGATAAAATGCCGATATGAACTCCTCGTTTTCCCCCTTGCATGTCGCCGCCGTCCTCCTTTCCTTTCGCAAAAGTAAAAGAAAAGTCCTACTACTACTACTACAACAACAACAGATTGATATAGAGAATAAAGAGGAAAAAACAAATCCCTAGAAGGCGCGAGAGAAAGATCCAGATGAGACATCCTCCCCAAAAGCCGTGTTGAGCATGAACAGGTACAGTTGTGTAGCGCTGGAAAGCGTCTTGCCCCTCTTTCAGAAAGTCGAGACTGCTTTTGTCGAGTCCAGAGCTTGCTGATAGAAAAGTCGGAGCATGGTATACGTATCTTCGTGTTTGTAACCGATGGTTGGGTATAAGAGCAGTAGCGGAAGCCAACAAAGATGTGACGTCAAAGATTGGACAAGAACGGTAGGTGTGGTAAGGATGGTTGGATCAGGGAAGAAGAGTAGGCTGGTTCTGCTGCGAGGGATCAACAACCTGGTCCGAGAGAGCCAGGAGCAGTTGTGCCAGACAACGCTTAGTTGCGGCATCATCACGCAACACAGAGGAGAAGGTGGCATCGCGGAGAGGTTCGGGCAGGCATTGGCGGAGGGCTTCACGAGCACGGGCGTTGTCACTGAGNNGCTGTAGTGGTCATCAGAAAAGCAATGGCTGACGAACAAGGAGAGCAACTTACCGGAGGAAACATCTCACGACATGCTTAAGTAGTCGCACTGTCTGTTGCTCGACCAGCTGGTTGACCATGTTGGAAAGGACAGTGCCAACAGCGTAGAATCGCTCGTAAGTCTGACAGATGTACTGCAGGCCAAGATCGTCGAGCAGAATTTTCTGAACGATGAAGATGGCGACAGTTTTGCTGAGTTCACTACCCGTCTCCATGATGCGCAGGCAGAGCGGAATAATCTCGGTTGTGAGGAGGAAGTTGATGACCTCCGAACTGTCGTTCTTGACCAGAGCACCAATGACACCAAGAGAGGTAAGGCGGAGGTACTCGAAAGGCCTCGACTTGGATGTTGTGTTGAGAAAGGGATAGAGGAAGAGTGGGATATGGGCACCCAGGAAGAGGCCACGAGTCTCGCCGTGCGAGGCCACACACTGGAGCAGAGCCAAAGCGTTGCAGACACGGTTAGAAGCAGCAGCGGTGAGTTGCGAGGGGTTCAACAAGGGGTAAACGGAGATGATCTCTTGTAGGAGCGAAGTCATGACGCCTAGCTCGTGTCAGCGCCTTGATCAGTCACGCTTGACACAGGGGTACATACCGAACGAGTGCCACAGGATCAGAGCCAATTCGGGAACCTGTTCCCTCTTCTTGCTCAGCTCAAGCAGAGCGCCTTCGCGTGTCTGAGGATTCATCATCTGGGCAATCCACTCGAGTACGCGACGGTTCTCGTCACTGACTGCGCCGTCACTCGACTGCAGCTGGAGCTGGTGTTCGTGCGAAGGCTGCATGTTGGCGGCTGAGGCGACGTTGTTCACGGCGATGCGATTATAGTGCTGTTGTTGCGCAGCAGCTGCTGCGGCAGCGGCGGCGGCAGCTTGTGCCTGGGCCTGAGCCTGCGCTTGTGCTTGAGCCTGAGCTTGGGCTTGAGCCTGCGCTTGCGCGTGTTGCTGCTGCAGACCGTGGTGTGACTGCTGGTGGTGATGAGATTGCTGCTGCTGCTGCTGCTGCTGCTGCTGCCATTCCTGGGGCGCATAGTGCTGCTGGTGTTGGTTATGGTGTTGATGCTGGTGCTGGTGCTGATGCGAGAAGACGTGCTGCGAGGGCAGCATCTTGGCTGCGCGGGTGGTGAATGTAGACAGATTGAATGATTGGAGCGGGTTGGCTTCGAAGGCGACGAGTACAAGGAGCGCGAGACGACGAGACGAGAAGGAGCGGCCGACTGTTACGATATGACTGAATGTTAGAGTAGTGAGGAAGGCACGATGCACACGCTTCCTCGACTCCGTTCGGCCCGCGAAGCTTATCCGACCATAATGAATGGTCCGTGCGCGTATGCATGTCGCCGTCAGTGCCATCTGCTTCACTGGGCCTCATGTCCTGTGTGTAGCTGTCGGAAACATGTGCAAGGTGGTTGTGTCGTGAAGTGAGTGAAGCGGGCAAACATGAAGTTGTTGTTGCTGCTGCCGAGACAAGACGAATCGACAAAACACACATGCTTCGTGATCGAGATTTCAGCCTCTGTTTACATTATATTCATGCTTCTTGAGCCAAAGGGCTCCGATGATTAAGCCCATAAATCTGCCTCATGCTTCATCCAAACGCCTCTTTGCCTGCAAGAACGCCTGGTATGCCATCTTATGCATATGCCTTCCATTACCTCCACCACCTTCCCTCAACGTCGTTTACAACTTCAGCTCGTTCAAGATGGTCTGTGCCATGTTCTTGTACTGCCAAGTGCCTCCATCCACCTTCTTGAACTGAATGCCATGCAGGCTCAACAAAGGTACCTTCACCACGAAAATCTCGAACTTGAGAACCATGCCTTCGCCAAGATCAGTCTGCACGTGTGTTGATGTTTCGCCAGCGGCTCGGTTGTNGCTGCTGACCACGGACCCGTCTCTCCTCGTCATCGTCAGAACTGTCGCTGGCGGTGTAACTATTGTCACGTCTGGGACGCGGAGGTGTTGGTGTAGCTGGCTCGTTGTTGCCTCCTCCCATCAGCCNNCACCAAAGCTGATTTTTCGCCTGTGACTTCCATATCCCGCCGCTGGTTGATCGTCCCTTGGCTTCTCCATGTCGATGCTAGGAGCGTGGCGACAACTGAATCCACCCTTGATTTCACGGTACTCGACACCAAGCTGTTTCAAGACTCTGATGATATCTGTACGAATCACCGCAAGAGGCTTTGAGCTGGTCGTTGATACACTGAACAGCCCCTTGAGGTAGACGGGCTTGATGCCGTTCGGGCTCTCGCTGGCGCTGTTAGCTGAACGAGATGCCTCGACCTCTTGGAGGTCCTGGTCCGTCTCTTCCGGTACGCCTTCGGTGCGAGTGTCCATTCTTCGAGCTCTGCGTGCCTGGAAGCTTTCCTTGCGACCGTGGCCCATCGATTTAGTTCTTGAGGTGAGAGGCAAAGTTCTGGACCCCGAGGCCTCGGCGTCCGAAGAAGCATCACCATACTGTCTGTCGCCGCGTCTACTTGGCTGAGGAGTCATTGCTGCTGGTCGAGCGCTTGAACCCTCAGAGACACCCCGGCGAGTGTTATCGCGGTTGTACTCGGCAGCGCTCACACTGGTGGAACGGCCCAGATTGGTGCGTTCGGGCGTTGGTGTGAGTAGGTCTGTCGGCTTCTCGACAACAGGCTCTGGCTGCAGTCTGTTAGCGCTTGGGTCTCGCTGTCTCCTCATGCTGAAGCTTTTCCTTGGTGTAGTGTAGGCATCGTTAGTCGCTGCTGGGGCTGGCCTCTCAGGGTCTTTGTGCCGTCTAGTGCTCAGTCTGCGGAGAAGGCCCACCGCAGCGCTTTCCTTCTTGACTGGTGTGTGTTCAGGTGGTGGCAGAACGATGGCAGGAGATGGCACTGGTGGCACGCGGTTGGTGGGCCTGGCCTTCTTTGCGTCTTCTTGCAACTCGTCTTCGCCATGTGTTCTAGCACGAGGACGACTTCTTCCTCCTGTCGGTGCCTCTCCAGCCATCTCGTAAGTGGCAGTGTTTGTGTAAGCAGCCGCCGGTGGCTGGAGATCAGGCAATTGCAATGGCTTCTCTCCAGGCGAGCGTGGGATAGCTAGAGCGCCTGGGTTGGTCTCCCTCTCTTCCCGCTCGATCTTCTCCTTAGCTAAGAAGTATACGGAAAGCAGTGGGTTGTAAGCATTCAAAGGATCAGTGCCCAGCTGAACAGCTTCGGATGAAGGCCCGGTGAGGGTATCGCGACTTGTCGTAGACTTTCGTCGTTTGTAGAAATCGAACATGCTACCTTGCTTGTTCTGCAAATCTGAGATGCCAGACTGGTGGCGGCGTTCCATTGCGACCACAGATTTCTGATAGTCCTCAGATTGAATGGTTTTGGTGAGTTGCTGCTCGATGTATTCTGCGGTGCCAAAATCGAAGCCATCCATCTTCTGGAGGACTCGCGGATCCAGTGGGAGTTGTAGTGGCTTACGAGGGGGCAGGTAATTCTCGGGAGGGCCACCGAATCCTTTCGTCATCCAGGGATGGACCATGATCTCCGCAAGAGTAGCACGTTGCGCAGGATCAGTTACAAGCATGCGAGCGATCAGGTTCTTGCATTCTAAAACTCAAGTCAGCACAGTCCAGCGAATCGCAAAATATATTCAAGACACACCTGCACTCAACCAGGGTGGATACTCTACAGCTCCCTTCTTGATCTTGGCATGCAATTGTGGCATGCTCTGATCGTCAAATGGAACCTTGCCACAGACGAGGACATACAAGACGATACCGAAACTCCAGACATCAACTTCGGGGCCGGTGTAAGCTTTTGCCTGCAAAAGCTCAGGTGCGGCAAAGTAGAGGGAACCACAGAACGTCTTCAGGAGGCCTTTGGGTGAGAAAGTGTTGCTCAAGCCGAAGTCAATGATCTTGATATCACCAGTCTTGCTGATAAGGATGTTCTCAATCTTCAAATCTCGATGCACGATGCTGTTGCGGTGGCAGTAGTCGAGCGCGCTTGCAATCTGGCGACCAAACTTACGCGCCTGCTTCTCCTTCAGGCGACCATGTGAAATGATGTAGTCAAGCATCTGACCACCGTTGACATATTCAAACAGCATATACCAGTGGTAATTTGTACGAACAACGTCGCGCATACCACAGATGTAAGGATGATCGACCAGAGTGACGATAGCAGCCTCGCGGGCGGTGCGTACTTCCTTGGAATGATCGGCTCTTTCACGATCTTGTGCGTTGCGGTGTTCGTCAGTGGACTGTCGGGGGACGATCTTGACAGCGACCTGNNGCAGGGATTAGCATGCGAACATGAAGATATAGGTGGTGAAGAGAGCGCTCACTTGTTCACCAGTTTCCTTGTTGCGAGCCAGCTTCACCTTTCCCATACTTCCGGCACCGATCGTCTTTCCAAGATCCCAGTGACCAGTAGTTGCATCGATGGTGGTTCGTCGACGGACGTTAGTCCCAGAGGNAGCGGCAGCATGAGTGCCATTTGAACTAGTGGAAGGCATTTCCTGAGTATGGTATCTTGATTGACTGGCCGAAGCGGCGTTTCGCGTTGAGTCGGAGCGAGCAGGCGCGTCAGCGTGATGACGAGAAGAGGAAGATTGTTGTGCTAGGTTTGACTGCTCATAGTCGTTTCTGGCGACACTTGCGAGCTGGGGCGCAGCCGAGGCAGAGGCTGAGCGACCGTGGGTTGACTGCGAAGGCCGACGACGAGGAGACGGAGGAATCTCTGAGCGAGCGGGTGTTGTCGACGGCCGCTCTGAGGAAGGCGCTTGTTGCATGTGCTGCCGGCGGACGCTGGTTGGCGTGTCGGGAACAGACATGGCGCAAGCAAGGCACTGCGCTACCGCCTGGATATGAGCGCGAGTGAATCAGGTGCTATTTGTGTGGTTTGATGGCAGCAGCGAGTGTTATTGTTATGTTGGAAGGAGCTTGTCGCTGGCAGTCGCGGTTCGCGCAGAAGTGTGATTCGCGCTTTCCTTGCTAAGAGCAGTTTCAACAACAGAATGCGCCGCTATCGACGACGAGTGTTGAGGCGGGCAAGGTATTGAAGAGAGGACAATACGGTAGTGTCAAGTAAGCATGGTATGTTTGTGGAGAAGAGAGGTTGTCCGTCCGTGTCAGACTGCACTGTCCGTAGTTTTCCAGCCACAATTTGACTCGCTTGAACTGCAGCTGCCAGGATCTGACATATCACTCGTCTACTATCGCTACTTTATTTGAGCCTGAGAGCTGTACTACTACCGCACATTCAGGACGAGATACTGAACATCTCATGGCCAGGGTCTTTCCTCATGTCTTGAAACTGACTCAATAATGCCAACCCGCTGATCCTCTCCGCGAACTCCAGAATCAGAATCAAACGGCTTGACAGGTTCGACTGAGCAAACCACCCATGCCGTAGGTAAGTACCGCGATTTCTCGTGGGATTATCTTAATGCTTGACACGATGCGAACAGATACTGAACATGTCATACAAGCGATCAAGAGACAATTTTGAGAGCGACCAAGTTCCGCAGTTTGCCCTTTTCGGCACACCCCTTCCNCCTCTTGACTCCGACACTCGCGACGATGGATCCTATGTTCCTGTCTGGAAGCAAGATGTTCGCGACGAGCAGGGCCGCAAGCGTTTCCATGGTGCTTTCACCGGAGGTTACAGCGCTGGCTACTTCAACACCGTAGGCTCAAAAGAAGGATGGGCNCCCTCGACCTTCACCTCATCGCGTACAAATCGTCGCAAAGATGCACAAGCTGCCCGCCCCGATGATTTCATGGATGATGAGGATCGCGCCGCCGCAGCAGAAGCCCANAAACTCCAGACTCAGGACGACTTTGCTGGTTTTGGTTCCACCAGCCAGGATCAGATGCGCCGCGGCTTGATGACCGATCTGTTTCGGCCAGCAGGAGAGACTATAGGTGTCAAGCTTCTACAGAAGATGGGCTGGAGGCAAGGCCAAGGTGTTGGACCCAGGATCAGGAGGAAAGCACGTTCCGATGACTCTACACCTGGCGACGAGACACACCTCTTCGCTCCCGACAACTCGCGCATGGTGACCTTCAATCGAAAGAAGGATCGCTTCGGTCTGGGCTACACTGCTGGGGAACGTCTGCGGCAAATCAGATCCATCGACCAACAAGACGACGGAGAGGAAGATGACTCTGAGCACTTTGGCCGACCTACGAAGCCCAAGTCAAAAGCAAAGCGTACTGGATTCGGTGTCGGCGTTCTGAACGATACCGGCTCGGATGAAGAGGATCCTTATGACATGGGTCCAAAGATCTCGTACAATCGTATCATCGGTGGCGATCGAAAGAAGAAGAAAGGCGGTATTCTCGCAACTACAGCCAACCCTACCCTCAGGGGAATGAAGCAACCGACCTTTTTATCCAANAAGTTAGGTCAGAAAAACAGCAATGGTTTCAGGAAGTGTCACGACGGTCGTCTTCCACTTGATGGCTTTGTGCTGGCTTCTTCCTTAATCTTGAACAACCGAGAGAACAAACACTCGCCTCCCAATGTTCCTGAAGGTTGGGAGCCAAACAAAGCTGTTACTGAAACCAATCCTGATCAATCAACTCATCTATCTACTGCCGATGCTGCTCGCGCCTCTACCATGGACCCAGCCAAAAGAGCGGCAGTGTTGGGAGAGGAACAGCTTCCCGGGAAGTCGATCTTTGATTTCATGAGCAAAGCAGCACGAGATAGGCTTGTCACGGCAACAGGCAGATCAAATCTTCCAATGGCACGTGGCGAGGCCGCACCTGATGGCTGGCAAAAATCCGAGGCAGACAAACAGAGGTCTCTGTGGGATTTAGTACCCAAGCTGGACAGTTCAGTCGCAGCCTCGTCTTTACAACGCGGTACGAGTGGTTGGATGCCGTACGCAGAAGACGAGGGCAAACGAGCTCGATATCGCTCATTCCTAGAGTCCTGCAGCGGACAACGTGATGCGTTGCCAGAGCGTGTCAAGGGTTCGACCATTGATGAGTGGACGAAAGAGATGCGTGAATTTGCACAGGCGGCCGAGGTCTTCAAGCCAATCTCAGGTCTTATGGCATCACGTTTTACCAGCTCGTCATCAGCACCTCGACTAGCTACAGACACGATGCCGGCGAAATCTGAACAACCCACCAAACCCAAAGACCCTGCAGAAGCTGCTGCAAAGATTGGCATGTTTGGTCCCATGACCCGCACTCGAATCCAGTTCTATCCTACTCGTTTACTCTGCAAACGATTCAATGTTAAAGCACCTGCCCACGCGGACCTGGGTAATGGTCTTACGGGCGATGACAGCGTCGTCTCAGATAGGAGACTCGACGTGGTTTCGCAGAACAAAATGGATCAAATGATGCGCGAGACATGGTCGCGGGCGCCAAACGTTGGTGAGAGTAGCAACGTGACTTCCTTAGCAGGGCCAGTTCAGCCTCAAGTCAAGCCACAGGTAAACGTTGAGGTCAATGAGGCTATCGAAGCAGAAAGACCTGGTGATGCTGTCTTCAAGGCAATATTCGGCAGTGATAGCGAAGACGATTAGCACTCTATCAATACACCATCATGGTGTCTACATTACGGCCCGTCTTTACGTTCGATGACATGTGACGGCGCAAATCATGCCTGGTACTCCTGTTCTCGCCACGAGATGAAGACTCGCACAGGGGCTCGGAACTGCCGTCTAAATGACCCTCATGGAGCATCCTACTCATCTCGAAACTCCGTCAACCTGGTCGAAGAGACGGATCACGGCACATAATACCGCGAAATTGTGACGATCTGGTTCTTCAGCTAACAAATATCATTCCATATCCTTCCAGAACATTAAAGGGGCCGAGAAATTCGACGCGACTTCTTCCAAGTGATGCCCCGAGAGCACTCTGGGAGATACATCCGAAGACCTTTCAATAAGAAAGTATAGATGAACACGTGGACGTGCTCTGTGTGTCGCACGTTGCTCAGCGAGGACCAGGTATACCAAGTCGCATGCTGAGCTGTTGAGCACTATGAGGTGGTGAGCACAAGCAGCAAACCTCGGTGCAATATGTAGAATAACAAAAGCATGACCGAAGAACAGGATCTTGTGATTCTCAGTGTCTTCACAGTAGCCGGCGTCACCAGACGGCAAAATTCGAGCAAGACATAATATACAGTTCACGTAACGCGTATGAAGTCCAGCAGGCTTTTTACCCGCGGTGTCGGTTGGAGAGAGGAATATATTGAGGACGGTCGCCTCTCGGCCCTCAGCAACAGAAAGTGAGAGCAAGTGTAAGTGTTCTGCTGCGCAATATTCATGTCTGGCTCATATCCCGGTTCACCGAGAAACAGCATGCCCTTGTGTTACATTATTCCCAACCTCTCCTTCTTTTGCGTTGTGGAGAATACTCGGTCGGCGTAGATAGGCGGTATGTGATAATACTGATGGGCAAAATCGCCGTAAGCGGAAGGAGCCACCAGTCTTGCCCTTCCCCCGCCAGGGCCTTACTCCCTGCGCATGTGACCCGAAGCCGGAGCCAGACGAGTGATAGCCAGACGTGATCATCTAGGCCAGCAGGGCGAGCCATAATGGGCGAGCAACAATGGATGATACAGCAGTCACCGAGGGTTTAGTTTTTGGCTGCCCGCGTCGTCCCAGCAACCGCAAAGCTCCACACACACACACAAACCGTCCACGAGAGCGCGAAGGCGACGAAGCAAAGGTTACACCCTTTCGCATTCGGTGCCGAGTATCCCCTTCGTACGTAGAAAGCAAGCCCGCTTCGTGGTAGACAGAGAAAACTTTGCTTTTGACTGGACAACAGATCAACAGCGTGGCTTGGTAGGGCAGGTGAGCCAGACTTCTGGAAGCCACGTCTACTGTTTTGCCAATGTGGATATTGTTTCGGAGCACAGGGAACGAAGACATAACAGACCAAAGCTCTCTTGTCAGGCTCAAGGGGCCCTCTGATCAATCAACAGTGAGGCCGGTTGTATGGTCGGCGGACCTGGTGGCTGGTTCAGATGATGGTCAAATGACAGGGTTAACAATAGGTGCACATGCGTACAATCGCACACAAGCATCAGGAGAGTCAAAGCAACATGAATCCTTCGTTCCAACTATGTTCTAGAAGGCGAATCTAGAGGCGTCGTAACTTGTAGCAGGCTACGCTCCTGTAGATCCTCACAGGGCCGATAACCTTGTTGGTATTACTCGTTGAAGTGATGTTTGGCTTTCTGATAGCTTCTGGGTGGAAATGAAGCCCTTTTGGTGGACATGAGCCTCTCTGCCTGGGACAGCTGACTTGGCTTGACAGCTCGTACGTCTGCAACTCTATCTGCGAATGGCATGTATTTCGTTACAGTATGTAGATTGGGAACAAGCTCCATGCACTTGTTCAAAATCTCGCAAACCTCGCATAGGCTTGCTAGGAGGTACCTCCCTCGTAGCGATATTGACACTCAAAAGAACCGACTTGGCTGTCTCGGAGTTCAATATCCAGAATCCATGTCCTCGGTAATGAACGTTATCGAGGTCGATGTATTCGGGACATGGCTATTGTCACAGACAGATGGATCATCAGCCCTGTCCTACACCGTGCCTGTTGGTGTTGCTACGCTGCCGCACAGTCGACACTACATGCTGCTCTTACTTGCAGATAGCCTCGTGGAGTATGTTACTCTGCATCGAACACGAGGGAGGGTGGTTTTCGGAGGAAACAAGTAGAGGGTTACTGCTGTGCGACGGAGGCGGAGTTATCATCCTCAGACACCCAGTCATCTTCGGGCTTGAAGAGCATCATTTGTCCTGCCGTTCACGGCAAGAAGTGAACGCATGATTGTCATACAGCCCCAGATACTCCGGAAAAGAGAGATCTCGGTACACCATTGACGACTGTACGGTATCAACACGGACAGGTCCCGGCAATCCTCGTCTCAGAGTAATAGCACATGACGACTTTGATGTCTGAACTCGAGATTTGAGTGTGCCTGCAGCACGTTGCTTTTTCCCGTCATGACGGACAGGGGGCACAAACTTGTTCCTGGGTCCAAAACAATAGAAGATCGACCATGACACCGTGTGTAAACAAAGACGATTCCTGCTGCTGCTATCCTTATGACGTGACATGCGATCCAAAGCAGGTAGACGTCGCTACTTTCTTTGCGCGCGGGCTGCGCGAGTATCGCGCGTACGCGATCAGATGCAGAGATGTTTTTATGCAGGACTAATATCCGTCAACCCCGGCCACCATGGGTTGATATGGCGAATCACAGACGTCGACGAAACCCACGGATCGCGACAATCTCCAGGTCGCAGCGGGGGACTGGAAACACTCGCCAGGTCAATCCGGTAGGCAGATCAAGGGGACCAACACACACCAGATAGGCGCACGGCAGCGAGCTTCATCTCAACAACCCTTTGACATGTCATGAGGAGGTCGAAGGGTCCACCGATCTTTCTCCTGGCTTTTGCTACAGTTCGCGGCACTGGACATCCCGAAAGTCAAATTTGAACCAGTCGTCGTTGATCACAGGCAGGGCTTTTGCCCAAGTAATTATAGCACGCCCGCCAACGGCTTTTCTCTTCGCTGATGCATCGAAGAATCACCGGCCTCATCGTTCGGTAGGCGAGCATGTAGTTGACAATTTGACAGTGGTCGTATAGTAGAGATCAGACATGTCATATGGATTCAAATGAATTTCTTCGCGAGTAATCTTAGATTGAACCTTGAAGTTTACTGTAGCCGTGAGCATGGGCCAAGTTTATTGTCTGTGTCAGTCATTAACAACAGCACAACTCCGAATGCATGCGCTGGACGTGGCTACTCGGGGAAGTCGCGAACCTGACTGTGTCTGCCATTCAATGTTGTCGACTATCCGAGGGCTGCCGTTTTCTCTCCTGCTATCCACTACCACAATATCTGCCCTCGTCGCTTCCCGACCAAAACAACCAGCGAAGCTCCGTTTCAAGAGACCAGCCAGTGCAGCCACAAGCGGTGTTCACGCGCTTTTACTCTCCCTGCCCATCACAGGCAACTTGCCCATCTCGCACGGGCGCCGAAAAGTCGCACGGTCGCCAAATCATACCATTCACTGTCTAACTCGATAGTATTGCCTAGTCGATATCTCTCTGTCGATGAATTCTGGCGAGTTTCACAAGCTGCATCTATCTCACACTTGCTCGTCATAAAACTTCACTTCAGGGAGGTTACAGCCCTGTCCAGCCGAGCCTCTCCAGGCTCAAATTCAGGGGCTTTCCAACTAACAATAAACCATTCACAAGCACAGGCCGTTGGTCAGTGACTCGTGGTGGTTTGAGGACTCTGACTCTGACCGCCGCCCTTCCGTGTGAAGGTCCCAGCCACTTTAGCGCGCCGCCAGTGCGCCACGAACGGCCGCAAGATCTACGCACACTACGCTACTCTTGCCCATTGTCTTGGGGGTCCTCACGTCCTCTACCTTGGACACCGAGATTCCTTTTTCCTTCCCATAACAACTCCCACGCTCCTTTGTCTATTTTTCGCTCTTTTTGTTTTCCTCCGAATTTGGATCCGCTCACTTACCGCACACCTCGATCAAACACCCATCCAACCCTTATACCCGTTAACCCGCTACGAACTAATCCTAATACACGCTGCTTCCCCTCAAGACAACGTCAACGGTCTCCCGAGTCTTGATTGTCTTGCTTACCGTCCCAACACGTTGTCATCGTATGCCTAGGCTTCGATCCTACTGAAACCGGTATGCCTCTACCTCCACAATCAATAGGCAACCAGCCATCTTTGTGCAACTCAGACTGATGTTTCCTAACAAGAGTAACTCTCTCTCATACTCTGCACCTCGACTGCATTTAGATGCAGTAGAGTATCCATTACAGGTTTCTGGGCTCAAGCTTGATCACGTCAAGCAAGCTTATATCAACCATGACTGTAGCAATGGACAACTCATTTCGTAGCTGGTCCTCGAATGCTAACACCGGGTCTCTGTGTCTCGAGGACAAGTATGAGATCATCAAGGACATCGGTGATGGCAGCTTCGGAAGTGTCGTCCTCGCAAGGACAAGGAGCGCTGGCGCTCACCTCGTACGAAGAAACACTTTGGTACGTCGATCCTTTAACGTCGATACCTTTAGGTCACGTCTAACCAAACCTTATAGNGTTGCTGTCAAGACTATGAAGAAAACATTCGAATCTTTCTCACAGTGTATGGATCTCAGAGAGGTCATCTTCCTCAAGTCAATACCAGCTCACCCTCATCTTGTACCGGCTTATGACATCTTCCTGGATCCTCTCAGCAAGAAGTTGCACATCGCCATGGAGAACATGGATGGCAACCTTTACCAGCTGATGAAGACGCGGGACCACAAGCCTTTTGATGGCACTGTTGTTAAAAGCATCTTGTTCCAGATCCTCGGCGGCCTGGAGCATATTCATGAGCACGGCTTCTTCCATCGCGACATCAAACCGGAAAACATCCTGGTCTCCTCCTCGGCACCCGACACTCAAAGCGCTTTCAAGCGATACTCGGCGCTAGTGACACCACCCTCGACACCNCCTACCTACACAATCAAGCTTGCCGACTTTGGACTGGCAAGGGAAACTCACTTCATGGTCCCATACACAACATATGTCTCCACGAGATGGTACCGTGCACCTGAAGTACTCCTAAGAGCCGGCCAGTATTCTGCGCCTGTGGACATATGGGCATTCGGTGCCATGGCTGTTGAGATTGCAACCTTGAAGCCTNNCTTCCCAGGTGGCAACGAAGTCGACCAGGTTTGGAGAGTGTGTGAGATCATGGGAAGCCCCGGTCTTTGGGTCAACAAACATGGTCAGAAGCTGGGTGGTGGAGAGTGGAAAGACGGCGTACGCCTAGCTGGCAAGCTTGGATTCTCCTTCCCGAAAATGGCCCCTCATCCCATAGAGACGATTCTCCAAGCACCCCAATGGTCCGCAAGTTTCGCACGATTCATCACCTGGTGTCTGATGTGGGACCCTAACGTTCGACCAACTTCGACACAAGCCCTTCAACACGAATACTTCGCTGATGCAGTCGACCCTGTGAGACCCAAGTCATCAAACACCGCCAAATTCCTCCGCAGCAAGAGCTCTACTTTGGGTAGCCTCGAGAGCTCGCCAGAATCTAACCAAGGCAGTATTCAGCTCAAGAAGTCATCGTGGTTCAGAAAATCAATCAGCACTACAGACTTCACGCCACCCCCAGAGCACGCACCCCAAGCTCCCACCTCCCATCCTTCACCCATCAATGCTCGAGGGGTTGAAGGCACTGGTTCGATCAAACTTCGCCCTCCGTTCGCCAAGAGAGCAACATGGAACAGTGCCGTACCAATACCTATTTTGCCATCCATCAAGCCAGTCTCGCCGATACATGACGTTGTGACTGCCAGCGCGAAGACTGAAGCTATCGAGAAAAAGAAGATCTCAAGACAGTTATCTGTCAACTCGCACGGCAATCACTACGCAGAGTACCACCGCCAGGAAGCCGAAAAGGCTCTCAACGGCATGACCGGGCTNGCTTCACCTACTGGAAGCATCAGAGAAAGCTTCTTCNNTCATCTTCGCAAACGGGCCCGTAGATTCTCTGGTCGTAACCAAATCCCAGGATCACCAGGACCCGAGGAGCCAGAATCCACAAGTGTCGGGTGTGCACCTTGGGTATCAAGCAACCGGTCATCGATGTCCGTAGAGCCTCCTGCCCGCGACTCTTCCGCCGACACAGGGTTCTCAGAACTCGACAAGGCTTTAGAGAGCGTTCGCTCTAGCCTTGATGCTCGCGCATCGAATGCGCCCGCTAGACAAGTCCAACGCATGTCAAGCACGCCCATTCTCAAACGACACCATTCGTTGTCCACAGTCGCCGATGGACGTACCTCGCCTGCACTTTCTGTTAATGCGCAGACTACCAGCCGAACGCGAAGATCAATCAGGCAATCGTTAAACCCTCGTCAAAGATACGAAACTCCTGACGAAGAAGAGGAGTTGCTTGACGAGGCATTGACCAACGCGCGTCGGGCAGCAAGACGTCTTGAAAAGCCCACCCCAACGAAGCCGTCCTCGGGCAAGGAGAACACCCGACCTCCCATTACACACGTGACCTCGGATCCTGGCTACTCAGCTCCCTACTTAACACCCTCCCCGTCCAAAGACAACAACATTGGTTTTGGTCAAACGGACATAACTCCTACCAAGTCCATGGTCATCACACCGCGGAGGCAGCGCGACAGTCTGAATCCTCAATGGCCAACACCTCCCTATGACGATCATGAATGGGCTTCATCGGCCGCAGCATCCATCCTTGCTGTGCAATCGGATAAGCTCAAGTAATCCGTTGCTATGCGCTCCTCGTCCCTGCCGCTGTTGCCTTTGAGCTAACAAGCATTGTCCGTCTTACACACCTTGTACTTATCTGGCTACCACGCGTTGTACATACCGGATATGTGCTCGCCACACTCTGGAGTTTCATTATCACCATCATCTAGCTATCAGCATTTCCTAGCGTCACATCCGCATCTTGTTTTTGTTTTTACATTTCCTTTCGGCTACCAAGTTTCAGTTTCATACCCCGGTTCCGGCAGAAAGGACCACTGTTTTGTCGATCTTTGCTCAAGAAGGTGTATCACCTTTATCCTGCATCTATTGCATATTGCACATATCCACATCATCTTTTATCTTTCTGCAGCGCATTCGCGTACGGCGCTTTTTCAGTTTCATTGCACAGCGCTTTGCCCGTTATACTGGCGTAGACAGCGCGCCTCAACCTGGAAGAAGTTGCACAGAACTTTTAGAGCAACTTCAGTTTTCTTTGTTCCCACATTCGATTCAACTTGGCAGAGGTGGCAATGGTGTTTTGATGGCGTTCCCAGCTGTACAGCTATGGGTGGGAAACGGATGGAAAACGGGTTCATAAGCTTTTACCAACCACAGTATGGCTGGAAGATAGACAGTCGGTCCAGTTGTCTGTACATAGGCACGTCTGAGATATACTACAGCATCTTGCACCTCAACTCCTTACATAGTTTCTCCAATTCACTTTTGACATGAGATGACTGACGTATGAGCTGAGAATCAACAAGTCCTCTGTTTCCTTATTAACTCAATCGTCACAACAAACACTGAGGGTTGTATTGGTGAGCAGACTCACATGCGAGTCACGAAGCCATTTCAATAGCTCCACATTGAGACAACATTCTTGATTCATCGCAGTAGCCAGGAACCTCTCGCGCCGTTGGATGCCGACCAGATCGTCCCAGCGGTCCGAGATGGGCAAGCGGAGCATGTGTACTAAATTGCCAATGTACCAGTGACGGGCATCTCTTTACCAACAAGACCTTGCTTTGACGGCTGCAAGAGTTTGCGCACCATCTGAGATCCATCGCGCAGCGATCAAAGGAGTCGACTGGCGTGGATGTCGCGCACACACGCGTGCATTACGACGCAGATCCGTTGTTAGGTGCAGAGGCGGTCGAGAAGGCTGCAGGAGAGACTCTGCACCTCGCACGAGCGAGTAAGAACTGACATCGAAAGCCCCAAACTCCCAATTTCCCGTTAGGAGCCAAAACGTGCTCGCTCATGCAGCTCTGGGAGAACTCGGCGTGCAAGCCCCGACGCCGTTGGAAAAAAGAGGAGCTGCATCAGACGGTGCTGTCTCAGCTGTTCCTAGCTGTCACCAGCGAACTCGCAGTCTTGAAGCCATTCACGCTCTACTGTACCAGCCCCTACCTAAGCTGAGCAATACCAATGACTCGCATTCATTCCTTGCCTTGGAAGCTTACAACCCATTGCGGATTGCCTTTGACACCCGGAGTCCAACAAGAGCCAACTTGGAAGCAAGTCCAAAACCACTAAAGTAACGCCGTCCATCGTACCACGATTTGTGGTCTGCATATGCTGCGGCCCGCTGCCTCTAACCCTCTTTTTCTTCCTTTTTCTCCATTCCCGAGTCGACACGTGTATCTGAACTTGAGCCGCGGAAAGTCTCGAGTCGGTCTCAATCCCTGATTAGCCCTACATTGGCTGGCGCACGACGGTGTCTGTCTCGCCCAGAATCTCCAACCAATATTGCCATCAAGTGCCCTCGACCTTTCTACCAGTTCCCAGTTCGTGTCCAGGACAACGAGTTTCGAGCGGAGGCGGTGCATACGCCACGGACGACACGGCTGCAACGATGATCTCACTTGCAGCAAAGACTCTACAACCTGCAGTTGTTCACAGTATGCATCTTTCACTACCTGGTCTCCGGGCTCGAGCCGCTCTAAATGAGGCATAAGGATTCCCGAGTCACCAACGACTCGCAGCGAGCATGATGTTTGTACCTTGTACTTGACGGGAATGGCTGCGCTCCAATTCTTGCCTGCAGAGAAGGACTGTCAAGGTTCAAGACGACATGCAGACGACACCACTTTCGGTCTTCGGCAAAAGGCAGGCAGGTACTTGAGCTGTACAAAAAGTTCATTCCTTCGGCCATCATGCAGTAGATTCTTTCAGCATCGGATTGTACTTTGCCTTTACGCAGGGCTTCCTCATGAAGAAATCAAGCACGTTCTCCACCAAGTGGAGATACCGAGTCGTGCAGTGAGCTATCTGATGAGTCAACACACCTCCGCCCAAGTCAACGCACAAGCATGAGAGTCAACACAACACTGCCCTACGTCCAGGGCAATCTCAATTGCCGTGATTGTTCGCGGAAGATCTTTTGCCATGATCTGCACCGGAACTGTTACGACAATGATGTGTTGCGAAGTCCGAGGATGCAGTTTTGCCTGGTCTTGGTATCTCCTCAAGCTGAAGTGTGGAAGGCTGAGAGCAGCTGACTGCTTGCACGTATCATTTGGGCGCTCCTAATCTGCGCTGACGGGTGGTCGAGGGGCCAACATGAGCCTTGGGGCTTTCAAGGGTGAGTACCTGTCTGCTGGTATACCATTGCTGACGAAATGTGTATCTGAGAAGATGCGCTCCTGCCACGTTGTGCATCATCTTGCTCAAGATTTCAAATAAAGTTACTTCGTTCGAAGCATACAGACTCTAGCACAGGACGTCTTGAGTCCCCACGAGTCTGGAAGGACACAGTCACGGTAGCAAAAACACGATGTACACAGTAGGTGACGTATCCTGGCCAGAGCTGTTAAGCTTCCTTTTCATATCTTGTGTCACCGTAGCACGAAGTACCCTCCCCTCTACTAAACATAAACAGAAAACAACTACCGTACGAGCCCTGTTCTCCATATCACAAACAAGATGTGTTGTTGCTCATCTGGAGCTCTCGTACGAGCAGATCGTGATAATAGCAATCAGCAGTACAGAACCCTTTCTCTTCTTCGATCAACTCACTACACCTGTCGTGTGAGGAAAGAGATCTCTTTGCTGGCAACAAATGATTTAGGACGTTCTCCATCGTACGCTCTCACAAGTTGTGGTCTGCATGTGATATCCGAACACGACGCTGTCTCGTCAACAAACCGGATCCTATTCGATGGTCACAAGGTTGATCCCTCTGTATGATCACACGGCTGATGTTCTGATGACTACCGAGCATACTGTCGCGATACTAAAGCCATTCAGGCATGATAAGGATACGAACATTGGCAAGTATGTTTTGACCAGGGTCATACCGTCAACCGATAGTCACGAAAGATATCATTATATCATTGACATGAGTGTACTATCAGACAAAACACGCACTGACGGTTGCACCTCCCAAACGAAATCTCTGATCTATGCAGGGCAATGAAGAGCTGTGGTGCAAATGACAGTTATCAGGTTCAAAATTACGACTATCCCTCAAAGCGTCACTCATGAATAAATCGACCATTGTTGTTTGTAGGAGAAGAGAGAAATGACCAGATATCAGAGAAATCGCATTGGAGTCCCTCCTTGATTGTAGTAATGTTGCATGACTGCAGATACAAAAGTTGTTGTGTGCCCACCTGGCTGCAAATGATTGACGGGATTTATCTACTTCCTCGCATATGTTCCGTTCTGACACACATCAGACTGCAACACGAAGCAACTGTTCAGCTTGATGTTTTTGCCTGGTCTCTGAGCAATGAACACGAGTTCGAAGGTGAGAGTATATGATTCTTGGACACACAGGAAGCATAAGCAAAGTTGAGATGGAATGGTGTTAGAAGGTTTCCAGTCATTGTTCTTGTTGATTGTATGGGGTTATTGTTTCCTAGTCAAGGTGCGAAAGCGAAGAGGAAGTTTCAAACAGGAAGGCGTGAAGGGGAAGGCGCAAATTGCTGGTTGTTTCCTTTCATGAAACCTCCTGATGACACAACCCCATCGCAACTTCCTCGACGCTGTATCTAGACAAACGAAGCTTTCCCAAACATGGATCTCGATACTTTCCTCATCCCCCATCCATCCTTGCCATCCCCAATCATCATCGCCATCCTCGCCTTCATCACCTTCGTCGCCTTCGTCGCCTTCGTCGCCCTCATCGCCAATATCATCATCACATCCGCCATCATCAAACTAGCGAAGCCTTCAGCGACGGTGCAGCCACGCGACACACCGCTTTACTCTGCATTCCTCACGAGGATGAGAGACCCAAAAGACCTTCGCATCAGCATCCCTCTGTTTGAAGCTTTCATGCCGATATACAAGTCTGCTTTTACGTCGTGAGTCCTGGGGTGCAACGTGAAGAAGCGAGTTACCCGAGCCTGCAAGACGGACAAACGTTTGAGGTGGCGTCCGAAGCAGATGAGTGAAGTACAGGAGCAAAACCCTCTCGATCTACCATACCGTCGGTTCCCTATACAGCTTTGCTGCGTTCAAGTCTCCAACAGTGTTGGTGCGGTGTACGGCCGCCAATACATGCCCAACGTCGGCTTCCGAATGTCGGATCTCCAACATTAACAGTCAAATCTCGCGTGTCATTGCATAGAATCTCCTCCAGCGTGTTGCGGATGACAAGTTCTACAAATGCTCGTACCCAGGACACAATCTGAATCACGGGTACCATCACTCCCAACGGCCGATCTTAACTCAAGCAAGACTTGAGATTAGAAGAACTAACCATCGATAAGGTTATATGCTCTATGGTTTCGCCTCATCTGTAACGCTTCGCAAGGCTCAAATCTCCGATAGTATCAGCACGGTTGAGAGTCGCGAAGACAACGTGGCCAACTTCGTCGTCAACTCTGGCATCGCCAATCTTGACTTTAACGTCTCTCAACAGGTGTGCTCTCTCCATAGCACCCAGAGATTCTCCACCAGGCGGTACACTCATGTACAGATTGTTGTATGTGAAACTGGAGACATAACCCATCATATCGGGAGCGTTGCACAGGTGGCTCAAAGCAGTACCTGCTGATCCGAGCAGGAGAAGTATACACGACGAGACCAGAAGAAAAGCAAACCAAAGATAGTTACATTTGTAAACTTCAGTGGTCCTCGTGATCGTGGTATTGAAGGAGATTGGCAGGAATGGTGGCAGGGTGTCGTTGTACACTTCTGTGATGATAGATTGGTTCGAAGTCTTCCAAATGTCTCCACTAGGACCAGGGAGATCGCCTGTATAAGCCAAGGGAGCAAGTGAAAGTTGCAAGTACGTATTCATCAGCTGCCCCATACGGATGGCAAAGAGATCGTTCGGAATGGTTGCAANGCCAGGTAGCCCTGCTGTTGCTGCGCCAAAAGGCATATGCGCTCCTCTAACATAATACTTTGTAGGTGACGTATCGCCATTGTGTATACTGCCAGTCGCTAACGGAAAATCTTGCATGAAATGATAACTCAACACGAAAGACTCAAGTAGTGTTAGATTCGAATTGCGGTTCCGGTACTTGATAGACGGACGGACTGCATGCACTTTGCACCCGTCATCGGTGCATTGAGCCTGAGCTTCGAGATAGATTTGCGCTACTGTACAATTCCGCAAAAGTACTGTTGACGAAGTCGAGTCCAGGCTGCCGAAGAGAAGGTTTCTTGGAGATTGCAAAGATATATCTGAACGTGCTGTAGTGTCTTGGTCAAGCAGGACATTGTCCACTCGCTTGTCGGACATTGGCGTGTGGGTGTCAAGAAAGAACGAGGTTATGGTCTTCTTCGCATCGTTCGTGAACATTGATTTGTTGTTGGAGGACCAGACGAGACCGAGGTGTTTGAAAAAGTCGGGATCTTTCTTCGATGTATTGTAGACTGGAAGAGGGCATTTAAGGTCCATATAAGCATAGTCGAAGCTGAACTCTTGTAAGATTTGACGCTTTCTGATCAAGCCAGCCAGTGGAAGTCCGACAAGAGAAGTGTAGTTGTCAGCTGAGATGAGGTCTGGAACAGTACTCCAGTTGCCAGGCAATGGGTTGTGTGTAGACAAATCCGGGACTGGGAGCCATGGAATCTTGACGTTTCCTCATGTGTCCGCGTCAGAACTTTTAACAGATAGAGGCGCGAGCAAGTTGGCACTGTAGAGAGTATTAATGGCTGCCAATGAGGTAGCCGCATCACCAGAGGCCAAAATGCCATTCTCCATGCCATGAGAGCTCATGCCACCCGTTGGAAGGTACAAAACGGGCTCGCCGCCAGTGACCCGAGCTTCCGTGGAGATATCCAGTATACGGAGAGATGCTTGACCGCCGAGAGGAGAGAGACACCAGAGAAGGAACAGATGGGCACCGGAGAGAGTGAAACGCCTCAAGAGTATCTGACTCTTGAATGTGCCCCATACCGTTTGGCTTGCTAGAAGTAATTCCAGAATACCAAGCTTCGTACCGCGTTCAGCATAATACCTTGCAAAAGTCTTCAGGGATTTACTGGCCACTGCTGCAAACATAATAGGATATATTGAAGGTCCCTAGGATATGTTAGCACAAAAGGTCACTGATGCGACGCTGGACAAGCAGGTATTGCAAACGTTAAATGCGATGAGCGAAGCATGAGGGAAAGCAGATCTTCAGTTCAGGTTGACATGGAGAAGAAAAACTTACAANNGACGTGTGATGGTCTTGATGTTGTGACCTAATCCATTGCCACCAGTTGGCTCTTCGTCTAGCTTAGCCGCTAGTATAGCAATAACTGAGAAACATAAGCGACGACTTGGAGATACTTCGGAAGCGACGTACCAATGAAAGCTATCGGTGCGAGGGGTGACCAGCGCTTCGCATAGATTGAAGAACAACGTCAACAAGGTCTTGTCTTTCAATTTTCGAGGCTCTGCTGGCCACCCCTCGATACGAGCTTGCTCACTAGAGACCCAAACCATTGAGATAACATGAGACTTTCTCTGTTCTGCTGAATCGAAGCCTGATAGTGGTTGTGTTACAGCAGGGATACCACTAGCTTCATTTGTGTGACTGATATCATCTTGGAGCGACTCGTAGGAGGGCAGCGACGATCCATTTCTTCGTTCTGGTACTTGAGCGAGAGATTCGTAAGGACGTTGACTAAAGTTCATGGCGTCCGATGGTTGACAAGAAGAGAGTACTGTGGGAGATAGAGTCTGATATAATGAACCACAAGATTATAAATGATGTCTGCGTTTCGCAATTGACACACTAGAAGTAGGTCGTGGCAATCAGCGAGGCCAGTAGAAATGCAGTATTCTCAACTTAAGCGCCAGCCGTACATAGGACGACAGAGACTTGAAGGACCGGGCGGCAAACGACGATCTTGATTGATTGTCCGCTGTTTTCCACAAGACTTTTGAGAGTGCCTACTGCGATCAAGGAAACTTGTTTGATCTGTGTGAGAGAAGGAGAGTAACCTCAGAAGCAGACTGCTAAGAGGACAAATCTTCAGGCCAACACTCTGGTTGCCGCGCATCTGAGCCATGTGGCCTTGATCATGCTTGAAACAGACGTGAGCAGCCATGACTCGAGGGCCGAAGCTGGCTCGAGGTGTACGGAAGAGTGTTCTAAACAGACTTGCGTCGTCAAGTTGGAAGACAAGGTGAAAGTAGATCGATGTCGAGGCCATCCCAATGTTGAATATGAAGGTCTTCCAACAATACTTCACGACGGCTGCGCAACTTGGTTGGTGTATAGACCTCCTCAGCTCGTCGAGCATGTCGGTCAGTTCATCACGCTTCAGCGTGTTGTTTCATGTCAGTATGCTGTTCAGCGGTTAGATAGTATATTGAGACCAACCAGACACTCGATTGTTGTTAGATCATGCAGACCTAAGCGCCAGACGCTCGATACGTGCCACATAGATTCTCGACATAAAGTCGTCCATCTTCCAATCGACATGCAAGAAGCCTCTGGAACACGAAATGATCGTATCTGCTCCAGGAGCGTTGCAACGCCAGACTCTCAGGTTCACGTCGCACTGCGTCGTCCTTGCCTTGTCGACAAGTCTCATTCATGTCGTGCATAGTTATGCTGTGCAACCACAAACTTTTCGGGGCATGCTCGGCTTTCGAGAATTCCAGGATGTCACGTCTGGAACACTTTTGAGCTCAACAGATGGACAGACTTTCCAAGAGGATCTTGGTTCGATGGCGATTCGCTTTTCGGGAACAAGGGCCCGTCTCGAGTTGTACTATTGTACAGGTCCATCGACTCTCGTGAATGGTGGAATACTTGAATTCGGCTCACCACTTATGCCGCGTTCCCCACCTGCAGACAAAGACCGGGCTGGCATCAATGATCACACCAGGTACGCAAGGCGGGCCACCATGACCGGTGTATGCAGTACATAGCTGCGCGGCCTGCGATTGTGACTTGTAGAGATAACTCTGCATTGTTGAATAACGACTGGCTGGCCAGAGACACAAGTCCCGCAAAGGGCAGAGAGCTTGCGCTACCCCAGCCCGAACTGGAACAACCATCATGCTCTGAGGGTATGATTCGACCTGGCAAGAAGCCACATTCAATTCGTCTGCCAATAGACGCTCAGAAGTGAGAGTTGGCTGCCATCTGGATCATATCTGTTCTCGAATCAGCAAAATAGTTTGTGCGAGCGCCTTGACAGCGACAGCGCGAACGTCTTTCTGGGACAATCGATAAACGTGAAGGTCGACTGCGCCGTGGCGGCCGCGCACGAACACGATGCACACGTTTTTTGCCCTCGTTGTCACATCCCCACCCCTGACGCTAATCACTTTTAACCGAAAAGCCCGACCAATTATCGTTCACCCCACGCACATCACAAGCTTGTGGCTTCGCACGATGCTCGGGCTCTAAACCTGGATTGGTGTGGCTCCAGGCACAGGAGAAAAGCATGGCCACACAGACACAACAGACCGCACTGCGGTTGCATGGCTATCTGGCAGATTGGGCCGACATGTTGCACCGCAACTGTGGACAGTACCTTGTCACGTCCTGTCTCTGCATTGGCCGGCTCTGCATAGTTTTTCTTTGAGCGAAGAAACTAGTATGCGACAGTGGAGAACATGACTGATGCAGATGGGCCGTCTTCTTTTGCTGAGCTGCAAGAGAAGGCTCTAACCACCCCGCAACCCGGCCCAGAGAGGGACGTGGCGCATGTTATTGGATTCGTTCAAAAAAGCCTCCAGGGGAAAGGTGCGCTAGACAGGTACCGGTTGAGCTCGGGAGGAGAGGACCGTCTAGCGGCCTTGCATTGAGGATCCGATTAAACTCCACAGCAGAGCTCTGGCACTGTGTCGGCAAACACTACAAGAAGGAACTCTGCTTCCACCCAGTTGCGCTCTTTCCCCTTCGTTATTCACAGGCTTGAAGTCTTACGGTTGTGTATCTCACCTTCACTCTCATTTCTCCCCCGTTCACTCCTTCTTCGTTCTAGGAATCAAGCATTCCTATACACTCTTTCACTCTTTATCCACACACCTACACGGTCTCAACCACATCAGAATTGCTAGCCAATTCGTTCGGTCCTTCGACAAATCTAAGAAATACCAGCTTCACTCTTTCAAGCCTCTTTTATCATCATTATCAAAATGAAGTCCTTTGGAATCATCGCTGCCTCTGCGCTCTTCGGAGCCATTGCCAACGCTGCACCTCTCAACAAGCGCGATGTCGTTTGGGTCACTGAGATCGAGACTGATGTTGTCACTGTTCCCGTTACTATGACCGTCTGGGCCGATGCCGCCGAGGAGACCACTGTTTCGACCACAACCACTGAGAGCAGCTCGGCCGCAACAACTGAGAGCAGACACGGACACAAGTTCTTCCACTCCAAGGCTTCGACCAGCTCTACTCCCGTGGCCATCGTTTCCACCAGCAGCAGCTCCCCTATCTTCGTTGCCCCTACTTCATCGAGCACCGTTGTTTACGTTGCTCCTACTACCTCGACTACTTCTACCTACGTTGCACCCACCACTAGCAGCTCCGAGATCTATGTCGCTCCTACCACCACCAGCTCCGAGATCTACGTTGCTCCTACCACTAGCAGCTCCGAGGTCTATGTTGCTCCTACCACTAGCAGCTCCGAGGTCTATGTTGCTCCTACCACTAGCAGCTCCGAGGTCTATGTTGCTCCTACCACTAGCAGCTCCGAGGTCTATGTTGCTCCTACCACTAGCAGCACTCAAGTCTACGTTGCTCCCACTACCAGCACTGAAGCCTACGTCGCCCCCACTATTGCAAGCACTTCGGAAGTCTACGTTGCTCCCACTACCAGCACTACCAGCAGCGCTCCTGCCGCAACCACCAGCGCCTCTTCTGGTTCCGGCTCCAGCAGTGGACTGGCCGCATCTGGCACTGAGTACACTGGAGACCTGACCTGGTATGATGTTGGTCTTGGTGCTTGTGGATTGACCAGCACCTCAGACGAGGCCATTGTCGCCATCTCCCAAGACATCTTCGACAACGCCCAGTACAAGACCGCCAACCCCAACCTCAANCCCCTTTGCGGCAAGTACGTTACCATCACTGGCAAGGGCGGCCAAACCTACCAGGCCAAGGTTGTCGACCGCTGTGTTGGCTGTGCCGAGGCAGACCTTGACCTTAGCCAGGGTTTCTTCAACAAGGTTACCAGCAATGGTGACGGTCGTGTCTCTGGCATGTCCTGGACATGGAACTAAGCCAATATCTGGTCTAAACATCGATGCCAGTCTACTCAGCCACTTCTGCGAAGTCAAGTAGACTGGCCATCACTCACTCATTTCGTACCTCACTTTCGCTAGCGCCGCGAGCTCGGTGCTTTGCATGATTTTATACACGAATTGGGAAGAAGGAAGATGTGACAGGCAGTGCCTGAGCATCAGGGGACAAAACGGTGGCATATCATTTCAATTCTTTTCTATCTGTTGATAGCTCTTCTTCTCTTCTTGTTGCTATGTTCTTTGGGGATGTGGTTTGGAGATTTTCACTGTCGAGTTCATCAAAATGAAACATCTATGCGTCGTCGCTTCACGAAACTTCATTACCTATCGTGTACACTCGTCTGCTCTCGCGTATGTGGTTGCATCATCGGATTCTTTTGTAACGTTGTATTGGAGAGCTGATCCTACTTTGCCAAGAGCGTCATTGATCATCTATTTTGGGAGCGCAATAAGGCCGGCGTAACGTTAGGAAGAAACGACTTGGCGAGGCTCTACTGGGCGAGTATTGTTTTGCGCAGTAATCACGAGGTGTCGAACCAAAGTTGCGGTTCTGTTTCTGGAGGCTGTGTGTGCGATGTGTCTGTGTCGAGAAGTGAAGCAGAAAATAGCCTGGTTCGATTCGGGAAGGAGCAAAAGTCGATCAGGTGCTCGCAAAAATCGGCTCGATCAAGCTTGGCCGAACCTTACAGCTCGAGAAAAGGCCAGCCACGCTCGAGTCGTGATGCTCGAAATGAGGTGTTGCTCTGGCCATGGAATCGGTGCAACAGTTGGTAGGGATGACGCTGGACAGGAGTGCCAAACAGAGCAGCAGGTTGCCATGGGCATAACAAGCAGATTACCGTGACGTTTGGTCGGCAGCAGACGCTCGAACGAGGCACGGCAGACATCCGAAACAGGGATAGTTTGTGGCTTCAACTTTAATGATTGGCCAAGGGCAAGAACGAGGAGGCAGACAGGCCCACAGAGTCAAGATGAAACCTCAAATGCGCGAGACTGTGCCGTCCTGGGTTGCCAGACAGTGGTTTTCGTGTCTCGATTGACGTCTGTGAAGCAGCAAGAAGCGGTAGATATCGCAGGCGGACAAAGAGGAGTACAGAGAAGCATAGCATCGATCATCGCTGCACGCACGAATCAACGATCTCAGTGGTTTGGAAAATAGGCGGGCCAACACGAAGATCCCGCTCTGCTTTGAACAGCGACCCTTGGCCTGAGACAAGACTCTGCCGAGCTGAGAGACCGGAGAACGTCTCCAACACGCATACCCTGCGACCTGCATCTGCATCAACATTCTCAACTACTCACCTACAAGACGTTCAGCCCTATCTCGACTGGCCTTCGCCGCCTATCACGCCTTGATCCGTCGACACCTGTATCGCTCGAGACACTCCTCTCTTGCATGATAGCGACCCCGTCGCCCGGATAACAGTCGACTCGCACCTGGCTTTGTTAGACCGCAGTCATGTCCAACTCTACAGGTAACGCGGCCGTGCACCATCTTCTTTGTTTGCGACTGACAATGGTCCAGCTGCCGCCAACACCCCGGCCTCATCGACTTTTCTTTCAACCACCTTCGCCCAAGCCCAAACCCAATCCTCGATCCAAGATGCCGCCCAGTCGTCCTTCTCGTCCGTCGTCGCATCTTCAGTATCATCCGAGGTCTTCTCTTCAGCAACCCAAGCGGCTAGCACTGTGACCGTCGAGCCATCTTCGGCCAGCGTCGTCACCTCGATTGTATCTGCCTCTTCGCAACCTCCCTCCACCACCCAGCTTATCACATCAGTCGTCACTGAAAGCGCTCAAAACGGCGGCTCGTCCAACGCCCCCGTCACAGTTGTTGTGACGTCTGTATATACTCCCTCGACTACCACTGCCGCCCGAGGCTCTTCGGCCTCTTCTGCAGCCAGCTCCTCGTCTTCAGCAGCCGGAAGCCTACCTAACGGCACCACAAACAAAGGCTCAGATAACGGACATGGCCTTAGCACTGGCGGAAAGACCGCCATTGCTGTCGTTGTTCCTGTCGTAGTCGTTGCGCTTCTGGTTCTCGCTGGTCTGTTCTTCTGGAGGAAACGCAAGCAAGGAAAGATTGCCAAGGAGGAACGCCGAAAAGAAGTCGAAGAGTACGGCTACAATCCCAACAATGACCCTACGCTGCCTGTTGTCGCTGCCGATGGATCTGAAATGGCCGAGGATTCTAACGGTGGCTACCGTGGCTGGGGCAATACCTCCATGTCGAACCGCAAGGCTTCAACTACCCTTTCTGGTGGCCATACTGCCGGTCAGTTGAGCGACACTGGAAGTCAGCCTGGAGGCTTCATGCCTGGTAGCCCAACTGGCAACAACTTCTCGGACGGACACAGTGGCGACACTCTGATGAACCCGCGCGAGACTTTCAGTAGCGATGACCTTGGTGCGCTTGGCGCAGCCCCTGTCGCTGGTGCCCACCGCAACAACAACGATATTCGTCGCGGACCTTCCAATGCGTCCTCCTCTTATTCCGCTGGAAACCACAGTGAACGTTCAGACGTCTCGGCTGGTGTTGGGCAATCAAACCAAGCCTACTCGCCTACAGAGATGTATGGGGGTAGCTACGGTGGCTTTGGGCAGCACGGCCCATACGGCGATGGCTCGTATGGTGGCGGCGACAGTGGCATGCCGATCGTTCGTGATGTGAGCGCTAGAAGAAACACACGTATCGAGGCTGGAGGCAACTACCAGTCGGGAAACAGCGGTATCGCACAGAACTTCTGAGTCCTGCCCCGACATGCTATCCTTTGAGTCGTTACGAATCTCCTTTTTTTTTTTGTCAGTTCAGCCAGCGCCTTTTGGACATTACTTCACACGGGATGCGATCGTGTCCGACCTTCCCTCTTCCTTTTCTCTTTGTTGTTTGATCTTACTTGATTTTCTAGGTATAGCGTTGGTCGGATGTTCATACAATTTGTCTCATATTCCTTATCTCTCTGCTTCTTGCTCTCGTTTGATGGCAGTCTTCGTTATAATCGTATTCGGTTTCTCCCATTGAGAGTTTCTAGGGGAGAGATGAAGTGAAGGCGGGCTGGCCTAAGTAGTCCGAGAGAAGGACGGAAGGCTGCTTGTGGTGGACGAGATTGGAGATCAAGATTAATCTCATGACCGGTCCAAGGGTTTAAATACTTAAACAATATCCGATCCTGTTTCTCATTCTGTCTTGGAAAACACGTGCCTGTCTGAAGAGGATCTGTCGTGTGCATTTTGGAGAGGCAGGTGCAAGAGTGACGTCGCGCAACGCGACTTCTTGATGGATTCGCGTCGCCCATGACACGAGACACAAGTTTTGGAAGGAACCTAACACTTCATATCACCTCTTTCCTGGACCGTCGTGCTGACGCCTCAGATATTCATACAACAACTCTCACAGTATGGAGGCTATCCAGTCGGCTTTCGGCCACGATGCCGCGCTATGCGATCGTATCCTTGCTGCCGCAAGTAAGTTCTATTTACCATGTCGTCGACGACCGTGAGGCAGTCGCGAGTTCCATGCCCGACCAGACTCTGGCCCAAGTCTCTGGAAAGGCTTCAAATATATGGGAGCCGAAATTTGTCTGTCGCAACTCTCTCGGCTTGTCCACCTGGGGTTGTAGCATTGGAATGCCCCCAGAGATGAAGGATATGGACTATGACCGCTCTGAACCAGGGCAGCGCCGTATGCCGTGGCAAGCGATGAGTCGGCTCACACCTAGCGGGAAACTCGGGACTCTCGTACTGCCTCCATGGACTGATGAAACGAGCGATTCCCTGTATATGATACGGTCACTAATTTGTTTGCAGAGGAGAACCGCGATCAGATGCAACTATTTGTCGATATCGCCAAATACATGTCACAATATATGTCAGGGAAGAGAATCTCGGAAGACGATGCCGACCAGGGCCCCGATCCAAAGAAGAGAAGGGTGCAAGCCAATGCTCCTGCTGCTGCAGGACCACCGCCAGCTTCAAGTTTGACTACAACCCTCAATCAAAAAACGTCACCAACGTGCTGTACTCGGTTCCGGAAACGAGCTTTGCAGTGCCACAGAGAAAAAGATGACGGTACAACTGGCTGCAGACCCATCAAGACTCGAAGAAGGCGCCATCAGGGTCGTACACGAGGCATCAGGTGTCAATCTGGCCGTGCCGTTCAGCAAGATTGGTAGGCGATGCTCATGGCCACCAGGCAGAACTGGACAGTGGGAAGCTGACAATCGTCACAGAGCAAGTCTTCTGTTTACCTGTGCCCGAGAAAGCGGCGCGACAGTGGAACTTTATCATCTTTGCCAACCAGACTATCGATCTCAAAACAGGCGACAGAGCCATTGAGGCTGAACAGATCGTGTGGACCATGCCCGAGACAGCCCCTGCTAACGTCACGGCTGCCGATGGCTTCAGACCTCTAGATGTCGATACCTATGTGACCAGCACCATGAGGTCGCTGAACGTCTGTATGAAAGGTCACGGCAAGAACGTCATCATCCCCACCGAGCAAGAGTTTGCAAGCGCAATACCACAAAGCCATAGAAAGGGTGAGGCTGCGTACCACGTCAAGGCTCACAAGGGAAGCAAGGATGGTAAGACATCTGCAGATACACTGCCCAGTTGATTTGCTGACAGACCACAGGCTACCTATTCTTCCTCTCCGTCGGTATCGTTTGGGCTTTCAAAAAGCCATTGACACTCTTCACATTCGAGAACATTGAGTCCATCTCGTACACATCCGTCCTTCAACGCACTTTCAACATTGTCATAACCACCATGCCGGACTCCGTCACTGGAGAAAAGCAAGACATTGAGTTTTCTATGTTGGACCAAGCAGATTTTGCTGGCATAGACGAATATGTCAAACGCCATGATCTCAACGACGCATCCATGGCAGCCGACCGTCGTGCTAAGAAGCTCAACATCAACCCCAAACCAAAGACAGAAACCACAGATGGTGAGACCGCTGGTGCGGCAGGCGCAGATGACGACGATGATGAGATGACCGAAATTCAAAAGGCCGAGCAAGCGCTGCAAGACCAAGAAGATGAGGAAGAAGAGGACTACGACCCTGGCTCTGAAGGCGAAAGTGAAGGCTCTGGATCTGATTCTGAAGACGGGGAAGGTGGTGCTGGAGGTGGTGATGATGAGGAGGAGGAGGAAGAAGAGGTCCTCGAGGATGACGAGGAGTAGGAGTCGGATTCATTCTTCGAGCCCTTCCATGGAAGGTCTGCAGTCCCAAATGTGAGGGCCTTGTGTACGGACTGTCGGTTCTGGTTTGAGAATGAGGAGGTGTGGCAGTCACGACTATGAAGAGGACGGTGTGTCTAGATATTGTTTTCACCCGGCATGGCTCATATAGAGGTTGCACCGTAAGGCGCTGGCCGTCATAGAGGACTATCGCTCAGCGACGAGATGGTTTCAAGTGCTCAACGATCATACAATAACGTTGGGATGAAGAGATGGTCTTTCGAAAACAGTGTACAAGAGAATAAAAAATAAGGTGATATGCTAGATGAGCCTCTTTAGATACCAAAGCATTACATTTTCCCAAATCCCATAAACTAGAGCCGCTTGTTCTCTAACAGCTCTGTGCACCGCCTTCCCCTCTGACCATCTTTGCGCCAGCGAGCAAAACACTAATGCCCATAACGATGCAACCAAACGTTATACACACGTACGCAGCATACGTCTCCCATGTCCTTCGTTTGGTAAGCTTAACATAACATAAGGGAGGCAAGATGTAAGCGAGAGCGCAAGCACTGGTGGCGCCAACGAGCTCAAACACAATGCCCAGGTCGCAGGTCAGCAGACTCAATCCCATGGCTGAGATGACCAATGCGGTGGTGAGGATGAGATGGCGGTTAGGATCAAAAGCTTCGTGGGAGAAGTAGTATAGGTTCATGACTTCTCTGCAGACGAAAGCTTCCAAGGGCAAGGTTGTCAGCATGTTAAGGCCGAAGCATCTGGAGACCAAAAGTCAGTCATATAGGCTTAGATTTCTGCGGAGGAGGACTTGCAGTCTGGCAATATTGACGAGGATGTTGTTGGTAGGGAAGTTGTTAAGCACGTTGCCTTGGGTCAAGTTTCCGAAGTTCAGATAACCGGAGAGGGCCATGGCGAGGCAGGCAAGCATTGATATGCTGGTCGAGTAGTGGGTGACTTTCGCAAAACGGTCCATGGTCGGCTTTTGTAACGATCCATAGATGAGCAAACTGTTGTGGTCTGGTATCTACGGTCAGTATGGTATAGAAGTTTCCGGGGCAGACACAAACATACGGCAGACGAATGCTGGTATAAGTTAGATGACTGATGATAAAGTATGCATGACGGATACGTACCGAANAGATATGACACCAATGGCCTGGAAAACACCGTTGTTGATGATCAGAGAACCTTTCAAGGGCCCCTTCATCTCGGCAGGGACCCTTGGACCTTGTGTGATGACCGTGATGACAATGATGAGCATACTAAACAGAGCAAGCGAACTGGCTTTCGCAAGCTAGAAGTCCATCAGCAAGAGTGGACATGATACCAATGAGTCCGACCAACCTTNTGAGATGTCTCTGTACAATGAGAAAGGGTACGAGATACCCATGATGAAGACGACTATGACAAATTTTCTGTCTGTAAGAAGCCATAAGAAATGGCTGTCTTCTAAAGAAGGAAACAGAGCCGACATGACATGAGGTATCGTGTCTCCTACGATGATACNAAAGGCAATCATGCCACCAAAAGCACTACAAACGTTAGCAATGTTGACATGGCGTATGAAGCTCCGAGGATGAATTACAANGGCCCATTGAGCAATAGAGATGGCAACGAGGCCTGACTTTCCATAGCAGTGCTCGACTGTTGCCTGGAAGGAATTGGTACCACTGAGTTTCGAGTTTGTGACAATCAGGCGAATGGTCCAATCAACGGTTATTGTCAAGACGATGAGAAGAATGACACCTGTAAGCAGACCGGCTTGGCGAAGAGCGTAGGGTTGACCGATGATCCCGGCACCNNACTGCAGAGGCTTGTCAGACGATGGTCGACGAGGCTAAGTTGGCAGCTATGCTCACATGATACTGTTTGCCATGTTCACAAATGCGCTAGACATGGAACTCTTAGGGCGGGCGCTCTCGAGCAGGTCCTCGGGGTTGAAGTCGGACTCGGCCAGGGTAACAGCAGGAGCCTCGATGCCCGTCAGNNGAGGAGCGCGTTGGCCAGCATTGTGTCTCCTCTCGCTCCAGTTGTCTGCGGTCAAGTAGTCCTCCTCATCGATCAGGTCTTGGTCGTGTTGCTGGACATTGTCAATGCTGCCACGAATCGAGTCTTCAATGTTGAAGTGGACACGGTTTGTGGTTCGCGGAGTGCCGGCAGGGCGTGGTTGGGCGAAGGAAGACTGCCTTCTGGGTGGGAAAGAAGGTGGGCGGTGTGATTGCGATCCGGATGCAGGATGGGCTACAGTGTCGCTGTCGGGAGAGGCGTCCCGTGGGGACTCGTCGTAGGAGAGCAGGTGCGCTCCTTCCTCGTCGTCTTCGTGGCCGGAGCCTGTCGTGTGTCTCGGGTGCTCGCTAGCCATGACATTGCGCTCTGGTTCGGTCGAATTTCAATCCATCGCTCTTTGCTCTAATCCATCCGAGCTTGATGCGTACGTTTTGTTGTCCTGGAACCTGCTGTAGGCCGCGTCGCACTCCTGACCCCGTCGGGACAACCCCAGCCGAGCGTCCCTCAAGGCACCTCAGCCGCTTAATCTCTTGACCATGCATCTTTCATTCCTTCCACTCCTTCCGTCTTCACCGGTCTAGTCGGATTACGAACTATCTACTATTTCATACCAAGTCTGCCATGCAATGGCGATCTTCTCACGTCAGACCATTGGCCGGAATAAGGAAGAGGAAGCTGCTCGAGACTCTAGGCGTGCCTACAAATGAGTCTGCCTTGTCCTCTGTGAACTTGCTCTCCATCTAGTTTCGTCTACTGGTCTGTTGTACAGATGGCAAACATGTCATTCCTGCTTTTCTATCCAACCGTGTTGTCACTGAGTGCTTTCTCCCTAACTCTACTCTATGTCGTCTATCGCGCAGCCTTGCCCCGTCCCATCCCTGGTATCCCATATAACAAGAACGCCATAAAATCTATCCTAGGTGACGTGCCCGAGTGGTTCAAGTACATCAAACAAAACAATGGCCAAGCCTTGAACTGGTGGCATCGACAGATCGAAAAGCATCAATCTCCCATCATTCAGTTATTCTTGAAGCCCTTTGGTCGTCCTATTGTCATCGTAGCCGACTTTCGTGAGGCCCAAGACATCCTTCTACGCAGACACAGAGACTTTGATCGCAGCCGAATCTTTGAAGACATCTTCAGCGGTGTCCTGCCTCACCACCATATCATAATGAAGACGACCGACAGAGTCAAGGCCCAGAAACGCCTGTTGGCCGACACTATGCTGCCGTCTTTCTTGAACGAGGCAAGTATTGCGAACTCCGATTCGATATGATCCAGCTTATTGATAACCCGCTCAAAANNGGTTGCTGCTCCTCGTATTCATGAAGCGATGATGGATCTCGTGCGCCTCTGGAATCTGAAAGCAGATCTTGCTGGAGGCCATCCTTTCGAGGCCCACGAAGACATAGCACACACTACGCTCGATGCAATCTGGATCGTTACCTTGGGTTCTTCAGCAGATACTATCGGAAGCCAGGCGAACATGTTGGAAACCGTGCCAGGCATGAAGCTTCCAGCTGGCAAAGACGTGCCAGCTGTATTCCCTAAAGCTCCTCATCCACCAGCATTTGATGCTGTCCTGACCATGACGGAGTCGATGACTCCGTTGATAGCCTCACCGTTTCCCAAACTTCACCATTGGATTCTGCGGCAGAGCAAATCGTACAAGGATGCTAAGCGATACAAAGACCAGGAGATAGATGCCATGATCAAGGCAGCGATTGACAAGTTTTCTGAGGATCAGATCGATGCTCTGGAGAAGCAAGGTAAAGATCGATCGGCTATTGATCATATGATTCGACGCGAGCTCCTAGTATCCAGGAAGGAAGACAGAAGTCCCCAGTAAGTTTCCTCAACTACTCCAAGGATGCAGAAACTGACCCTGTCATAAGANTACGACACCCCTGCAGCGAGAGATGAACTCTTTGGCTTCCTCATCGCTGGCCACGAAACAACTGCTACAACCTTCGCTTGGGGAGTGAAGCTGCTGAGTGACAATGCGCAAGCACAACTCAAGCTACGTGAAGTATTACGCTCAACTTACACCAATGCCACTATGGAGAAGAGACAACCTACTGCCAAAGAAATCGCCACCTTGCACCATCCTTATATCGATGGTGTGTTGGAAGAGATCTTGCGTTTGAGTGATACAGTGGCAGTCCTCAGTAGACTCACCATGGTCGACACTGACGTGTTTGGCATACGTATTCCCAAGGGTACTGACGTGAACTTCTTGACATACGCCGGCTACATTGCGCCATCGGTCGGTACCGTAGATGAACACAAGCGCAGCGCTAGCAGCCAGGCATCAAAGGACAAGACCGGCGTTTGGGAAGAGTCTGACATAAGCGGTTTTAAGCCAGAGCGCTGGCTGAAAACAATGGGCGACGAAGACGAAGTCGATTTTCAGAAAAATGCTGGCCCAACACTTCAATTTGGCGCAGGAGTGCGCGGTTGCTTTGGTATGTTTTATCGCTTCACAAACAAGATCAATCTTCTAACCATCGCGCANGGACGCCGACTGGCATACATCAAGCTTCGCATGCTTGTTGTTTTCATCATCTGGAACTTCGAGCTTCAGCCAGTTCCTGCAGAGCTCGGTACTTACCTCGCGATTGACAAGATCACTCATCAGCCTCAGAAGTGTTATATTCGTCTGAAGAAAGCAGACTGGTGATTCTGGGCGGACCGTAGGTCGAAGCAGATAGACAAGTGTACGAAATGTGTCTGTGACCAATTCTGAGCCGGTTTCGACCACCGTGAGATTGCTAGGCGTAAGTAAAGAAGACGCTGATAATCAAAAACCGACCCGATACCCCTGCATTAGATCGTGATGCAGGCTTCGTCCGCCGCTCATCAACACGATGGACCAAAGCTGTGGAGAACTCCCCAGGTGATGAGATTGAACCATTTGCCAAAGAGAAGCCGCTTGCGCTAGTTGACTCGGACCAGCAAGCTTATCTCCGAGTGTATATTGAGGCGTCTATTTCAGGTTCTTCGAGAGCTGCGTACTGCAGGTCCAATATCGCGCAGCAGACATTTTGCCTCGTAATCTGGTGGCTCGCAAGACCAAGATTGTACATACAGCTCTGCAGCGCTTGTCAGGAAGACATTAGCGCCAAAACACGGTTCCCGAAGGCCGTAGATGGTGAATGTTCAGTCTGCATGATGCCGCTTGACGTATCAGATCTACCCCGGTATGGTGGGACTGACGCTAGCGCTGTTTGGCATATTGCATCTAACTGATTATTAGGGGTCTCATAACATTGCAACAAGATGTTCTGAGGATCTAGAACAAAGGTTTGCTTCGTGACAGAGAAGACTGATCGCAGGTTTTGAGAGCCACATCATGTTGTTGAATATTGCACAAGATGAGTGCTCCGAAAGGGGTGTAGATCAATAGTTTGAAATCGCCAATAAAAAGAAAGCAAGGAGCGTCAGTCTGTATCGGAAGGCTTGCGCCGGTTCCATCTTGTGGTGTTGTCTTGTTGTTTGTCGTCCACGTTGCAGCCTGCTTCGCTCTTCTTCCCTTTCCCCTTTCCACATCATTCACCTAGTCATCTCGTGTCCTCCATTTGGTCTTTGAGAGGACACGTTATCGCTGGACCGGGACATAGAACTTTCCCGAAACCTACTTGCGCAGTCGCAACTTCCTTCCCCACGATTTGTAAACCCTTGGCTTGGTAGCAGCCTTGCATCACGCCTTCCCACCTCTTTTCTCCACCATCCGTCTCTTTCTCGTCATTCTCTTGTATACCACCTTTTTCTTCCAACTTTTGCGCCAACATCTGAGATTGTTTGCGACAGTTGTCTTTGCGCACTTAACTGTCGCGTCATCGCCTCTGTACTCCGTATACTCTTCGGCGCAAACCGATCCCCCATACGCGACGCTCGTCTTTCTGCAGATGCACCGCCAGGGATCAGTCTTCTGAACGTTTCCTGAGGTCATGCAAAGCATTTTCCGCTTGCCATGGTGTACGGACCCTTCAGGTGACGAGAAGCCCGAAAAGGCCATATTTCAGAAAATGCGCAAACCATCTGTGGTCGATATGTCCCTGACCAGCAAATCAAAGCGCAAACGAGCGGATAGTCCGCCCTTCGAACCTCTGCCTGCCTTTGACCACTCAAAGCGCGCCAAAATCTCAGACGCTGACACTGATCTATTCTTGCCTGGAAAATGGCAGTCTGATTCTCCGATCGACGTCAAGATCTCTGAGCCCACATCATACGACTCTGCTAACTTCGGTCCTCAATATTCGGCGGCAAATATTCCACTGCCTACTCCGGTTGTGTCGTTTGCTGATTCTGACATCGCAAAGACTACAACCCCAACACCGCCACCTTCTGCCAAGCCAAGTCAGCCTCTAGAGACCAACGATAAGTCAGAGATTCTGGAGGAAACTAAGGGTTCAAAGCTGGAAGACGTTCTCGAACATCAGTTCAATCTTGAAATCTTGCTCAAACATCGCGAACTTCGATTGATTGAGCAAGAGCTTGCTAAATGTCAGACTGCGCTCGAGCAATTACGAAGATGTGAGGTCATCCCATATCCTGGAAGTTCTGGTCTCTCTGAATCTCTTTCTTCCGGTGCTGGACCTGCGCTCAAGCCTCAGCCTGGATTCACCCAACCACAAGCGCCTTCCCCATGGGGTGTTATCGATGGTCCATACACTAGGCACTATGCAAGATGGCTTCTCAACGATCCGACTTTCGACTCTTTACCGTTCAGTCAAGTCATGCCGGCGATGGACAACTACGCGATACAGCCCGAGGGTCGCTCCACCCGCAACAGTGGTGCAGGTATTAGCAAGACTGGCAGATCTCGCTCTACTCGTGATTCGTTCGGTAATCTCAGCCAAGCCTTACCCAACTATCCCTCTCAGTCTCGTGGCAAGCAGGGTCCTTTGGTCATAAGAAGACTAGCCGACAACCTATTTGTCAAGTTGATTTGCAACAACTGTCAAAGAGGTGACTTTTCTAGTGTCCAAGGATTCTTGAACCACTGCCGTATAGCGCACAAGGTCGATTACAAGAGCCACGAAGCTGCGGCTTTGGATTGTGGAAAGCCACTGGAGGAGGATGAAACTCATCTAATCCCTCAGGGTGCTCCTGTGCCAACACCTGGAGTTCCAAAACCGCAGCAGGCTCCCAAGCTCGCTGTGCCGCAAGCCATTCCTGCACCCCCAGCTGGGTTCGTTCATCCTCTGAACGCGCAAGTTCTGCCGCGTTATACTTGGAAGAGACAGGCGTACGAAGCAAGAGCGTCGATGTCTCGGTCGCACAGTCGTCGCGCGGCTGCAGGCAAGCCCAGTACATCAACCGCAGCAGCTGATTTCCATGCGAGGCCTTTAGTAGGAAGCTCATCCGCGCCATATCTCTCTGCTCGTTTCGCCAAGCGAGGTCTTGGTGGAGACTTGCAGCATGCCACTACACAAGCCCGTGAGAAGATTGATCTTGGTCCAGATCTCGTCGAGGACGAGCCATCGATCTCGCCAGGGAACGAGACGCCCAAGTTGAATGGCACGTCGGCAGTCAATGTTAGCAAGCCTGTGTGTAAGTCGGCCCACGAAGGATCGCAGGGTCACAAGGGCTGGTATGCACCTATCTCGCGCCCTCGTCCTACGCCAATCATGGCTCGCCACGTTCCTGCAGAGATGATGGATTCACCACCCACTCTGTCGCCTCATGCTGTGGATAGCAACCCAGGACTCGTGTCTGATCATGAAGACGATGATGCACCTTCCGACCTAGATGATGTGCGTTCAGAACGCCATGAATCTCCTGCCGCAGTGAGCGGGCTCGGCGCTCTCAGGGACCGAACGTGTGGAGATGAGATGGATGTGGACCTTGAGGTCGACGTTGACGATGAAGCAAATGGACACAGCGTACTGATTCGACCTCGGAGCCTGGGTCTGCAGATGCGTTCGAGCGGTAGCCCTAGTAGGGCCAAGTGAAGGTATCATTGTAGAATGGAATGAGGAACAGGGCTGTATCCGTGGATGACATGAAGGACGGATTGTTGCAAGCTTATCACTGTACTTTTATCGATGAAGATGTCGGACTTTTCGTTTCGTTAGAGTGTTCTTATTAGACATGAAATTGGACAAAAAGCTTTTATTATCATTTTATCTTGAACATCTCGTCTTCCTTGAGCACGTGTCTGCGTTACGTTTGAGCAAATGGAAGCGTTTTATGTCTAGCTATTAGGATGTGTAGATCGACAGTGTTTAGACAATCAACCACCGCTGGCCTCGCGGTAGAAACTAATGCTTCTGTTTGCGCCGACTGTGACAAAGGTCTCGTTTCTCGTCATGGGCGTCTTGGGGAGCCACTTTACGGCCCAGAGCGTCTTGTCCGACTCGGTCTGAGTAGCGACACAGTCGCGGCGCTCGACACTCCAGACCTTGGCTTTGCCATCATAAGCACTGCAATATAGTTAGTATCGTCATGTAAGAAAAGACTCCGTCTTTCAAGAAGCGAAGACAAGTGCATGACATACCCGCTCAACAGGTTNCTCACCCGAAGTACTCCAATCCAGACTCATGACCCAGCTCTGCGAGCCAGTGAGATTGGCCACCTGCTCACCATTCTTGACATCATACAAAGCAATAATCTTTGCATCACCGCCTGCAGCCAAGAACTTGCTCGCCGGCGAAAAAGCCACCGTCCTCACGGGCTTGACCAGACCTTGCAGCGAGTGAGCCAGTCTACCAGTGGTGTTGTTGAAGAGATACACAGCTCCATTTGCATGTCCCGAGGCAGTGAATTCGCCATCAGCGGACAGGGCAACGCTCATGCCGAAACTGCCCTTTGTCTCGTACTCGCGCAGTTTTGTGGCCGAGTCTGCGGTCAGGGTGTTGAGGTCCCAGACGTTGATGCGGCCGTCAANGGTTGTGGCGGCGAGGAATTGGCCGTCTTCGCTCAGGGCGACGGCCCAAGTCTCGCCTGCGTTCTTTGCCTGTGCTGTTTTTGAGTCGTCTGTTTTTGGTCGGTTAGTGATTTGTTTGGATGTTGTGTTGGGGTTGAATGGTACGAGGGCGATCGCACCTACAATTGAACCCTTGAGTGCCCATTTCGAGGACTCGTCGTCTATGGACCAGACCTTCACTTCACCACCAAAGCCAGCTGATGCGGCGGTCTTGCCATTGGCGCTGACGGCGATGTGGTGGGTGCCGAGCTTGTGCGCATCTTGCAGGGTCTGGACAAGAGGGTAAGGATTGTTCTCGTCGTTGGTGGGTGCGGTCGAGTAGACGTGTAGTGAGGAGGAGCCAGAGGCAGTGATGAGATGGGTGGGAGTGGTTGCGACGCTGTAGATGTCGGCGGGCGAGGCGTCTGGGATGCTGTGCGTCTGGAGATATTGTTTCGACTGGATGCGCGTGTTAGTTCATGGTATACATTAGAGTCTCTAATTGACTTGCCATGGTGTCGGGTGTACAGTGTTTGGTTGTTGTCTGTCTAGCGAGAAATGTAGAGCTGCAATGAGGTCATGGTCTTTGGCTCGGCTTGGACAAAATCCGAATATCTTCACATGCAACAGACACAAGAATAGTAGTAGTAATACAGTCGATTCATGCCACGCGCGACATTCTCGCCGCCGGGTCGTCTTCCTTCCCTAGCCCAAGTCTAAACACCTGCAAATGCCCATGTCCTTTTTACAACGCCTTGTCCGCAACTATACAGGTATACACTCAATCCTCTCCTTCCCTCTACTTCTTTTCGACAATGTCAGCCGACGGCTCAGCCGTGGGCTTTTCGAACTCGCTCTCGTCGTATTTGTAACCTCTTCGGTCCAACTTCTTCTTGTACTCCTGCTTCTCCCACTCAGTCCACTCGGGCTTTTCTCTCTTGGGACCAAAGTCGTTGCTGAACCACTTCTTGATGTCTACGGGCTGTCAGCAATGCGCCCGAACACATGTGTTTGCAAAGAGCATCAACATACTCATGACACAGTGGGGGCACAGGTAATGTGCGCGCTTGACTCTTCCACAGCCAGAGCACTTGTTGAGCGAAGTGACATCCTTGAGACCCTTGCCGGCCATCTGTCGGTGACGCTTCTTCATGTGTGACGTCTTCTTCTTTGGTACAGCCTTGAGGATTGACTCCCAGATATCCGAGACTAGGCTAGGAATTGGAATGACGATCGAGGGAAGTAGAGGGGCGGGCCATAACCGAGCGCCGAGGGGGAGNNGGAAGCTCCTTGAGGGACCGGCAGGACGGAGAGATGCTGAGGCGACGGCGAGGAAAGACTGGAGGAAGCCCGTCGAGGGCGCGGCGCGGAGCGACATTGTGGTTGGTATAGTTGATCAGGTGCTGCTCCAGGCGTGTCGCATCGACAACTTCTCAGAAATCGCAGGTGGAGCATACGCCGTGCTGAAATGAACTGTGGCGAAGTCTCAGGGATACTCGCAAGAGAGCTGCTCGGAAAGCTCAACCGAGGGCTCTGCGGCGGTGGGGGCCGTGCACGGCAGCTTCCCCTTTCGTTGTACCACGGACAGACCCTGTGCCCCAGACTCGCCTTGGTGTATACCGTTTGCTGTTCTCTTCTGTTCAACCATCTTGCAAATCTCGGCGTCATCGTCTCTTCGACCGTCTTTACCTCACACTAATCTCTACACCCCGTCACTCGCTCCCACACATCCACAATGGCCGCCGCCGCTGCACCCTCGCAGCAGTCATCGTCCATCTTCCCCAAGAGCCACGTCGGTTTTGACAGCATCACCCACCAGATTGAGAAGAAGCTCCTCAAGCGCGGCTTCCAGTTCAATGTCATCTGTGTTGGCCAGACCGGTCTGGGCAAGTCGACCCTCATCAACACCATCTTCGCCTCGCACCTGATCGACTCCAAGGGTCGCTTCACTCCCGATGAGCAAGGCCGCTCCACCACTGAGATCCACCCCGTCACTCACGTCATCGAGGAGAACGGTGTCCGCCTGCGCTTGAACATTGTCGACACCCCCGGATATGGCGACTTGGTCAACAACGACAGATGCTGGGACCCCATCGTCAAGTACATCAAGGACCAACACTCGGCCTATCTGCGCAAGGAGCTCACCGCCCAGCGCGACCGCTACATCCAAGACACCCGCATCCACTGCTGCCTGTACTTCATCCAGCCCACAGGTCACGCTCTCAAGCCCATCGACATAGTTGTCCTGAAGAAGTTGAGCGAGATTGTCAACGTCGTCCCCGTCATTGCAAAGGCCGATGCCTTGACTCTGGAAGAGCGCCAGGCTTTCAAGGACAGAATCAGAGACGAGTTTGCCTTCCACAACATCCGCCTCTACCCCTACGACAACGACGAGTACGACCACGAGGAGACCGCCGTCAACCAACAGATCAAGAACCTCATTCCCTTCGCCGTCATCGGTAGCGACAAGACTCTCAACATCAACGGTCGCGCCGTCCGCGGCAGACAAAACAAGTGGGGCGTCATCAACGTCGAAGATGAGAACCACTGCGAGTTCATCTACCTCCGCAACTTCCTCACCCAGACCCACTTGCAAGACTTGATCGAGACCACCAGCCAGATCCACTACGAATCATTCAGAGCCAAGCAGCTGCTCGCCCTCAAGGAGAGCAGTGCTGCTCCTCACAGTTCTAGCAGGTGAGTTTGCGCCCAATCATCTTCTCGAGTGCCAGTACTAATATGCCACACNAGACCCATCAGCCCTAGTGCCGATCGCGAGCTCAGCCGCAACAGCAACAGAATGACCATGAACGGATACAACTAGACGGGCGTCTATACGACAGAACAAGGTGTTTGACAGAGGGAACTGTGGGCCGGCCATTATCCAGGTCTCTCGGGAAGCGCTTGATTGAGATACCATCTTCTGTTTTTGTTTTAGCATCTTTTTTCTCCCTATCTCTTCCTCAAAAGCATTTCCCCGGCTATCTTCTACTATGGGGTTAGTGATACAGTAATCGTACAGACTTTAAATCACTTGTGTTCTTTCTTGAGTTATTTGGTAGACCATTAAGTTTGATGCCAAGACCTCGAAGTCTAGAACGGGTCCAATCTCGAGCTTTCTTCGTTGTCAACACACGACTACTTTATAATTCACATCAAGGTACATGCTTTTACGCCGGTGTTGGACGCACCGCATCTCTGTTGCACCAGTCGGCATACATGTCCGCTGCTACAGCTCAGCACACAATCATGGCATAAACCTCGATCAGCCGGTCCAGTCCTACATATCTCGAAGTTCGGACCCTTATATCAACCTCTCCATCGAGCACTATCTGCTCCAAAAATCACACCCGGACTCGTCTATCCTGTTTCTCTACGTCAATCGACCCAGCGTCATCATCGGAAGGAACCAAAACCCATGGCTGGAAGTAAACCTCGGACTTCTCAATGCTGCACAGACGAGCCCTGGTTCTCCTTCTAGGATCGAGAACGAACCTCCGGGCTTGGGAGATGTGGATCTAGTACGCAGACGCAGTGGTGGTGGCACGGTGTTCCACGATGGCGGAAATGTTAATTGGACAGTCATCTCTCCAGCCGCTGCCTTTACTCGCGACAAACATGCCGAGATGGTAACACGTGCTCTACGCTCCTGCGGTGTTTCGCGATCGCGAGTCAACGAACGCCATGACATTGTCTTGGACCAGGGAACCTCGGATCACACTGGTGCTTGGGGACCTGACCACGATACCCACGCTACACCATGGCAGAGCTCTACCATCCGCCCCTTGAAAGTGTCCGGGTCGGCATATAAACTTACCAGGGCTAGAGCACTGCATCATGGAACTGCTTTGTTGAATAGCCCGAACTTGCACGTTATCCCTTCGTATCTGCGCAGTCCGGCCAAGCAGTATATCAAGGGCAGGAGTGTGGATAGTGTTAGCTCTCCTGTAGGCAACATTCTGCTCAACAACGATGAGTTCATCGAGAATGTGCAGAGGGAGTTTGGGGCGTTGTATTCTGGTGCTGGCAAAGCGGTGGGTTTGGGAGATGAGTGTCTCGAGATTGAGGAGGTCAGGAAGGGACATGCTGAGTTGAGTGTAAGTTTTGCTCAGATTCTAGTCAAACGTGATACTGACAGAAACACAACANNGAGCTTGGAGTGGGCGTACATGCAGACGCCTCAATTCACCTTTTCCGATCTGCCTCTGGAGCCAGAGCAGAAGGAAGGAGAAATTGATTACTCTGATGCCAAGGTATGTTGCTGATATCCTGCCATTACATCCAAGCAAATAGCTGACATGACNAAGTTCCGCCTGGATGTTCGTTACGGAGCGGTCACGGGATGCAAACTCAAGATCAAAGGAATCACTACCCAACAAAGCGATCGTCTTGCCCAACTGCTCGAGAAGAAGCATCTTCATGAGATCACAGATTGGGAAGCTATGTTCAAAGAAGCTGCTTCAGAGTCATCCGAGGCAAAGCAAATGGCCAAGTGGGTGCAGAGTATGCTTAGCATACCTTCCCAATGAGATGTCAGAACACGAAATGTACATCGATGTGCTGTTTCTCATAGCTGAAATGGTCGCATGTACAATCATCATAAAACAAGAAGTTACTGCCAAAAGTTGACATGGTGCCAAAGCCACAACCAATACCCTTGCTCTGCATTCGTATGCCCTTATATATTTTTATACTTGACGGGGAGAATGGTCGATCCATAGCTAGTGAACAGTGACAAGTACGAGGAAATTATCAAGACCTTGGAAAGCATACTTGACAGGCTCGAGGTGGAGAAGGTGCCCTCACTGACTCTCGGGACCTTTCTCAATCACGAACAAAGTCGGAATGGGAAACTGAAAACCCTGCTCAATACGAGCAGGGAAAGATACTATGATTATTCTTCCAAACCTGTGCTTTTGTCGTTTCATGTCGTCCGGACCATTCATGCCGCAGAGTCGTTCTTCTCCACCAGTTCGCCGACACCGAGACCACGACCGACCTTGACCTTCTTCAACAGCTCTTGCTCCTCGTTGTTCTTCCCCAGCGAGCCCACGGCGTCGCCCTCGTCGGCGTCTCCACTGGTCTCTTCCTCTTTGAAATCTTCGTCGTCCCAGTCGCCGGGCTTGGGCTTCAGGTGGTCGAGTACCATCTTCATGCCGTAAGCGTCTTCACCGTCGGCGTAGTATTTGGCCTCTGTGCCGTCGACTTTAAAACCTAGGGTGTCGCGGTAGAGGGCGAGGGCGGCCTTGTTGGAAACACGAACGTGTAATGAGACGTACTTGGCGCCGTAGGTCTCTGCCATTGCTCGTTNCTGTACGTGAGAGAAGCTCGTCAGTGGGGATTGCTACAAGCTAAGTCAAGCCAGACACAGGGAAAACATACGACTCTGTCTCATCAGCTTCTCTGCAAGACCTAGTCTTCTATGCGTGCGCATGACACTGAGCGAAGTGATGTGACCGTGCGGGATACCATCGCTGGGCTCCTCCTCCATCTTTGCGAGAACGTAGCCGACAATCTTGGGTGGGTCGTAGGGTGTTTTTGAGGGNNCGCGATACCTGGAAAGAAAGAAAAGAGAAAGTATGAGCAAAACGTAGGAGGCATATCGAGAGAGGATTCAATCGAAAAGGCGACACACATCGACGGCGACATAGCTGAGTTGCGGCCAGCTCATGGCATGGTACATGTAGTATTTGCAAAAGTAGTTTTCCGGCAGGTTGGTGATGTTGGTCTGCTGGACATGGGGGATGTCGCTCGATCGGAGTACGCGGATATCCATGTTTGCGGTATGTGGTGGGTCGTTTGACAAGGAGTTCAATGTTCAATTCGTAGATTCGTGAAACGAGACGACGAGGCCGGCGTCACACCTTCCACATGCTCGTGCCAAGTCTTTTGGTGGGGGTGTGTTGATCTGCACGTGCCATGGTATAGGAAGGTGCGACTTCACTCCCTTGCCCCTTCCTCGTCAGATACATCCATTTCATCGAGGTCCATCTACAGAAGAATGAGCTATGAAGATGCAGGATGATGTTCAGTACTCATGACCGATCTAACGAGAGCCGCAGACCTACCTGTCTCTACTCCTCTTGACTGTATCAGCACTTTTATATATGCACGATGCAAATAGACCGAAGGATGAGGAAAGTACATTATGCTACTTGAATCAATATTGTACGATTAGACTTATCCTAGAGAGTACGGAAACATATAACAGTATGTCTCTGATGCATCACAATCCTCCCCAAAAGATACATCAACTGCCGACTTAAGCTTCAGTGATAAAGATCCAACTTCTCTTCTTACCAATCCAAATTCTCCTCTACACCTACGGTCTTGTCCGTCGTTCCTCGATTCTTACTTACCTGGTACCAATCCTATGAGAGAAGCACCTCAATCTCGTAGACGTCCATTCCCTTGTCGAGGACGCTCTTGACGGCTTTCTCAGCCTCAGTCGCATCCTGGAGACCAATTCTTGCGGCAACTTGTCCAAAGTCGATCCGGACGACGATCAGCAAATTGCAATCCATCAACAGATGTTGGAAAAGACCTCGTTGTAATTGTCATACACAGAAAGAACCATGTGCTTCTCATAGTAGAAGACGATGTCGTGACAGATGTCAAGGTATGCCTTCTTAACCTGTGGAGCGAGTCTTGGTCCGTAACCATGTTGAGCAGCGAAACTGACGAAGTCTGTCTATAACTTTGTATCAGTTCGTCAATCACAGGAAAATGATATTCAGGAGGTATCAGACTTACGGTGTCGAACAGTCTTAACAGTTCAGGCACTAGGGGCAGAAGCTGTCAGGTCTTCTCAACGTCGTCCATCTCCCCGGATGGCAGCGAAAATCGGCAAGGAAGTTGTCCTGTGTGGTAGCACTTAGGCTCTTATGTCTACGAGAAGCCGGTCTTCTAAGAGCAAATGTGACAACCTTCCCTTGTTCTTCCGTTGCTTTTGTGTCATATGTTTGATGCGGTCCAGCAAACCACTCCCTTCTTCGATTGAGCCCTGAGGTTAACAGCACAGGCGTGGATCTAATCTATGTCAAGTAATCTGTAGCACATGACCTGTCATTCCTCGTTTTACTGTGCTTGGGACCAGAAGGAAATGAAACAGTAGGGAAAGAACAAAAAGGTATATGGTACACAGGGAAGAAAGATGGCCCCTTATCTGGATGCAAAAGAACTGTAACAACCCGCCTCCTCGGCAAAATGCTGGCATCATTTAGAAATTGATCATTAACGTGCATAATGGAGCCCACCGACCTCAAACGCCTTCATGGAACAAAGGGCCTCGTTGTATCCATGTTGCCTATCCCAAACTCCGCTTTGTTTTGCAATGCGCCCAAAAGATCAAAAGCATAAAAGAAGTCTAGCAAATGTGCTATAACAAGCCGAGACTGAGACGGTTGGATGATTACAAAAGTATTCTCCTGTCCTTCCTCTGCCTGCAGGAACTGCGCGTTTGTGATCCGGCACAGCGGAAAAGATGGTAAAGTCTGGTTCTAAGTCTTCGCCGAGGGTCATAATACTGGCAACGTTACCACAGCGGTAGCAATAGTTTGGTGCCGACCAGACCGTTACCACATCTTGGTTCTTGAAATGGTACTTGTAACCTTCATTGACCAGTTGATGAGCTCGAGCGATGAGTTGCAGGCCGTTGACGTGGTTGAACTGGATCATTTGTCAGTCAAAATGTGGTATCAGGGGCGAATAATCAAGCGATCGACATACCTCTGTAGCGACCTTATCGCCAAACAGCCAACCAGCGCCTCGTGGACTGACAGCCCATGTATCAACTTCCTCAGGATCGCTCCATACTAGATCGCAGAAAGCGCCCTCGTGGGGAATCTCCTGTGCTCTAGCAACAACACGAATCTGGTCCAAGGTGCGAATCTCGGGACTCAAGCCACCGTGCACACACAGCACTTTGCCATCGACGATCGCGGCAAGAGCAAGGAAGTCAAAGACCTGACAGCAAGACTTCCACACCGAGGCATTTCCGTATTTGGTCTGACACTCTTCGTAGAAACCATAAACTTGGGTGATCTGTCTGGATTCGTGGTTTCCGCGCACAAGGGTGATGCGATCCGGGAACTTTGCTTTCAGGCACATGAGCAAAGTAAACGTCTCAAGAGAGAAGTAGCCACGGTCAACAAAATCGCCGAGGAAGATGAAGTTCTGCTTTCCGTTGTTGTTGTTGCTGCTGGAACCAGGCTGCTTTTTCCTAGAGGCTTCTGGACTGCCGCCAATACCACTGTCGCTGTCGTCTTCGTCGTCTTCCTGGTCTGATTCATCGACATCGCCACCTCCAGGAGGGCCTCTGTGGTCGGAACCACTGCTGCGGCTCCTCACGCGACCTCTGAGTTCACTTCCTTCTTGGCCATCATCTCCTTCTTGGTCGTCACCAGCATCGTCTGAAGCGTTCGAGGCGGAAGAGGTGTATGCACTATCGCGTTGGAAGCGACGCTTCATCTTGCGCTTAACGCGGGNGTCATTGATCTGGGATGGAGGTTCGATATCGGCAGCAGAGAAGCCTTTGGGCAGAGGAGACTTGGCAGGTTCGGGCTTCGGGGCTTGTGATTGAGGTTCGTTCGGGTTGTTGTCACAGGGCATGCCACCGGCGACGGCGAACAGCTCGAGCAGGTCGTAGAATTGGCCGTGGATGTCACCACAGACAGTGACGGGAGTGTTGACTGGTTGAATGTTGGATTCCTCCATCAGGCACTCCTTAACAATCTCACACAGGCGCTTCATGTCGGCTTCGGGCAGGTACTTGCACTGCTTGGCCTGCTCCAGCCATTCGTCGGGGCCGGCGCCGGGAGACAGGCGGGCAGGACCCGGTTGGGNGACTTGGCTTTCTCTGGCCATGTTATGTTTGGCAGTTCCACGGCGGAGAAGAGATTCGTCGTGGGTGATTCAGCGGGCGTGGAGGACCAAAAATGCGATGGTTGCGTGGTTGTCGGCGGCGTTAGAGAGACAGTGGGCGAGAACAGCGAGGGCGGCTGGACCGTGCGTGCCTTCCCGGTGATGGCACTGAGTACTCCACATAGGCACATGATGATAGTCGCAATTGCTCTTGCCCTCTTGTTATCCTCTTGTCACCGTTCCTCATGACCACGCCCGCCTTTCCCTACCCTGCTCCTAATGCCGCCTAAGCCCATGGTCCTTTTGGCCAANAAGGGCGCCCATCATGCTGACTCGTCTGGCCCGTCTCAACACCAGCATTCCGGCAAGCAGAACCACCAGCCCAAGAACACCGCCCGCCTGAAACTCGTCGTGCGCCGCCTGCCGCCCGCCCTTAGTAAGGATGAGTTCCTCAGCACCCTTGGTGAAGACTGGAAGGTTCCCGGCAACAAGATCGACTGGCTGGACTATCGTTGCGGAAAGACAAAGGCTCCTGGAAAGCTGTCTCTGCAGTCGCGCGCATACGTCCACTTGACTAACGAGCAACACATCAAGCCCTTCGAAGCCCACTTCTTGCAGCTCACTTTCCACGATGCCAAAGGCTCCCACAAGGATCCCCAGCTCAAGCATTTTTTGCCCTCTCTGGCCTTTGCTCCCAACCAGCGCATTCCTGCCTTCAAACCACGTCTGGACAATCGCCAAGGCTTGATCGATCAGGATCCTGAATTCATTGCTTTCCTCGAGCGTGAGACCCAGCCCGTCACCAAGCCTCTCTCCCTGGATCAGGCTCTCGCCCAAGAGAAGCCCAAGGACAAGGTCTCGTCTACNCCTCTGTTGGACGACTTGCGAGAAAAGAAGCAAAACAAGGCCAGGGCCAACCAGAAACACAAGGAAGAGAAGCAGTCAGACAAGTCTTCGGTTAGAGGCCGCGACAACAAGTCCGACGCCAAACAGCCCGTCAAGCTACTCGCAAAGGACAAGAAGAATCAGCCTGCCCAACCTGTCGCTCCTGCCCCACCGGCCGCTGCTACTCCTGCTTCTGGCCGCAAGCGCGATCGTGCCGCTCCCAATAACAACATCAAGTCTATGCTGCAGAGAGACCTTGGCCTAAAACCTCCTACTAAACGTGGCGGAAAAGATGCTTCAACCGCAAACACTTCTAAGACGACATCTCCTGCTCCGATCGTTGAGCCTGCAACCAACACGGCTACTCCTGCTCCCGCGAAACCAGCAAAATCGAGATCCGGTCGCAACAAGGAGAAAGCAGCCACTCAGACCACTGCACAGGAAAACTCGAAGCCCGCAGCGCCTGCCCCGACCGGTATTCTGAAGAAGCCCGCTCAGCCACCTGCACCCAAGGCTCCCAAGGCTGCCAAAGGAAACAATGCCGCTGTCCCAGCACCCGTATCCGCGCCTGCTCCTTCCAACAGACAACCCAAGGCTTCGGCCAATGCAGCCAGCAGCACCACCAAGGCCTATCTCAAGCACGCCAATGCTTCCCAGGGTGTGACCGAGTCGCTTCTTCTTGCTGCTCTGTCCGTGTTTGGTCCTGTCGTCAAGGTTGAGATTGACAAGCGTAAGGGTACCGCTTTGGCCGAATTCAAGGACAACGAAGGACTGAAGGCTGCCATGTCCAAGAAGAGCGTGCCCGTCGCTCAGGGTGCTGTCGAAGTGCTCGAATTCAGGGACAAGCAGGCCCAGGGTGGTCGCAACACTCAAGCCAACAGCAGCTCTAGAGGCGCCAACGGCAATGCTTCCAACAGAGGCCGAGGAGGACGCGCCAGAGGTGGTGCTTCTGCCGGCAATACCGCTCCTGCTACCAATGGTAATGGACAAGCGGTTGCCACGAACGGCAACAAGGCCGATGCCACATGAGCACTGTCTGTGAATGGTATGCGCGACGCTCAATGCGTGCGCTTCCTCAACAAATAAGCAGATACATACCAGCCTTGCTAGTAAGCATGTTTTGCAGCGGCGTCGTATGCCAAAAACGACTCCAAGTCAGAGTGGACGCCAGCATCATTCTCGCTCCAAGTCTCAACAATCACACGTCCAGGCGGTTTTGTTTCTAGGTATGCATACCTATTCTGGATCGCAGTTTCCGGTTTGCAAATCGCTTGACACAAGTGAGAGCATAGAAGTGAAGGGAAGATATTCACGCTGCCCGAAGCCAGCCTCTAGAGCTCCTTTCTCCTGAATTGGCTTTCACAGTCGTGCCTAAACTCGACTTACAATGCTTGATCTCGGTGTTTGATCTCTCTCGACCATGGCCTGCCAGAACCTACCTTACGTAGCAATCTCTCTTATTGAGAAAGCAATTCCAAGAATTCCAGCCCCTCAACATATCCACTCTTTACTGACGCTAGAGCATCATTCGTGCATGTGCAATTCATCTAATCTTACTTCTCAGCACACGTATCGCAATTTACAGATACACTTCGATAGGTTTTGGGTTTTAATGATATTTTTGATTTTCGGATTCTGAACAAAGCATGCATCACCCGAAGACCATCCATCTGCCCTTGGCGCCGTCCCGTACACCCCTAAGCAGCCTTCGAAAGCCAATTCCCTATGCTCTTATACGAGCATGCTACAACCTCCCTGGTACAAAATGTTTTTCATGGGTTTGCGTTTCAAAAGGGGGAAAAATCAGAAAGAAGAAAAAGGGTTGTTTGAAAGTGAAGAATCGTGGAGCTCCTTTTACATGATCTCGTCCTCCATGGTGGCGTCGCCGGTAGCAGGGGCAGCAGCGGGTGCAGGAGCGCCGTTTGTGTTGGCGGCAGGTGCGACGGCGTTGGGGTCGAAGTACTCGCTCATCTCGGCATCGAGTTCTTCGACAGTCTTGGGCTTGGGACGGCCAGCGCGGCCCTTGCGACCACCACGGCCAGCGGCCTTGGCAGCACCACCAGCAGCAGCGTTAGCAGGCTTGGGTACAGCGGCAGCCGGCTTAGGCTTGTTGTTCTCCTTCTTTGCCTTTGTGCCCCTGAGAAACGATTAGAGAGGGTGGCGGCTTATAGCCAGGCTCTCGGACTTACTGGATGCGATCACCAAGTGATTTGGGTGCAACGGGAGCAGGGGCGTACTTGGCACCAAGGATAACCTCAATCTGATCAATTGTGTTAGCATCTTTTCAGCCTCGTGGAGCACAAGTTCAGCTGGAACTCACTCTCATGGGCTTTCCGTCAACCTTGACAGAGTCGAGCTTCTTCGCAGCTTCTGCTGCGCTCTGTGGCTGAGAGAAGATGATGGTGGCGACGCCGACACTACGGCCGTTCTTGTTGTAGTTGAGGAGGACCTTCTTGATGGGTCCGACAGCCGTTGTGAAGTATTCCTGGAGGCGAGGTGTTAGTCCACATCTGGAGGCAGTTTCGAATCGCAATGATAATCCAGCAGACAACGGAGCAAGGCCAGCCATAGGCAGTCGACGCATCAAGCTCGATACTTGAGCACCAATGAGCGAGCAGCAGGGGTTAGTATCCGACGCCCACAAATACTGAACACTCGATCCCAAAGAGATCTCCAGCGAATGCCCAAGAAAGACTCCTGGCAACGAACAGCTCCATCAAGCCAGTGTAGAGAGCCATGAACCCACATGGTCTGTCATGATCAACCCAAGCGCATTGTTGCGTTCCATATATTCCCGATCTGGAGCTTGTGCCAGAATAATTGCGGCGTTCGCACTCAAATCCCAAAGTTTTGCTGCGTCTGCTGCTGTGCTCATTGATGCTCAAAAGTAGGTTGCTCACACCATAGGCGCCGAGATAAACCACAGACACATTGTGGCGTTCTGGACATACGTCCAAGCCTTCTGACCTTCAACGCTTGCACCTATCTGGATGAATCTGCTTGCCAAGCAGTACATTGCCAAGTATAGGTTTCTTGCAAAGCGCGTGCTACTCCCGTTCCGTCTTCGCATTGCATCAAGTCTTTGAGGACGAGCAGAGTGCTAGGAAGGAGTGCATCTGGTCTGGCAGTACTCGAGAAGAGTATATAGGTAGGTGCTCTCGCCGTCTCCAAGGAAAGGAAGGGAAGGCGCAATATAGGTACGATCGAAAGAAAGAGTCGCGCAAAATGGGCCATATCCGTTCGGCCATTTTCGGTCAACGTACCTTAATCTGAACCTCCGTGACATCGGAAGGCTGATTGTATTAGCGGGTGCGAGTTGGCAGAGCGAGTGGGTCACATACCAGGTTGCTGACAATGATCTTACTTTCTCCAGTAGTGGGAAGAGCGGCACCGACAGCGGCGGCAGCGGCGGCGACAGCCTTGGGTTGACGACCAGCGGGCTTAGCGGCAGCGGTGTTCTTGGTGACACCTCCAACGGAAGTTCTGGGCTTGCCTCCACGGCGAGTACGACGAGCGTCGTTGCGGCGAGTGCCGGCAATCTCCTCGAGGGACTGGTCAAGCTTGGAAGACATTGTGGATGTTTGTTTGCGAAGAGATGTGTGAGTTATGGATGTTTGGGCGCGAAAAGCTGGCTACCGTGTTATGACAGGGAGCCTGAATGGAAGTTGAAGTATGGCGACGAAGGATTTGTGGCTGGCAAAGCGCAAATGTGATGTCTCTTGATGGCGTTGATGTGCAAGACGTGAGGCCGAGTGGGCTGACAGTAGCGGTTGGCTTGTCGCAAAGTCGGCGCGTGAGCTGTATTAGAGCGCGAGATGGTAGAAGGCGACGCGAAGCAAAAGACGAATTGCGACGAAGATGGATGGAGAAAGACGAATGGAAGTGTCTTTCGAGAAGTTGGCTTTGATGGAAGTGAGAGGGAAAGGAGAGAGTGAGTGTTGGAGCTGGCAGGAATGAGGGAGCGGCGCTAACACGTAACGGTCTGTGCTCTTGCCTAATTCGGTCTGCAACACCAAACTGCGCCTACCTGGTCAAGTGAGCGGTTGTTGTCCTCGTTCGATATTGTCACGAGCAACTATTGAGTTCCCTGTCTGATTCTATCGAGTCAAGTTTGAAACACATTCTGCAGTCACTCTGTGCTCACTTGCAGTTCGGTCCAGAGCAACGACGGTAAACACATCGTACAACTTAGGTATCATAGTATTGTTAGGAACCCGTTCCGTGAATATGCGCAGTCGAAAGAGAATGTCAAGCCAGTCCATATGACCCATAGCGCCTAACGCCATATCATCGTCGCTCATGTCTAACTCTTCAGAGCCTCAAGACGTCCTCTCATTTGAGCGAGCAGCTCCTCCTGGTCTTCTTCCTCTTCGGGCTCTGCTGATTGAACGGGTGGGAGATCCATGGGTTGTGCGTTTGTCGGCAGCTTGTCCTTGAGCACCTCGCTGAGGACCTTGTCGACCTCACTCTCTGCCTCTTCGTCTTCATCTTCCAAGAGTTCATTGTCAGGCAGACTGTCCCCAACCATCTCTTCAATAATGCCCGCCTTCATCAATTCTTGGCTGAGCTCTCGCATGGTGCCTGTCAATTCAGGCAAGCGCACCAGAGTGTTGACGTCCTTCATGATGCCTACACTGGCTTTGATGCTTCCCTCAATCTTCCGTACCGAAAAGGCCTCGTTGATCTGCATGCCCACGCTCTGCAGCTGTGCCTGGCTAGTAGCCAATCTTGCACTTTGCTTGCGTACCCTGATGAGCTCACGCGCAAAGGTACGAGTCTCCTGAGCGGCCGATTTGGCTTGCGACGGATTGCGCTGGGCGCGTCTGGCGGCTTGAGTGATGAAGGACTTGGTTTTGCCTTCGAGTTGCTTCAATTTCATGATTTCGCGATCGAGTTGGCGTGTTTGTTGGCGCATTAGAGTGTTACATTTTCTTTTCTNGTAATCGTTAGACAGACTGCGGCAGCATGTGGGAGTATGCGGATGCTGGCTGACCTGCTCCTCGGGAGTTGGGCCCCAGAGGAAGCTCTTCACCGACTGCATGCTTGCGGATGATACGAGTTGTGGCACTTGTTCATAGCATGCCAGACTCTATCAGTTCTCGTCGGACAAGGCCTGACACACGAGTGAGGATGTTGCGAGCGAGTTGGACATTGAGTCTCGCGGTGCCTTGATCATCGCTATCGGCGGAGCCTTGGCATTACGTCGGCGAGCCCTCCCCGCGATTGGCCAAAGCTTCAAAACTCACATACAATCAGTAGCTCACAGCAGTTTCGATGGGACGCTTTCGCAGACAACGCAATTCAGAGACATCAATTTTGCTAAACTTACCTTCAGTTACGTGTGTGACAGATCTCACTTCGGTAAGTTTGATCCCCCATGCCCGTCGACTGTTTGTTGTCTCGTTTGCGCAGATCGCTTGGACGGGTTCCATCGTCTTCGCGGGTATTCCAGAGCAGACTACGAGTACCCCACAAAACACGAGCGACTGACTTCGCAAGAAGGTCTTTTCCGTCGACATACTCAACCATCAGAACATCTTTGTCGCATTTCTCGATTTATCCATTCACACACAATATCACACATCATGGAGCAGCCTACCAACACTACCGACACCAAGGGCATGAAGCAGATCGTCCCTGAGGGTGAGTCGCCTCGTAGTCAATTCCATGCTTGCGGGACATGCTAACCCCCGTGCGCAGTCACCTGGGCCCAGCGCTCATCTACCACCGAGCCCGAGAAGAACCACATCTACATGACCATTGTTGTCCCCGATGTCGACCCCAAGAACCTGAAGCTTGACCTGCAACCCTCATCGCTCGAATTCACCGGCTACTCGGAGAGCAAGAAGGCCACCTACCACGTCAAGATGGACCTGTTCGCCGAGATCGAGCCCAAGGAGAGCAAGATCAACCACTCCTCGCGCTGGATCGAGCTGGTCTTGCAAAAGAAGGAGCTCAACGAGGAGTACTGGCCCCGTCTGCTCAAGGACAAGCAAAAGGTCCACTACATCAAGACCAACTTCGACAAGGTACGCACTCAATCTTCTTCATATTGTCATGAAACCATGCTGATTTTTCCCCCANNGTGGGTCGACGAGGATGAGCAGGACGCTGTTGCCGAGGATGACGACTACATGTCCCGCATGGGTGGCATGGGTGGTGCCGGCGGCATGCCCGGTGGTATGGAAGGTATGGGCGGAGATGGTGGCTTTGGAGGCATCGACTTCTCCAAGCTTGGCGGTGCCGGCGGTGCCGGTGGCATGCCCGACCTCAGCGCCCTGCAGGGTATGATGGGCGGCATGGGTGGCATGGGTGGCATGGGTGGTATGGGTGGTATGGGCGGTGAGGAGGGTGACGATGATGATGACGACGACGACATGCCCGAGCTCGAGGAGACCGAGGAGACCAACGCCGGTGCCTCCAAGTCAAGCAAGATTGAGGAGGTCGAGTAAAGAAATGGCTCTGGATCGATATCCATCACCGCCTTGGAAAAGAAATTATGAACCGCCAGTGACGAAGAAGCGCTCTTACAGCATTCGGGTTTAGACACGGATGATAATCACCACGAAGCTCAACGAGATACCAAAATAGTTTTCATAGCACAATCAGTGTTCACGTGCATATACTCTTGAATGCGCATGGTCCGCTTCTGAATGTTCAAGTATTCTGGTTGAAATTCATGCTGTATCCTCCACTCTTCTCGTCCTTGACGAACTGGAAGTTGTTTGTACTTAGACCAAAAGGCTTCAAGATGCTGTTGCCTAGGCCCTTCAACTTGCCCATCATCTCTGCCATTTCCTTGGATTTGGCATCCTCCAGCTTTGGACCAATATCAGCCATCGACTTTTGTACAGTTTTCTTGTCAAGTGACGATAGATTCGTTACGGTTGCAAGAAAAGTGTAGTCTAGAGAGGTCAGGCGCGAGTTCAGATACGAAATCACATAAACATTCTCACCTTCGTAGGCGCCTTGCAGAGCAGCCCATCCTCCTGTTTCTGACCTTGCTTTCGCCCGTCTCAAGAAAGCCTTGACGCGGATCTTTTGCACATCATCTCGTGTTCTTCCACTCTTTTCCAAGGCTTCGATCTTTTCTGCCGTCTCGTCGTCGACTTCCTCGACGGCAGACTGGGGTTGGGATTTGGCTTTGGCGGCATCCTGAGGGTCCTTCGGTTTTGGTAGAGGGTCGATCCGCTCCAGTGACTCTATACTCTTGGTGGCACTGTCTATTGCTTCTTTCCACTGTTCCGACTTGATGTGACATGCGGCGATGTTGGAGTGTAAAACGGCGATCTCATATTCGAGGTAGTTGGGACAGGATGAGAGAGCACGATCGTAGGTCTGCACAGCTTCTTCGAAAGACCCGTGAGCGAAGAGCGAATTGGCATCTGCCCTGATTTTGTTCGACTCTGCTAGTAATGANNCTTTGATAGTCAGCACATGATTTAGCAGTAGGCAGTGTTTGCGACATACGGCTTCCTCGTCTGGTGAGAAGCGGGTTTCGGTCTTTACATTGTGCGATGACTTTGCCGAGACAAAGCTCTTGTCGTCGTCTGAAGGATAGTCTTCTCCTGACATGGCGAGATCTGTACAAGCAGTGCGGCGAGGAGCGAGATGTCAACAACAAAAAGGTAGAATGACGTACCGAGATTCTCGCATGTGAAGGTCTTGGCGTCCTCTATCGCTCCTTCCTGATGTTCGCGAGTGCTTTGTCGAGCAGCGGATCAACCATCTTCACCTTATCGAGCATTCCCAGCTTCAGTCATGGCATCTGAGGGAAACTCGGGTACATCTACCCCCAACACGCGCTTTACGACCCAGGCGAAGACGGCCGACGACATCCTTTCGGCGCAAACCGTCGGACTTGTCCAACTTGATGATTTCAGAAAACGACGCGCAGATGCTATAGATGCAAAGGAGCGAGAAACACTCGAGTCTGGCTGCGCTACTCCTGCAAGTGGTACAGACAGCCCGTACGTATTTTTCCGCCCGCCCGAGAGACGGTGGCTAAGAAAACAAGTGCAGNNTGACCCGACGTTCAAGCCTTCCAAGAAGAAGCGTAAGACTGTCAAGAAGGGTGCCCTGTCGTTCGGAGACGATGGTGAAGATGACGGCCAGACTCAGAGCGACTCACTGAAGTCTCGCTCCATCACACCCGCCGCCACGAAAGAGGAAAGCACACAAGAGGACGAACAAGCGGCACCCATCAAGAAACGCCTCGCCGCGAACTCGAATGTTGGCTTCATGGCCAAGTCCATGTCCAAGTCAGCTCTCCTGCGTGAGGCACAGACGCGGGAACAGCTTCGCAAAGAGTTTCTCGTCATGCAAGAAGCAGTCAAGCAGACGGAATTTCTGCTCCCGTTTGTCTTTTATGACGGCACAAACATCCCTGGTGGTCAATGCCGCATGAAGAAGGGAGACATGGTCTGGCTCTTCCTCGATCGTGCGAGAAAGGTGGGCGCCGAGGTTGGAGGCAGTGACAAGGCTCGACGCGAATGGGCCCGCGTGGGCGTTGACGATTTGATGTTGGTAAAGGGCGATATCATCATCCCCCATGTATGTCTCCGCCATCGAGTCTCAATATGCAGCTTACTAATCTTGCCCCAGCACTACGAGTTCTACTATTTCATGGTCAACAAGACGAATGGCTACAACGGACCGCTATTCGCCCACTCTGCCGAGCCTACCGCAACCACTCCTGTGGACCCGTCGGCTTCGACTCCCATGGGTGGTCTGTCCGTACCGACGGCAGCGTCAAAGACGCCAAAGACGCAGACGCCGTCATCCGCAGTCCCTGATGCGGACCTCGAGGGCTTCAGCTCAGACCCAAACTCGACAAAGGTCGTCGATCGACGCTGGTACGAAAAGAACAAGCACATCTTTCCTGCCAGCACATGGGAAGACTTCGACCCAACAAAGGACTATACCAATCATGTGCGCAAGGACGTGAATGGCAATGCCTTCTTCTTTTCGTCATGAGATCAACACGCCCTCCGACTGTCATTTATTGGCTTGTTCCCCGTGACGATGTTATCATCGTACCTGGCGGGCTTTCCCAAAGAGTTTGCAGCCTTCTGTACGCAGCGCACGCATTTGTCACAGGAGAGGTGAGATCTTGGACCAACTCAGACCCACTGTGCCGCACGCAAGGATACGACGGCCCCGCACCCGCTGCATTGGACATCGCGTTCCGACTTCTAAGCGATATGTAAAGGGCTGAATCTGATGAGAACGCGCAGGAACCACGCAGAGATGTGAGTAGGCCTGATTCGTTCTCGTTGACGTTAATGAAGATAATCAACGAAACCGAACCAGTTTGCGTTGGCCTTTCAGCTACCGTTCTTCTGTGGGTTTGTGACACCCAAGTACTCGGTCGCTCTCATGTTCCACCTATTTACGGGCGCCTTTACTGCACGTGCTCGAGCGGAATGCATGCAGGTTTCCGCCCGGATCAGATCCAATCGTTTCATGCGAAGCCTTGCACGGCACTCCTAAGACATCTTGTGACAGCGTAGGGCAGACTGGAACATTGTGAAGTATCGCAGAGACATTATGCTACTTGACTTCATATCTACATCCGAGCTCTTTGGTCTCAGATCTGCTCCCATTTTGGGCCGCAGTTAACAAGCGGTCTGTCGGTCGAAACAGTCATAAATGCAGTTGACTCTGACATTCGCGATGATTCGGTCGCCTCCATTGCACAAAGATCTATCCTGGGACCGTGTCGTCGCACTGCGCTGCTTACTTTGAACCTAGATATATCCCGAATAGGAGATTTTCGAGTCCGATGTCAGGCACAAGATTTGTTCTTTGTGCCTGACAGATTGGTAAATCCTCCGAGGCGCACAGCATCTTCAATGTCCGTAAGAATCATCTAGAGATAATACTGTAAGCTGTGATAGCAACCTCTTGCTTGTTGAACTCCCGATGACGGTGTGCGCGGCGATCCAATGCTTTGGTGTCCATCTTCTTCTTGGAGGTACAAGAAAACAAGGTCTCCACGGGAATACTTCTCTGATTGCCAATACAGCTTGCATCTTTCATACTGCACCACGTTTGTAGCTGGCCCAGGAGTCACCTCCCAGCAATCGAGTACTTGGGTCTCGAGGCTGTATGACCACCACGCTAGACAACGGGAAGCGATAATGTTCTGCTGCACTAAGAGTGAGAAGACAATATCATCCATCGCTTACAAGGTATGAATTGGAGGTATAAAAGACTGCTTCCGCTCGTTGTGAAAGAGAACCATCCTCAGCATCTCAGGACAATCCAGCAGCCGCAGAATCATCATTCCTTCGCTCATACACAATCGTTTGAACTTTCTTCTAAAATCAATCTCAAGATGATCTTCACCACTCAAGTCGCAGTCGCTGCACTGCTTGCCTCCAGGTAAAACTCTTGGAAAAACATACAACGCACATAAAGCTGACACTGAATAGCTTCGCTGTTGCTCTCCCCTACGACACCTTTGTCCCCAGCAGCAGTTCCAAAGAGGTCAAGACTACTTCTTCTTCCGCCGGCTACGGAACCTTCCCAACTCCTTCCACCAGCAGCACCTGGGTCGATACCACTACCAAGAAGACACAGACTTCGGAGACCAAGAAGACCCAGTCGACCTCGTCCAAGTCCACTGAATCGAAGACTACACCCACTACCAGCACCTGGGGTCAGTCGACCTCAAGCAAGTCTACTGAAAGCAGCAAGACTACCCCAATTACTACATCCAAGTCTTCCAGCACTTGGAGTCAGTCTATTTCAAGCAAGTCTACTGAGAGTAGCAAGACTTCTCCAGTTACTACATCCAAGTCTTCGAAGACCACCTGGAGCCAGACTACTGAGACCAGCAAGACTACTAGCAAGAGCAAGAGCACGTCCAAGTCAAGCAGCTCCAGCCACTCCTCGAGCACTTCCCACAGCACCTCCAAGAGCAAGAGCTCTTCCACCAGCCAGAAGACCACCAGCGTCAGCACTTCCTGCAAGACCGAATACACTACTTTAACCTCCACTGGCTATCTGACCACAGTCACCTACTCGGCAACCACCGTCTACGTTCCTACCGTTAGCACTTCGGCCTACGTCTCCACCAGCGTTTACGTTTCTACTGGATACACCACAGGTGAGTGGCCTCTTCATGAGTAAACGCTTGCCAAATATGCTAACTCTCATACGCAGTTACCCAACCCACCGTCGTCACAGAGACCAAGCCTGTCGTCACCGAAAAGACCACCTGGAGCACCTACTCGACCTGTCTTGTAACCTCTAAGCCGGTCACCGTTACCCAAACAGCCTACGAAACCAAGACCGAGACCAACGTGGTTACTGAGACCAAGCCTGTTGAGCACACTGAAACAAAGACCGTCACTGAGGTATTTGAAGACCGAAAAATCATCACTTGCTCAAGAATCATGCTAACCTGCCCTTCCGTTCTAGGTCAAGACCATCACCGTCAGCAAGCCCGAAGTCGAGAGCAAGACCATCACAGTCACCAAGCCATTCACCACTCAATACACCTCCGGCAAGCAAGTTTGCACGACCGTCCCTGCCATCCCCGTCTACGGTGGTGGCGGCGGCGGCTACGGCTGGTAAAGAAAGAAAAGACTGCTGCTCTTTTCTATCCGAACCTTCCCTGCTAATCTGAAGTGAGAAATGGCTTCTTCTGTTCTGGTTGCACATGCACGAATTACGCTCTCTTGATATGTTTATGACCTCCTGTTGATGATTCTGCTTTCTGCTCTTGGTCCTGACATCTTTCGATTCTTCTTGATGGAATTTGTTTATTCTGTTTCCTTGTTTCTTTTCTCTTCTTGATAATTTGCTTTCTTTCCACTCCTTTGTTGCCTATAAAACGGTCCTCTTCTTTTATATATCGGTATAAATCGACTTCGTTTTTTTACCAAAATACTGATGCACTTTCGATTCAAACTCGTGGTATGATTGGAATAGTCTCTATCAAACTTATCTAGAGGGGCAAGTGGGTATTGAGAGAAGGGAAAGAAACCAACGTGCGATCGAGAAGGAAGGAATCACTTGACAGACATGGAAAGCAACCAGGCTAAATACGGATGATCGACAAAGGAGAAGTAAGCAAGTTAATGCACGTACATAGACACAAATGGGGCAGGATCATAGGAGTGTGATTACGGTTGCTAAGTAAACATGACTTTGCTTTCTCATTCGAAAGTCTCCTTTCCTTGTCTTCTCTAAACAAGACATGATGACTCCCAAACCTGCCATTGGCAAAGACACTAGTCTCTGTAATGCTGAACGCTAGCCATCTGAATTGAGAGCTGCTTCTAGCGCTCTTGCTTCCTCAGGTCCTTTCCAGATACCAAGCCAATCCTTCGACGCTTTCCTAGCAGCTAGAACAGTCGCAGTTGACGAGATCATTGCGCATCATGTGATAAACATGCTTGGCGAACTGTATCACTGATCTAAAGTCTCTAATGTAGAGATCTGTTCTGGTGATTGAGGATGAGGATTGGTGGGCACGAGGTCGGCTCTCCAGGACATATCCCTGAGGGAGTCCGCCGATGAAGTTGACAGTGTAGCCTGAACAGCTGATATTAGTATACAAAGTCTGGAACGGCAAAGAAGAGGTGTGGAGTTTACCAAGGGTTGTGGTGTACTGGGAATTGCTGTTGAAGATACGGGTGAGGTGGGCGAGGAATTCGATGTTGTCTGTGGCTGGAGGCTGCTGTGCTTGTCCGTCGCTGTTGATCATTGGACCGCTGAGATCGATGTCACGGACAAGAATGTTGAGACCTGAGTTGGGGTCTGTGATGGTACCAGGGTTGGGTCCTGGAGGGGGAGCTTGGTTGGGGTTGGCCATCTTGTAGTGAAGCCTCATGAGAAGATGATAGAGGTTAGAGTTGTGGGAACGTGAGACAGATATACCGTCATCGTCTTGATTGCTGCTATGACAAGGAGAGATCGCATTCGAGCATATGAGATGCAGAATGTTGATTGGAGAAAGTGCTCCATCACGGCTCTAGACAGGGGAAGAAGCATCGAGATGATTGCTCCTTCTTTGTAGCAGTCGCAAGAACGAAGCAAACGTGACGATCTCTTTATATGCTTACAAGCAAGTATCGGTTCAAGATCCCAGTCTCAACTCTATGGGTACAATCAACCCCTGATATCCACTGAGAACCTGACTCCGACCAGAATTGGTGACCCCTTTCACTGGCAAAAGACACAAGCGCGATTGACACTCTATACACCAAGTACTGCCAGCTCTTCCAACAATCACCTTTGGTCTGACGGTTAGCATCAACAATTAAAGCTAACCATTGTCTTGGCAGAACTCCCTGTCGACCAAAACAACAAGCCCAGATCCTAAGATCTCGAGTTCGAACCTCCTCATCAGCTAATACTTTCGCCAGTCCAATCAACCAACCAACCAACCAGCTTGTTCATATGGTCTCTTGATAGACGCGCCCCTGTGGAAAGGTGGTCAGGTCACTATCGGAGGCTGGAGGAGAAGATGGATGGATTGATGAGAAAGATGGTAAGTCACAAATCTCCATCCCATCAGATCGGCGATTTTTTTGCTCAAGTCGCCTTTGGAGAGAGTTTGATGCATGGTTCGAAATTTTCGCTGTACAGCGTTTTGTACGTGGCTACGAATGAACTTATTGATGTTGTCGTACCGAGTCATCTGCATCAAGCAACAACCCAGTGTGAGAGACAGATACACATCTTGTGCGCATTCTGCACCCAAGCAGCCATGTGACCGTCTACCAGGTTCTCGATGACGCTGCCACATCTCCTACACTGCCTGACTTTTGCATTCGGTGGTATGACACACTTGCGCAGCACATCATACTGTTGCTTGCCGGCTCGCTTGTTCGCTTCTTCATCTTCGCCCAGACCCAACCAAGCCGTATCTGCAGTGTAGATTGCAACACCATCGATTTGGTTTTCCAGACGCGGAATGATCTCGCCGAACAGTCTTTGCAGCACTGGGCTCAGCGCTTCCGGAATGTCAGCATCGACGAGCATGCCCTGCTCGTAGAAACTTCTTTGAGGAGGTGGTGATTGCGCAGCTTGGTAGGTTGCACGGACATTGCCGTCGATCTCTGCAACGAGCTGCTCGAATAGTCTGATCTCAAAAGGCAACTCTGAGCCCATCATTGCTTCCATGTATTGCAGTTCAATGCTATCGCGGATGTCATTGGTTCTGCTGCTTTGACTCACTTTCTCTTGAGTCTTGACAACACGCATGGCAAAGTTACGGATCAAGTTGGCCAGCATGCCCAACAATGCGCGTGATGTACTGCTAAGCAGAAGATGCAGAGTTGCAGTATTCCTTTCTAGCACATAAGCCAGGATTTNTTCTCGGTCGAAGTTGCCCTTGCAAAATCGCATCATCTCAATCATGTCGTCGAAAATAAGCGTCATCAGGTCCAACGACCATTTGACCAATCCTTTGAGCGAAACGAACAAGCTGGACTCCAAGTTGTTCATTCNCCTAATTTGCAAAGTCATGCTCAGTGTTTGTGCAATATTAGTGCATACTGAGCGAAGGTTTAGCAACACCCATGCTGCCTTTGCAGGGATGTCTCGTCGTTTGGGATCAGTCTGATAGCTGATGATCAGCTGTGCACTGGCAATTCTGTACAAGAGACTGTCTTTCAAGACCCTGCCAGACTGCAGTTTAGGGTCATCGAGGGAAAAGTCAAGGTTTCGATTTATCGTGCGGAAGATTTCGCTGATGAATTTGCGTCGAAGACTTCTGTCTAGATCCGTCGGAATCACAGATAGTAGGTCGTCAAAGCCGATCTGGTAGCAGGTCACGATGCCAAGTTCTCGAGCCAGAGACACAACAGCGGCTTGTGCGAGATCNNTGCGGCAGTCAGCTTCAAGGTCGATGAATGATTGATATGAGATCATACCGTTGTCGTCTTTGGCATCCTTCCAACCATGCAAATACTCAGCGTTGTGTAACTTGATAGTGCCATCTGGTTTGGTGATGACTGAAGTTGCCATACTAGGGGAGAGAGAGATGTCGATACAATCTGAGGCCAGGAAAGAAAATCCGTTTTGAGGTAGACTTGTAGCTTTGTTGGTGTCTCCATCTGGCACGATGATCTGCATGGTTTCTCGAGAACGAAATTCGACCATACCATCACTCGTCGCAAAGCCAAATGTGTTGTGATATACGTTGCTCCGAAGAGCCAGTATAGCCTTTTGTGAGAACACGTCTTCCATTCGGTACAATCTTTGCACAGGCTTATTGGCAGTGGGCTGAGAAGCTGTCGGTTTCAAGCCCTTGAAACTGTCGTGTAACGTAGCGTCGGTCTGTTGAAGGTCCCATCGAGATATAATGCTGAACTTGCCGCCGTGATCCTGCGCAGCGCTGGTAAATACAGCCACAACAGTAAATGTGCTGTTTTCAATGGCTTGTGAGATTGGTTCTATATGCAACGATGATAGTTGGGCACTCGCTGCTCGTTCCGAGGATTGAGGAACACATCGATCGAGAAGCTCGACATGCAGAATGGCCATCTGAGGATTAAGGGTGGCTTTGTGGGTGTTTCCGTCACCAGCATTAGCATTCCAGTTGATCATGATCTTATACAGACGCAATCTTTTGGAAGCATCGTATGTGACCATGACAAGATGTTCNNTGCTAAGGTCAGTAAAGGCGTACAAATCATGAGGCAAATGTTACTGACGGTTGGCTTGACAGAAGGCGGCATGCGTGAGCACGTCTCCAGAATCAGTCAGGTTGTCTAGAGTCAAGACAAATTGTGACCATGGCTGGCCAGGCTGTTCATAGATGAGTTTGAGATGACATCTGCGAGTAACGCACAGGAAGGCTGCCTTGTTGTCGATTGGATTTGAAACACCATGGATATCGTGAAGTCTCATCGTGTTGCTCCATCGGTTACCCTCTTTGGCAGCGGGGTGTATCAGTGCAGTNNCTATGATACAAAGTCAGACAATCACTCCAGAGCCAACACATGTGTAACTTACACGCGTCTGGCCCGCAAGATTTAGAGGAAGCCAGTGAAGGCCGACCACTTGGTTTAAGTCGTCGACGGTACTGGTCAAATTCACAGGGCGGCGTTCGAGACTGTTCAAGGCATGGGTCAAACTGAATAGTGTAAAGCGACCAAACTGATCCGCGATAACCAGATCCAGACCAGAACTGCTCCACTCAACATGGGTGAAGATGGCACCTTCTGAAGCATTGACTTCGGTCTCGTCAGACAAAGACCATTTGGCGGTACTCTTATCGCGACAGAGAGCGCGCACGAAGACTTTGCGAGAATCTGCAGATATTTGAGCAACACAACTGGTCCTGGACCATGCTAGCCNTCCTGGCGAGAGGTTACTGGATATTCAGAGCAACGACGAAACGGCAAAAGAACAAACTTACTGGCAACAGCCTACGATGTGAGAGCGCTCAATTCGTTGAGAAAGTGCATCAGTATCAAAAGTGGCAGCGATAGCGGCGTTGATGCCGTCTTCGCCAAACAAGTCGTCAACGTAATTGTCCATGCATGCGACAATGAGCCTCTTCTACAGAGTTACGCCTTGCAGAGCCGAGATATCGAGGCTTCTCAAAAGAAGACAAAGGCTTCACGGACTCCAAAATGAATCGAAGCCTGAGTCGCAAAGAGACAAGGCGGCCTCTAGGATCTGGAAGGAGCGACTTGCGCCGACGAGATGGTCGGAGTCTGGAGAGCGTGTGCTGTCTGCAGAGGCGGTTGACAACGAGTATGGAAAGGAATGCGAATGCCGGACTGGAATTGGTGCCAAGAGGAATCTGAGGAAAGAACGATGAAGTCACTCGGTCACTCTCGGCGACGGCCAAAACAAACAGCAGGGCTTGGTTGCGAGTGCGGGAGATGGTCGTGCCGCGGCGCTGCCGGTGGCTTCGACTCTTGACTCTGTCTCAGCACCACTTCAAGGTTCTCCACGCCCGCTCTTTGCAGATTCTCTCACCTTTGTCACGCTTCTTCTTGCATCCGGTCGCATTGTTCTTTCTCGAAGGCTCTTCTATCTTTGCGCTTCTGTTCCTTGTTATTTCCTCGCTCTATTCCAACCAATGGTCGCTGCTGCAGGGTGATTGTGGAATAGACAGTGGCCTTCTTGACCGCGCGCCCGACTTCCTGACCGAGCTCCTTCCTTGTCGACAGTAGCTGCTATGGACGGCTACGACTCGGACGGCAGCTCGTTATTGAGCTCGCCCAAGTCCCCTACTCCCCCTCTTGAAATGCAGAAGAATCCCTACCCCTCTCCGCCCCGGTCGAAACACTCGTCGCAATCTGCCTCTCCCTCTCCCGACGACCAAATGGACGCTTCCGACAGCCAACGTCCAGCCAAGCGACGCCGAATCAGCGAAAAGCCTTCACGCACCACTGAGTACCTCGATTTGACAAAGGGTCTGCGCCCGGACGAAAAGACCCAACTGGATCGCGTCTTGAACGTCCTGCACAAGCGCCAGAAGATCGTCGTCGTCGCTGGCGCTGGTATTTCCGTCTCGGCTGGCAGTAAGCCCACACTCCTTTTCGACCTCGCGTCAAGACGTCACTAACGCTCCACAGTCCCCGACTTCCGTTCGTCAACCGGCCTTTTCAATTCTCTCCGCGCCCAACACAACCTCAAAGGTTCCGGAAAGGATCTTTTCGACGCGTCGCACGTCTACAAGGATGCTTCTTCCACCGCTTCTTTTCACCAAATGGTTCGAGAAATGTCCCACATGACCAAATCCGCCCGACCCACCCCGTTCCACCAGATGTTAGCCACGCTTGCACAACAGGATCGCCTCTTACGACTGTACTCACAAAACGTCGATGGAATTGACACGTCGTTAGAGCCGTTAGCGACGCGTATACCCCTGCAGAAAGAAGAAGGTAAATGGCCAAAGACCATTCAACTACACGGCGGACTCGACAAAATGGTCTGCTCAAAGTGTCATGAGCTTTCTGATTTTCACGCAGACCTTTTCGATGGTCCTGTGCCACCTGTCTGCACCAATTGTGAGGAGCTTAACAGGGTTCGCACCGAGGTTGCAGGAAAGCGCAGCCACGGTGTTGGTATGCTGCGTCCTCGCATGGTTCTCTACAACGAGCACAACCCAGACGATGAAGCCATTGGAGCCGTAACGCGTGAGGATCTTCGCAAGCGTCCGGATGCCATCATAGTGGTTGGTACAACTCTCAAGGTTCCTGGTGTTAAGAGAATTGTACGGGAAATGTGCGCAACTGTACGCGACAGAAAAGATGGTGTAGCGATCTGGATCAATGCAGGCCCTGAACCATCTGGAAAGGAATTCGAGGATTGCTGGGACATTGTAGTCAAAGGCACATGTGATGAGATTGCCAGACACGCTGCTCTAAGACAATGGAATGAACCAGATATGGGCGTTCCTGTGTCTGAGGAAAGTCTCGAGAGAGCCCGCCAAAACCAGCCTACGGTCTCAATAGTACGAACTTTCAAGGCTCCGCCCAAGGATTTCACGCCTTTGCCTTCTCCGCAAGCACCCACAAGTACACCTCTTACCGGCCGCCGTCATGGCAACATTGTCGACAACTCTTTCAGCGAGGAAGAGGATTTGGTCGAGATCGAAACACCTTCAAAGCGCGCCGAGAAGAAGCCCAATCCCTTCAATCTGCTCGGCAAGACGAAACCGATTGTCACGAAACGAAAAGCTACGTCAAAAGCTTCAGGTACGAGAGCAAAAGCTCCTGCGAAGAAGAACGTGTCAAAGACGGATCCGCCAAAACCACAGGTCAGGATCGACCAGACGCTCAAGTCAACCAAAACCGCTACTGCTGCAATCAAGGTGGAGAAGAATACNAAAAGCGGCGCCGCTTTCGACGACATTGCCGCGAAAGACGTCCGACTCAATTCGCCACGGTCCAGGTCAGCAGACAGACCTGTCAAGGCTTGAGAAAAGCCGAGCGTAACGTGTTTGATGAACTGGTAATGTTTTCTTGGACTCGCCCTCTGCAGGAATATATTTTAGCTATCCGCATGGCTCGAGAGGCTGGCGTTTATGTGCTCTTACGTGGCAGTACTTAGCTCGGTGGGAAGGATGCATACAAGCCTGCATCTGCATTATGCATGGAGTTGAGGTGGTAGCTCTTGCTGTTTTTGGGCTGGCTCTTCTTTCGCTTTTTCTAGACACTCAGATGGTGTCATCACATTTTTTACTAGACGCTATAGTTGTGTCTCTATTTTTATCGGTATTGTAAGGTTGCTCACGAATCCAGAATGTTTCATCTTCACACTATTCTTGCAGGTCGTCCCTTGGACTGGACTGCTCTGAACGGCAGGAGCGTCAGCTGCGGGGATGATGTTGACGCCATTAGTAAATTCGCTATGCCGAAGGCTACTTTCCCGACCGATTTATCATCACACTTCCTGCTTACTGACCTGCTATTTATCGACAAGGACCGCTTCTTTAACAAAGAACGCGCCCAGACTCGTGCATACCATGTCTAAGGACGACGACATCAAAGCCTTTGCGGACAAGGATGGCCATTTCCGAAGACAACCATCGAAGTTTCGCGACTTCATATCAAGAGAATCAGGAGCGAAGTTTCCACCCGAGAAGGATCGTTATGTATGTTCATCGTAGACATTCATGTCTGAAAGGAGGAAGAGCGCCATCGATCACGCTTGTATCAAGACCAAGCATAAAATACATGTCTGACAAGCCAACAGATCNCTCTACACCAACTGGGGATGCCCTTGGGCGAACCGTACAGCCATTGTCCGCATGCTCAAGGGCCTCGAAGACATCATCCAACTAGTCGTGATGGACTACGTGATGTTCCCTGAAGGCTGGGGCTACAGCGGCCGCGACGGGACGGCCGATAAGGATCCNCTTTACGGTTTCACTCGTCATCGCCAACTATACGAGAAAGCGGAACCGGGTTACGAAGGCCGTGTCTTGGTACCTACGCTCTGGGACAAGAAGAATGAGACCATTGTCAATAATGAGAGCTCCGAGATCATTCGCATGTTCTACACCGAGTTCGATGACTTGCTGCCTGAGAAGTTCCAGGAAAAGAGCCATCCCGATGGCGGATACTTTCCAAGCTCCCTACAGCAGCAGATCGACGAATTTAATGAGTGGGTATATGACACTATCAACAACGGTGTTTACAAGTGTGGCTTCGCCAGCTCACAAGAAGCCTATGACAAGAGCGTCGACATCCTGTTCAACAGTCTCGATCGCGTGGAAGCCCATCTCGAGAAATCCGAAGGCCCGTTCCTGTTTGGCAAACATCTTACCGAGGCAGATATCAGGCTGTATCCTTCGATCGCGAGGTTCGATGTCGCATACCACAACATCTTCAAATGCAATCTGAAGATGATCAGACATGATTATCCGAGGATCGACAAGTGGTACAGAAACATCTATTATGACGAGGGAGAAGAGACCAGAGGAGGTGCATTTAGAAAAGCGACGCGTTGGGATGCCGTAAGTGTCTTCTCTGTGGTAGTATGTGATGAATGTGCTGACACGATATGACAANNGATCAAAATTGGATACGCTGGTGCAAAGAAGATTCAAGTTGTGCCTAAAGGTCCAGTGCCAGACATCATGCCCAAGGACGCTTGAAGAGGACCAGTCTCCTCAGTAAATAGACTTGGTCGGGCTTGATGTATGGTCGCCTAATGCCTCATTGCCAAGAGACTAGTATGCCTTTATCCTATGAAAGTACGTTGTCAGATCGAATCTTAAGATTTTTGCATCGTTTCGTGTCTTTTCTTTCACCACGTTTGGTGTTTGCTGGTGAATATCGCCTTCTTGCCAAGAACTTCCGTACAATGGCTCGGATCATCTTTACGTTTGCTTATTTCACTTTGATTGCTTCTTGTCTGGTCGAGTTTGTGCGTTCGCATACGCCTCATGTCTGGATGGTCGGGCTCAGAGAAGGCCAAACCATTGAAAAACATCTCGATTTCGTAGGCCGCCCAATACCGGTCGAAGAACGCAGGCCAGAGATCAATGGATACACGGCTTCTATCTCAGATGACGACACGGAGCTATTTAAAGCCACCCGCAAAGATCCAGACGTCGGGTTTGTGGTCAAGATGCCGGAAGACTATTTCCGCAAAATTGAGAAGATCATAGAGGATGGGTGGGACGAAGACGACCGCGACTTGTACGAATACATGACATACCCCAATCACCACTGGCATAATCTGCAGGGCAGAGATTATGAGATCCTGGTCAGCGACGAGGGAGAACTGTAAGTGCTTTGGTTTCATCGTTTGCCTAGTTCACTGCTTATAAGACATATCAGCAAGGTTCATCAATCCTGGAGAGTCAGACTCGAAGAGGGATATATTGTTGACGAGCACATATACCGCATCACTGGATAGCAACCCCCGCCCTTCGATATTGTGCGCAGCAGCTTCGTGAACAGCTATAGCGTTTACTTTGTCAATGGAGAGCAGGAGAAGAAGAAGTTATGTCGCTTGATCCAAGCTGATCCTCGTGTCGATAACATTGGACCTGTTCGAGGCTACAAGATGAACGATGAAATTCACGACAACCCCCATAATGTATGTTTATCCTTGAGATAATGGCTGTCCGCTAACAAGATCAGGAGTTGTAAGAAGGAGAATGGTTGTGCAGAGGCATGGACAGGGTGATCAGAGAAGCATGTGTGGGGAAGGGTAGATCCATGGCAACGGAGATTAGATAACCGCTCGCCGCAAAGCTCCACAAAATTTCCCTTTTCCCTTTGCAACTTTTGTTGCCCGCCCGCGCTTAGCCAGTGAAATTTGCCCGTCTACGATACCACACCTCAACACCACACACATAAGATGCCCAAAGCCCCCGGAGGAGACGCGCGTCAAATGAGACGTCACAACCCATTGTCGGAAGACTACGCACCCTCGAATCCGCACAAGCAAAAAGCGCCAAAGAGGAAAGGCCGCTCCAATGCCGGCGACGACGATAATGAACAACAAGCATACATCGACTCGAAAGCGTCAAGGAAGATCATCGCTCTAGGACAGGATTTGACCGCCGAGGAGGATGCAGAGCTCGAAGCGCTCAGACCGCAAAACGGAACGAAATCAGCTTTCGAGTTTGAGAGAGGTCTGCGCGATGAGGAGGATTCTGATGAGGAGGCTGGTGTCCCGGCAGACGATGAGGCATGGGGAGACGAGGAAGATGAGGAGGTAGAAGAGGTCGAGGTGGACCCCGAGGATCTGGCCATGTTCAACAAGTTCAACCCCGAGTTCGACCCTGCGACACTGCTGGCACCGCAGCCGGCAGAGGACCAAGGAGAGAGCACCAACCTTGCAGACTTGATTTTGGAGAAGATTGCCCAGCATGAGGCCAGTCAGGCCCAAGGGCACGTCATTCGTGGCGGTGGTGCCCCCGAAGATGCCATCGAGCTGCCAGCAAAGGTCGTCGAGGTTTACACCCAGTACGTTTGACGATAACTCCTCACAAACACAAGGATCCGACTAACACACCCCTAGNNAATCGGCATGATCCTCTCCCGATTCCGCTCCGGCAAGCTCCCCAAGCCTTTCAAAATCCTACCCACCCTCCCCCAATGGGACACTCTCCTCTCCATCACCCGCCCCGACTCCTGGACCCCCAACGCAACTTACGAAGCCACCCGCCTCTTCACCTCCTCGCGCCCCGCCGTCGCCCAAGCCTTCATCCACGACATCCTCCTCGACCGCGTCCGCGACGACATCCGCGAGACCAAGAAACTAAACGTCCACCTCTACAAAGCCCTCAANAAGTCCCTCTACAAACCCGCTTGCTTCTTCAAGGGCTTGCTGTTCCCTCTGTTGGCGTCCGGCACTTGCACTCTGCGCGAGGCCCATATTATTTCTTCCGTGCTTGTTCGCGTCAGTATCCCTGTCTTGCACTCTGCGGCTGCCATCCACCGTCTCTGCGAAATCGCTGCTGAGCAAATGACCGATAACCTCGAGGCCGGCGGCGCAACAAACATCTTCATCCGCGTGCTGCTGGAGAAGAAGTACGCTCTGCCCTACAAAGTCGTTGACGCACTCGTATTCCACTTTTTGCGTTTCCGCGCCGTGGACGCAGATGCAACGACAGATGCACCTCTGACCATCAAGAGCGGAGAAAAGCTGCCTGTGCTGTGGCATCAGTGTTTCCTTGCCTTTGCGCAGAGATACAGAAACGATATCACCGAGGACCAGAGAGAGGCTTTGTTGGACTTGCTGCTCGTCAAGGGCCACAAGGCCATTGGACCGGAGATTAGAAGGGAGTTGTTGCAAGGCAGAGGTAGAGGTGTTTTGGCTCCCGAGGTCGCCATGGCTGGTGTGGATGGTGATGACACTATGGTTGATATCCAGTAGATTTAGTTTCTGTGCTGCTGCTTCTTCTTCTTTGCATGTTGAGGTTTATATCGTTGACAAAAAGGATGGCGTTTGGGCGTATCACTCCCTGGCGCTGATGATGTTTTCACGAGCTTGATGTTGCTCTCTTTCTCTCTGACCAAGTACATGCATCTTGAAACGTGTTTCGAGTAATGAAACTGTACATGAAGAAATCGAGTCAATGTGTTTTTACCATCTGCTTCAAGTGACCCTGTCTTGTCAGAAAACGTGGGGCCTGATTGTTACCTTTGACGAATTCACATCTAGACACCTTAGGACCTAACACGTTCAACAGCATTCAAGGAAGAAAATGCATTCAAGCAACCCCAAGAACACACCTCAACACTCTTCCTCCCGACCCAAAGACTTTTAAGTCCTCGATGGCCATTCGATTGCACAGCGACCGTCCTGTCCCTAACCCAACAAAAATGTCGAGTGACATGGAAAATTCTGGTATATCATCCTCTCAATTTGCCATCGACCATCACAGAAAGATCCCCACCCATAAAACACGAAAAACTCTGCAGATAACGCCCAGGAACGAGTGCCGTAACGGATAATGAGAATAAAGCGGCGTGTGGATGCAAAGGGAATGTGTTCCAGCCATTCGAAAGAAAGAAAAATGCCAGGCAAAAGAAGAAAAATGCAGCGTCGAGGCTGCAAAGCATCATCGTCGTCATCTCATTAAAATGCGTCTCTCGTAACAAATGGGCAAGGGTGGGATCTTATTGCCTCGAATAAGGTCGGTTCATGGCTGCGATCTCGCGGGCTATCGTGCCCCACTCAAGTTCTCTGCGGACTGGTTTGCCGCGCTTGAGGCATTGGTATTCTTCCCACTTCAGCAGTTCGTACCTGGGTCTGGTCAGCTGGTTGTTACTGGATTTTTTCGCCTTAACATCTTACGTGAACCGCAGGTGAGGTTGTATGATGACGTTCAGGCGGCGGGCCCGGACGAAACAGTAGGCGCGAGGGAGTGAGAGTCCAAGCTCATTCATCACCTCTGCGATACAAATCGTTGCAGATCTGGATACACCTACTCTGCAGTGGACTAGAGTGGCAACACCGGCCTCTCTTCCCTTTCCTGTTGACAATATTGTTAGCATCGGGACTGGCATATGGGAATCCAATAACTTACTAATAAATTCTAAGCACCTGGAGAAGGACGATGTGAGCGGATCTACACCATTATCCTGGACGCCATCGACATAGAGAATGCTGTCTTTCGTGCGAGCGTCGTCTTTCCATCTCTTGGTCTCGTCACTGGTCCAGCTAATCGTCTCACCAACACTAAGGATCTGTCCAACGTTGAGTTCACGCAACAAGTCTGGATTGTTCGCGTGGCCGAGATTTCCGAGATACATGTAATTCATGATTCTAGAAGGGAAAGAGCCGTCCATCTTGCCGAGCCATCGGGGAGTAGGCTGGCACAGCGCTGCCATGGAGTTGGTCGAGTTGGGCGATGCTTGCAAAATTCTGGGCTGGATCGAACTCAGAAGGGCAACATCGGTGGGGTATGAGAAGAGGTTGCGATGATGCTTGGTGTGAAGCTCCACGTAAGCCCTGTCTACTGTCGCACAGTTGGCGTACATATAGTAGGCTAGTGCCAACAAGGACGATTCAGTGTATCCGTCTGTGCAGTGGATGAGGACTTTTCTGCCTTCACGCCCAGCACCAAGATCGAGATCCATCATGCCAATGTCACCATCAACATCTCGGTATTTGGGTGGGGTCATCTGCTGACTGTCCTTGCGGTGAATCGGCTCTTCGTGATCCGGGTTTGCCTGCCTGTATAACCATGCTACTGTGTCCATCAAAGCATCGACCTCGGCCTGAGACCAAGTCGGAGGCATTATCGAGCCAGAACCTGGGAACTCGAGCTGAGGAATCGCATTGTTGGATACTTTCGGGTTCGACAGGAGGCTCTCCATCAGATGGAACGCTTGCTTGTCCGGTAGTTGAGCTGGGTCAGTTGCTTCTACGAATAAATCATAGTCTTGTGCTGCGGAAGGTAGTGCTGCATCTGGATCCGACGGTATTGTCAACGAAGCGTCAGGTGTAGGGCCAAGCCAAACGTTGTTCGTGATCTCAGTGGCCGAGGACATGGTGTGCATCTCGTATCTCTCCGAGTGGACTTTGCACGCGTCAGCTATGTCGTCTCACGATCGAACGAAAAGTTACCTACAGAAGTCCATGACTGTACCGGTCATGTTTCCATTGTCGTCGATGGCTACAATCTCCGGATGCTCGGCTTGTAACTTTGCGAACGAATCTGGACGAAGATTAGAGACAGTTCGCTATCCAGGATCTGGTTCAACTACCTTNNTCATCACATATGTGTGGAACTGTGGAACTTCGACATCGTTGTCTCTGTCCTTCTCTCTCCAGACTTTCTGAGCTCTGGCGATTATGGACGCCAACTTGTTGAGCACCGTCTTCGACGTCTTGTCGTCAGCATAGATGACGATATCACTCATAGTGGCCATCTTGACTGCTTGGATCTGGAAGTTTCGGATGGAGAAGCCATCTTTGGGATCGACATCGAGGAAGGTTGAGATTTGCTCGCCGGTCTTTGTTGCGAGCAGTAGCTCATCGGGAGAAATGGCGCCCCTGATCTTGGAGTGGCTGAGGTCACCTCCTGCCTTGACGACTGTTATGCCACGCAGAGTGCGAGGAGCCCTTCGGAACTGTTTCTTGTTGCGCGCCGAGAAGTAGGTCAACTGAATGTTGTTCTCGGGGTGTAAGCCATGGAGCCAGGGGAAGACGGTCTTCGTGTCTGGTAAGGGGCGCGTAGCAGTGTGTTCCAATGCTCCATGGAGCTCTTGAGCGCTCAATGCATAGACGGGTGGACTATCGCTAACTCTGGGGTATTTGTCGGCGTCGACTAGCAGAGAAGGTATGTCGATTACTTGCTGACTGCCAGGCGCTTCGGGAGACCCCGGTGGAGTCTCGAGCTGCTGTTGTTGTAGCTTGGTCGGTGTGGGACCAGGAGAACATGTGTCTGGGAGGTGCTTGTTTGGCACAGCTGTTGGTTTTCCTCTGACCGAGGTGTTGATGTTCTGCTGCGAACCTGATGCTCGCGGACCCACTAGCGCTGGTCTTGCACAGACTGTAGCCATCAGAGCGTTGGTTTGAGCTTGAACGCCGGTCGATGAGGGAACAGCCTACGCTTAGGTTGTGTTTTGACGTCGAGAACTGAGCCACTTTATGTCGATTGAGGTCAGGAGATGGCGCGTTCGAAAGACTGATGTCTTGTGTAGCGCTCTGGTGCGATGGCCTTTGTTTACCTGGAACTGATAAGAAGGTGGAGATAAGGTGATCTGCGAAGCGGAGATGCTAAAGATTGACAGATGAACGATTCAAAGGCACTGAGGAAACAAGAGTGGCTATATCAATTGTCGCCCACTCGACACTTGTATTGATGGAGCAGAGCAAAATGGTTGAGGAACTGCAAGTAATACTTCTAGGACAGCGGCACTCCCGTACATGTGATTGATTCGAGGCAGGAGGATCGTCCGAGCGCCCAACTGCGGGGACGACGGGCGTTAGTGAATGGGGAAACCTTCACGACACCACCATTGGCGCGAACCCTTGGCGAATCCCCGTGGCTAGACTGCTTTGTGCGATGCTCTCGTCAAGTCGACACTGATCTTCTGTCTTCTCGGAGGCAAAAGATGGTGACTGTGGAGATTCTTGTGCGAAAAGTGGCAATTTTCATGTTACCCTCTTGCGCAACTGGAAGGATTGCGGCGGCTTGCTATCGCGTCGTGGGCTGCTCAGGGTCTCAGCGGTCCCGAACGATTTGGATTTGTGATGCGCCGCCAGTGCCGATCCCACATTCTCATCGAACGAGAGCCCAGACGAGAGCCATGCCAACAAACGAGTGGTACGCCTTGCCGTTGTCTCCCATTCCTACTTTCATCACATTGCAGGAGAGTTAGATTGCTATTCAAGACGTACTCTCCTCAATCAAACGTCCAAGGCCAAAACATGTCGACGACGCGTACCGACAAGGTGAGCGCCCTTGCTTTTTTCTCGCTCTTCCACCCGGTTACCTTGGGCCCCAGGCAGAAACCCTATGCAAGTCAGGCCAGCTCGCGTGCTCCGCGTCCCCACATGTCGGATCATGGCACAATCCGGAGAGCAACATGCGGGAGGGGCGTACCTCGCCGCTTGGAACACTCTCAGTCTGAGTCTGATTGTGTATCTTCCTCGAATGTCTTCTTCGTAAAGAATAGCGTACGTCCGAGATGACAGAGAATTGACTAAACTCTTCATGTCAACCTCAGAAGCAAGGCTACTTCGAGTAGGTGCATGTATCCTCAAGGTCGAGTCCTCGAAGTACTTCACCCCAAATCGCCAAACGAGGGGAAAACCCGCGGGGTCACACCCGGGGAGGTGGACGAGCTAGGTACTCTACAGCCTTGTTCATCGTCGATAGCAAGCAATCGATGCATCGTCCCCGGTTGTGGTCTTCTTGGGCTGTCTGGATCGCCTTGTGGTTCGCTCAAGAGAACAGCCGTGAGACGTGTGCGAGGTCATTGTGCTGCATGCTGCCGAACCACGGCCACATGAAACTTGAAAGGCTTGCCTCGGGGCTTGGTACATGCCGTGTACGTGCGGTACGTACTGTGCAACGCTCACGGCAGGGAGCCGCTAGATTGTGACGGTGTGTCTAGAATCTAGATCGATCGGATTGAACATGGCCCAAATCGGCATCTTGTAGCCAACATCTCTTCAGACTCTTCTCACCACTTTGGGCAAGGAAATGCTCAACTCTTTTGATCAGTCTGGCAGGATGGAGAAGAACAACTAAGTCTCCAACAAGATACCTACGACTCTGAGCTCACACTTAATAAGTACTTGGCCTCTCTGTAAAGTTCTTTGAGGCTTGCTTCTGCGAGACAGCACCCAAATCTGGCTCGTGTAATTATGATGTTGCGATCACACCTTTATCTATACGTCTGGTGAGGGTATCAAGCCATAGCCATAGCCATAGCCATATCCATCGAACTATCATTCCCAAACTCCTGCTATGCAAAACTCCCTGCTTAATGACACAAATCCCAAAATCCCCAAACTGAACCTCGAAATACCACCCACACACTTGACTACGATGCCCAGAGCAGCCGCAGATCTCAGGCAGCCTCATCATCGCGAATCTCCTGCTGCAAAACGATAGAGTAAACACTAGCTTTGAGCAGTGTAAACACCGTCGATGTCTTTCTCTCCAAGCCTCTCAACGCATCGAGGATTTCTGCGCTGGGACGGGAAGCCAAGTCATTGAGTAGAGCAGAGAGNNCTGTCAATCTCGTTAGCTTTCTTTGCCTTGTGGATAGAGAGCATTGTGAGAAGAATATTGCCAGAGAGTCATGTAAGAAACGAAAAACGCGGATAGATGACATCTTCAGACTTGGAAAGAGAAAAAAGCAACTTACGTCTCCAAGATTTCCTGCCAGGCGTACGTATTCGTCGAGTACTTCTTGCTCCAGTGGTGATAGGGACTCTTCGCCCGTGGCTCCTGGGCTGCTGTCGAGACCCGACATTGTGGATTTGTGATGATTTGATCCTCTATGATGGTCTGGTTGTTCACTTCTGTGGTGATAACAGCAACCTTGGCTTTGCAATTGTGGTTTGGTAAAAGGAGTGATGGTTTTGTTGTTGTGTTTTGTGAAGAACAAAAGACCATCGGAGTGGTTTGGGTTTGTAGATGCCAAGACTAGAGGCCTTGACAGGGTGCTCCCCTCGGCCACTGTTGGAGAGACAGGAATGGTAATAGCGGCGTCAATATCTTTACCATATCATTCAAGCTTTCAGCAGGGTGTCCTTGCAGCAGTTTCCATAGATCAGTCTCATCGAATATGTACATGACCTGAAGGTAGTCATGTGGCGATCAAATCAAGTATTTTAAGCAGCCTCGCTAGCATCTGCCTATAGCTTGGTACACAGCTCTCACACTCTTTGCTAAGCGGATATATCACCTTTTTTTTATAATTTTTTTTTATAGGTACGTCACTTGGGTCAATTAGCCGGCTTTCAGCAGACTGGTGATTTTCACATACTGCAAGATATCTAGAGAGTATAAAAAGTATCATTCACAAACTCAAACACGTCAAAGGCGCTCTGATAGAATCTGAAGACCACCCTTGCGAAGAGAAAAGACAGGCAGAACACTCGCTTTCCCGTATTGAGCCTCAAAGGCTAGAAATAATAGTAACGCCCCATAGAACTCCCACCGGATTGCATGCGTTAAGGAATAATGGCATAGATATACAAACTGCCCGACTTGCTTCGACATGAGATTGCTTTTTAGTCGCCAGTTTGACATATGGCGACGTTATCAGCATAGTGTGACACCTCTCGAGCACGGAGGGGCAGAGTTCTATCTTTGCGCCTCGTGATATTGGTGATCTTGATGTTGGTCGTCTCCATCATGATGCAACGTAACGGAGTTGAACTCCTCAAACGGATCTGCGATCTCACCACCAGGCGTGGCCAGATTGCTATCGAGGGGTACACCCTTCATCTTGCTGGCGTTGACGCCAAAGCCTTTGTTTACCTTGGAACCGCCCAGGTCGACACTATGACTTTCCTTGACATTTCTGAAGTTCACAGTGTCGACACCACGGCCCTGGTTAGGTATGATTGGAGGCTTAGAGTGTCGTAGTAGAGCCCATTGTGTTGTACGGAAGAACTGATGACCCTTTACGTCTGACGCGCCAGCGCGAGAGCCTAGTCGGCGAAGTTCGTCCTTGATGAGGAGCTTGCGAATCAAAGACTTGCACAAACNTAAGAGTTGTTAGCAGTCTGAAGCAACATCTGCAATATAACATGTAGCTTACCTGCTGACATTGGGGTAGCCACTGCCTTCGGGGAAGGGCACCTCATCTCTCAAGATGTTGGCAAAGGTAGCGTTTCTGTTCTTCCCCTTGAAAGGTGTCGTGCCGTAAAGCATTTCATAAATCAAGATACCCAAAGTCCACCAATCTACTGCACTAGTGTGACCGCAGCCCTTGATGACCTCAGGTGCAATATATTCTTCTGTACCCACGAAGGAATTGGTGCGGAAGTTGTTGATACACGACTTGGTGTCGATGGCGGGCATGTTGTTGGGGTTGTTCGAGACACCATTGCGGCCAGACATGATCATGGTAGGGACACCGCCGGGGTCTGACTGCTTGGAAAGGTCAAAGTCTGACAGCATGATATGACCAGATTGGTGAAGAAGAATATNCTAGAAGTATGTGTCAGCATATCGATATCAAGGAGTGACTTGGGAGGTTGTCATACTTTCAGGCTTGAGATCTCTGTAGATGAAGCCCATGAGATGTAGATACTCGAGAGCAGCCGTGACCTCTGCGGCATAAAAGCGAGCGGCGTCTTCGTCAACACACTTGTTTGGACGAGTCTGAAGAGCTCTGAAGAACTCGCCTCCGCTGCAATACTCCATACAGAGGTATAAATGGTCTTCTGACTGGAAAGAGTGATACAGTGTGACGATGAATGGGTGGTTGCTGGTGGCTAGAATTTCCTGCTCGGCCAGAGCGCGCTTGATCTTGTTGCGCTTGATCATCTCCTTCTTGCTGAGCACTGCGAACTGTCAGTGGACGGTCTCAAGATCCAAAGGTTGTGCGTGTTTACCCTTCATGGCGTACAATCTGGAGCTCTTCTTCTCGCGCACCAAGTACACCTTTCCGACATCACCCTTACCGATCAGTTTGATCTTGTCGAAGCTTCCAGGGCCGACTTCGACATCGCGTACTTTGATGCTGTTGCTGCTATAAGTCCTACGGAAGGCTGCCGCACTTCTAATCTTGCCAGGGCTGGGGATGCCAGGTACAGGGAGCAGATCGGGAGAGCTGCTCATGGGCACTGTCTCGACCATTGACTGCACCGAGATGTTTGAGTGTTGCTGAGCGAGTGGGGAGGCCTTGCTCATCATGTCGGAAGTCTGTGGCCGGCTGTCGCTGGAGTTGGTCTTTGTAAACAGGCCCTGGGCATTGGGAGCACTAGCGACACGACGCAGTTTCCGTGCCAGCTCCTCCTTGCCAGCAACAACAGCAGCTTCGTCTTCGGCTTCCTGGCCTTTCTTGATAGGTGTGTCTGGAGGACTCGGAGGTACACTGTCGGCGTTGTGGTGGCGGAGAGCTGGCGGACCCTGGTGTGCAAAGTAGGGATTGGCGTTGGCGGTCGGGCTCAGTTCGTCGAGGGCATTGCCTTCGCTGGCGACGGTCTGACTCCTATTTCGACCGATGTGTGGCAGAAAGCGACTGTTGCGGAGTTTGTGCTCAGAGCGCGGGGTCGAGGGGCCCTCAGAACTGGTCTTTCCCGGGCCAATCAGGTCATCCTTGGTCGAGGATGAGGTGATGCGGAAAAAGTTCTTGATCTTCTGCCCGACCTGCGAGTTGGAGCCGTTGACCGACTTGTTGGTCGACATGGACACGCCCGAGAAGGTGCGCCGGTCACCAGGCATGACGGGCTACGGGGGTGTCGACGATGGGCGAGACGGGACGACGAGTGTAGGTATGCGGCGGCAGAGATGTAGCGGACACCGTCGCGGCAGGCAGATTCGCACTGCGGTCGAAGGTGGAGACAGTAAGGGGAGTCTGCGTCTGGTGTCGCAGCTGTCAAATGGGCCAGAACGCGCGAACGAGCGAGGACAGCGGGTCAGGGTTATGCTTCGGCGTGGCGGAGGGTATTCCCGGGGAAGTTAAGCCGCCATTCGATAGCGAGAAGAGCCGTGATGCGAGTTCAGCTGCTGTGCGTGTTTGTTGGTGGTGTCTGTGAGATTGGACGCTGCAATTGAGACGGTCAGGGTCAGAGATAATGTTGGATGCAGACGCGAGATTGGTCAGTTGGTCTGAGTCGCGGTTGGCATGCTGTTGCTGTTGACTTGGCCATTCGGTGCAGCGAATGCGTCAGCGTGGAGTCGTTTGCATCGGCCTGAACCGGGGTTTGCTTGCTAAGCTGCCAGAGGCCATGCCTGCGCCTGCCGAACTTTCTGGCGGATGAATCGCTTCTGCTCGCTAATTACTACTGCTTATCACTCCCTTGCCAATCGCTGCATGCCTATCGCGTTCAAGCCAAGCTATCAATTGCTTGAATAGCACCCAGAAGTTCTTGCACTGGCGGACAATATCAGTCACCTCGCTGACGCCATCACCACCTTCCTCCGTTGCATTCCTGTTGCCGACGCCCTATCATGAATTGTCCTGGCAACAGCATCCATTGTCTATCGAAGAGTGCACGTGTGTGGTCACAGCTGGCTCTTCTCGATACTCGATTGCCGTGTCCTGCTTCTCTGCCACCAATCGGTGATCCTGCTTCTACCAGCCATTTATTTAATCAAATGCCAGCCACTTTTCACCGCGACGCGTTTTTCCAGTCTTCGTACCAACTCACCATCGTACCAACTCACCAACCACTGCGAGTCCACTTACGGTAATTCACATGCTGGACAAGAACAAGAGGTTATGCTTGTGAGCCTCCTCGAGGTCAGACTGAAGCTTGATCAAATAGTCACTCTGGTCAACAACAAGACATGACTGAGCCCACCCTGCATCAAAAAGACCATCCCCATCGTGATAATGATGCACACTGAGCTGCACCCCTCATGCGCCCCTCGCTAGGGCTCGTATACCTACATGGCGTGAGACCTCATCAGTCTCTGTATGCTAAAGACTGTCGAATCTCACGATCGACCCCTCTCCCGCGATGGCATATAGTGATATTGAACAATACACAATTGCTTGCTAAACCAGACGTATGCCATAGAAATACACTAATCAACGTCTCTCTACGGAGATCAATCCCTTCTAGAAGGTGTTGTATTTCTATAGCTACAATGCAACAATCTTTGGCTTTGGAGAGGCAAGAGCCAGGGTTGCATCGAGTGTTGATCGCACTATTCAGCCGAGTCAACACGATCGGAAGTGGGGTCTCCGCATGATGTCCCCCATCATGTACCTGCCCATCTTCACTTCCTACAGATCTATTTCCCTATGCAGTGCTGTGAGTTGCAGGTTTCTCCGGAACATGGTCTCGCAAGAGGGGTTGGCAGACATGAATTGAGTTGGTCTCGGGTGAATGCAGGACGACGGCCATGGACATAAAGCTGCAGAGTTTCGCAGGCCTTTTCATGTTTTATACACAAGCCAACAAGACATTACAAGATGGTACTTGGCAAAACCTTCATGAAGGCCGCCGCCTTGGTGGCAGGATTGGCCATCACCTCAGATGCTCTTGCTGTCAGGAAGCCCAATCTCAATGAGCTCATCAAGCCATACAAGAGAGATCTTGGGAAAGACCTTCTACAGGGTCTTGTCACCTGGGACGAGCACTCTCTCTTTGTACGCGGTGAGAGAATTATGATATACTCTGGAGAGTTCCACCCTTTCAGGTATGAGGCCCAGGACTGTGTTCAAATGCGTCAATGATGCTGATACCACGAAGATTGCCTGTACCTAGCTTGTGGCTAGATGTCTTCCAGAAAATCGAGGCATTGGGATACAACGCAGTCTCATTCTACGTCGACTGGGCTCTTGTTGAAGGAAAGCAAGGTGACTTCACCGCTGAAGGTGTCTTTGCCTGGGAACCTTTCTTCGAAGCTGCCCAGAAGGCGGGCATATACCTGATTGCCGTGAGTTGGCCACATTCGTAGTCATACGTTTTGCTGATCAGAAACTCACAGCGACCTGGACCATACATCAACGCCGAGGTCTCTGGTGGTGGTTTCCCTGGATGGCTTTCGAGAGTTCCAGCCCCTCTTCGCACACGCGACCCACGATTCCTTAACGCGACAGACAACTACTCCCGCAACATTGGTGAGATTATTGCAAAGGCTCAGATCACTGAAGGAGGTCCGGTTATTCTCTACCAGCCCGAGAACGAATACTCTCAAGCTGTCTCCAGCGACCCCGAATTTCCCGATCAAGTAAGTTACAACCTTCCGAGTGCCATAGACAGTCACAATTTCACGACCAACTCCTCTTTCACAGCGAAGCACAGTGAAATGGTAAGCTATAGAAATGCACAATACTTTCCTGAAAGAAGCAGTGTCCACTGAGAGTCGTGGTTACATCGGCTCTCTGTGAATTCTCTCCTGCCCGGAAGGTCTTGTGCATTTGTATAGCTATAACGTGACTGCCTCTAGCACACGAGAGAACATCGCGATGCTCTTACCAGGTCACACCCGCTAACGTTCATAGGTATACATGGCGGCCGTTGAGCAGAAGTTCAGGGACGCTGGCATCGTCGTACCATCCATCCTCAATGATGCCTTCCCTCATGGATACTTTGCACCAGGAACCGGAGTTGGAGCAGTGGATATCTACGGATATGACGGATACCCTCTTGGCTTTGACTGTGCGAACCCGACCACCTGGCCTGATAACAATCTTCCCACGTACTACGGCAACCTGCACGAAGAACAGAGCCCTTCGACTCCAAACTCAATTCTCGAGTTCCAAGGCGGCTCGTTCGATCCATGGGGCGGGCTTGGCTTTGCCCAATGTGCTGAATTGCTCAACTCTGAGTTTCAAAGAGTCTTCTACAAGAACGACTTCTCCTTCGGAGTGACGATCTTCAACATCTACATGACTTACGGTGGTACCAATTGGGGCAATCTCGGCCACCCAGGCGGCTATACTTCTTATGACTATGGAGCTGTTATCACCGAGGATCGTCTTGTATCTCGCGAGAAGTACAGTGAAGCCAAACTTGAAGCAAACTTCCTGCAAGCCTCGCCAGCATACTTGACTGCTATCCCTCAGAACAACACCCATGCCAATGGATCTTACACCAACAACCCCGACATCGCTGTCACTGCTCTGCTAGGCAACAGAACCAACTTCTTCGTCATCAGACATGCAGCATACAACTCTCGTGCCTCGACTCAGTTCAAATTGAACCTACCCACCAGCCAAGGAAACATCACGATCCCCCAGCTGAATGGCTCTCTTGTTCTGAACGGACGTGATTCCAAGTTCGCAGTGACCGACTATGATGCTGCGGGCACTAATCTGCTCTACTCATCTGCCGAGATCTTTACTCAGAAGTCTTACGGTGACAAGCAAATCCTAGTTGTCTACGCTGGTCCCAATGAGAACCACGAGCTCGCTTTCACTCTGTCTTGCAGTAGTGAGGTTGTCGAAGGATCGGGTGTTAATGTTGTAAAGAAAAAGGGCACTACTATCCTTGGCTTCAAGAGCAGCTCTGAGAGACGAATCGTCAAGATCGGAGAGCTCTACGTCTACATCCTCGATCGCAATGATGCCTACAACTACTGGGTTCTTGACTTGCCTTCCAGCACTATCTCTGGCAACTACACCAATGCCACCCTCGAGACCTCTGCCGCCATCGTCAAAGCAGGCTATCTCCTGCGCACTGTCGAGGTCAGCGGTAACACTCTGCATCTCACTGGTGATCTCAATACTACCACCGACATTGAGATCATCGGTGGCGCGCCAGCAAAGCTTACTGCTCTTACATTCAATGGTGAGAGCATCAAGTTTGCCCAGGACAGCTGCTCCGGCGTAGTTACAGGTTCTGCCACCTATAAGAAGCCATCTTTCTCTATTCCTGACTTGTCTTCCGTGGGTTGGAAGGTATTGGACTCTCTGCCAGAGGTTGCACCAGGATATGATGACAGTCTCTGGACGAGTGCCGACCTTACCTACAGTAACAACACCCAGCGCAATCTGACCACCCCTATGTCACTATACGGATCAGACTATGGCTACAATGCTGGAAACCTTCTCTTCCGCGGTCACTTCACTGCAAGTGGCAGTGAAAGCTCAATTTACCTCCAGACTCAGGGCGGCTCAGCCTTTGGCATGTCCGCTTGGTTGAATGACACTTTCCTCGGCTCCGCTCGTGGCATCGACGCCGCCTCGAATGCTAACTCGACTTTCAGTCTGCCCAATGTTGCCTCAGGCAGCTCGTATGTCCTGACTGTTCTCATCGACCACATGGGGCTCCAGGAGAACGGACAAGGAGGCTCCAGTGAGATGAAGACCCCTCGTGGTATCCTCAACTATTCTCTTAGCGGTCGCAACGCTTCTGCAATCACGTGGAAATTGACCGGCAACCTTCACGGCGAGGACTATGAAGACCGCACCAGGGGACCTCTCAACGAAGGTGGTCTCTATGCTGAGAGACAGGGTTACCATCTTCCAGGCGCGCCTACTTCCAGCTGGGCCAACAGCACCTCCGGGCCAATGGCTGGTATCACTTCTCCTGGTGTTTCTTTCTACTCCACGACGTTCGATCTAGACATGCCTGCTGGTTACGATATCCCCATTGCCATCTCTTTCTCCAACGCCACATCGAGCAGCAATGGCTCAGCTCCTGTTGCATACCGAAGTCAGATCTACGTAAATGGCTACCAGTTTGGCAAGTACGTTTCCAACATCGGCCCACAAGATGTGTTCCCTGTACCGCAAGGTATCTTCGACTACAACGGGCCCAACTACCTTGCTGTCTCGTTGTGGGCCTTGGACGAAGGTGGTGCAAAGATCTCGAACTTGAGTTTGGTTGCCGGTCCTGCCATTCAGAGTGGATATGGACCTATCTCTCTGAGCCCCATGACTGGATGGTCCAAGAGAGAGGGTGCGTACTAAGGAAAGTCGATGCTCTGCAAATTTGCGCCACGATCTGGATGGCGGAAGAGTGCCTGTGTATGTGAAGACGAACAGTTTTCATGCTTCACATAATCAACATATCCCTAATGTATAGAGCCTTTGGCAGGCCAAGGAGTGGAACGATAATGAGACATGTATATAAATATATATGTTGGTATGATCAACACAAAGGAGCAAACTTCTGTGGTAAACAAACTTCGTATGAGACCTTTCGTCCAACAAATTTCGCGGTTTTGCACTCGGGATGCTTGGAGTCACCATCTCTCGGTCTCGAGCATCGGCATCCCGCTTACTGAGGAAGGTAGCGGAGACAGGTTTCCAGAAAATCGCGATCCACAACCCCACACCTACAAGTTACACTCCTCTTCCTCCCCCACCCTCACGAACTCTTTTCTCTTGGCCTCCAAAACTCAATGGTTGGTTAGTGATGCGGCTTTCTAACATCCATCGAACAGGCAGCTTGAGTCGGCCCTTTTGCTGACTTGTTATAGGTCAATCTATCCATGGTCGCTCCAACAGACCCGAACCACACCCTAACTACTACTAACGTTGTCGGCGACTTGCATGGCTCGATACGATGGTCCTTGCACCCCCACCACCAGTGCATGCTAAACTGGAGCCCCGGGTTGTTCAGCTGGTTGGTTCGATCCTCCTGTCTATCTGCCGTACTACTGCTTCACTGGTCACGCGGACATGGACGCTTGAGATGCCCAGGATCTACGATGCCAGCCACAGTTCATCCCCAAATGTGAACACTCCCCGGATCTTTTTCGCGTTTGAGTACCAGAACTGTCGGCCTTTGATGCAGCGCCATCAATGAATCTTGCGATCCTGATCTCTTCGTCGATTTGTTCTATCTGTATATGCTGGAGTGTTTACTCCATTGGCGATATCTACCCTAGGACGCGCCAAGCCGAAGATCAGGCTCGATGGAAACCATACCTGGACATCTTACAGGCTGTATCGACATCTCGACAGATCGAGTGTTTGGGCCACTCTCAATATACAACAACAAAAGAGAACAGAGCAACAAGATAAGTAGTCTACTTATCGAGCTTGTGCGTGTGTGCAATCCTGTGGCGCTCCCCTCGTTCTGAGACCGTTTCACTTGGTTCTCTGCACGTCCCTCCGCTGGAACTAGGAGAAACCAATGGCCGATCCGGGTCGACCAGACCAATCAGAGACCACTCTCAGGAAAGGGATCGGAGACCTCGTGCTCTTAAACGCGGGGGAAGCGCGGGGAGGAGTCTCGGAAAAAGTTCCATGACTGAAGCGGATCATCTCTACGGAGTATAAGTAAAGCTTTGGAAGATGCAATCTCCCAACAGTTCATCCTCAAAAGCCCCTTCTTTTCTGGAGGCACCTTCTCTTTCTCATTCCAACACGACAACAATTTTTCACCATGGCGGAAATTCGAAACGAACCGCTCACCTTCCTCGAGAAGGATCAGGTCGCCCATACCAAAGCCAACAACCTGACGATCGCAAATGCCAAACTTGCCACTGAGAAGGAACACAACATGACCCTCTTGCAGGGTATCAAGTTATATCCCAAAGCCGTCTTCTGGAGTGTCCTCATCTCAACGTGTATCGCAATGGAAGGTTACGACGTCTGTCTCCTCGGAGCGTTCTACGCCCACCCCAAGTTCAACGAGAAATATGGTGTATTGCTGGCGGATGGAACATACCAGGTACCTGCACGCTGGCAAGCAGGTCTCAGCAACGGTGCCAATGTTGGAGAGATCATCGGTCTCTTCATCAACGGCTTCGTCTCTGAGCGCTTCGGCTACCGCTACACAGTCATGACTTGCCTGGTCATGATTGCAGCCATCACTGCTGTCTTCTTCACTGCACAAAACGTCCAAACCTTGTTGGTTGCCGAGATTCTCTGCGGGTAAGTTCACGTCGCCGTTCCCGTCGCACTACAAGCATCTGACCACTATGACAGTATCCCATGGGGTATTTTCCAAACTCTCACCGTAACCTACGCTTCCGAAGTATGCCCTGTCGCTCTCCGTGGATACCTTACAACCTACGTCAACTTCTGCTGGGGAATGGGCCAGGCCATTGGTATTGGCGTTGTGAAATCTCTGTTGCACCGCAACGACCAATGGGCATACCGCATTCCCTATGCCCTCCAATGGATGTGGCCCGTCCCCCTTCTCATCGGAATCACCTTCGCTCCTGAGAGTCCTTGGTGGCTGGTCAGAAAGGGCAGAGTCGAGGAAGCCAAGAAGTCTCTTCTCCGCCTGACCAGTTTGAACCGCGAAACCGACTTTGATGCTGATGAGACCATTGACATGATGGTTCACACCACAAAGCTTGAGGAGAAGATCACTACTGGCTCCAGCTACTGGGATTGTTTCAAGGGAACCGACCTTCGCCGTACTGAGATTGTCTGCATGGTCTGGGGTATTCAAAACCTCAGCGGCAACTCCTTCTCCGGATACTCGACTTATTTCCTCGAGCAAGCTGGTCTCGACCCTGGAAAGGCTATGGATTTCGCAATTGGACAATATGGCATTAACATGGCTGGTGTTTTTGGCGCCTGGTTCCTTATGAGCGTCGGCATCGGTCGCAGAACCCTCTACTTGGTTGGTCTCTGTGGTCTTTGCACTATGCTTCTTATCATGGGCTTCCTTGGACTTGTTCCTCATGCCCACAAGGACTCTGCATCCCTCGCTACTGGCTCAATGATGTTGATCTGGGCATTGTGCTACCAGCTGTCGGTTGGTACTGTCTGCTACTCCCTCGTCTCCGAAATTTCAACCCGTCGCTTGCAGATCAAGACTATCGTTCTCGGACGTAATCTTTACAACATTGTCGGCATTGTCTGCAGTGTCTTGACCCCATACATGCTCAACCCAAGCGCATGGAACTGGGGCAACTACGCCGGTTTCTTCTGGGCTGGTAGCTGCTTCTTGTGCATCATTTACACGTACTTCCGTGTACCTGAGCCCAGCGGTCGTACTTTCGCCGAGCTTGACTTGCTTTTCGAGAAGAAGATCAGCGCGAGAAAGTTCTCCAAGACCCAAGTCGACGTCTTCGCCGACAGCGTAGAGAAGGTTGAGGTTCACCACAACGAGAAAGTTGATGTTTGATTGCGAATTGAGTTGCTAACCTGCATCTCAGGTTGGCGTGTTTTGACACATTTTTTGTTTGCTTGCTTGCTGCATTTTCACGATGTCTCACGAGTCTCATTGTTTCTTATGCCCTACACGATTTTGTACATAGCTTATTGTAAATTCTTACCACATCAAGCCTTGATGGCGAAGATGTTTTTGTCCCTCTCAAATTCGTTTCAAGACTTGCATGATCTTTGCAGAGCTACTACTGTCTGTCTGTCTGTCTGTCTGTCTGTCTGTCTGTCTGTCTGTCTTAACGTCAGGCGGCGACCGGATGCAGGCGGATAGGAGATCTCTTGCTTTCGTTGGGATCAGGAGGCCAGCCACCGTCGGCGAAACCATTTTCCAGTTTTTCCCCAAGCATTCATTAGCCTTCGCCACCGCGTTAAGTGAGCACCGACGAGTGTATCTCTTCACTAGAGTCGATTTCCAGCCCATATATTCTGTCTGGACGAGAGTCTGAGATCGCAGTCCACCGCATTCCGTGACAGCGCTTGTCGCAACACAATTTCGAAACCGATCAGTCGCAACAAACGAATATTCTCTCAATCAAGACGATAGCGTGAACTCCAAAGTGAAGCGCTAGCGTGGCCTGTGCAGTTTCTCATGTGATAGGTCAATCAAGTCACTTAACGCGCTTCCCCGGTCGCTCTTGCCTTTTGACTAAAACGATAGGCATCCTTAGCCTTAGTGACCTGACACTCTTCACTTTCATTAGGAGAGGTTGTCGTTTGCGCACCCTACATTCTTGTTCGCCCACCACTTGCGCTCTTCACGCTCGCAACTATTCGGCGTTATTACAATCGATCGTTTGCGACTCTGCTATCTGCATCTGAAACAATCCTTCTGTCGACGCTGGTTTTCTCGACGCGTCACTTCACTCAGAATGGCGTTGAAAGTCGGGGACATTCTGAAGCGCTTAGGCCTAAGAGGCGCCATCATCCGATACGGCGAGCAGTGGAAAACCCAAGAGATCAAAGACCTCGAAGACGACATCAGAGCTTTCTACCAAAAGTACGAGCCTTATTTGAAGAGGGAAGAGGAGTATCCTGTCGAGTTCAACACCGACATTAACGACATCCTGGAAAGACATGGCCCTGGTCTATGGCCCGATGGTCCACGCAGCGAAGACACTACGCTTTGGCTGTTTCCAGCAGGAGACATCCCCGAATACCTTGAGGACATCTATTACAGTCGCCACATCGACAAGTAAGTTAAGAGTCACTCGTACTGCGCATGCGAAGTTGTTGATTGACAAGATACAGGNATCCAACCACTCTTCGCGACACTTCTTACTATGCGAGTGAAGGTGTATCGCAGCAATCAAAGACACGCAGAACTAAAGGCCAAAGAAAGACGTGAAGCTGAACTCGCTGCCGCTAACGCCAGCACATCGAATCATCTCTCGGACTCTGACTTGACCGACTTCGACAGCCATGACGAGCCCCATTCTCTCGTTCACACCATCAAATTCGAGCGGGATGAGAACAGAGCCAAGCTGCAGGAAATTCTCAAAGGCGAGGAGTTCAACCTAAGAAAGAGAAAGCTGAAGACCGACTCGCCCGTGGGCTCGGTCAAGCGTTCGAAGCAATCAAAAGCTCCATCCGAGCCTGTCCAACAGGGCTACAATCAGCATGTGTCTAGCTGGACCACGACCAACCCCGAAACAATCAATGTCGCCAGCCCTTCAAACCTTGACAATGGTCACGACCTACTTGTCGCAGCAGCATCTGGGCCTACTCATGGTTTCGTGTCGGTCAACCAAGCCGAACAGCACGAGCAGCCGCAGCCCGTGCAAGAAGTCTTAGACAGCGACGAAGACGTATCCGTGCCTGGAAGGACGGCCTTGAGCCTGCACTCAAGCGATGACAATTCATCCAACAACGAGAACCATCATCTTCCCGATACTCCTGCCGAAGGCGTTCTACACACACAATATTCACTGCCTCAGGACACACCCTTCGACGCACAGATGAGTGGAATGACCACGAAGCCCTTACAGCACCCACAAGCCGATGCAGAACCTTCAAACATGCCCACCGAAACCGCGTCGTCACAGCCTCAAGTCACCGACACATTCATTCCTTGGCCTAAACTTAGCAAGAGACGAGCCAAGAGATCAAAGAACGGTCTACGTCCAATGTTGGCTAACGATGACACGGAGCTCCCATCCCAAGAACTACCTTCCAGGCCTTCAGCTGACGCCTCGCACCCACCTATCATACCACAACAGGATGAGTCCCTCATATCCGTTGATGGTCACGCNCCCGAAAGCCGGAAGCTGATGAGAAGAACACATGTTCGCACTCCGGCACCAGAACCATCGAATCGCACGACAGATAACACGACTGCCACACTCAATCACCACACTACCCAACACATCAACAATCTCACACCTCTCTCAACTTACACGCGTACTTATCAAACACCGTATGCAGATGCACACCCGCTAGTGCTCACCTCACATTCATCATCAGCCGACGCTGTTCTTGGTGCCGCCAACATCCATCCTGCACCAATCCATTCCGCATCCATCGACTCTCCGCACATAATCTCTGGTCACACTCCAACCATCATGAACAAACACCTACCGCCACCGCCGACTGACATGCCTATCTCGGCAAACATCATCACAAGCCACTTTGCGAGCACGTTTGTCAAATTCACTCTGACCGTCAATGGCCGTAAGAATATCAAGATGCTCAAGCTCGCCGATTGCTTCGATGCTATTGCTTTGCATCAAACAGTCAACATCCGCTTCAAAGAAGCGCTCTCAGGCCTAGTCCCCTCAGAGATCGTCTTCACGTTCGCCGATACCGAATACGAGATCAACACTGAAGGCGGCGGTCAACCCCTTTGGGACGAGTTCATGCAAACCGTTCTTGATAATGCTCCTCCAAGCACTTGCCCCGTCGTTGCCGCAATCAAAGTTTGAGACCGTATGGCAGACATGACCATATTCGAGATTGGAATAGCGAAACAAATCATCGATTCACAGAGACGCGAGACGCGATCAAACCAATAGCGCTATCCTCGTCAAGGAGTACACGAGGACTCTGCGTGTTATCTTGACGGAAAGGAAAGGACTGATGCAGCAAAGCTGGGAAGAAGAATTGATTGTAATAACACCTTGGTTGTTTTGCTTTGCTTTGCTTTGCTCATACGACACAGAAAGGGGTTTCCAGGAGTTCAACGGATCGTTCTTTTTGTACCTTAGCATAATTACATAACCCCCAAGCTTAGGCTCGATATAAGCTCAGAATGAAGAGACTTTTGCAGATAACTCCTCATGTTCAGTAGCTCTCATGTTGGCTCTTGCGGTCTCAAGAAGTGGATGGTGCCTCCTTCTCTTTGATCCCCGTCTTCGTCTCGGTATGCTCCTTGCTCAAATGGCTTCTCACGATGAAGAAGCTCGCCGCGAACCCAAAGGCACTCACCGCCGTCATCAAGATCCATGTCCTCTGTAGACTGAATGCAAAGGCTTCTTTGACTGCGTTTCTCTGGCCCACATTCGCGATATCCTTGATCATCTCTACGTTTGCTGCTGCATCTCCACCGGTGAATTCGGAAAGAAGTTTGGGTGAGAGACCAGCGGCAGCGAGAGCAGAAGATCTCGAAGCCATGGAGTTCTGAATCACAACGCCGGCGATGACGATGGACATTGAAGTCGCGAGGTTGCGGATGAAACCCAAAGTTGCCGTTGCAGTCGCTACATCGTCTTGTTTGACCAGCGCTTGCATGGAAATAAGTGGAGGTTCGAAGAGCATCCCCGCGCCCAAGCCTTCCACCACTTCNNGGAGTCCTAGAATAGTGGCTAGAGGTGTAGAGGCATCGATGTAGATGTAAAGTCCCATGCCGAGAGTGCAGAGAGCCATGCCGACCCGGATGAGCTCTTGGTATCGACCGGTTCTGTGAATGATTATGCCACTCATGATGCCCATGAATGCTTCGCAGAGGGTCAAGGGCAGAATGTAGATTCCTGAGTGGATAGNGGAGGCTTGCTTGACAGATTGAAAGTAGAGGGNGAGGAAGTATTCGGCTGCGATGAAGAGNNCTTTGATTGTGTTAGCGAAGAAGAAAGTACACAGGGTTGGGAAGGAACCTACAAAGCCGTGACAGAAGGTAACGACGAGGACTGCGACGTTTGAGGGATGGCTGAATACGCCCAATGGCATCAAAGGGTAGCGAGCGACTTTCTTTTCGCTCAAGATGAACAGACCGCCCATAACGACGCCGAAGATGATTAGGCAGATGACTTTCGGCGATGACCAGGGGAAGATTACACCGCCAAAGTCGAGGCCGAGAAGCAGCATGAGGGTCAATCCGAGAATACACAGACTGCCCAGGAAGTCGATTGCCATGATGCCTTCAACAACCTTTGTCCTTGGATTGTGAACGTCGAGGAAGAAAAGAAGCAGGAAGAATGCTGTTCCCGAGATTGGAAGGTTGACCCAAAAACNACCCTATCAGCATCGATTAGTCCAGTTTTAACCCGGTGGTCATCAGAAAGTCTGCTTACACCTCCAAGACACAGATTCAGAAAAGACACCTCCAATGATGGGACCAATGCCACCAGCAAGAGCCCACATGAACTCCATAAGTCCAATAAACAGAGTGCGAAGCCTCATACTGAACAAGTCCGAGATGGTGATGATGGTGACTTGAATCAGTGCTCCACCACCCACACCTTGGAGTGCTCGTCCGGCAATCAAGACAGACATGCTAGGTGCAGTGGCACATATGATTGAGCTGACAAAGAACCAAGCCACTGATACCAGTAGAATGAGCTTTCTGCCCCAGATATCTGACAACTTGGCCCAAATGGGTGCGGCCGCAGCGTTGGCTAGCAAGTATGCCGAGCCAACCCATGTATAGCCACTCGCAGAGTGTAGTTNCGAAGCGATGGTCGGCAATGCCGTTGACACGATCGTTTGATCCAAGGCCGCTACGAAAAGAGCAANGCTTTACAAGAGTCAGTACGATCGGCCGGCTTTAGCGAAAAAGACCTGATGACCTACGTTCAGAGCTATCAGAATAGCTGCAATTTGGAGTTTACTCCTTGGTGTATCTGCCGGCGAAACAACGTCCATTTCTTCAATCTTGTTGTTTGTAGATGTGGAGGGAGATGAGGGCGTCTCAGCGACCAATTCATCTCGAGACATTGCGATTGGATCAGCCATGATGGGAAGATTATACAAAAGAATATTCAAAAGTGCAGCATAGATAAAGAAAGTAAGAATCGATAAATCCTCATGGCCCCCAGGCTGCCAGTCTGGTCGAGAAAAGGGCGCCTAGAATGAAGGAGTCATCGTCTTGATTTCGGCAAAGCCGAAAAATGATAAGTTTTGACCAGTTTCCCGCAATCTGCCATCATGATTTGCCTGGTTGAGGCAATGCTTGAAGAACCTTTAGCCGGCCGACGGCCTCGAAGGCTGTTTCTTCGACGTCCATACCTATCTCAATTCTGTCTATCTTCATGTTTTATTAAGGATCAGAATAGGAGCAGAGAAGGTATCATTGGCTGCAGCTTTCGAATATCCTTATTCGTGTGAGGATTGGGGAACATCATCAAATGACAGACATAAAATATTGGTGATACGATCAAAGGCCCACCGACAATTGATTCTTACAATACTCTGTTAAAGGCCTTATAAATGATCCGAACGAGGGCATATCTAGTTCTGATGCTTCTTTAGCAGGACACTTATGCCGAATTATGAGGCTCCCGAGATTGTATCTGCTGAATACAGGTCATGAGGTAGATTTTGGAAGAGGAGTATCCGAAAGGTCATTGATAGGTGCACACGATCATTAGGTACTGCTTCCTTGTTTGGAACCTTTGCGTTTGCTCGAGCTTCTGTTCGTTTGTCCACCTGCCCTCCAGCCTCCATCTATTAATCCCCAGGCTTCCTTCGTCGAGCACCCCCATCTCATCACAAGAGTCAAACATTCTACCATATCTTACCATACCTCATCAGATCATCATACTCCAAGCGGTGGATTCCATCTGCATTTAATCCATCACCAAAGACACCATGACTAAAGACGAGAACATCCCTACCAACGACACTACCGACAAGACAACCACGACTGCCGACGATGCCAGCCATGAAGTTAAGATCGTCATTGGCAACGAACAGAACACTCATCCGACATTGATGGGACCTCCTGTCATCAGAGTCAGCAAAGTCCCCGATTCAACTCCGGTCACGGTCCATCCCTCTCATGAGGTCACCAGACGAAGCGATGAAAAGTCGACATCCGTCTCTGAGGACATCAAACACGGCCAGGATGATGCGGAGCAACGCAATCACCCTTCACGAAGCGATTCAGAGCTCAACGAAGCCGCCTCGATCTATGAGGACTGCGATATGGAGCATGACGATGGAGACGGATATGATTTCGACTACGAAGACGATGATGACGACGAGCTATCTCTCGAAAACGATCCTTTCTTCGGTGACGCCCAGACCAAGCCTGACCAGCCAACTGAAGAGCAACTAGATGCCATCAGAAAGACCATGGAAGAAGACGAGGAAAAGGAGGCCGAAAAGGAGGCCTTGGAAGAGGCGAACAGAGAGGCTATACAGAAGGCTTTGACAGATGGTCTTCCTCCCGCGCTTGTCGATAACTCTACCGGAATCGAAGTCTATGAACCCATCGAGCCCCCTCAACCTCTGTTGAGCGAGCAAGTGAACAATGCGACAGAGTTGATACTCAGACTCAGATCATTCCTTGGAGGAGAAGAACTCATGCTGGTCGTCGGATACATCGAGCCNCCCTTCGAGATGAAACTCAAGTTCATTCAGGCGGTCAACTTGGACGTGGCAGAGCTTGAGAGCCTTGCGTTCTTGTTTGGAGACTACTACATCCAGGATGAGGATACTGCCTACAAGGTTTGTCTTCTTCCATGGCACCACTGTACGCAAAGAGACTGAGGAGTCACAGCTTGGAATGGGCAACGGAGCNNTAATGTCTATTGCGAACGTATCGGAGCAATACCCAACGATGCCGTTCCCGACCCAGCAACAAGCTAGACGGTTGTCAAGCCATGAAGAGTTTGATGTCCTCACCCCAGAGGGTTGCGTGCGTGGATTTGGTTGGCGACTGTTTGCCATTCTCGTTGGTTGATACCTGCACTGGTATTGGTTCGTCGTTGGAGTGACCCCTTGCGTCAGCCAGCCGACTGAAGGAGAAGATGGATGGACTGGTCCAGGAATGACGAGTTGAGATGGAGGTGGGAAAGAGAACCATGTACAGTAAAATTGGGGTATCAAAAGCGTTTCTATATCTTGGACAACGGAACAGATTCATTAGATGGACCAGCCTGCAGCCTTCTTCTTTTTCTTCTGCTGCTCTACTGTGGCATTGTACTCCTCTTGTTGGTCTTGCAGGTTCAGCGGCTCCAGATGTTTCGCAAGGTTCTCGGCTGTGAGAGCAGGTGCAGCGTCTTGTGGTCCCAGGCTTCCCAGCTCTTCTGCCAATTTCGGGTCGTCGACTTGAGGGTTCTCAAGAGAATCTGCGTGAGTTTGTTCGGCCAGCTCTTCCTCAGTTTGGTCTTCGCGAGCCGTTTGTGAATTTGTCTCCTCTTCTTCCTCGTCGTCATCCTCTTCCTCGTCTTCCGAGTAATCTTGGTCGACCTCATGGCTGTCTTGGTCGTCCTGGACTTCTGCGGTATCCTCGTCGGCTTCATTTTGGAAACCCACAGCCTCGACGAATCTGTCCAGATCCTTTGCCATCTTTCTGCTGAAACCTGTAGCCTCTACCTCGACATCCAAGCGCTTGTTCTTGTCGGCGTCCTTGATGGCGTCTTCGAAGAAGGGGCCAGGCTCGTCTGATGTGAATTTGAACTGGCGGGAGAAGAAACGCTTGATACAGTTGACATCGCGATCGAAGTACCACTTTGCGTTCTCGTGGGTTGTGGAAAGCATCTGAGGGAAATCGATGAGGATGGGAGTGGACTTCTTGGTGACGGGGTCCTCCTTGATGAGCAAGTTGAACTCGTTGAAGTCACCATGGATTAGGCCGACCTTGGCGAGGCGTACGATCAAGTCCATGAGTTCGCCGTAGAGTTTGAGAGGGTTGGAGACGTTGTCGATGGAGCGGAGGGGAAAGGAGTCTATAAGTTCCATGACGAGAGTGTGTCTGGTTTGCGCAATAGGTTCGGGGACAGGGAAGCCTTCACGCTTGAGTACTTGCATGAAAGCGTACTCCTTCATGGCTGCTAGGCGACTCAGGTACATCCATGATCCAGTGGTGCGGTTGCGCAGGTAGTCGCGGTTGGCCTTCACGGTACGGAAGGAAATGCGACCGAGTCTGTGAAGCTTGAGGACGAGCTGCTTGCCGCTAGGGTCTGCGACGACGTAGATGTCTGATTCCTTGCCGACACCAATCTGGTTTCCGAGACTGAAGACGGTGTCTTGTTTGCGCAGGGTGTTGAGAGAGAGGTAGTCGAGACCGCCGTAGGTCAGGCGGTAACCATCGTACTTTGCATTCTTGATTTTGGCGACGAGACCGGACTTGGCGAGGGTTGCAATGCTCTTGTGGACGCCGCTGCCTCCTCTGAGACCGGCAATTTGGGCGATCAGGACGGTAGGGACGAGTTCGTGGTTCTTGCTGCCCATTTCGACCTTGGAAGATTGTCAGTGCTGGTCACAGGATATGGATGTTGGTGCACATACCGCCGTCAGGACTCGCCAGTCCTCGGCCGTGAGGTAACGCAACTGTCTCGAATCCAACTTCATCTTGCCGTGTGTCTATAATTCGATCAATAAAGTTGTCGAGAATAATTCTTTGATGGCAGCGGGGATGCGCCTTCTGCCAGCATCAAGTCCGAAGGCGGTGAGACGACGGCTTGCCAAGGGCCGCTAAGGACCGCTGTTTCGCGGCGTCATTCTAGCTTGAGCCTTGAGAGCTGCTCGCCGCATCGCCGCCATCAACACCATCCACCCTCACACGACATCTATCTACTCGTCCATCTCCCACTTCTCTGGACCTTTCTCTCCCGGCGACCAGAGTTCGAAACCGCGCCATAACCTCTCTCCCGCCACCGATTCATCTCCACCGACAGCCGCCCAAACATCACTATGGCCCAGGACGACAAGCCTGTCGCCGACAAGGGCAAGGCCCCTGCTGAGAAGCAGACCACCGAAACCCCCGGCGCAAATGAGCCGCAAGAGCAGTCGACCAAGGATGGCAAGAAGCCCGTCGATCTCCCTGCTGGTATGTATATACACACATCTCGGAATCTCTTCATAGCCTGACCGAGACCAGACGAGTTGAACGAGGAGGACCAGAAGCTCAAGGATGAGTTGGACATGCTCGTCGAGAGATTNACTAGTACGTCTACACAGTCCACAGCCCTTGAGCTGCACTCACTAATACACCTTCAGGAGTCCGACAAGTCGCTGTACAAGCCCGCCCTCGAAGCCATCAAGACGTCCATCAAGACCGCCACATCATCCATGACCGCCGTCCCGAAGCCTCTCAAATTCCTCCGCCCCCACTACGAGAAGCTCGAACAGACATACGAATCATGGCCCGCAGGCGACGACAAGAACTCGCTCGCCGACACCCTGTCCGTATTGGGCATGACTTATGCTGACGAGGACCGCACCGACACACTCAAGTACCGCTTGCTAGCACCTTCAGGCGATCTTGGTTCATGGGGTCACGAGTACATGCGCCATCTGGCTCTCGAGATAGGTTCCGATTACCAGAAGCGCCTGAACGAGGAGCGCGATGCTGACGAACTCGTCACCCTTTGTCTGGCTCTCGTCCCCTTCTTCCTTAAGCACAATGCAGAGGCCGATGCAGTCGACATTCTGAGCGAGCTAGAGATGATTGAAGCCATTGCTGATCACGTCGACGACAACACTTACGCCAGAGTCTGTCTGTACATGGTCAGCATGGTACCGCTCCTCACCTACCCTGATAACGATCGCTTCCTCCACACCGCACACGACATCTACAGAAAACACAACCAGCTTCCCCATGCTCTTACCCTGGCCATCCGTCTCAACGATTTCGACCTGATCAAGAGCGACTTCAGCTCCACCAAGGACAAGAACATGCGTAGACAGCTCGCATTCGTACTCGCCCGCCAAAAGATCCCGCTTGAGCTTGATGATGACGAGAAGGAGGAGGATCCTGAGCTGCAGGAGTGCTTGAACAACACCAGAATGCCCGACCACTTCAAGGCTCTGGCCAAGGAGCTCAACATCCTCGACCCCAAGGTTCCTGAGGATATCTACAAGTCGCATCTTGAGTCGAGCAGAACCGCTGGCTTGACCAACACCGACTCGGCGAGACACAACCTGGCCAGCGCTTTCGTCAACGCCTTTGTCAATGCCGGTTTCGGAACAGACAAGATGATGCTTGTCGAGGGTGGTATCAAGTCAAGTTGGGTTTGGAAGACAAAGGACGATGGCATGCTCTCGACCGCTGCCTCTCTCGGTTCTCTCATGCTCTGGGACGTCGAGAACGGTGTTGACAAGATCGATACATACACATACGTCCAGGAGGACTCGATCAAGGCTGGTGCTGCTCTGGCCACTGGTATCGTCAACTCTGGCGTGCGTCTCGAGGCTGATCCCGCCTTTGCTCTGCTCGGTGACAACCTCGACAGCTCAAAGTCAAAGTCGGTCAGAGTCGCCTCCTTGATGGGTCTGGGTTTGGCTTACGCTGGCTCCAACCGTGAGGATCTCCTCGAACTGCTCCTTCCTTTCGTTACCGACACTTCTCTCGACATGCAATTGTCTGCAATGGCTGCCCTCTCTCTTGGTCTGGTCTTCGTTGGATCCGCCCAATCAGATGTTAGCGAGGCCATCATCCAGACCTTCCTTGACGATGACCGCAACAAGCAACTCAAGGACAAGTGGACCCGCTTCATGGCTCTTGGTCTTGCCCTGCTCTACTTTGGCCAGCAAGAAGAGGTTGACGTCATTCTTGAGACTCTCAAGGCCATTGACCACCCCATGTCCAAGCCTACCTCTGTCCTTGCCGAGATCTGCGCCTGGGCTGGTACCGGTGCTGTCTTGAAGCTGCAAGAGCTCCTCTACACCTGCAACGAGCACATCGAGGAGGGTGACGAGGACAGGAAGGGTGATGAGCTTGTTCAAACCTACGCTGTTCTCGGTCTGTCGCTTGTTGCCATGGGTGAGGAGGTTGGTCAGGAGATGGTCCTGCGCCAGTTTGGTCACTTGATGCACTACGGCGAGGCCAACATTCGCAAGGCCGTTCCTCTTGCTATGGGTCTGATCTCTCCCTCAAACCCTCAAATGAAGGTCTACGACACCTTGTCGCGTTACACTCACGACAACGACCCCGATGTCGCTGTCAACGCAATCTTCGCCATGGGTTTGCTCGGTGCTGGTACAAACAACGCTCGTCTGGCTCAATTGCTCCGCCAGCTTGCTTCGTACTACCACCGCGATCCCAACGCCCTGTTCATGGTCCGCATTGCACAAGGTATGCTGCACATGGGCAAGGGCACTCTTTCGCTCTCGCCCTTCCACACCGATCGCAGCGTCCTATCAAGAGTGTCAGCTGCCGGTCTCCTCACCACCCTCGTCTCTCTTATCGACGCCAAGTCGTTTGTTCTCGGCGACTCCCACTACCTCCTCTACTTCCTCGTTACCGCCATTAATCCCAGATTCCTCATCACATTGGACGAAGACCTCAAGCCTCTGCAAGTCAACGTTCGTGTTGGTCAAGCAGTCGATGTTGTTGGACAAGCTGGTCGCCCCAAGACCATCACTGGTTGGCAGACACAGAGCACACCTGTTCTGTTGAGTTATGGCGAGAGAGCCGAGCTCGAAGACGAGGAGTACATCCCTGTGACGAATGTCATGGAGGGATTGGTTATTCTGAAAAAGGTATGTCACCATCAATATTTCATCTCAACAACAAACACTGACATTGATACANNGAACCCTGAGTGGGAAGGTACACAAGCATAGACGGTAGCATGGACATGATATGGGAGTCATTAAGGCAAAAAGTTCACACGGATGAAGCTTGCAGCACTTGATACACGAATGAACATCAGACAGCGCGGGTCAGCGTTGGGATGGAAATGTAATATAGAGAAGACGGCAGTAGCATGTTTCTCAATGAAGACACACTTTTCACGATTCAACAACTTTTGTCTTGATGAATGTGAGATGCGCGATTTTGGAGCGTCGAGCTGACAGACAGGGCGAACGGCATCTCGGCGCGTGCCCAACGCCAAGAGGGGTCTGGTTCCCAACTCCGCAATCTCCGCCTTCGATGGGATTCTGGTCCAAACAAATCATTTCCTTTTGAGTCTTGACATCTTCTTTTTCGGCAAGCATATCGTGTATCTCTGAATCCCTCATCTTGACGACAGCTCACGCGGACGCGTCACTCTTCATCCCTCCCACCATTCGTAGAGTTGACCCATATTCTTCGTCACCAAACTATTCATACCAGCATCCCGTATCGCATATATTCAGTCACCAAGAGGATCGCAAAGAGAAGCAGCTCAGGGGCCAAAAGATACTCATATCACATAGGCTAGCAAGGGACTCAAAGAACACATCACAATGGCGACACCCAACATCAATTTCGGCAGCCCTGTCATCNNTTTTTTCGACTCACATCCCGAGCAACAACCCGGCTATATCGCATCATGGGCCTACGCCTTCCGCGACCACCTGAAGATTGCCTGGACTGGTGATGTGCCCAAGAGATTGTTCCCTGGTACCTTGCGACTGGTTTGGTGGACTGTAAGCTTTCTCTCTACACGGCCCCCCCTTAGGAGCTTCATGCTGACCCAACAATCACAGACCGACGGCGTGCAAGGCCTCCGTGACTTCGAACTTCACCAATCCGAACTCATAAAAGCACTCTGGGACGGCCTTCTCGACAACCCCGACGTCTCTCGCGCGCTCGTGACCGGATACTCAGGCCAAAATCCCTTCGTCCTCAGCTACGGCGATAACCCATGGCTCACAAAAGAGCAAAAGGAGAAATTGATCCGCCGCCAAAACGACGAGATGTGGGCCAAGAAGTCGGCCAGGAGAGTCGAGACAAGAAGTAAAGATGAGAAGTTCGAGGACGAGAAGGAGGCAATCAGGAGAAAGGAGCAGATTTTGGAACACATCGATGAGGTTATCCAGAGTAATGAGGATGCCGAGAAGGAGAGGCTGCTGGCTGTGGACAGAGAATTTGTTTGAGCTCTGCGAGTCTCTTTCCTCTTCTGCCATTCATCAATCTGCCTTCGATTGGTCCATCTTTGCGACCCTGGTTCCTCTCTTCGCGAGTTCGAAGTCGCGACACTTGGTTGCCAGCAAGCCCATCTCGAACCAACTACACATCACCTTGCTCTGGCCCCTGCCTCGTCGCACTGATCATGAGACCACCATATCTTGTAAAATCGACTCTTCTTGCATAGTCAGTGGGCGTAAAGGGGTTTGCATCCTTTCCAAGATTTTCTGTAAATAAACATTCTTGTAATCATCTTTCTCAGCATGACACCACAATCACCGTTTCGTTGCTCAGACACAATCCCGCATGAAAGGGGAGAACAGACGTGATGTTCACCACCAAAACACGGCCACTTCGCCCGTGACTTATACAGGAGTCTCATCTTCACGATAGCGACTTCTTTGGCCAAGAAAGATTGACCTCCTACTGCAATGTTTGTGGAAGGTGCCGCTGCGAAGCTCCTTTTGTTACAGAGGTATGGACTTCCACATTCTGCGACTTCCTACACGAATGCTTTTTCGGACCAAACCACATCCATCCTTCCAATCTCGACGACATTTCTTATTATACACGAGCTTCCGTTTTACTCTTGTTCCTTCTGCTCTTCGATGTTGTCGTCTTGTTGCTGATGCGGCATGTCTGGTTCTAATCCATGTGGCACGGCAATGACGAGTGGTTACACAAGTCTTTACCAGCCACGTTCACCAAACAGAACATTTGAGGCATCACTGCACCTTCCCGGATTTCCTCTTGTCTTTGGACCGAAACCTACCGCAACAGCACCACCACGCGTCATCCTCCAATCAGGTCTCTCACAGCCGACAGCTCAAGAAAACCACCATTATGTCGAGTTTGCGGACGGCACTGGTGATAAGACCTCTCTATAACAATGTCTCGCGCAAGGCACAGCACACCTACGGACTGCTTGGTGTGTCTGTTGATCGGTCACCTATCGCTGAATTCCACTTCTCCCCGAGCCCTATCTCATTGGCTCGACGGCTTCCCCCTGGACATACTGGCTCTGAGCATAGGAAATCGCAAAACAGAACACTGTTGAGATCCGTGCCTATTCGTATAAGAGACTTGGTAGAGTCGAAAACCTCTAAGACTAGCGAACGGGGAAGCCTTGATGCGTCTCTGAGGGCTTATTTCAATGCAAGAAGCATTTCCCTCCTAGTATCCTTTCGCTCAGCCCAGGAGTATCTCTACCGCGAGCTCGCTACGCTCACACAGCCTGCTCGTGACGCGAGAGGCAAAGTGAATGAAACCTACGAAGAACTCGAGAAGCGCTTTTCATGGCCAAAACCAGTTCCGAGTTACGAAAGGCCTTCCACGATGACATAGGATCGAAGAATATGCTATTACGACAGCAACAAGCATACCTGAAGCTCTACGATGCAACCAACCCAGACCCTGAGCCTTTCTTGACATATTGCGATCGAATTGCTGCAAGGAGTGAGCACGCAAAAGGCAGTGTTACGCACAAGCGAGGCTTAGTGTGGAACATGCTGGACCAGTGTAGAGATGCCGAAGTGATCTTGAGCCACAAGGGATTAATCAGTGATGCTGGATGGTTCAAGGAATTTGCTTCCTATAGGTGGTACCACCCGTCTGGGCATTGGAACAGATCTTCGATTGAGCCCAGGCATCGATCTCAGGAGTTCCTTGGGGAAAATCTACAGAAAGAGGGACATCGACAATCATTGGAACTAAGAACTGAGGGCGCTCGGGCTCTCCACGACACGTTGAACGAGAAGAAGTTGAGTGGGCCTACTATTCTGGTGGCGTTGGGCCCATATAGTCATGCACGTACATCTGCGTCCTCCTATGTTGTAACATGCTCAACTTGTGCTATGAGAACGCATCCTCACCGAAAGAGAGAGCACACAAGTCTATAGCTTTCTTCGTTCGCATCTATTAAACATAAGCCTTACCTCCACTTTGAACCTCAACCGTGTGCTGCAGAGGGGTTTCAACACCAGTCTCATACCCTTCCGTTTCTCCTCTGATGACCTCCTTCTCTCCTCTTTGAATCTCCCTATCGTGCAAGAATCTAGTCCCCAATGCTGTGATGATGATGCACACAGATAGGCAGGTTACCGTGATGAAACCTTTGTGGTACTTGGGAGCATCAACTTGTTGCCAGACCAGAAGGGGTAGCCACGCTTGCACGATATAGGCCATTTCGTTCATGGTCGCCGTGACGATCGCTCTTTCCTCGTTGTCCGAAGCACAGATCTCGTGGGCCCATCTGTATCGTACAAGTGTCAGCAATGCAATCGATGAGGAGACAAATAAAATAAGGTCAGCACTTACGCAAAGATCAACCCACTCAACCCACTCCCGCACCCACTCATGATATAACAAGCCCACTTCCAACCTATAGGGATATCCCAGATGGACAAACTGACATAACACATAACATTCATCAACGCCCCAAAAATCATCGGCGGCCACCTTCTCCCTTTGAACAATCCATCGCTCGTCCACGCATACACCAATGTAGTAACCACCGCAACCGCACTCGTCGTTGTCGGATAAGCATTAATCTGAGTAACACTATACTTTGGCTCTTTACTCTTCTTGAGGAACTGCTGAAACACAGGTTGCGAATTTGCAGAGCCATTGTTGAAGAAAATGTAGAGGAGGGTTAGCATGTAAATGTGCCATGAAGATAGGATTTTACAGATTTTGAAGGTTGTGTAGGGTTGGCGTTTGCTGCGGCCTTCGAGCTGCATGCGCTTTTGGGCAAAGGCGATTTCCTGTTGCTCTTGTGAGTCTTGGGAGTTATTAGATTGGTGGAGAGGGATATGCTTACTTCTTTGGTTAGGTAGAAGGCGGTGCAGATTTCAGGGACGTCGGGGAGGAAAAGGAAGCCGGCGAGGCAAATCGGGAGTGAGATTATGCCGTCGACTATGAATAGCCTGTGGTTTCTTGTTAGTGTAAATCTACATCGTTGTGCGGTTGTATACGCACCATTGCCAACCTTTAAAGTCACCGACGCCTCCAAGGTGATAGACTGCAGCCATAAGATACCCACTAAACATGGTAGCGATGGCACTACTGGTATGGAATATGCATGATCTCTTTGCAAGTTCATCTTTACGGTACCAAGAGCCGATGATGTATTGCATGCCAGGATAGAAAGCCGATTCCGCGAGTCCAACGAAGAAGCGGATAATGTAGAGTTGAGTAGCACTGTTGGCTCTACAGGTACAGAACGTTAGGATCGTCCAGATTAGCTATGTTGATGGTCAGTATATCAGATTCACTAAGCCTTGTAGCGGTTGCTCACCTCAAGAGTAGGAAGCCAGTAGCGAGGCCGTATTTTCGTCAAGATGATGTTCGACGGGATCTCGCCGATGACATAGCCAACTGTCCAGCAGGTTTGCATATAGTTCAGTTCATTGCCGTATAGACCAAGGTCTTCCTGCCTGTTTTGGGCGTCAGCGTCTCTAGCCTCTGTGGTCGTCTCAGAATTAAGACTCACATCCCCGAGACCTATGAAATTATGCATATCAGCCGATGGAGGTCAGCAGTAGATGAAAACAGAGAACCCACAAATGCGTTATTCACGTTTGATTGATCGAGATATTTGATCAGGTAGCCTGTGAGATACTTTAGCATCCGGTCGAACACAAAACACAAAAAGCCATCAAAAAAGACGAAAAAAGCGCCAAAAAGAACGACAAAAACGCACCAAGGGAAGCAAGAGTAAGCAAAGCGCTATCGATCTTGAACAAGAACTTTCTCTCTTCAGGGCTCTTGTCAAATGTATCCCAGATATAGCTCTGCCATTTTCTCTTCGGCTTTTCAGCAATAACTTCTTGCGCTCGCTCATGTGCTTGTTCGTTGATATCGTTGGCCACTGTTTTGCTTGGTAGGTCAGACATACTGAGTGTCTTGGAGCCAAAGTACTGGCAAGCTGAGTTGAACAAGATGCTGTGCAAAGCCTCAAGCATATAAGACGGCACAACCAAAGCCAAAGACAAAAATTCTGGACCGGTGGATATGCCGAGTCAGGAAGGATGAGATAGCTGATGCATCTACACTGCGTGCTTGAGAATTGAGCCGGATGATCCTTGTCAAAGCAGGTATTGCGTGCTTCTTGATAGTGGAGGTACAGCATAGTGTATCAACGACTGGCCCTCGATAGCCTTGGGTGGACTCCAGATTGCGTGATACCGTCTTAGTAGTTCGTGCTCATGTATGGAGCATATCATCTGGTCGCATCCATTTGCTACATCGGGACATCGTTGCTCTTCGGATAGTTGACGAGTCGAGGGTGCCTCTGATATGGTAGGATAGTAGTTTCGTTGACGTTCACCTACAGTCCGGAAAAAGTCGATTTGATCGTCTCAGATCTGTCTACACAGGTACACTCAGAGCATTGTCAGATCGAGTCACTCTTCTCCTCAACGCTGGCTGGGTCAGTCCTGTGGTGAGCATGAAGGTCTTATTCGATGCGGGGTACTGTAACAGAACAGAATACAAGATAGCATGCCTTTCAATCAGTGTGCTTTCATTACCTGGAGAACATGTGTTGAAAGTTGAAGCTGTGTTTAGTGGTGAAGATCCGAATGTCGCCATTGAAGCCCCCTCTCACGACAGAGCTGTTTCGCCAAGACATATGCAACCACCCTGTCCGAGCCCCACCACAACAGATGAGGTTCTATATGTTGAATTGTAGCTCATACGAAAGTATTGATCCTTCAGGTCTTTGTGACCCGCAATGAGTACTTGAGGTGCCCTGGTGAGGGGTAATGGCAACTCGTGTCAGGCTATGCTTAGCAATAGCTTGATGATGTGCTTTCGATCCACTCCGGCATGTGTTGTTGTCAACTAGATTTATAATCCGCGGTGTCTGTACAGGAACAGGTATTAGATATAAAGGTACTGGTTCTTAGAAAGATTGCTTTGTTCATCCTCCCCATCACTTCACAACTCTACAAAGCCAATTTTCAATCAGACTTACCACCATGGCTCCCGGTGCTATCGATCCCTCAATCACAAATGTGGTTCAACCTAAGAAGGACAGCCTAGGCCTCCCCAAGGAGACTCGAGCCCGCCTCGAAAGGGCCAATGTCGATCTTTCGAACGGTTACCCTTACCGACCAGCTCGTCCCCTCTACCTGCAAGATGCCTACAATATCAGAAACGAGACTTGGGCGCATGACGATGCTGGAGCCAGAGCAAAGAAGACCGATCCTACCAAGAAGTCTCTTTTCGAAGCTGCAAGCAAGGTCGAGGACCTCACAGCTCACATCGGCACCGAGATCCACGGCTTGCAGTTAAAGGATCTCACCAACCAGCAGAAGGACGAGCTTGCACTGTTGATTGCTGAGAGAAGCATTGTCTTCTTCCGTGATCAGGACATTTCTCCTCAACAGCAAAAGGAGCTTGGCGAGCATTATGGAAAGATTGAAGTCCACGTAAGTGCTGATCTGGAGAGATCGAATCTCGATACTGACATATCCTGTAGNCCTCAAGTACCCCAAGTCCCAGGTGTCGAAGGTGTCACTGTAATCTGGCCTGCTCTGCAAGCAACCGAGAGAGCTGCCAACTTCAGAAATCCTGGCGGTGCTTCTCGTTGGCACACTGATCTGGTCCACGAGCGTCAGCCTGCAGGTATCACGCACCTTCACAACGACGTTGTGCCATCTGTCGGTGGTGACACTCTGTGGGCTTCGGGCTATGCTGCCTACGAGAAGCTCAGTCCAGGATTCCGCAAGATTATTGACGGCAAGAAAGCATACTTCAAGTCTGCACACACATACCTCGACCGCGATGATCCCAATGCCGGTCCCAAGCATATCGAACGTGTTCACCCGATCGTTCGCGTGCATCCAGCTACTGGCTGGAAGGCGCTCTTCGTGAACAGGTCTTTCACAACCAGGATAGTCGACCTCGACAAAGCTGAGAGTGATGTCATTCTGAACTACCTTTTCGATGTCTACGAGCGGGTGAGTGTCTCATCGGATCGAAGTCGACTACTTTTGCACAGTGTTGCTGACCTGTTCTCANNGAATATCGACATCCAGCTCCGTTTCAGGTGGACACCCAGGACCAGTGCTCTGTGGGACAACCGTATTACCATTCACAATGCTTCTTGGGACTACGAAGGAGGTAGCCCAAGACACGGCACTCGTGTGACTTCGCTGGCCGAGGAGCCCTACTTTGAGGAGGATGCGCCAACCAGAAGACATGCGTTGGGCCTTGATGCTGAAGATGAGTCGGTTGGTTCCGATTAGCCAGATAGCTTGGGTCAGCTCTGCTTTCAGTACGTTGTTGCGCAGCAATAGTATGCTCTCAAGTTCTTACTCACGAGAGGACCTCTAATAATTAGCTGCTTGCATGTCTTATTCATCGACTTGTGCTTTCGTTGGTGTTTCCGTAAACCGAAGCTGCGGTTGAAGGCTGATCGTGGTTTCCTCGTGTGGCTGCAATGTTGTCAAGTTTGTTCTGTGATCTTCTCAAGATGACAGAACAATCAGTCAATTGAACATTCAACTTCATCATCATGGACTTGTCTTTGCGCTGCAACTCGCTCAAATGTCGCTCGCGTCTCGCCGATAGAGCCGTGGTGACGACGTGCAGGTAAGCGGTGCGCTGTCTACGAGAAGTTCGGCGTCTGATTGAGCTTCGTAGCCACATCTTCTGCATGTCATGCTCGGATGTCCTTGGTCTTACTACTTCGACAAACGGTGTTCGCGTATGTCCTGCATGCGACGCCCAACTTGCGAACCCAGACGATGCTGTCGCTACACAGCTCAACCCGACCGAAGACTACAAGACAAGCGTTCTCAGCGGCCTCAGTCCGACAATCATCATGGAGTGTTGTAGCCGTGGAATATCATTCTACCAGTATCAGGTGACTCAAGAGATGTGAGTACAACAAGTCTTTGTCAACTATCAACCCTGACAGAAGCAGNNCATGTATCACGACTACATGGCCAAGAATCTGGCGGATAGATATGCGAATCTCAACTCTCAGCTGGACAATGTCATCAAGGACGCGAATTCGGAGATCAGCGCTCTGCGAGACAGACTAGAGAGTAAGTCGCACAATCATGCTCAAGATCGCGGGTAGCCACTACTGACACAGTGCAGGNNAATGCATCTGGAAAAGAAGACACTCGAGCAGAAGAATCAGGAGCTGGTCAACGCGTTCAGCGAGAAGAGCAAGGCGCACCAGCGACTAACCAAGCTATACCAACGAGCCAAAGGCACGCATGATGCTGAGCAGATGCGATACGCGGCCGCAGACGATGTCGACCATGTAATACAGTCAATGCAAGGGCCCGGGCTCACCGAAGTGCTTCGAGACAGGACACCTCAGCGACCGGCTTCGATGCCTAGAAGAGGAGGTGGCCAAGATGTGCCTCAAGTCTACAGTCATAGCAGGGTGGGTAGCTATGGCGGNGGCAAGAACCAGGTGTGGTCGAGTCAAAACTCTCGAGGAGGACTGGGTATGTGTCGTGTTTCCGAGCAGAGAGGGCTGGACTGGGCTAATTCGCGCATGTCTNNAGAGCTTTCGCAAAACACAGGCTCCCCATCACTGAGTTCTAGCATGCCGAATTATGGTCTCAGAGCTCCGGCGCTAGGCCAACGACAAGCAACACCAAACCGCCAGCCCCTGGGCGAGATACATCGCAACGCAACAAGCAGTCAAGGATTCGGCGGCTACAGCGCCAGTGGAGGAGGCGTCAAGATTGGTGGAAATATGGCGCAGCAACGCCCTCAGATTATCAACCGCAATCTGTCACGCGTCTTGAATCGAGGTTGAAACAATAATTAGGGCGTGTCGTGGGAGCATTGGGAGAGGAGATGGCTTGCAGAATCAGAGAGAGATGATGACGCCGAGGCATGTCGGACCGAACCGGCGGGGTTTCTAGGGACGAAGTGGCATGCATGTGATTTCTGAAGAACAGAGAGCATTTCTACAATCATTGTTTCCTCTTCTGACTATTACCAAGAAATCTCTATCAGATATCCACCACAATGGCCCAAGCATCGAGCCAGTATGTCTACTCCCTCTACGATGAGGCATAGTCCTCAGCTAACACCAAACCAAGACTCCCGCCTGTCCGAGCATGTCTCTTTGACATGGACGGTCTCTTGATCGATTCTGAGGATTTGTACACAGTATGCACCAACGAGACGCTACGAAAGTACGGCAAGCCCGACCTGCCATGGAACATCAAGGCTCAACTGCAAGGACGACCCGGCCCCGAGGTACCCACACGACACCCACCAGGAGCAACCATCAAGAGCTAACACATACCCGCANNGGCTGGCCAGATCTTCCACGACTGGGCCCAATTACCCATCACGCGCGAAGACTTCCTCCAACAGACGTCGGTCTTGCAACAAAAGTACTTTCCTTCCACACAACCGCTGCCCGGCGTCCGCGACCTACTCAAGACCCTCGACGCGAACCCGAACGTTGACATTGCCCTCGCCACTTCGTCCAACAAGAACAACTTTGGCCTCAAAACCGCACACCTGGAAGACATGTTTGTCGTCTTTGAGCAACAACACCGTGTACTTGGTGATGACCCACGAATCCCTACTGGAAAGGGCAAGCCTGCACCAGACATCTATCTCCTCGCTCTCGAGACCATCAACGAACGCATCCGTAAAGAAGGAAACGAGAAGGAGATCACACCTGCTGAATGTTTGGTCTTCGAAGACAGCGTGCCTGGTGTAGAGTCAGGAAGAAGAGCTGGTATGCAAGTCGTCTGGTGCCCGCATCCTGGCCTGCTGAACGAGTACAAGGGAAGAGAGGACGATGTGTTGGCAGGCACGAGTATCATGAAGCAATATGGCGTCAGCAGTGGAGGTAGCGAGGTGCCTGGAAAGGTCGGCGATGGTTGGGCGAGACTGCACATGACTCTTGAGAACTTCCCTTATAAGAGTTATGGTATGGAAGCATAGCAGGTGAAGAGAAGCGGTGGGACGAGATCTTCGTTGTAAATGATTGGTGAAAGCATTCGTTCAAGCCGCAAAGGGCATCTTCGGGTCTCTTGTCTGCGGCAAGAGTAAAAGGGAAGACACACGTAAAGCACGCTTTCAATAGACAACTCTTTATTCAGGAAAATGATTTGTCATTGCCTGAGCCTTTTTGATCACTTCTGGTACTGATGGGATCACAGAATGCAGTTGATGGTGCAACACAGCCGGGGTTGCGACCTCGGCAAGTGTTTTCCTCTTTTCCATAGTGTTCGCAGAAGCATTTGAGGATGGTGCATCAGTCAACTTCCAGGAATATGGACTATCATCTGGAGATGCTGTGCGTTGGTGTTTGAGCGTGGTTGTACTCAAGTGGCGTTCATATATGTTTGAGCTTCGTGGAAATGAGGTTGCCTCAGGCCAAACGCATCGCCGAGAGTATAAAAGCTTGTCACACAGGATTACAATCATGGTTTCGAAACCGAAAGACACAAGAAAATAGTATTGCATGTTTGACAATCTATCGTCGGCAGTGTGGGTGTGAACGACGATGTGCGCATGCGACATGCGTTGTGGTCGCGACTATATATTATTTTACAGCAAGCACAATTCCAGCTGTAATGGCTCAACGGGAAGAAATGACTTCAATCTTTCTTACCACCCCTGCTGTTGGCAACAACCCAACCATCGGTGCCCGGTTCGAATCTCGTGGTGGCCACCCACTCGCACAGGTAACTTGCGATTTGCTGCGCGTGGCCTTGAGACTGCTTGGATACCGCTTCAGCCGAGCAATCGGGCAGAGCGACTGAGCCCATGGGATGGCGAGTCCGGACTACATTGATGTGTTGGTGGGGTGTTTGGGAAGAGTTATGTGGTTGTGACTTTCTTTTTGCACTTTTTGCTCCTCGAGATGGCAGACATGTGAAGGTCGGCAAGACCCGAACTGTAACGATGACTTCACCAGGCTGCTGCCGGAGCAAGCTCTCCCGAATAATTCATCCAGACACGACTTTCCACAACCAACAAACATCGTCGCGTAGTTGCGCCATTTGGTCCATCGGAATCGCGTCGTCTCGAAGAAATTCATCTCGACGAGCATCAAGATGGAGCGCGCAAGCTTCAAACGCAAAGGCGATTTCGGCGCCAACAACAACAGCCGCAAAAGCGCCAAACTGGACGAGAACAACGGACCTCCTGCCAACACATCAGGCAAGATGACTTTCGCTGAACGCATGATGGCCAAGATGGGCTACAAACAGGGCCAGGGTCTCGGAAAGGAAGGCGAGGGAATAGTCAACCCCATCGAAGTCAAACTGCGACCACAGGGTGCTGGTGTTGGCGCAGTGAAAGAGAAGACGGAACAATACAAAGCTGAGCAGAGACGAAAAGCCGAGGCCAAGGGAGAGGAATATGAAGACTCTAGTGAAGAGGAACGGAGAGCGAGGAAGAGGAGGAATGAGAGGAAGAAGGAGGAGAGGGCTGGAGGTGTTGGTGGTGGCAGGCGGAAGATGAAGTACCGTACCGTCGAGGATGTGCGTGCTGCTGCTCCTGGACTGGAATTACCAAAAGCTATGCTAGGCAGTATTGTCGATGCCACGGGTGGTACGACCAAATTGCTTACCAGCACTGCTGGGCTCATGACACCCACTGTCGTCCCTGCCGAAACCGAAGCCGACAAAATAGCCAAACGCGAGAGACTGGAACTGGAGGCCTTTATCGAAGCATGGCATGGCTTGCAAGAGCGAAAAGTCATCGTCGAAGAACAACAAGGTCATTTGCAAATGGACATCAACCAAGCCGACGACGATATTCAAAAGATGCGAGACATGGTTGAAGCAGTCGAGTCCTTGAACATAGCAAACATCGACTGGGGTCAAGCCATGGAGAAGCTAGGGAAACTACAACAAGACTTTCGTCACGATATCGATAGCTATAATCTGTCTGAGGCGGCTGTTGCGACCATCACACCTCTGTTTAAGGCCGATCTGGATGACTGGGATCCTCTAGAAACGCCGTCGTATCGTCTGGTCGAACATCTTACGCATCTCAAACCCATCCTAGGCCTGGAGAAGACGACATCCGCACTCGCAACCTCAAATCCAGAGATCGAACCCGAGCAACGACGGTACCGCAAGCAAAAAACCACTACACCCTATGAGAGTCTGATATACGGTGTCTGGCTGCCCAAAATGCGGTCCACAGTCACGCGCTGGGATGTGCATGACTCCTCGTCTCTGATTACTGTGGTAACGGCTTGGAGACCATTACTCCCCGCCTTTGTCTACTCAAATTTGCTAGATCAGCAAATCGTGCCGAAATTATCAGAGGCCTTGATTGCCTGGAATCCGAGAAAACGACGCCATCATCACAAATCTTCGAGCAGTGATGCACCGCATACTTGGCTGTTCCCCTGGCTACCGCTGCTTCCTCCCTACCATCTGGATCCAAAGTCTACGACCGGACTGCTAGTAGATGCAAAACGCAAATTCCGCCGTGTGTTGGATACCTGCGATGTCCCGTCCTTGGTTCCTGGTCTCGAGCACTGGAAACAGTTATTCGGACCCAAAGACTTTGACGGTACAATGCTACGACACGTACTTCCTCGCTTGGCTTCTCATCTTTCCGCCAATTTCGACATCGATCCAGCAGACCAGGATATTTCACCACTGGAGCACGTATTCGCTTGGCAGCCTTTCTTCACACCCATGATCTTCGCTCGCTTGCTTGTCGCAGAGTTCTTCCCAAAACTGCATTCAGTGCTGCATCAATGGTTGACTTCTCCTGAAGCTTCTTTCGAAGAGATAGGCGCCTGGTACACATGGTGGAAATCTGTCATCCCTGAGAACTTGCAGAGAGTTGCAGAAGTACAGGCAGAATTCGACAAGGCGATTGCAACAATAGACCAAGCCTTGAATTTGCAAGAAGAAGGAAAAGATTTGGCCGAGTTACCTGCGCCTGCTGCTGGTCCTTCTCGACCTATTGTTGCTGCTTCTTCTACTACTACCACCCCTGCGACAAACGACACGCGAGCAGAACAGCAAGAGATGTCCTTCAAAGACATCGTGGAAGAATGGTGTTCGGAACACGATCTTACACTTCTACCTCTTCGCGAAGCTCACCCTTCGACTGGATCACCACTCTTTAGAATCACTGCCAGTGTGTCTGGAAGAGGTGGTGTGGTTGTATTCTTCAGAGGGGATATTCTTTGGGCACAGAAGAGGAAGAGAGAAGATGGGTTTGCACCTTCGGGCTTGGATGACCAGTTACTCGAACGAGCGGAAGGAAAGTAGAAGAAGACAGAGAGACGGCATAGTGTTGAGGGACATTGGAACTTATAATAATATTCCCATCTCCTGATTGAATTATCTAACAATCCATCAAACACAGAAACATGGCAAGAAACATGGCAAAGAAACAAAGATCACAACACCACTCATGCGCAGCTTTTAGCATATCAGTATGGATTTCTGCAGGAGAGAGACGAAGTCACCCCTTCCTTCGACTCGTCCATGACTCGATGGCTCCTTCCGTCATGATCCTTTGCTCGATCACACCTTCCTTCGAGTCGCACCTTCCCCCTCGTTTCTCCTTGCTCGCGCCTTCCCTCGTGTCAGATCTCCTTGGTCGCTCCTTCTCTCCTATCACACCTTCCTTTGACTCGTGATTTGTTTTTTACCTCTATGTCGTCAGTGGTTTCTTCCTTGTTTTCTCGTCCGCCTCTTAACGCATGTACCTTTCCAGCCCCTAAATGCTTGATCGGAGGAAATCAAGTTCAGCAATACGTATGTCTCTCTTGAAATCAAGTTACGAGCTTTTTCGAAAAGCGGAAGTCAAGCACTACGATACGAAGGCCAAGGAGCGATGAAGATAAAAGTATTGTAGGACTCTACTTGCTTTGATCTTTGTAAGTCTCTCTAGTTTTCTTTACTCTTTCTGCAAGAGAAGGCAAATTGCTGTTCCCTTGCTCTATGGTCGGCTGTCTACTAGTGTATTTTTCCCTGACCTTTGCCTTTATTTCTTTTGCTTGTTGAAATTCGGTTTTGTACATCGTGGCTACTGTTACTACCGAGTTTGCAAACATCTAGCTATTGTCGTATCAACATAGGGATATTAACGTTTCCTAGCCGTAGCCTAGATGCTTTGAATGTTTCCTTGCGTTGCTAGCCTTGCTTACCTTGATTGTTTCTGCAGTGCAGTTGATCTGTAAAACGCCAAACAGAAGACGGCACGAAAAGAAAAAGCACACATTTTCTACAATCCATCTACCTACTCGATCATCAAAAAGGAACCTTTAAGTATCGAGATGACCCACATAAGACCCTACTCGGACACGATCTCCCACGGCTACTCTCGCAATTGCACATCTACACTACAAGCATCACCAATATGAGATATCTCTGCAGAACCAACTGCAGCGAAGGTGAAAAAGCAAGGAATAAGAGTATAGCAGTGATGGAGAAATGACATAATGATGGACAACAGCGTGATAGGAAAGGGTTAGAGATCAAGCATATGTAAAGGAAAGGAGCGATGGGGCGGAAGAGGAGATATGCAAGGAAGTAGCGATCAAGTCCAAAAGGCAGGAGCGATCAAAGCTCGAGTGCAAGGAAAGATTGAGCCAAAGAGGAAGGAATGACCATATACGCAGAGAAGGAACGATCAACCATGTAGGGAAACAATGACTAGCTGCGGAAGGAAGGTACGATCGAGCTCAAAAGGAAGGGACGAGTACAAGAAGAAGTGACGATCAACACTGGAGGCAGGAACGATTGAATCTGTTTCCAAAACGCATCTATCGCACTAGAACAGTAAGGGTGCTCAGTAAGAGGGGAGGAAAGAAGAATTCGAGAAGAGGAAAACACAAAACGTTATCTCATCCATTATTGTGTCGTGTTACAGATAGCAGTAAGCATTGTTGTTAGTAGAGGGGAGGTTTCACAGCCTTCTTGAAAAGAATGTTTCTGATTGTTTTTGTCTTTTGTCTTGGTCATAAAAAGTGAAAGATACGATATGTCCATCATGGTCATACTTCTAATAATACACAAAGCCGATGAAGAACTCTTGCCCAAGAATGGAGCTAAGCACATCATCGATGCTCATCTCCTCTTGCTTCTGTCTTTGCTCTTCCCGCTCTTTCTAAACATCTGGCACGGTATAAGAGCACATTCGTGATCATGCACATACGAAAAAGCCGTGAGCCCAGAGTGAAGATAGTGACGAAAAGCGCCTGTCGATGACAGATTCCCGACAAATGACATATCAGCAAACCTCCGCCACGCCCTGATTCCAAAGTACAAATCATGTCCGAGAGCTTGTGCCGAAGAAAAACGCCCAACAGACGACAACTTAGCAGATGCAACCCACGCCATGGATCCAGAGCGTAAGTGATCTCGAAAGGGAGAGTGTCGTTTGTGTGTTAACGAGAAGTGGCGATAGACGGAAGACAGGCCAGTAAACGCTCACTAAGGGTCTAGCTCCCAAGGATCTTGCTCCTAAGGACCCGTAGGATAAGGAGAAGGTCCATCTTCATTCCCGCCAGGAGCAGGTCGAGGGCTGGGTACGCCTCCAGGTCCACTACCTCCACCTATTGAGGGCGGTACACCAAAAGTTGGCGGAAGAGGGAATTCAGGAACGTTCTTAACAGGGACATCTGGGTCCGCTGTTGGCTTTTTCGGCGACAGCTTCTCACCTCGTACGGCTGCTTCCATTTCCTCTTTGCTCAAAGTCTCGTATTCGACCAGCGCATTCGCGAGACGTTCGAGTCCTTCGCGGTTGGCGTTGAGTAGTTTGGTGGCGCGCACGCGGCCTTCTTCTACCAGTCTGCGGACCTCGCTTTCGATGAGTTGTTTCGTCTCGGATGAGAGATGACTGTAGTCACTGTTAAGGTCTACGTTGCCGAGCTTCTCTGACATGCCGGCTTGTGTCACCATCATATAGGCGATACGAGTAGCGGATTGGATATCAGAGGATGCACCCGTGGTGACTTGATCGGGCCCGTAGATGAGTTCCTCAGCGACCTTGCCACCCATGCAGACGTCAATCTGAGCCATCATTTCTGCTCTGGTTTCTGACACCTTGTCGAGTTCGGGAAGCATTTGAGTCAAACCGAGAGCATGACCACGGGGCATGATGGTAGCCTTGTAGAGAGGGGTTGTTTCCTTTGTAAGCATGGCTACAAGAGCATGGCCACCTTCGTGGTATGCAGTCATGACCTTGTCCTTCTGCTGGATGACGGCAGAACGGCGTTCAGCACCCATAAGAACCTTGTCTTTGGCCCAAGTCAAGTCGTCCATGGTCACACGCTTAGCCTTGTTCTTGGATGCGCGAACAGCAGCCTGATTGACAATGTTCTCGAGTTCGGCACCACTGAATCCAGGAGTACCACGAGCGAGAACAGAAGCGTCGACCTCGCCATCAATGCGAATGTTCTTGAGATGGTGGTTGAGAATGCTGATACGACCACGAACGTCAGGCAGGCCAACGACAACGTTACGGTCGAAACGTCCAGGTCTGGTCAAAGCCTTGTCGAGCGATTGCGGGAAGTTGGTAGCACCAATGATAATGACGCCAGTATCCTGGTCGAAACCGTCGAGCTCAGTAAGCAATTGGTTCAAAGTTTGCTTTGCGTATGCTGCATCACGTTCATGACGCTTGCTGCCAATAGCATCGAGCTCGTCAATGAAGATGATAGCAGGCGACTTTCCACGGGCTTGGGTGAACAGGTCGCGCACGCGCTTTGCACCGACACCGACGTAGACCTCATCGAATTCGGAACCAGACATGTAGAAGAAGGGAACGCCAGCCTCGCCGGCGACCGCGCGAGCGAGGAGAGTTTTACCAGTACCAGGAGGGCCAGTGAGGAGAACACCCTTGGGCAGCTTTCCACCAAGAGTCGAGAACTTATCGGGAGCCTTGAGGAATTCAACGAGTTCCTGGAGTTCTTCCTTTGCCTCGTCACAGCCGTGAACATCAGAGAAGCGAGTCTTTTGCATTTCTGGCTTTGCCTGGTTATCCTGGGCTCCACCAACCTTCTTGATAACGCCAGTAGCGTCAATGAAGAGAGTGAGAACAACCAGAGACAGATAGCAGGCGACACCAAAGACCATCAAAAACTTGACCCATTTAAAGATGGTGGCGCCGAGGGACTCGTCAACCACAACGTAGAGGGGTTCCTTCTTACCACCGCTGCCTCTACGGGAGACGGAGACGTTACCACCGCGAACCGTAGAAGCAACAGCCTGACCGGCAGCCTGAGCGCTTTCATCCGAGTGGGCACCAGAGCCAGACTCTGATTGACCGACTTTTTCTATAGCACGAGAGTAGAGATTATCGACAGAGGGACTTGTAGCATAACGGCCGGAGTCGTAACGTTCGACGAGAATATCGTGGTGACCGGCGCGGAGCAGTGCAGAGTAGAAGGCATTTTGGGCAGTAGCGCTTTGAGGGTTGTTGTTGGCTGTCTTCTCAAGACTGGCAAGCAAGTTATGCGAGACGCTGCTGGCGGGGCGGGTTTGACGGGAGACGGATTGGATCTGCGAGAGTGGCGTGCGAGAGATTGCGGAGAGCGAAGGACGGCATGATGCGGACGAGGAGTAAGATTGAGTACGCAGCACTGCGAAGGTCAGCGTACTGAATCAAGGGTTTGATGGGCCATGATGGATGAGCGGTATCGTCTTACCACTAGCGACAAGAGAGGAAGTCGACGAGGAGACAGACCGCCGTGACAGTTGCTTGAGTGCGGACGATGCAGAAGGCCACAAGGCAATCTGTGGTCTTGGGTCAGTGGGTTTATGCACAGTGGCCATGTGGTTGCCTTCTTACCTGGGCGCCGCGAGAGGCCATGATTGCGCCTAGAGATGTGGCAGGCTCAGTCGGCGATCAGGGCAGCGACGACTCGAGGAGTTGCTGCGTGGGCAAAGAGAGGAATGCACGCGGATATGTCGTGTATACAGATAGCGATGATGGAAGATGGTTGTCGGCGGCAAAGGCAAGACCAAGACTACGGGCGCCTCGGCGTTTGGCCCGGGAGATGACGCCCACCACTCCCGACACGCGCAAAGAAGAGCCAGAAGCTTCTTCCGTGCACGCCGTTTCACTTGCAACAAGACCATTCCAACACTATCTTGACTATCTCACGTGGCTTGTTTATCTATCATCTGTCTGTTTCACCCAACATCTACAGTCTAACCATACCGTCACAAGACGGCATCTTCGTTCACGTCTCGAAAGCAGAAGGAGCGACAGCAACGACCACCACCAAACTCGCCACAATCAACGCTCCTGCCACAAACGACACAACCATAATACTACCTCTCGAAGCTGGGAATTTGCCACGAATCACATAGTGCTGGCTCTCAAAATACCTGTGAAAGCCGAGTAGAAGAATGAGAATTGNCTGTTCATTGAATTAGTTGTCGACCTCCGAATGCTTGAAGCCTGTGGAGCACAACTTACACACTCCAAGAAACGTCACTCCTAGTGGCTTGCCCAGTTGTCGCAACTTTTCCCTGTCGATGTTGTTTACTACCGCTGCTGATTCCGAGTCGTCTTCATTGGCAATCGATGTATTCAGTCTGAAGAGCTGTGTGATGGCGATGCCGATAGATGCAAACGACAAAGAGGTACGCAGCCATGCTAGAAACGTGCGCTCTGCAATGATCATCAGTCTGAGATTCTAGTTGTTGTGAGACTGTCATGACATACCCAGTGCAAGATGATCGCGTGCAACACTCCCTTTGTTCTCAAGCTCGACGCTGCCATACTTTTCAACAAGCTGTCGCCAATAGTGTTCCCTGTCCACCTCATCCTCAGACTCTTGGCCAGTCCCGACACTGCCTTGTCTTGAGTCTCTGCCTCCACGAGTACCTGAAACTCGCTGAGATGTACCACTCTTTCTTCTGCGTTCAATAGGGCTCGGTTCTCGATCCAGCCCTTCTTCTGCTGCGCCGTCATATCCTGCAGTGACAGTGTGCTCTAGGTCCGTACTCCCATACGTGCCCACGCCGGTTCTGCGTCTGACGATTGCCGTGTTCTCGTCTGCACTGCTTTCTGCTTCATCGCGTGCACGGTCGGGATTGGCGTTGTTACGTCGAGACATGAATGATGAGGATCTATCAGAACCGTCTGGTCGGGCAGGAAGAGTCGAGCAGAAGGTGACACTACGGCGAGGTTCGAGCGATGGCGAAACCTTTCCTGGTGTCAATGAGCGGGAAGAGGCCTGTCTTGGTATGTTCCCGAGGCCTGGTTTCGCACTACGCTCTGGACTCTGGCGAGGACTTGTTTTCGAACTCGAGCCCTGGCGACGACCTGGACTGGTTCTAGGGCTTTTCTTCTTGGGTTGTTCTGATTTTGTAGGCTTTGCATATGGCTCTGGTGGATGGTCCTCGGTCTCAAGCTGATCACCGATATCCTTCTTTTCGCTAGTAGGCGCAGCAGGGTTGATTGGCCTTTCTTGGTTCTCTGGTGGCTTCAATGATAAGAGTTCAGAGGTGTGAGGTTCTGTTTCGTTTTTGTNCGATGAATCCTCCTCGAACTCGCTAGCGGTAGTGCTGTGATAGACGCCTCTCTTCGGCCGCTCCACTTCACTTTCGCTGGTAAAGTCATAGAAGCGACGGTCACGGCTGCTCGACCAGGAAGAGAAAGGCGGCACAGGTGTTGATAGATTGGCATGGGTACGTAAGGAGGGGTTGGCAGGTCCCGGCCTCGGTGTGATGAGATCACTTTCAGATTCGTATTCCGTTGCCGACCTAGAGCTGTCTCCCCTTTCGGACGTGGATGCAGGTGAGCACGGTAGAGGCATGATTGATCAGACCGTTTTTTTGGTGGCTGGGTATGGTTCAAGATTCTACCCAGATGGCGTGATAGGGCCTGGGCTCAGATCCGGATGTCGTGATTGAGTTTGAGGCTCCTGGTCTAAAGTGCCGGACGTTCAAATATCTTGTACGACCCGGAAGCTGTGTTTTGAAGAACGAACTTATCTGGTGTGGTATTCCGAGTATATGCCGTCAAGATCGACTGGCGGTGGACCACGGGGACAGCTGGGTTCCAACAAGTGTCGAGATTATCAAATTCAACGTAAGCTCGAGTTAAGTCACGAATCGATACCACGAATATTGCTCTTGCTCCTGGGTCAACTCAAATGGTTGCATCGCTGTGCGCCCGCAAGAGGCTGCTGTTGTCGGTGCAAATGTCGAGACAAGTAGGTCAAGGTCGAGAATGGGTGAGGTGCTCTCCAGCCAAGTAGACCAGGGCGTCGCTCGGCCTCCGGAAAGCTAACCCCGCAGGGTCCGAGGTAAGCAATACTCATATAAAGGACGGTGAGGCCAGGGAAGCGGCTCCTTATCTCAAACATGCATGCTCAGGTTCTTCTCTCCGATTCGCTATCAACAGATCTGGGGCGGCTCGTAAGCAGAGAAGCCGCGAGGCATCCCTTGGTCTCTGTAGCAGATAACAACCCCTCTTCTCCCAATGGTAATAAGGAAACTCGCTTGCCCCTAGTATACAACTCCATCTACAAGAATGCACATGCCTTATCGCTCTTCCAACACGCAGGTAATCACAGTATTCGGACACTCGGTCGTCTAGACCTCCTTGACCCACCCGGCAGGGACAAGTCCTTACCTTGACCGCCTGCCCTTTCGACCTCACACCATCCGTCGCCCTGATCTGGTGCAATCAAGACCAATCTCTCACCCTCATCCATACTGGCCTCACCTTCGCCGCTAGCTGCGTACGTGTACAATGCTTCGACGTATTTGAGCTTCTTTGCACCACGCTTAGGAGCCACAACGGGGCCCTTCTTCTTCGTCGATGGAGCAGAAGAAGCGATCGAAGTAGCTAGACTGGTTATAGATGCGCGATGACCGGGTTGTGATCTCACAGGTGACGAAGGCATCATCTCGACATAAGAGGCTGGAACAAGACCTTCGCCAGAGTGTGTGCGGACTTTCATCCAGCCAACGCCATCTGTATTTGTTGTTAGCATCTCGGGGATAGAAAAAATAAGTGAAATTGGCTTACCGTCTGGTTCAACGATCGTGACTTCGGCACCTTCGTCCACGGTAATTTCACCATCACCACTTGCCTGGTAAGGATACATCATCTTGGCGCGAGGTTGGCTGTCTGCTGAATCTCCATTGCTGTTTGCGTAGTGGTCTGGTGGTGGTGCCAGGATACGACGCTTAGCCGTGTTTGACCGCCCGAGGTCGCTGGCGCTATCATTCGAGTTTGAGGCTGGCCGGACGTTCGTTCCAGACACGCTGCGATTTGCGCTTGCAGCGTAACCGGACGAAAGCGTGTTCATGCTACCCATCGTGTCGGTACGGTTGAGACGTGGCATGTCGTTGACAGAGTCAGATGAGCCTTGTGCCGCTGCATTGGCTGCTGGAGGAGTGGACGCTGAAGCTGCGGTCTGTCGCTCAGCCTTGATCTTCTTCTTCTGTTCTTTATCCAGGGGACCTGGACAGTTCGCCGGTACTTTCATCTGACACTTGCTGTGGCAGATGAAGCCACAGTCTTCACAGTCAAAGCCCTTTGCTGACAACCCCCACAAACGGTCACCACAAAGATCGCAGTTCGTAGGCAGCTTGAAAGTCTGAGACTTGAAGGCGTGGTTCTGAGCACCAATGCTCAGGTCACCAACAGCAGTTGCAATGGTGCTGACCTCGACTTCGCACGTCACCTTCTTCCTCTCCGCCTCATGTAGTGACTCTTGCAGGTTGAATTGTGCCCGCACAACCTCGACCTCGTCACGCTTGTCCGTGCCATCTCTAATTGCTTGACGTACTCTTTTGGCGCCCTCGACCTCACGACGCTTAGCATCGCACTCTCTGCGCAGCTCGTTCAACTGCCCCTTGCTTCTCATCATGATATTACGCAGGAAAGTCTTGCTCAGATCGTCGGACGCCATAACATCGTCGTCTAGCCATACTGGCGAAGGCTCGAAGGTGAAATCGGTGGGGTCTTGCCAGTTAGCGGCGTTATGACGGACGAACATCATGGAATCGAGAACGGGGTTGTTGCGTGGAATCTCAGCTGAGAGGTGCTCGAGGAGCTGGGTGGATCGCGAAAGGGTTTGTGTTTCGATGGTCGCTGCTTGTAGCCACAAGGTATTCAACTTGGCGACGCGGGTCTCGGACAGGTCCTGCAGCGAGTCGAGCAGATCGGGCACATATTCGTGATAGTATCGCTCCTTCTGCTTGTTGGTGACGTTGATGGAGATCAAGTAGGTGTTCTTTGTGTTGCGCATATCTGCCTGAATCTGTACATAGGCGGCCTGGGCCTTGGTCTTGCCATGGTCAAAACTGCTGTCAATCTTCTTTCTGCGATTCTCGACGTCCTGGCAGACGCTGTCGTACTTTGTCTTTGTTTTGCGCAGATCAGCATAGGTGTTGTCACGCTCTTTCTCGAGTTTGGCGGCATAGTCGGCATGGTGTTTACGTAGGTCTTCGCATCGAGTGGACAAATGCTTGATAGGATCGGCGAGGTGAGAGATGAGTTGCGTGGCGAAACGATCGTGTTCGGAAGCGCGGTTCTCGAGGGTGGTAAGTTGGGTACTCCAGGTTGTCATGGAAGCACTNNAGGCAGAGTGTCGGTCAGTACTATGGTTCTTGCGGAGCGAGGAGATCGGGACTTGGGCGTACCTCTCTAGAGAACCGGGAGTGACGGTCGGAGTATCTCCAACACTCAGACTGCTCTGCTTACGGGTCTTCTTGTCAAAGTACTTTTTGGCGAGGGCACTGAGTTTCTGGCTGTACTCCTTTTCAATGGCGCTGCGTTCCCGATAGAAGGCTTGCACGTCGTCGAGCCATGAGATACCACTCAAGACCCAAGCATTCACGGGTTTGAAGCCATCCTATGCAACCATGTCAGTCGGTTGTTAGTCGGTTGTTGATCCACCGACCAACCTTCAATTCGGCGCCGAACTGCGGCGCGATGTCTATCTCGGCCATGCAGGATTAACAAGATGTAGAGGCAGGTTGAGACGGGAATCAGAGCCGGCCACGGCGGCTTTCTACACACGAACAATGCAAGTAGCCTTTGGGAAGAAGACACGAGACAGGGCTGTCCGACTGTTGGCAATCGTATGGCCGCCCAAGGCCGAGAGTGCCTTATTGCCAAGGCGGGGTATCACTATCGGTCCAGCCCTCACCGGCTGAAGTCGCATGCCTGCCGGCCCGGCATTATTGTCTCAGACGATGTGTAAAGACAAAGCTATTGACCATTGGATTACAATGTGATCGCGAGGCCATAGAGTAGAGACATAGAAAACATGGAGTATCGCAGAAGCCTACTCACATGTGATTATATAGTGGGGAAGTGACTGCCGAACAGTCAACACGGTCTGCATGTAGGAAGCTAAGGAGGGGTTTGCAGTGAACCATCTCAGTACATACCTGGTCGAGATAGTCCATGGATCGGACAGTCTGAGAAAACCAACTTCTAGCGGGACTTTGCAAGGTAGTCAAGTTCCGTGTATCAGCAGAGTCATAGTCGCATTAGAAGAGCAGCGGAGATAGGCCGCACCTTCACTCTCTCACGAAACCCTGGAGGGGGTAGTTGCCTACCTAATCAGGCTAGTGGGTGTTTGGGCAAGCCAAACGTCACTCAAGATTTGTTGCGCCGACACCAAAGTGAAGCTGCGGTTTGCGCCTTCCTGAACAAAGAGCAGTCCATCACTCCTTCGCACTTTCCTCCTTCATCACAACCACGCGCGCACACCATTTTCTCTTATCGACCCACAACCATGTCCTCCCTAGGCGACCGCATGACTTTTCCCGACGAAAAGAAGCTCGACTGGGCCGAGGAGAGCGAAGAGATGGACAACCAGACTCAGACACAGCAGCCTGCTCCTGCTCCTGCCACGGACGCAGCACCCGCCGAAGCTGCACCCTCAGATCAGACCGATGGCGCCTCAGAGTTTCAGATGGGCTCGTCGTTGCTCGAACCCGAATTCGACGTCAATGTCAAGCTAAACGACCTCCAACAAGACCCCAACAACCCCCTGTTCTCCGTCAAGGAATTCCGCGACCTCAACCTCCCCGAATCGCTCCAAAAGGGCATCACCTCTCTCGGTTTCACCAAGCCCTCAAAGATCCAGGAACGCGCCCTGCCCCTGCTGCTCCAGAACCCTCCCCAAAACCTCATCGGCCAGTCGCAGTCTGGTACCGGCAAGACCGCTGCTTTCGTTCTCAACATTCTCTCGCGTATCGACTTGACGCTCCAACAACCTCAGGCACTTGTTCTCGCTCCTTCGCGTGAGCTCGCCAGACAAATTCTCGGCGTTGTCCAGGTCATGGGTGGCTTCATGGAAGGCCTTAGCACATACCAGGCTGTCCCCGATCCATCAACACGCGGCCAAACAGTCACCGGCCAAGTCGTCGTCGGCACTCCCGGAACCGTCATGGATCTGGCCCGTAGAAAGCAGCTGAACACACGCGGCATGAAGGTGCTTGTCCTGGATGAGGCCGACAACATGCTCGACCAGCAAGGTCTCGGAGACCAATGCAAGCGCGTGAAGCAGCTTTTGCCCAAGGACGTTCAGACTGTCCTTTTCTCCGCCACCTTNCCCCAGGAAGTGCTCCAATTCACACAACTCTTCGCACCCAGCGCGAACCAAATCACTCTAGAACGCACCAACCTCACCGTCAAGGGCATCAAGCAGATGTACCTCGATGTCAGCCAAGACTCCGACAAGTACGACGCACTGATCAAGTTCTACGGTCTGATGACAATCGCCTCATCCATCATCTTCGTCCGCAAGCGTGAGACTGCCGACGAGCTCTCCAAGCGCATGACATCCGAGGGCCACCACGTCGTCACCCTGACCGGCGGTCTCGACGGCGTCGAGCGCGACTCAGTTATTGACCAGTTCCGCGAGGGCCACGCTAAAGTTCTTATCACGACCAACGTCCTCGCCCGCGGTATCGACGTTCAGACCGTCACCATGGTCATCAACTACGACATCCCCGACAAGCCGGCTTCTACAGGTCGCGGTTACGTGCCCGATGCTGAGACCTTCTTGCACCGTGTGGGTCGTACCGGCCGTTTCGGCAAAGTCGGTGTTGCTCTGACTCTTGTCCACGACAAGCGCAGCTGGGAGATGTTCCGCGCCATCTGTCAGGAGCTAGGAATCAACCCCACCAAACTCGACACTGATGACTGGGATAATGTCGAGCGTGTCGTCAAGACTATCATCAAGTCGGGACGCAATGCAAAGGTCGAAGGTGGTGAAACCATGTTCACGGTGCAGGAATAGATTGGAGCTGGGCAGTCGCTCGTTCTTGAAGATGACGCATTCTACGAAAAAGATACGATAGAGATCTGCTATTAATGAAACTTGGAAAGAAGGAAAAGCTCTCTTCTTATAAGAGACATCAAAAATCTCAAGTCTATATCAACTCTAAGCTCGTTCCAGAAGTGACATGTGAGATCAATTGCACGACATCTTTGTCCTTCACCTCCATCCCAAATATATCCGTGATGTCCATCATAGGTACTGATAGCGTACGCTGTTGCTGGCTATGACAACTGCAGACTTTCTCTCTTCTCCTTTCCAGTTTGTGATATAGACACATCAGATCAGGGCGCTAGCGGCCTCCATCAACCCCCTTTTCTTCTGGTATAGAGATACAAAAAGCAAGAGATACAAAACATCACTTTGTTGGTTGTTTGTTCTCAAGTCATCAGTGTACTTGTGCGTGAACTTGCCGAATATAATGCATCATCATCCTCAAGGCCTCAAAGACAATTATCTTCCACCTTTGTGAGTCATCCGTTGACCAGAAGACTGCACCAGATGGATGGAGTCGCTTCAATCCCGAAAAGCTGGCTTTTCAGATAGAGAAACAGAAGGCAACTCAGGGTAGATACCGTTATATCTCAGCGTGTCGAACTGACAGTTTGTGCATAACTGACAGGGGAGACACTCCATATGTCTGCAATGAAAGAATGCATTTGCGACCGAATGAAGACAGAGATAAATGAAACACAATGGCGGTAGTCACATTGCTTTACCCATACTCAGTCCTGTCACGAGTGTAACGATTCACATACACAATGCGTCTATGGATAACTTAATGTCTATCGACATCCCTGCCACATTCGTTCCATATGTAGATGTGTTCAATCTTGCATGATTATGCACGTTTGCAAATCATCTGCCACACTGTGTAGTGGTACAAGAAGACTGGCTGGACACAATCTGGTATCAAGTAAGAAGATATGCATTTGGAAATAATGAACCTCTGTGAAGCAGGAGAAAGTATATCACAACTTTAACGTATGAGAGTTTGAACAGTCGATAGAGAGATACGTGTGCAGGGAACTAGATGTACAAAAAAGCAGACGTGTATGACAGCGAGAAAGCACAGAGACACAAGGCAACTGTATATAGTAATGTAGGAAGGGCAGAAGAGAACAACTGAAAGTGTGAAAAAACGACGTTGGAAAGGAGTCGAACTCGGCCGCCTTCAATCTGTTTGGTAAGAGGCAAGAAGGCCAAACATCCATGCAATTGCCGCGAGAATGCCAGATCGGATGATTGTCCACGACTATTTTAAGTGCAGGAAGGTCCATCGGCGGTAACTATAGTTCACAACAACAGACCTGTGTAGGGCGGGCACACGCTAGACATTGACGCCCTACACTATCAAAGGCAATTGCAGAAGCCGAAGCAAAGTATAAGACTATGGAAAGGTTCCATACCTGCAAAGCTTCTCCAGAAGGAGAGGAGAACAAGGAGGGGTACTGGGGTGGAGCTTGAGGGTTGGTATAAAGAAGGGATAACAGTAGAAAGTCGAACCGAGCCTCCGACATATACACTTTCTCGGATTGCTGCATTCGGTTCTTGACTTCTTCTATAACTTGACTTTCGAACTTGCAGGCTTGCGATCTAGCGGACATGTGTATCGCATGTCATGTATAAAGTTCAGGATCCCTGCTAGGATGAAGGTTGAAAGCACAATGCTAATACATTGGAATTAGACTTACAGTCCCAAGGGTGAAAAACCAAAGAGTATCTAGTCACTACAGTCAATCTTGTCAACAGCCCAGTGGATCTGGTCAACATGTTTGGTCCTGTGAAGATACTGCCCAACGAACGACTAACAGAAGGACTGTGGGCATCGTATGACCTTGAGGCATGCTTTCTTGAAAGTCAGAACGAACATGTGTCAGAGCGTGACTAGCCGAATGTCAATCGCAAAGATGATGATGATCGCAGTTCGAACCATATGCGGAAAAGACAGCCAAAGAGTAGGTGGGAGTCGAGTTGGTCTGCTGCAGTGATGCGGGCACCACTATGCTTTTCTAGGGTGACTCCAAGGGGGAAACACGAGCCCAGAAGTCATAGCTGGCAGATCCACCAGTTCGCAATTGCCTCTCAGAGTCAAGACAGCTCAATGGAGAGTAAGACAAAAGTACGTGCACTTTGACATCCATTGCATCACGATCATTTGCATGTTTGCAGGAAGACCGAAGAGAGTTAAGTCCGTGAAACGCTGCTACTAAAGTAGAGTATCCACAAACACATCAACGTGGGCTCAGCTCAAGCAGCGTTCGTAGCGTAGGAGTCAAAGTTGATGAAGAAGGTCCAGATGGTGAAACATGGATCCAAAGTCAGACAACATGAACATTGCAAACTCCCAGATAGGATCGGAGCTCCAAAAGGATGGTAAAATAAAGTGTCTGCCAACTCTCGCTCGTCGCGGGCTCATTTGTTGTTGGCTTTGAGAAGTCCTTCGATGAGCATGGGCAATAACTCGGCTGGATGTTGATCGAAAGAGGATGAAAACGTGTAATAGAAACAGGCAGAGAAGGCAGGGAAGGCCGAGCGATGGAGGGATTGAGGAGATCAAACAATGGCTACGTTTGGAGGGGGCGGTAGCTGCTGTTGTCCAGAGCCAAAGCTCGAATAAGTAGTGATCCATCATCATGATCATATGCTCGACTACTCAACGACTTGTGTCGAAGTGCAGTCACGTCACATGGTCGCGCCATGGGTCGAGCCGAGTTCAGAAGTGCTAACACTTACAGATGTTTTCGATGCGAACAGTGACAATGTTTATCTGGAGAGACTCTGGTTTTCCGACTCTTGTAAGTGAGCCGAGTTGGGAGCGGATCGGCGTTCGATGCAAATAAATTTTTGTTCGTGTTGGGGGAACTAGAAAGGTATACGTTCGCGGGGCTGGAAGGATACCCATTTTGGGGCAAGTACATGGCGGAACTTTGGCCGGGATGTCCAAATAGGATGAACCCATCACTGATCCACTGCTGATAGCGCCGACCAACTCCTATGACAGGACGGCGTGAGATCCGATGATGACCATTGTACCCACAGAATTGAGAGCTGGCTTAGAAGCCAGCAAGTTGTGAGGGTCAGCTAGACAATGGGCATCACGAAGCAAAGCGGTCGACCCACCATGGTTGAATGTAAGACCTGGAAGGTTTGAAGTATGGCATTGAGCAACTAGTAGCGAAACAGACCATTTCTTGTTGTATACTGTCTGATGTAGACTGCCTGAGATACCGAAAAGAATGGGTATAATAGAAATAAGACCAATAAACCAAACACAGTGAACGACAGTATACTAAGCCAAAAACAAAATCAATCCTGAAACCGTCTAAGCACGCCGGCTTTATCAGAACAACCCCAACACCACGCTCAGATGACAAACTAAGGGTGAGAAGAACAGAAGCTTCGTGTGTCAATACATCATCATCGTTGGAACCAGCCAAAAATCCTATTGTTTGCGTTGGTGGTTCATTTTTGTTGAAACCAGTGCGGTGGTAAGGCTAGAGCTTCCGCAAGGTCCTCCTCAGACAGCGGTTGGGAGATGGTCGCCGTAAAATCTGACATCTGGTTGTGCATGGTATCTTCAAATCCTCCAGATAAAGACTGGCAAGAATCAATATCCGGAAGTGGTGGGAAGTCGACAGACGTAGTGTCAAAGACAGATCCATAGGTCTGGTCGAGTCGCCCAGTAGTAGCATATTGTTGGACATCCAGGGTGTGCTCTTGTACGTTCGGGGTGTGCTGTTGGACGTCCGGGGTGGGCTGCTGGATGTGTTGTTCGTATCCTTGCAGACCATTTTCGTAGCCTACAGAATCTTCAGGCTCTGACGGATACTCCTGCTTGGGCAGAACCACGTTGTCGATGTGGCCACCACGACCACAACTTTGTTGCCAAGCACCACTGGACACTTGTCTGACCTCGGGACAGGTGATACATGTGCATTGGAACGAGGCACAGCTTTGACATGGGAACTGTGTTCTGGGACTGGGACCAGGCAGGTTGAAAGGAGAGGGTTCTGTTCCCATGAAAGATGGTAGAGGCGACTGAGCTTGTTGCCTTGAACAACACGATTGCGAAGGGTTTGTGGATGGCTGTGCGGCCATCTGCTCCTGCCGTCCCATGTCTGCAGCGTACTGATCCAGCACCCGCAAGTTGACCGGCATCGACGCATTCTGGTACTGATGCAGATACTGGGGGTGAGCAAAGTTCACAGGAGCGGGTTGGTTTCCGAAGAAGGCAGGCTGGGGTGGCGGTTGCTCAAACTGCTGGTACTGAGGTTGATACTGAGATTGCTCGAAGTTCGTCTGAGCAGGTTGGCTTCCGAAAAAGGCAGGCTGGTATGGGGGTTGCGACTGGTATGGTGGATAAGGATCGAACCGCGCTGCTGCATCAGGATATCCAAACTGGATACCGTGCGGTGCTGGTCGAAATGGCATGGCGTGTTGCTGGTGCTGGTATGAGAACATGGCTTGGGCGTGTTGGCGCGCTTGAGCTTCTATCATTGCCTGCTCTGCGGCTCTCTCTGCTTGTTGGAGAGCTTCCCTGTCCTCGTACATGACAGCCGATGGAACATGACCCGCTATTACCTCGTCCCACTGTTGAGGTGTCAGGTTACAACATAGGTTACGGCTGGCCGCGCAGTCGCACGTTCTCGGTTTTGTATGGCCACAATCTCTGGGAGGCCTTCCTGGCTCCGGACGCCTGAAGAGGATCTTGTCGCGGTGTTTTGTGGGAGGACACTTGGGTGCCCGGTGACCGGATATACAAGTGCCGCTGCGAGACTTGTTAGCTGTCAAGTCCGATGGGCGGAGGTAAGAGATTGTTCGATCACTTACCAGGCGAACTTGTATACTTTGCCGTTGATGATGTTTTTACATGGATCAGGTCCTTGGGCTCCTCTGGCTTGGACGGATCTGCGTTTGCAGCACGACGTTTAGTGGGTTTTCTGGCTCCAGCTATCTTGCGCGCTGCTTTTGGAGGCATGGTTTCTGAAGGAGGATAGAATGGGTGGAGAAGGATAAAAGATAGAAGGGATCAAAGGAGGATAGAGGAGATCTTGACGAGCGTAGGAAGAATGTCGATGGTTGAAGATGAAACGTTGGCCGTCTGTAGAGGAAGACTCGACAGTTGTAGAAGAAGTGTTGACTGCGATGGATGGGATCGACGGACAACGTTGGTGTGTGTATGCGTGTTTGTGTGGGCGAAAGAGAGAGAGAGAGAAATCATAGAGAGGGCAAGCAGATTTTGAGACGGATTTCGAAAGTGTGCGTACCTTCCACTGGACTTGGTGCCATTTCAGTCATTCTTTCCACGTGGTGTTGACCCCTTGAGATGGAATCCGATAGATGTCTATAAGCAAATACTGAATGGCTCCCAGACGACGGCTCTGGTCAGTTGACTTCAACGACGACTTAAGAGTGTCCAGTCCTAAAGTTTAATTCTCTTCATGCGGAGCGCCAGCAGTTCCTTGGACGGTATGGCATGGAAGTGGGTGGGCTGAGGTAGGTTGAGAATCAGCGAGCGAATCAGATGTGCACGGGCCTCTCGATCGGAAAGAGTCCCGACGCGGGCACATTTCACCTCAAAAAAAATAATTGTGAGAAGCCCACGACGACAAGTACCAACCAGCAACATGTCAGACTCCGAAGGAGAACTGGGTATTTTGAGGAACCCGAAGGATTCTACGAAGCCGAAAAAGAGCCCAGCTTTGTCGAATACATATTACAAAGTGGTTCAAAGCTGAATCTACGTCTTGTTGGGCATAATCCTCTATGGGTAAGGTTTCTCTCATCTCCTTCTCTTCTCACCTTGGTCGTCTTTGATTGGAGCCCCAGATCACCCAACGCTGGTTACTCAAGGGTTCATGGGGGTCTATCGTTCTACGGCAGCGGGACGTCAAATGGCGCAGCTTGGTCGTTCATCGCTCGGCACATGGCCTGAAGAAATCAATGCACTCCAGTCAGAGGGCGCACAAGCCGCTGAAGTGTTCGCGTTCTGAGCTTCGCTGCTCTGACAAGTGCCGTATAGAGATGAGCGACGGTTTGGCCACAACGAACCGTCATCGAACATCGACTGACTGCAGGCACAGGGTCATTTCCTCTGGAACGCGGGCCGTACGATCGCACTGCACTTTGAATCGAACCCTCAACTTGTCAAGTCCAAGACTGTCCTGGAGCTAGGCGCGGGTGCCGGTCTTCCTTCTCTCGTTTCGGCATACCTTTCCGCCAAGCGCGTCGTTGTCACCGATTATCCTGATGCTGATCTGATTACCAACCTCTCTTACAACATTGAAGCTTGTGCTCCGTCATTGCCCATCGTCGCCAAAGGATATCTTTGGGGTGCCGATACTTCGACTCTTGTTGAAGAGGTGAAGCCGGATGAGGCGTTTGATGTCTTGATTCTTGCTGATCTGTTATTCAACCACTCCGAGCATGGAAAGCTAGTTCAGACAGTCAAGAAATCTTTGAAGAAAGACGGTACCGCGCTGGTGTTCTTCACGCCGTACAGACCTTGGTTGTTGGAAAAAGATCTGGCTTTCTTCGATCTAGCAAAGGAGAATGGATTGATTGTCGACAAGGTTCTAGAAACAGTGATGGATAAGGTCATGTTCGAAGAAGACCCTGGTGTATGTGACTCTCTACTACAAAGCATCAAACTGGTGCTGACTCAACGATTTCTANNGGACGAACTTCTACGCCGTACCGTATTCGGCTACGAGCTGAGATGGGCTTAGACAACGATCGTTCTCGCTCAGATCAATCATCGAGTCACGGATTTTACGACAGCATGAGCATCTGAGGAAAGTAGAGTTGCGTGTTGATTCGTTACGTGCGTAGGCTCACAGTGTGGGCTTCATGATCAGGGTTCGGCGAGGTCCAGTCAAAATCGGAACAGCGAGACCTTCTACCAGCCTCCAGGGCCTCCGCGACCGCCGTGAGGGGGACCTCCGTTCATTCCCCCAGCACCCCCGGAGAAGCCACCCCCGCCCATGGCTCCGGGACCACCATGATGACCGCCATGGCGATTTTCACGACCCATTCCCATGTCTCCCTGGGGGCCACCCATACCACCCATACCGCCTCCCGGGGGCCACCCATACCACCTCCTGGGGGACCAAACTGTCCACCGTGCTGTGAAGGCCCGCCAGGACCTCCGGCAGAGTGGTGGCCACCGAACTCCTGGCGATTATCATACATTCCCATGCCGCCGCCGCCGCCACCGTAGCCGCCTTGAGGTTGACCGTAGTTCTGTTGGCCAAAGCCTTGTTGTTGACCATAGTTCTGTTGGCCAAAGCCTTGTTGTTGTTGTTGAGGAGGAGGATGCCTTGCGATGGTTAGTGGACGGATGCAAGCCTTAGGATATTAAATGCATACGAGTACTGCTGCTCATGCTTCTTGTCACCGTGGTGAAGTACCTTTTCTTCGATCTTGTGAATGAGACCCATGGCGGTTGATGTCTGTTATTTTGCTTTCTTTCTTAATGAGTCTTTGAAATGGTATGAAATCGAGAAATCTCGTCCCTCAATGGCACATCTCGTTCTTTATAAACCACCTTTGCTACATCTACTGTTTTCTTGATTATCGATTCGAAACTAGTCCTACGCAATTGCATGATGTCAGTTGATGGCTTGGCATCAAGCGTGCCCTGATACAGCGGGTTTCTTGCGAGGAATCTACTGTTGACGCGCGGACATTACGCTCGGAGCCCACTCTCGATATGCATGGCGTGTTCATTTCTTGGCACCGTAGAAATTGGAACTTCACGCTGCCTTTTTGAAATCTGCCTGATCAGTTCTGCTGACCTATACCATTGTTCAGAGCTCATGTGACTGTCCGAACTGTTAAGTCACTGCATACGCGGCGACATGCTCATTCTGACGGAGGCGGCTGCGGAAAAGTCGCAAGCGAAGCCGGACGTGACTAACCTAGTTGAGAGTCTTGGCGATCCGGTTCTGCCACTCTGCGTGCTTCTCGAACGTCTATTTATCTGAAATATTCCTCGAATCGTGCTATTGACATTGCTTCCTACCAGAACTCCGGATCATCCGATGAACATGCCAATCACTTGCTCACAATGGCTTCGAGACTTCTCTCACGATGGACCTAGGACTTCCAGATTGCGCATACTGGTCTATCACTGCGTGCTACTAAAGTCCTCACATCACCGGATTATCTGAGATTTCTGGAGTTCTCGCTATTGTCATGTTCGACGACGATGTCATGGTGCAAAGATCGCTAGTCTCAACTTCAATAAGCCACAAGCGATTGATCTTCGACCTTACGGTGGTCCGTCTTTCCAAGGCCAGCTAAAAGTGTAAAAGTTCTTCTCAGGCTCAATCGACCCTGCTGAGCGGGGCCAAGAAATCTTCTCCTGGAGTGGCATTTCTATGCTTGCAAGTGTTCTTGTATTCCCGCGCTACCTGGCGCAGTAGGAGAGATGTCTCGAGCTGCAAGAAGGAGAAAATGGGACCTCTATTCCCCATCAACATCTCAGGGCCGTGAGACATACAGGCACAAGTTCCGCCAGCCATCGAAAGATCTGACTCTGACTCAACTCTTCGTTCCCGCTGTGACCCTGGATTGGAACCATAGCTGGAAGATAGAGCGCTGGTCGGATTTTGGCAACTGATCTGACAGTGAGGCAAGTTTCGCTCCTTGGCCCAATCCAGGCATCTACAGACTTCAGCTCATGAGCACGAGCATTGGACCACGTTGTGGTCTCTGCCGCTCAAAACGGCCACACCATCACGGGTAGTCCACGCTTGCAAGCTTCCACACGACTGAAATCATGGATGGCCGGAGTTTCGTCGTACCAGCGACTGGCTGCATAACCAGACATGTATCGATGGTTAATCGTTGAATGAGCCTTATTGCAATTTACTCAGAGTCAAAGGGCGCGCTGAATCCTGGTTCAACGTGGAACACATGGAAGGCATCTTCAATCGCAACGCGCAGGGTAAACGGTGTTATTATCGCCGACTACAAGGGTGGCAATTTTGCCTGTTTATCTCCGACCTCGGGAGACTGCCAGCAGCGACCGAACAGACCATTTCCCGCAGACTTTCTCTTTTTTTCTATTCTACGCGCCAACAAAAGAAAGTAAACACGAAAACAAAGACATTCGATTCATTGGAAGCAGACGATTTCTTCATCTCTGCCCAGATGGACAATCTCGTCTGTTGTGTTTCTGGTACCACTCGCGGTAACGCTTGGCTGTCGACTTGACAACATGTTGGAGGATGATCATTAGTTTTTGAACACCCCTTGTCCATCCCATGCAGTCAATTGCTTCGTCGTACATCTCAAGAGTGCTTCCGTCTTGGATGGCAAACCCGACTCTCCACCAATCACCATCCACTACAAAGTAAGGAACTGGCCATTGACAGCCGTGACATGCAATCTCGTTCTGCTCGAGACAGTCGAGATACTCCGAGAACCACTTCCTGAGGCGGTCCGTTGAGTCATCATGAGTTTCAGTTTTGACCACGATTGGACAAATGGGGATGAAGTTGAAGGCATCGCACAGTGTTTGGTGCGGCCGCCAATCGCTTCCCTCCAAACAGAGAACCATGTCAACATATCCATCGGTGTGGTCGTCGTTCTCGAAACCCTCAACGCAAACAACCTCTTCTTGCAGATCATAAAATTTTAGCAAGCGTTTCAGGAAAGGGTAAGCGCATGATATGTCCCAGTCGAGTCCCATCGCCATCAAGATCGAGGGCATCGGCAGTTCCAAATCGGGCAGTAAGCAAAGATCTGCTCCTTTTCTGAGGTTCATCAAAGCAGTTTCGATGTAAACATAGCTTAGGAAGTGTTGGATAGTCTTCAGCAGGTGCTGAAAGGCTGGCGGAAGGGCTTTCTTGTTGAGGGACGAGCATTCAAATTTGTGTGATCCTCGACCAATGGAACAAGCACTACAGTCGTTCTTTTTGATGGGAGGAGAGTACCCCCACTTGTTCTTCCTGGAGTCGCGAATGCGAATCTGGGTGCGATATGGTGTCGTTGTGTTGACTGGGGCTGCTTCAAGGTCGCTTTCATCCAGGAATGTATCGGAATTGTTGCCATCCAAGAATGTTACGGGATCGCTATCGTTCACGGACGCTTCGGGATCGTTGTCATCTGACTCCTGCTCAAGGGGTACAGGAGAGCGGACTTTACGGGTTCGTGCAGGGCGTATTGGGAGGTTTTGATTAGCTGGCCCCCTGCCGCTTGAGAGCGACAACCCGCTACTGAGTTTGCTGAGTTGTAGCAAGACACCTTTGGCAAGGCCATAGAGTGACTAGGTGAGTAGAGCATGGCGACAAAAGGTTGTGCGATCGACGACAAGCTGATCATTCTGTCAAGCTGTAGAGTTGGACTGTTTTTTTCTTGAAGGAAAGGTAAGAAGTAAGTGTTATTGACGATGAACAGAGATGTTGTGTTGATGAAGAAACAGAGAGAGAAGAGCGATGTGTCCAAGTTTTATGGCCGGAGAATCTGTCTACCTAGGTATGACTCTTATGCGTCCATGTGCTATGTTTGAGTAGTGTCGAGCAAATTCTTGCCGCTTCTCGTTAAATGAAGACTTGGTCGCACGAGGGACAAACTATCAGCTCCAGAAACTCGAGAGATATCGCAGAAACAAGAGCTGATTTTGTCATTGCACTACACAGTATCAAACAATGCCCGACTTTCAGTAATATAGTCGGACACAAGTTATCAATGCTGCTATGTCTATATCAAAACCCGAAACAATTCAGTTCTCCAATAATAACAGCAACAACTGGGCTCAAACCAGGCTGCCGTCCCCGTAAATTGCCACACACTTCGCGTTCATATATTCGCAAGCAGACCAGAACCCACAGAATCATGCAACTCAGTCCTGCCAACAGATTTGTACTATTAACAAATAGAGCATGGCAATTCACTCTTTACATTCTTGTGCAACGAGGATCCACGTGTTCGAGGCATATATAGGGGGATAGTTCTTCCAGGCATAACACTGGATGCTGTGTATCGAGGTTCGTATGTCTCAAAACATGGATGCTTACGGCATCCCTCATCCGAACCAATGCTACATATCTCAACCATGTATGCAAGAAAAGACATACTGTGTCTTCATTCATGTGCCTTCGGAGATGGAAGGCATTCAATCAGGTGGTCAGACGAAGTCTGTGATTCAAACAGAGTTTATATGAGAGGGAAACGGAAACGGCCTCTTTATGTGACCAAATCTGCGAGTGACTCACGGTTGCTCCAAACATCTTACCGATTGGTGCGTCAGTGACTTGCAACTGTGTCTTCATTCTATCGCTCCCGACGCTCTACATTCCATCACGCATTCTGAAGGTCTAGGTCTGTACGTCCTACCATCTATATCAACTGGCATCTTGATCAGCAACTTTGAGTAGGCCACGATACCCCTGAGCTCGCCATATACCTCCCTTGTCCTCCCTCTCCTCACGTATTACTTCCCAGCCGCTGCCGTCGCCATCGACACACCTCAATCAGTGGCTGCCCTTTGGTAACATCTGTCAGTCGGATACTGCTAATGATCACAGCAGCTCGATCAGGATGTCACTAGGGGCTTCCAGAGGTATCTGCATGGAGCATGGTATCAAGCTATACTGTCTCAGGGCAGCCATGGAACCAGAAGATTGCGAAAACGAGACCAGTAGCTTGCCTACGGAGAGTTGCAATTTTCTTGGCATCTCTCTGAATTGAACTTTGGAAGTACGAGTGACTATGCATCTTCAAGTCTTGGACGTCCCTGCCGATCTCGAAGGAGAGGTGAGAACGACAATTGCTAGCACGCACTCAAGATAAACGAAGAGAGGAAAACGAGCCCAGTTCCGCTTTGAAGGTGCAGAGAAACAGTTGCGCAGGATGCAAAGTAAATTAAAAGACAGATATAAGAAATATACTATGCTTACTCGTCTAATCATGATGCCACAAGTCCGAAAAAGTCAAAGCCTTAGATCTTGCTCTCTTTGCCGTTGAGCTCGCAGAAGGCCTTGAAAGTGACCAAGGGCTCGTCTCCAGAGCTCTCGAGAACGCACTTTGCAGTAGCGCCAACAAAGAAGACATATCCTTCCTTGAGCTCCTCCTCTTTGGGGCCGACACTGATCTTGCCCGAGCCCTTTGTGCAAATGATGATGCTGGGCCCGTCGATGGACTCGAAAGTGGCTTTTGCGCCAGACTTGTTGAGGTCGGTCTTGACGACGCTGAACTCCTCGATNNCGGGGGGGTCGTAGAGGGTGGCGGCAGAGCTGGAGCTGTAGGCGGTGGAGTTGAGGGTGACGAAGGGGTAGTCGGTGGGGGACATTTNTTGTTCGCTGATGGGGGCGTACGAGTAGGTAAGCATGTCGACGAGGTTGTCGACATCCTTGAACTTGGGAGTGAAGCCGGCGCGGACGACGTTGTCGGAGGAAGCCATGCACTCGATGATGTCTGTTTCGTGTTAGTACCTGTTAGAGATGGCGAGAAGGGAGAGAGAAGTACCTCCGGAGAGATAGGCGTGAATGTCGTCGGCCTTGAGGAACATGGCCTCGCCAACCTCGAGCTTGACGTAGTTGAGGAAGAAAGTGACAAAAAGACCAATGTCGTTGGGGAACTGGCCCTGCAGTCGCAGCATCAAGTCTGAGAGCTCCTTGCCGTTATTTGAAGGTCCGCCGTTGCCCGCGAACTTGTCGCCTTCGTCCTTTGCTTGCTGAATGAGGTCCTTGGCGTGCTTCTCGATGTCTTCGGGCGTGCTCTTCATCAGACTGCGGAAAGCAGCTTGCAGAGCCTTCTTGTTCTCGGCAGCCTTGGACTCGTCTTCTGATGTTTCTTGGCCCTTGACCGTCTCTTGGAACTTGTTCGCCTCGTCTTCTCCTACCAGGCTCTTGAGGCTGGGGACGCTGTCGAGGAAGTGCGAAATTTCTTTGAGCGGACGGAAGCCGCAGAGTCCGTCAAAGGGAGTAATGGCAAGAGCCATCTCGGGCTTGTGGTTGTCATCCGGGTAGTTCTTGGGGTCTTTTTCGTGCAGCTTTGCGGCGAGCTTCTTGTTGGGGTGGGCCTGGATGGAGAGGGCCTTGTTGACGGACAGGACCTTGAACAGGAAGGGCAGCTTCTTCTGGTACTTTTCCGAGATCTCCTTGGACATCAGAGCTTCATTGTCCTGGACGAGGTCGAGCAGAGTGCGCTGGGTGTGCAAATCCTTGGAGGGGTTGCTGGGGTGGGTGCCCATCCATAACTCGGCGTAGGGCTTCTCTTCCTGAATGCTGAAGTCGGAGGGAGTGGCAGAGGCGAAGCGGGCGGCAGCAGAGTCCTTGCCAACCTTTCCTATACGCGGCCATCAGTCTTTTGCGTGGGTCGTGGGCATTGTCGCAAAGGCGTGTTACCCCACTCGTAGCTGTTGCAGCCTGCAAATCGTCATGTCAGTCAACTGTCACATTCCATCATCCGTGGCCTGTCTTACCGCATTGCAAGCGAATCAGAGGAACCTGCATCTTGGTAATCTCTCAAATGTAATGCGACAATGTAAACAGGGTGGTGAGCGTTGTTTCTATATCAGAAGGTTAAAAAAGAAAGGGGTGATGCTCCGTCGCGTCACAGCTGACCACAAAGCTCCACCCAAGCTTCACGCGGGGCTACTCGTACTCTGCCTTTCCCTGAACAACCCCTCGACTCCTCCTTCCACATCTTCAACCCTCGCCTTGCCTTGCCTTCGCTTGCCTTGCCTCGCCTTGTGCTTGAGCCTCACCATCACCTGATCAATTGACCCAACATCGCTTGTCAATCTGTGTGACCTACCTCCGACATGTCTGACGACCTCATCTTTATCAGTCCTCTCCAAGCACCTCCTCATCCCAACACTCAATCCTATCTTGCGTCCATGGAGGTCCTACCAACAGGACGAGGCTGTCTGCCTTCTGCTAATCGTGGCCAATCGAATTAATTCGACCAAACACTGGGCCACACCAGTGATGCGTTTCCATACAGAAAGTAACTCATTCCCGCGAAACCGTACAAGACTAAGTTTGAATTCATCATACCACCAGCCTCGCGAGCTCAACACCCAAGACTCTCCTGCTCCAGTCTTGAGTATATCAATTGCCCAAGTCCCCGTCTCCTTTCATTTCTTCTTTCGTGAATCTGGTGTAACTTGTCTCAAACTCCACCATGTTCTTACATCATTTCTTACTATGCCTGGTGGCTCTGTTCACCACCCTGGCACTAGCCATCCCCGTGACACCATCTCCCTCTAAACTCTATTCTTCTACCATCTCTCAATCCTCGGCCGAAGTTGACTCTCTTGTCTCACCAATAGAGAAAGAACAACGCACCCTCTTTTGCCGCTACAACTCCGTCTATTGCCAAAAACATTACCCTGAGCTCTGTGCCGCCGAGGTCAAGTCAACTCCCCCTTGGTGCCACGTCAACGACAAATCAGTTGAATCTGTTATCTCTAGAGATGACAACATTCCTGTCGACACCCACACCCTTATCGCACGTCAACTCGAGGAAGAACAACGCCCTCTGTTTTGTCGCTATAACCCGATCCATTGCCAGAGGCATTTCCCCGAAATGTGCAAGGACATGACGCACGACTCTCCTGCATGGTGCGATGTCAATGGTAACCCAGGAGAAACAGACGGTGGTTGGCTCGCTGACAGCCACACTCTTGATAACAGTGATCCAGGAGAACCTCTTATCCCTAGACAGACCGATCATCCAGACCTGGCAAGGACGTGCCACTACAATCCTGTCTATTGCCAGAAGCACCACTCCAAATATTGCACCGAGCAGGCTGCTCCAACTTGGTGTACCTTTACCGAGTCTCAAGCAACAGTATCATCACACGCGAAGAGAAGAGATGGTCCTAAGTTCTCCGCACGCGAGCAGTACTGCAAGTACAATCCTGAAGCGAAAATTTGCCAGAAGGGTGCTCCAACAAAATCATCGAAAATGAAGGTGACGGACCCCCCTAAATCTCTCAAAGGCAATCCTCAACGTGAGGAGTTCTGCAAGTACAATCCTCAGGCCAACATCTGCCGAAACGCTTCTCCACCAACACCATCCAATGACGAGCTGTCAGACACTGTGGATCTTGTTGAGCGCAGCCCTCAGGATGATCCCGAGAAGCAGGACCCAGAGAACGAGGAATCCCATCCCATCAACCGATCTTGGTGCAAGCATCACCCAAACCATCCATACTGCAACTCTCAGTTCTGCCGCGACCATCCTGGTTCCTGCAAGAGTGAAACTGCTCTCACCGAAAGACAAGACGAAAAGCGCAACGAGAAGATCGACTGGGTAACCAATGCCACCAAAGAACAAAGAGACTTCTACTGTTCCCTCTACAGCGGAGGACCGGCTTGTTGCAAAGCAGCATGCTACCAGAACCCTCTAGAGGCAACTTGCGCCATCCCCGGGCCTATTCCAGTTCCTGGCGACGACCAACCAGTATCTCGATCTCTCCACAAAAGACAAGAATGGTGGTGTCTCTGGTGGTGTTGATCTCCTCCAACCCTTGCCTTCCTTTTGTTTCTCGCCCTTTTTCTTCACGCTCCTTCTTTTCTGATCGTTGTTATTTCTGTTCCCCACGGCTTTGTGCCTCTTTACCTTCTTTCTTGCCTTGACCTTCTTCACCTGATCTCCTATCTCGACTGTCTTGGTTTCAACTCACGAATTCCTCAGCTTTCAACCCTGGAATTTCCAACATGGCCAACTTTCGCTATAGCTTATATACTGTCTTTTAATACAAAACTGCCCATTCGCTCGCTTATCTATATCTTTTCACACCGCACCTTACTTTGTCGTCGCACTCTCAGTTTCACGGCGAAAGCCTTGTTCGTTGTTATTCGCGCTTTACACGTACGATCGCAATTTATGCCTAGCTTCCTCGGTGACATCGACCCTGATATCCAGGTCGCCTCGCGATATATGTGCTGGTATAGTGCACTGTGACAGCCAGCAGCGACAAGAGGAGATCGGGTCTGTGAACCTCGAAACATAACCCATCTTCCTGGTTGCAAGGTCAGCTATCGACGAATGGCGAGACATTAGAGCACTGGGGCAGCAAAAGAGGTATCACAGACCTGATGACTTCTCTCTACTACCTACATCGACATGTTTTCACTGTTGGTAAGCTAGGGGCGGCGTGACTTCTGTGTTTGTGGACTGCGACGGTGAGATCGGCAATGACACCAGAACAAAAGTATTCTTTCTGAGCACAGACGAAATGATGTTCTGTGTATGGAGGAAAAGACTTTGAGGTGCTGAGTCGGATAGCGTTCGTGCCTTCCTTATCTGCAGCACCTGCCTGAATATGTTCAGAAGACGTATAGAATATAGTAATGGAATTAATTGATCGATCTCGCTGGTTAGGGGGGATAATACAAATTTACACAAAGACGAAAAGAAGATAAAGGACAAACAAATGTTGAAGCCGACAAAGTAATCGCCCGTGTCTCTTCGTTTATTAAGTATATTACGAAGAACAAGGAAAATCGTAAATGTCGAGCCGTCGAAGAATCAGAATTAGGAAAGACGGAGAGGTCCTTTCGGCTGCTTCCCTTTTTGTTTTGTTCACCTTTGAGGATCTCTGCTCGTCGACAAGTTACTGATCACCTCCTGAAAGCGTGCTGCGCAAGCATGCGTTCCTTCCGTCCAGGTATGTTTGCCGATGTGCTGGCGTTCATGAGGAAATCAGAGACGTCATTTTGCGAGATCAAAGAAACCAGTGGCATCCAAGCAAGTGCATCGAAAGCAATCATGGAAGATCCTAGCTTAGGCAGCGTTGTTGTTGTTTTTGGGCGCAGACCGATAGTAAGACCAACAGCCAGAGCGACAATAATACAAATAATAACAACAATGAGCAAGCACCACCATTTCAGGCGGCGAGCGCGACGAGCATGTGTGATACCCTTGTCGAGCTGCACGTTACCGGCCTCAGTGTCCTTTTTAACGTTCTCGGTGTGCTGCTCAGCTTGTTGGATCATGGGTTCCTGGATGACGACGGCTTCGGCAAGATCCTCGAAGAGCTTGTTGAGCTCGATCAGAGTACGCTCAATCTGTTGAATGTCGTTGTGACGAGCACGCACAGCGCCGAGAACGGTGCTGGCGGTGGCCGAGCGGTTGGTCTTGANGCTGGAGATGGGATTAGCATGCATGATTACAGGATAAGCAAGAGATGAACATACAGCAGTCTGGAAAACACCCTCGTTGCCCCAGTCAGCGTTGGAGGCCTCTTGGACTTCGGCATCGGTGGCCTCAGGGTTGACAATGCGATATTGACGGGCGATTTGCTCACGGTAGCGGCGCTCGTAGCTGGCCTCCTCGTTGCGGTACTCCTCGAGCTGCTTCTTGAAGCTCGTCTTAAGCTGGCCAACCTGGCTGTTCTTGATGTTGTTGTTGCGTCCACTTCTGGCAGCATCCGTTTCGAGGAACTTGATCTGGTCCTTGATGGAAGTGTTGAGAACCTGTGTCTGGGTGACAATGGACTCGAGAGCCTGGTTGGAGGAAGCATCGGGGCTGTTGAGAGTGCGCTGGTGCGCGGCGGCAATTTCGGAAATGTATTGGGTCAATTGACGAATGTCGGCCTTTGCAGCCTCGACGCGCGCCAGGAAGTCCTGGTTACTGAGGACAGTGGGGGCTGCCTGATGCATGACGGGTTGGGTTCCAGTGGCTACGACACCGCCGGGTTGCTGACCAGATACGCCAGCAGCTTGCGGTGTGCTATACTGCGAGTCCTGAGTCATGGCCGAGTAATTGGACTCGCCGTGACGAGTGGGCGCCGGAGGTTGGAGGGGTTGATTCTGGAGGTAGTCAGTATGTTGGCTCTTGCGACAAGATCAGCGAAACACACATCNGCCGTAGGGATTCGCCTGGCCGTATCCCTCGTTGCCGTACGGGTTGTCTCCATCGCCGTAAGGGTTTCCGCCGTAGCCCGCGTATTGGTTGTTGTTGTTGTAAGCCATGTTTTGGCGCGAGCGCAATTGATGCGCGAGTAATTATTAAGATGCTGGTGTAATGCTTCTGTATGAAGGGACGATGAAGGAGTGAGATGGCGCTGCGACTCGACGACGGGCGAAGTGCGGGTGAGTAGTATTAGGCAAGAGCGACGACGGTCGGTTCAAGGCAGGAGCGATGGCGGCCGGGCACAAGAGGAAGCACGCGACGGGATGTTGCAGTCGTCGAGGAAGGCGCGACGACGAGTGAGCAGCGGTGGAAAAATGGGTTGAACAGGCAGTCAAGGTTCGGTTCGTGATTGAGCGCTTGGACTGGAGCGACGGATGCAGCAACCACTGGTCGTTGCCATTGGACAACCAGCACAGCCCAGGGGATCGACCTGCCGCCCACGTTCAAATTTCCCGGATTCCCAACACCAAAACAATCACTTCACATCTTTGTAACCATCATCGTGTTTGTCGGCGCTCTGCTGTGTTGATCTTCCATCTGCTTAACAAGAATCTCCATCGACGAAGACGAGACTGATCGAAACACAGTGGCCAACTCCCCTGCAGGCGGCAGCCCAGCATGAAACAACGGTGACCAACGTGCAGACAGCACGCCTGTGCATGTGCCCTCTTTCCTTCCCACTTTCCATCTTTTCCACGTTGCGATATCAATTCTGCCATCTTCTTGTTTGACTTCTGTCAGACATTGCCTCAACTTCGTCATAATCGCCGCCTCGAGCACTGAAGATGCCATGACGATTGCCGTGCTAAGAATACGGTATGCACGGCTAGGCTGCCGCCCCCAGTTAACTCAATCGGTGCTCTGACCAAACCTGCGGGATACTGTACAGAATCATCACAAATGGAGAAAAACATTGAGATGCTTCTGAATACTTTGTATTCTGCCCCTTGCGAGGTCTTGTCCTTGTAGGAGCTAAACTGTTGTTGTACAAAAATCATGGGGAATCTCTAGAAAGTCCCAATTCCAGGCCGCCATCATGAGCCGCCAACCAACGCCATACTAAAAACACATCCAGTCGTAAAACGCCTCCTGCCCCAGTAATCATCCAATCGTAACCCGTAACGCACCGATAATGCATGCTTTGAAGTCGTCTTAGTGAACAAAACACTCGCATTACATCTCCATGTCGTCAAAGTCTCTCATCATGACTGCCATCTGCGCACGCTTGGCAGCTTCAGCGAGAAGGCTGAAGTCTTGCAGGAAGGGCGATGCGTCGTTGAGGCCTCTGGGTCTCTGCTCTTCGCAGAAACTGCCGCGGTGTTGCTGAGGGTACTGAGGCATTTGCTGGTAGTAGTTGTTCTCTGCAGGTGGCAACGAGAATTGAGATTGACTTGAGGGCGACGACACGGGCGCGGCAGAGACCAGGGTAGGTGATTGACGAGAGCTCATGTTGGTCTGGTCAGGGCTGGTGTTGATGGAAGCCAATGATGAGAGGCTGGCCGAGCTTGTGAAGGTGGATTGGTTGTAAGATGCTTGAGAGTAGGCAGGTCTTTGCTGGGCGGCGTAGAAGTGTTGGTTTGAGTGAGAGTCCATTGTGTTTTGATGGATGCAAGTCGACGTGATAAGCTGGGGAAAGTTTGTGGAGGAATGCGGAGAAGAGTGTGGCCAGGGGAGGGCTGGACTTTAAGAGCTGAAAAAGAGTCGGTTATGACGACTGAAAGGGGTGTGGGATCGAGGGCGAGTCAAGTGGGTGTGAGGATCGGCTGTCAGGGACCACTGTGCTCTCGGCCGACTTGGAAATAACGAGTCGTGTGTGGGAGAAAATGAGCCGAGGGAGATTCCAACGCTCGAAGGGCTGGTAGAGAAGCCGGCTAAAGACGTGGGGATTGGCAGAAGGGCGGATGGAAGGACGGGCAAAATCCGTGTGATAGGCGCAGACGAATCTTGACGGATCGGCGAGTGCGTGGGGAATCTGGGGATTGACGGCAGTAAAAGCAAAAAGGCTGATGTGCTGAGTCGTTTGAAGGCGTGTTGATTTTTGTTGTCGGTACGTAGTTACGGAAACAGGGTAGGAGCAGGAAGAAAGGAACGGAGGGAAGAGCAGAGAAGAAATACAGAACTCGTCAGATCTTGCTCGGTCCTGCAAACCACAGTGGACCGCCTCGTCCCCCACACACAACAACGATGAGGACCCGCGCCAACCCGCACTCTTACTGCCGGGCCGACAGTTGGCTCTCCCATGAGGTGATGTTTTGCGCGCTATCTACAAAAACGGACTTCTGCCGAGAGGACAAATTGCGTGGGACCGAGAAAGGCCGGGGAAGATGCGTGCTTGGTGCTCTTTCCGACTCGGGGTAATTGCTCGGCACTACGTAGCCAGCCAGTCCCAGCCGCAGAGAAGACCGAGTAGTCGGCGCTTCTCCAAAGGTCAGAGACTTCAAACACGACAGTCTTTGACGACCGCCGTCATGCATGGAGGTTGATGGCCGCCTGCGTTGACCTTAGGTAAACAAGATCGTCGTGCACATCACCAGGGAGTGTCAGGCCCATCACTGTCACCAGGGAGGAGCATATCTGCGGTCTGGAGACGACTCGTGTACAGTGGCCTAGAATTTGGTCTGTCGTGGTCCGTCCAAAGATGGAGAAAAGACCAGCGAGCAGTTACACCCATGCTCGTGCACTGAGGCCCTCGAATCACGACCATCTCTTCATCCAAGGTCACATGGACAGGATCGATGCCGCTCTTCGACGTTCTTGGAGTCTGCCTGGCCTGGAACGCGTAGAGAGAACGTTCTATCATAAGGCCAACACCCTCGCTTATCCGAGGATAAAGACGGCTGTGATTACATCGAGGCTAGAGGGGATATTGTCAGTTGATCGTCCAAGACACTACAGATGTGCACAAGGGAAAGTAAGTTCGTAAACATCGACTGCAACACTTAGTAGAGTCGAAATCTGCCTCCCATATAGGCGTTAACGACACATAGACAACACACGAGACCGTTGTCCTCATGTTGTATGTTTAACGGACATGAGCATGATTGATCGGGCCGTATATCAAAAACTCCTCCAGCAAGCGAGGATGATCTCGGATGTGAGATACACTTCGTCTCCACTTGGTAGAGGACAAGGGCAAGATCCCGGCTGTGGGGTCAAACGGGGCCCTGGGGGATGACCCACTCTCCGTTTCTTTCTCGTCCAACCATCAGAGAATTTTGGTCTTGAAGATCTGTCTGCTCCGACGCCCCGAGAGTTGTGCGATGCGCAGACACAACAGATATCAGGCTGTCCATTGCTATGAAAGCACATGCTGTATCGGCGCTCGAAAGAGATTTCAGAAATTTTAGACCACTAGAACCCGAAGATGCAACTGGTTCGCAAACTATTTCCTCTCGGCATGCTCGGTCAAATATATCGAGCATATGAAAACTCTTTTTCTTTCATATCCCAACGATCAAATATCCCAACCCCTTTCACGAAGGAAAAACAATAAACGCCCCCGTCATCACAATGCAAAGATAGAAACTTCGATGCGCCTTCGATGCATGGGAAGAGAGTTTACAGGTACCTGCAGTACATGTCGCGTCGGCATCTCACGGCTATGAGTACAAGAATACATCGTCGTCATTCGTATCTTCTTGCGCAGGCCAAGGCAGGCGGCTCTGTGTCCATCAATTCGGCCTCAAGCCCCGCGTCTCGAGGTTGACGAATGGCGTAGGTTGGAGTGTGCTCCGATGGTAAGTGAAAGAAAACAAGAACTGCGTGTGCAAGAGAAAAATGGTGAATAAATGGCCGGAGTGTTGCAGTCTGCAGAGAAGCATCTTCGGACCGAGATACTTCGACGTGGTTCGAGGTTCACGACTTCACGAGAACTTTGCGACAATCATTGCGAGCATAACTGCGAGCGTTACTGCGAAGTCTTGCTCGTCGAGCTCCGATGCTCTATTCAACACACCTGGCGCAGACTGTACCAGACTTGGCTCCTTGAGTCCCTCGCCAGCCAAATCTGCTGTATCTGCTGGAAAAATATGGCAGCGTGTCAGAACACCTGCTCCTCCACATCCCGATACTCATACCACAACATGGCCAGCGTTTGCCGCCACTCTCACACAATGACCCATATCAATACCAGTCAGCGCTCATCCTCTTTCCACAATCCCTTCTCCACTCTCTCATGTCTGCGATCTATCGTTCCACTTCGGCCTCTCCACATCACAATACCCAATGCCGATAACCCTCGGACCGACATTCCCACCCGCCCCACGCAAAACAGATGCCGAGAACCACCCCGAACTCTCTTGCTCTTTCCGAAAACTTTTCGTGAACAAAACGGCACAAAATCTTGGCATAACATGTGAAAGGTCGGGGACAGAAAGCAAGGCACGGAGGCGGAAGCACTGCGGAAGCAAAACAGGGGTGTGGGGAAGAAGCCGAAGGGTTTCGAGTCGTCAAAAGACCTCGAGGCGAGGCAAGCGCCGACGGTATCCAGATTCTGGACTTTATGGCCGCCCGTCGGCAACTGAATCAGGGAATGTGCCGCAATATGTAGTTTCTGTTGCTGACTCAAGGACAGGTAGGCCGTGGGAATAAGAAGCGTGAGAGTCGATGTTGATGTCGGTGTTGATGGCTGACCGCAGTTGACAGCCGCGTCTGTATCGCTGATGATCACGATCTTGCAAATGATGTTATGTTTGATGAACTGTATGTTGCGAAGATGCGAGCATTTCAATAAGGAAATACGAAGATGAACTCAATAACGTTGTGTCAAACTAATCGCAGCATGCCTCCAACCAAAGAGACGACAAAAGAAACAACAACAACAACAAACTAACTAACAAGGGGTATTTAGAATCGAAGAACATCAAACACGTCCAGAACAATTAACGCCAATCCACCTCTACTTAAATATCCTTCTTCCTACGTTTCTGCGAACCAGGACCCTTGCCTCCAGGTCCACCACGTCCAGGCCCACCAAAGTCGTTCCAATAGCGATCACCACTACCATGACCAGGTGCGAGACTGACATCAGACCTGCACTTTGGCTGTTCAAAGTCTTCTGCTGTACCAACAGGCCAGATGGGCAAGAAACAGATCTCATCTGCAGCACAGCCACGGCATTGCTTCCATGTCGTCCAGGCTAGGTACTCTTTCAGTTGGGTGATCTGACTCAATGCGGTGAGGTAATCTGTTTGCTCAGCTGCAGTCATCAAGCTTGAGCAGAGAGTGTGTGTAACATGGCGTATCGCCTGAGCTGCTACATTCGTTGATGTAGTGGGTGGGATGAATTGCGAAGCACATCGTTCGACCTCCGAGCTGCTGTTGCGGGCGCTGTAGTCGATGAATGGACGCAGCGCACGTTCAATCTCTGCTTGTAACGTTGACAGAGAGGTCAAGGATCCCGAGGCTAGGTACTCGATGCGGTCGGCGTAGCGTGCGACTATCATATCGGCAATGGCTTGCCAGTCGACGGACCCAGCATGTTCTTCCTCACGCAAGATCATCTTGTCTACGGCTTGACGCACGCTGTCCATCGCAGAAGATTCGTTGTTGAGGCGGGGACGACCACCATCGTCAAAGAAGACGGCCTCCGGATACGCAAAGGCAGAGACAAACCCTTCGTAATCTAGCACCGCACGACCACCACCAATACCATGATAACGAGCAGCAACAGCGCGATAGTAGTTAAAGCCATCGCCGTTATCGGCACCACCACCAAAGCCACCGCCAGCTTTAGGGTTCGTCTTGGCGATACTGACAACATCGAGATGAGCAGCAAAGTCGCACAAGATGATCTCGAAGCCACCTTCCATGCGTAGGATACCGTCGATACGATCATCCCATTGCTCGTGGGCTAGCTTGCACAGCTCAGTCGCACGTTCTTGCTCGCCAAACATGCCTGAGTCGTTGTCGATGATGTTCTCCAATAGCAGCACATCTTGAGTGTCAAGAGTGCCCTTCTTGGACTTTGCAGCAGATTGACCGTCCACGTAGAGTAAACGCAGATTGTGTTTCGTGCGGTAGGTGTGCAAGTATCCTGAGTTGTTGTCTCCAGGGTTGCCGGGAGCGAGCGGTTCTTGCTCTGCTCGTGTGTCGATCATCTCGGACTGGATGGGCTTAGTAGGTACATCCTTTGGAGGAGTTGCATGGCGCCGCTTGGGGTTGCGCATCAGGTCTCCGAGGCGATGAACCCAGTAGCCGATTGGTAGTACGGGGAAACCATCGTGACCAGGTTGGTCGTGATGCGAGCCACTCAGTCCACCGAAACCCTCATGAGGCGGTGGTTCGTGGTGCTCGTGATGGTCGTGATCATTGTGGTCCTCATCGTGGTGCTTGAACCAATCGGGCGGAGGTTCGTGATGCTCGAATGGAGGACCTCTACGAGGAGCTCCGTGTTGACCCTTGTCTGGAGGTCCGGGACAAGGAAGATGGCCTTCTCCAGGAGGGCAGCGTCGTGGTGTATCGTTGTATTTGTGTCCAGGAGGGCCATGATGAGGTGGTGGTGGTGGTGGTGGCGGCGGACCATGATGCGGACCATCCGGACGAGAGTCGTTACGAGAAGGTCCATGACATCCTTTGTCGCCATGAGGTTTACCGATCCGACTCTTGCCATCTTTGCCTCCACGATGTCTCGGTCGGCCCTCAGGAAGATGGTGCTTCTCGTTGTCTTCGCTCTCCAGTTCTGATTGGGATGGGATTCCTTCAGACGTCTCATCTTCCTCTTCATCGGCAGGAGGTCCATGACCATCGGCAGGAGGTCCACGACCAGCACCAGGCGGGGGCCCTCTTCTCCCTCTCGCAAAAATCAAAGCATGCTCAGGCTCAAAAGCAAGCCATTGCATCCCCTCCACACGCTCGTCTTTCTCAGTGCCATGATATAATTCTGTGCCCTCCGGAACCGTAGCGATAAACAAACTCATACCATTATGATTCAGGCTCGATCCAAACTGGCGTAGAGAACTGTGCACCGCATTGAAAACATGGTTTGCATGCTTGGTAGCATCTAGATCAGCATTTTGAGTAGTGGGCAAGGGGTTTGCAGCAGCCAGCCAGGAAACAAGCAAAGGGAAAAGATGGTGAAAGCGCGGCATTTCGCATCACGGGTGGTATTGAGGTTGAGAGAACTGCGAAGAGCAACAATACATATTAGATCAAGCCATCGCACTTCGATACCATTGAGCGCGTGTACAAATGCGTGGCCGCGCGTACCAAACCTGATGCCAAGCCATCGTTTTTGCCATACCACGAAGCCTTGAGGAAGAGCATTGCGCCAGCACCTCCTCGCTTGAAGTCAGTAATTGCTATATGGCACATCCACTACAACATAATCCGTGAGCTCATCATGCATGGTTCGCATCTCGTGGAGCTGATTGAGGACGAGTGAGATAGGAGTTCGAGAGGTGTTTTCCTCACTCCACAGATTTCAAATCCTCCCCAAGAAAATCGATTTCATCTTCTTCTGCCTGTCTTATCTCAACACGCCGAGTCTTTCGGCGCATAAAACACGCAACACTGCCAATAGAGTGTATCAGAAAAATTCACATTCAACGTGGCTGTGTTGATTAAAGAGGCGACGGGTCGATTCTTGTCCCAAAGCCAATTTTCTGCCTTGAGGTGATGACAACCGATTTGCTCGATAGGGATGACGACGACCAATCTACCATCACCACAGATCTTGGTAGTATTTGTTTTACACAATTCTTAAAGTCCTTGCCACACGCGACTGTGTCCAGACAATGATACAATAAAAGCGCTTCGTTGTGTTTCTGATAGGGTGACCCTGGCTTAAACATGATCATCTAGCGATCATCGACCACCATCGACTCACTGAAGATGACCCTAGCCATCCTGTACAACACTCTGGTTAGATCCACAATACTGCTCCGGGGTAACGACAGATCTTTCGTCTGCGTCGGTGGCAGGAGGTGGGATGAATGTTGGAGTATGAGTTTTGTTCACCTTTACATGCCACTTCTATGTTTGTCCAATCAAGGGACTCTTGAAAGGCAAGAGCGCTCGAACAATCATTGTCATCTGTACAATCACCGTGCCATTTGCACAACTCAATAGGGTATCAATAATAAAGTCCTGTCAAAACCTCCATTCACATCACCACCACTAGAGCACATAACACAAGTAGACTCTGAATCCACCTGTGTATAGCTTCATGTGCTCCTGAAGCTCCTCCTTGAGTAGGACTGGGTGTTGCAGTCGCCGTAAACACTCCAGTCAGTGCAACGGTTGATGTGGTGCTACCACTGGTGGATTCCGAGCCCGTCGAAGATGAAGTTACTGGTGTACCAGGCTTGCCTGCAGTCACGGTACTGCTAGGAGCGCTGTATTGCTTCGAGTTCGAATACCATATGCCTCCAGCCACAATGCCCTTGCCTTCTTGCATGTCTTCGATCTGCTCAGCGGAGCAAGTGTCCTGCATTGCGCGGATCCAGCATGTCGGCGCAGGCTGCTTAGCCAGTGGTGAGTTCGTGTGTGTCGAGTTCATAGGGCCAGATGACTTGAAGTTGGAAAGGTCAACCGGCTCTCCTGTGCTAAGTTCGGTACCATCAATGATGCGTGTAAAAACCGTGAAAGCTGTCTCCGGTTGGTAGAATGGCACCATGTGTCCCGCATCGTAGATTCGGCTGAAGGAGAAGTTGCCGAACTGACGTACAGCACCTCCAACGTAGGTCGTGTTGACAACGATATCTGCATAACCCGCACTGTTCCAGCCAGCGAGGTATGAAGGTGTTGATCCGTTGGAAGGAAAGTCCGATAGGGCAGCTGCGACAGCGAACGAGGCAGCCTCACCGCCTTTCCAGTTGCANNCTAGTACACTTGTCAGCATTGAAACAATCATGGATCTCAGGCTTGTGTGCTAAGGACTGTCACAATCTCATGATTGAGACCCTCTCTTACGGCGACACATAAAAAACTTGGAAGCTATAAAGATGCGAAGTTGCTTCCGAGATCAAGAGCGTGGCCGCAGAGATACGATAGAACAAGGGAGAGGACATACAATATAATCAGCGTCACCATACATCAGAGACACACGCACTCCAGCGCGGAGGAGGTTGGCAATCTCTTGAATCTGACCACCTCGAATCGAGTCTCCTGTCATGACAAAGGCATTCATCACGGCACTGCTGCTAGTTGTGTAGTTGACGCGAGCGCCGATGGCTTCTTGCACCGATGCTGTGTTCAGGTACTCCAAGTAGGCGTTGGATGGATCTGGCGAGGGGTTTTTGACTCGGATATCGTAAACGCTGAGGTTGCTCTTCTGGAACGGGTTCATCAAGCTGTTGCAGTAGTAGGTGGCAGCTTGACATGCGACGTTGGCCCGCACACTGTCGCCTTCGCCCTCTGGATCGGTCTCGTTAGCGATTGTGCGACATAGGTTGGTCTGTCTGCTGCACTGATTGTTGTACTGCTCAATCAAATTGAGTTCGTCTGTTTGTGAGATTGTCTGGATGCCGAATGTATTGTTGTAGGCGAAGGTAGCGTAGTAGTAGTCCTGAATCAATGAATCGATGAGACCATTGACGATTCCCAAGGACGTGAGCTTGATTTCCAATGTGGAGTTCTTGGGCAAGGTGCCGTTTTCGCGTTTTGCGTTCTGTTCCTCGAAGTAGTTGGCAAAGGTCGGACCGTATGTGCCGCCATAACTCTCAGCAAAGAGATTGACACCAGTAGTCGAGACATGTGAGCTATTCGGGCGAACACCTGGGTTGTACTGTGGGAATGCGGCCAAGAAACTTTGGAGGAAATGCCACGCAGCTCTAGCTGAGATATCAGTCGTGTTGGTGGTGAATTCGGGATCGCCAGAGCTAAAGGTTCCATTCATAAGCGCATAAGCGGGCCTGGTATTGCCAGAAGTGTCATTCTGAAAGTCATACGGCAGATATTGGTCTTCGAAGAGGTCGTAGGTCAGGTTTGTAAGGGAGTCGTAGGAAAGTCCAACNNCTATGATTCATCAGCGATGCTCTCTCGATGGTTGATTTGACCCCTGGGCCTTGTCGCAAAACAAGCTAGAGCGGTGGAATGCCGCTCGTCCATTAAGAGGGCAGGCAAGACTGGCTCTCATGGTGACGAGCCCTTCTGCAGTTGGTTTGTGTATTGCGACCGAGATTGATGATCGCCTCAATATTGCTTGAGTACGTACCTGGGTTGGCTGATCTATGAACAGGATATTTGAGCTTCTGTCCCAGCCCCACATACGTGCCTGAGTGCCATAGCTGCCGTCTGCCATCTGAATGACTTCGCAGGGGCCATTTTCAGCAAACATTCCGATTAAACTAGAGCTTCCAGGCCCGCCATTGATCCAGATAGTCAATGGAGCTGTTTCAGGATTCTGTCTTGCCTCGGTGAACCAGAAGAAGGTGTTGATGGAGTAATTTTGCTGTATCGGCTGTAGCGTGAAGGGTGGCAGGCCNNTTGTTGAGTTAGCAAGAGTTGGAGTCTTCGCACCATGCAACATACCTATGTAGCCAGTGAACTGTTTCTGGGTGCTGAATGCTGTGGTACACGTGCCAGCAGGTGGAGTTTTGTACGCAACTGTGATGTTCTCGTTGATGGGCGACTTGAGGATGTTTGAATATTCGACTTGCGGTGGGAACTGAGCAAGCGCAAGCAACGGCGCAGCCAGAAGAGAGGTGATGATAGTGTATTGCATGTTGGTTTTAGCGGATCAATAATCAAGGGAAACTAACCGATCGTCAGTTCCATGAGCTTATCTCTTTCCAAAAGCAGGATGAATGTGAGGAGAGGTTGTAGAAAGACACATTAATATTTGCTCTGAAAGGAGAGCTCAAGGAGAGTGGAGCAGAAGCCAACTCTCGATGGAGCAAGAGCTAGTCTTGATGATATTATGCATTGCGACGGCCAACATTGGAAGAGTCCGATGCTGAGGGAGGTGAGACTTACTTGATATTGCTGATGTGATGGAGAGCAGATAGAGCTTCAAAAAGCCAGGTCCGCAAACACACGTTTCGTTATGCTAGGAGGAGTGGGAGGTGCGATTGCTGGACGTTGAGTCAGTTCACAGCTTCCTTCACTTGCTGCTCGATCCGTGCCATAAACTCAACACAAGAGACCTTTTGCGACGAGAGAAGAACACGTCGTAACTTATCGTCACAAAATACATTTCGTGATAGTTGTACTACACTGGTATAGATGTACTGTGAAATCGCACTCACCAGAAAAACACGGGTCCAAACCACACAAGTCGCAAGAACAATCAAAGGAGCGTAAGCGGCAAACTCGCACCACCAGAGCTCTGAGTACGTCCAAACCTCGAGTTGCGCGGGCGGAGAGAGTGCGGCGGTGAGAAAAGCACACACAGGTTGAACACTACAGTATTGGTGCGCCCACAACCTGAGGTCAGGAAGAACTCGAACGGAGGAGAGGGACCATCGCTGCTGCTGCGCCTCGAGAGTCGGGACCCTTCTTTCACCCGATTTCACTTTCAGCCGCCCATGCAAGGCACCCGGACCGGGCGTTTTCGCAGGCCTTGGCAACGTAGAAACCCGCCAACTCTCTCGCATTCACTGGAGTACGATTCACGTTTTGTTTGAACATTCGAGGGACAGTCGTGTCAAAGTTCATGAGATTCCTTTCTGGCTGCTACCTTCCGTTCCTTCCATCTTTTTAGGAGAGCATACCATAACAAGAAATTCTGACAAACCAACAAAACATAAAACAACCGTCGAGAGTCATGTCCCAATCGTAATTCTCGTTGCAGCTTTGAGTCGCGTCCGTTATTCGCCGAGGAGTAGATGAGGAAAAAGACATGGAAAAACAAGAAGCCGACAAAATCAAGGTGCCATCATATCATAAAATCGGAACCGCTGGTAGGAATCTCTATTGACATGAAGTGAAGAACTGGGAAAATTTCAAGAGAACAAATAACAGGAAGTTGGGAGACGCTTTCGCTAGACAGTGCGTGAAAGACAAGGTCGTGTCATGAAGCATGCCGGAGTACATGAGACGGCTTTGCATAGCGTGGCGTAAATCTTGGGGCCGTAAAGTAGGTCATTGGGCGTTAGTTGTGCGTGTTGGTCGTTACGGTGATCAGCTTGCACGAATGACAAGTCTGGCGAGGAACTTGTTGGACAAACAGTCGAAGTCGTTGCGGTCGAATTTGGCTTCCGATCTAGATCGGAGGTATTTTTNCTGGATCAATATCAGTGTGAAGTCTTCGTAGTGACACTTTTTGATAAACTCACCATGCTTGGTAACATGTCCCTTCACTTCGGTCAAGGCATCGCAGATGGCAGGATCGGAGTTGAGAAGTTGGTGGTGACTACGAGTGTCCCAGTCCATGAAGTTGGGCAGCTTCTGGCTGATGGCCTGGAATAAGCCAACGATAACACCTACAGGGGTACTCTCCATGTCGTTGCAGAACTGGTTGACGGCGGTCTCATCAGGTGTGCGGTAGTGTGCATCGAATTGCATCTCTTCCCACACAGCCAGCAGGATTGCTGCAAGCATGAAGATGGTTGGCCAGTTCTTCAGCTTCTCTCCACTGTATACCGACGAGTAGAGTGCTGAGAGCTCCTCGAGAACATCCTTCTGGAGCTCCCTCCACATGTCGGCCAAGGCAATCTTGACCTGAAAGTTGATCATACCAGGTGCTACGGTCTTGCCGCAGAACTTGCTATCTTCGTCTTCGATCTTGCCGACGTTGGCTTCCTCCTCAGACAAACCCTCGATCATGGTGATGTGGAGTGTCAGGTTGTATGCGAGAACCAACTTGAGCGCTTTACGGATCACCAGTGACTTGGACTTGACCCAGTAGTGGTAGGCGGTCTTGAGCATCTCGGTCAAGAAGGGAGTACCTTCGAAGTAGCCGTCTACAAATGACTCGAACCCGTTGTCGAGGTGACAATCCAGATAGTCTGAGAGGCTCGAAGCCGACACACCTTCCATACCTGCTGACAGCTTCGAGGTATGCGTCTCGAATTGGATAGGATCGTTGATCTTTTCGGACCAGTCAATGTTGAAGCAAGTGTCGTCACGAACATAGACCTCGCGGACATTGATAGGCAACAGGTAACCATAGCCGTGAGTGATGTAAACAGTACGTTCATTGGGCGAGAAGCCCTTAATGTTGGCAGCGGAGACACCGAGGTTGACATGGCGCTCGTAGTCGGCTTTCCAATCCTTCATGAAGAAGCCAATATCCTTGATGTCGATACGAGTGCAAGGGACTTGCCAGAGACGAGCATGAGAAGGGCGGCAGCCACCACAAGGGTTGCCCTTGTCGCAAGTTTTCTTGAGGAACTTGCAACGAAGACAGGCACGAAGCTTTCTGATTTCGTGAGCTTGCTGACGCTGGTCAGCGCGAAGAGGACCCTTTCTCTTGCCAACACGCTTCTCGGGAGCACCGTCCTTACGAGCAGGAGGGCTGGCCTTCTTGATTGCTGACTTGGTGGTTTTTGCGAGAGCGTTAGTAGGAGTCTTGCGCTTTCTCAAAGGAGGCGACACTGGGCTTGAGGCGTTTGATGAGATGGTGGAAGTCTGTACTGCTTGAGAGGTAGAAGGACGAGTACCGTCAGCAGGACTTGCCAAAGGCGACGAAGATGTGGAGTGTGACAGGTAGTCGTGCTCGTAGTCGGATGAGAAATTTCTGGAGTGATGCGATCTGTGCTGAACATAGTCGGCGGCACTGAAGCCATCCGAGACAGGCGAGAACAGAGGGAAGGGAATCTCCTCGTAGCTACTTGACAATTGCGCAGAGCTGGCGTCATCATTTGAAGAGTCAGATGCACTGCGAATATGGAGAGTCTGGCTAGGGTTGAAGATGGCATTGTTGTTGGCCTCGATGTAGGAGCCGAGGGAATGCCTCGAGACGGGGAAGTCGACAGCAGTCCAGCCATTGTCACTGCTCGACAAAGAACGAATCTCCAGATATGAACCAGTGGGAGAGTTGCTGTGCAGGCTAGGCTGAACGTTGGTGTTTGCAGCCATGCCCATCTGGAAAGCCAAAAGCTCGTTCTGGTAGTCGTTGAGGGGATACGAGAGAACGTTCATTGACTCCATAGGTCCGGCCATAGTCATGTACGCGGTCGAGTTCAAGGCCATGGCATTCTCGGCCGAGACAGGCATGTACTGAGGGGTAGCTTGCTGGATCGGCATGGCATACGAGGCATCATAGGTGCGATCTAGAGTGGCGTCCTGGCTGAAAGCTTGCTGGGCAGGAAACTGGAAGTGCCATTGAGGATTGAGAACGGCAGCTTGATTCATTTGCTGCTGGGCATAGGCGAGGTGCATGGCGTTAGACTCGACAGGAGCGGACACATTGTGGGCCTCGTAGGGCTTCTGGTCGTGCTGGTTGACGGCATAGTCGACATGTTGCTTCTGGTCGAGATACGCTTGATGTTGCGACAAGGGCTGCTCGAGTTGATGTGAATGCTGATGTTGGTGGTGGTGATGTTGATGTTGTGACTGGAGGGCTTGGTGGGCCATGGTCGGGTCGAGGGAGTCGAGGGTGAAAGCCCACTGCTGCGAAGCCAAGGAGGATGCCGGGGGATAGGAGCTGGCGTGGCGAGGATCGGTATAATCGCCAAAAGCCAGAAGGTTGTCGGCGTGGGTGAAGTCGAGGTTGTCCATGGTGACTGACTATACTATTCACGGATGCAGGCAATCTCGGGCAGAGTAGTCCAAGGCGTTCCGTCGCACACACAGCTTGATTGACGAGAAAGGCACTGGATGGGCTGCGCAGCGATGGTTTCGCTGACCGCTGCTCTTGTTGCAAAAGAACAGCACGAGGAAGCGTGGCATATAGGTATTAGCGAGAGGACATGGTCTTGAAATGGCGGTGAAGCACCACTGCTGCTACCATGCGGGGCGGGGTCGATGGACGCGCTAGCTTTTAGCCCATGCATAGGCCATTTAGCGACAAGAAGGCACCAAGCACCCACCCGTAGAGGCCCGATCTAGTGCGTGACGTCCTGTCATCTCGACATGCGATGTATCCTCGTCGCCATCCTGACGGGCTGACTTGTTCTTGCCGACTTCGAGAAATTCGCACGCTGGAAAACTGCCTGGTAGCTTATGTTTCAGCCTCAGACAGAGGAGATAACCGTTGTCTACAAAACGGTGGCAGAAACCCTGGAAGTTCGAAGCTTAAACCTACGCTCAGGGAAGGCGCTTGGACGACCATCTCGCACCGCCGCCAAGTCCGACGTTGCAGAAAGGGAAGAGCGACTCGCTCACGATTCAAGTAAACCAACTAGGATAGCGTCGTTACTCTCAAGCCGCCGGGCACACCCAGCCTCTACTGCATGTTCCCGCATTCTTCGGCTCACGGCTTAGACTGCTCTTCAATCCTCCCCAACGACACCGGTCAAGGCCTGGCAAGATGACCGCAAGGCTTCAGCTGAAGTACTGCTGCACAAGGGAGACATACACTTGCAATGTACAGTCTGATCGTTCGCTCGAGCGACCCACGTGAGTCCATCTATCGTCGTGCTTCTGTGTAACAGCATTCCACGAACTTAGCGCCATCATGCCCTACTCGCACGCAAGGCACATCTAGCCGAGTCAGTCATTGGTTCCTAGACAAACCCGAGGAGCACCAAAAATACGAAACCTCCACGAGCTGTGCACTGTTTTTGTTTCACTTCCTGCTTTTTGTCTGTGGACTGATCTCGGGTGCAACATTCTACCACCCGCTTTTCAGATTGCCCATATCCACCTACGTCTCTGACTTCGACAAGATCACGAAATCTTCGAGGCAGAAGAACTCTGTGCACAGACAAATCTCGGTACTCTTGTTTATTCGACCTGCAAGAAAGACACGGCTCGGTCGATCTTCATATGCATGTTGCGTGTGCAGAAGTCGGCCCAAACCTCCTGCAGCCACTCGGGTTGACAGGGTCTCAGAAAATCCATCTCCGATTTGTTCTGCACTCCATCGTCCAGCGCACGTACGAAGTTGATCCAGACTTTGGAAGCACGGCCTAGCATTCGACCGGACTGTTTGGCCGCTCACATATTCTATCAAGTAGCTACAAGTCTTTCTCTCAACCCTTTTTGCCATTCAGCACGTCTTGGCCGAATCCAATATTGGCAGCCTCTCCGGTCTTCCAATTCACGTTGGGGCGAGTCTTGACAAAGGACTCCCTCTCTTGCCATCGTTGGAACCATTCTACCAGTTGTGGTCTGTCTTCGCGCCATTGAACCCCAACAATATCCATCATGGCCACACAAACAGCCACCGCACATTCAGCCGCTGATGCTGGTGAATCATTAGCCGGAGCTTGAAGCGTGCCACGACCAACTTCAAGCTCAAGTTGGTCAAATCCCCGCATTATCTTCTCGGTTTGACCATCAATCCAGGCTTGGTAGGCGATGTTGTTCTCAGCACGGATCTTCTTCTCGTACAGGATGAGCACTTGTGCCTCCATCATACCGTCGGCGCAAGCGTGAAGAGTTCTCAATCGCCAATTGCGTGGTCGAGGGTCAGGCCGCTTGTTCGTCAAGGCTTCGTCTTCTAGAAAATCGCAGATCACCTTCGAGTCGTAAACGCCATCGCCGTTGTTGCCGAGGACTAGAGTCGGTAGTTTTGCCAGAGGGTTTGACTCGGCGACGGTGGGCACATCATCAGACCATCCGGGATACTCGACTGGAGCAACGACCACAGTCTGAAGCTCGATTCGATCTGCAGTGCCCAATTCGAGAGCGACCATATACACTTTGCGCGAGAATGGGGAAAGCGGATGGTAGAACAGCCGATGAGGGCGATCAAGTAGTGGTAGAGAATCCGCCACAGAGACACTGGTGGAAGACCCGCCTTCCTCCGCTACCTGGATCCGGAAGTTCCAGCGAGGGAAGTGGACTAGAACACCTCGGGCATTTCGAATGCACACCTGGTTCGTTGCCAACATCACGAGCTCACCACGATCGACATGTCTCGATGCCCAGTCCGTAGGGTAAATATCGACTGTCTGACCGAGTTTGAGATTGAGTGGGTCAGCGTCGCTTATATCGCCTTGTAAAGCAGTAGCTGGTGCAGAGGTGATCTTGTCGAAAGCTTCTCTACCACTCAAAGTCACAGGCACAGGTGCTCCAGCTTCGGCATCTTGCACCACCTGCTTGAAGCGATAGATCCAAGCATAGGTTTTAGGAAACAGCTTCCCAGAGATAAACTGCTCTGGGGTTACGCCTTCCATCAACGGGTTTGTCACGATCCACTGCGCGATATACACGGCATCAATGTCTGCTAGCGATGGGTTCGCGCTGCCAACAATCCAGTCACGGCCATCCTCGAGGAACGACTCCAGCGTCTGGAACATGGTGCGAATGTATCCATACGATTCTGGTCTCTCCTTTATCATATCCTCGATCCTGAATGGTCGGCCAAGCCCCTCAGATCTGTCATTCAGGAACGCTGGGCTACTAGCAGCTGCAGAACGTTCGAAAGGTAAGCAGCGTGTTGCATGCCAGAAAATCTGATCATTCGTCCAGTCTTGAAGCAGCCTTTGGACCGCCTTGTCTGGCCCGCTCATGGGAACTCCAAAGAGAGGGTATAGCTCTTGCAAGATTTGGAGTATCAGTCTTGAATCGCAGTAAACATGACGACCGATAGCAAGTAATGGGATGCGACGATAGGATATCCCCAGAGCTGCCAAATCAGGCCTTGGCATGATTGGTGGTTGTANTCTGTGAACATCAGCATTCAGCGCCACTTCTAGCCTCGAACCTTGACATACACATTCTGAATACTTGATACCGGCCAACTTCAGATNACCTGAGTAACGTCAGCACTACCTCAAGAAAACGTAGGGTGAATTGTCTGCGTACCATAGCACCTTGTGCGAATATATCGATAGTGAGTAGTGGAAGAAAACGATTTCTTCGCTGCCTTGAGTCATCTTTGACAACGCACGGTGTACGTTACAGGTGACTTGGTCACTGTTCGAGCGTTGGGATATAACGAGAAGAGTCAAGAACCGCTTACAACTGACACGTCGTCTCTGCAAGGTTATGCCGGCTCGCATGTGATCGACACATCAACAAATATCTCCGACTTGGCATATCACCGGTGTGAGCAGTAATCAATACGATGATCACACATCTCCACCAATCATGATATATGTGAGCCTCTCTATACAACACGGTTCGTCAACGCCCCACGGTCTATTCATCTACACCATTATCGCACCTTCACGTCCATGCTCAACGTATATACATATTGAACCGAGGTCCTCCACCGCTCCCGCCAAGCCGCAGCCCGGAAACTAAACAGATCTACATCACCTTATTGTGGCTCCACTCCGCTTTCTCTCCCTCCCCTGTTCTGCACGGTCTTTTGACAACAAGCCTACAATCTAGCACTTGCCGCTGTTCGCGCGCCATAGCCAGATATTTGATGATCTCTCTTACGACTACTCTAGCGACCACGCCGGCACTTTTTGTTGAGTGGATAGAAAGAAAGTCATGCATGCAGGGTTTTCGAACTCCAGGAGTCTAGGCAGTTGCTTAGGGGTAGGTTCTAGATTCGCTCGTCCAACAACGACTAGCATCGCTTCGACATCTCGAAGTTCGACCATCTTATTGCCGACAATGCTTAACGACTATCAAGCTGTCTCTGAACGCAATTCTGCCATTCGCGTCAGTGTGGAAATACACGATGCTTTTAGGAGTCAAGGCACTATCCCCTGAAAGCCATCGATACGTTGGCTCTCTTTGGACACATCTCTGAACTGAATATAATCGTGCGTTTCGACAACTCACATGTTACTCTGTGTCGCTGTGGGAGCGAGGTACTCAAGCTTGGGTTCAGTGACCTTGCTCTTAAGGTATATCACCCTGAAACCGTACTCTACACTCAATCGGCAACCTGTATCAGCACTCTTCGATTGGAGGCAGTTATTCTCCACGATCAAAAGCCGAACTATCACATACTTGAGATATACCTTGTGGTGGGCATACGCCACATGAGGACATTACGTTCTATGGAGTTATCGCTCGTTCTGATCTATAGAGCAAACCAGCATCGTGCACCTATATCGATCGATATCTTCTTCGGCGCATCTTCTTCGAAGAGGGCTTCATATCGCAGCATCCCATTCACTGACAAAGCCTCGCAACACTACAATACTGCGACGTCATCGTCTCTCAATGGAACTTCCTGGTTGACCTTGAACTGAATCATAACTTCCTCTTGCAACAATGCCAGCAACCATCCCACCTGCCTAATCTCGCATCTCACGGTTTCCAGCCTGTCAACATCCTCATCAGAGACGATTTCACCATCCTCATCGTAAACTGGTCCAAGATCACTTTGGACAACGCGAAGAGTGCCATCCTCAAGAGTACGCTCATCGATGACGACGAACATATCCTGATTGATTTTGTCATTATTTTCGTCAGACAGTTTGTCATTGAACCTTTGCGCCGAGACACCCGCCAGGTGTTCTATCTCCGCGCCAACGAAACCACAGCTAATGGGCTTTGTGAGTGGTTTCAAGCCTCTATTGAAGCTTTGTTGGTCAGGAGAGGCGACAAGAACGAAGCAGTTCTGTACATTGTAATCGACATCTCTGGCCTCGGTCATAAGCTTCTGAATCAACTGAATCTCATGGTTGGACGGCTACGCTTGCGGAACATTATATAGGATGAAACTAACCTTTAATGAGAGCTGTGGAGTGGTGCAGAAGAGTGGGTAATATCCTATGGTAGACATGATTGAGAGAAGTGAAGCAGAGTGCACCCTTGTGTTGTCTGTTTGTCGCAAGTATGAGTTCATGGACCTTTCGAAATTCCTTGTCCGTCCGTCTCACATCGTGCACGGATGATCCAGGCCACCCACTGATCAATCTCCAAAATTTGGTCCTGGGTTGGTCACTGAAGACGGCACAAAATGTTGCACAACAAATCAGGAATGAACGAGGGTCAACTCTTTTGTTTTGAAACAATGCTAGAAAGAGGGAAAGACCCAGCGGCATTTCCTTGGGCTGGTAACGCAAGCACCTTCCGTCAATCCACCAAATCGAAACCCCTTCCCTGCAAATCGACCAAACCCTTCAGATTACCAGATCAGTCTCCAACTTCGCTACATTGCGTAACTCTCGTCCTTGAAGCTTAAGCAATTCTTCACCAGGCAACCCCATCAGGACCGCTCTCAAGGTTCGACAATTCGACTCCCCAAGCCCTAGCCACTTTCTTCGCCCTCGCAAACAAAGCTTCATCGTCAACAGTCATGCTCAACAACTTCAACGTATCAATCTCCAGCAACAAGGCAGTCATCTCAAAAGCCAAGCTGGGCTGCAAGATTCTGACTTTGGGGTGCATGAGCGAAGTCACCATGTCATGTTGTTGAGCTGAGGAAGCGTCTTTGAAGACCGAGAGGCCGTAGAGCAAGGCAGTTGTTGCTGTGGATTGTTCTGAGGGAGAGACGGCTGGGGAGGATGTGGTGTGGGTGGAATGGCAGCCCGAGGGGTCTTCGAGGAGTTCTTCGTAGTCTTCGCGGCTGAGCATGCTGGCGTTGAAGTCTAGGGGAACTGGCAGCCTGACCTCTTTGGACTCATCGCCAGGTAGAGAGTGTTTCTGTTCCTCAAGAACGTCCTTCCAATGCGATAGACGTTGACGCATGAAAGACTTGGCTCTGTCCTCAGCTGTGAGTGGCACATTGAGCTGATCGTCATAAGCGATCTGGTCGTCGGAAGCAACTCGCTTCTCTGACTTTTGCTTGCCACCGTTCGACATGTTCAGAGCATCGCCTTCTCTAGCACTGTGCTGGCTGGCGGGGCGTAGAGACTGACTCGGTCTGTTGAAGATTGGCTTGGTCATGCTGAACTGATTCTTGTATCGGATTTGGTCATGATCGCTTCTCGGCACTTCCTTCGAAGCTGGCAGCTTCTCTGCGGTGGACTCTTCCTTGGAAAAGGTTGGCGAGACACGGGAGATATCTGCGGCTTCTTCGACATCCTGGATGTTCTCGGGGTGATGAGGAAGAGAGTGCTCGGCTGTAACATTGTGGTTGATTGCGGAAGCTGTGTTGGACTCTGCCGTGTCTCCAGTGTTGCCGCTCACAGCCTTCGAAGCACTCATCGCGTTGTCGTGGGTGCTCATGTCGTCCGAATCGGCTCCAACAGCAGCTTCAGATGCCGCCGTCAAGTTATCTCGCTCCTCAGTCTGGGCCCTAGTGTCTTTTTCAGTGTCAAGCTTGATGAAAGACTTTTCAGTTTGTCAAACTTACTGCGACTCGAGATTGCACCGGATAAACTCTTCCAACTCTGCAAACTCCTCATCTGTGAGAGGCATTCTGCCAATCAGAACACGCTGAATGTCGACTTTGGCTCTGGCTTTATCAATTATGCTGATGTCTTTGCGCGAAGAGTAGAAACGCGCATCCTTGGCTACAGATTCCAAGATGGCTAGAGAATCCGGCATGTGTGGATATGAGGATACTCTGTGTGATTGATTCATGCTTGATGGTGTCTTTGTGGTGGATAGTTGATGTTGAAAAGATCGTCTGGTTTCATGACGATGGAAGTCGGACGTGTTGAGTTGTCTTGGGCGCAAACAACAAACCAAACGGAACACATAGGAAGCACGACAACATGGCGGAATCTCGTCACCTCTTAGAAAAACAGAGAAAGTCACGGGGCCTCCAAGTGGATTTCCTGAGTATGGGAGAAGTATACACTTTCATGCCGCGCCCCACGACCCAACGATATCCACCGGTCCATCATTGTCTCCTCACAATATCTATCATACCATTTCTTACAATTCAGTACTTCCTCGTTCTTCCGTCTCTCTCCTGGCAACAATCTCTTCACCTTCATTGAGATCAAGCAAATTATCCATCACTATAAGTAACTCACTCACACCCACCTCCACTCAAAACTTTATCGCTGACAATCTCAGTCCTTTATATACCCACCTTCTGCACAACATGACCAAATAAGTCCGACGAGCCGCAGAGTTCTCCTATATAAGCATGGCCGTGGTTTAACTTTCCGACAAGACCGACACAAGAACAAGCCGAGCCCTTGTTGTCACGAGCTACGAGACTTACAAGATGAGAGCAGGATTCAAGGAGATAGAGATTGTCTCTGCAGTCTCGTACAACCTACCACAATACGATGACCAGAACAATGAGACTTTCGAAAAGGAGAGACGCCTGAAGATCAGATGGACCACATTAGTCGATGGCGCGTTCGGACTCCTCCTCACCGATGAGGCGCAGAAGGTCAAGAACCCTCACACTGGCAATTCGACGTTTCTTTTCAAGCACAAGATCCCCAACATTGTCCTAGCCACGGCAACGCCCTTCCACAACTCCGTGAAGGACATTGTCGGGCTATTGCATCCGCTCGATGACGGTGTGCAAAAGTCTTTGGCAGCATACTTCCAGAACCACCAGGAGGATGTGGCCAAGGTGGACCAGTGGCAGAAGGCGAAGACACTCTGCGAAGATGGCACCACAGAGAAGCAAACCATGGCGCACACTTGACACCAGAGATCGTTGTCAAATCATGATTCATCTTACGTCTCCTCTGGATGCTGAGCAACTGGACGTCTTTGTGACGTGATGCAGGATTGCAACAATGGACTCGCCACAGAGAGATCTAACATAACCTGACCTCGATGAAGAACCCGGCCCGTGGATCACTGTATTTCTACCTTCCTCGCATCTTCTTCGGACGCAGAGTAGCTGAATGTCTTTTGACATGATGCATGATTACAACAACAGGTACGACGCAGAGAAACAAATCCACCATCAAAAACTCCTCCACCACCAACTTATATAAAGTAACCGCCACGCAAACAATCCCAGACTTTACAATCGCACATCAACGTAAGACAGCAATTCTTGTCACGCTTTGCATCTACTGATCATTCCGAAGTGTAAACATACCACCATGGCAAGAACGAGAAAAACAAGTAGCAGCCGGCGCAGCAACCACGCGCGGTGGTGCTGGATGCAGAACAGGTGGCCCAATTCTTGTTCATGTAGCAGCCACCACCAACAGCGAAAGACGAAGACCAGGTTCCACAGACGAAGCCACACGGGTGACAGGCGATTATAGACCAGGCAGACTTGTTGATTGACATGAGTGTCATATCTTTGTGATGGGATTCAAGGTTACAACAATGGGCTCGACGTAGAGGAGATTCAATATGACTTAGCTTCGATGAAGAATCCCTGCCCAGGATTGCTTCGTCTCTGCTTGCAACAGTGTACTTTTACCACCAGTCGAATTGCACAGTGTGTTCTACATATCACGACTGTCCGCAGAGAAGATTTGAACGTAGAGTTATCTCTGCGGATAGCACTAAGTTTGTTGTTTCCTTCTTGCAATTTTGTAGTATACTCATCATCCTACATACATGATCAGAAACTCCAGAGTCATCCCACAATCTCACTCTCCAAGACTATCCTTAAAATCCCTCACCGCATCCACAAACTTTTCATCCCTCTTAAAGCCCAAATCCAACGCTTTGCTAACATCAAACCTGATAGGCCACGAATCCAGCATATCCTTGATTTCCTTTGTCGGTTGCTCTCTCTTGACCAGATCCACAGCTTGCTTACCCCNCACTGTCTCCAGCGCCTCCAACATTTCTTTTACGCTCGCAGTGATGCCAGGAAGATTGATTTGTCGCATGTGACTAGCCAGACTGTCTCTCTGCAATGTCAATACATGCAATAGATTCTGGACTAGGATGCGTGGACTGCACAACCAAGCTTCAAAGTCATCGGCACAAGGCAACGAGGAAGGTAGACCTTGCAACGGCTCTCTGAACATGCCACTCATCCATGAACTCGCCGCTTGCGTAGGTTTGCCTGGCCGCACCGAGATTGTCGGGAAGCGCAGAGTAAAGCCATTAATGTATCCTCTGCGAGAAAAATCATTGATGGCGTATTCGATCATTGATTTCTGAGTTCCGTATGAGGAAGAAGGTGTGGGTAAAGTGGACTCTGAAGGCCATTGAGGAAGAGGTTGCCCGTAGATGGCTGTGCTGGAGGCATACACCACTCTAACACCTTTGCATTTGCTTCTCAGTGTTTCCAGAAGATTGAGTGTCGAGTGTAAGTTTACTCGATAACCTAGATCGAAATCGGCTTCGGAGCCTGCAGACATGATGCCATGGAAGATGTATATGGCATACAAGTCAGATGGGATGACGGAGTTGCTGTCGGAAAACAAATCGGCCTTGATACAGGTCGCTTTTGAAGACTTTGACGAAGCTTTGGAAGGTACTGGTGGCTCAAAGATGTCGATAAGAAGAACCTCGTGGTCGGCATTGAGTAAATGCTCAGCGAGAAGTTGGCCAACGAAGCCGCCTGCGCCGGTGATTGCTATCTTCATGGTGGGTGATGAGACTGTGATATCGAGTCGTTGGTCAATGGATGTTGGTGCAGAGGCAAGATCGATGTCTAGTTCGAGGAAGTAGCAGTGGTTATATACGCGGCTCTTCCTTCCGGTTATGGGTGTGGATGATCAAAGGCGGGGTGGTGGGGCAGAAAGGACATCGGCAAGAAGCCCGAAAACGAGCGGAACAATTCTGTCGCGAGAACAAGAAGTCATTTCCGCCGCCGACAACACACAAGCACAAAGTCCCTCAAACTGTTGCCATGACTAAGGACATGCTCTCCTGAAGGATTGAGATGGCAGGCTTTGAAGTTGGCAAGATTTAATAGAATCATGTTCATCAATGGTAATCGCTAACAACAGCTAGATATGGACAAAGTGCTTTCTCTCAAACATCCGGTTTCGTTACATGCGTGCGATATGTTTATTTCTTGTGCTTGTTGTGGATGTCGATGACCTTTTGCACCTCCTCGTATGAGCCCATGAAGATACCAGACTTGTCGTGGATTGACTCGGGGACGATCTCGATCATGCGCTCCATTCTGCTGTTGACTGCTTGACCGCCGGCNNTGTAATGGAATGTTAGTTGGTGCACTCCCAAGTAAAAATGACAGTTCAGCTTACCTTGCTCAAAGACCATGGCCATGGGAGCACACTCGTACAGGATACGCAGCTTGCCCTTGGGCGACTTCTTGTCGGCCGGGTAGGCAAAGATACCACCGTACAGCAGAGTTCTGTAGGCATCGGCAACCATGCTGCCAATGTATCTCGCACTGTAGGGCTTGCCGCCCTCCTTCTCGGGCACCTTCATCGAGTTGCACCACTCCTTGACGGGCTCCTCCCACCACAGCGAGTTACCCTCGTTGACTGAGTAAATTGCACGCTTGGTGGGCATCTTCATGTCGGGGTGCGTCAGGATGAATTCACCCAGGGCACTGTCCATGGTGAAGCCGTTGACGGGGCCGTCCTTCATGGTCATGACGAGCTGTGCAGAGGCACCGTACATAGTGAAGCCAGCAGCAACCATGTCGGTACCAGGACGGAGGAGGTCCTCCTTGGTGCCCTTGGCACCCTCGGCGAGCTTGTAGATACCAAAGATGGTTCCGACCGAGACACCAGCGTCCAAGTTGGAGGAACCGTCAATGGGATCGCAAGCAACAGCGTAGCGGGCGTTGGGGTGCTCGTCAAACACAATGGGGTCTTCCTCTTCCTCGGACACCAAGATGCGCACGCGACCCGACGATCTCATGGCCGAAATGAAAATGTCGTTGCCGATGACATCGAGCTTCTTCTGGTCGTCACCCGTCGAGTTTGCCGAGCCAGCGAGACCCGAGAGGTTGATCAACGAGGCACGGCGAATGTAGTAGGCAATCGACTTGAAGGCGAATTGCAGCGAGTGGCAGAGGAGNNACTGTGCAACTTGTCAGCATCTTGGCGTCTCACGATTGACTCGAGCGACATACGTAAAGTCACCAGTGGCTTCCTTGTGTTTCGTCTGCTCCTCGGTGAGGAATCTGGTAAGGGTGATGATCTCGGTGTTGATGGCTTCCGAACCACCAGGGCCGGAGTGGGACTCGTTGTTTGAAGACATTTCTGAATCTTAAATGTGTACTTTGCTGAGAGAGGCGAGAAGTCGAGTCTGAGCTGTGGGATAGCTTTGGTGGGGTGTGAGGGGTATTGGGTATCAAGTGGGACAAAAGAGGAGAATGGAGAGGAGGGAAGGAAGAGAGGATGGAAACAGCAGCAGCAACAGCTAAAAAGAGTCTGACTGCTCGACGGTACCAAGCACACACACAGACTGTCTTCAGCGCGGGCAACGTCACAAGGATGAAGTTGTTGGTCGGTGTTGCGGAGCTCAAAACGTCAGATGTGGAGAAGCACCAAGACGATCACTCGTTCAACTTTTAATCTGGCAGTCTTTCAATGTGGTGTTGTTGGTACTGTATGGGCGCGACAGCAGCACCCTGTGTATTTGTATATTACCTATTGCCGAGGTCATGCTTTCGGCGCAAATGAAGATAACTCACGCGGACAAAATGCCGCCCATCGGGTCGAGGACGCGGTTGATGAGGGGCAGGACGACGACCGTGGGGACTGTCTATTTCTCCGTAATAGAGCCTCGCTCCCCGGCTTTGCCCGCATCATACAAGACATTACCAAACCATCCCGATCCACTCCCCTGTACGATCTTCTCCCCGGCCTTGAATCTCCAGATCAACTTCGGGTATAACCCATTTCTATTCTTCTCAGAAGACACGGCATCTCCAATGCATTCTGTGATTTGACATTGTGTGTCTGATCACATGTCAAATCTACATCTCTCTCGAGATTCGTAAACAGACGCCAAGACAACAGTTGTGTAAACATACGGGTCATCTGTGGCCGAAGCCTCTGACCGGATGAATTGACGAATATATACATTAACCTGGAGTGATTCCTCCTCTATGCTTTTCATCTATGAGTCTAGGGGCATTGAAACATTACTAGGTGCCGAAAGAAGCCGCAGAGAACTGACAGTCTACAGCAAGATTGCTGCTCCGATCCAAGCACCTCCGACCAAGGCACCGACACGAGGAACGGCGCTGTTCATGATTCCAGCGCCTGTACTCGAGGGTTCAGCTTTGGATGTGCCTGTGCCTGTGGCTGATCTGGCAGTTGTGGTCATGGCAGATGTTTTCGTGATACCAGATACACTGGCAGATCCAATGCTGACAGTCGGCTCGAGCGTGCTCGACGTGGTGGCCGGCTTGATCTTGACATTGTTGTGGTTCATCAACTCGGGTGCCTCATCAATAAGGAGGGCCTGAGTTACTTCGAGGGCTGAGAGCTCCTGTCCAATGCCATATTTTCCATCGAAGTCCGTGTACCACTTTTGACCGCAAGTCACGCCATCACTTGGTCCAGAGCAAGATTTGGCAGCACCTTGAGCAGAGGTGGTGAGAAGGGGTTGGATGGTGGAGTGGGTGTAAGGTGCGACAACCATGGCTTTTCCGAGGAAGCGAGCCAGGTAGGCCTTGAAGCTGAACTGATCGGTGTTGCAGGTATTGTACGGCTCACAGGCTCCTTCGACCATGATGTTGGTGGCATTGTCAAAGGCTTGGAAGAATGACTGGTCGACTTGCTCAATCAGACCGGTCAAACGCGTCTCCCACGTAGAAGAACCGTTAGTATAGTTGTACAGAGCTGCAGCGCCGTAGATGAAGATGCCCGGGTTGTAGGTCCACTGTAGCTGCTCAATCTCCTGGCAGTTGTCGGTGGTGCTAGCGCCGTCATAGACCCGGTAGCTGCTGTCGATCAACCCAACCGAAGTCTCCCAGTCCCAGATCTTCTCGGCCCAATCGTAGTATGTGCTGTTGCCAGTGTAGCGTGCCAGACGAGCAGCCATCTGGAAAAAGCCTCCGTTTGATACCGAGTTTTTGTAGTTCCATCCTGCATTTGACGAAAAGACCTGCCACCTCAATCCTCCACCGCATGTTGTAGTGTCCCAGCGAGGAGCCATAGAGTTGAAGGCGTTTACGGCGAGCGTCTCCCAAGACGGTGAGCCCTCTGGAGGGTCAGGGAAGCCGTATTCGAGGGCGGAGAGGGCAGCGTAGGCCCAGAAGGCTTGGTCATCGTTGCCCTATCATCCTAGTTAGCTGTCCGCTCTTGAAGTTTCGATTCTTGGATAACAAGGTTGTTGTCCAGGCATTTTACGCACCATGCTGCTGTAGTATGCTTCGGGAAGGAAGTCATTATTTGTGCCCGTCTGAGCCATCATGGCTTGCATGACAACATCGTTGAAGCTCGTGTCGTTGGTGTAGGCCCAGTAGTCGATGAGACCTCCCCAGACAGCGCCAGCCTCCCACCAATACAGAGGATAAGGTAATGTGCCTATTGACTCCTTTGGTGTGTCGGTCTTGTTGTTCTGGTAGTAGTTCATAAGGCCATGCGCGAGTGTCGATGCTGCATTGCGGATAGAATCTGGTGATGAGACGTCGAGGTCCAGAGCGTATCCAAGCTGGGCGCATGCCGCCAGGGCTGCGAGAGACTGTGAAAGCTTCATCTGAGCCAGTCGTCGTGGGTGTTAATTGTATGATGTGCAAGTATAAGACGCTCTCCGATGTTTCAATGCCAAATGCAAGATAACCGGTGCTGTGTAGGAAGTTGAAGTAACTCGCTGCGAGACCATGGTGTTAGTTTTGTATGCCGAGCTCACCAACAAAGAGAGCGCGACTGTCTCGAAAAAGTCGACACAAACAACGGCTATCGTCTTGGATAGGCTGAAATTGGGTGCAACCGTTGGCGCCTTCCTACCAAAAACAGCTGCGACAGGCAAGCCTCGTTCGTGTTGGCCCGCCGCGGAAATGAGGGCGGGAGCATGATAGATGCCGGCTGGAGCCTGTCGCTCCTACGTCCAAGGTATGGAGCCATATTATATTGTAGGCTTGACATGGCGCAAAGTCATGTTGTGATGGGCGGAGAGGACAAGGACAGACAGCTCTTGTTGTGGCTTTCCAGATCTGCACTGGGCCGTGGAGCGTTGGAATCCTCTGCGCCAAACCTTGTCAACGCCTATAACGTTCTTCACCAGCCTCTTACGCTCTCTCCATAAGCTGGCTTTTGTCCTCGTGAAGAGACAAGGAAGAGCAGGACTTGCAGAAACGAGCAAAGTCTATGGTACAGAATGTCAGCTGTATAGCACGCTCTCACTAGTGGTGACTTGTCTCTGTGAGAATCACGTATTGCTACAGCTTTGAGACTCAGAGGCAGTTGATATGTCGCTATTTCGGGGAACAATACTCAACGTCCTTTACGCAGCAATACGTATGCATGCCCTACTCGGAGTACTCCTTGGTCATTACAAGACGCATCTTCACCAGTATCACAACGTCGCCGCAGGGACATCTCATTACAATCATGTCTTCCTCAGAATCTCGTCAGTCTGCGGCATGTTTACCGCAAACAGAGTATCAACATGGACGATCTAGGCTCTGACAAAACAGTCTCAATCACGGAAGATCATGGCCTACGTCCAATGCTGGGGATTGACAAATTTCGCGTCACGCAGAGCGGATGTTACATGGAATCGGTGGAATTTCGGCTTCATGCCATGCCATGCCACTACTTCTAGCTAACATTCCATTCCATGTCAATTATCTAGTGGAATAATGCCAATTCCGAATCCGTCGTCGTCGTCGCAGTCACCCTGTCCTTCTTCTAGGTCACCCTATCCCTCCACGTAATCTTCCAGTTCCTCCACGTAATCTTCTAGTCCTTCATTAGTAGTAATTAGTAGGTCAACCTTGTCAAAACAAAGGTTCTTCTGCTAGCTCTTAAGGCACTTAATATAGCTAAGGTTATTAGTAGAGAGACTTGCTCGGTCCTACGATAGTGTCCTCCTATAGCTACTAAATACCCTCTCTAACTTAGTAGACATTAGATTAATCGAGAGAATATTAATAGCTATCTAAGAGAGGTTTAGGTAGTTTTGTTGCTATGTTAGCTTAAGCCACTAGTATATAGCGTCTTTAATAAGTACTAGAGGACTCTTAGTAAACTAGACAAACTCCTTAGGTATAGTAACTAAGCTTATATGCCGTATTAAAGCCTACTACTTAGCTAGCTTATTTAACTTCTCTATTAATAATGGTGTCATTATAATAGGCTTAACCTTGTTTTTATACTTAGTAGTCTATAAAGCGCGCGTAGTAGTAATAGCTAGTACTCGCTATAACGGAGGCTATTGCTTATTAATATAGGCCTTACGATAGGTTAGATAGAGGAGGAGCGCTACCGTATAGGTAGGGGTATAGTTATTAATAGTTTGCTACTTATTAAGTGCAAATTAGCTAGTCTAAATAGTAGTAATAAGTACTCGATCGGTAGAAGCGCCTTAGATCGTATAGTTCTTATAGTGCTTACGTAAGAAATCCATTAACATAAGCACTTAATTAAGAGTTGCGTTATCGCCTTTATATAGCTTAGTTACCTTCTATAGTAGTTCTATAAAGTTAATAAGCGCTTTAAGGAACTACTAGTAGCGCCGCTAGAGAGTAGTATACTCTATATGCTCGTTAGTAGATTAAATAGCACGTATAGTTGCTCGAGATTAGATCCCTCGCTTAATTATAGCTAGCTAGCTATTCTACCTTATAGTATTGTTAAGCATTAGAGATATACTAGCAGCTACCTTAAACTTACGACGACGGCGAGCTAACCTTACGATCTACTTAAAAAAACTAACGGAGGTAGTTAAGAGCTTTATAATTAGTAAGGCTAGTATCTTAAGCGAGCGTTAAGATAGCTTTTAAGGGATCTTAACTTTAATTGATTATAGTAGCTACGGTATCTATCGAGCTCGCTAATATAAGTGCTTAACTAGTAAGGTTAATATAATGTCTAAAGTAGCGAGTTCGATGTTATATAGGGTTCTAATCGATAGATAGACGCTCGCTAAGCAGACTAGTAAGGTAGCTTATTATAGTGTCGTTATAGGTAGCATTATTAGAGGTAGTATATCCGATCTTCTACTTAATGCTATACGTAACGATAGTGTTAAAGAAGAGAGGAGCACACTAAGTACTAGCATAACTAGCTAGTAGCTTATAAAGAGCTAGTAATGCCTTACTTAACTTACCGTCTAAGGCGACAAATCGAGCTATAATACTAAGTAGCTTATAGTTACTATAATTAGCCGTCTAAGCATCGTAGGTAAAGTAGACTAATAATTAAGAGGTTATAAGTAGAGCCTTAAGCTGCTCTTAATAGAAGTTATGCTCCTTCTTAACGTGTTTAGTAATAGTATAATAGGTCTTAATTAAGAGCTTTAAGGCGCTAGGAAGCACCTTATTAAGTAGGGTATAGAGTAAAGGATTACTAGTAGTACGGAAGGGGATGTTACTTAAGGTAATATAATCGATAAGGCGTCGGTTTAAGCGAGTTTTATCGATGTTGGTAATAGTATATAATGTCTAAAAGGGTATTGCTACTACTAGCATCTTTAAAAGTGTACTAGTCGCCTATCTCTAGCTATATCTCTTCTTAAGGTATAATCTAATGTTATCGTAGTTAGTAGTACTATAGTTACGAGAACAGTCTCTATTACTATAGAAGTAGTACTAGATCTTCTTCTTAAGCTTACGCTCGCGCTTTCTAGGACGACGAGCTCTAGCATAAGACTAGAGCTCTTTAGAATCGCTACGGGTAGGAGCTAGCTTTTAAGAGCGCTATATTAACGTAGATTTAGAGTTATCGATATAGTTGCTAGGGGTCGTTAGCGTTAGTCGTCGTCGCTTTAAAGGAGGAAATAACGGCTAGTCGACATTAGAGGCGCTATCGTTAGTCTTAGAGTTGTTACCTTTAACAAAGATACTATCCGATTAACTCTAAGGAGCGAAGAGTCTAGGCCTTAGAGTATTAGAGGCAAATTTAAAGAGAGTGCTCTACTTAGAGGCGTATAGCGGCTAGCTCTAAGATAATCGAGAGTTTAGTTAGCTTTATAGCTCTTATAACTTATGCTCTTAATTAGCTATTAAATATATGATATAAGCGTTATAATTAAAGATAGATTATTTGCTTATTAAGACAAGAAGACAATTAAGAGCTAAGCTCTTATATTAAGCAAGAAGGTAGAAGATAGAATGGTTAATAAATAGAGAGGGATTAGTTAAGACGCGTCGAAAAGGACGCGCGAGGCTTCGCGTAAGCTAATAGTAGACTAGCTAGTCGGAGCTTACGATCTTATCTCTAAGATAAGATCTAGCCAATTAGAGAGCTCAAATAAGCTACTAATTAGAAAGGGCGTCATAGCAAGTTTTTTATACGCGACTGCTATGCCTAAGCGTAGCACGCTCTAAGCTAAGGCTTACTACTATTAACTATAACAACACTAGCTATACTAAGTGGTGGAATGGTAGAATATTCCACTTAAACTGACGATTCTATTCTATGCCAACTAGGTGGAATATTCTACCTTAAATCAGTGGAATATTCCAATTTTCCACTTATTCCATGCCATTTAACATCCGCACTGGCGTCACGAACAAGTTTTCACGCTGGTGGTACCACCCTGGCTAGTTTTAATCATGCTGACAACGACAACAACCATGGGTCTGATCTACTTGTTTACCCTGTCGCCAGTACATATGTGTATAACAGTGCTCTCAGAAGCCAAAAATGATCGTAGGACTCATTAAGAAAGAGTTTTTGAAGTATGTTTTCAATCGATGAATTCCCAGATCAGAGCATTGTCGGACATCCGTTGTACTTATCCATCCTCAGTAACATACGTGAACATCTACCAAAATATCATCATAATGAAGACGTCCTGGAATTAGCATGTGTTCTTACACCTTTACCGGAGATAATCATGCTGTCACATAACTACAATGCTCTGTGCACTGATCAAGGTTCCATTGTAATAGGGGAAGAGAAAAACCATGCGTTTGATTGCTGACAATTATATGCGCAACCACGAACAACAATAGAACTGAACAAAGGAGCAAGAGGCTGCAACACATGCTACAGCATCTGTGAAGCAACAGCTTAAACGGTAGGCCAGCCATTAACCCACTTGATCTTGTTGACACCAAAGCGCTTCTGCCCATCAGCATAGCCAATGGTAGTGTCAACATAGTGGTAGTACAAAATCCATCCCAAGCTAGGATCATTGTAAACACCCTGACCACCAGGAGCGTAAATGGTTCCATGCGAAGGCAAGACAAGAGTACCGCCTCCATTGGTACAGCTCACACCGCTCTGGTCCACGAAACCGCCGGTAGCAGTGTTGGATCTGCAAACCTTGACCTTGTACTCTTGGCCAGCGGCAGGGCGGCTCGTGTCCAGGTTGCAGCACTGACCTTCGCTGAAGAACATGTAGTAGCCACCGTTGTAGTTGATCATGTATGCAGCTTCCTGGTCGTGGGTTCCGGCGGGCTTGAAGATGGTGTTGTAGGATCCGCCGGCCTTTGAGTTGACAGTGTTAGGGGTGGTGTTCATTTCTACTTGGTAGAGATCGTGCCAGAAGGAACCAAAGTTCATAAGGTATTGGCTTCCGACCTTGATGAGGTTTGGATCGATGGCGTTGTAAGACTTGCTGCTATCGGAAGAGATACNCGGCTGGAATTTATCAGTAATGTTTTTGTTCGATCCAATCAATGAGTGCTTACTGGAGCCCTTGTCGGACCAAGTACCGACATCCATGGAAGAAGAAGTTGCAAGACCAATGACAGAGTTCTGAGTACCGAAAGCGCTCGCAGTGTAGTAAAGGTAGTAGGTGTTGCCGACCAAGGACACATCAGGAGCCCACAGATCAGTCTTTCCGGAGTTGGCTACATTTGCGCCATTGGGGAGGACTTGACCCTTGTAGACCCAAGGGCCCTGGGCACTGGAAGCAGTGTGGACAGCAATACCACCTCCAGTCGAGAAACGGAAGTAAGTGCCATCAGAGGTACGCTTGATAAGGGAAGGGTCGTGAGCGTTGGTGCAGGTACCACTGCAAGGCAGAGGGTTCTGGTAGGCCAAGACTGTGGCGGCCAGCGACACAACTCCCGATAGGATGGTGAGAAGCTTCATATCGAAGAACAAGAACAGAACAAATAGAAGACTCGGACGAGAGCGGGTGAGATGGGGCCTGATCCTTCTCACATCGACATGGGAAGCTCACCTTTATGTATGTCTGACCTCCATACTGCTTCTAGACTGCCATTGAGGGTTATCATCAATCAAGGCTGATTTGATCAAGCATTGGATGAAACGAAGCATGGTGTCGAGTATATTAACCCGATGATATTCTCCGAGGTAGCGAACAAGCATCATGCACGGTGTCTGCGTGGCAGCCAGTGCGTGTTTAGCGAGCGATCTAAGGTAGCATCCTACAACGTGCCTAGGGCAGTGGTCGAACATCTTTGACCGAACCCAATGTGTACGGATATGCAAGCCATAAAGAAGCCTCGCAAGGTGATGAACTTGTGTTACAATAGTAGGAATCGCGGAGAGCAATCCTTATTAGTCTGAACCCAGTGAGCATGTGTTACTCTGAGATTCTTTCTCGAGTTGCGACTTGTTCTTGACGAGTCTGTCAACGATGTAACCTCTCGAAGGATGTTACTTTTGCTGTTGATGCAAGGTACCCGTGGTCTACATTCGCGATTGGTGCATTTATCTTCAGCGTCTTTGAGCCTTGGGCCTTTACCACGACTTTGACTTTTATATGCCGATCCAGGAGAGCATCTGCGGAGCACATTCGAATATGGACGTACCGAGTCGCTGCTCATGGCATTCGTTCCTCGCAGCAAGCGAGGAACATGGCGAACGAGCCAAGACGGACGAAGCAGAGTACCAAGGGATGAAGCCGCCATACCCTTGTGCGAATTTGTCTGGCCAATGTCGGTAAGACGATGGGCTCTAGTCGGCATGGAGGAAGGACTGTTACGCACCAGAGTACGCTATACCAAGGCTGATGGAGGCCGCGGCTCCTGGCGGCTTCTCGGCTGAAACAACTGCGGGGATGTTCGCTGCATCTTGGGCTTGGCAATCAATAGTTGTATAATAGGCTCTCCTTATAGGACGGGTGTGTCTATTTGGAGCGTAGTGTCATTTGGTAGGGTGCTTCATCAAGAGCGGGCTGCAGCCAGCCGGCGGGGGACAGGTTTCGAATCATGCCCTATTCAGCTCGCTTCGAGAGGTTCATTGCAGTTTTCATGGTAAGTCGAAACAACCAAGACGGGCACCCATGTTGTTTTGTTCGAGCTGGATTTTGTGTTTGCTCCTTGCTTTCAAAATCGGCAATCACCCACGTTAGTGTAGCACCTTCCAAAACAAGACAGTCTGTAGCTCTGGAGTTGGACTGGAGCCACAAAATACACTTCGTTGTTGTCTTTGAGAAGGCGCAATAGTTTGAGTCTATTTGCGTACTGTCGAAGGATCGTTTGTGCTGGATCCACACCGCAGTTTATGGGCAGTACTTGGTCAAGACGGTAGCAGGCGGCGCCGACGCGTGCACGTCTTGTGAGATACGACTTGGGAGTTCTCAACCGTCTTGGCGTAAAAGGAAGGCAGTAGAAACATAGAAGGAAGAGAGTGGATGTTTTTCTGAGATGCCTTCAGGTTGGTCTGTGGTTGGCAACATGTAGGGCACGAGCTGAGTGGATTCAGCTCCGCAACGAAAATGCTCGTACGTTGGCCAAAAGTCTTGACCACAACGGCCTCCCACAGTCTTTCCAGCCTTTAGGATCTCGGCGAGGAGACAAGCTTACTTGAAGTAACCTCGTCCATGCAACGCTCAATAACTTTACGCCATGTTTTGACAGACGCCAGACAGGAGTTTCGAGCAAAGTAACACCGATTCAAGCGCAGCTCGTAACTCTCTTGCAACATTGTCTTCGAAGTATCTCGTTGGTCAGTAACTAGAGAGTCTCCTGCTCATGCTGAACCCCAAGCGCGTCTGATTGTCTTCGGTCTGATGCTCTGTGAGGTGAGATATGATTATGCCACGATAACGCGTCTCAATCTCAGCTTTCGAGGCTATGCACATGTTTGGTCGGGCATGCTCGGTCAAGTCTTCCTACACCGTTGTGTATAGGATTCGGGCACGCCGGCCCTGAGATCTAACCGTAAACTAACCAGATGATACCTACTTTTTGTGCCGAGCTCTTCCGGAACGGTTCATCGGACGTCAGACGTTAGACCTCAGACGTCTGTCCCCTACTTTACCTGTGCAGGATCGAACATCTAACACCGATTCGGACAGTTCGTCCGTGGATCCCCAGATCAGTGCTGATGTTCGGCCACAGATTTTGTAGCCTCGTAAGCTGCAGCTACGCGATATCCAACAGCCGAGATCTGTGGAACGAATACGCAATCAGGGCTGAACAAGAATGTTCTAGGGTCTCCTGGAGCACCGGAACGGAATATCGTGGAAGGCGTGCCATCCCTCTGGATACCAGCACCGCCACCTGCTTCTCTGCGATAGTGCTCTCAAACTGCTCAAGACTCGGACACAAGACGAGGAGCGTTCGGTCTTGTCACTGTCATGCGTCTGTCAGTCTGAGAACGTCTCAATTAACATTGGTACGAACTCGGTCGCCATGGAGTCTGCCACCATAGTCTCCCCTCCACACAAGCTCTGGGATTACTTGACCGTTGAGGTAAAGCTGTCTGACTGAATCACTCCATTGTAGGGCGGGGAACTTAGTACATCGTCTCTGTTCAGCCTCATCATCCTGAACGGCAACTATTCAACCGTCGAGTACTGCTTCGAGGTCATGTTGATCCCAAACCAGCATGGCAACCAAACACATGCCAGGAACGTACAAGCACGTCTTCTAGGCTTCGTCGAGACCACATCGCGTAGTTGAGTCTCGGTCTGATGATCGCCATTGATCCCAGACGGTCCAAGCATTCGGTTCAAACAAGCATTACTGACACCCGAGTTGATAGTCCCCATACCGCCAGGGTCGATATTCAACGGCAAGGCAATTGTCTCGTTCAGTGAATCCACTTCTCAATATTCTGGACGTTGTTGGGTTGACACAGAGTCCAGACTGGCTGGAAGAAGAACACCAAACGGTATACCATCCAAAGTAGAGGATGCCTTGTATGCTCGTCGTCGAGTATAAGAGGCAGTATGAAGTCCTATCCTTCATCTTCTCATCCGCTCCAGCAACTTCTTAGGATCAAGGCGTAGTCTTTCTCGATAATCCACACCCCGCTCTCAGTACTCATTCTTTATTCAGTTATAATCTTTATTCACTAATTAATCTAATTATCATGGCCCGTCAAGCTGCCATCCTGGGGTTTTTGGCCCCGGCACTCATCCTTGCAGCTCCCTTGAACTCCAAGGACAAAAGAGATGAGAACGTCGACCTTACCGCCAGAGGTGAGGGCTTCGAAGCCCTCGTCGACAAGCGTGAGCCTTTGGAAATCTCCGCTGGCATCACGGCCTCAATCAACGTCTCTCCCATCAAGGTTTCCTCGATCAAACCGATTACGACTTTCTCCATTCCCAAGGCTTCTTCGATCAAGAAGTCCTCCAGTAGCACCAAGGCGCCTACCACCAGCTCGAAGAAGACATCCAGCAGTGCTTCGAAGAAGACGTCCAGCAGCAGCTCGCAAAAGTCCTCTAGCAGCAGTTCAAAGAAGACATCGAGCAGTGTCAAGGCGTCCAGCGTCAGTCAGAGCAGAGCACTCACTGTCATGTTGCCTGTTTCTACCAAGCAGCTCACCCTTTCGAGCATCTTGAAGTTGACCACTCTGCCCAAGACTGCTTCTTCATCTCCAAGCAGCATCAAGAAATCGACTGTTACTGTCAGCCCCGTCGCATCGAGCAAGAAGTCTTCTTCCTCATCAGCCAAGTCTTCTTCCTCGTCGGCCAAGTCTTCTTCCTCGTCGGCCAAGTCCTCTTCCTCATCGGCCAAGTCCTCTTCTTCGTCACAGAAGCTAAGCTCCACAAGCAGCGCTAAGGTCTCTACCAAGTCCAGCAGCTCCTTCAAGCTTCCCATCTCGATCCCTGTCTCGGTTCCTACTTCCAAGAGCTCGAGCAAGCCTGCTGTCAGTAGCTCCGAAGCTTCCTCGAAGTCTAGCAGTTCCATCAAGTCTTCGAGCTCCGTCAAGCCCTCAAGCAGCTCCGCCAAGTCATCGAGCAGCTCTGTTAAATCTTCGAGCTCTGTCAAGTCCTCAAGCAGCTCTGTCAAGTCCTCAAGCAGCTCTATCAATTCATCGAGCCCTTCGAGCTCTATCAAGTCCTCGAGCTCGGTCAAGCCCTCAAGCAGCTCTGTCTCTCGTGGTGTCAGCTCCGCTTCCTCCGTCACTAGTGGCGTCAAGCAGGGCTCTACCTCAAGCAAGACTGGTCAGACTTTTGCCTTCAGCACGGTCTTGCCATCAAACATCATCAAGACTAGCAGCTCTAGCAGCAAGTCGATGACCGTTGTTACCAGCAATGGCCAGGTTACCATCATCTCGATCAAGCCTACTCCTGCTTCCAGCTCGAGCCGCGGTAGTTCGTCTTCCGCTATCAAGCCTTCAGGTATCAGTACCGCATCTACCACTGGACCTCTCGAGTCGGCTGTTTCTTCGATCTTCAGTAAGGCATCGAGCATAGTATCCTCGGTCGTCTCGAAGGCTACTAGCGTAGTCGGCGGAGAAGTTTCCAGTGCTATCTCTCAAGGGTCTACGATTGGTTCCAAGGTTACTTCAACCATCGCTGGCGATGCTTCCACCGTCAGATCGATTGTCTCGCAGGTTACCTCTGTTGTTGGTGGTGATGCGTCCACAATCAGATCCCAGGCCTCATCCCTCGGTTCGCAGGTGACATCCGTGGCCGTCGGCGATGCTTCCACCATCAGATCCCAGATCTCATCGATTGCTTCTCAAGCTGTTTCTGCAGGTGCTGGTGACGCTTCTGCCATCGGATCTCAGGTTTCATCTGCCGTTTCGCAGGCTACTTCTGCAATTGGCGGTGATATTTCCACTGCCAGATCTCAAGCATCGAGCGCTATCTCTCAGGCAACTTCTGTTGTTGTTAGTGATGCTTCGAGCGCCATTTCTCGTGCATCTTCCGCAGCCTCGCAAGCGACTTCTGCCGTAGTCAGCGGTGCCTCTAGCGTTCGTTCTCAGGTCTCATCTGGCGTCTCGCAAGCGACATCCGCGGTCTCGAGTGCTCAATCAGTGGTCAGCTCGCAAGTTTCTTCCGCCGTCTCGAAGGCTAGCTCGCAAGTTTCCAGCGCCCAGTCAGTCATCAGCTCGCAAGTCTCCTCAGCCGCTTCTCAGGCTAGCTCTGCGGTCACCAGTGCTCAGTCAGTTATCAACTCGCAAGTCTCCTCGGCCGCTTCGCAGGCTAGCTCTGCGGTCACCAGTGCTCAGTCAGTTGTCAGCTCGCAGAGTCTCCTCGGCCGCCTCCAGCGCCCAGTCAGTCATCAGCTCGCAAGTCTCCTCAGCCGCTTCTCAGGCTAGCTCTGCGGTCACCAGTGCTCAGTCAGTTGTCAGCTCGCAAGTTTCCTCGGCCGCTTCCCAGGCATCTTCTGAAGTCTCGAGTGTGAGCTCGCAGGCTTCTTCGGTCGCTTCTCAAGCTAGCTCGGCAGTCTCAAGTATCAGCTCAGAAGTATCATCAGCAGTATCGAGTGTTAGCTCCCAAGCATCATCTGCGGCTTCTGAGAGCGCCTCCGCCTCTGTCTCTATTTCTGCTGGTGTTAGCGCCTCGGCCGGAGCATCGCAGACTTCTGTCTCTTCTTCGGAACTTCCTTCTTCGGTCGCTCAGAGCTCTGCTGCAGCCTCGACAGACAGCGATGCCTCGCCCACTGCAGACAACAATGCAGGCCTTCCTATCTCCAGTGTCGCCAGTGAAATATTCTCTATAGTCACCGACCTTCCCGGACCCACCGATATCTCCGCACCAAGTGGTATCTCCTCAGTGGCCTCTAGCATCGTCAGCGAGATCGTTTCTGAAGCTACTGATCTGCCCGAGCCCACTGACTTTCCCGTTGCTTCTGAGATTTCCTCGATCTCGAGCGCTTTCAGCGAGATTGTTTCTCAGGTTACCGATCTTCCCACTGTTCCGGGTTCAGCAAGCAGTATCGTGAGCGAGATCGTCTCTCAGGTCACTGACCTTCCTGGAGACATCTCCAGTGCTGTAACTAGCATTGTTGGAGACATCACCTCGGATCTTGCCAACTTTCCTACTCCTTCAAACAGCATCATCAGCGAGATTGTTTCTCAGGCTACCGATCTGCCATCTGTACCAAGCAGTATCGACGGTGATGTACCTCAGATCACGGATGTCCCTGTGATCAGCGACGCATCCAGCGTGGTTTCAAGCATTGTGGCCACTTTGACTTCCGACCTCTCTGCCGCCGCTTCCAGCATCGCTAGCGACGTTTCCGATATCCCATCCGCAGCAAGCAGCATCGTCAGCGATGTGGTGCCCGCCGATCTTCCTCAAGTCACAAACCTCCCTGGCGATGTTAGCAGCATTGTTAACGCAATCACTACCGACCTCTCTGCCGCAAGCAGTGTTATCAATGATGCTGCTGCTCAGATCACGGATATTCCTGTTGTTGACGATTCGTCCAGCGTGCTTTCTAGCATCGTGGCCACCGTGTCCTCCGACCTCTCTGCCGCAGTTTCAAGCATTGCTAGCGATATTTCCGATCTTCCTTCGGCCGCAGGCAGCATCATCAGCCAGATTCTCCCTACCGACATCTCTACGCCTACCGATATCTCTTCTGCTGTGGTCAGCGCCGTCAATGGAGCTTCCAGCGATCTTCCTCAGGTCACCGACGTTCCCGCCGCAGCAAGCAGTGTCATTTCAGATGCTGAGTCGGCCGCCACTTCCATAATTGACAACACTGGTGATATCGCCTCTTCTATCATCTCATCGATCGTTCCCACTATCACCGTCGATATCTCATCTGTCATCTCAGACGCTGGAGCCGCCGCCACTACGCTCGTTGACAACACTGGTGACATCGCCTCTTCTATCATCTCATCGATCGTTCCCACTGTCACCGTCGATATCTCACCTGTCATTTCGGACGCTGGAGCCGCCGCCACTACGCTCGTTGACAATACTAGTGATATCATCTCATCAGTCGTATCGATCGCTTCACCCGCCATCAGCGACGCAGCCTCTGGCGCCAGTGCCATCGCCAGCGACCTTGGAGCTGCCGCGTCGGACATTGGTGGTGCTGTTAACACTGCCATTAGCACTGTCATCTCTTCTGACATCCCTGCCGTCGAGACCGGAGTAATTGAGCCCATTGTTTCGGGAGTCTCACAGGCCGCCAGTGGAGCCGTCCCGATTGCTACCAATGTCGTTGACACGGGCGCCACTGCTGTTAGCCAGGTTGTGTCTGCAGCCACCTCCGTGATCCCCACTATTGTTACTGATATCGCCTCTGCCGCCTCGAACGCTGGATCAGCCGCGTCTTCGGTGGCCTCTGTCGCCGGCTCGGCTGTGTCGAGCGTTCTGTCTGACACCGGAGCAGCCGCCACATCCATTGTCGGCGCAGCCGGTTCAGGTGTCAGCTCAGCAGTCGGATCTGTCGCCACAGGATTGGGCAACACCGTCTCCGACACCACCGATACCGTTGGCAATGTGCTTGGCGCAGTTGTTGGCAGCAACTCAAGCGCTTCGTCTTCCGCCGTTCCTACCACTCTGGTCACTAGAACTTCATCTGCTTCGTCGACTTCTTCAGCCGGTTCTTCTACCTCCACCAAGGCTAGCTCTACTTCCTCCGCCGCGTCAAGTGGCTCCACTGGATCTGGACTTCTCAGCGGCACTGCCAACAACCTCGGCAATGCTCTTAGTGGTGGCAAGAGCAGCCCCTAAACACCACATCAAACCACATATCATCTCTTTTGTTTGTCTTGAGCATTTAACAGGCGTTGGAATTGGGTTGGAACTCATGTATTCACGGAGATAGTAACACAGGAACGAAGGATAAAGCTACACAAATATTTGTAGTGATGGTTACAGCTGGGCAAGTTTTGGATCTAGACAGTCTTGATATACTCTGGTAGATAGCTTATTTATGCAAAACGGATCAAGTTTGACAAAAAAAAAAAAAAAACTCCTTCTCGGCCTGTTCGTGAAAAAGAAAAAACTCCTTCTCGGCCTGTTCGTGACAAGGATGATTTGATAATGAAGAGGCTCAGTTGAACACACGGGAGCCAGAGTCTACTCCTCATTCCAGTATTTTGTGTTTGTCACTGCTGCATTTCACCGAATCGCAAAGCTCACCGGCTAAAGAGCGGGTGTTGGTAGAAGAAAGAACGAAGGATTATGGAGGAAGGAAGGAATGAGGAAGAAGGAAGCGCGGGAAGTTTACCCAAGCTAGTAGTTACTGGGCTAAACACATCCTCCGTTCCTTCTGTGTTGGTTTTCACTTCGATATATCCTTGGCCAGCGCGTCGTGCACATCACATTGATCAAGTCCTTTGGAGTATGAACTTGTTTTCACGGAAGCAGTCGCAGCTGACTCTGAAGGGTCTACTGGCACATTTTTCATGAGCAGATATGCCGATCGAGAGGTGACACCACAAATTCAAAGAGCGGAAAAGTGGTACAACAGAAAAGAAAAGCATAGAGTGAGATAAGCTGATGCCTTACATCAGGAGGCCTCGTGTCCTCGTATCCTGATATTCCTCAGTCATCCGCCTCTCGGAGGATTAATAATCATAATTTGGGTCCTCATCCTTGCCCTCTTCCGGAGCTTCCTGAGTCATTTGTCATCTCTTTCCCCTCCATCCGACCTCGTGTTCTTGAACAATAGCTAGATGCTGTAGCTCCTTGGTGGTGGTAAAAATGTTGCTCTTTGCGAAGGATCATCTCTGCATGGGCTGCTGCCTGCACTGCGCCTCAGGCCAAGCGGATCATGCAGGAGCGCGGCTCTCAAGATCAATCAAAATGTGTTCTTCACGCATGAAGGCGCGTGGTGCAGGATGATTTCGGATTTCGTGACCGGTGATCATGTATCAATTGTGACGATTCATCAATTTTCGAGATCCTCGAGGTGTGTCGTGAGAGCCGTAGATCTTCGGACAGTCGTGTCGTTGTTTGTATTTCTTCAGCAAAAGGATTGTTCGAAACGATCGTTCATGTCGAACCATTTGGCCGCCAGCGAGGGAGTTGTACGGTTTGTGTTGCTGCGAGTTGTTCTGCGAGGAGCTTGATCTGTTCCTTCATCTCGTCGATCTCGGCTCGCTGACTTTCCCCCATGCCCCTCAATTCTGCATTCTCGAGTCGTAACTTCTTGAGCTGGGTTCTGACATCCTCTTCCGGCGCATCCTCGCTTTGGCTAACAACGCTCATACGCTTGCGCTTGATCGACCGGTTGTCATCGTCACTATCGTGGTCAGAGGGAGCAGTTCCAGGTGTAAGGGCGTCTTGCGCAGCAGCTTCGATGCTTTCAACGTCTTGCAGCTTGTGCACCCTTCGCAGATGCTCCTGCAGGTTCTCGCGGCGTGTGAAGCCCTGTTCCGTGTGTCGCTTGCAGTGTTTGATAGGGCAGAAGAGCTGTTCTTTAGGTCCGCCGTGCATACCGTGAACCTCGCGTTCGTGACGCAAAAGACCGCCTGAGTAGGTGAATCCCAGCAACTTGGCGCATTGCGGTTTGTCGCACTTGTATGGCCGTTCATGCTTGTCCATGTGTTTGCTGTATGACGAGTTAGCATGATGTGATGGTAGGTCGGGAGTCGGAATTCATATTCATTGGTCGAGCGGGACGTTCGGGCGTGCATTTTGGGCCGCAGCACAAAGTTCTGATATGACGGCTCAGAGTGGTCGACAAATCGGGCACATGAAAATTCGCAAGTGAAACAATCAAGATGATGAAATGAGTACTTACTTCCATTCACACTTGCGATCAAATATCTGATGGCAGTTCTGACATTCGAATTTTCCTGCGTCATTGTGTTTTGGTGCAGTTCGGCGATGATTTAATGGTTTGAAGCTCGAAGGAGAAAAGGCGATTGAACTGCTCCTTCGCTCGTCGTCTCCGTCCTTGGTCTGGGATACGTCTTGTGGATCCGAATCATTTTCGGGACTTGAAGATTTTGCAGGCGATATGAGAGGCGACTCTTTTTGAAGTTTCTGATTTGCCTCGATGACCACCATGGTAGACATCCGGCGAGAGCGGCCGACGAATGATGGTTGATGATGGATGAGTTTTCCTGATGGAATTATGCGTTCTGCGAGAAGAGGCAGTTCGGGTTTGATGAAAAATGTGAGTCAAGAAGCCAGACCAGACTTTGTATCGACAGTTGTTGGTGCCCAAGACAGGTGGTGGCAACAACAACGTGGACCTACAAGATATTTGTCGGCAACAGGGAAGTCACGGTCACCGGAGGCCCGTAGAAGCAGCGTTTGCCCTTCGATGAGCATCCACGTAAGTATCACGGGGGCTGAGTCGAGGGGTGCATTACCGATTCCGCTTCCGCTTCCTATTATATACGGCGGGTTAGCTGGAAGCCTGTCGACGGACCGGTGCCTCGCACACTCGATGGCTGCCTTGTGCGTGAGCCATCCAAGACACAGGACTGCTCCTCCACCACCAAAGAAAGCTTGTTGCAGACCTCTGTGGCTGTGAGGATCGCCGCTTGTGGCGTAACGCGCGGTTATCTCCGGCGGCCAACCGGACCTTCCGTTCACCTATTGTCAGGTCAGGGTCCGATGTCTCTGCGACAAGTGGTGCTCGTACCTGCGTGTACACAAATAACCATTTGCAAGGAAAGAACCGCCACGCCTTAGGCAAACGCTTCGAGCGAGACTTGTCTCTGCCGAGCGTCCACCATCCCTGCCAGCGACAACGACGACCATTCAACGTAAAGGGACAGGAAGGCGCGAAGAGAAAATGCAGGGCTGTGCACTCACCGAAACTTGCTTCTAGCCCGTCGGCTACGAGCAAATCAAGAGCCTCCTTTGACATTCTCGCCGCTGTTCCTAGGCAACAGTGCGAATTGCCTTAATCGTCCCTTTGACTGAATCCGAAAGACCATCCAACAGACGTTCCATAGCACCGCCAACAAAGACCAGATGCTCATGGCTATGCCACGCTGACCAGATCTAGCGCCTCAGAAATCCATGAATCATTTTTTGCGACTTCTCGATAGCTCCGTGCTACGATACCAGAATCCTCGAACATGCCTTGCTCGAACGGAATCGCAGTTGGGCAGGCAAGGATATGGGCCAGGTTTGCTGCTTGCTGTGGTGTCGCATCATGAACGAGCATTTCCTCCTTTGGTCTCCTTGGACACCAGTAAGTCATAGCACACCGACATCTCGCTCGTCAATATCATAGACTTGTGATCCAAGCGTCTGGTGGCGGACCAGCGGTCATGAGACATGATAATCGGGCACCATACCAAGCATTTGTGTTCCCAGCTCTTTGCATAGGTCATCCTGAGTATTGGGCGCGGATGTTTGTCCAGCGCAGCGTGAGTAGATGCATACAAGCTGCGTTCATGATCGCGATCGAAGACGGTAAGCAGCTGAATCATGCGAGATGTCGAAAATAAGTTGCCTGTGATAGTGTGCATCATATCGCTGCCTCTGCTTGTCATACCTGAGTCCTCGATACGCCGGATACCTTGTCGCTCAGCTCTGACACCAGATACGACAAACGGTCACATCGGCGAAAGAGGCGTCGTAAGCTGAAAACAAGAATGTCACTGCCTGCTAAGACCATTGTCGCTTTTCGCTTTTTGGTAAGGTTTGAAGAGGAGAATGATATAAGAGGACAGCTCGGACGCGCAAAAGTGGCAATGCACGGAATTATATTTACTACTCGAAGGGTGGCCTTTTTCTTGCTTCCAACCCAGAAAGCGTCAGCCGGGTGCTTGACCGGTCAACCTGAGGCATCAAAATGACTTCGCCATGCTAAAAGGCTGACCGCGCCTCGCTTTTCAGCTCGCCACTCTGCTATTTATCTTGTTGTTGCTGACTTCTTGCTCAAAGTGCGCATTTCGGCCCCCATACCGCTGGATGTCTTTCTTTCGCACAGCACAGGCAGGCTTACAGGAAGTCATCGAATGAGGGAGTAGCATTTGGTCTTCTCTGATAAACGTGCCTATCAGCAAAATTCCAGCAAGTTAATATAACTTACGAGTGCATCGACCAATTTTACAATGAACTAGGAATTGGAGTTTCGTTGTGACCCTCGAATTGAATAGTATGCAACACAACAACCCACCTTCCAGAAGCGTCGGGCGGGAGGGTTGCGTGTACTTTGATGCGCACCGCCACACTTGTATGCAGCCAAGTTCAAAACCATCCCGAATCTATAGGCAGCGCACCGCAGCAAGAGATTCAGGCAGCAACCGGCTCAATATTTAAACCGTGGTTGCCGCGACCCAAATACTTGCTGTGATGTGATGGATCTTGTGACAAGGTAGTCAGCGTGACTTGCCTATTTTGTAAGCCTTTTCGTTGTATCACTAACATTGCTTGATGCGATCATCCTGAATCTGTCAACATCTACAGAAAGAAAAGAGGGAAAGGTAGAGGAATGCACTAAACCTCCAATTCATGAAAGGCAGGAGAGGATGTGCAAAGATATCAAAAGCTAAGCTTCCTTCCATCCTTCCGTTTCTTCCTCGTCTTTTCCTTCGTCGCTTCCGTGCAAGCCACCGACATAGTTCTACTAAACATTGCAGAAAACGAAAGCATAGTTTGGCAGTTTGTTAGAATACAGCTAGGGTAAAGATATGTATGGAGGTGTGTGATGATCAATGAACCTATGACCATAATTCACTCTTCCTCTTCGTTTCCACCTGTCTAGACTCCTTCGTATGTGTATGGCCACCGCAACCTCCCTGACCAAAGATACATATATCCCCTTATCCAAGCAGACTCTTGATAAAGTGCTTCTTCACCTGCTCTCCAGCTTTGAGTTGTAATGACGCGCCATGAATGACCTCTGCCTTCACCATCCAATTTATTGGGGTTATTACAAGCCAGATCAAATGCTTAGCCTCTTTATTCTCATCTCCTCATACTTGCGTTGCGCTTTCTCTTGCTTGCCAGACGAATGGGCGTCTTTTCTCCAATCGTCTTGGAGTTTTTCTTGAAGCTTGTAACTCTTCATTGTATTCTGCAGCGTCTTTGTCATGGTCTCGGCGGGCATCGCGTAGCTTTTCGTTGAGTTCTTCTTGTGCTCTGGCGAGGTCTTCGGTTTTCTTTTCGGACTGCTTTGCTGCTTGTTTGGCGGCTTGTTGCTCGCTCATGTGGGTGAACCAGTCAGCGGAGCTGGAGGTTTGGGCAGTGACGCGGTAGTCTGAAGGCCAGGAAGGACGACTCGGGCATACCATAGGCGGAAAGGGATGGAGCGTAGGCTCGCATAAAAGGGCTGTTGTACTTGCCGCCAAAAAGACTGTGGTTGATCTGTAGCAGTGCGCAGGATAATCCCCTTTCATCGATTTGTTGCGGTACAGAGGCCATTGTTTCGAGTCAAGTGAGAAGCGAGAACGACTGCCCGATCTCTCTTGACGGCATTCCTGCCACGTTTTATACCACAGATGCCCCCAGTTGGAGATACACTGCTTCATCATAGACTGTTCGAAGGATTGGATGCCGCAAGTGAGGGAGATCTACACCCTGGGAACAGTATGCTCTGCGCTGCTGGAAGATAAGCAGCAAGGTGACGAAAGAGGCAGATTTCAGCCTTCGAAGTTGGCCTTTGTCCTTCGTCCTTTTCATTCAGCAACAAGCTGAAAGATTGGCGTGTGCAAGATCCGCAGTCAAGCATTGCTGCCCAGAAATCCAAGCCTTGCCCGGGGCGGCATGGAGGCGCGCAGCATGCTCGAACAAGTCAGGTGGACGATTGGGACCTTGAGGCATGCTTGGTGATGAGTGCCGTGTTGACAACGAGCTAAGACAGGGCATCTGTAGCGTTTGGTCTGGCAATGATGTGCCTCGTTCCAACATGAAGACGGCTTCGTGACATAGGGACAATATGTCGAACGTCAAATTTCTCCTTCAATCACCAGCAACTAGGCTGGGTGAGCAATGGAAAATGGAAATGTCATGTCAAAAAGAATGAGTTCAGACACCTGGTCTTTTATTGAGGTCAGCAAAAATTTGAAGAGAATGCTGAAGACATGTTGTGCAAGAAAGAGCAAAGTCAAATCGATATCAGATCAATGCCATTGTCAATGGCGGTATCGTCAATGTCCAACTTGTGGCTACGTAGACCGTCGTGATAAATAGAGTAAATCATCATTGAAGTGAAGATGCTCTTGAGGGTGGGAAGGAAAGCGAAGAAGAAGCTTACCTGGAAAAAGAGTAGATGCGCATGCACAATCGACCGAGAGGATGAGGCACTGTGAAATTCTTTGTAAAGTCAGCAACGATGTTGCAAAGCAGCATTTGAAGTGAGACGGGATGGGTGTGGTGGATCAGACAAGACATTCTCTGCAGTACTACCGGTCAAGGTAATTTGGACATATGCTTGTCATTGTGTTTGTTTTGAATCATCATGTGAGGTGAAGGGGTGGTGGGGTGAGCGAAAACTTACATTATCATCCAGTGCAGATCGTGTGAAGAGGTTGCAAAAGGATAGGAAAGGCAAGTGGCAAGATCTAAAACTCGATTGTTAGTCACTGATTGATGAGGTGCAATGGATGAACAAGAGTGTGAGAGAATGTGCATATATTCAGTTAGGCATGAATGGTATAAAATAAAAGGTTGTCTGCATGGATAACTCCGATCAGACTCGTCATCTAGGTGTTCATCATATGACGGCCACAAAGTGTGAAGAGAAGAAAAAAAAGGAAAGCAAGTTCTGCATACCATTTGATATTTGTTTGAATCGATCGACGCGCATTCAAGCGACATCGAACGAAGGTTGTATTACAAAAGGCAAGCCCTCTTTATCATGCAGGTCAGCCCAAGCTCTTGATGACTGGATGTTGACAAAGATGATTATGTTGTCGAAATCAGTGGACGAGGTTTTCTAGGCCTGTCACAGCGTTGGCATATCTTGCTCATTTGGTTTGTAGTCGGAGCCCAGTGCCGCTTCATCACAAGAGGAAGGTGGTTTAGATGGAGGAGTGCGATGTGTACCTATCAATCAACAATGTCAGTGAGGTTCAAACGAGAAGCTTGTGAAAAAGTTGAAATGTGTGTGTAAGACTCAGAAATAGCCATTTGATATCGGCACCGCCCCGAAGGGCTTGGTCGGTAATTTCCAGCGTATATAAACGTTCAATTGTTCATCAGAAAATAGGGGATGTTGGTGAAGGAGTGAAGAAAAGATCGCATACCTTTTGGATCAAAGTCTCTTCGGCGGTGTTTTCTGAACGCGCTGAAGAGACCGGGAGCCGTGCACCTAGTGAAAGGGACGGCAGAATGCGCAGATTTTGCGAAGCGCACAAGCGAGCGGAGTGTTGCGCAACACGTCTAACTTGGCATCTGTTTTCAGTCAGTCTTGTGCCCTGAGAAAATCTGAAGCGAAGAAAGATGAATTGTTTGTTGTGAGTTCAGACTGACGTGCTTGCAAATGCGGTTTCAGTTCTCCGAAGAGATCAAAGACTCTAGTTTGATTGCGGTATTGCGGTTTCATCAGGTTGGAGGGGAGGGTGCAGGGAGAATGCGCTTACCATTGCGACTGAAGCAGCAGCATCGAGGTGCTGTTTTGCGCTCTGATGCTGCTGTTGTGAGAGAGGAGGAAGTTTGTAGAGAAGAGGTCTGGTTTTGTAGTGCAAGCTTGCGCTGAAGATTTTGAGCGGAGAAAGGTCTGAGCTCGTTGCCTTAGTAAGCGAGCCAGCCTTGGCGTGAACTAGCTTGCTCTGGAACACCTCTTGCTCTCTCCGCTCATCATCGCAGGATGGACCGTGGCAGAAGATATGGATGCTCTCACAATTTCATCCAGCCAATGTGCATTGTTTGCGAGTCCGGTGGCTGATTAATATATTTATTGAAAGTACGCCTGCTACACCGAAGTGGTGGCTAAATTGGACACCGAGCCAGAAGGATTAATCGTACGAGCTTGATCGATCATTCAGGCTCCAACATAGTATGCATTCAAGATCACAAGAGATATAAGTACATCAATCGCGACGATGGAATCTTGGAGTGGTCAATCTCCTTCCTCTTCTTCCATTGACTATACAAATAGCCCAATTCACCATGTCATTCCCAAAGCAATGCTGCGCCAGTGGCTCTCTACACACCGGCACTCCCACTGGCGCAATCTCTAAGCTCCACGACCTCGACGTCTACATCGCCTCACCCCCATCCAACAGACCCCCAAAAGGCATTGTCGTGATCCTTCCCGACATCTTTGGCTGGACCCTCCCAAACACACGCATCCTAGCCGACAGCTTTGCCGCAAAAGGTGACTTTCTAGTCATGCTTCCCGACTTTATGGACGGCAACGTGTTTCCTCAAGACTTGATCATCAGTATAAAAGCGCTTGACGCGACCGGCCTATTCGCTTGTGTGACAAAAGCATATCACTTTCTCAAGCTCGTTTGGCGTGGATGGCCATTTCTGAAGAATGACAAGGCGCGTCTGGTTCGCCCGCGTGTCCGCAAGTTCTTCCGTAAGCTGCAGTTCTCGCATCCTGGTCTCTTCGTCGCAGCAGCAGGGTACTGCTGGGGCGGTCAATGGGCCGTGGAGCTATGCAAATACGATGACGAAGATTATTGCACACTTGGAAGCGAAGACGGATGCCCGCCGCCCCTGGTGGTTTGTAGCTTTACGGCTCATCCATCGCGGTTGAAGTTGCCTATCGACATTGAGATGGTACGTTTCCCTCTCTCCATCGCAGCCGCCGGGGTCGATCAGCAAATCCCCATTGCAAAGGCTAGGCAAATTGAGGGAATTCTGGAGGTCAAGACAGTAAAGGCGAAGAAAGATGGTCTTGAACGAGACTCTGTCACGTACGAGCACGAGTTTGTCCTGTACGAGGGTGTGCATCATAGTTTTGCTGTCAGAGCAGATGAGAATGAAGGGCACGAAAAGGAGTGTGGAAAGAAGGCAGAGGACCAGGCTATCCGGTGGTTCAAGAAGTGGTTTGAGCTTGCCGGTGAACGCAAGCTCCCATGGCAATTCCCACGATATGAAGACGATGCATGACAAGCTGGACACTAACAAAGCGATGGAAGAAGAGCAAGTAGAGAATTGAAGTTGGTCTCGTTCAGTGCTATTATACAGTATTATTCAACCATGGGCATGGCCATATCCCAGCGCCTGTCGCTCAAACGCGAGTGGCACCCCTCCGATATCAGGGACTGGGTCCAGTAGAAGTACGGCGAGCGCAAACTCAAGGGTAAGGCGCGAGCCTGTCGAGGACAGTGTTGAAGAATACGGCATGGAAGCGCATGGCTGCAGGTGGTCGAAGTCGGCGCTCAGTGGCTTGCACGGCGCGACTTGAGGTATCGCAAAAGATGATGAAAGAAGCAGAATGAAATCGTTGCGCCGGAATCATGATGTGAGCCGCGAGGGGCTAGGGCCGAACATCTTAATACTTGAGAATGATGTAGCTGCGTGATGTGTCAGTAAGAAGACTACAGTAGGGCGGCGCTGGTGACGTACAGGGCGTGGATGATGCCGGGAATGTAACCAAGGATGGTCAACAGGATGTTGATGAGGAGGTCAGCACCACAGCCGCGCTCGAGGAATACACCAAGAGGGGGNNGGAGGATGATGGCGATGATGATCTTGATGATGTCGCTGGGAAGAGTGTCAGCACGCGTCGGCGCTTGTGTTCCCAAAGCCTGCAGAGCAGCAGAGCAGAGGGAGCGGGTGCCAGGAGACTCACGATCCGGTGAAAGGCATGCTGGCGGTATTGAACTGAAAGTCTTGGGAATTGTTGTAGTTGTTTGGTAGTGGAGAGGGTGTGGCTGATAGATAGAGGCAGAAGAGTGATACCTCAGGGCAGGCAGCGTTTATGTACGCCGAGCTGCCATCCACCGACGCAACACAGGAAATAAACGCCTCTGCGCGGTGACATCACTAGCGTGTGTCAGTCTGCCAAGCAGGAAACCACCACGAGCCTGACGTCCTTCATGACACGCCAATCAATACTCCCAATACTGGAAACTGCCTTTCCACGGAGAACAGGTTATTCTCAGCTGTCTATCGACTATCCATTGCATCAACATGTCGCTTTGTAGAAACAACAAGAAACATGTACATGCAAGGGGGGAAACGGAGGGCGCGCGTTCATGCTTCTATTTCCAACTCTTCTTTTTACCAAAGCTCCACCAGCCACTTCGGCGACTCCTTCTCTCCGTGCGTCCAAATACGCTGCCGGATCCTGAGGTGCCGGCCAAGGCCACCAGGCATGTAGCATATTCCGCTGCCAATACATGGCCGCGTGTCTTTTGGATGCCATGGCCCATAGGGCTGGCCCATACTACCTATTCTCTCCGACCTTCTCCAGCAGAGAAGAGAGCCTCATGACAACAACTCAGCCACAGCAGAGGCAGATCTGCGCCACATCACGTCAGTCAGCGACATGATCTTCAGGCAACTATCTGGCCATCATGCTGCACATGACGATGAGATTTGTCCGTCCTACCAATCCTGCAACTTCGCTCTGCTCTAGACAGGCACCTCTGAAAAACACAGCCTTCTGAATCATTTACCATGCCGACCGTCGTCGTGACTGGATGTAATTCTGGCATTGGTCACGCCTTTGCTAAACTGCTCATCTCCGAGGTAAGCAACTGATGTCTTGTACTCTGAATGCTTGATGCANNGGGCTACGAAGTCATCGCAACAGACTATGTTGCAGGAAATCAACTCAAAGGCCTCGGATGTCGCTATGCTCAACTCGATGTTCGGTCTCCTGAGTCCATCTCGTTCTTTGTCTCATCACTGTCCGACCAATCAGTTGACATGCTCCTCAATGTCGCTGGAACCATGGCCAAGCATCAAGATGACTCTCTCGAATCTGTCAACAAGGAGATCTTCACTCACATCTTCGAGACAAATACTTTTGGTCCTCTACTTCTCACCCAAGCATTACTGCCAAACTTGTTCAAGGCCCGGGCTGCAAAAGTCGGCATTGTGTCTTCACGTGTTGGCTCCATCACCGACAATTCGACGGGTGGCATCTACGCCTATCGTGCGTTCAAAGCTGACGTCAACTCCATCGGAAAAAGCCTTGCCATGGATCTCAAGGACAAAGGTATCGTTGTCAGTCTACTCCATCCAGGAATCGTTAAGACTGGATTGGACCCTACCGCTACCGACACGCCTGAAGCCATCATGCCAGATGAGGCTGCCACCAAACTTTGGAATGTCTGGCAGGGCGAAGAGATAGAAGACACAGGCAAGTTCTGGCATCGTGAAGGCCAGGAACTACCCTGGTAGTCTTGTGGAAAACACGAATTTCGTTCTTCGTTCTCGACACTTTGTATGCATTTGTTGTAAGGCCGCTATTCTAGAGTGCAATATGTAGAGTGCCACTTTGTTCACTAGGATACCTGTTACCATACTCTATGTTTGAAAGCAAATACCGACCTGACAGCAACAGTTGATAGCTGCAGGAAGCCTTCATGTGCTCCGCAACCCGGCTTTGCCGCCATCTCGGGGCAGCGTCTTCCGACACACGTGACGGATCCTCGCGGGCGGTGGCCGGCTAAACACAAACACAGAAGGTACAACCTTGAGTTCCTCCAGCTCTCTGCAGATCAAGACCTCATATGAACAATCCGCGACTCCTTCGGCTTGGCCATTTGGAGGGAAACCCGATCAAGGTAGAGTAGGCGACGTTTCGCCCGGGCATCGCATATGGATGGCCTCTCATGGCTCTTAAGGTTTTTGCTTGCGCAGTCCAGCATGACGATTTGTCTATGATCTCGGGCTAAGTCAATGTGTGGAGGTGATGGAGCACATCAACTTTGAATCTGGTAGAGCCAAGGTCCGCAATACGAAGTATCCATAAGTATGCCTCGCCCACTCTCAAAACTGTAAGCACCTTTCTCTGCTCCTGCCTCCTTGACCATGGTAAATCCGTATGTCCTCGGTCAACTGCTTGGCTTGGCTTCTGTAGTAGTCGGCCAGCAGGTATACCTGGAAGCCAACGGATCCACACCTCGACCACAATGCACAAAGTGCACTGAGGGGGAACCCCAGTACACCTTCACGCCTTTCCAGTACAGCATGACCTCGACGGTCCGATATGCCACATCTCGTCCTTCGCCAACAAGTACCACAAACTATGCGCAACCTTCAGAGAGCTTGACATCCCTCATCGGTTCCGTATCCTATACGACTTGGGGTAAATGGAATCCGACCGCAAATGCATCTGCAACGGATACAGCAGACCCCTACGGGAATGCTGCTTGGACGGAGTTGTGGAGGATGGCCAATCCACCGAACTTCACTCAGGAGGCCGCAAGCGCTCTTTACAGTACTACTGTCGAGCCGACTCCGGTACCAACTGAAGAGCTGGTCCTGCCTCCAAGAGATTATTTTGGTCCAACTGACTGCTACAACTTTCCTCCTGGTTTTGAGTTTGGTGTCGCAAGTTCTGCCAGCCAAATTGAAGGAGCCACGGCAGAAGAAGGAAAAGCTCCTTCCCTGATGGATATATTGATTCAAGACGACCGACCAAAAGATTATGTCACCAACGAACATTACTACAACTATAAGCAGGACATCGAGCGCGTCGCTGCCATGGGTGTCAAGTACTTCTCTTTCAGCATCCCCTGGACCAGAATCTTACCTTTTGCACTGCCTAGCACACCGGTCAACCAACAAGCCATTCAGCACTACGACGATGTGATCAACTATATTATCGAGAAGGGTATGCAGCCGGAAGTTACGCTGTTGCACTTTGATACTCCGCTGCAGTTCTACGGCTCAATTTCCAACGTCACTGCTGTTCTCTCGGATTCGGAGATTGGTTCGACCAATGGGGGTTACCAGAATGAGACCTTCCCAGACTCCTATGTCAACTACGCCAAGATCGTCATGACACATTATGCTGACCGCGTACCGGTATGGTATACGTTCAACGAGCCTCTACTCTACTCTTCAAACGGCAAGGCCATTGATCACGTCATCAAATCGCACGCTCGTGTTTATCATTTCTACAAGGAAGAGCTCAAGGGTACAGGCAAGATTGCTCTGAAGTTCAACAACAACTTTGGTGTGCCTCGCGACCCAAAGAGCGAAGCCGATGTTTACGCTACAGACCACTTCAACTCATTCCAGCTGGGACCTTTTTGTAACCCTATCTTCCTTGGTCAAGATTATCCCGAGTCGTACAAGATGACCATTGCCGACTACGTTCCCTTGAGTCAACAGGACCTCGACTATATCAATGGCACCGCAGACTTCTTGGGTATTGATCCTTACACAGCAACTGTGATTGCACCTCCAGAGCCCGGCTCCATTGACAGCATTAAATCGTGCGCCAGCAACTCATCAGCAGAACTACGCCCCTACTGTGTCAACCAAACAACAACAGACATCTTCGGCTGGAACATTGGCTACCGCTCCCAATCCTACGTCTATATCACACCCACCTACCTGCGCCTCTACCTAAACTACCTCCACAACACCTTCCGCACCCCCATCGTCCTCACCGAATTCGGCTTCCCCGTTTTCGGCGAAGCCGACAAGCAAGATCTCAGCGACCAACTCTTTGATTCTCCACGCAGCATCTATTACCTGAGCTTCATGTCTGAAGTCCTCAAGGCCATCTGGGAAGATAAAGTACAAGTTTTGGGAGCGTTTGCTTGGAGTTTTGCTGACAATTGGGAGTTTGGAGATTATAATCAGCACTTTGGTATTCAGACTGTTAATCGCGGGACTCAGGAAAGAAACTATAAGAAGAGTTTCTTTGATTTGGTGGATTTCATGAAGGCTAGGGGTGTGGATTAGAGCCTTTCTTCATGTTTGCATAGCTCAGGGTTTCTCGACAATATCAGATTGCATCGTTCAGAGTAACTCGATCCGTCACTCACTGTCGTGATTCTTGGTGACCATGCTTGACTTTTCCATGTCAGGCAAGGCACACAGGCTAAGCTGATTCAGCCGGGAAAGGAAGACTCGTAATATATCTTAGGCTTGCGACTTTGCTATGCATACTTTGTGGAGGATTGCGTGGTTACGATATGCATAGATATGTGCAACTATCAATGTTTTCTAAATACTTGAATGACTACGCAACGTCCAGAAAGTAGAGGTAAAACAATACAGCGCGTTTATTCAAACGGTCTGAAGGATAAATTGCGGCTCGCCCGGTAGAGACTGTCCAACTCCCTCTGTGTCTTCCACAGTCGCTCCTTCCTCAAGAACAACAATATTGTCAGGATAGATCTTTCCCAATCATGCCAGCATCTCGATTCCGTTGCTGCATTGTATGAGGTGAACACCTCCTTGTTCGTCGGTGATAAGGCCATCTGAACCAGAACTGGCAAGGAAATCTGCTGCAGCGTGACGCGTTGCTATGATTGTACTGGGGACAGACTGGGTTGACTTAGCAGAGGCTTTGTAACTGTAGCGCCAACCGCGAGGGATCTGTCCCACGTCCACAGATGAACGTCTTCCGATACTATGATCGATGTAAAGGTGTAAAGTTCGGGATGTCGTGCTGGAATCTGCATTCCCATGCACTGCAAAGGAGTAGCTCTGGACTGCAAGCTGTTGGGTGGCTTCCATGACCAAGATCAGGCTTTGATATTTTCCGGTCTGGTGAGCCTGGTGCGGAACTTAGATGTGAGGAGCAGTGTAGTAATCTGCAAACCCGTACTCGAAAGTCACTTCCGGAGTGGTGTCATCAACGACGGCAGGGGTGTAGCGTAAGAGACGCAGAGCCTGGCCTCCCACAGCTGCTTCAGGCAGAACGAGACTGTGTTCATACTGAAAGCCGTAAGCATTCTCTGCAGCCAACTTTGGCCCAAGAAGAGACTGCGCGACCTTCAGAACCGACTTCTGAGTCGTCAACTTTGTCATGAGCTCGGCGATAAAGCTCATCCAATGTGGCTCCGTATGCCTCATGCCCAACTGCTGCTTTCCTTTTCCGCCAGGGATTGGGATGACAACTTCATCGAAGTTCTTGAATGGCAAAAGTGCATCTCGGAGCAACACCATTTGATGCGGCCGCCGGCCTAACGATCAAACCAACCAAACAGCAATTACATCATACGGGATAAGTTCTTAGTGTAACATCTTCTTGCTCTAGCATAGTTAATTATGTCATTTATAGGCAAGACTCTTGAAGAGGATGATCTCCTTCAAGACTGCGAACTCTCAGGCTCTATAGAGATGTATTCGTTGTCGGACTACTATTGCATTAGGAATTTTGCTTGGATAGTTACTGTTCAGTAGACTCGGATAGTCTGTGTGAACCGTATGCACCCTGACACTTTGCTGATAACGATATTCCATGCGTAGAATCGAGCATGGGAAGCAGATAGTCTGTAATACAAGCAAAATGTTGCTGTCCTCAAGGTCCGGTCTATCTCCGGGACATCCCCACGGTCGCAAATTTGCATCCGCGTTGTGGGCTCTGATCGCAGTTCCACACCAGTGCAAGGCGCATAGCGACAAGAGTCCTCAAAGGAAGCCCTTTGAAAGTGTTGCCGCACACGGTTTGGTCGTCTTGGAGGCACTTCACTGGACTTTATGGCTTCACTGCAGCCAGACTTTAGATGAAGATTGCAAACTCAATTTTGATCCGATCAGGACGACGAGTACATAGATCGAAAGCTGAGAACTAGCTCTACCTTCTGGTACTTTGGCCGAGTGGTCTAAGGCGGTGGTTTTAAGTTGCTCACAAAGCTCATACACCACTATCGAGAGATGCGTGGGTTCAAACCCCACAGGTACCATCATTTGCTAGCTTTTTGCGCTTTCTGAGGATGTCTACGATACATCTTGGGGTCAATATAGCCAAAATGGGAGGGTTTGAGGGCTTGTGGATGAAATCGATTTTTTGACGGCGCACTCTATCTTTCTCAACACCAGAAGACTGCATGGCAAAACCAGCATACGGAGTACCGTATACAATGAGAGTGGTACTGCTTTGCAATACTGCGGTCAATTTTAGGGAGGCTTCTGTGTGGATGATCGCAGGACTTCTTTTTTGAGTAGGTGAAGGCATGGTCACTCATCAGAAGATCCAACACGACTTGTATATGTGGATTATCTTCTGTAGATGGAGAGAAAAAAACGATACAATCGACTTCTCCCTTTTTTCTTATCACTCTACAGTTTCTTCCTGTATCGATTTCTTAGGACTTTTTGCTTCTCTTTTTAATTTCCTTGTTGTTGGGTGGAAGGGTCTACTTTTTGTCGTGTGTTGGTAGAGTTGGTTGAGAGATGACAGAGGTGGTGACGGGAATGAGAATATTGTTATATGGTAACAGGAGACTGATGTATTTATCGCAAAAGTGTTGTAACTGTATTTCCTGTGATAGATCACTCGAGTAGTTGATCTCTTCACAGGCAAAGAAGATTCAGTATCATTAAATAAAAGTGTATCTGAGACCTTCTTGGTTTGTCCTCCATAGGACGAGAGAGCAAAACACGATACGGTTTATTACTCTCTTTTGATTACGTTGGTCTGCTTTTTCTGTCTCTTGTAACCAGCTTTGTGTCCATCGCTTGTGTCTCGCATTTCTGTTCTGATGGTCCTGTCGATGGTAAGAGGGAGCTGCTCTTGACGTGCTCAGTAGAGTTTATGCAGAGACATGGTGTGATGTTGGTGGACAAGAGTGATGTCAAGTCGTATGCGCTTGCGAGAACCCAATGAGTTTCATTGCATTGAGTTGTGAGTGTTACGCTTGTATGTATCATGATGGTTTAGGTGGAATCTGGTCTCTTGAATATATCTTATAGAGAAAAACAGAGGACAGACGCATCCAAGCAAGCAGTATCCAAAGTCCACTCTGCCAGATTCCCAGGCCAAACTACCGCTTCTCTTGCCTGATATTCAATGCTCTTTGACTTGGTGAATCAGTTCTGAGGCTTCCAGGCCACAACCTCCTCATCACCCTCGTCCTCATCTTGAATCTCTAACCCTTCAACAATTCTCCTGTTTCCTTGCTCATCACAATCCAATCCACACGCCTTAAGCACGGCCCATCTGACGGCCTCAATCCCAATCTTTGCACCTCCTCCCCATCCTTGTAGTCCTTTAATTTGTTTTTCGGCACTCGCAGCCAACACATCTCTTTTCTTCTTTCTCTTGCCTTCATCCAAAGTAGCCAACTGCTCTTCCACCTCTTGATATATCTTATCCAGTTTGCCCACATTACGGTGCAATTTCTCCGCACCAGGGACTTTAGAGTCTGTCATGACTATCCTATCGACCTTGGAGAGGATGATTTGGTAATCGATACCTTGTTGCTCAAAGTGTTGGAGCAGCACCAAGTCGCGGGGTTTAATGCCGTGTAGAGCGTCGATGAGTAAAAAGACTTTGCGCAATTGCTTCCTCTTTTCGAAAAACTTGTTGATCTCAGGGCCCCATTCTTGACGTGAGTGGTAGCCGTAGCCAGGAGTATCGACTACGACTAACGCTCCTTGCATCAATTGTTTCAACGGCTCTTTGGCTGCAGTATCTCTTTGGCTACCTCCCACGCCGAATGCATTCAGTGTTTTTGTGTGTCCAGCCTTGGAACTAACTCTTGCGATCTTCTCTTTCGGGCGTCCGAATACGGCATTGAGTAAAGAGGACTTTCCGACATTCGAACGGCCTACAAAACACACTTCTGGGTACGGAGACCGCGGGATAGTCGAGAACTTTGCGGCGGTCCAGAGGTGAATTGGAGGCGAGGAGGGGTTTTGGAAATAGCGGGTTGTGTAGGTTTGTTGGACGGGAGTGGGAGGGGAAGAGACGTGGTAGCGTTGGAGATCAACTGGTTTCGGCGGTACAATGTCTTTTGTTGCTGCTGAAGACGATAGCGAGGGCTTCGGTTTGGAGGTTGTGGTGGGTGGAGTTGCGGCGGAAGGTAGAGAGCGTTGGGCTGGAAGCGCTGTCGTACTTGCGGTGCTGGTGTGGCGGAGACCGAGTATGCGACTGCGGGCAATATGCGCAAGGCATCTTCGTCGTACTAACGAATCCATAGTCACGTAATTGGCCGAGATTGTGTGAAGTGAAAGAAGTTGGAAGGAACGAAGAATGCTCAAAGAAGCAGTCTCATCTCTGGTCCGAGCTTCAAACTCGTCCAAGATATTTCACCTTGATGGGAACTGACGGTATCAAAGCAAGAACAGACAACAGATGATTTATACCTGCAACCATACTGATTGACCAAACATGTTCCTATACTCGTAGCATGCCCTCTATTTTCCTTCTTTTCATGCTCATAGGTATCCATTATGCTCATGATTTACTCCGCTACTCTAAAGTGCCCCTTGAATAACTCCTTGTTCATCTAAATGCAAAAAGACTGCACCATCTACTCTTCGACACCGCCCATCTTAGCTTCAAGTCGGACGAAGGCCTGGACTATTCATTCCTAGACGTGGGCTAACACCTCCATTGCGTTCTCTTCTGAGATTACGCAATTGCGACTCGATCTGTCTGCGCTGTTCTTGCTCCGNCCTATTGCACATGTTAGCTCTCTGTTGTATCTCAATGCTTCAAGACATAGTACTCACTCTCAATAACTTGACTCCCTCTGCCCTCGTCTCTCTCATCATCTTCTTGAACTCGTTTCTCAGAACCATGGTGCTGGTCGTCTCCCTTGCGACACTACCCAGCTCTGGCGTACCTCCAGGGCTTCTGACGCCGAGCCATCTGACTCTCTCGTCGCTGAGCTGCACCTCTAACTCATCCATCTTGTCACGAAGCGAGTCAATCAACCCCTCAAGCTTCTCGCGCTCCTTCTCCATCTCCACCGTCTCGCGCGTGAGTTGTTGGTAGTCTGTCGCCATCTCGCCGAGCTCCTTCTCCAGTGCGCGCATACGACCGTCATCGCGCGAGCCTGATGCCTGGATCTCACGCAGAGTGATGATCTCTCCTTCCATTGATTTTGCTCGTGATTCGGCATTTTGATGGAGTCCCAGCATCTCGGCCATCTGACTCTNCATGTTGACCCTTGTCACGTCTCAGCTGCTCCAACTCGGAAGACATGCTCCTAGACTTCTGCTCCAGCTCTTGGAACTCCGGGTGAGACGTCACTTCCTGGCACGCTCGGAACGGCTGCCGTACGCGCCATCCAACTCTGCTTTTGCCATAGCCAGCTCAGTGGTAAGACGAATGATTTCCGTCTCCATGTCGTCCATCTCTTCTGCCTTCATAGCCAGACTGGCCTCTGCCGTCTCTCTGGCTACCTTGGCTTGGTTGAGAGTTCCGGTCAGCTCCTCTAGGCGGTCCTGGTGATCACTTTCCTTGTGCTGTGCTTCGATGGCTGCGATGCGTGCCTCGTCCTGGTGTTCAGAAATCTTGTTCTCAAGTTCGACAATCTGATCCTCGAGTTGTTCCAAACGCTTGCTCTGTGCTTCAATCTCTTCCAGAGCCTCTTGCTCGCGCTCTTTGAGTCCTTCAAGTTCGTTGGCACGAGCGGCATCTTCGCCATGGGACTTTCCGGCGAGCTCGCGTTGTTGCTCAATTTGGCGTTTGAGGATACCAGTCTGGGTCTCGAGGTCACTGTGGCGGGCAAACAAACGTTCAACCTTGGATGTAAAGGCCTGGGTACTGAAAGGCTCGGATGTGGTTCGCTCTAGCTCTTCGTCATCCGAGTCAACATCCCGGTTGGCAGCAGCAGATTCCTTGGATGACATGATTCCCCAAAGACCTAGCATGACTGCCTCGTATTGTGCGGCCTTTTGGGCGTGAGTGTCTGCTTTTGNGCGAGCCTCATCCAGTCCTCTTGCAGTAGCTTGGTGAGAGTCTTGAAGAGATGCAGAGTGCTGCAGCATTTGATCGACGTTCGAGAGATTCTCTTCGAGATAAGCGATCTGGTCCTGGGTTCCTTGACCGGTAGGGCGTGGAGGTGGTTGTATATCTTGGTGGGCAGAGACAAGATCGAACAGGTGAATATTGATACCCTGCAGCCTTTTCTCGACAAGACTTTGATCCTCCTTGGAGCCATTGAGCGTGTCCTCGCGCGATTGGACGATGAATTTATGTTCTTCTAGGAGGGCGAAGATGCCGTCTTGTAGTTGCTCGAGCTGGTTGTCGATGCGGACCGAGGGCTCGTCGTCTTCCGGGTAGGCAGATGGAATCTCGTCTGGTGAGGTGTCGATGCTGCCTGCACGACCTTTCTTCGCTTGGGATATGAGAGAACGCATTTGGCCGTTCAGGAACTGTAGCCTTGTGTTGAAGTCGTTCAATTGATCGTTGTGGACAAGCGACTGCCCTTTGCCGACATCGCTGTGAACACTCTGATCGTAATCGCGGATGTGAGGCAGAGAGTCAGGCGCAAGATTGTCGGCGGACTCGGCTTCACGTTGGAGGTGAGCAGCCTGTAAGACAGCAGCCGTGTGTCGCAGTAGCCTGCTTTCAATGTATTGTCTGCGGTTTTCGAGACCGACCAAGATCTGAACCAGCTCTTCAACCTTCTTCTCGCTCTGAGCAAGTTCGTCGCTGGCCTGACCAACGCTGTCGCTCTTGACACTGGACGAACTGTTCCTTCTGTCTCCCAGCAAGCTCTTTCTACGAGGTTGCGAGATGCGGCCCTTTTGCGAATAAAGGCGGTGTAGAGAGCGGGCGGCTTCGCAGACTTTGCTTTCTAGAGCAAGTTTGCGGCGTGTCCCTTCAATGCGAGCGTCCACCTTTGTCTTCTCTTTCTTCAGCGCATCAACTTCTTCGATGGCCAGGATGTCGTATCGCGAGCTGTCGAACATGGCAGTCTCGACCAAGAGGTGCCTGTGTAGCGAGTCGCCATTGGCGAACGAGTCGGCCGGAGTGGGCGGTTGTTGCATGTCGGAGGGACTGGCCAGAGAGGGGTGCTGGTGGGCGTAGGCACTCTGGTTCTGCTGCATGACAGCCATGGCCTTCCAGTCCGTGTCAGTATAGGCCGGAGTGCTGGGGTCGAGGAACGACGTTCGTGAGTAGTCGTGAGCGGCGCTGAGGTCTTCAAAGGGGTCAGGCCTCGAGTACACCGGCGACTCTTGCGGGTGCATCGTGACTGCCATTGGAAATGAGCGACAAGAGCCAGTGGAAAGGGGTTCAACTTTCAAGGCGGGGTTGCTGAGACTCGTCAATTGAACCGCGGAGACAATCAAAGTGCTGCCTTCACCGACTACCAAATCAGATATCAAGCCTTCATCGTCAATCAGGAAACAGTAGAAGAAAGAAGAATTTGGGAGCCAACACAATATTATTCATGAATTTGAGCTGAGCTGGAGATTACTCGAGTACATTTGGCAACTGCTCCACACGGGAGACAACTCACAGACCCAGAAAGCCGTTGCGCATCAACTCTTTCTACATCCAAATCACCCCTGGACCTTCCCCTTAGACATGCTCGAACACCAACAGGGGGAGACTGTCAGAATTCAACAATTTGCCTGTCTATTCCTGCGCCGTGACTCTTCGCCTCTACCTAGATGCCCAAAAATAAAATTCGATCTTCTCTCGTGTCGCTCTGAGCCGACTCACGAACCCCAACCTCTGACTCGAGGCTTGTTGACGACTTCAGAACGAGACTGAGCATGCTTGTTCTCAGGGAAACTGCATGAACATGTTTTGATGCTTACCTGGGAGAGTACTGTACCAGAACGCGTGAACGACCGTCTTTGTGCAAGTGCTACCATATTTGGTGTTTCCTTCCACGACTGCATGCTTGAAAGTTGTCGTCCACGGGAAAACAGTCATTGTTACTCGAGGCTACACTGAACTCCTTGAGTATCAACAACCACCACTGCTCGGCCAACAAGACTCTCACAAGCATATTTGTACGAGATTATCCCCTTCTTCAAATACCTTGATGGTCTGAGAGATCAAATACTGGCGCCGACGACCGGCAGACGGCTTAACTTTCATTCGAACAGGGTCGTACTATGAGCATCTCAGAAATTGGACTAGGAGAAGTAACCTCGCACACCCAACACCGATACCATAGAAAATCTACAACCAACACAAAAATGCCTCTTGACAGTGCTGACAAGATGTCTCAATGCCGTTACACAATCATGCGCTGAACATGTTCACTCAGCTTGCAGTGCGGGTGAGAGTCAGCTGCGGGTAATTTCGAAGCATGCGAGATGCGCTGGCAAGCAAGCCACCAAAAAAGAAAAAAATGCCGGACGCCTTATCCTTGCCCTCAATACCGTCTACACCACTCGGCCGAAGACCAGAGCAAAAAGAGTCGACGTTGTTGAGAAAAACGTTCACTTGCGACTCGTGGACAAGAGCGGTGAGAGACAATCGGAAAGTCGGGCTTCCTCCCACGCGTCTCGAGACAAGGCGCTGTCCAACGAACACAATTTCGCTTTCAAGGTCGCTCACAGCTGGAAAGTTGCGGATAGAAAGTGTGATGAGCACCCGCAGAGTGTGTGATGTCCTGCTGGATATGACGAGGCCAGCATGTCTATTGGCATGTTTCCAAAAATGCACAAGACACGCGAAGGATGGTAGGGATTGACAGGTCCGCGATAGATTGAGGTTACGCCATCATCTTTACCGCCCAGCAAACCATTCGCCGGGGAGTATCGGTGCATCTCTGGCAAAATGACTCTCTGACCATCAAAGCAGGTTTGTGCAGGGACGGGCGTCGTCTACCAATGCACATGCTGGCCAACCACACACTGAAGCCGTACTCCTGACTATCATCGGCAATCCGCACGCGTCTGTAGGCGATCAATCCATCACATCAACACTGCAACCCATCGCTACTCCAACCAATCTGATGCTGCATCATCCCTGTCCGGCAAAATTGCATGCTGGCGCTTGCAGAATCCCCGCTTGCCGGCCTGACCTCTGGTCTCGCATATGTAAACCCGCTTGCTGCCCAACTCGTCTCTGCCTTTCTCCTCTAACGAAACCCAATCCGCTCCTCTCTACTTTACCCTTGGCACTACCCTGTCTCTCGTGCATTTGCACATTGTTTTGCTTCAAGAGAAAATCTCAAGAACACAATCAAGTGTAACAGGCTTTATATCTGAGCCAGTTTACCATACTACCAGGATGACATATCGCACCCGCGAGGAATATTTGGACAGGTATTGACCCAAGTCTCACTGTTTTGTTTTGCTTTTACAATACCCGGATGTTTGCCCAACCGGGCTCTTTTGCTGTTTTTTCTTTGCGTCTCTTTTGCTTTTACATATTTTGGAGCCAGCCTTTTAGGAAACCATTTGGATTATCCAGGACCATTCATACCCCAAGATGCCAAGGCCTACAAGGATACCTAACCGGATCGGAAGGACCGTTTCCCAAGACCAGCCAAGGACTTTCCGGATCACTGTAGCACAACGTACTTTTTTGGAACTGGGTAAGTACTTGAGAGCCCGGACATGCTCTCATAAGCCAACACGCCTTGACCTGGACACTCGCGTTGCATGCTTCTTGCTTGCTACAGTAGCAGCTCTGTTGTCAGTCGTCTTATATGAAGAAGACTTGTCTTGAGTTTGTTCGTAGTAATGCTCTTGGTGCAGCCATCTCCGTACCGGATATTGTTCTTTTTGTTCTTCGCGACACGCTTCCCAGACCATTCCAGGAAGTCGCTATAACGTGCCTTGGCGAGATGTCTGCCAGGAACCTTTAGATCCGCCAAAGCATGATCGGACAATCCTGAACAGACATAGTCTGCTTGTTGATTCTCTGTTGTCACGTCAAACTCAACCGTTTCTCTTCCCCCAGCACGACTTTCTCCACCATGGACTTGGCTATGTTGTTACCAGGTGTTTTTTCGATGGAACCTGGAAATATCAAATATTGCTAGGCGTCTCTACTTCATGTTGAGGTGATACTCGTCCTCTGCTTCTTGCATCTTAGAAGACTAACAGAAGCTTGATGATCCAGCCTTTCATGCTCTGCTCAGATGTAACCAGGATGTCCTTGCACGCGGCCGACCAAAATACGGACAAGCTTCTCTTAATATATCCGCGACTCGACCCATCGGAACTGTTGGCGATATGCAGCTACCACGGACAGTCATGTCAACCACTTTTGGATGCTGAAGCTGGACCTCGTCTTCCAATGGGATAACAATTGGTCTGTAGAGCACCGACGAACTCAAACCCTATATGGTGACTAGAGCTAACAATTACCAGGCTACTTTTCTCCTTTCTTTTTCTTACCGTCATAATCATAATAGCTACCGCGTTAAGATGAGCCGTTGTCGCTGACTCTCCTTGCCTATCTAGCAACTGTCACTTTCTCCCACCCACTTGCACAAATTCCTTGTTTGCTTCACCTTCTGAGATCTGCCACTGGAACTCATCTGTTTGGGACACCACATCTCTGATATCTCCGGCCTCACCAGTGGACTCTTTGGAAGACATTTCCAGCCAATCCTCGGACTCTGGAATATTTTCTTGTGACTCCATCAGCTCACACGGTATGGATCGCAGCATTTACTACTCGTCCACGTCCCCGGAAACCAAGATGGAACACCTCCCGGAGACTGACTTTTATACCACACCTGGATGGACAGACGGCATGTTCGCTCCATTCTCGCCAGTCATGAGTGACTCGAATCAGAGTGCCTACACTCTTCCCGCGTCGGATGTAAGCTTCCCCTCTCTCGGAGCGTCGATTTCACAGGAGATGCCCATGGTGGATGATTATCGATCTGACAGCTGGGTTCCTGAGCAGCCCAGTTACAGCCTTTTTGCCGAGCCTGCCGTGATCGACACCGAGATGTTTGCTTTCCCTGCCCAAGGTATGGATATCCCTCAACCCACTTTCAATGCCTGGTATTCCCCGACGGAGACCTCTGCAGAGCCATACTTTGCTACCATGGATACCCCAGGACAGGCCTTTTCCCGTATGATCCCACAGACAGCCGGATTTGTAGGCAACCCAGTTACCATGGTCCCCCTATCNGGATATAACAACCCTAACCCTCGTGCCGGTCACGTTAGGGTAGACAGCTTATATACTCAAGCTTGTCCACGTGAAGTTGCAGTAAGTCACAACCATATTCCATCGGACGGCCAGATTCAGGAGGTTGCTGGACACCGCCGGATGACCGTACCCGTGATCTTGAACGAGCCTATCCAGGCGGTACCGTTGCCAGTCGTCGAACAGGATATGCCATACGGAGCTCCAGTCCAGCAATACAGGACACCTATGCCAGGTTATCCTCATGGATCCATGATGCCGTTCCCTGGACAACCCGAGGTTTCTGTCTTGAGAAGCAATGTATCTTCCACTGGCAGTATCGCTCCTTCCGGATATGATGAGATTCCTTGCAGTCCAGCTTCTTCTACCGCAACCGCTAGGACAAGAAACGAGGATACTGATGGCCGTGCCCGCACCGACCCATTGTACTCTGCCAAGCCTGGCAAAGACGGTAGCTACCATTGCCCCTTCCTCGCCTCTGAAGGATGTCAGCACAAGGCTACCAAGCTCAAGTGCAACTACGAGTGCGTAAGTCCTTCTGTTTTCGCGAGCAATTTCTAACGTCAAATCACAGCNAAGTACATTGATTCACACATCAAGCCATTCCGTTGCAAGCACCAAAACTGCAACAACAACCGGTTCTCTTCCACTGCCTGTCTTCTCCGCCACGAACGTGAGGCTCACGGACTCCACGGACATGGAAACAAACCTTTCCTCTGCCAATTCAAGGATTGTGACCGATCAGGCACTGACAATGGATTCCCTAGAGCGTACAACTTACTCGACCACATGAAGCGTGTCCATGGATACCGTCCGGAAAAAGTGGCCAAGACACCTCCCGTCTCTAATGCCGGAAGAGCAGCTGGAAAGTCCCAGGACAAGGTGAAGAAGAGAAAGACAGCCGGTGAAGTGAAGAAGGAGACTGCATCCCCAAGACTTGTGCAGAAGCTTGCAGTGGATTCACGCAAGCAGCAGATGACTGCGCAGTGGCAGGCTCAGGTCAATGAGATGCAGAAGCGCTCCCGTCAACTTGGATGAACGAAGAACCACTTCCAGGATACATGACATAACCAGACCATACCGGCCCTTCCCATGGATGGAGTTGCCCCAGCCAAAGGACGGATGTGCCAAACAGGTCTCTCAACCACATAGGACCACCATTGTGCACAGAGTTGATCCAAGAGAGCCAGCCGGCTCCGGAAAGATAGATTGGAAGGAGGATATATCCCACCAGCGGATTGACGAGGAGAGAGAACACCCAGGAAGCGAGGATAAGAGATTGAGACACCAGTCTCTCTCAAACCGGAAGATGTAGATACCAGACTGGACCCCAGCAGTTTCGGAGTGACTGACAGCCCGTTTCGTACCGGCTTTCTGTCAACGTGTTTTTCTTGTTTTTGCTTACCAGTTCTTGTTTCTTGTTTCTATGTTGCTTTTCATGTTGCTTGGAGTTTACACGACTGCTTATTACCACAAGGAGAATTGTTGCTAGATAGCTATGATATACATATATGATTGACTTTTGCAAGACAAGCACGAGCGACGAGGCTTTGCTCTCATCTGACAGATTGCTCGTATGGTCAGTCAGCAACCCATTGCTGACCAGCCTGTCGTATCTACAACTTGTCGACTCCTGAAGGAACTGATGACACCAAGCAAAACACAAATAGTGAAATGATGGCTTTGCTCGGAAGAATTGCCCTTTTGCGATAGGCAGTAGATTACGGTCGACTATCAGGGTTCTGTCAAGCGAAAGCCAAAAGCCACGAACCTCGGTGCGAACGAGCGAACGGAAGCTGCGTCATCCGAAAAAGGGCTTTACATGTGAACGCCTAGCCAGTGCCTGCTCACAAATCATTCCAAAGGGTGAAGATCTCACGATCAAATTACATGAAGCCTGTTCTCCCGCGATCTGTGTGTTTCCAACCTGCTACTTTGCTCCTGCCTCGTACCACCGCCTTTGCGACTCAGCATATCAACACTGCGACGAGATCTTTCTTCAAGTTTAGAAAAGTTACATCATCGCCTGCGACCATGTCTTCTGCCACCTCTTTCCACGAGTTTAAGCCCCTTGACAGTATGTTGGCGAGCGTTTGCGACAGGAAACGTGCGACGCGAAACTGACAGTGATGCGCAGAGAAGGGTAACGTCTACGACTTGTCCAAGCTCAAGGGCAAGGTCGTCCTTGTCGTCAACACTGCCAGCAAGTGCGGCTTCACTCCCCAGTTCGAAGGCCTCGAGAAGCTCTACAAGGGTGCGCCATCCCCCTTCTCCCTTTGCCCTCTTACACACATCCTCTGACTTGCGCTTCGTCACNNAGACCTCAAGGCCGCCCACCCCAACGACGTCGAGTTCCTCGGCTTCCCCTGCAACCAATTCGGCTCCCAAGACCCCGGCTCCAACGACACAATCCAAGAGTTCTGCCAACTCAACTACGGCGTCTCGTTCCCCGTCCTCGGCAAAACCGACGTCAATGGCGACAAGGCCGAGCCCGTCTTCGAGTGGATGAAGGCCGAGCAGCCCGGCCTCATGGGCCTGAAGAGAGTCAAGTGGAACTTTGAAAAGTTCTTGGTTGGCAAGGATGGCAAGGTCAAGGGCAGATGGGCCAGCACCACCAAGCCTGAGGCTTTGAAGGCGCCTATTGAGGCTGCTTTGAAGGCTTAGGGTGTGTGTGTCGGAAGAGATGAGATCAGCATAAGGGGATGAGTGCCGGAGACGGCAGTGGAGGCATTACTTTTGTTTTTGCATGATGACTTGCGTTGAGGAGGCGTGCGCGAGTAGGATGAGCCCCCTGATACCCGTGTGTTTTTGATAAGCAGAATATTCCTATCATGAGAATTGCATTGCGCATTTGTTGCTATCTCAAGAGCACCTCCGAATCACTATGTCCATGCCTCTGAAACCGCCTCTTGGAAACAAACACTCTCAAGTTAGCCTTCTGTCTCGCAACCGCATATTACTCTCAACGTTACTTGTGACAATTCGTGCTTTGAGCCATATAGTGTCACCAGGCTCCACTCGTACAGAACACGAATACGGATGGAAGCCTTGGGACTTGGTCACGCTGACCGCCTTTCGAAGCCACGACCACCGACCAACCTTCTTCTCGCTTCCCTTGGTCTCCATACCAGTGAACACATTCGCTATAGTTCCGGTCATACCACAGGTAAGCATCAGATTTTTCCTTTGCAGATACATACTTCCTCCTTTCGTACGGTCATCTGCTGTTTATCTCGCAAGACCACGTTTTTGAAAATCATGACGCTTCTATCTTCCATGTCCCCCATCTGTCTCCCTCGTCCGTGATACCTTGGAGATCGAGATATAGGAGAGCAAGAGAGAGAGAGAGATCAGGCGTTTATGTCATTTTCGTCTTCTCCATCATAACCCCAGTCTTGTAAACACGGGAAAAGACATCACACTCCCATACATCTCAACTCATCTCCATCATTTTCCTTGATTCTGTTTCTCCAGCTTTGCACCAAAAAGTGAGCTGACAAAGATCCATCCTCAGCTCATTTTATCTTCGCTGCGAAAAAATCTCATAGAAAACAAACTTCTATCAATGTGGGGCAACAATATTCCCATCCCCAATGGCTTAAACACCTTCGACGACAAAAAGTCCACCTACGATCAAGAAGCCATGCTCCGCGCCGCCGCCATGAGCACAAAAAAACTCCACATCGGTATTGTGGGCGCTGGATTTTCTGGCTTGCGCTGCGCAGACGTATTGCTATCTCATGGCCACCGCGTCACCATTTTCGAAGCTCGCAACCGTGTAGGTGGTAGAGTGGGCCAAAGCAACCATCTAGGTCATACAGTGGACTTGGGACCTAATTGGATACATGGCACAGACGACAATCCCATCTTTGACATTGCGAAGCAGACGGATACGCAATTGCATTATTGGGATGAGAGACAGCGTATTTTGGATACTGATGGCACGCCTTTATCGACCAAAGAAGCAGAAGAATACGGCAGCATTCTCTGGGAGAATGGATTGATATCCCAAGCCTTCAAGTACAGTAGAGAAAACACTTCTACCATTGACGCTTCTGTCTCGTTAATGGACTACTTTGCCGAGAAGGCAGAGACTTTGTTCGCAGACTTGGAGCAACAAGAGGCGCAAAGGAAGAGGAAGACTTTGTTGAAGGTGTGCGACTTTTGGGGCAGTTATGTGGGAAGTGCTACTACGGCACAGAGTTTGAAGTACTTCTGGCTGGAGGAGTGTATAGAGGGTGAGAATCCATTTGTTGCGGGTACGTATACGAAGATTTTGGAACACGTCGCAAAACCTACGCTGGAAAAGGCAGAGGTGAGTCTGGAAACCAGAGTCACTGGAATCAAGGGGAGGAAGGGTGGAGCTGAAAAAGTAGAGGTGGAGGTTGATGGAGGTGAGAAGTATGAGTTTGATGAGGTGGTCATGACGGCGCCTTTGGGATGGTTGAAGAGAAACAAGGATGTTTTTGTCAACGGCTTGACGGAGGAGCTGAACAAAGCTATTGATGCTATTGGGTATGGTTCTTTGGATAAGGTATGTCTTTGCCCTATCTCCCCCCCCCCCCCCCCCCCCCCCCCCCCCCCCCTCGTACTCTCCCACTGACCAAACTCACAGATCTACATCACCTTCCCCACTGCCTTCTGGGAAACATCCTCAGAAGAAGGACAACCAAAAGGCACCGCCACCATCACCAGCTCCAACACCCCAAACACAACAGCAACAACGACACCTCTCCACCAAGCCTCTTCTACTTCTCCATCAACAGGTTATCCAGGATTCACCCACTGGCTAGCACCCACCTACTCACACGATGCAAACCCACACCAATGGGACCAACAAGCCATGAATCTAGCCGCTCTACCCGGCTCCTCCGCACACCCATCCCTCCTCTTCTACATCTACGGCGCTTGCTCCACTCACATCGCCTCCCTCGCCCAACTACCCCAACCCACCCGCGACGATTCCCTCAAAGCCTTTATTGCACCTTACATCTCTCGTCTACCCAATTATTCTGCCGAGTCTGCTGCTTGCAAGCCCAAAGCAATATTTGCGACTGCGTGGGCTGGAGACGAGTTGGCTGGTTATGGCAGTTATGCAAATTTCCAGGTTGGGTTGGTGGATGGAGATAAGCATGTCGAGACGATGAGGAAAGGTATGCCAGAGCAAGGTATTTGGATTGCTGGTGAACATACGTCACCATTTGTTGCTTTGGGTACGGCGACAGGAGCGTATTGGAGTGGTGAGAAGGTTGCTCTGAGGATACTGGAGAAAGCTGTGGGAGATGACAAGCAGGAGGAAAAGAAGTAAATGGGTGTCCTGCATCTTTCTTTGCATTTCTGAGGAGGTTCAGCTCTTATTCTGCTTCTTTTGCATTTATAGATGCGTTGCTTGAGATTTTGCATGTAGTAGTTTCTCCTATTGCTTCCTTGAATGCAATCATGAGCTGAATTGAAAGCAGGAATGGTCGGGTCTTTCATCAAGGGCGTGGAAACAAGACAAGTCATCCCTGGGTTGAGTAAGAAGCTTTTTACCTTGCAGTAATGCTCTTCATTATCCGTCGTCTGGCCATCACAGATATTTTGACGGCTTTTCTATATTTCGACCCGCTCCTCTCCATATGTGAATCCATAGCTCTTTACTTGTACAACATGTCTTTCTTTCGTTCCTGCAACCTCTACAACTTGCCCTCGGTCTCCTCGACATATTTCTTCAAATGCTCAATCGTGACAACCTTGATGCCATATCTCTTTCCAAAGTCAATGCACTCCTTGGCCCTCATCATATGCAAGCCACCTCTTTCAGCCTTTCCCTCGACTTCCGTCGACTCCTCTACGATCTCTGCAATGACACCGACGTTGTTCTTATCTCCCGACAGCCTTGCAAACTCGACTGCTGCCTCTGTATGTCCTTGTCGTTGGCGCACACCACCAGCTACCGCACGCAACGGCACCACATGTCCAGGTCTTCTGAAGTCGCTCGCCTTGACGTCTGCATTGGCGAGCAAGCGACACGTTGTACTGCGGTCAGTGGCCGAGATTCCAGTGGTGACGTTGTCGGAAGCGTCGATGGTGATGGTGTAGGCAGTGCGATTGGGGTCTGCGTTTGAGGATGCGGCGACCATAGGGGGTAGATCGAGTTTGTCGGCGAGGGCGTTGGGGAGGGCGGCGCACAGGTAGCCAGAAGTGTGGTGGATCATGAAGGAGGCTTTTGCGGGAGTGAGGGCCGAGGCGGCGATGATGAGGTCGCCTTCATTCTCGCGGTTGGGGCTATCGAGGACAAGGACGAACTCGCCGGCGGCNNTGTGAAAGTGGGAGAGTTAGTTGGCAGTCCGGGTTGGAGAAATGTCGCATGGTGGTAGGTTACCAAAGGCCTTGATGGCTGCGGGAATGTCGTCAAAGACGAGGTCGCTGGAGTGGTCTGCCATTGCGTATGTGTGTGTAGAAGTATGGGATCGAGAAGACAAAGGTCACAAGAGTATGAAAGATGTGGTGGATCGACGTCAAGGTGTATGGGCACAAAGGTGGAAGGTGCTTTGGACTGTTCTCGCTGATGACTGTTGGCTTCCCCGAAACACGCCGCACGAGCGATAATTGATTACTTGAGCAATTGGTAAGCTACCGACTCTTACTTTTTTGTACAATCTAGATTGTCAGCAGCAGGATTTAATAACAGTATAGTTGCAAGAGTACAACTGCAAGAGACAAGGATCAAAGGCATGATAGAAAGTGGCAGGTTCATGGACGCTGATGGCATAGAGTGGAAGTCGATGGCGGGGCAGTCGCAGCTGGAGGAAGCACTTGCCCAAAATCTTGCCGAAACCCCGAGACCTCCGAGCAAAACTTTTAACCCTCTTTGTCGATCAAATCCTGGTTAATTGACTGTCGTTTCCCCTGCTCTCTTCGTCTCTCGAGGCTCTGCTCACACTCGACTGTATGAACATCTTCTAAAGCTTTGACACCCTCGAGATCGTGGCATGTTCATCTCTCAACACCGCGAGCAAGACTCCTTGCTCTACGTCGTCACCCTCTTCGTCTTCTAATTCCAAAGTCCACGTCACTGTCCCTGATCTCGGACTTCGCACTTCCAGCTCCATCTTCATCTGCCGTACGAACGCAATCACCTGTCCTTCTTCCACCTCTTCTCCTTCTTCGACAAGCATCTCAACCAGCTTTCCATTCATCGGCAATATGATATGCGCCTTGTTCTTTGCATCGCCCTTCTTGTGCCTTGAATCGACTGCGGCTTGAGATGCACTCGTGCTCTCAAGTGACATCTGAAATGTTTGCGATCCCGCACCTGACGTGCTGAATGTGACAACAGCCGATAGCGAGTCTGGGAAGTCATTCCTCAAAATCTTCTCGATCCTCAGATGATGATTTTGTGGTGCCTCTTCTCTCGACGCTTCGACTGGGGACAGGCTCAGAGACCATGCGTCACCCTTCCGTAACATTGCCCCTTCAGCTGCACCTCCACTGCTTGGTCGATCTGAAGAATCATCTACAGCAGGTAAGCCGGCGTTCAGACTCTGTATACCCTCACCGATCTTCTCGCCAGTTGCTAGCAACCTCTTGATGTTTTCCTCAAGCCATCGATTGTCCGCTGTGCCACTCTCGAATGCTTGGTCTGCAACAACCGCTCGAAGTAGACTCAAGTTGGTTTTTACGCCAACGACTTCTGTATCTTCGAGTGCTCGGCGTGCTTTGGCCACCACTCTTGGCCAGCTCGATGCTGTGACAATGATCTTCGCTAGGAGATTGTCAAAGTCTGATCCTACCACAGCACCTCGTACGATATGTGTGTCTACTCGAACACCATTTCCATTCGGGAATCTTGCTTGTGTGATCTTGCCAGTGCTGAGTGAAAAGTCGGCATGCGGGTCCTCGGCGCACAATCTTAGCTGTACAGAGAACTTGGAAGGCGGTTTCGTGTTTGCTGTAATGGGCAGCTCGGTGGTATGATCTGTCAATCCTTGAGCGAGCAGAAGTTGCTCATGTACTAAGTCGACACCAGCTATACTTTCGCTGATTGTGTGTTCGACCTGGATCCTTGGATTAATCTCCAAAAAGTAGAACTCCTTCTTGTCGACATTAACCAGAAACTCGAAAGTTCCCAGACCAAGATAGTCGATTCCTTGTGCCATGCGGATCGCAGCCGCGATGACCTGGGCCACAGTACTTCGATCTTCCACAACGGCAGGTGCGACCTCGACGATCTTCTGGAAGCGTCGTTGCATGCTGCAATCTCTTTCCCAAACATGCTTGACACCACCTTTCCCATCACCAACGATTTGGACTTCGATGTGCTTGAAGCCATTCACGGCTGCCTTTTCTGCGAACACCTTTCCCGAGGGGCTTTCAGCGATACATCTCTGTACTGCTGTTTGCAATTCTGCTGCTGAGTTGACTAATCTGATCCCTCTGCCTCCTCCACCGTCTGCGGCTTTGATCATGACCGGAAAGCCTACTTTGCTTGCAAATTCTCTGACGTCCTCGAGGTTCTCAGATGGCTTTTTCATTGCTTGTAACACGGGTACATTGTACTGAGCAGCAAGTTTCTTGGCTTCCAGTTTATCTCCAGTGGTTTTGAGGATGCTGTGTCCAGGCCCGATTACCATACAATTTGCTTGCTCCCACATTTGTTGAGCAAACTCGGCGCTTTCACTCAGGAACCCATAGCCGGGATGTATGGTATCAATGCCTCTGTCCTTTACCAGTTGCACTAGTGTGGGGATGTCCATGTATGTTGCTGGCGAGGGGATCTCTAATGCATGATCTGGTCGACCTAGGGTGATGTGTGTCGAATCATTAGATGTATAGAGACCAAATGTCTCAGGTGGATCTGGTAATTCTCGAGCTGATTGTAAGATGCGAATTGCAATTTCTCCTCTGTTTGCAACCAGGAGCTTTTTGATGGGTCGTGTGATGGCAGTGGACATGGCCGGATGTGGTTGCCAGGATCGGGATTCCAACCTTTTCTTACAACGTCGATGACGATTTGAGATTTCCAGTGGATCAGGACCCAGGCTTCAATTTATCCAATCTCTCTTGATGGTAGGCATATGGTATCGTCGAAGGTGTGTAGTAGTCGGTTAGTACGATACCTTGATCAACGGAGGCGCGGGGTTGTGCCTCGGCAAAAAGCTACCTCACCTGTCGACTTCTACTGACATGTCGAGACTCATTCTGAGACTCATTCTCAGTTAATTGCATCAAGCAACACTGTTTTGACCAATCAAACCAAGCAAGTGCTCATCAGTGTCGAGGCCAGACAATATGGGAGATTCTGAGGACAAAACAGCAACAAGGTAATGCCATCATCACACCTATAGAACTTGTAGAGTAACTATGCTAACAGCTGAAAGTGCTTCCAGCGACAAAAATGAGGAACCACAGCAATCAGGACCCGAAGAGGAGTCAAGCAAAGCAGCTTCTCGTCTATCACAACTATCCTCACACATAGCCCCATCACCCTCCAAACAGCGAAAGACAAGGCCAAAAGCGAAGAGTTCACTCCCAGCCGACTATTCAGACTTGATGGACCAGCTCACCACCATGAAGAAAATTGCCTCCGAACCTCCTGAGAACTCAAAAGGACACTCTCGTCAAAAAGCAGCTGGAAAACTCTTTGCCCGCGAACGAATCAATCTCTTCCTCGACAAAGGCACTTTCAAGGAAGTGGGTGCCGTGTCAGGGACAACTACATGGCAACAATTTCCAACCAATGCATTGCGAGAACAAGTCAAAGACTTCGTGCCTAGCAACAATCCTCAAGGCTTCGGTATGGTGACTTGTGGGGCTACGAAACAGCAAAGAAGGGTATACATCACAGCCGACGATTTCGCCATTCGTGCTGGCCATGCAGACGGATCTAGTCATCTCAAAACTCTTTATGGCGAAGAAACAGCACTAAAACTCAAGATCCCTGTTGTAAAACTCGTGGATGGATCTTCAGGAGGTGGCAGTGTGACGACCATAAAGACTCAGGGATGGTCCTACTTGCCGCCTCTAACAAGTTTTCCAGCGGTGATCAAGCAGTTGAATGCAGGTATACTGAATCTGGGCGCTGTGGTGGGTCCGGCTATTGGTCTTGGTGCTGCTCGCGTGGTGTCGACGCATTTTTCGGTCATGGCTGCTGATGTGGGGAGTTTGTTTAATGCAGGCCCTAGTGTTGTTGCGGAAGCGACGTTCGAGGAAGGTCTAACGCTAGAAGACTTGGGTGGATGGGAAGTACACTGCCGCAATGGAACCATCGATAACTTGGCCTCCAATGAAGCAGCTGCTTTTGAGCAATTAAGGACGGTATTGGGATACCTTCCCGATTGTGGAGATCTCCAGCATCCTCCTGTTTTGGCAGAAGACTGGTCCGGCGATACCACAGATAGGCAGGACATTAAGCTCCGCAGCATCATCCCAAGGAAGAAAGGAAGGATGTACAACCCTTACACCATCATCACCTCCGTCGTCGACAAGACCTCCTTCTTCGAAATCGGACGCCTCTGGGGCACAACTGCCATCACCGGCCTCGCACGCCTCGGTGGCCGTCCCGTAGGCATCATCTCTAACAACTGCGAGTCCTCTACCGGAGGCGCCCTAGACCCCCTCGGCAGCCAAAAACTCACCCGCATGATAAAGTTCTGCGACGTGTTTAACCTGCCAATTCTCCAATTCGTGGATATACCCGGGTATGCGATTGGAACAAAGGCAGAGAAAGGAGCAACCATGAAATGGGGCGTCGAGTTGGCAAAAGCTTACTATGCATCCACCACACCCATTTTTTCCGTGGTTACGAGACGCTGCTATGGTATTGCTGGAGGAGTGATGATAGATTCGCGGTCTCCTCGCTCGCTAGTTGCATGGCCGAGTGGAGAGTGGGGATCTTTGCCGTTGGAAGGAGGTATCCAAGTCGCTCATCGGGCTGAATTGGCTGCGATCGCAAAAAGTCAGGGTGAAGAGGCAATGAAGAAGAGATATGCAGAGTTGGATGCACAGTATCGACGCTTGATGAATCCGATCAGAGCGGCGAATGCGTTTGGTGTCGAGCAGATCATAGACCCAAAGGATACAAGGAGTGTGGTTTGTGCTTGGGCGAAGGATATGTATGGTTTGGTCATGGTCGAGAGACTTGAAGACCGTAAAGCGAGGAGGATCGTGCCGACATTTACTTGAGTTTCAATTATCTGCACCTCAAGGATCGAATAATGTTGTTATTATCCGGATGCTGACCGATGTCAACGAGTTGGTTACATGCGCGGCATGATCGCTCCTTCCAGCGGGGTAGTGGGATAAGTGCTTTTAGCCACATGACCTCGATTCAAGGTATGCCTTCTACCACCTTTGACAAAGTAATCTTGACATCACTCATCAGCCTGTCTCATTAAACTATCAGACATTCGTTCGCTTCTAATTATGACAACTAACACTACCGAAGATGCAGCAGAGCGGCAACGTCTCGAAGGGTTCTTCGGTGCTTCTCGCCAGGGTATCCTTGATTCCATTAGACGAGATCCGACAAACGACGGCGGCCTCATGCAGAACATTCAATTCGCAATCCAATATCCTCAGGACGTCTTACTTAGGAATGGGATGCGAAAGTCCGACATGTACCTCGAGATAGAGCTAAAGGATCTTTGGTGGAAAACAATCAAAGCAGCAAAGCTCATTCCAGCCGACGATGAAGGACGCCAATATAGACTCGTAGCCTGGATTGCTGGAGCAAGATCGCGTCCATCTGTATCTAGCATCCAGCAGGATCCTTACATCGCAGATGGTGGGAAAGTCTTGTGGAGAGATCTGCCATTCTTTCAGAAAGCTCTTGAATTGGCATGGGCAGACCGAGCCAACTTGTCAAAGGCTGAATGGACAAATCTCAACGCTTTTGTCTCTCGATTTATGCAAGTCACTGGCATGGAACTGATGAGTCTTGGTCTGGAAACCATCCGAGAAACACTAGAAGAAGAGAGACCTCTATTCTTGACGGCTGGCGATGGTCAGCAAGTGGAGAGATGCATAGCAGATCTATTGCCGGCTACATTACTTTGGTTGAGGCATTCACACGGGTTTATGAAGACCATGACAGTGGTTGTTGAGCGGGCTATCAAAGAAGGTGTCGAACCACCATCAGGGTGTGGAAGTGACGTGATGCCAGGAGAGCTAGCCATGGCCAGTGGAGTATCGAGNGGTGGTCTGAGTCTCGCAAGGAGACGTTCCTGGAGATTGCGGCTTCTGGAGATTGGACAAACGGAGAACGCAGGTGGAGGCAGCACCGATACTACGGTTGCAGATGCCTGTGAATGGGCGAAGAGGATTGGCACATGGAATCTCGATTGGCCAACAGAACTCCGAGACGTACCTGGATGGGAAGAAGCAATACGCTATCGTCCCAATCCAATGCCCAGGAATTAGTACGATTCCAGGCCAGATCCCGCCTTATGGTACTGTGCCCATTGGGACTCACAGGGAATACGATCGACTTATCAAGACTAAATCTGTTAGCAGACGATTGATACACCATCCCACCGAAACCATACTTCTCCGCAGGATTGCCAAATCGATAGTCCCTCTTCGCGTGGACTCTTTGAAAACCCGTGCTGGTGCGGAGCTGACTGTTTCTTTCTTGCCGATGGATAATCAACAAGAAAATCTTGGTCCTGACATCGTCCAATGCTCTGTTTTCAAGTGGTGGACGACAGAATGAATATGATAATGGAAACCACGTCGTCGATTTATCGTCGAGGTATGTATATACAAGCCTTCAGGCACTTCGCGCTTCAAGACTTTGCGAGCCATTCATCGAGCAACTCGTGCAGGCCGGACGAATCTGGTGAGGGCTTCCGGTATATCAACTCTCCATTTCGATTGGCGATTCTCTCATCGAGATGAATCGTACTGTGGTTCCAACCACCAGATCCGTCCTGCAAATCTGCAGCTAAATTTTCTCCATGTAGTTTTTCTAGTCTGATGTTGCACGCTGTACGCCAATATACAGAGCACTATAGACGTTCGCTCGTCTTATACAAATCTTGCCATTGACCATATCCTTCTAGACCCTGGCAGACTGTCACAGATCATGATCAACTTGATTACAAACGCGATCAAATTTACCAAACACGCAAGTATGCGGCGGATCATGGCCGGTGTCGATGCATCGCAGACAAGACCAACGACCGCTGACTGTCAGGTCATGCTGATCGAGCCTCGTAATGACAAAACCCAAGGTGTAGCCGCGTCTGATAGCGAAGCCATTGCCTACGACGAGATCTTCTTGATCTTCAGCGTCCAGGACACTGGCTGTGAGCTCAGTGAGGACGAATTCTCGAGTTTGTTCCATCGTTTCAGTCAGGCTTCACCAAAAACATATAGACAGGTAAGTGTTTGACCATACTTGTCATCGCACGCCGATAACTAAGGAGATCTAGTACGGAGGCAGTGGGCTAGGTTTGTTCATCAGTAGAGAACTGGTTGAATTGCACGGAGGGCAGATAGGTGTACACGGTGAGCCTGGCAAAGGAAGCACCTTTACCTTCTACGTGAAGGCTTCTCGCGCGAAAATCGCGTCTGAAGCCTCCCAACAATCCGTCAAGCTCGCCCACACAAGTCAACGGGGCTCAACTGGATCCTCGGCCTTTCTCACCCAAGAATGCAGGATTTGCATGTCTTGGGTAAGTCAGAACAAGCTGAGCAGATAAATCGTTCCTAATCCGTTGTCACAGTCGTCGAGGACAACGCAATCAATCAAAAAGTGATTTTGCAGCAATTACGGAGACTCGGAGTCGCTTCAGTCCAGATCGCTGATCATGGTCTGGATGCGTTAGAGCTGCTATCGACTACCACCTTTTGTTGGCCCTGCCGATGCAGGCAAGACACCGTTGCCTGTGGTCCTTCTAGATGTGCAAATGCCTGTCATGGATGGATTGACTTGCGTACGACGAATACGCGAGCTTGAAGAAAACAAAGAGATAGTACGACACGTGCCGGTCATCGGGATAACAGCAAATGCTCGTACGGAACAGATTGCGTCCTGCATCGAGGCGGGCATGGATGAGGTTGTGGTGAGTTACTGTGGTCAATCGTTTTGTGTGCTTTTACTGATGTGTTTGTTACAGACTAAACCCTTCCATTTGGCAGAGGATGTTGTCCCACGCATGCTGGCGCTCGTTGATCAACATGCGACTATGGGTTGACAACAGTCATCTCGAGATCATATCTTCTGGCACTACAATGCCTGTTTAGCCAGGAACAGAGACCCGGTTGTACCCGCCATTAATATCACGCATCGCGAATTTCAGTCAGAAAATGGGAGGGCCATTCCCACACTGCTCAAGAGCCCACGCCTGATTGATATATACGCGGCTGAGGTTCAGCCATGCCGCCTTTCGATGGCTTGTTCTCTACGCTGGCGTGGGGGAAAACGAGAACAGCAGATGGCAAGAAGGCCAGCTGAATTATTGCAATACTCTGCGCAATATTGTCGAAGGATCGTTGACAGATTGATCGCACTCTCACACGTCCTGTGAAGTCCTGTCGAATAGAAACGCATTCAGACAATATGATGATAGCAGAGGGGAACAGAGTTTGGAACGTCTTGTACTACCAGCGCGCCGTCGTAGCGCGAAGCCGGACCGACCCGCAAAGTTCCGCCAGTTCAACGAAGCAGCTCTTGCTCTCTTTGCACTGAAATCTGTGGCTTGGGGTGTGTGTTGACGTGCTGGCGGTGTCGGTGGGGAAAGGCCACTACGCAATCGGCGATTGACATCAAACTGCCCCTCACGAATCTTTGCATACAGCACACCATCTTTTCCTCCTCAACCCCTCTATACCACATTTCTCAATTCAAAATGTCTACGTGAGTTCGAGCGTTTGTTTGTGGTTTTGAGGCTCGATTGCTAATGTGAATTGGCAACACAGCAACATCACCTGGCACGCTGGTCTTACCCGCAAGGAGCGCAGTGAGCTGCGCAAGCAGCAGGGTGCCACCATCTGGTTCACCGGTCTCTCTGCCTCGGGCAAGTCGACCATTGCCACTGCGCTCGAGCAGCACCTTCTCCAGCAGGGCCTTGCCGCATACCGTCTTGACGGTGACAATGTCCGCTTTGGTCTCAACAAGGACCTTGGCTTTGACGAGAAGAGCCGTAACGAGAACATCCGCCGTATTGCTGAGGTAACCTTGCTCCCTCTGCTCTGGTTGTTGAAATTGAGATCGTGAAGAGAAGCTAATCACGATATGCAACAACAGGTCGCCAAACTCTTCGCCGACTCCTCCTGCCTCGCCCTAACCTCCTTCATCTCACCCTACAAGGCCGACCGCCAGACCGCTCGCGAACTGCACGAGCAAGCCGCCAACACCGANAACCCCCTCCCCTTCATCGAAGTCTACGTCGACATCTCCGTCGAAGAGGCCGAGAAGCGCGATCCCAAGGGTCTCTATAAGAAAGCCCGCGCCGGCGTCATCAAAGACTTTACCGGCATCAGCGCTCCCTACGAGGCCCCCGAGAAGCCAGAGATCCACATTGACTCGGCAAACACCAGTGTCGAGGAGGCGGTCGTCATTATTACAAAGTACCTCGAGGAGAGAGGTCTTCTGAAGCAGGGTTAGATGGTTTACTCGATACCCCCATTTGTATTTTGCGAAAATTGTATATAAACGTCTTGTTTGACGGACTGCCACTAGAAAAAAAGTATACGAACTTTATCATGCTTTTTCTTCTTTCTTCTGTATGGACAACCTGCAAAGATTTTGGCTGGGTATAGAGTGTCTATGGACAGGAAAAAACAAAAAGGGCAGGAAAACAAAAGGAAACGCTGGCCGGAAAAAAGACTATGGCAAGGAAGGAGGATGGTTTCAATATGCTTTGTGCTCATGCAATCTCGAACTGGTAGTAGACAAAGGCGTTGTAGTCTTCACCACCGGCATGGCCGGTCGCTTGCAGTTCGTTGGCTGTTTGAGCATCATCCTTGGTCACTCTGCCCTTCTTGTCGCGACCGAATGCGTTTCCGGCAAGGTGTGAGTAGGCGCCGTCGAGGTTCTTCTTGACCTTTTCAACGACCTTCTTGTCCGTCTGTTGTTTGTGTGTCAGCATTCTTGCATAGTTCAGCGTAGTAGTCAAACTCCTTACCTTGACAAGACCACAGACGAAGCTCAGCGGGAGACCGTAGCGCAGAACCGTCTCAACAAAGACACGCAGAGCTAGAACATGAATCCAAGCCATGACAGCATCACTATAGCCAGTACGACCAAGACGCAGCGCCTCGCCCCAAACACGGCGCTCATCCTTTTCCAGCTTCTGCTGCTCACGCTCCTCGGCCTCACGCCCACCCTCGGTGAACTTCCATTCACGGGGCGTCCAGCGCTTCTCGCGCACCTTGTGGACAAACTCTGCGCTGTGCTTCTTGAAGACGGTAACGGCGAACAAGCTAAACTCGTCGTCCTTGGCCAGCTCCTGCGAGGAGCGCGGCACGACCATGGGGCACAAAGACTCGTAGCTCTGCAGGTAGTCCTTGACCTGATTCTTGGGCACGGCGATCAGGTGTTGTTGCAGGTATTCCGAGGCGTCTGGAGCCAGGAGGTTGTTGGGGTTGACGACGGAGGTCAGCGACTTTTGCGACAGGTTGCCGGTGCGCGAGCGCAGGGAGGTGGCTAGAGAGGTCTTTGTAGAGTTGTACTGGTTGAACTTGGACTTGACGTCGTTGTCTATGCTTGCAATGTNCCTGTAGAGGTCTTGTTAGCCGATGCGACGAGGGTTCTAGAAGCACAGGCAACCAACCTTCTGGAGCATGTCGACCAGCTCCGAGATGGGCTTCTCGGCGCGGTACTTGACCTTGTTCCATTGGAAGCTCTGCAAGTAGTGGTCGACGGGCTTGTCGTTGACGTTCTTCTGGTCGGCGATTTTGTCCTCGTCTCCCTCGAGAATGTTCTTCAGCGAGTCGGCCACCTTCTCGACAACACCCTTGCATCCCTGCTCGAGCTTCTGCAGGTCGTCAGCCTGCTGCACCAGGGCGTCCAGAGTGCCAATCTTGAAGGACGGGATGCTGAACGGATACGTCGTGCCGTTGTCGGTTGACACGACCGACCTCAGGGCCGTCAGCGCTTCGTCGCTGTCATTCGATGGCGAAATGGATGTCGGTAGCGACACGAGACAGAAGGTCGATTTGGACATGTTGCCGTCTGGTTGCTGTCGACCAACTCGATGCCTGTCGTTGTTGCCCGGTGATGTGACCTCCGCCAATCTCACCCTCGGCCGTCTCGGCACAGCCCTACCTGGCTTCGTCATATTCTCCTTCCTTTTCCAATGCTCCTTCTCTATCTGCATATGCAGCTGGATATCTACATACTTCTTGCACACGGTGGACTGCTCTGCAATCACTTGAAGTCGAGAACAAAAAAGGATTGCAAATGGCTCAAAAGAACATGCAAGTCTTCTCTTGATACAAGCTGGCAATCGACTATCTTTACATCTATTATACGCCCTGAACTCCTGCGCTATGCCCAGTTTCCTACCCATTTCTCTTTTATCCTCAGATCCTATCATCTTATGGCCGCCTCCACAGCCGAGTGAAATAGAAAGCACTACTAGAAACCACCGCCCTTAGAACAGGTCCATCTCATCACCTGCAGTCAAAGCAAACCTGCCTTGCTGCATCTCACTTCTGCGGTCCAGCTCTGCCTGATACTCTTTGCGCACGTCTTCCAGCGTGACGATTCTGCGCTTCTTGCCGTGGCTGGCTGATACACTCTTGCCACGCTGATATTCCTCCTCGACCCTTTCTGCAAGGATCCATCCCTCGTCCTTGCCACAGCATGCGAGCGTGTTGATGAGGACCAAGTACGCCTCGACCAGTGTCTCGTCATCGGGTTCAAACACCTTTGCCGTGCTATGTCTGAGGCGTTGCAGGCGCTCAAACAGTATCTCAGCAGCTCCACGGAAGTCGTTGTTGTGGATACGCCATGTGTACATAACTTGGTGGTACTGAGGCTGACCAGATGTCGGTGTTGGGGAGAAGGACAGATGCTTACGCGCTAACGATAGCATTATATCATCAACCTCGGGAAGGAGATATTCTGGGAATGGCAGGGAGAGAAGCGTGCTCATCCTGTTGGTCGCAATAAGCGATTGCAGCAGTGCTTGAAGTGACGTCTTGCGTAGTACAGGGTTGCCCAGGACAAGCAAAGCATCAAAGGCAGGCTTGTAGCGACAGATCTGCAACGAAGCATTGAATACGCGCGTCAAGATATCCTCTTTCAATTCGCGCACGCGCAACAGTTTGATCTCTTCCATTGCCAAATTGACCTTGGTGGCTGCTGGGCTGCTGTGCATACCCTGTTTGCGCGTGTCTAGATCGATCAACGAGTTGTCGTCGAAGTTCTCAAAGTTTACTGCAAATTCCTGAGCAGCGAGCGAAGCAAAATCGGCTGTATATGCGTGCAGTCGACTGCGCTCGAACAGGTACGAAATGTGTAAGTAGTAACGGGGCAACCCATCGTTGAAAAAGTTGCGTGCTTGAGGGTCAATCAAGCTCGACGTATCTAACTCATCAATCTTGAGTTTCTTGATGTTCTTCTCGGCGAGTGACTCAGATGCCTGCTTGAAATACTCGGCGGCCAGGGCGTATTCTCCGATTGCGAGATGTAGTCTTCCTCGGAGATAAGACGGCCAAGGTCCATCTGACACAAACTTGAGGAAGTCTGTAGCTAGATCATAATCCTGGTGCTTAAGGAGATTGCCCAAAACGTGCTCGACAACACCATTGTAAGCATTAGAGATGTTAGCTCCATATGTCCATGCACGGCACCAGTAAGTGATGAGGAAGGGAAGAGCCTCCGAAGCTGGGAGTCGCAGGCTGTGCCAATCTCCAATGAAAATGCTTTCAAGCACTGTCAGAGTAGGATGAGACTGGGATTTGTTGGGCTTGGAGACGGGACTGTCGACAGCGTCTTTGGCCTTCTTTGTTGGCTCTTCCCGTACGTTGCTAGCAAGCCACAGCAGAACATTGTGCTCTTTCAGCTTCACGACCAGCTGCTCGTACAGTTCTGACGGTCTGAATTCAGGCGAGAGTTCTTCCTCCTCAAGATCGCCAGCCATGAAGACTACCAAAGCGAGAAGATCAAGAATAATGTCCCTTGTCATAGAAAGAGTGTCCTGGGCGCCGCGAATAGTAGCCTTGTCTCCGTAACGAGTGAGTGCTTGATCTCCGTCAGCACCCTGTTCGGGTTCAGTGAGGCGTTCGATAGCAACATAGAACAGCTCGTTGTCCAGATCACCAAGGCCGCCGAGCTCTTGCATTGAGTCTGTTAGTTGATTGAAGTCCTCGTCCGTAACTTCGGTATGAAGAGCGCATAATTCATAGAGTTGTCGCAAGTCCTCAAGATGCTTATCCTGAGTACCGTTTGGAGTTGTATCGTTGATACCAATCTTGAGAGCATCCGCAGCACTTGCCGTGTCGAAGAGTTTCTGAAAGTCAGCAGACAATCCTCTCCTGAACGTTCTCGCACCCGCAAGGAGACGACCAATATGTACACTGTTTTCGTCGTTCAAATGATTGGCAAGGGGCATGGAGTTGTTGATAAACGAGTCCTCTTGAGTAAGGAAGACATCTTTGTTGAGACTCATAACCTCAACTTCACTACATTGCCTGACAGGGCCGACTTGATCTGCTCTGACTGACCAAGCAAGATCCGTGTCCATGTCGAATGCCAACGAAAGAGAATCGCCACGTCTAGTGTGAAGATGTCGCACGAGGCCAAAGAACACATGCCATTGTGCAGCAATTTCGGACTGGTACTTGTCGAAATCTAGCTGGCCTTCAGCATCTTGGTCGACACTGATTTTGGCGGCAATAGCATCGCAGATTCTCCNCTTGAGTGGGCTCTCCTTGGTCGATCGTGATGATTCAGTTGAAAGTTTTAGGCCCTNTTTGTAAACATGCAATGCGCTTTCCAGCATAGGCACACTGAACCTTCCTGGATAGAAGAAGAAGTTAAGCCATCGATCGCTGAGACTGGAGCAGTCCTCTACCGCAAGTTGGACGTCAGCGTCTCCTGGGTATGAGGGGTCGTTCATGAGAGCCTCAATGGTAAGAGACCCATCGTCAACAAAGGCCCAATTGTTGCGCCATGCATCTTCAAGGTCGTCAGACGCGGCAAGCAGATCGAAGGTCAGAGTGAAGATCTTGCAGATAGCACCAGATCTGACTCTGATCCATAATTGAGTGCTGCTCCAGCCCTTGGAAGGACGAACATGATATTCGACAAGTTGCCAGGCGTTCGTGTTCATTAGTTCATCAAGAGGAGGGATGAGTTTGGTGTCTGGCTGGACGTCGCGGAGGCCCAATTCGACATCGTCAGGATCCATGACTGCCCAAAACTTGAATTGATGGTCTTNTGGTGAGTTCGTGACAGCATAGTACATGTCGCCATCGGGACTTCCATCAACTTGGAGAAGCTTGAGAAGAGTTCCTTGAGCAGGACTCATCAAAAATTGCGGCGAGCCAGACTGCATATCCTTGTCGTTCTCATTGAGAAGGTCGGTCTGCACGCCCAATTTTCCGGTTTGGGTATTCCAGGCCTTTAGACTATGATCGAGGCACACGGTAAAGACATGTGTCGTGTCGGGCGACAAGGCGATCGCAGCAGCAGTCGAGGGCTCAAGGTCGAGGCCGTTGAATTTGATGGTGTTGTGACCTCTCATGGAGAAGAAAGTCTTGAAGGATGATCCCCAACCAGGTTCGCTAAACGCAGTTTCGTGCCATGATCCTTGACCCTGACCGATATTTCTTGACAGACGCAACAAGCCACCGTCGCTGAGAGAAACAAGCAAGTCCATCGAACTAAGAGCAACGAGCTTGTAGGGAGAGCGGAAGCTGAACGAAGGTGATTGGTGGATTTTGAAGCAGCTGGTGGGGTCGAAATCAGCAGGTGAGGGTAGCGAACCACGCAGGAGGAGGTCTTTGCGTAGGGTAAAGGTGAAAAGTTCGTTGGAGGTGGTCAAGACAAAGACTTCGAGGGCGTCTCGCTCGACAGCGTCAGCAAAGGCGACACCATTAGGCCGGATAGGGTTGGCGAAGCTCAGGGCGAAGGTAATGACGCTCTCTTGAGTATTCCTGCGGGCTTGAATCAGGTCGACACTCTGGATGTGTAGCAGTTTTCCCTCCTCGAGGACGCGCCAGAGGAAGCATCGCGGGTTTCTGTTCTGGCGACGAAAGAAGATGGACGACTCGGTGGCCAGATGGCGTTTCGCGTATGCGTCTTCGTCGGCATCGGCCAGGGTATCATTGCTCCTTGAACGTTTGCGCGAAAAGAACGACGACGGTCCTTCGGTGGGGATGTGTAGGGTCGAGTTGGCGTAGGTCGGCTCGATGTTTAGACGGGCCTCGGTGTATAGACATGGCGCCAGTGGAGCTGTCACGGTCATTGCCATTGTATCTCCATGTAACGTCGACCTGCAGTGGCCGATGGTCGAGTAGGCAGAGACTGTCGCGCGAGAAGATGACTTTGTCGATGCGCGTTTGCTGTGATGGCGCCGAGCTGCCACTGAAGAACGCCAAACTGCCAGACTTCCGCACTTGGAGCTGCCCCAGCTTTTTGCTGTGACCGAGACCATTGCGCTTTCACTCAGTCACTCATCACAAGCCTTCACTTGCAACACATGCAAACCTGGATCAATCTCTTATAATCAAAAACATTGTAATTGTACTTTCACATCTCCTTTTCTCCGTGACTCCGAGCCACCTCTTGTGATGCTGTCATGCTCGTCCTGTCAACGCCAAGCCAAAAAGCAGTCCTATTCCTAGCCTCCTGGTATCTTGAAAACACAAAAGCAAGCTCAAAAGCAATATCGTTCCCTCATGTACACTCTGTTCTCTCCATCATCTAATTGTTGTCGAGGTCCTTGGGACTGGGGTCGCCGATACCGTCCTCCTTGATGGCGAACATGGCATCGCTCTCAGGCAAGCAGGGACTGTCGTAGATCTTGCATATTCTGGTCTCACCACGACCCTTCTTCAGACTGAGGCGTGTTGTGCTGGCGTGCGCAATAATGTTGCCACCAATAGGCTTCTTGGGGTCGGGGTTGAACATGGCACTTGGTCCACCATCCACCTGTGCTACCACCTGGTTGGTGATAAGTACTGCAATACCAAACTCGTCCGCGAGGCGTTGCAACGTCCGCATGAACTTTGCCAGATGTGTTTGTCTTGATGACAGCTCACCACGTCCAGAGAAATCTGTGCGGTAGAGAGCCGTTGCCGAATCGACGATCAAGAGCGAGAAGCGTGTTTCTGTCATCATCTGAGCCGCCTGGTTGAGAAGATCAAGTTGGTGCTCCGAGTTGTATGCGCGNNCGTATGCGACATTGTCGAGAACCTCTTCTCCCGAAAGCCCGTATCTTTGCGCCACTGCAAGCAAACGGACTGGTCTGAAGGTACCTTCGGTGTCGATGTAAAGACACTTGCCTTCACCACCACCCATGTCAAAGGGCAGCTGACAGGTCACTGCCAGCGTGTGACATAACTGACTCTTTCCCGTTCTGAATTCGCCAAAAACTTCTGTGATGGATCCTGTTTCAATTCCTCCTGCGAGTAACGTATCGAGCTGCTTGGAACCAGTCGTGATAGAAATGAGTTCGCTACGGCGTGCGTGCATCTCGGTGGCAGTCGTGAAGCCCATAGGCACAAGTTTGGCAGCTGNAGAGTTACGTTAGTTCTCGGTCAAGCAGTCAGAATCAGGACTGATGTTACCCTCTACAAGGACTTTAGTCGCCTTTTGCTCAGACACACCCTTGATGCGCTCAAGCACCATCTTTGGAGTGTACGCCACGGACTCGACGGTGTGGAATCCGCCTTCGACGAACAGTTGTATGTCTCGCTTTGTCAGACCCGCCATTCNCCTTGACAAGGCAATCTTAGCTTGTGTTGGATGAAGAGATGTACAAGAATATCTTACCTCTAGAGCTGAGAGTGGCGTGGGTGCACCAGGGCCGCCAGCGGCGCCATCTTCGTAGCCAGACTGGGAGGCAAGTTCTTGTCCTTCGGCACTCATTGTGATGGGGTCTTAGCTTGCTTGCAGTATTGTGTGTTGCGAGTGCGATTGTCAAAGTACAAAATATCACGTAGGAGGCGAACAACTTATCGTCAAGTCATCTTTGAGGGCAGACGCGACTAGCGCGATTGTAGCCTTTCTGTTCTGGGGAAGTCGCCACAATCGAAGGCAAGAGCGAACGTGTTTGACATGTGGTAGCCACACGACTCCACGTGACTCTATTAGCAAGCCAGCTCTTCTCTGTCTCAACTTGCCAACACTCGATCTGCTCTTCATCGTCATGTAGCAGTGGGAGACTGATTCAAATCAACGTGCGCTCTGAAACGTGCAAGCAAGTTGTTAACCTCTCCACTTCCTCAATGAGGTGGCAAAATGAGCTTTCTCCTCGCCATGTGCTAAAGACTGTCGCAATCTCATGATCGAGGCCTCTGTACAGTGATACATAGCAATAAACTCTGCCACCAAAATGCACAATATTTACCACAAGGAGGCGAGGTCCACGGACAGACAAGTCATCTCAATGCTTCCATGGCCACACGTCTGGGTTGGAAATAACTGCTTTACTAGAGTACAGCTGGCCATCACAGTAGTCAAGCACAAGGGAAGGTCACCTGATGGCATGAAACTCGGCTCTTCCTAACCTAACCAAGACTTCAGGGACCCATGCCATACTCTTGGCTCCGTTTGCGGGCACGAATACAGTCGGCCAGATCTGCAGTGCATATTGGAATGATATTGGATGAGAAGCAACACGAGTTCGAAGAGCAGATCGAGCCTTTCATCATGCCGGAAAGAGTCATGGTCAGTATTGATAGACACTTGCCAGCTGAGAGATAGAGTGCCTAATACGGTCTACATAGGCAGAACACTATACTGCAATTGATTTAATAAGAGCGGCTTCACGGGTGTCTCGCCGAGGTAAATGCCGGCGGCGTCGCAGCCTGCAGGTGCCTACCGCGGTCGGAGGTTCAGCCATCGGGATCAACCACAAACCACGAACCTTCGCTTCTACCAACCTTGAAGTTCTGCTGGACATGTTCTGTAACGTGCAGCTCGCTCTTTTGGGACTGCCGCCTTGAGGGCTCAAGTCACCTGAAGCTGACCGAAACACGACTGTTGGAACCCTACTCACATGGAGTACGAAACAAAAGACCCAGGGGGATGGTTCCATATATTAAAAACCCATACCTGTCAACCGGCTCTGTGTTGGGACGTGCATCCAAGCGTATACTCACACGAGTTTCTACAGCAGCCTGCAGGTCACTCAACAAGCTCTACACAGCTCTGCCCGAGGTCCATGACCCGATCTGCTTGTTTAATCCCACTTTTCGCCTGTGAACGAGTTCATCAACAGGCACACAGAATTCTGCATGCTACTCGAGAAAGAACTGGAGTTGCTGGCGTGATTAAGGCTCGCTGGCGGCGTACTCAACAAGCGAGGCAAAGGAATCCTCAAGCTCGAATCGGAAACCATCAGCCCGCTGAACAGTCACGCATCCTTCACCATGGAGCCGGGTCTAGAGGCAGTCGGCTGGGATGGTTCCTTCCAGTGCTAAAAAGACATTAATCGGTCACTTCTAGGTTGTAAGTCATCCCACGTTGGTTCTGCGCTCCTTCTTGTCTTCAATGCTTTATGTAGACCTTCTTTCGTGCTCAGCGTCCGGAACCGCAAACTACATTTTGTCATTTGATCTTTCCTTTGTTCGTACTCCTCTATCAACTTCGACATGGATGTCGTAGCAGATGCTGCACATAGAGTGGCTGCACTCGGACCTCGCACAGTTGTCATGCTGGTTGTGGCTGTGGTCTTTCTCGTCATCGCATGGACCTCGTTTGCGCTTCGAATTTACGTGCGAGCAATCATGATACGCTCTTTTGGAAAAGACGACTGGATGATGCTTCTTACTATATGCTTATCCACAACATGTTGCGGTCTCCTAATATCCATCGAACGAATTGAGCAAGGCAGTAGACCTCAACGAGCACTAGAAGAAGGCACTCACTCTCAATTGGAACTGCTCAACGATCTGATGAAGGTTCGTTTCGCGTGCTGATGCCTCGCATTTCGATTGACCTTAGATTTANNGTACATCATCTCCTTGATGGGTTTATATATCCTTACGACAATTGCATTGAAGATTAGTCTGGCTATCTTCTTCCTCAGAATTGTCATCCGACCCTGGCAACGAAGAATCATCTACGCTGTCACAGGGGTATATGCGGTCTACGCTATCGCCTTTGCCTTCATTGCTGTCTTTCAGTGTGGCATACCGACCAACTTCCTGATCAAAGAAGCCACCGGAGTCTGTATCACAGACGATATCCTACAGCCCCTCAACTATGTACACGCATCTCTCAACGCCATCAGCGATTGGACATTCGCATGTCTGCCAGTCTTTGTACTCTGGAATGCCAAGATACCACGGTCCGCAAAGATATCATCTGGTCTCTTGCTCAGTCTCGGAGCAGTCGGCAGCATCATCTCTCTCATCCGTATCGCGTATATTCCAGGCCTCAAGACTGGCCCTGCGTTCTTCACAAACGCCATAACGATTGGTGTCTGGAGCTTGATAGAGCCAGGATTGGGTATAGTCGCCGCATCTCTGGCAACACTTCGACCACTGTTCAAGAACATGATGGAGAAGGCACGCAACACCACACACACGAGCAACAGCAGCAAGTCCCTCACCCACAACTCAAAGGGATCATCATTACAGAGAAAAGCAGCCTTTTCTGGCGCCAAGTTCAGTGACCGCGGATATCTACAAATGGACGACGACAAGAAACCTAGCAAGATGGGCAACTTTACCAGCGTGGTTGGCGATATGAAGAGTGCACCATCCGGTCAGGTGTATGAGTTGGATCCCATCGCCGAGCGACCGCATTCGACGGAGAGCACAAGGTCAAACTCGAGTGGACGTATTGGTATGGCACTATCTGGACCAGTCACTGTCGGATCACTGCAGAACAAGAGTTGGTTTCCCGATGACGAAGTCCTCATGACCAGACACGTTAAGATAGACGAGGAAGCGGCCGAGTGGCCGTCACCGCCGCGCAGGGAAGCGTGAATGATTGGCCGTTCGCAACTTCTGTGCTTTGTAGCATATCTTATGAATCTTTGTCTTCTCTACCATACCCTGGCTCGCTACGTGTACGCCTTCCGCCCCTTTTCTCGAGCACAACTGCTGTGCTTTCATTATCGCCCCAAACTATTTGTAGTAGTCATTACGTCTCAACACAGGGCAAATCGCGAAAGAAGCAGCCCGAGCCCGATCCATATCAGATAGCCCTAAACCATTATGTACGATGCACGACTGACTCAAAAACAATACACCCTACCTGCACCGACCATCGCCTCGTTCACACAAGCCACAAGATCTGCTGCCCATGTGGCTGTACCAACAGAGTCCCAAATCCATCGAGCATGATGCAGCACCGTACCCGACCCGCACGATCAATGCATACAGATTCAGCAAGTCATCGTACGCAGAAAGAAAAATCTCGATAACGGGGAGTGTCATAGAATAGAGTAGCCAAGTAAGTAATTTGAAGGATGTAGTATTGACCTGTCAACTCAACCTGATACGACGGCACCAGCAACAATCTACCCAGTCGGGAGACGTGGCTGACGGGTGGGATGCGAATAAGCGAAATAAATAGGCACCGGGACAGTGCCCCCGGACAAAAGACCCTGAGGGGCTTTTTTATATTAATTCTTTGACAGCCTACCGAACAAGGCCCGAGTCGGAGATGGTCAGACATGCAGAATTCAAGATCCATTCGTTCACTCGCGCTTGGGTCTTACTTCCAGTTCGGTCAGGCGGAATTGTTGATCAAGTTGACCTGGCAAAATACGAGGTGTTTATGTTGATGATGGTGCAAACATATTCAATAAGAATGGCTACATGAGTGCGCTCTGAGAACGAAAGAAAGAGAAAAAGCAATAAATCCAATGCCAAGGGTATAGTATCGTTACAGTCTTAACCGAGAAGTAAGTGAGTCGAAGGGATCGGGTCATCCAGTCTCAATGCCGGTGCGAGTCGCACTGTTCAATGAACCTGTAAATGCCTTCGAAGTTTTGGTATTCCAGAGGACTCTGAGCGTCTTCGCGTTCGCCAGAACTAGAGTAATGCAGGGACTCATAGTCTGAGGCCATGGCTGGGCTGTCAAACTCAAAGTCGAGCTCGGACAGGGTGTCAGACTTCATCGACAGTTCGCGACCGATGCTGCTCTCTGAAGGTGTGATCATCGTCTGCCATTCGATAGGCTTAGTGTGGCTTCCAGATGGTGATTCGTAGAACTCGCTGCCACTCTCAGACTCCTGTGTGCTTGGAGCGAAAGGGAACAGCAGCGCAATCTCGGATCCAACAAAGTTGTCAAAGTCTTCATCTTGAACAGTGACACCTCGCTGGATTTGCAGCTCATCACGCAATCTGTCAACAGTATCGGCATCGCAGCCCGGGAAATGAATGCGTAGCGATGAGCCTTCATATGTGATGGGCAGATCTCCCAAGTTCGAGAGCTTGCTAAGATCGCTCAGGACAGCGGTCAGATCTTTGAGCGAGCGGGAGAAGTCGACAGTGAGGCCGTCAAGGAGACCGTCAGAGTTCACGTGCTCGGCGTCGGCGTAGCCAACGACAGCATCAAAGGAGGTCAAGGCGGTGATGGTGGGGTTGATGGGGAAGGAAATGTAAGAGCCAGGGGTCTGCTTGGGAAGCGAACGCAACTTCTTGGCAGTGTCGTCCTGGGTGATGGTGACGGTCTTGTACGAATTCTCTCCACGAGGGTTGACACCGTTGAATTGAGCCTTGTTTCCAGATACGAGAAAGGCACGGACAGCCTGAGAAACGTTCTGGACAACTTGTGCTTGGCTGGCAGGACCATGGGAGAAATATCTCTGGCCTCCAACACGACCACCTCCAAGCGAATATCCTCCAGATGTACGTCCTAGGGTGCCTCCAGTAAGGTTTGGTCGCAGAGTCGAGGCGAAAGGAGCGCGACCAGAGTGACGGATGACGGCATTGCCGACGCTGGATGTGGGCAGAGAGCTGCGCTTGTACCGGTGTCCGGAGGATTGCTCAGCAATCGAAGTGAGGCGGCGAACCGTGTCCTTGAAGGCGGAACGCGAAGAGCTGCTGAACCAGCGGCTCTGATGCTGTCTGATGCGAGCAGCAGGGTGGAGTGGCTGTCGTGCAGAGCTACGGACCAAGACAGGCTCGAGTTCAGCGCGTGCCGACTGGGCTACCTTGCTCTGTACGATTTTCTGAACTTGTTTAGCGGCTGCTTTCCATGTCTTGACATGCCTCGTCAAGAGGCTATGCCAGTGGCCTGCTAGGGGCGGCATGATGGATGTGATTCGTCGAGCAGACGTGTGGGCGAGGGAGAAAGGTCGATGGACAGCGGCTGCCTAAGTAGTCATCAAAACGCGGGGAGGTGGCGCACGCGGGTGGCGACTTCCGGAGATAACGGGCCATCTGAAATCTTATCTCGGATGTCTGAGGGTCCTTACTTCATGTGCTGCATCTTCAGGCCATTCAATCGAGCAAAGGTTTCGTGTGTATTTACAAATCATGAACATAGCTTTTCTGCCCCATGCCATCCTTCTATTCCTGCCAACAGCAATCTTGCCCGAATACAACAGGGCGAAGTGCGGCCTGAAAAGGGAGATCCGATCAGAAGAGAAGAGAAAAGGAAAGGAAAGGCATCGAGAGAAGAAAAAATGAGAAGAGAAAGAAAAAGAAAAAGAAAACGAGGAAACCCATGACCGTGGAAGAATTAACCATGTCGGCGTGTGCAAAGAAAGCAATCAAAACCCATCTCCCGACCCATCCCTGCAGCTAAACGTTGCTTTTGGTGAAGCACAAAGATGCGCCTTTTTGCCCGCCCATGCTGGAAGATAATCTATCGCCGGCTTTTGTCCCATGCTTGAACCCACACCCCTAATAACGCCTGTAGCATATGTGACTTTTGAAAGAAAAAAACAATGATAATCGAAGTGGAAACGGATTTATGCCTCGAGCTCCGCCTTGAGGTCTGCATCGATCATGTCACCAAACTTCTTGCGGTTGGCGACATTGAACGAAGTGCTTCGCCATGACTCGCGAAGCTGGCTGAAAGCTACACGCTCACCAGCAGCCTTTTCGGACTGGAGAAGTTCAATGAAGTGACGTCCCACACGCTCGCGGATGGGGATCTGGCTGGCCAATGCCTCGCTATAGTACTTGATAAGGTTGGCAATGCCGGTAGAGTTGTGACGCTGAGCAGCGTCGGCAAAGGCGAGATGACGGAACTCAGCGTACATGCTCGAGTTGAAGTTGCGGATCAAAAAGTGTGACCAGAATTGGTAAAGAACGTCCATGTCATAAGGGCAAGTGCCTGTGGCTGCAACTTCACGCTGCGATAGGGCCTTGCTGCGAAGGTGACTGTACATCTCGTGTGTGGTGTCCTCGGGGAGCGTATCGACAGGTGAGTTCTGGTCCTTGACCCAGAACAGCGTCACTGCGGGACCATCGACTGCAACTGCCGCATCCCCATTGGTGGCAGCCTGCTGTTGGGGCTCGCTGGTCTGAGGCTTATTCTCCTGAACCTTTGTCTTTTGGACTTCCTCGTAGATGTTCTTCGAGTCGATGGATCCATCAGAGAAAGTTCTGGATCCTGTAGTGTGGTATGGAGCACGACGAGGAAGTTCCTCGTGTTTGCGGACGACAACAGTCAAGTTGTCGATTTGTGTGTTAGGGAAATTGTCTGGCTCACCACCCATGTCCTCGGCAGGAATGAAATAGCTGCCTAGAGGAGACAGACCATTCTCGCGGTGAGGCGACTTCGCTTGACGGCCTCTGAATTCCTCAAAGCCAGCGTTTTCAGCGAACTGTTCCATGCCGCCAGGGTAGAAAGGTGCAACCATTCCAATGTGTGGGACGGGAGGGCGCTCAAACGACACTGGGCCGTCATTCTGAGCAGAAACGTCACGCTCGGCCATGGGCAAAACCCACATCTCCCAGTCCCCGGCCTTTCGTAGACGATCCTTTCCATCCTGACCAGTGCGTAGCTCAATGTTTGGCGAGTTAAGACAGACATACTTCAAGAGTTCGTAGTCAGTGGTCAAAGACTTTAGTCTGTTGAAGTCAGCGACAAAGGTCAGGAAGACGAATCCCTGGGAGTCCATGTGCTTGCGGAAGAAAGTATCCTTGACCAGGTTATCCAAGGAGAAATAGTACTCGATCTGTTGTGAGATGGCAGGGACAAGGTACATTTGCTCTGCACCAGGTTGGTAAGCAGGGACAGGTGGCATGTATCCACCATAGTACTCAGGCATAAAGCCTTGGGGAACCATCATGGGGTAGCCAGGATGCTGACCACGGCCATAATCGAACGGAATAGATTGCGAGCGCATGCCTCCACGGAAGCCGCCACGACTCTGCTGAGGGTAATGACCGCCACGAGGAGGGAATGAAGGAGCTGCGGGAGTGAAATCGCCAGGGAAGCCATTGGTGTAGTTTTGAGAAGAGAAGTGGCCATTGGTAAGGCCACCACGGTGGCCACCTCTTCCGCGCTTGCCTGCCTTGGGCTCGCGGAACGATGGAGGGTTGTCGAAGGTACGCTCCTTGTTGGCAGTCTTTGCAGCCTCGGTGTGATTTCCGTTGAGAGCATCAGCGTTCACCGAAGCAGCAGATTGACGACGACCGGTCGTCTCGAACTTGCGAGGAGACTTGTTGCGACGAGCCGAAGGGTGACGCTTGGGAGCGCCGTTGGCGACAGGGGCTTCATGAGACACACCATTGGTCGAGGCATCCTTGGCCTCTTCGACTTTGACAGGCTTGGGTGGTGGAGGCATAGACTCGCGGTCTGCCTCGGCGTTTGCAGCAGCAATCTGCTCTTGGGTGGCATCTGCAGGTTTTGACGCAGGCTTTTCTCCGTTTTGGCCGTTCTGGAAAGTCGTGCGACCAGTGAGATTGCTTCCACCACGAGCGCCGCCACGAGTTGTGCGAGGAGCTCCCCTAGTGGGCAGAGCTGTCTCAAAGACAGCTGTAGGCACGTAAGGCATGTTAACCCATTCGGTCTTCTTGGTAACCGGTGCAGTGCTAGTCTCCTTCAACCCCTTCTCTTCTTGCATTTGTGTCTTCTTGCGCTCTTCTTCACGAGCGGTCTCCATGGTAGGCCAGGCAACGTCGCTGGTCGGTGGAAGAGCTGAAGCATTTGCGCGAGCTTTGGGCACCTCTGCGGTCTGACGCTGCTCACGATTTCTCGTGCTGGCGGCGACAGGCTTCTTTGCATCTGTGTTCTTCGCCTTCTCGGCTTTTCTCTCCTGCTTGCCGTTGGTGGCAGTGTGAGCCGGTGGTGTCGGCTTGGTGTGAGTCATGGTCGATGCTCTTTGCTGCCAGATGTTCACGGTCGGTGGAGGGGCATCGCGGAGCTTGGGCTTCTGTTGCTTGGGTGTCTCTCCTTTGGGCTCGGTTGCGTCGATCTTGGAATCGGTGCCCTCTGCTCTAGCTGGGCGATCTGAGTTTTGCGACTTGGTGTCCCATGTGGATTCGGAAGAGGCTCCGTTCGGCGTGGATGAGCCATCGTCGTTGTTGTTAGCAGATGTAACACTGGACGAGTCTCCTCCTGCATGGGCTTCGGCCTTTGAGTCGACTGAGAGACCATGGGCATCCTCAGCTACTGAGTTGGAGGACGGCGTTGCTGCGCCAGAGGCTTTTGCTGCAGAGCGGCCCTGGGCAGCTTGTGCGTATGAGAAAGACATGGCCGTAGAGTCAGAGATTTCTCTCGTCGTGTTCTGAGCTTGTCTTTGGGCCCGGTTGGGCGGTTCCAAAGAAAGTAGTTGAGAGCTGTCGCGCAGTCTCAACTTGTCCGGGAAGGTTCAAGGCCGACCTCCCCGCACGATACACACCAGGGCAATCTACTCAGGCTCGGACAAGGACAGGCGCAGGCTGACAAGGGACGTCAGTCGGGACTCTGGGTTGATGATGTTGGGCGACAGGCTCCAAATGCGACGCGGCACAGCAGGCGTTGGCTTCGCACACGTAGNAAGAGCTCGGTCGAAATTGGTTTGNNACGATTTCAGGCGGAGNNAAGACTTTGGAAGAGCGAGAGAAGAATACAACCAGACTCCAGACGAGGGCGAACAATCAGCGAGCCAGCTCCGTCACTNTTTTCGGGCCGCAGAAGCGAGTGCAAAAATCTACAGTCAGGCCGTCAGAGTAGTGGTTTGCAACTTTCGAGGCAGGCGTTTGTGCTTTTTCCGAGCCTAGTCGCGGTTGGCACAGACCTTCTGCTTCGGTGAGCGCGACAAGCCGATCCGAGCAAGACAGCGGCTGCTTTTCGTGAGGGGCAGACAGCGGCAGCGGCCGGCTCGTGAGCAGACGCCTGGTCAAGATGTGCAGAACGTCAACGAATAGGTATGTGGCAAGAGCGACAGGGCGGCGAGGCGTGAGCGCAGGGGCGACATTTCATTTTGTTGCTGCTGGCCTCGCACTGCAACTCTGTGTTTAGGCGGTCTCTCACCGCCCAGTGTGTTGCTCATCGGGTCCCAGGCTGCAGTATCGAACACACATCCCCGCCGCCGAACGATGGCTCGGCTGTCTTACTCACGTGCGTCGACGTGCGTCTTACATGCGTCTGTCGTATCGTTGGACGTGGTGGAAGCAAGGGTCGTTCATGGCTGATACGATCCGTTCTGCCACAATGATTGATACAGTGGTGTCTGAAAGAGCCATCATGTCTGGTAGGCCGTGTGGCTTATCAAATCAACACAGCCCTGAACTGGACCTCTCTACTTCCATCTATACCGACAATTCGTGGCCAAGCAAAGCTGCGTCTCGGCGACGCATGCTACTGTAACTTACACAGCGAGAGCGGGGTTTTGGGCTGATGTATTGCAGTCCATGCTGCCCCGGCCACATATACTAAAAGCACTTCTAGTTGTGCAGGCTGATTCTTCCAGCCGCAAGGCTTCCAAAAACCGCAGCCATGTCACTAGCCTCTAGTTTCTTCACCTCCTCCATCTGTCGTGTGCGTCTGCGAGCTGCAACCCCTCTATCATCAATCTCTCTGGTGTCTCCCAACGGTCCAAACGCCATGGTCTTGTGTATCGTCCATGGTGTGTCTCCATTAATGTACCAGATGAACCGTCTCCTCATCCCCTTGCCAAGCTCTTCTGCCGATGGGTTCATCGTCATGTCGAACCCGCCGAAGAGGTAGATCAAGTCAACCGCATGGTGAGCTCGGGACGAAGCCTGCCACGGATTCGCCTGGTCGAACAAGTACCTGTATACCGTCTTTCCTTTGTTTCTGTACTTCTCCATCATCAGCGGTATTGGGGATGCAAAACGCATGTCGTTCATGAAGTCCATTGCACCGTGTCTGCACTGTGGTGCTCGCGACTTGTTGATATGATATAATTCCTTCAGCTGATTGCTAGAAGGTCCGGCTTTGTCGAAACATTCTATGATCTGTTCTGCTGACATTGCTTCGACCCCGTTGCGCCAGAGGACTGACTCAAACTCGCAGTCTCCGATCACTAGCTCTTGGATGTTGCCCGTGTTGTTTTGCCAGTCTTCAAAGCACTCATCGTCCTGGAGAAACACAGACGGTATCGGTATCTCGGCCTGTGCTTCTAGTAGTGCTTGTACTGGGGCTTCCTCAAAAGACATGTATCCTTTGCCTTTCAAATTCGCGAGGACTGGATCAACAAGCATAGACTTTGCTCTGACCTCTGGCTGTGGTGACGACATGTGCAAAGATCCAGACATGAGAATACCACGCTTGACAGGAGCTCCACTTACGATCAATCCATGTACGAAAACAGCTCCCGCACTCTCTCCGGCAAGCGTCATCTCGTCTGGGTTGCCACCAAACCCAGTAATGTATTGGTGAATCCATTGAATGGCCAATTGCTGGTCCTTGAAGCCGAGGTTCTTGTTGCCGTTGCCATCTCCAACATGAAACATGTTCAACCTGTATTGTACAGATACCACAATCATAGGCTTCGAGTGGAGTGCTGACTCTGCCACAATCCTAGTCGTATCTCCAGCTTTGCTCGCGCCGTTTCCGAAACTGACGATTTGAGAGCCGCCATGGACCCAGACCATAACAGGCAGTCGTTCACTATTTGGTGTGTTTGCAGGAACAGTGATATCCAGATTCAAACATCGAAACTCGTCCTCGGTCTCGTCGTAGAAGATGTCGCCTTCGGGAGCTCGGAGAAGGTGACCAGTATCGTATTTGTTCTGAGGACACCTTGGTCCCCATCGTCGACAGTCCACTCTTTCTCCTTCCCAATTGGCCTTCAATGTTGGTTGTTCGAATCTCTTACTGATGGTTCCATATTGGACTCCACGGTACTGCGAACAAGAATTGGTATCCACGCCGACGAACGTAGCTTTCAATTCTTCGTGATGGAATTCCGGCATGATGATTCGTACGTTGTTCTGGTTACATTGGGGCAGGAGGTTGGTTGCTCCTATTTATATTGCTCCACATCCGGCAAGTGGGGGTGTGGGGCTGGTCGAAGATGAAACTTTAAAGTCTGATAGTGACCCTGCCCAACATTCTTCGACCTTTCACTCGTAACGACAAATGCTTCCTTGCCATGTCCCGAAGCGGACGCAGTGCGCTCTCCTAGTGTGCTAGTGTCTACAGGCGTTTTAGAAGAGCCGATATACTGTCGCCTCTCAGTGATACTGGCGTGTTCCGTACGACAATTGTGCATTGTTATAGCTACGGGTACACGCGTTACATACTTTGGCACAGAGGCGTACCTTTCCCTAGGACCTCGCACGACTCACAGATTCGATAGCAGCACAACTTCAAAGTACTTGCAACCCAACTCGTAATCAAGTACAAAAAAGTAGTGTCGTCGATACACGCAAGTTGTGCAAGCGTTGGTGCTTTGGTGCTACCAGCCTCCAACTTTCCAAGCGCGCGCAGATGATGTCACGACTATGAAACGACAAACCGTGAACAGACATCGACCTTACGACTCCCACCTGATCCAATCTATCAACATCATCAAAATTAACATGGAGCACTACAAACCTCATTCTGGCTCGACGTTCGAGGGTTACTACTCAAAATTCCGATTTCCATCCGGCGCACATTTGGCTNNTTTGATCATTTGCACAGTGCCAGAAGCTAACGAGCGACCACACAACATCACCTTCACATATGTACCGGAAGAAGATGTAACCAAATGTTTTCAACGCGAAATCTTTGTCGACGAACTGAAAATGATCAATGGAGAAGGCGACGTAGCGTTTGAGCAACATTGGAAGGGAGGCCACGTCAAGGTCTACAACGATTCGACGACTGAGTATTGCATTGATCATCTCGAAGACGAGGGCTTCAGCTTCAAGGGAAAGACGACTAGCCGCACACCATGGATGCCTGATATGGATACTCCAGAGGGCGCACTCGTCTACCTCCCTCTCCCTCTACATTGGCACGTGCACTCGGTAGCTTCAGACTGCGAGTTCGAGATGAAAATCAACAACTATGACCTACCTGAAGAGGACAAGAAGGGCGTTGCATCTGTCCATCAAGAAAAGAACTGGGCTAACAGCTTCCCTTCCGCTCACCACTGGGTTCAAGCTCGAGACGGCGACCGCGGTATCTGCATTGCCGGCGGCGAGATCCTCGGCATGGAGGCCTACCTCCTGGGCTATCACGCCAGCGATCCAAAATACAACATGACCTTCCGCCCACCTTTCGCCGTAAAAGCCGCTGGTATCGCCCCGTTCATGAGCGTCGAACACAGCTGGGACACACGTACCTTCGAACTCAGCATCCAAAGCTTTACAGAAAAGATTGTCGTGTCGGCGAGGGCCCCCATNGGTTCATTCTTCACTCTGAGCTCGCCATTCCCAGACGGCCACCGTCTCAATTTCTTGGCCGAGAGTTTCCGTGCCTCGATCAATGTCAAGGTGTATCACGCTGGCGTGCTGGGTCCTTGGGAGTTTGTGCACGAGGACAACTTTGAGAACGGCAGTCTCGAGTTTGGCGCTGGATACTACCCTCCTGCGGGTAAGGAGGATCGCTTCTACTGAGATAGTTTCTCTTGTGGTCATGGACCCGTTGTGTAACGAGCATTCTACCGTTTTCAGGTGGCCCGTTTTCAGGTGGCCCGTTTTCAGGTCGCATCGCGTAACGATGAATACATGTGCAAGCTTAAGTCGACAATCAATCAATATTGGAGGTATCGAACGCCGGTACAACCACCCAGACATGATTCTTACATCCAACGCGTATTCATTCGATCAGTTTCTCTCTGGCCATTTTTCGTTGTGAGTATTTGGTCGTTATTCAGACCAGGGTTGCACCTTCAACTACCATCTTGTAAGCCGGCATGCATATAACACGGCCGCACTCCATTGTATTGACTTATTAGCAAGGTTAAATCGGCTTTCAAGCTCACTCTTCTATATTTGTTGCCTTTATGTGCTGTAAAATGCTTGTTGTCAATAGTAAGACATGGTTTTATCTAAACTTGATTACAATTTAAGGATGCCAGTACTAGGGTGTACTATAAGCGCTTTGTTTTGTTGACTGACGGTAATTAATTGTGGCAAGAGATTTGTCTATAAAGATGGTCTTTCATGTAAGCATATACATTATCTATGAACTAGAACCCAATCCTCAATATATGAGTTTGATAGTCGATACGGTCGATAGCCATGAGCGCGGAAGATGCCAAGATCTTGGATGATGATAGGATATTGTATTTCTAAGCAAGTTGCTGTACATTAAATCAGCTGAGTGGCGCAGCGGAAGGTTCGTAAAATTCCTCACCCCACAACTTCTAAACTACCATACTAACTCAATACAGCGCGCCGGGCTCATAACCCGGAGGACCTTGGATCGAAACCAAGCTTAGCTATTCTTTTTGAACTTTTTGTTCTGACCGTGAGACATTGTTCCATTCGGGCTTTTTTTTTGCTCTGGTGCATGAGAGAACACAGAGTATATGACGATGGCTTTCAAAGACTGTATGTCAAGTCTAAACAAGAGAAAACTATTATCGCAGCACTGGGAAATATTTGAAAGTCGACAATAGATTTGTAGGTAAGGATAAAGATTTGTTTATCACACGGCAATGTTGCCTTTCTATGGAGATCATACTGAGAACAAACGCCTCCGCTATGCAAGTGCAGGCAACAAACAAACATTAGGGTTATCATCCAGCGCATCTATCTACATTAGGTGTATACGAGGACCATCACTCATGCGGGTTCTCATGATCATGTCCTTCTGCGTGCGAGAAATTCGAAGGCTGTGTGTCGGAAATGGACGGCATAGGTTCAGCACTTGCATCCCGCGAAGCAGAACCATGTGGCCCGGACGAAGACACACGAGTAGTGAAGCTTCGTCTGATGCTCTCGCCCCATGCCGAGGTATCCAAGACATCGAGGACATTCTGTGCATTGACGGAGCTAGTGGCGCGCGAACGACCACCCGCGCTGGGTGTACCGGCGACTGACAAAGTGCCAGCTCGGGGACGAGACTCTGGGCCTGAGGCGGACAGTGTTTGAGCACGACTTCGAGGACCGGCCCCAAGGCCCAAACCACCGTAGGCATCTAATGTGGCGTCGGGATCAAGGTGCTGTGGTGAGGGTGACGGTGATCTAGAACGATTGTGTCCATCAATGAGAGCTTCTGCGAAATGCCAGTCTTCAGGAATATCACGCATCTCGGAAGGTGACGAGTGTGAGACTGCTCGTGAACGCGTAGGTGAGGCCGATGGGGAGAGCTGGATAGAATCACTGCGGTTGCGTAAATTAGGTCGAGACGCTGTAGGGTCAATGCTTAATGCTGGAGTGCCGTGATCGCCTCCGAGAGTCCAGCTTGGAGTCTGGTGATCGATCGGTGTAGATGGGGCCGAGGGAGTTCTGTGGTCAGTGTTTGTAAAGTCCTCGCCGTCATCCTGAATGAAGATCTCAGGAACATCCAGTTGAGGTACCATGGTCATGCGTGCATCCTTCTTGGCTTCTAGTGCCTTTCTGAATCGACGGGCCCAATAAAGGGTATCGAAGAAACCGACGACAACGTTACGGCGTACAGCTTCTTCGACACGCTGTAAACGAGCGCGACGACGCAAGAACTCTTCGAGTCGCAGACTTTTGTTGTCGTTGATGACCTTGTAGTGGGCCAAAATCATCAAAAGTGAGTTGAACTCGACACCACGGTCAGGATCAGCCGAGACCAGTACTTCCTCGTAGAAGATGTTCATGCGCCTCCTGCGTCTTTGTATCTCAAGGACAGGAATTTCGGACAGGCGTTCGTTCAATTTTTCAAGATCGATTTCAGGACCATCCTTTGGACCGTCCATACCAAGAGGATGGGCACGGTGCGGTCGAGATGTGCAGTCGGCGATGATGTTACTGACTGTGAAGTCACCATCATAGATACGCATCTCAAAAACACCAGAGAGTTNCCTGTGAAGATTAGTATACACTGTAAGGATATAGGAATTGGATGGACTCACTCCTAACAAGCGGGGAAACTTCTCCTTCGAAATATATCCCGAGCCACTTGGATCGAATTCTGCCCAAGCCTGCTTGAACCTTCGAATCTCTTCTCTGCTGATGACGGACAATCCGCTGCTTCGTTGATAGACATACGAGAAACTCTCATAGATCAACGAGATGAACAAGTTCATGAACACGTACATGCTGAGGATGTTCCAAGAGATGAACAGAGCCATAGCCCATCCGTCACTACCACAGTCGCCATCGTAATAATGCTCACCGATTGTGCAATAGGGTGGGGTGACGGATGCAAAGTCCGCCATCACCTCATTCCAGCCTTCTCCAGAACTCATACGGAACAGCATAACCAGAGCTTTGGGCACTGTGCGGAAGTTTTGGTTGTCTGTTTCACCCTCGGCAAATCTAGTCAACCCGAAAGTTTGAGTGAAGGCAATGGCGAATACCAGAAAGAGGACAAACCAAGTCGCCAACAGGTTGGCGATTGAAGTCAGACTGGCAGCCGCGGTCTTGAAGAGTTGGTCCAGCTGATTGTTTCTAGGAATCAGAAGTAATGCGATCGATACAAGGAACAACTTGTGTACTTGGACGTAGTCTCTGTTCTTGAAGTTGGTCAGAAGCAAGATCAGCGTGATCAACGTGCCAGACACCGAAAACAACGAGTAAACATCCCAGGCACTTCTTCGGAATCGAGTCCAGGAAAGACCAACAATGCGGATGACGATGTTGACGATGTAAAAGAGGGTCAGCACCAGGAAAACATAGTATCGTGCTCTGTCCCAGCGATTGTTGTTTGGATACCATTCCAAACACAGCAAAAGCAGATGGAAAACGAGCACCACAGTGACGCTACGCTGCCATCTACCGTTCTTTGTCACTGCTCGACGATAGCACCACTCTCTCCAGGTCTCCCGCACCTCCTTAGATGAGGGTCTTTTGGAGGGTGAGATCTGTCTGAGCAATTTCCTCAATTCAAGCCATGATCGCTGTTCAGTTGTCAAGAAAGCCACTCCGGTTTGTTCCGTATAGTTGCGCATAAAGACACTAACAAAAAGCGTCAAGACGAAAACGGCACCAAGCAAATTGAAGGCGACGAAAAAGACGGCATTGCCTTGAGATGAGAAAGGATCGGGTTGTGTGAAAACACCAGTGATGGATTGGCCGCTCCACATGACGTCGATCCACCCTTCTTGTGAGACGATCTGGAAAAGGATGAACAGCGATGATCCGAAGTTATCGAAGTCGTAGTATGGATTGGCGACTTGACGTGGTGCAAGCACGTTCCAATCGTAGGGTGTACTGAGGTACTCGCCAGTACAGTCAGTAAGAGACGACGTGACACCATCACCGTCATTACACTCCATGAACCTTCCGTTGAAGAGATTCAAGCCGTATATGGCAAACGGAATGAGCAAACTCATCGAAACGAACGCTGCCGAGACAACTTTCCAACCACCCATGACGATAACAGAATGGAAGGTATCTCGAGCATTATCGCTGACGTTGAGTAATCGGAGGGCTCTCAAAGCTTTGAAGGCACCAACAGCTCTTGAACCACCACCTGGGTTATAGATCGTGGTGAAGATGTCAGTCCACAACGTGACCAAGACGATGCCATCAATAATGCCCCAAGAGCTGCGATAGTATGCGTTGGGTGTCCAATAAAACCCGTCCGCAATGACTCGAATGACAGACTCGATGGTAAACAGAGTTGCAAAGCCCATGTCGGTGTATACAAACCAATTCAGGGCTTTAAAGTCGTGAGTTCTGAAATACTCCTTCTGGTACAAAGGTGTAGTAACGCAGGCCAAGAGCACCATTGCTACGATGGCTGCGTAGATGAATGCCGAGAAACCATACCAGATGGGTCTGGAGGGCGCGACGCCCTCTATGCGATCACCACCACGACCTGGACCCACAATTCTCTGACACAATCTTCTGACAGGATTGTTGACCCTGAAGATGAAGAGCGAGACGTTGTAATTGGGATACTTCCTCAAAAATTCGCGTTGAGCCCTCTTGACCCTCTCATTCGCTGCTACGACCTCTTTGACCATCTGACGAGTGTCCACTTCCTCGTGAGCTTTCTGAAGCTCTAAGTTCGAGTAGAATGGGTTGGGCTCGCGATTGAAGAGGCGGTTGAGCAGTTGCTCCCAGCGCTGAGCCAAAATACCTGATTTGACGGGTGGATTGTTGTTAGGTATGCTTTCGGATGCACCAGGGGCACTCGCATCTGGACCAACGTCGTGATCATCAAGAAAGTCGCGAACCACTGCATCCTTGAGAAGCATTTCTGTTTGTGCTGAGCCATAATCGAGAGGATCTTGTCGGCGGACTTGACCGAGCTTGAAGATCGTCGACAATGACAGTGAACCCTGACTACCGGACGTCGCGTTGACTTGCCTCTTTGCAAGGAAGGCCTTGACCTGCTGCAGGCGCTTTTCGTCTTCTGAAACATCGAAGTTTTCTTGGATGACGGCGATAAACATGTTCAAGACGAGGACTTGGAAAGTTAGCAGGGTATAAACACAACTCAATCCGGAAGACTCAGACTTACAGTTCGCTAGAATGAACCACATGATACAGAATGCCGCACCAATCCAACCGTTGTTGTAAGCGACATTATACGAAGTAACGTTGTACATGATATCCGTCCAATTCTCACTTGAGAAGATCTGATACATGCCCAAAAAAGCATTGTATATGTCAAAGAACGGAACCTCGATTGCTTCGCCTTCGTCGTTTTCTTGTGGAATCTGTCCACGGAAGATCTGTGTCGCGAATATTGCAGCGAGGAAGCACAGTAGCATAACGAACATGATCAAGTTGGTCAAACCCGAGAAGTCGCCTAACACAGTGAGCTGCGAAGCATGTTAGTCAACTGTGGGCCTGGGATTGCATGAAGAAATACGTACAATCAGCGTGCGTGTGATTTCGACTGCGAGAACGACACGGTAGATTCTTATGATTTGGAAGACCGTCAACCACGCATATGGCTGCCCAGAGTGTTTTATGACCGGGATTTGAATGACTGTGGTTGTGATGGCCAATGCAAGATCCACGAGGTTGCGCTTGCTTTTGTGAAACCGACGCCAGTCCGCCATGAATCGGAGAATGATCTCGATGTCCAGGGCTATGGTCACACCTAGTTCTGAAGANNGCCTTAAACAATATCAGCGTATATCAAACAACAATAGAGGGATGAACTTACTGAGGAAAGCCGCCCGGCTTGGGCTCATATATGCACTGCGCAGACATTGTACAATCAAGCCGTATGTGATAACAGCAATCCAGATCCATCGTGTATTATTGACGAATTGTTCCAATGTGCTCGTCTTCTGTTTGAAGCCATCACTTCCCTCTTCTGTTTCTAGATGCTTGACGTGCTCTTGCGCTGTAAAGGCACTGGCTTTGCTCTCGTCTCGGATTACCTGGAATGAAGATGTAATGACGGCGATCAGCAAGTTGACGAGCCAAAGCGGGAAGACTATAATTCCTGCAGCGAAGAATATACCAGCAGATAGATAGTCGCTGTCAGCAAGATAATAGAGTAGATCTGAGAACGTGTTGGAGGACATGACGACAAACACCATCTCGAGCGACTGAAAAATGTTGTCAAAACTGACAGTGCCGTTGTAGGGGTTGTCACCTTCGATGCAGACGGAGTTGACAGGGCAAAAGAAACCTTTAGCATCGTCTGCACCGGGTGAACCGTCTTGATGTATCCAGGGCATTGCCGTTTGATTGGATAAGAGATAGCCACCACAAAATTGCATCGATTGTGTATATGTCTCTGAGGTATCATCGGGATTGGTCCAGACACAAGTACGGCGAAGACTGGACTTGAAGCTTTGAACTCCAATGATCGCAAACAACAGCCAGAAGAAACCAGTCAAGAAGGCGACGTTGAGCAGAGTCGGGGCAGCCTTCTTCAAACTCCGCAAGATAACCAAAGTGCCACTAGTGATACCCAAAAGACGCACGATTCGAAGACAACTTAACATGCGGAATACAAAGACGTGCTTTTGGGACTCGACGCCAAAGATGCCAATGGCAAAGCTGATCCAGAATGCGCAGACCGCAAGGAAGTCGAGTCGGTTGAAAGAATGACGCAAAAATGCTCGAAACGCTAGTCGCTGCAGCTGAGCTTGTTTCGAGCNCCCTGGTACTTCCATCATAGTGTTTGTGGTAAAGCTACGCAGGATTCCAGGTTGAGGCCCTGCTGTTACTGGTGGAAGGGGATTCAGGTTCCTGACAGAAGGCTTGCGGTGTAGAGCAAACATGTCGTTTGCCTTCTTCATGACGGCAGTCCGGAGACCAACCTTGCGGTCGATGGTGCTGTACTCGATGGGATTGACGATGAATCCAGATACAATGACTCGAATCATGATCTCGACGGTGTAGATGCTAAATAAGGCAAGCAATGCGATGTCAATCCATGTAGTCCCAAACCGCTGAGATCGTGGATCATTATTGACATTATTGCGTGCTTCGACAGCAAGCAAGATTGTTTGAAAGACAATGAGCACGAGGATAAAAGGTTCGGTAAAGGGATGAAGCAGAAAGTCAGCCAACTTCAGACGCAATTTGCTATCCGGTGGGAAAATGCCTAGCGATTTGCCACGGAAAGGATTTGGTCCAGGAGTGTGTGGCTCAAGCTGATCGGCTGGACGAAGCATAGGCGAAGGCATTTTCTCGCTGACAGGTGAGCGGGGAGTCCCATCGTTGGCAAAGTCAGGAGCTTCGGAAATACGAGAAGAACGACCCACAGACGACTTGCGTCTAATCATACGCTCGGCAACTTCGGGCTCGTTACTCAGGTTGACCACACGCATCGACATCTTGCGCATCATGTCTCCTGCTCGGTGAAATGGAGAGTCTCCCATGGGTGACAGTGAGCGACGACTGTCTACAGGAGAGCGACTATGACCATCGGGAGAACGACTCCAACGACCAGAAGGACTCAGATTGCCAGACTCGACATCAGGATTGTTGGAGTGCGAGACAGATGGCGACAAGAAGCGGATACTTTGGAAACTGCCGCGTTCGTTGCGTTGTGGTGAGTGAGCGTCGAGGCGGCTCATGTCTGTCAGGGGTACCGTGTCCATATCCTCCTCATGTGGAAAGAAGCCAGTTGGATCGTCGGGCTCTTCGTCGTAAGGCGATGCGTCGACAGTGCGGAGACTAAGGTCACTGCCCAATCGACCGTGGCCCGAGTGCAACGAAGGACGGGCAGGAGCGCCTATACTAAGGCCAGCGAAGCCCATAGCCTGTTGGAAACTGCTCCCTTCATGTGGAGACAGCGGTGTGCGCTCGTCTTCATCTTGACCGTCGTCGACCCGTGTTCGATGGCCAGTGGGCGACGTCACATATGCAAGAGGTGACAAGTTGCTATCGATCTGCGGCGGACTGGGAGGATCCTCGGAAATTGGCGAGTAAGCGCGTGCATTAGGAGGTGGTGGGTTTCTGCCAGGGCTGTGTGACAAGAGCGAGTCTCTATTGCGCCGGAATAAGCTACGTCCACGGTCGCTCAAGGTACGGCGATGCGAAGCCTGGGCAGATGGGGATGGCGGTTCCTGAGAGATGGGAGCATGTTGAGCGGGGCCCAGGTCTTGCAGCTGGATCGAGTTCTGCGGAGTCGACTGGTTACGACGGTGCCGCCGACTGTTGATTGTGGGCGAGTCGTCGGCCATTGCCTCAGCGCAGTGTCGTGGGCTGCTCCTTCTGCATTGGTTGTCCTAATTATGTGCGCTGCTCTTTCTTGTACTTTAGGTTCGTGCCTTAACGGGTGAGTACACTGTATTTTCCAGGTGGGATGGGAAATTGAACGAGGGGTATGTCGAGGGGGAACAATAAGTCTGAGAGCTACAGCACGGTATCTAGTTGGGAGGGAGATGAGAGTGAAAAAGGACAATAACGCGATAAGAATGAGGGTACGCAACACTCTGATATCCGTATCCACATGCTGATGCGCGTCCCCTTCCCAAACTCGTTTCGCCTTGCCAGGGATACGCTAGACAAGCCACCGGCCAAGCTCTCCGAATCGCTATAAAAAGCATCAGCCCTGCGCTTCAGCCTCGCACCACTCAGGTCCTCAGCCACACCTCTGCTTTTCCTAATCGTCTCACTGCATAGTCCTAACATCTTGCGACCTGAGGTTGGGTCAAAATTGGGGGTTTGTTCTTGTAAAGTCATGAAGAATCTGCTTGTAATCGAAGATTCTTTTGAATGCTCTATTTCCTTTTCAATCAAAGCTAGAAATGAGGCAATAGCATAAAGAGCGAATCCCAGGAGACAGACAGCAAGACTGACCAGCAGTCCATTCGTGCCATGTCAGAAACGCATACCCACCAGTGAAGCGAACGACGAAGCCATGTTCGACACCTTAACACCAACGCTGAAGTAAACCATATAATGCAAAGCAATGCCGCTCAAAAGAATTGGTTCGCCACAACCTCTAATGGTGAGCGAATTGTTGTTGAACAGCATGGAGGTCATGCTACAATCTCTCGTTGCGAGCATGTTGCTCGGCTTCACGAAGTCTGCGCGCAAGGAACGTCTCGGTGCGTCTTGCAGCTGGATTGGAGAGCAATCCCGAGCCACTAGGCGAGGTCGACCGTGAGAGAGGAGGTGTTTCCACTCTGCGCAACTGTCCAATGTTTTGTCTAGCTGTGCTGCCAAAATAGCGCATGGTTGAAGCGGCGACTTGACGAGAGCGCTCACGGATGTCCGAATCGAACTGCGAAGGACGTTGGGCAGGAGCTTCGTCTCCATTGTCGTTGTCATTATTCTCATCCTCTTGACTCACACTACTGTGGTGACGCATCCAACGTGCACCCTCTGGCGACATGCGGCGCAGAAGCCGAATCTGAGCTCGACCTTCGGCAGTTTGCATGGCAAAATCGTACAACAAAGCTTCGACGGCGCGACGGTCGTCATTGTGAGGCTCGTTAGAGCTGGAGTCCTCGGCCAGAGCGTCAGCTAGAGCATCCGCTTGGGCTTCTGTACGCGCAAATGAAGCTGAGATTCCTCTCGAAGCAAAACTGGAGTCGGTCGAAGGCAGCGAGTCGTCAGGGGTAATGGTCGAGCCAATGACATGCCAGGCATCTGCAATGGGCGATGGACTGCGATTGCGATCGCCCAGACCGTCTTCGGGAGAGACAGGGCGGTGGGCGAAGCTCAACGGATGTGGTGATGACTGTGAGGTGCGCAGCAGGACAAGGCGAGATGAAGCGGCAGACTCTGATGTGTCCAAAGGAGGGGACGGTAGACTCGAGGAAACACCGTTGCGTGATTGTGGACGGTCGCGTTCAAGAGGCGGAGGCAGGAAGCTACTCCGTTGTGAGCGTCGTTGACTTGAGTCGGAATGCTGTTGCGATGGGTTGTCGTCGCCGAGGTAGTAGGCCAGGTCGAAATGACGGTCGCCCGAGGGTGCATGGCGAGGAGCCTCAGGTACAGGTGGTGGATGGCCAATGCGATGGATGCTGGTCGGACGAGAAGCACGAAGACGGCGGATGGGCGAGCGAGATGTGGCAGTACCGTCGTTCTTAACTCGAGAGATGGCCGCTGGACTGTTATTGCTGCTGCTGCGTGATTCCTCGGGATTGCGCCATACTCTGTCAGAGCTCGTCAGCAATCTGCTTCGTGGAGTGTAATTCAAATCCAGTCTACGATAAAGAAGTCCGCTTCTTTCACGCCTGACAGGCAGCCGTCGAAGCCATTGTGACGCGCAAGCCAGTCTAGAAGACAAGCTCGACTGATTATGGCTCAGGGTTCGGAGCGTCTCAGTAGGTTGTGGCAGTCTAGGTTCGACTTGCTGTGCTGCGATGGCCAGCAAAGATGCTTGTTGTCTAAGGACATGGATATGAGAGCTCGTTTGAGGTACGAGCGGGCTTCAATGTGGAAGCGCGTCCTGGCGCGTCGCCTTCCATCAAGCCTCGACAATACAGGTTCTGGCAGCACACTTACGGAAGACCCATGATGATACAAGACTTGGTCGCAAAGCTTGCGCGATTCAGACGATATGACTTGGTTCAATATAGAGGTAGTGTGGCGTGTATCGCGACGGACGGGACAATAATTATGTTTATGAGCGAGCTACATCTCACCTCCGCGTTCTCTCGAGGGGTTCGTGGCCTCGGCGCCAACTGTTTCTCCACGTTCTTGGCATCTTTGATGTTCGCTAGCCAGTTTTAAATGTTCTTGAAAGCAGACATGCCAACCGTCGCTTTGCCGTTGCCATCAACCAGCAGGTTGTCCTCACAGCTCGATCCCAGTCCTGCGTTGCCCAAGAAAGCTGGCTCCCAGTAGTAAAGACCGGCTCCACCGCTTACACCAGCCACAATCTTTCCAACAGCTTCGATCCATTCCTCCTGCCCAGCCGACGAGAAGGGGATGTAGGTAGCATCAGAAGGGAACTTGTACGCAGGTTTGCTGCACTTTGCAGGCCAATTGGTCTCTGCAACGACCAATTTCTTGCCATATGTAGATGCAAGTTGCTGCAGCGAGTACTTCAAGCTACCAAGGTATGCCTTCTCATTGTAGAAGGGATAGTAGCTAACACCAATCATGTCAAAGTCGCTCGACTTGAGAGGTCCTTGGCCAAGAATGTTCTTGTACCACCAGAGCTGAGTGCCAGAGTCCCAGCCGTTGTCGAGGTGGATCATGATTTGAGGCTTCTTGGAGAGCTTGGAGTCTTTGATGGCAGAGGAAGCAGAGTGAAGAATATCGGCAATGTTGTAGTAAGAGCTTGTGCCTCCCAAAGGCCACAACAGACCAGCTCTGATCTCGTTACCGATCGATACAATGGCGGGGTTGATACCTTCAGCTGCATAGCGGTTGCATACTGCCAATGTGTAGTTGTATACTGTCCACTTGAGCTGACCGATGGTGCTGTCATCCCACTTGGCTGGAGTTGTCTGATGAGAGGGATCCGCCCAGGTGTCTGAGTAGTGGAAGTCGAGGTAGACGCTCATGCCTTGGTTGACAACACGCTTGGAGAGCTTGACGTTATAGTCGAGGTTGTAGTTGCCGTCGGTAGGGTTGACCCAGACTCTTTGGCGGACTGAATTGGCTCCAGACTGCTTGAGAATNNAGCTAATGAACTTGGGTCAGCCCGGAGCCTTCACAGTATAGTGCATCACCGACATACATTCAAGAGGCTGAGTGACCCCGGCAGTCGTTTTGAAGGTCTTTCCTTGATTCTCGAGCATTATGAGAGAGCTGATATCAGCTCCNNCTAACATCATGTTAGTAAAAGGGCTTGAATTTGGTTGTGAACCACCTGCCTTGTAAGTGAGTGCGCCATACGTGACGTTGGACAGGACTGCCGCAACGGCAAGTAGACTTGATCGCAACATGATGTCTGGGAGATCGAAACAGCAAAAGTAGAAACAAAACTGGAATAGAAGAAGGGTACAACTCCTTATAACGTCTTAGTCTACGCTAGAGGTCATGCTTCGCAACCGCATGATTCCCTTAATATACAGGAAGCAACACTTGCTTGCTTGAAACGAACGGCTACATCGTCGCTTACACGGTATTCAGCCCTGAACCGACATCAGCAAAGTTTACTCACCTTCCTTATGAAACTTCAAGTCGAAGCATTTTTGCAGTTGGTAGATCTCTGGATGCAGAAGCCCTACGAACTGTCCTTGCCCATTGGTAGTGTTGACGAACCCATAAACCAAGCCGGGACATGAAACCTCATGTCTTCGAAACACAGTGGTCGATGGCAAACAGGGATAATATTCAGCCTAGTATACTGTAGCATTCGCTTCTGGTCATTGGTGGAACTCTGTTGCACATGTGGTGTGGCTTTGTCGATCCGGGGACAGCGTTTCAGAAGTCGACATCGCTTGTGGTTCCTCGCTCTTCTTGTTTGTGACATGATAGCCAACAGATTTAATGAACATCAGCAGAAACTGTTGGTCTATAGTAAAGGCTGTATTCCTGCACGACAAGGAAAGCCTTGAGGTATTGCCAATTTTTAGATTTGTCGCGCGCGGCTTCCTTTTCGACCTCATTTAGACTCACAATCACATAGGCAGCCAAGCAAATCGTAGATATCAAAACTTGTTCATTAATTCGTTCTAAAAGGTGGTATATGTACAATAGAAACAAACAATTTTCACCTCCTCGACTTAGGAGCATGGCATCTACTCAATCTTGATGCCGACCTTGCCAAAGTGCTTCTGGTCCCACTGGAACTGGTAAGCCTCCTTGAGCTGGTCGAGAGTGAAGATGTTCTCGTCAATGACAGGCTTGATGTTGTTGGCCTCGATGGCGGCGTTCATCTCCTCGAACTGCTGTCTGCTGCCGACGTAGAGACCGCGGACAGTGCAGATGTTGACGAGGGCGTCGAGAAGAGTGGGCTGCTGGTCGTTGGTGCCGCCGATGAAACCAATGATGGAGATGACACCCTCGAGGCAGATGGCCTTGAGAGACTGCTGCAGAGTGTTGGGGCCACCGACCTCGATGATGTGGTTGACACCGACACCGCCGGTAATCTTCTTGGCGGTCTCGCCCCAGTTGGGGTCCTCCTTGTAGTTGATAACGTGGTCGGCACCGAGAGCCTTGAGCTTCTCACCCTTTTCCTTGGAAGAAGTGGTGGCAATAACACGGGCACCAGCAGCTTTGGCGAACTGGACAGCGAAGATGGACACACCACCAGTACCCTGGGTCAATACCCAGTTTCCGGGGGTCAGGCGCTTACCCTCTAGACCGTAGAGACCGTTCCAAGCGGTCAGACCAGCGCAGGTAAGGGAAGCACCCTCGACGAAGTTAAGGTTGCTGGGAAGATGGACGAGACCTTGCTCGTCGTAGACGCCGTATTGTTGGAGAGATCCATCGATGACACCACCAGCTCCGGTAGCAATAGACTTGTTGTCCAGAGGACCAGCAAGATGGCCTTGGTTGAAAAGCAGAATGACCTTGTCGCCGGCCTTGAAGCGTTGCACTTGCTTGCCAACAGCCTCAACAACACCAGCACCATCAGATCCGGGGACGACGTTGTCCTCCTGAGGGAATGGGTAACCACCAGCAGCAATGATTAAATCACGGTAGTTGAGCGAAGCACCGTGGACTGTTCAGCAAGTTATTAGTACTATATCGCATATGCTTGAATCAGGGCAAGACTTACACTTGACAAGAACGTCCTTGTCACCAACCTCGGGCACAGGAGCTTCCTTGTTGAACTTCAAGTTGTCGAAAGATCCAGTACCCTGGACTCTCCACTGCTTTTGGGTAGAAGGTGCCATTGCGATGGTTGTGTGGGATTGGTAAGATCGAAGAAAGTGGGTATCAAGTAGGATGCAAAGATAGAGCTGGAATATGAAAGTCAATTGATAGGTGCCGTACTCGGCCTTTTATATATCAACCAACGAGATGGTCGAAGAAAAACATAGAAAGCAATGACGTTCATAGCTTGCGGGGTGGAAGCATCAAAGCTTCTAGAACCGAGACTGGCACCGCTGGTTTGTAATCGCCGCTCCAAGTTCGGAGGTCTCGAGATGAGGAGGCCTTGATTACGAGTACAAGATGGATCATCTCAGGTCTTCTCCAGGTCTTGTTTGGCGAGCACCTTGATGCTCTACCACGGGTCTTACCAAGAGCATTTACGGTGTACTTTGAGTGCAATGGTAGTGGTATGGACGTGACCTGTGAGCAGATGTCAAAAAGTTGACGGCAACTTTAACCGAGAAGCCTGTTCTGAGCTGACTGCACCTGTCGCACGCCTCTAACGGTTGCTAGGACAGAACAACAGCACGCCTGTCCGTTCACCAAATACGCCGAGACAAGCAATTGCTTGGAGACGGTCTTCGATTTCTAAGCATCGCCAGCAACTTCTCAAAAAGCGCCGATTCAAGCAACATGTGTGATGAGGTTTAGCAAATTTCCTCCAGAGATTGGTCATAGCTTCCAGCCCTCCAAATCGCCTACCACAGTCGTTTCCAGCAACCATCGATGGCCATGCTCACCTTCCTCAAAATCTTCTCTCCACCGAACAGGGGGCCGAACATCTTCAGCCTCTCAGCTTCGTCCATCATTACAAATGCAGGCAAGCCGTAACATTGCTCAGTTGAGTGGGCAGGTATGGGATCGGGTGCTTTTAGGTTGATCAAAACCGCCTGAGCCGCAAACGCGTCCATGCCTGCCTTTCTGAGAAACAGTTCCCACGAAGTTTCATCTTGTAACAGTTGTACCTCCGGATCGTCGAGACCAAAGCGGACCATACATGCAACGATCCAAGTCGCCAATACTGGCTCATGTCCAGGAATGTACATAACCTGGATATCATGACTTTGCGCAGCGCAGAAGTTGATGAGAGACACAAGTTCGCCAGATTCGCGGCTGTCCAATGGACGTTGTTGGTCGCTACTCCGATCTTCGTGCACCATAATTATGAGACGCTCGTATCGACGCGCAAGTTGTACAACCCGTTCACGGATAACATTACGAATGACTTCGCCCGGCAAGCTCTTTTGCATGACTTTTTGCAAAGTGGTCAGCATGAGTCCATGTCCAGGTGCCAGAATTATATCTGCTTCGTCGGCTTCCGAGGTCTGGGATGACAATCCACGCAACACGCGAGCCGACGAGAAATCGCGTTCGATATACTCGGCCATCGGGTTCAGACGTTCAATCTCCTTTACTAAGGTCCGTCTTGCAAACATGGTTGAGGACAAGACGAAAGTACGTGGTGGCATGGGCGTAGGTAAGGATGGAAGGTGTACCGGGGTAAAACTTGTCACTTTTTCCAGGCCGTCATTTCCTCCTGCAAAAGCTGCAGGGTTATTGCTGAGCTTGTCGACATTGTTGGGTACAGCCTGGGCCTGTGGTCTTATATTCTCTATGCGCATCTTCTTGCCAGTGTGAATTTGCATGAAGCGATCCAAACAATTGCTCACTGAGAACGCGCTAGGTGCCAAAGATTGAGTTGCTAACGAAATCTCACGGGGCTGCGGACCATCTGTTTTGTCCCCGCTCATCTTTGGTATAGAGAAGAAAGACGGTCGAGGCTGCAAAGTCGATGCGAGTCGGAGGCCTTCAGTTCTACTGGTTGCGTTAGTTGCTAGCACGTCATCCATGAGGTCGAGATCGTGAAGAGTTGTTGACAAGTCCGTAGCCTCAATCTCTTCATCGTCACCTTCGCATGGGTCCAAGATTCTCAGACCGTCTAGTTTCCACCCAGACGTTGTGTCTTGAGGCTCCACGGCACTGAAATCGCCCAGATAATCGCATTCAATCTTCTCTTGAGGCAAATCAATCAGCCGCATGTCGAGAGGTCGCCAACGCGACATGGCCCTATTGACATCACCGACACCAGGCCAGTATTCACGGGGTCTGATTGTTCCCTGCTTTAGCATGGATATTAACTGCTGCTGAGCCTCAAGTTCTGTCTGACAGCTTAGCTGTCTGCGAGCGAAGAGTTTCCATGGTGGCAGAGGGCCTGTCTGATCGATGGCGGGCACTTCTGCTCTCAGCATCGAGTCTGCCTGTGTCAATTGTTCGTTATTGATGGCAAGACGCGCAGACTCTGCACCAGGCTTGATGACCTGTTCAAAGAAGTTGCAGAATTCATATATACCGTTTGATTCCTCCGATGGAAACGGTTTGGCATATTCAGGTATTGTAGTACACAGTTCATCTGAGAAGGTAACCATCTTTAGTTTCTTCAGTGGGGACGAGGACTGTAAGGCTGGCAACAGTGGGCTTTCCATCTTGTAATCCTCAGGCTGTTTGCGTTTCAATGGTGAGCTAGTATACAGCTCGCTGGCAGCCTCGATGTCGAATGCTGAGATGTCTGAAAGCCCGTCTAAGGAGAATTCGTCGTCAATCTCCATGGCAGACTCGATCCTCACGAGTTCAGTCGAAACAGGATCAATGGGACTGGTCGCCAATGGCATGCGGCTGACAGGTGAATCCGGAACGCTGAATTGGAATGGCGATGAACACGGCAAAAGTGGTGATATATGTCTCGCATTCTCATACTCTTTCTGTGCCTAATTCTGTCAGATCGGATTTTGTCAGCACAATACAGTACTCACCTTCTTGTATGATGGTGCGTCAAGCTCTTGTATGTCGGGCTTCTCGGTGATCGAGACACATTGCTGCAAGAAGAGTATGTCGTTCTTGTTAAGCTGCAATTTCTCTTGCTTAATCTGTTCAATCAATGCTGATGGCAAGTTAGGATCTGGCCAGTATAGCGATGCTTGTCCATCATCCTGCCACAAAGCTTTTGGCGATGCTTGTTGCGAGCCCTTGTGTTCTCTTGAGTGCCTTGCTCGCATGAACCGTCGCTGCTCAAGGTCTGGATCTGTCGGCAACAATAGCGGCTCGATCTGGAACTCAGAAGATCTGTTTCTTGAACGTGTAATTTCAGGAAACGTTACGACTTCGATCGATGCGATCTGCCTGAGGAACAAGGCGCTTTGGTGGTCAATGGTCCATTTCTCATCGAGGTCGAGTTCATTTGGAAGCTTGAACTCAGGGAGTTGTTTGAGACCGAGATCAGATCCTTCCCAACTTGGAATTGAGCGAAGAATGTGAGGTGATAAAGGGTAGAAGGAGGTGTAGTCTTTGCTCAGGCCATAATATCTTGCGTAGTCGATGACGGAGACATCTTCATCGTTGGCATCGGATAAAGTGCCGCTGGTCTGACCCATCGTATCGCAGTATTCGGATCCCAGGATAGTNNTGGAGGATGAGTCCATCTGGTAAAATGCAAAGAATGATGTGAAGAGTGTTGAGTGGAAGGTGGCGGATGGGCGTTACGAGGTGCGCATCATGAGCGTGATGGTTGAGAAGGAAGGTGCGATTGTACGCAATTCCTTTCTTGAAAGTCGACGTTTATGTAGTCTACTCTGTTTCCTCGAGGCAAGCACGAGCCACGAGACGCGAGACGGCAAGAAGGGAGTTGCCCGGACTTAGTCAGGGTCACTTGTGAAGCATGTGCAATTTTGTTCTAGGAAGCGGTCAGGATAATTGGTCGATGCGAGTCTACTACGGCCGACATCAACGAGAATCCGAGTCGACTTGTACAGCAATTAGGCACTGGTGCTTGACTTGGATACGCTAGAGAAATCAAAAAGATGCAAAGGGTACACAAAGGGGTATGACTACGGACAGGCCTCGAATCAAGACAAATACTAACACAAGGTATGGTAACTACTTCACAGAGCAACATCGTCAAACTCGCTTGGTGCTTTTGTCGATGGTTCCTCCTCGTGAGGTATACCGATAGCCTTGAGATTGTTGACTGAGAGAGGCTCTGTAGGGGCTTCCTCCTTTTCTGCAGTAGCCTTTGGAAAGGGGAAGGTTCTTCGGGTGGTGCAGAGATGACTGGCTCTTTGGATGTTGGCTCTGCAGACTTNCTCTTCTAAGCTACTTGGGAGGTTGCGGAAAGGAAGATCGGACACGGGAGCAGGCTTTTGTTGGGTAGCGTTAGGTCGAGCATCAGACTGTTGAGGTTCAAGCACAGGGGCTTCCTTGGGTGGTGTGAGAGGAGCGGCGTCGGGAGAGTCATCCTTTGGTGGAGGTACAGGAACGGACTCGGGCTGAGAAGTAGGAATATCTGGATTGTGGGTTTGCTCAGGGGTCGGTGGTGTGTGCTCGATACGAGGACTGGCGAGTGGCGGATTGACCCTGAGTTGTTGTTGCTGAAGCTGAAGGTGTTGTTGCGAGGGCTGCGGTTGTGCTGCGGGTTGTGCTTGAGTCGAAGGACGTCTTGAGTCGGGATTGACATTGGGCGAAGGCAAGGGCTGACTAGTGGGACCGATGTTTCGCAGCTTGGGGTCAGCGTCGAGGTAGTAAGCGCGGACACCAACTATGCGTCCTTCGCGCTCACAGCCCTTCAGCCAGTCGGGAACAACGACGGGCACGTTCATATCACCAGCCTTCTCCCATGCTTGACCACGGCCCTCGGTGCAGACAAAGTGGGTTGTGTCAATGCGCAAGGTATCAATCATCTTCGCGCCAATGCGATCAACGGTGGCCTGCAGGTCTTCGCGCAGCTGCTGGGGCATGATACCAGGAGTGATGGTGATGCCGGTCAGATCGGTCATCTTATGGGTGCGGACAGTCAGGCGATCGCTGGTGTAGGTGCCGGCCGAAGTGCGCAGGACAAGGTGGAAGGTGTATTCGCTGTCGACGGCCAGGCCCGAGATCTTTGTGCTCAGCTTGTCGCGGGGGATGTTGCCGGCCTTGCTGCCATTGCGGTACAGGCTCAGGCTGCGCAGTTCTGCCGTGGCTAGCTGGACAGGGTCCCACTCGAGCACGACTGAGGTTTGTGTGGCATTGCGACAGCGTAGGACAGGGGCAGAGGGCGAGTGGATGCCGAAGGTCGAGTAGATGTCTTCCTGGAGAGCGTCGAACTTTTGGACAGCCGTGTCTTCGGCGGCTTCGTTGCGTGCTACGTTGATGTCGACGATTGAACCGGATGTGATGTCGGCGGGCAGCAGGATGGACGGAAACTCGATCTGTCGTGCACATTAGTCTCGGTCACCTTCTCCGCTTGAGCCAGTGCCAAGTGCTCATACCAATCGCTTGTCCTCGGTGAGCAGGACAGCCACACCGGCGTCGACCTTGCCCACGGTCAGTGACACGAGCATTTTTGGGTTATGTTGGTTGTCGTCGACCGTCTGCTATACCCGCGTGTTGATGTTTCGCTGGCCTCAAGGGTCCAAGCGCGTTCCTTGAGCGCGTCGTCATCAATTGCCATCTCTGCCCAAGTACAACCACGACCACCGACTTTGCTTTCCATCTAGATACACACTCTACAACCCGCATTCCTCTCCCTCTATCCCAGCTCTCCATGGTTCATATTTGTTCTGCCTACTGATGTCGGCTACGCATGCCACTGCTGCATCCACGACCCTGCACGACGCCATCGAGCACGCCTAGAAAGCACCAACATGGTTGATCATTTGACCAAAGTTTCCTGCATCGTCGCTCACTCAAGCCATCGCATACTCAATCATGTCTAGGTACATTTCCAGTGACGACAGCTAGGACATTGCAACCATCTCCTATACGAGTCTGCCAAAGTGCTCCACCAACCTACGTCCCACTTCGCTTTCTGATACCACAACGTCCTCCGCTACCAGTCAACCTTCCTTGTCAGATGTCTGCCCACGTGAAGCCCCCTTTCCCTGCCTAACTCAATGACTCGCATCAGCTTGGCTTTGTTCTCCGTCGCAACCCGTTCGACCGGCAAACCATTCCGCGGCTCATGGAATCAGTCGCCCTGCAGAGCTGTATCCATTCGCCTCCCAGACATTGGATGACAATGTTACCGAAGCCCCAGGTTTCAAGACCTTTCTCAGAGGGGTTGCCTCGAAGTATCAGCCGTTATTCTCGACAAGGGCATATCTCGACCTGAGTTTAGCGACATGTTCTGTATCTGCTTAATGAGCATCTTTGTGAGTACCAAGAGTAGCATGAACATCCAACAAAGCTTCTACACCCGAGTACCTCGGACCAGGTGTACGCGCAATCCTTGAGCACACAAGGCTACCCACATGACCACTTTGGATACAGTACATGGGTAAACATACTTGCAATTGGTGATCAGAGCCGGTATCGAGCCCCGGGATCAGGCCTGACCCTCAAACACTCAGTCTCGCCTTGACTGCTTCTGACGTTGATCATGCAGTTGATCGAGACAAACCATTCGCTTCGTATACGACTCAACGTCTCTGCCTTGGATCGAGGATGACCTCGGGGCATCCAGAACTTCGGGACCTCGTACACGGAGTATCAGATGAATTGCTCTGCGATGCAAGTCTTGCCATGAGCAGGATAATCTCATTTCTCGAGCATGGTTGATCTTCCACTTGACCGAAGACGCGGGTTGCGAAACAAGATCCCGGCCTATCAATCGATGTTTGGTGGACAAACTCAGGTCCAACTTTTGAGGTTGGGGTAGAATGTCGACAAGCTTCAAAACAACCAGACCCATCTCGAAACAGCGAACATCAAACCCGACAGTCCAGATTTTGACTTTCTTCTGACGGCCACTGAACATCTCCACAAGTCCAGCTCGTAGGCTTCTCGCTACATGGAACAATAGCGCTGGATAGTCTGGGGTAGGTGTGTTCTCTTGAAAAGCTCTAATGCTATCTCAACTAGAATGGTGATTTCTAGCACTTGTGAAAATGCGATCGACCGGCAAGCAATAGCGTGTGATCAAGTCGGAAAATAGATCGGGAGGAGCCGCGGCTGTTTGAAGTTGATGGTTGAAACGTGCCAAGGCGAAGCTTGCTCTAACTTCAGTCCGCATTCAGCAGTGACAACAACCGAGTTCGATGGTCGCTCTTGCCCAATGCTCCTCGATGGGCCTTTTGTTAACTACTACGACAATTACTCATCCCTCATGTCGGTCCAGTCCTTCTCATGGAAAATAGCTGTCAATTCACAGTTTTTCTTTTGGGAGTAAACTGGAATTTCTTCGAACAGCATTTTGAAACTCACAATAAGATGATCAATCATCCTAATCGGTCGAGAACGGAAGTTCTCTAGATAGACCTGCTTCCCTTACGGCCGCCTGCATTCTCAAAAGGAGTCGATATCAGATGATTGAGATTAGTTGATCTACACTAACGAAGTAGAATTCTGTTTAGAAGCCGTGCGGATGGCGTTATCGCCCTTTCAAGACTCAAGAGCATGGAACCCCAGCTCAAGTCAAGGCAGTCTTTAAGTTTCAGCCACCTACAGCTCCACATCCGTAACACCATTAGGCATGGCGTTGCTGCCAAGGGTTCTTACTGTGTGAAACCTCCGACCAAACCTCGGTAGCTCAACCTGATCACCTCAATCCCAGGCTCACAGACCTCGATGCAGAGTCAGTCTCTCAGACGTGCTCGACCACGAAGTGGTATAAGTATCTGCTGCTTCTCCAACATGAAGCAACTCATCCAACATCACAGTTCCTTCCTCTTTCTTTTATTCAACTGTTCAAGCCGGTCTCGACAGTTTGCTCGTTCGTTCTTGCCTTCTTTTGTTTACACTTTTACATCTTTCAATCGTTCAAACAACATAAACATCTCTTCGACACTATGAAATACTCGCTTACAACTGCAGCTCTGGCCTTCGCCATCTGCTCTATCGCTGCCCCCACTGGCGACTACGGTTCTCTGTCTGGTACAGGAGCTGCAGGCGTCTCTGGCTCCACTGAGGTTTCTCCCTCTGGCTCGGCTGGAATTGGAGCAAACATCGGTGGTGCAGGCTCGGCCGGAGCCAAAGCAGGAGCAGATATTGGTGGATCTGGCTCGGCAGGTCTAGGAGGCTCGGCAGGCCTTGGAGGATCTGGACATGCCGGTCTGGGCGGCCTCCTTGGAGGACTCGCCGGACTTGGTCTTGGGCATGAGGGAGGCCTGTCTGCCGGCCTTGGAGGCAACGGACATGGAGGCCTAGGCGCAAGCATTGGAGGTGCTGCTTCACCTTCCATCGGAGCCAGCATCGGAGGAGCAGCCTCGCCATCGATCGGAGTTGGCCTCGGCGGCTCTGCATCCCCTTCGGGCTCAGCATCCTTGGGAGCTGGTCTCGGAGGTCTCGCATCTGGAGGCCTGGGTGCAGGACTGGGAGGCGCTGGTGGTCTTCTCGGTGGTCTGGGCTTGGGCGGAAGTGGAAAGGGCCATGGTGGAATTGGTCTAGGAGGCAGCGCAAATGGCCAGGGCGTAATTGGTGCTGGAATTGGAGGAGGAGCTGGTGCCAGTGGCTCTGGCGATGCTTCTGGAAAGGTTGGTGGCGACACCGAGACAGATGCTGCCGCCGGTGCTGCCAACGGAGCAGCCGCCTACGGTTCTCCCGACAACTCTTCTCCTTCCGACAGCTCGGCACCTAGCGGAGACTCCCCTTCTGGTACAGAGACTGATGCCGCATCGGCTTCTTCCAGCGATGCTGCATCCGCCCCTACTTACGGTGAGAACGGTTCTGTCGCAGATGCAAGCGGATCTGCTGCCGCACCCATGTATGGCTCTGATACCTCTTCTCCTGCTCCTAGCGAGTCTGCAGTTGATGCTGCCTCTGGCACTCCCACCGATGCACCTTCTACCCCTGAGGCCACTGCCCCTCCTCTTGCCACTGGCGCATCCGGCAGCACTTACAAGTCATACATCAAGAAGCGTCAGTCCTACGACTCGGGCTCGGGCTCGGGCTCAGGCTCAGGCTCTGCATCTGCTGGCGGCCTTGGTGCCCTGACCGGTGGAAGTGGACTTGGTGGACTTACCAGTGGACTTGGCGGCCTTTCAGGAGGAAGCGGTCTTAGTGGACTGACCAGCGGACTTGGCGGCCTTTCGGGGGAAGCGGTCTTGGAGGTCTTTCTGGAGGCCTTTCTGGTCTCTCAGGAGGCAGCGGCCTTCTCGGCGGCTCGAGCGGATTCGGAAACGGTGCTGCAGGACTTGGAGGTCTTGCAGGCCTTGGAGGATCAGGTGCCGGTTCGGCGGATGCATCTGCCAGCGGCAATGCTTCAGGAAGTGGATCGGCTGGCCTCTCGTCTTCAGGTAGCGCATACACCAAGTAGAAAGCATCAAATACACATCGCTGATTGCGGTATAGGTTCTGCTGGAAGCTCTGACTCGTCTTCATCCGGTACTGCTACAAGTGGCTTTGGCTCACTCGGCTCTCTTGGTTCTCTTACCGGTGCTGCTGGCGCTGTGGCCAGCAACGATGTTACTGGCAACACTGGATGCAAGAAGGTTACCTTGATCTTCGCTCGCGGGTATGTAAAACAAACATGAATCAACTGATACCAAATCTCTAACATTATCTTCTACAGTACCACTGAAATGGGCACTCTAGGCTCTATCGTCGGCCCCGGCCTTGCCTCAGCTCTCATCAAGTATACCGGCTCCTGCGCTATCCAAGGCGTCGACTACCCAGCCGACGCCGCCGGCAACGCAAATATGGGAGCCTCAGGCGGCCCCAAAATGGCCGCTCTAGCAACCCAAGCCCTCCAACAATGCCCCGACACCAAAGTGATCCTCGGTGGCTACTCGCAAGGCGCTATGGTAGTCCACAATGCGCTAAACTCCATCGACGGCTCCAAGATTGCTGGTGTAGCTGCTTTTGGCGACCCCATGAATGGACAGAGTTTCAAGGGTGTTGATGACAGCAAGGTTGTGAGGTACTGCGGTTCTTCGGACTTTGTTTGCGATTTCAGCGGTAAGACTCAGGGGTCTGGGTCGCATCTTTCGTATGGGTCTAACCTTGCTGAGGCGGCTTCTCGTTTGAGCCAGATTTGCGGTGCTAAGGCTTGAGTACTTGTCGAGGTTTGGGGAAACTCGTTTTGAGTTCTCCACCTGGTTGCTCTTCTCATCCTTCCTTTGACCGTTTGTCTGGCCGTCGATTTCTCTTCATGCTTTTCTTTTCTTTTCTTCTTTTTGCTTTTCTATTCCTTTGGGCACTCCTTTTCATCGTTCTCGGTATGCAGGCATACACAGCACATGATGGAATGATGGCATTGTACACGAAAAACAGCTTTATCAAAAAGAGGATGATAGTATCATCTAGCAGAATACCAGAACTTCGTTGTTTTCTTCTCTTCTCACCTATACCGCTTCGCAGTGCAACGATGTGTCAAGAAGAGGCTCAACAACTCTTAAAGGCAGAAGTGTAAAGTACAGCATATTGATACGCAAACAAGCAAACTTGCTTTGCTGATGATCACTGCCACCTTCTCCATACGCTTGCGTACTCATATAGTGACACCAACGAAGACAAGAAAAAATATCAAGGCATGGAGGAGGCGCAGTGCCAAGCAAAGAGAACGAATCGATGGAAAAGAAGCAGGAACTGTGAGCAACAACTGCGCATCGAGGAAAGAACGATATACAGAAAGAAAAGAAGGATCTACGCGGTTGAGCAATGCAGAAAAGTACCAACTGATGTATACTTGATAAGATGTCTTGATTTTTGTGTGAACATATCTAACGCACGCAGAGTATATCATTATTTTATTTTGTCATTGTTTAGCTTCATAGTTTGGTTTCTCCCGTCCGAAAAAGCATTTATCGGACAGTGGCGCCAGCAAGCGACTTGACAGTGCAAACACCAGACTTGGTCTTGAGTTGTCTAACACCGCTATCACCCTTCTCAGTAAGCTGAGGCACAGCCGAAACCTCAAAGGCAACCTCGAGGTTGTCAGTAGTGGTGAAGCCGGGCTGGAAGGCCTCCCAAATCTTCTTCTTGGGGTTGAGGACGGACTCGGGCTCGCCCTCGTAGCCGTCAAAGTAGACGCGGTCGCCGGCGACAGCACCTTCGGGGACGTTGACGAGCTCGACGGGGCCACCGTGGTGGTCCTCCTCGCCCTCCTTGACGCGTGGTGAGGCGGCAAGGACCATAGCGCAAGACTTGATGCCGCGCATGGTGACGGGCTTGAGGTTGCAGACAGTGACGATCTTGCGGCCCTGCATCTCCTCGAGGGGAACGAGACCGTTGAGACCAGAGCAGACGGTACGGCAGGTCTGGCCCTCGTACTCTTCGGTGTTGTCGGTGCCGGGAGCGTCGCCAACGTTAATGGTAGATACGTACAAGCTGTCGGCGTTGGGGTGGCGGATGGCCTTGAGGATGTGGCCGATACGCAGATCGATGAGGGCGGGCGAGAAGGGCTTCTCGGGTGCGGCGGGGGCCTTGGGCTGCTTGGGAGCTTTCTCCTTCTTTGCCTTCTTCTCAGTCTTCTTGCTCACGCCAGGAGTCTCGGCTCCGACAGCATCGGCAACCTTCTCGCCAGCAGTCTTTGCCTGGTCCTTGACCTTCTCGGCCTGCTCGGTAGCCTTCTCGGCGACTGACTTTTGCTGAGCCTCAGGTGCAGCTGCCGAAGTGACAGTTGCACCAGCATTGGCAGCACTGGTAGCACCCTGAGCAGCCAATTCCTTCTCCTTCTTCTTGCGCTCCTTCTCGGCCTTCAAGTCGATGGGCTTGATCTTAAAGATGACGTTGTCCTGGTCAATCTTGACCTTCTCGGAGTCGTCGACCTTCAAAGCGAAGAGAGGAGAGTTCTGGACAAAGTCGGCGTGACGGACAATGTGGTGGTATCCCTGCTCGCCAGTGCGCTGCTCGTCTGACCAGGAAGTAATGACGGGAGCGACACGTGCATAGAGGGCAATGTCGGCGACCGAAGGCTTGGAGCCAAGGAGGGTTGTGCGGGTGCTGAGGTGGGTGTTGAGCGAAGAGAGACGCTCGGCAGTCTTAGCAGCGTCCTCGGTGGAGGAAGCAATGTGGGATGAGGTGATGAGCCATTGCTCAATCTCGGTCTTCTCGTTGGTCGAGTNACTGATCAAACAAATGTCAGATGTTGCGTTGTTGTATGGTCAACGGCTACGCACCTCGGCCTTGGGGAAGAGCGACTGCGACAGCTTGATCATGTCACCCTCGAGCTCGGGGGTCTGAGGGTAGGCCTTCTGGAGAAGCGCTCTGGACTTGTCGTCGAGGGAAGCCATGTTGCGCACGTGTGTGATTGCTGAGATGGATTGGAGTTTTGGAGTGTGTCTGTATAGAGGCGAAAGTCTGGCCGAAGTATTTAGAGCTCGAACGAGCTGTCTTGAGAAATGTATTGACTTCAGGTTGCCGGTGGTGACTGCTTGCTAAAATTCCGCCGCACCCAAACCGCCATCATCGCCCAAACCCCGCCATCGGAACAAGCCGACCTGCACCTGCCTCAGTCAAGCTCACGAGTACGAGTAAACATTGATCTTCTTGTTTCAGCGACTGTTCTTTTCTCGGATATATCTAGATAGGATATCTTGTTAACCCCAAGTTCCACCACCTCCTCTGCCCTGCTTCTTCTGCGCACTCAATCTCCAGTCGTCTTCACCCGCAAATCTATTGTGGAGGGGCTGGATTCTTTCAGCCCGCTTTCTCTTACTGAGTCCACCCTCCTTACCAGCAACCTTGAAGAATGTCGGTGCTGCTTCCACAAGCCATTTAGGCTCAATCACTGTAACATTGTGCATGTACTCCTTGGTCGTTTCCACCAAGCTGTGGTAGATGACATGTTCAGCAGCCTTGCGGTTCAGCGCCGATGAAGGATGCATGTACACTGGCGTGCCTTCGATCAACGTCTTGTATCCTTCTTGGGGATCCTTGCGAGCCGAGTTTCTGAAGAAGCCACTGCAGAGTGCTTGGCGAACCCGTGTTGTATCGCGACCGCAACTGACTACGCGAAGCCGAAGACGGTCGAGGATCTGTACTAATTGCTTGCGCACATCCTCTGCTCTCTTCATGCTTCGCGGCTGGATAAAGTTCTCGAAGCACCAAGGATCGCTCATTCTGCTTTGCTTCCATGCATTGTACACGTTGAGCAAAGTCAGATGATCACCCGATGCATCGTGGAACTTGGCCTTCTTCTTGTCTGCCTGGTCTTGCTTGTCTTTGGGTCTGTGGAAGACAGTCTGCACTGCCGAGATCATGGCCACGATTGACAGAATCTCATCAGAGCATCCCAAGTCAACCGACATGATTGTCGTCTTGGCAAGCGTTGGTTCCATCGGGAAGTCGGCCATACGTCTACCAAGTCGGGTAAGCAATCCTTCGTCATCGAGGGCTGACAATGCATAGAGTTCTTCGAGTGCCGTCAACATGGTATTTGTTGGTGGCGGGTCCATAAAGTCAAAGTGAAGCAAGTCGTTGATACCCATAGCCTTCAGTGTCAAGATGGTGCTAGCAAGATTTTGACGTTGAATCTCAGGAATAGTAGTCGGCAGCATCTCGGATTGATAAGCGGCTTCGGTGTACAGACGGAAACATTTTCCAGGTCCCGTTCTGCCAGCTCGTCCAGCACGTTGACGTGCCTGAGCCTGTGAGATAGGGGTCACCTGAAGACGGTCCATACCAAGTCTAGCATCGTATGCGCTCTGCTTCACGAAACCAGGATCCACGACGAAGTAGATGCCGTCAATGGTGATGGACGTCTCGGCGATATTCGTTGCGATAACAACCTTTCTAGTACCCACCGGCGCAGGCTCAAAGATCTTACTGGCAATTTCGCTTGGTAAAGCTCCGTAGATAGGGAGAATCATGAGTTCTGGTACACTCGGACCCAGCGCCTTCATCCGCTCGTAGAGAATTTCGCAAGATGTATCAATCTCCTCTTTACCAGTCAAGAAGAGCAGAATGTCGCCTGGTGGTTCGGTAAGGTGGATTTGCATGACTGTGGTAAGAGCGGCGTCGAGGTAATCTGATTCGGGTTCGCGAGAGTACATGATCTCGACAGGGAAGGTACGACCAGGAATGGTAAGGATAGGGCATTGGTTGAAGTACTCCGAGAACTTTGCTGCGTCCAAGGTAGCTGATGTGACAATCAACTTCATGTCAGGTCGCTTCTTCAACGTCTTTTTGAGCAAACTGAACAGAACATCGGTCGCAATCGTACGCTCGTGAGCCTCATCAAGCATAATAACAGAGTATCTGTTTAGCTCAGGGTCTAGGAGAATCTCACGTTGCATGATACCGTCTGTCATGTACTTGATCTTGGTGTTGCTTGACGTCTTGTCCTCAAAACGAATGGTGTAACCAACCTCTTCTCCCAGACGGCATCCGACTTCTTCAGACACACGCTGAGCCACCGACATAGCAGCGACACGACGAGGTTGTGTACATCCAATCACGCCTGAGTTGGCGTAACCTTCCTCGGCAAGATACTGTGTCAATTGAGTCGTTTTTCCAGATCCAGTGTCTCCGACGACAATCAAAAGTTGATAGCCTGCGACAGCCTCCAAGAACTGTTTCCGGAATTGGAAAGCAGGTAAACTCTCACGTTGGTCCTTTATCGACATGTTGGTGCGTTTACCAAAGGACTGAGTCTTGCTGTGCGAGGCAATACGCTTCCATTCCGGGACTTCTCCATCATTTTGACGAGCCTGACGCAGGTCGCTGGCAAACTGTCGTTGTTCCGGATTTGCCATTGGGTCATTCCACTGTGCTTGCAAATCGACTCCAGAGTTTTCCTTCGCAGCCTTGTCTCTAACTTCTTGTTGTTTCAAATCTCGACGCTCCTTGGCAAGGACATCTCCAGCAATAGCCGCTCTGTTCATCGATCCATCGGGTGCTTTGACGACTCGAATAGGAGAAAGCTCCAGAGACTGCTTTGTCTGCCCAGCCAAGAATGGCGGCTCCTCTTCCCTGACTTCAATATCAACATCCTCCTCTTCTTCGATCTCCTCGCCCCTGAGTGCTGCGTTGTAGTCTTCGTCAATGTCAGGATACTCTTGGGCCGAGATTGCACCAGAAGCAATCAATTGCTTGATCTCCCAACGCTCTGGAGATGTCATTCTTTTTCTGTTGCGTTTTTGATTCATGTTGCCTTCAATCACGGGTACGTTTGAGGTAAGGTTACCGTAGCGTTCATCTCCGTTCATACCCAAAGCATTCGCACCAGTAGCAGCACCAATACGCTTGTGAGGAGCAAAGTCTTGTCCAGTTACTTGGTCAACTTCAGCCATGGATAGACTGATGCGGTTGTCTTGCAGCTTCATGACTTTGACCTTTACTTCTTGGTTGCGAGATACCAGATCAGAGGGGTGGTTGACCTTACCCTCGGCCATGGCAGAAATGTGCACCAGGCCATCGACCTTGCCCTTGACTCCATACAGATTTACAAAGACACCGAAATCTTTGATTCCCGTAACTCTACCATCGTAGATCTTGTATAACACTGGTGAATCGTCGATTTCGGGCGTCGGTGCGCGTCGGTGTCGGTCTCCACTACGACTTCTCTGTCGATGTCTGCTTTTGCGATCGGTATCCTCATCAGGCTTGCGCCATATACGGGTCCTGCCAAATTCGTCCTCGAATACGTAGTCATCGTGTCTTTGTTCAGGAGAGCGGGATCGCCTTCGTGACTTCTTGCTCCGGCGGTCATCGTATTCATCCTCTGCCACTGGGCTCACGCTACGCTTGCGAGGAGCGCTGGGCTTCGGCTTGGGCTTACCCGCGCCTGCCAATCCTTCGAGAAGAGCAAAAGTGTCGTCCATTGCGTCCAGTTTTGAATCCTCCTCTTGCGGCGTCTTGTCGTCTTGGTCATCGAATGCAACATCTTTGTCCGGTATCACCAGTCCCTTGAAGACTCTTGTTTTCCTGTCTCTTTCGCCATCAAGATCTCGCTCGTCCTCATGGTCGGTATGCGCTTGCGTTTTGGCTTTCGACTTGTACTTGGGGTGCATGGTGAGCACCAGGCGATCGATTGCGGTCGCAAGAGTTGCTGAGAAGTCGAACTCGGACAGCTTCGTCTTGAATTCGTCGAGGTTCTTGGACTGTTCATGTTGGGCAATGACGAACTCGGCGATGGTCTTGTCGCTAATGCCCATATGATTCTGAATCTCGGAAGCCACTTTTGAGACGAGCGACAAGTGCTCAAGTGCTTCGAGGTCGTCCATGACGAGAAGATCCTTCACTGATTGTCGACTTTTTGGGGCGTGTTTATCACGGCTTGATATACCGAGTGAATTCAGGCAGCAGCCATGTCAGTTATGTACAAAAGTTGAATGCGCCTGCTTGCTGTGACGGAGTCGCGGCGACTGCGAAGCGTGTATATAGGTCTTGGCATCGCCTCTCGGCCCGGCATTGTTCACTGTATCACATCGCATATCACATCAAAGCGGCACAGTCATGGTCAATGATAAATGTCTCAATTCTTACGATAAAGTATTGTCTGCTTGTGGCAGCGGAAGAAAACCCCACCACTGGTGACTGTTCGTAGCATTACCAAGGACCTGGATATGAAATGTACTAAAGCACTGCTTTCATCCACAGTAAGATCCTCCATCAGTTCGCATCCTAGCAAGTGAAAGCAGTAACCGTGCAGTCAAACCCAAAACCAGAGGCTAAAGTGTAAAGGCACGGCATCAGATGAGCGTAAAAAGAAGCGAAAACGCGAAAAACGAATAGTTGGGTCCACCAGAAAGCTCCTTGTTACTCCGGTGATTCAAAACTCCATCCATGAGGTCCAAGTGATACGAAACGAATCATTTAGGCTTGTGCTCTGTATCCACTGCGACCACCACGGCCACGAGGCCCCTTGGGCACTTTGGGCCACATGGTCTTCTTTGAACCGGTGTGTTCAGTGTTGGCGAGCACAGTGTTCTCAGCCAAAGGCGTCTTTGCGCCTTTATCGCCCTGCACAACGGTGTTTTGGGGCTTGCTGCTGGCAGTTTCGGTAGCAGAAGCTGTTGTAGCGTCAGGCGAGTCTACATTGACGTTGCTCGATGCATTGCGCTTGTTCTTGTTGTTTGGTCTGCTGGAGTTCTTGTGGCCTTGTGCTCCCTTGTTCTTGCGTTCCATGCTCACATGTTTGGCGACAAACCAGGGTTGAGGTAACTTGATCTGGACTGTAACATCATGGATGGCATGGTCGGGGAAGAACATGATGCGCTTTGACTGAGAGTCGACAAATTTGTGATACTTCGAGTTTGGTCTCACAGCTGTGGACAGGGTGGCAGGGGGCTCAGAGTATGTGACGCCACGAGGCAGGTGGACTGTAGGAGTGGAGCCGAAACTAAGTTCTCCATCGAAAATGTCGTCAACACCAGGCTTGGACACAACCTTGGTGTAAGTAGATGCGGGAGAGGCTGATCTCGGCAGGGAGACAGTGGTTGCACTCTGCGCGAGGACGAAATCCGAGCTGGTCCTAGAGACGGGCGCGACGGCAGGGGCGGGAGCTTGTACCTTTGGAGGCGTCTTGGGTGGTGAAGGGGGAGTCGTGGTCGTGACTTGAGCTTTGCCAAAGAGTCCGTTAAACCTGGCTTGCCAGTCCTGATTCTGAACAAGGGGTCTTGCGCCAACAGTGTATGAGTGCACGCTTCGAGGCATGGTGACTGGGCTGGGGTGCTCGCGATCTGTGATAGCGGCAGGCGGCAGCTTGACCTTGGGCTTTGGAACCGGCAGATTGACGAGAGGGTGTCTTGAGTCACCGCCAAAGACAGGGTGGTCAGCCTCTTCAGGTGGTGGAGATCCGCCGTAGAGAGCCGAAGGGAAGAATCTTGACTGCTGCGGAGCTGCACCAGGGGTAGAAGGCTGTACGGGAAGAGGTGGAGGCTGGATGTTGCTGACGAATGCACCAATAGGGGGCAGTGTTGCGCCAGTGGACACGTTTCTAGGGCTGCCGAAGGCTCTCGAGAAGTTGGAGGGACCGGTGGGAAGACGAACTATGCCTTCACCCGGCATGTGTAGCTGTTCATCACNTAGGGGAGGAGGATGATGCATCGACTGTTGGGCGATGGGTGACTGAGGGCCTGGCGCAACTTGTATAGATCTGTGAGGACCTGGCACGTTTTGGCTGGTTCTGTGAGGGCCTGGGCGTGCAGCACCAATTGCGCCGGCTCTATGAGGGCCGGGAACTTTTGCCGCAGTGCGTGTAGGAGTGTCGTCCTCGAGCCAACGGTTCTCGCTGCCTCGTGTCTGTCTGAAAGTCTCGGTGACGGTCCAGTTGGAATGGGCGTGATGGGATTGCTGGGGCGAGGTGGGCTTTGCTCTTTCGTTCTGGAGGCGCGCGGCAGTCTGCGCATCGTCTCTGGCTGCTTGAGCATTGTTTGAGAAGTTGATCCATGCCGAAGTATCGCGTAGAGGCTGCTGGCGAGGGGCGGCTTNTTGTGGGGGAGCAATAGGGGCAGGGTAGGCCAGACGGGCGGGCTCGGGCAAAGGCGATGCGCCGGCGAGCGCCGAGGCACCGGTGGGCTCGGGAATGCGCGAGTCGAGAGTAGACAGAGGACCATATTGCTGGTTCATGGGATCAGACTGCGCGGATCCGGGCTGACCAAACGCCTTGGGCGACACGCGCGAGGGGTACGAGCGGTTGAAGGGCGTAGTGAACGGCGCATTCTGAGGTTGAGGGCGCGAGCTGGGTGAGATGCTCGAATAGCCTGCGTCAAAGGTGCCATTTCCAATGTGTCTGTTGTTGCTAGGTGGAGGACCCCAAAGAGCGGGTGCAGTGTGAGAAGTCATGCTGGCACTGCCCCACGGCGTGGTTGTGAATGAATCGCCGCTGGAGATCGATGGCAGACGCGCAGGTTGCGCCTTCTGATCGCTGGGCGATGAGAAGGATGGCGTGTTCATGCCTTGCAAGGATGATTGTTGATAAGGGCTGCGCGTCGGACCATTAGGTGAGTGTTGTTGGAGCCCAGGCAATTGAGGTGACGAAAGAGTCTTGTGCGCAGGGCGGGTGATTGGCGTCGGGTTTTGACCGAACGAGAGTGAAGAGTCGGCCGCCTTCTCCTTTCGAGGTGAAAGTTGCTTGACTGGTGACGCGTGCGCTTCTGTGCGCGGTGATTCTTCACTTGACGCGACAGGTTCGACAGCGGGAACTTTCTCCGGTGACGCGTTGGAAATAGCGGCGGAGGGTGTGTCTGGTTGTTTTTGCGCTTCGGGCTGCTTCTTCTCGGTTTTGTCTTGAGATGGCGTCTTTTCGAGGGGCATTCCCAAGGCCTCCATCTTCTTTCTGATCCTCTCTCTTCTCTCAGCTTCCTCGCGTGCTTCTTCCTCTTGTCTGCGTCGAATTGCTGCTTCGCGCTTTTCTTGCATGAGCTTCTTTTGTTTCTCGCGCTCTTCCTCAATTGACAAGGCACTAGGCGCGGCACCATCAGTCTGGTGTATCGGTGCTTCAGAAGATTCAACCGGTGGCTGAACCTCTGGCTTGGCTTCGGGCACCATGTCAGGAGAAGGTTCAGCTGGATCAAAGACTTTGCTAGAAGAAGACATGCGTCTATCACGAAGCATGTTTCCACTGATGCTTGAACCCCTTCTACGGCCCCAGGAACTGGCATCCCCCTGAGAATTTGTACGGGCTTGGAAAGCAGCCGAAGGTTCTGCAGGACCGCCTCCGGGAGTGGGTCGTTGTAAGACTGCGGGTTGCCTTTGATATTGGTCTTGCTGGCGTGAGCCCCTACGATGTTCAGGGGCTGGCTCGTAACGACCCGATTGCGAGTTGAAAAGTTCTCTATTCGTTCTCTCACCTTCCTTCCAGGAACGATCAAAGGTGTCGGTGGCCATCTCACGTGCAGGTAGTGGTTGGGACAAGGCGTCAAATCCATGAACATCTCTGTGTGCGAACCTGGCAGGAGCCTGTGCGGGTGGAGGAGGATTGACCGTGATCGGAGAAGCCTTCTCGACAGGGGGAAGAGGCGCCCAAGGCGATTTGATGGGTGCAGGTGCCGTATTCTTCAGCATAGGTGATTTGTTGTCGGGAGTAGCCTTCCCATCAGCGCCAATCTGTTTGGCTTGCTGTGCAGCTCCGGGTCTCAAGATGGTGCGCGATTGTGCGGCAAGGTTCGAACGCTTTAGCGCAGTCATGGAGGGCTTGACAGGGACGGCTGCCGAAGTAGAAGTGGCAGTAGGAGGTAACTCTTCTTGCGGCTTGTCCACAGGTTTCTCTTGTGGTTGAGGAGGGACAGCGTCCGTATGACTGATAGTGGTTTTGGTTCCGTCCATCCATTCAACCGTCTCGGGCGTCCACTCTTCCTCATCTTCATCGATGTCGGCCCACTTTGCCTTTTGCTCAGTCGCTTCCTCTGATTCTAGACGTGTGGCCAGGTGAATTCCATACTTTTGTTTGAGTTCTTCGTCAGTGTAGTGCTTGGCTGGGGCAGGTGGTGCGGCTGCTTTGTGGTCAGTATGCGACGAGGCGTGGTTGCGCGGGTAGTACTGACGCTGGTTCTTGTTCCACACAGTCCTACCATTCGGTGTGCTCGTGCCATCGCCTGGACGAGCACGGGGAACGTCGCGCAGACCGCTGCTACCGGTTTTCGCAATCAGACGGGGCTTCGCATTTAGCTGTAGTGTGGCCATTTGAGGAGACGCTTNTCGAGGTGTCAGCATGAACTTGTGGAAGTTGGGTTCAGTTGGCGCACGCTTTTCGGCAACCTTGACAGGAGGAGGGGTATTTCCAGGAGTTGTAGCCGTCTTTGCCAGGAAGGATTTTGTGATAGAAACAGGCTTGAATGACAGAGGCTTCTTGACTGAACCAGAACGGGCTTGCTTGGAAGCGTCTGGACGGCTGGAGTCCGTGTCAGAGCCTTGGTGGTCGGGAGTCGCATTGTCGACATCTCTGTTGATGGTGCCGTTGAGGTGTGCGTGATCGTGGGACGAGTCCGGGTCTAGTGAGAGCGCGTCGTGGGCGTGTGACGGCGGTGGTTGGTGTTGGGTGGATTCGGGTCGCGAGCCAGTCACGGCGGACTCGTTGTCTTGGATGGATGCATTTACGCCGGCGGACTCGTACCCGGCCACCGACTGGTCGTTGATCACCACATTATGGGGGCTCAGCTCGGCCATAACCAGACTCGGCGAGGGAGATGTTGGCAGTGGTGAGATCGTGGGCAAGTTGCGCGCCCGCTTTGTAGTTGGTCGACGGGTGGAGGTGTCTCGTGTTCCCAGGCGTTGCGTTACTGGAAATGGAGTACGAAGGATGATGCGGCTTCAGATGTGTCGGCGCCCACGGATGTCAGCCCGAGACCTCAGTCAACCTTACGAACAATAACTTCTTCGGAAGCCTTGCTGGAACAGTCCGGTTCACTCTTGCACAAGACGTTCTGATCACGACGGCGAGGTGCCTGTTGCTCTCACTACCAACAGATGGACCGTGCCCTATACCCGGTATTGCCATGGCTTTGCATACAACGTTGAACACATCACAAGATCAAAGGCAGAGCAGAAGAGACCAGTTACTTCACTCTCGGTTTTATGCTGTATAATTACAAAGACGGGGACTTCGACTTTTGACTTCCTCGCCGTCCTGCATACCACCCTTTTCCGTCCCGTTGCCCCATTTAGTGGGCGTTGTTCTTGTGGTGACCTGTCGAGCCAGCCGTTAGCTACATGTCTAAGATACAGCCAGTCCAGCGGAGACGTACGCAAGTGGAAGTAGTAGTTCTGGGCGTAACCAAGGAGGATCATGGTGCCAATGACGTGAACCAGGGCTGTGTTGTTCGAGGTCAGCTCGAGTCCAGAGCATAGGTATGCAGATAGGGGTGGTCGTACGCATGGCCGAAGGGTTCTTGCCGTTGAAGTAGCGGTGCTGGTATCTCTGGAGGAGGCCGGAAGGCTTGTGCTCGGGAGCGGGACCGCGAGGGAGTCTCTCGTAGAAGGAGACGACACGCTGCATGCGGGCTGCGTCGGCCGAAGCACCAATGCCCTGGTTGTCGACTCTGTCAGTCTAGTTCTCATAGCTCTTTCTCCAACATGGTGCGATGGCGCGGGCTGCGCGGGCGGTCGAGGTCGGTTTGAAGGTGTGCTGAGGTGTAGATTTTGCGGAGGACGGAGCTCAACGTACCGAGGGCGAGGCAATCTGGGAGCAGTCAGCATGGAAGCGTCTCAGCAGCAGTATTCAGAGCGGACGCACCTTGGGAGGAATGAGCGTAGAGACCATGGTTGCGACAAGTGACTCTTCTGTGCTGGTGCTAGGTGCTTTGACATGGCGTTGCGAAGGCTCCCCAATCGCCTGCCAAGCCCCCGGCTGCACTCCGGCTGCGTCGTCGAGGTGCTGACCTACATGGGCGCATACCGATAGAGCGACAAGAGGCTGTTCAGAATCACACATATCCACACAATGTCGCCGTTGAACAGGACAGCAGCCTCGAGGCTTTTCGCCGTCGCATCGAGACCCGCCTTCTCGCGCCAGGCTCCCCGCTTCGCCAGCAACCAGTCTTTCGTTGCTCCCAACTCGGCTGAGGTCGACAACATCCAACCCCGCGACGAGCCTCCTTCGCCCGTCCACTTGACCAAGGGAGAGGCCAAGGGAAGCGAGTCTGCTGTCGAGAACACACCCAGCCATGCTCCCAACTACGGTGCTGCCGTCGACTACAGAACCTCGTGAGCTTCGTTCAACACGCGATACCTTCCTCGAGCGATTGTAGGCTTATTGTGACTTGTTAGAGCCTTCTCTCCCGTCCCCAAGCGTGTCATGGATGGCAGTGAGCCTACCGAGACCGTCGCTGCCGCCGTCGTGTCTGGCGCCCCTACCGACCTCCAAGCCCGTACCGTTCGGTTCGTCAATCCTCGCATTTCGCCGCTTGTCTGACCTTGTTTGTACTTACACCATGTCTCCAGCATCTTCCGTCCCGCTAAGACCGCGACTCAATCTGGCGACTGGAACGCCCACCACTGGCGCATGGACTGGGATGTGCTCAGCAAGGGCCACCGCTGGGAGAACCCTCTGATGGGCTGGCAGTCATCCGCCGACTACATGCAGGGCACCCACCTCAACTTCAAGTCCAAGGACGATGCAATCAACTTTGCCAACAAGCAAGGCTACGAGTATTTTGTCCAGGAGCCCAACGAGCGCAGAATCATCCCCAAGGCTTACGCCAACAACTTCATGCACAGCCCAAAGAAGCTGAAGCACATCCGTACTAAGTAGAGCACACGGCGGAACCCTCTGTACATTTTCCTCTTTTTCCAATACCATGACATCGATTTAGAATTATTCTCAACGTAACCACAAGCGGCTCATTCCTCCCATTTACTGCTCACTACAGCTCGCACCGTAATCCTCCAGTTTTTGGAATTCACACCAGCGATTAGCAACCTGTCTGATTCTGACAGTCCTGCCGACCCAACCACGCTCACCAGTACCAAAAGTCTTTGTGGTTATGTTCAGCATCGAGACATCTTGGTCCCAGGAATTCGTAGCCAGGCGATCTCCATCGAGCATGTCTTCCTCTTCTTGAACGCCAGTATCATACTCGTCCTCTGGATTAATACATTCAACCATGATGAGCTGGTGGCTGAGACAATGCGCCGCATCCACGATAGCAGCAAATGTCCGATTGAACCCCTGAGCTGAATAGGATAGAGTATGTTCATGGATCCGAATTGGATTCAGTACCATCAGAAGTGGACATGTGCTTGTTGACTCCGACTCGACTTGTGCCAGTTGAGGAGGAGGATGCATCAGTGTCGTAAGGTAGGCTCGCAGGTTGGTGAGATCTGAACAGAAAGTGACTTGAACGTTGCGTGAATTGTGTAGATTGCTCAACGTCGGAGTAAGCAAGTCCAGGGCAGTATTGTGGTCGTCTCGACATTCTTGAGTGACGTCGTACAGGAGAGATTGCAAAAATGCATCCCGTGTTGAGCAGACGATCAAACGTTTGCTGGGTGCAGGGTGGCGTATGCAGAACTGGAGAACATGGTGGGCTTTGAAGGGCTCAAGCACAATCGGTCTCGAAGGTTGAGACTTTTCGAGTGTCATGTAAAAGTGGTCACGCAGACTTGATAGAATACTTCATGAGCATCAGAGCATCAATGCAGTAGTGTCGCGTCCGGCAGGTTAGGTTAGGTTAGGTTCGAAGTCAAGAAGGATACAATGTATGACAGGGTCGGAGGAGATTCAAAGTGGCTGCAGGAAGGTGGGCGGTGACGTGCGGGCTGAAACGGAAGTTGCGTCCCCGCCAAACATTGGAGCTTGACCATTTGATCATGGCAAGTGCACAATTGCGCCTCGACAAATTGCAGCCAAGATGGAGTCGATATCGCGAATCTCGGGCATGCTGGAAACAGGTACGATACGGTTATACATTGCGACCAAAGTGCAAATCTGACCTGTGGCAGCACGCGACCTCACGCTCGAGGCGGCTCGAGATGCAGGAGCCGGACGGCGGTCGGTCAAGCAGATGCCTCCGGCGCAGATAAAGAAGTTGCTGGACAGCAGGAACGAACGAGAAGTGCTCGAAGGCTTGCGCCGTGTCATAGAAGTCAGTGCTATCCGAGACAAGGAAGGCACGAAACACCGACTTACTCTCTTCAACGGCAGNATGCAATACACGGCTCCTCTGGCGCAAACACTCCCCTTCTTCCCTTCTGTCCTCAAGACTCTCTCACACCCGACTTCATCGACTAGGCCGCTCGTCTACTCATATCTACTGCACCATGCCGAAGCAGACCCGGATACCGCTCTCCTGTCCATCAACACGATCCAAAAATCGCTCTCGGATACCAGCCCTCGGGTACGTGCCATGGCATTGAAGACCATGGCTGGTGTGCGAATTCCGCTCATCAGCCAAATTGTCTCGCTCGCCATTAAGAAAGGAACCGCCGACATGAGTCCTATCGTTCGCAAGGCTGCTGCTTTTGCATGCGTCAAGTGCGTCAAGCTGGACCCTGCAACTCTTCCTCAGGTCACTGAATACCTCTCCAACTTGCTTGGTGACAAACAATACTTTGTCGCCGGCGCTGCAGTTGCCGCTTTCAGCCAAGTTTGCCCGGAACGTTTGGATCTGATCCACCCACATTACAGAAGCCTTGTCAAGAAGTTGGTCGACATGGACGAATGGGGTCAAGTCTCGACCATGCAGCTGATGACAGTCTATGCGCGAAGATGCTTCCCTAGAAGAACTCGACGTGTGCGCAAGGCCAATACTCAAGCCGAAAAGCAGAAGGGCTTCTACGATGACGACGACGCTGAAGAACAGGAAGCCGAATACGAAGACGTCCCCTTTCTGGATCCCGATCTTGACCTGCTCCTTACTTCCGCACTACCACTTCTACAATCGCGTACCTCGGCCGTCGTTATCGCCGTCACGAGAGCTTACCTATATCTCGCCCCTGAACAGTATCTGCACCACGCCATCGGTCCTCTTACTGCCCTTCTCCGCGGNCCCCCTGACATCAACCAGATCGGACTTCACAACATTGTTCAAATCTGTCTTCTCTATCCACAACACTTCGTCCCGCACTTCCGCCACTTCCTCCTCAGATCCGGCGAGGGTGAGCAAACATGGCGCCTCAAACTTGAGGTCCTGACTCTTGTTTTCCCTCATTGCGTCACTGATGTGCAAGGCCTTATCCTCACCGAACTCGAACACTTTTCACAAGGTCATGACCCCGCTCTGGTTCGCGAATCGGTACGAGCAATCGGTCGTTGCGCTCACAACTCGGATGCCACTACTGGCTCACGCTGCTTGCGCCTACTACTTCGTCAAATTCACAGTCCGGATCAGCATCTCGTCGCCGAGGCTCTCGAAGTCATTCGACACATGATCCAGCGCGATCCACTCTCACATATAAAAACTATTGTTCGCCTGGCGAAAAACCTCGATACCTTAACTAGTCCTGCTGCACGTGCCAGTATCATCTGGTTAGTCGGTGAATTCGCTGGTTACTCTACTGATCAAAGCATTGCACCCGACGTTCTGCGCATCCTTGTACGTGGATACCCCGACGAGCATGATCTGGTCAGACAGCAGATTGTGCTATTAGCCGCAAAGGTATACTTGCATTGGTTGAACGCAGAGAATGTGACGAAAAGGAAGGCAACCCCTCCTGCGCTAGAGCGTCAGTCCAGCTCGACTGTTCTCGCTCCTGATGAGGAAGAGGATGGCGCGGGATTCAGAGACCATGGATTCAACGACGAGCAATTGTCGAACCTCGAGTCGCAGGAAGACAAGTCCCATCCGATATCGTTGCTGTACCATCATACTCTGCTACTGGCTCGCTACACGCCATCATACGATCTTCGTGACCGCGCCCGCATGTTCCGCGCCTTGCTGGCCGTACCTTCGAGCACCGAGCTTGCTTCGCTCCTCCTGCTCGCGCCAAAGCCAGTGCCGCAAGCACCCAGTCCAAGTGAGAGTCGAAAGGGGTATGTGCTCGGCAGCGCGAGTCTAGTGATTGGCGAAGAGAGCGGCGTGAACGGGCTTAGTGGCTACACACCTCTGCCTGACTGGGTTCAGGATGGACACGAACCAGATGCTAAGCTCAGAAATGTCGAGATGGAAGCAAAGACCGAGTATAGAGCAAGTGGATCAACAGTGCCGGCGGGCAGGATGCTCGATGATGCACTTAAGGGATCTGCGCCTATCGTTTACAAGTCAAAGTCTGGCGCGCCTGCCAAAGAGAAGACATTGGATGACTGGCTCGACGAAGAAGAAGATGAAGAAACATCGGAAGAAGAGACCGTTGAGTCCGGGGACGAAGACGAAGAGGAGACTGACGAGGAGGAGCAAGAGACGGACGATGAAGACGATTCAGAAGACTCATTGGACGAGGAAGAGAGCGAGAGCGATGATGGCGACGAACAAAGGCGACTTGTTGGTTAGGACGAGAACATAAGAAGATACCCATATATGCACACTAAGCTACGGCCAATCTACCGCATCGCTTGTACAGCTGTGCTACTCTTTTGCATAGCCAAGAGCGTGCGATACGCTAAGAGCTGCAACAACAGCCAAAGGTATCCCGACAGACCTTGTATGATAAGATCAGACCTGCTGCTCTGTGAGCAAGTCTTGTTAAACGGGATTCTGCTGTCAGCAATTTCCCTGTATACGATGGTTGGCCAAAGCTTCTTGTCGTGCTGCCGAGACTCAGCACTAGCTCCGTACTCGTCCAGGAAAGATGCTTTGATGAATAGTCTCCTTGTTTCTGTGGTGGATCACAACTCAAACTCAAATAAGAAAAAAATAAAAAAACCGAAACAAAGCGCCTGCCCCATCTTTAAGCACAAAGATGGCCGACTTCGCTGGTATTCGCCAGCAGATATTGGGTACGTACGGTTGAAGAATACTTATGGTTGATCCAATTGACACCACCGCAGGCAAATTCTATTTCCATTGCCCTTTCAACTGCGAGGTCCACGTGGTTGCGTGTAAGATCAAATCTCAAGCCTACGCAGCCCACATAGTCGACAAAGACGACGAGGCCGATGAGGTATACTTGTACCGTGGCGAAGTCTGCCCCACGGCTCTGGAAACTCTTCAGAGTCTTCTTGATCTAAGCTGCGAGTGGGCTCAAAGCGAGCTTGTCAGAGGCGTCGAGGAAATGGTCATGAAATGCTGTGAATAAGTGTTGCGAAATTGAGCCATGAGCGAGCTTTCCAAGAATTTCCCAATGTCGCTCGGGTGAAGTTTTTCTTCATTTAAACCAGCCATCGACAGTCGGCTTATAGCGAGAGCACAAATCAAAAAAGAGTGCCATGGGCACATTCAAAAAGAACGAAGAATCAATATTTTTCCCTGTAAGATGAAGAATCGAAGTGAAGGCCGTAATAAAAACTATCAGATAAAGAAACCATCTTTCAACCAAGAAAAAAAGGAAGAAGAACAAAAATAGAGACGGCGAAGGGGTGGAGAAGAAGAGAAAGCGTTACCGTGATCTGCTCTTCTCTCCCGTGTGAGACAGATCTGACCTTTATGCACCTGAGCCTCGACCATTGCTCGGTCTTGAAACGAATCCCTAGCGTTTGGCCGTGTAGACACACAAGCCTTTGAAACAGGCAACTCTCATAGTCGAAAGACATGGAACCGCATACATCGAATCGGAGAGATTAAAAAGAAAAATAAGGGCACAAGAAATGGACTTGTGCCTGACGTCGCACAACATGTCAAGCATGATGAGCGCTTACCGACGATAACGACTGAAGATGTTGTTAGTCTTGTATGAAGCAATCGTGTAGCGGCCAACGTACCTGTAGACGTCTTGTCTACTTTGTCGGATACGTCGTGCGCGGGGAGTGTCATCGTCCTCGTCCTGTCTGCGGCGCCCTTCTGCAGCAGCCACTTCTTCATAAGTACGCTTCCTGCCACTGCCTGATTTCTCAGAAGCAAGTGGTGCCTTAGCTTTAGGCGTAGCATCCATGTCAACCATGACGTCGTCACCGTGGAAGTCTGATCCAACTGCTGTGTGCTGAGAGGTGGTGGATTTCGGACTAGCGGGATCTTGTGCACGCCATGGATCGAAGGACGGCGAACGGCTTTCGCGAGGTGGCGGCGGAGGAGGAAATTGAGGACCGTATGCGAAGCGTTGATTCGGAGGTGCGAAGCCACCAGGCGGAGTAATTCTTCTACTGTCAAATGTCAGATTTGCTGTGTTCCTAGCCTTGACTTGTTGTGCATACCGGTTGCCCGGAGGGACTGGCAATCCCAGGGCAGGAGGTGGAGTGGGATAAACCATCTTAGGTGAACCCTCAACACCAAGGGCCGCCAAGATGTTCTCCTGCGCCGAGTCTTTCGGAAGTGGAGCAGGCTTAGCTTTGGGTTGCTGGGAACCTTGTCTGCTGCGTTTTTCTGGTGATCGCGACCTTGAGTAACGAGCAGAACCTCTGGGTGGTTGCCTGTCATTCTTTCGAGGAGACTTGGGGCCCAGCGCCAGCTCAAGAGTATCAAGAACAGTAACCTGCTTCACAGGTGGAGCTGCTTGTATCACTGGCCGAGGCAAAGGGTGAGTGAGAGGTTGGATGATCGGCCGGACGACAGGCTTAGCAGGTTCGTCGTCGTCGTCGTCGTCGCTCATGTCCATAGCTTGGTCGCCATCCGACTGCTCATCCTCTGCCCCCGCGACAGATTGCTGCACGTGCGATGGATGAGAGACGTCAGGCAAAGAAACGTTGTGCTGGATCGTTTCCAACTGCGCGGTAACAGGGTCGGGTCGGTCGCGATTTGCAATGACAGTAAGAAGCGGAACCGTCACAGCTGTCTTCTCAAACTCCACGAAAATGAGGTCATCCTTGACTTTCTGCCACTCGTCTGTGTCTCGTACGCTAAGTCGGATGTCAACAGACATATCGTCAGGGAAGAACTCGGAGGTGACACTGATGTGTGAACCTTCAGTCGCCTTGGCAGACTCGGTCCATTTCGGCTCGACTTCGTCAAAGACGGATGGTAAGGGCTTGCTAGTTGGTAGAGCTGGATGCCATGTGATCAGACCAAGGCTCAGCTCTGGCACGACCTCCTCAGCCGGGACGCCAGCTTCGCCGTCAAAGTCGAAATCCAGGCCAAAATCGAGGCTAGATTGTCGTGTGTGCGATACAGCATATCCATCTTCACTTATGGNGGGAGGATAGGCAGAAGCATCAACGTGGGGCGTCGAGTGGGCAGGAGGCGCTGCAACATAGGCACCATTTGCATCGTAGTAGCCCGAGTACTCCTGGGGTGGGTATGCAAGAGCTGGTACAGAATACGCCGGTGCTGATACAGCCGCAGAATAAGGCTGTGGTTGCGGCGGCTGATAAGGTGGCTGCTGGTAAGCTTGGTTTGGATCATACACCGGCTGAGTAGGATAAGTCGTGGTTGGAGGATAGGCTGTGGTGACTGGAGGTTGATATCCTTGATAGGCTGTTTGGGGATAAGCTGGTTGGGGTGCCGGAGGATGTGTGGGATAAGCCGGTGCTGTGTACGGGGCCGCGGCATACGTCGGATGCTGTTTATAGCCAGGTGGAGGAGGGTAGCGTGTGATCACAGGGTTGCCTTTTTGTTNTTTCAAAGGAGNGTCTAAAACAAAATCAGGTCTGCGGGGAGACAAAAGAAGATGGAGAAGTGGTAGAAAAGGGCGGTCTTACCCGTTCTGTGCTGGAGCAGCATAAGGTTGTTGATATTGCTGAGCTCCGTATGCCACTGGTGTAGGAGCAGGCTGATAGGGAGGTTGAGGGTATCCAACCACTGCAGGATACTGGGGCTGGCCATAACCGTTCTGGTATGGCTGTTGGAAAGGAGGATGAGGCTGAGCAGTGGGTGCAGTATACATGATGGACTATGTTTGCTTGCTCTCAGGTCAAAAAGTCTGATGACAAGGTGGGGAAAAGAAGAGAAGATTTTCCTTGCGACGATACAGCATGAATCATCGGGATGCCATGGGCTTTGCGAAAAGGAATTAAGCAAAAAGGACAATGAAAGAATGGAAGGGTTGCAAGGGATATGAATCTGGAAGAGGCAGTCGTTTGACGGGGAAGGAGAGACGAATCAGGTCGGACGTGCACGCACAGACAAAGACGGCATGCGGGTTGTGGCAGAAGTTGAGGAAGGAGCTGTTTGTCTGCGGTCTCTGCCAACGGAGTGTCTCGTCACCTACCCTCTACCTGGGCCGTAGTCGATGGTCGTCGCAGCAGGAGTTGAAAGCAAGGTGCAAGATTATTTACAATGGTAAATTGGCTGTCGAGCCAATCATCAACGCCTATGTCACGTGCATGGGGCCAGCGGTTTGGAAATTCAGATTTGGCGGGTGCGGAGGAGCGGCGGCGCTCTCGGGGAGCCAGATTGAACCAGACAACACTCGTGAGAGCCGTCATGTCGCTGTGATAGACGTATCTCGGGCTTCATATTTGTCTCTGATCATGTGTGAAAGAGTCGATTCTACCAAGGCATTGACATCGCCTTTCCCATCGCCCTAAGCTTTTCTCGGACGCGCATTGCACCTGCCGCTGCCGCCGCCGCCATCATGCCCGGACTTCCTTGTAGGGCACCTGTCGTCGCGAGAATGCGCCGTGTGGCAAGAGCTGACGTTTGTAAGCCAGCATCGACCTCGACGAGTGCATTGAGAGGCTCTACCAGAAGGAGCTGCTTGCCGAGTCGGTCATCGAGGCCATATGCGCAAAGACGAAGGAAATGCTCATGAAGGAGAGCAATGTCGTCCATATCCAGGCTCCTGTAACCGTCGTCGGCGACATCCACGGCCAGTTCTTTGACCTTCTCGAGATCTTCAAGATCAGCGGACCATGTCCTGACACGAACTACCTCTTTCTCGGTATGTTTCCTGGGCACGCGACAGCCAACAAGGCACCTTTCTGACCATGCACAGGCGACTACGTTGATCGCGGCCTCTTCAGTGTCGAGACCATCTCGCTGCTGGTCTGTCTCAAACTCCGCTANCCCCATCGCGTACACCTGATCCGAGGCAACCACGAATCGAGAGGTGTTACCCAGTCCTACGGCTTCTACACCGAATGCAGCCGCAAGTACGGCAACGCTGCTGTCTGGCACCACTTCACAGATATGTTCGACTACCTCTCCCTCTCATGCGTCATAGACGACAAGATCTTCTGCGTCCACGGTGGTCTGTCGCCCAGCATCCATAGCATCGATCAGATCAAGATCATCGACCGTTTCAGGGAGATTCCACACGAAGGTCCCATGGCCGACTTGGTTTGGAGTGATCCCGACGCCGACCGCGACGAATTCTCGCTGAGTCCAAGAGGCGCTGGCTACACCTTTGGCGCACAAGTCGTCAAGAAATTTCTTCAAGTCAACTCCATGACGCACATTCTCCGCGCTCACCAACTCTGTAATGAAGGGTACATGGTCATGTTCGACGACAGGCTCTCCACCGTCTGGAGCGCACCCAACTATTGCTACCGATGCGGAAACAAGGCCAGTGTTCTCGAAGTGAGCCCCACCGGAGAACGGAAATGGAACGTCTTTGATGCTGCTCCCGAGAACGAAGTCCACCGTATCGAGCAACAAAACCAACACAACAACCCTGGCTCGGATCCTGTCAGGGACTATTTCCTGTAGAACAAATGTCTTGCTTTCGCCTGCATTTCATCCATAATACAAGGCAGCATCTTAGGAGTTAACAATGATACCAAGGCGGCACGATTTGATGTTTGATTCTTCTTTTGTACGATACCATTATTGCAGCTTTCTTTGTTTTCTATTCGTGGGCAGAAGTAAGCTATATGCATTGCTACCTGTTACATTGAAAACACTATCGAATCTCGAGCGACAGTGTCGTAATGACAACGAGTGGGAAAAAGAGAGCTACGGCAGATCAAAGCAACAAGAGGAAGGCAGAAAAAGAGTGACAAGGGTTGGAACGCAAGCACAAAGCACAGCAAAACAAACACACACGTCACGATCTGGCTTCAAACGACAGAGATGCTGGCGATTGCATCTTTCTCTCCTCCCAGCTTCATCGAAACAGAAATCGGACGAGTGACGGATGAGACATTGGAGACCATACTGTCGACCTTCTCAAGGCTCAAGGACGACTGGTTCTTGCCAGGCTGAGGTTCGCGGACCATGATTTCAAGGTCCACGATCTTCTCAGAGCGCTTGAGATGAATGGACTTTACCGTCTCGAAACCGTATTTGCGGTAGATGGCCGGGTTGGCAGCATTGCTGCTCTCCAAGTAACAAGCTCTAGATTCGGCATCCGCGCTTCTGGTCACGTACTCGATGCACTTGCGTGCATAACCTTTGCCACGGGCTGCAGGCTTTGTGCCGATGTACACGAGATAGTACGACTCGTCGTCGCGCACACCCATAACTTCGTGCTTGGTATCGTGAAGTAGAGGGAAGAACTCGTCGAAGAAGCGAGTCTTGCCTTCGGCCGAGAGCTTGTACCACAGTCTCCACATGCCGCTGCGCAGAATGGTCAGGTAGTCATCCATGTTCTGACCGGGCAGCATCCTGTCTCACCGTCAGCCTCACCAACAACAGCAGAATACCGCCACGTATCGAAACAAAACTTACCACAAGGCAATGCACCCATAGTCGGGGCCTGCAGCCAACACCAAGCCCTTTAGGATGTGAGCGTACGTGATGTACTCCAGGATGCTCACATGCAGGTCCCACTTCTGCTTTTCGGTCCAGTGGGCACGGTCAGGGACTTCGGTGAAGTAGCGTGCGACATCGTCGTCGGCGAAGGCTTCGGCCAAGCACTGGGCGGCTTGCTTGTACTCGGCCAGAGTAACCTGACGGATCCCATCCCCTCCAGCAGCAACAGCAGCAGTGACGGGCTTGTTGACATTATTCTTCTGGTGACCGACGGTGCTTCCATTCATGGTTGGCTTAGTGCCATTGAGGGCGTGGGTTGTCTTTTGATGCTTGACGCCCTCCATGATGGATTATTGGGTTTGTTGGTACTGCTGCTGTGATTACTGAGGGGGATGAAGGTGCGTCCGGTGTTCTTGTTGATGGCAACGAAAAACGACATCAATATCTGGGCTGTGGCCGATGTGCCTGATAGGGCTCGGAGGGAAAAGCTGTGATGCTTTGTCGTTCTGAAGGGGTGATCGAGATGGGAGGGTGTTGAATGAGGTCGAATGGTTTTCGAATGCAGGTGTTGCGGGAAGCGAGGCTTGTTATTGAGATGAGGAAAGAGGAAGCAGGGAGAATAGGGCTTGGAGGTCGACTGCCGTTATATACATACGTTCCTTTCTCGCCTCATCATCCATGCATAGATAGAGCAACTCAGATACGACCCACGATTAGCTAACGAGTAGCCTCGTCTCCCCACGTTTTTCAATCCAGGCCACGCATGTTGCGGATTCGCCCGCGCTATCACGAGGAGCTTTTAGCTTCAGCATCGCTCCCTTGCGGACGTCTCACCCTTCCGCCGAACTGTGAGACGCCGCGCTGCATCTGATTTCCGAGCCTATGCAGGACCCCCTCTCCCTACCTTCCTCCTCTTCAATCTAGATGCTTCTGCTGTGGCACAAAACACATGGATAACTTGTTCGAAAGCCCCGCTTACTGCAGCAAAAGAAGCAACGTTTTGCACCTGTCCACATGATGAAGCCAGCCAAACAACCCTTTGGGGAGGAAAGTCAAAATGCGGAGCTGCGCGTAGACATTCTTAACTGGGACTAGTCTCAGCAAGCCATCGGAAACCCTGTCGACCTGGGAATCCTGCGTAGATCACTCCGCTTGCTCTTATCTCTGAGGAGATTGGTTACGTCCGCAATAAACGCCCGAAAGGCGGTGCTTCCTTTGGGAGGTTTCGCGATAAGTCAAAAGCCGACAATATCGGACCTTTCGTCTCCGCCCGTCCTCGCCTATTGTTCTATAGTTGAGAGAGACAGTAGGTCTTTTGGGACAAATTGCAGGTCGTTGGTAAGCATGTGTTCCATTGTGTCTTTCATGTCGAGTCCAGCAAAATTTATCCATTTCGTGCTAAATGTGTCTGTTACTCGGCCTCCATCTGACCACTTCTGACGATACGGACTTCCATCAAGAAGAGGGACGGTTGTTATTGTACCGTCTTACAGAAGATATGAAATGTCTTTCCAAGGCGTATAAAATACTGAGAGATGTGACAGCAAAATCTGCAGAGCCAGAGAAGGGACAGACGAGAAAGGTTTGAGTCTCCTTGAAGAACTAGAGAGGCTAGTCTTGCTAAATCACGAACAGTGTTCCTGGAGACTCGGATAGGTGATATTGCTTTTCACCAGCTCTTGGTGTGGATCAAGTAATTCACGTCTCGATGTTAGTAGTTAGGCTCTAGGAGTTTTTATTAGTCATGCTTGGATTAGTCGCTTGACAGATCACAATACGTACCGTCATTCCAGTATAGCGTATCTGCCTGCACTTCCGGACCTGTGGCTCCAAACACCCATCCAAACTTCAACTTGATGTATTGCATCAGATGGCTTGCAAGCTTGATATGCCCAACGTCGGTCGGATGGTATTGAGGTCCNNCTGTAATACCGAATCAGCAAACTGTGTAACCATGCGTTGCTGTTTAACTCACAATGTCATTATGCTGCAAAATACCAGTTGTGTTAAAGTAGTGCACAAAACCAGTGTGTTGGTAGTGAGAATACACCTGCTGGATCTCGTCGATAAAAGCGCCACCTTGCTGCCATGTATTGCCGACTTGATTGAATCCATTCCATAGAGCAATCAATATGATCTGAGCCTTGGGGTACTCGTGGTGTACCTGACCAACAAAATCGATATAACTGCTCAGATACTTTTCGTTGGTAACATTGTTGTGAGTATTGTTGTCGTTAGTGCCCAGATTGATAACCACAATATCTGATTGTTGATGACGCGAAAAGTCCCAGACTGGAGGATTGTCGCCATAGATTACTTCCGAGCGGTGCGAAGTATCGGAAGTTCGAAGCCATTGATATGTCTGGCCATGAGCATTACCCCAACAGTTCTGGTCTACGAGACAGATGCCTGGATATGCTGTGATGTCAAACTCGACGTTTCCTAGGCCTTCAGCTAGACCCCAGGCATAGCTTGATACTCCCTCATAAGTACCGTACTGGCCTGCCGATAGACTGTCGCCGATAATTTCAATCTTTCTGGGAAAGTTTAGGATCTTGACAAGTTTGGCGTTTTTGCTGAGATGGATACCGGCGATCTGGACACCATACGCATAGTTTGTGACGCGGAGCTCGAAGGTCTGAGGCTTTTGTGCTTGAGTCGTAAGGTTGAACCCAACAGTCGATGAATCAACAAGTTGGTGGGTTGTATTGGCAGTCACGTTCGTAAACAACCAGTCCTGACCGGCAAATCGGTATGCGATGAGCACACCTTGAGAAGTGTACTGGCCAAAGCTAATGGCTACTTTGTCCCCAGTGAAGCCAAACTTCAGACCTGGAGCCGACCACCAGGATACGTGTTCAGAATCCCAACGACCTTTGTAGGAGATTTCAGTGGCATTGGGGAGGAAAGAAGTCCAGTTGGAGTTGCTAGCGATTGACGAAATCGTCGTGTCGGGGAAAACTTTGTCCCGAACCTGACCATTCTGGAGGATCGTTGCAGAGCCCAGCAGAGGCCCAAGTGCATACCCCACAAGACTGGATAGGCGCATCTTGATAAGGAACGAAGTAGACAGGATGACTCAATGGGTGTGTAGTGATACGTGAAAAATGTCACAGGAGAAGATAAGGTACTTATACTAGAGCAGCGATGAAGCGGGGTTCAAAGTGTACCTACCATGCATGGTATCACATCAACAAGATAGAAGGCTTGTTGTTACAGAGAGTTCTAAGCGGAGAGTGATACTCCGGGCCTCATATGGGAATGGCCCGACTGCGACGATCTCTGTTGCGAAATTTGGAGGCAGAGGCTCCCTGCTACGATGAGTGGTGGAAGTTCAGGGTTGACTCCAAGCTGCCCCGCAGAGGTTTAGGCTGCATAGCATAGCAGGGTCGGAAGTGTGATGCGCAGAGGGCCATAGATGGGTGATGCAGCTTGGCAGCATACCATACAGAGACGGAGTTTAGGCGGAGATATGCACATGATCCAAGCTTGCATGTCAAACAACGTCACAAATCCAAAAGATTATTGTCCAGACCATCAACACAAAGTATTTACTTTATGGAGCGAGCGTGACAGCATTTTCATTGCATCTTTCTTGTTCTTCTACTGCGCTAGTATATCGTTCATCGCACCACCGTAAACCCCAGACGCAAAAACACGAATCCAACACTCCTTCGGCCAGCGTCGCATGCCTCGACAACAATACTAAGCCCGTTTCTTTATACACCACATGCCCTTCAAACGCAACATTCGCTTTCCTGCTCGCAACACTAGCGTCGACTCAACGACCACAACCATGTCTTCAACCACACAAGATCCACAAGCCTCCACGGCACCCACAGACCTCCTGTCCGAAATGCTAGACCCATCCGCTCGCATCGAAGAACTGTCCTCGGCACAAGAAGAAGAAATCCAGGAAGCGGACTCCGACTCCGACTACGAGACTTCCGACAGTGACGATGGTCAGAATGTACATGGCTGGATGGCCTCCAAGCTCCCACCCAACCTACCTTTCTACTTTGCGTCTCCCGGTCCACTACAAGATGATCTAAAGACGTCAACATCAGTCGCCCAGGAAAAGACAATGAGNGAGGTCATAGACCTGATGACGGGGAAAGGCCAGACCATCTTGGACGTCAACACATATGGTCTGCCACACCTCTTGAAGAACAAGCATGCTGCCTTCCTTCGCACGATATTGGGCAAGTACCCACCGCCGTTCCAGGTCATGGATGCTAGTCGACCGTGGCTGTTGTACTGGGCTCTCAATGGTCTGAGAACACTGGGAGTCGATGTCAGCGAGTACAAGCAAAGGTGCATTGACACCTTTACGCCATTGCAAAACACAGAGGGCGGCTTTGGTGGTGGCTATGGTCATCTCTCTCATGCCGCTGCGAGTTATGCTGCCACGCTAAGTTTGGCCTTGGTGGGAGGTCTCGACATGATTGATCGTAGAGCCATGTAAGTCTCTCCCCTCTCATATCCCAAAGACAACCGCTGATACAAAAACACAGGNTGGCACTGGCTTGGCCAAGTCAAGAACCCTTCCGGTGGATTCAACATGGCCGTCAATGGCGAACAAGACGTCCGCGGCGCCTACTGCTGCATGACCATCCACACCCTCCTCCACCTACCTCTAACTCTTCCCCCTGCCTCCCCAGCCCGAGAAGCTGGCCTCGAAACATTTACCTCCGGCCTCGGTGCCTGGATCAGCAAATGCCAAACCTTCGAGGGCGGCCTCGGCGGCGCTCCAGACAATGAAGCCCACGGCGCCTACGCTTTCTGCGTGCTGGCTTGCCTCTGCCTCCTCGACTCTCCCAGCCAAGCCATCCCCACATATCTCGACACCAGATCCCTAACTCACTGGCTGGTATCACGTCAAGCATCCCCCGAAGGCGGATTCAGCGGCCGCACAAACAAACTGGTGGATGCATGTTACAGCCACTGGGTCGGCGGCTGTTGGTCTCTGCTCGAATCGGCCCTCGCCATCCCCACCGAAACATCACTCTGGCACAGAGAAGCATTGGTTCGATACACATTGACCTGCTCGCAAGCCAAGAAAGGCGGGCTCAGAGATAAACCATCTACCAGACCTGATGGCTATCACACGAATTATTCATTGGCGGGATTAAGTGCTGCTCAGTACATCTACACTTATACTCAAGCCGAGCAAACAGAAGAGCAAGTCACAGAGCCGGAAGCACTTACCGCAGCATTTAGTTGGATTTTCCAGCGGCCCACGCAGCAACAGATGAAGGCATGGTGTTTTGACAAGCAAGATATGGTGGAGCCTGTGCATCCTGTCTTTGTCTTGCCGTTTGACGTTGTCGAAGAGACGAGGGCAAAGTTTGCCGGCATAGTTGGCTTCTAAAGTTATGTTCTACTGGAAGGGTAGATCGTCAGGAGTAGAGAAGTCTACATTTTTGGTTGCTAGCGAGTCGGTTCTTGTAACGTCAGAGACCACAATCATGGAGTAGCGATGTGTTCGTTCTTGCTCTTTTCGCTTGCTTGCATCAGTCTTGTCGTTTCACCTTCACTTGCTCGAGCTTGCTTTGCCACGGTTGTATGTCGTACTGCACACAGCATTGATCACTCGTAAAATGGATGAGTCACAGTATTACAGTCCCAAGACCACATCACTGAATGCCGTTCATGATCGATAGTAGCCTCTAGCTATGCTCCCAGCGCTGAAACCCGTCAATGCTTTGTAAGTCTCGAATGCCCATCTATAGTAGGAGACCCTTGTACACCGCACCATGCATGTCCTCGTTCATTCCTAAGCCTTCTTCTTTCGAGCTCCCTTCTTAGCCGACTTTAGCTCGGTTTTTGCTGATTTCGACTCTACCTTTACTGGTGGAAGCTCTAGCGATTCATCGAGCAGAAGCTCTCCATGGACGATGCTTGCGCCCAGTATGTCCTTCCTGTAGACAGTTTCCCCTTTCTCTTGCATATCAGCCGCGACATTGTCGTCCTTGTCGGCACCAAGATATAGCGTGATAGTACTGGTGTCGAGCTTCGATAAAGGTCCAGTCAGAGGGTTTGTGCCACCGGCTTGTCTGATTATAGCCATAACATCGTCCCATCCCTTCTTGTACGCCGATCGTTGCGCTGGCGTGACATATATGACTTGATCAGTGAAAATCTTGGTGCGGTCCAGGTGTTTGGTGGCTTGAAGCTCCTCGGGCAGGAACTCGGCTGTGTCTAACAAGAAACCAGCAACGACCGACTGCGACACCCAATTGTCTGTAACAATCGTCTTGTTTAATGTCAGACTGTGCAGCAGCTTTGGGGTCTTGAGGAGCTCTCCAGGGCCGACGCACAGAAAATTGGCGCTCTTGATATCCTCGGTCATGCTTGCACCCAGTTTTTTTAGATTTTTGATAATCTCAGCTTTTTCGGTAATTTTGGTGTTCGAGTATAGGATAACAGGAGGATCACTGCTATAGCGTCGACCCAGCTTTGATGGCGACCCAGAATGAGCACTCTCACTGTCGGTGCTCTTGTGCCTATTTGAAACACGTCTGGAGATAGTGCTTGGTAGCTCCTCGTCCAAGCTCTTCCTTCTCGAGGAACTTCTGGTTGGAGCAGATCCTGACGGCGTCTCCAAGCCTTTGGATTTACCTAAACTTCTTCTGGACGCTGTGCTCACCGGCGTGATACCAGTAGTGCCGGTGTCGGCTTCAACAATTTTCGTTCTCTTCGCCGACTGCGCAACGGAACTGCTGTCCAAGACCTTCTTCCTCTTTTTGCCTGTACTGATCAAAGACGGAGTCTGCTGGATGGTGGAAGTGATAGGATCTGATTCGATGGTGGCAGCGTGGTTGTCTGAGACTTCTGTTTTGCGCCTGTCATTCGTGATCTCATCATTTATGATATCCACTGGCGAAGCCACATCTTCAGGTGCAGCGGCAGTTGACTCAACAGCTGGAGCTGCAGTCTGCGATTCTGGCGAGTTCGTTTTCGTCGGCTCTTCGATTGACAAATCCTCACGGAGCTGGCTTGGATGCACAACTGGTCCAGGTGTCTTTTTAAGCGAAGCAGACGATGGCGGTACTTGCGATGGGGNGTTGTCCTCGTTCAAGTTCGAGATGAGCTTGTCAACGCCAAAACTCTGGTTAAAAGGAGATGGAGTGGGCTGAGTCGGCACGCGGAAATGGAGTGCTTCGGAGGGCGAAGTGTCTGGCAGCTCGCCGGTGTGAACGTTGGGCAAATTGGCCATTGAGCCATTGTCAAGATCCGAAACGTGGTCGGGCTGTGGGTGCTCCGGTTGTGTAGAATGTGGGTTCTCCGTGTATGTCTCTTCGATGGGCAGACTCTCGGGAATGGCAGACTCATGCTGAGACCTGATTCTGCGGCGGTTTGGAGTCTCCTTGACCACTTGTGATTCACGTGTGGCTGGACGTGGCGTCGAACTAAAATGCTCACGGCTCGTGGAAAACAGGTGTTGAGACCCTTCGGCTGATGTGCCGCGACGAACGTCTCTAACAGGCTGGACAGCCTCGTCGTGGGTCTCATCATCATCGTCGTCAGTATCTGCTTCCTTCTTGATCTCGCGACCAAAGGCCCCAGGTCCTGAAGATTCGACCTGAACATGAGGGTCCGCTGAGCTCGGGTCAAACATGACTTCAACGCGAGCATCTGTGGCATCGAACTCTACCGTGTCTCCGTGGCGCAACAGTATAGAAAACTGTTTGTTATCTGCATTGAAAGGCAGACAAACGCGTGAAACAAGTTCCTGAACTGGCGGCGGGGTTGAAACGTAAGTATCCACCACATCAGAGCTGAACTGGAGAGCGCCTCCCACAAAGACTAAAACCCATATCGATTAGCATCGCAAAGTGAGGTGCGACATGGTAGATGAAAACTCACTGAATTGAGAGATCCAGTCGCGCCTAGGCTGAGTCTTTTCATCGTAAGGAACGAATCTCCATGTGTCAGCGATCGAGGTGTTCCCGTCAATAAAGATTGTTGCGTGAGAGTCTGGGTAGATATCCTGATGATGAGTGTCGATTTGCTTGCCACCACGGCTAACAAGGTTAACATGCCAGGAAGGCATTGTGGTCCATACTGCTCACAGAGGATGAAAGTGAGGAAGGAGGGTCAGAAGACGAGAAAAGAGCTTAGTAAATCGCGTAGGAAGGTTCTATCGCTGGAGGAAGACACGATGAAAGTGATGGTGACGAAAAAGGAAGGCAGCTCTCGCGACGAGTTGCCTGTGACGCGCATGTGAGAGAGCAGCTACCCCACACTTTCAGCTGCATATGCTCGAGGTCACCCTGTCCAATTCTGCTCGGCCTCTTCCTTTCCTCGTGTGCTCGCTGTCTCGAAATGTACTGAAGATAGACACAACAGTCTAGAATACATGGAAAAAACAACTAACAGCCTTTGTCTTGAAATTGATCTGAGAAGTTTGTGCAACTCTGTAGCTTACATGTTGCTGTGTACTTATCGTTACAAGACTATGAGGGGCGAACAACTTTGGCACACTGAGAGATTGTCAATTTGTGGTTGTCTGATCCTTCTAATTCACGCGATCATCGCCCGGTACTCGTTCCCCACGCGCCGGCAGAAGAGGCATGAGCGAATAGTCAAACTTGAGATCAACGCCATCCAAGGGGATCACACGTCTAATCTTCACACTCGTCCTCCCTTCCTCTTTGCGCCAAGACAGCATCGCTTTCTTTGACTTCTGCCTCCNNACTCTTTCCTGGTCAAGAGAGCTGAAGGTCTTGGAGTTGCACCGGCTCGCGCCATCTTGGCGCCAAAGGGCATCCTGGCTCCATATACCGTCTCGTCCCAGACCGTATTCTCGACATGTCGACATAACTCTTTCTCATCTCCTATGACACAATTGTCTAGCTTATCGTATAGACCATACACACCAGGGTCTTNTACCAGGAGTGATAAGCTGCAGGGATCTGGGCATGTACAAAATGAGCAACCGGCACTCACGTGGGGAAGGAGGCAAATGCTGGACGTGGAAAGATGATTTGCTTGTACCAGATTTCCGGAAACGAATGGTCGAGGTTCCCACAGTTTTGGCTCATGACGACGGTCCTCTGGGACAGCGGGATGGCAAAGTAATACCCGGCTGCACAGGTTGTGGATCCTCAGCTTTAGGTGATGGAGCCTAGGCAAGACGTACCAGATGTCTGAACAAAGGTGATGTGACTCGTACCCTGGTGTTCAATCAGTGCTACCGGTGTCGAGCTCGAGACTGGTGCACGATGCTGGAAGATATCTTAGCAGTAAGCCTAAGACTTCGGTCTCCAGTCTGTATCCTATGGACAACTGGACCATGAGTCTATGCTGCTTGCGCAAATGTTCTTCAAGGGAAATGATCGGACGGTCGTTGACGAAGATTGAGAAAGAGTCCGGAGATGTAAGCTTGGGCAAGATCAGAGTGCTGAAACGACCGATTGCTTTCAGTAGAGTCTGAGTTTGCGGGAAGCCATGCAGCTTATACGTTGCAAACGCATCCGGGTCAAATTGCGGGAAAGTCATTGTAACGACCCCAATGCGCAGAGTCACACTTCGCACGGCTTCCAGTCTGTCGGACGCATTTTTGTGGTTGTCGACGAAGTCTTGGAGCGTATCGTTGTCCAAAACCACATGCGACCATAATATGGGTTGAGCGACGCGCTTCCAAGCTCTGCACACCGAAGACAGGTTCGTAAGCACGCGGAGGCCTTGTTCTTCTCGCAGAAGAACGGATATCGTCCTCAGGATTTCCGGTGGTAGTTGTGCTACGTGGAGATGAAACAATGGACTGTCGAAGTTCTCAGGTAGGGGTGATGTGCCGAGTATGTGATGAAATCTGTCCAAGTAGCCCGCCGGGTTGCAGACAAGGGAAAATGATTACTATAATGGAGGTGATGTGGTGTGAATAGAGGAGGTGTTGTCATCTTGAAGACGATACAGGATCAACGTGGTAGATACATGGGAGGCCTGGACCCTGAGACGTTTCAAGTTTTTGACCATGAATCATGGCAAAATGTTGCAAACAGAGTGATTTGATCTCACCATCGTAGCACTGTAGTCTGATCTTTGAAAGCCAGATACCTCGCAATCTTCCAACTGGATGTGACTCCACGACGAGCGGACCTCAGTGTCACCATAGACAAAAGCTAGCCACCAATCCACATTCAGCAGACACAGTCTCGATGCTTGACCTCTTGAATGTAGACGATCGCACATGATGAATGTAGTCGCAGTACAAGTAATCACGCTGACAAGGCCTATGGCAGAATCTGACTAGCCTGGCGGCTTCAACCCTATATCGCGTTGATCAGACCATCTTCATACATGCGCGAGTTGGGAAGAGTTCACAGACCAGCTATGCCCAGGTCGATTGTGGATGAATAGTCGTGGATCTGAAGTAATGGTATATGGGGTGGCAGGATGCGATGAGAGTGTGTTTCTCAAAATATTTGGGAACCTAATTGTGCGTGACCTCAACAGATAACTCGGACAGGAGTCGGAGACAAAGGCGCCCAACAAGTAGAGAGCATGCTGGGTGCCCTCCATATGAGGGAGGCTTTCATCTACATTTGAAGATGGCCACGGACAGATTTGAACGCGACCCCTGAGCCACGTGGTGTAAGAAAAGGCACAGCCACATACTCCCACGTAAGTTGTCGATTGATTCTGTCGAAATCCAACACCACCAAGCATCACAAGAGTAGTAAAGATGGGCTGGACATCTCTCAGAAAGAACAAGTCCAGATAAGTTAACGAGCAAATAACTGATACACAGAAAAACCCACTCCAGAGCTTTAATACCACGGGTTTGGTCCGCGGTAACACTGAGGCGCAGCCTTGGCGTTGGTTTTTGTGAGCTTCCCAACCACTATACTAAAGGCGTCCCTCTAGCGACCAAACGATGGAAGAGTTGCCGCTGGGAGAATGCCAAAACTGGACGTATATAGAGGTTGACGCAAAACAGCGCCTCGAGGGCCTCAACACCTCCCAAGTCCGCATATTGCTCTAGGATGTGAGAGCTTGTGTTCGTCTCTGTCGTCGCAAAGGCTTGCTTGTTATTAATGGGCGATGGTGATAGAGTGCACCGGTCGCACAACTGCATATAAGCCAAGTCATGGTAGCACACAGGACTGAATAGATGCATGCGTGTATGGAGCGAAGTCGGTGCGTTTGTTCTGTGTGTTTGAACAATCCTGCGCAACTTCAGAAGCGTCATTGCATGGTCTGTCCTTGCTTCGAAACAATCTACTCCTGCTGTTGTTGCTCTTGTTGCGGCTTCCCTTCGTGTCTTTGGTAGAGATGGATCTGGTAGCGCATGTTCTCGAGGTCGATGGGGTATTTCAAATCCTCATCAGGCAGTCTGAACCATCTTGATTCGTCAGAAACCAGCTNTTTCCACTGCGCAGGTGTGCCCTTCTCGGCATCTTTCTTTGGCGACAACAATGTGTGGTCGAGCAGCCATTGCATAGGATACTTCTGCGAGGCACCATTGAGTGTGACGGTAGAATAGCTTCCAGGGCTATCCACAACCAGCAACAGAGATCCAGGACGCATAGAAGCTGTCAATGCATATAAGAGCCTCTGAGTTTTTGGTACCGAAGTGCTGTACAGCTCGTTCAGTGTAAACATTATGGTGACGATGTCGCTGTTGGCAAGCATGTCGTTGACTCCAGCAGCATCAGTGTCCAAGAGATCTTGCTGCTTGAAGCGGACATTGAAGGTTTCTGAAGGTAGGACAGCCTTGTTGGCGGCTTTTGCAGCTGCAGAGGCATACTTTGAAAGGAATGGAGGATTGATGACGCCTTGGTGGAGATCTTGCATGACTTTGTCCCAATTGGCAACATCGACACCGAAAATGTCGAGTTTGGAGATGTTAGGCTGGGGTTTGTCGTCAGAAGGAGGTGCATCGTCTTGCAGGTGTCTGAGCCAGCCAGCAAGACCAACAACCTCAGCGCCTGCTCCACCACCTAGACAAAGAATGTTCAGAGGTTTCGACGCGTCTGCACTTTCTCCCAAGTTCAATTTGCTCTCGAGTTGTTGTGATAGCTGTGAAGTGTCCTTTCCTGGCTCTCCAGTCTCGGACGACTTCTGGTTGAGGAGCTCAGCGATCTCAGGAGAGATATCGGAAAAGATCTGAGCATAACCCAGTGCTCTGCTAGGACTCCATCGTGCGGCATATGCCTCGAGATATTCATCCTTACCAAAAGCAGTAGCGAAGTCACGGTTGAAGAGGTGACCCTTTACTTCTTGTAAGATGTCTTCAATCTCGGCCGGCGAACCCTTGTTACAGGCATCACGGAAGACATTCAGCAGCGACTGCTGAACAGAGGTTGGAATGGCATTGCTCTGTTGGTAACCCTTTTCAACTGGCAAAGGAATTGGCCCTTTGTTTTGCTTAGTAGCTCTCTGACGCTTTTGCAGCGGTTGCCATGATGATTTGTCTCTGGGCATATTGTCGAATATGGATGAGATGGTGTTGCACGACAGAATAGAGATTTAGTGAGCAGAGGCTGCTGCGAGAAGCGTGTCGAGGCAAGTGCAGCCGAGGCGCGTCATGCCGAGCTTGACAGTTGCAGCACGAAGCAACACCCCTTTAGCATTGCTACTTGCTGTCAGTACGACCTGATCTGGGAATCTGCTAAGGAATAAATCATGGCCGACGTGGACGACAAGGAAAAAGCCGAGAAGCTTGCCGCTGCAAAGAAGCGCGTACGTGGCCTTGATCAGCACAAGACAGCCAAAAGCACCACGAGCTAAACATATGCACAGTTCGAAGAGTTGAAGAAGAAGCAAAAGGGAAAGAAGGGTGGAAAGAAGAAGGCAGACAAGGCCGATGCCACAGAAGAGAAGGATGATGCGACAGCACAAGACGGCCAAGCAGCAGACGCTGATGTCGATGCCCCTGCCGAAGGAGCAGCCACCGACAACACACCAGTAGCCGCAGACACAGCAGAAGACGCAAACGCAGAGAAGACGGAAGAGACGCTTGAAGAAGCTACAGCATCGGACGAGACCCCCACCGAACGACCAACACACGAGCGCAAACCATCCCAGTCCGAGCAGTCACGACAGCGATCAGCCTCTTTCAGACAAAACTCGGGCCTCACGTCGCCCAGCCTGTCCAAATCGCCTGCTCTTCCGTCCATCAGTGCCGAGGACGAAGTCCAAGACATCTACCGCAAGCAAGCATCACGAATCGAGGAGCTGGAGAAGGAGAACAAGACGCTGCAGGATGCCCAAGCAAAACTTCAGAAGGTCGAGGACGAGCTGGAGCAGTTGAGAGAGAGCAGCGGCGATATTGCCGAACTCAAGTCTAAGGCTGCCTTGGCTGACAAGCGACATGAAGAGATTGAGAAGCTGGTATGAAGCCTTGAAGAGGGTGCCATTTGCAGAGAGACTAACATGCTACAGACATCCGACTTGACATCGGTACAGCGACAGCTCTCACAAGCTCAGCAACAAGTAGCCGACAAGCGACGCAAGTCTAACGCAAGCCCTTCACGCGAGATACAGGCCCAGCTGGCATCCAAGACATCGACGATCGAGTCGCTGGAGTTGGAGCTGTCGAATCTTCGAAACCAATACAACATGTCGCAATCGTCCGTCTCGGCCCACGAAGCCACCATCAAGGAACTGGAGCAGCGTGCAACCGCGGCAGAACAAGCCTCCGAAACAGCACAGAAAGAGATAGGGACTTTGAAAGAGACCATCAGCAAGCCCGTCGAGACAGAAAAGAACGATGCTGAAGACCCGGCTGCACTCCAAGCAAAGATCACGACTCTAGAATCCGATCTACGTGCCGCCCAGTCGTCTGCCGACACTGCTACCAGCCGCGCCAGCTCCCTCGAACAAAAGATCGAGGCCTTGACAAAGTTACACAAAGACCAAACCAGCACCCACGACTCTCAAATCAAGGACTTGACTTCCAAGCTCGTATCGCTGAAAACATCCCAAACGCCCACTGCGAACGATACAGACTCCATCACAGACGATGCCAATGACCTTGAGCGCGAACAGTTGCACCAACGCATCCGTGATCTCGAAGCCGAGAACACCGATCTTCGCCGTGGCGTATGGCGCGATCAAAGAGCTGCCTTGCAACCAGACATCAACGACGCCTCACCAGGCTACGAGGATGTAGATCTCAGCAACCCCTACGCTGCACCGTCATCTGCACAACGCCCTCATGCCCGCACAGGTAGCAGTTTCCAAGACGTGCTGCAAAGCGGCATCAGTGCTTTCACTGGTGGCCAAAGGAAGCAATCGCTGGGTCTGTTGAGCGAAGAAGACTTTGATGAAGATTCATTCCGCGTCGCCCAGGAGGAAGAGGGTAAGAAGAGGATCGAACGAATCAGAGAAGTAAAGCGTGGGTTGGAAGACTGGAGAGGATGGCGTGTAGATCTCGTGGACCTAAGGGCAGGAGGTCTAGGTGGTGGTGCAGCCACTGGTCCCGTGTTTGAAGTTTGATCTCACTACACTCATCATTAGAACCTGTCATCTGACCCGTACGACTTTTTGCTTCTTACCCTTTCCCTCTCAGTCTCGACCATGTCGTTTTCTTTTTCTTCCTCTTGTCTCATCGTCATGTTTACCTTGACCTTTATCCTCTCCTTCGTCTCCCAGACTCACGTCTCCAAGTTCTCTAGTCTTGCCATGCCCCCTTTTGACACTGAACTTCACCTTTGGCCTCTGACCCTCTCGAAACCTCAATCCAAACACCACGACCAAACTCGGGTCTTCAGGGTCCCCACACACGATTTTCAGTTTCAGGATGCTGGGGTGGTAGTCTTGTTTCCAGTGGACGTGTTTCTTTTCTCTAGTGGGCTTTATGGTTGAAGATCCTGAGGATGAGGATGAGGTGGTGGTTGGAGAGAGGTTCAGGGGTGATGGTGGGTTGTTGGGATCGGGATCTGGTTGCGGGTGTGGGTAATGTTTTGCTGTTGTTTGGAGGGGTGTTGGTTTCTGGTGGGGTTTTGCTGATTTTGGGTAGGGGAGGAAGTAGGGATGCATGGTTGATAGCTGCTTCCTTGTATGCGGTACATGAAAGAGAGGAAAGGGAAAGTAGAGGATGGAGACATTATATGGTTTAGAAGGCGAGCTTGTTGCCTCAGTGTTCAAGTCATAGGGGCGGGACTCTTGACCTTTATGGTATTGCCTCGTGCGGTGCGTCAAGGGTGTGTCGTTGCCTGCTGATGATGTGTCTTGGATGTGTACCTTGGTGGTTTCGTCACGTGCTTTGGTACTTACAGATATCTCTTCTTATTAGCTAAGAATAGTGTGGAAGGAGGGGTAAACATTCTTTGTGGTTGCAGAGTACGATGCTTTGATTTGTTTAGTCTAGTCTACTCTAGGAAAATGGGCGTAACAAGTATCGGACAATTTTCAGAAGGATTTGGCAATCAAGTCTCCAATCTCAGCCTCTGACAAGCCCTTGACACCAAGCAACTCGTTGTCATTCTTCTCACTCCACAAATTGCCATAGCCATCTTTGAAGATTGAAATTTTGACAAAGTCCAACATAGCACTACCGATGTCTCCATTTTCCTTGCTCAACTCTGCATAAGCATTCTTCTCCACCTGTGCAAGATCGACCTTCTCAGTCTCGGCCTTGAAGTCAGGGTTGACCTTTTGCGCAATCTTCAAGGCTTGGTTCTGGCTGAGGGCAACGGTTTGAACATAAACTCCACGGTTCTTGGTTTCTTCTGGGTGGTTGAGGATACCGGCTACAGCTTTGCCAACGTCACTGAGAAGAGTAAAGCTGTGGACACTGTTGCCGTTGTCGTTGATCTGAGTCTTTCCCTTGAGGTTGATGAGCCAGCCCAATCCAATACCCCAGTCCAGGAACAATCCGTTGGTCAAAAGGGTATAGCTGATTTGATCCTGCTTGGCACGCAAGTACTCCTGCGTCTTGACTTTGCCGGCAAAAACAGGCAGAGCACGAACATCCTCATTGCCAACAATATTGCTGCCAAACTCTGAAGGGATAAATCTCTGGACGCCAGCAGCGATAGCGGCATCAATGAGAGCAGGTTGATCTTCATGCTTGGGGATTGCCGAGATAAAGGCTTCTTGGCCGCACAGAGCAGAGACCAGAGAGTCTTGAGAGGAAAAGTCGATTTTGGTAACCTTGATTGCTGAAGGTAGACCAGAGGCGTTGCCCGAGGCTGTGAGGACGGTGACTTCGAAGCCTTGGTTGACTAGCTCGTTGACAATGTGAGGACCAAGGTTGCCAGTGGCACCTGCGATTGCGACCTTCTTGAATGCCATTGTATATGTCTTTGTCGGGTTGATGATGCGATAGTGAATCGAGTGTCCTGAGGATGAACAGATGATGGGATGATGGTATGGACCAACCTGAAGAACCTACATGTGCTATATACCTATTCGCACTGATGATGAAGAAGCACACCATATTTTGCCATTCCGCTTGTTGAATCAACATCGACAGAGACATTGAATAAGCCAAAACGAGCCCTGTCTTGGCCTCTGTAAGCAACGAAGCCAAAAGGCTTGAGTGGCCACAACGCTGAGCGGCGTTGTTCCGCTGGATTTGGTCATCTTCATCATGCAAACGCTGGGACGAAGTGGCGCAATCTCGCAGACCACCAAACATGATGTGCAATCAGCTTCGGATTCATCAGCGAATCTATATCAAGTGGTGGTTGAAATTCACACATCCCGAATCAGTTGAGGTCGACAAAAGGTTGTGAAAAGTCATGCGGACTCATCTCCGGTTGAAGCCTTGCGACAGCTTTGTCATCAGCCACGAGGACCTTTGGCTTCTGGTCACAACACCCAACAGATCGCCTCGCTCTTACTTTACAACGAACATTTATTGGGAGGCTCCTGAGGCATGCTCTTGTTACATGACTGGTGACAGCTCGCTGACTTTCCACGTGAGGATCCGGTAGGCATCGTAGTGCGGCCGGACGCGACCTCCGAGCCCCAAACTCGAGAGTCGACCGCGCGCAACATCCTGAAACCATTCTTGAGTCGCGGTGTTTCCGTAGCAGACTCAGACTCGAGAAGTCTTCCCGGGACCCGGTCACTGCCGCTGTCATGCCTTGATATAGCCATTTGATCTCGGCCATGTCCCGTCGCGCTCGCTGTTCTCGACCAAGAAAATAAATTAACGACCGATAGGCGAGCTACTTGGACGATCCTCTTGAAGTCCCCACTTCGCGATGGCTTCGACGTCCTGAAACCGCCATGACCTTGGTGGATTGAATTCAAGCCTCAGTCGATTCATGGCAACTTTTTAGGGAGTCGTGCATCCGCCTGTAGAGTTCTTCTTCCTTCTTGGCTTTCGCAACCTCCAGGATGTCTCTGCTCAGTATCTTCAGCCGTCGCAATGAAGGCTCGTCAACGTACAACCCGGTATCAGAGGACGAGGACAAACTGCTCGACGAACCTACACAAACGACCAAAGCTGAGCTAGAGAAGCTCAAGCAAGCCAATGCCAACCTGAAGCGCGTGCTGGCCGTCTTTGCTGCCTTCTTCCTAGCCTTCCTCGGTCTTATAGCATTCAAGAGCTGGGAGTCGCATGAAGATAGCCTTTTGTTCCCGCGCATGCTCAAATCGCCTGTGCCGCCCAGTTAGCAAACCCATCTGCCATGACTTCTTCATCGCTGATAGTTCTCNCCAGTGCCCATGAACATCCAGACCTTCGAGCGCAATTCGCTCTACGCAGACCGCCCCTCTCCTGAATCCGATGCAGCCTGGAACGCACTCCTCCCTGAAGGCCGCGGCTTCGTCTATGTGCCCGAATCAGAAAAATATGCTCTGCCACCGGGTGAAACGACCTTTTACGGCGAGATATACTCCGTGTCTATGTTTCATCAACTGCACTGTCTAGGCCAACTGCGCAAATACTATTGGTTGTTGATTGATGGAGTCTCGAGCAACAGCACAAGCTTAAAGCCGATGGTAGAGGGCTTGTTGGGACCTTCGGGAGAGCATGTATCGCATTGTTTTGATTACTTGCGACAGACGCTGCAATGTGCGGGTGATATGGCATTGGAATGGCCAAGGAAAGAGGAGGATGGTAGTAGGTTTGCTGTAGATGGTTGGGTAAGTCATACGTCGTCTTTGGGGTGAATGTATGCTGATTTTCGATGCAGNGGTATCCCTCATGAATGCAGGACCTGGGATCATATCGTCGATTACATGAGGGGATCGTACTTCAATTTGTCCATGAACAGCGACATTGCGCCCGATCATCCTATGCATCCTGAGGGCATGGCGAAGTTATGATACAAGAACGATCTATCAAACAGAGAAGCAACAGGTCTTCTCCGATGACAAACACAAAGTATTGTTATATACCTCGATGACCTGTGACCAGCTTGTGCCATAGAAATCCACTACAACGCTCGAATAGCGTTTGTGAAAGATACGTCGAGAACATATACCTCATATCTCCAATCGCCCGCCGACCAGTCTCTATCTCGAGATCAGGAGAGTCTGACGTCGCTTTACGTCAGTTCGCGAGAAGGGAAGGTGCATTCCAAACGCATATCTACGAGCTTGAACAAGAACATCGCATTAGAAAAGGAAGGTGCACATGAGATATCATTGTTGAAGGGTTTAGATTTTCGGAGCAGTTATGTCATGCTGACTCCCAAGCACGCCGCATTCACTGGAAATCTCCAGCCTAGCCATATCTAGTAGATGTCGCAAAAACCAGTATTGGCTTCTGCGTGTGCTGTAATGTCTATCGCGAACATTTCCACGTCCTCGCGCTTGTTCTGTGGTTGTATCAATTTCCAACATTGTTTTCCAAACAGCCCATGTTTCATCTTTTGTGGATACAGCTTTACCCAGATATGAATCTACTGTACTTCGAAGTTGAAGTTGCAGCAGACACCTTTCGATTTCGAAGGTCCCATCCTAAAGGTCTTTCGTCTCCGGAGCTTGTGGATTCAGTAGATGTTCTTCTGATGTTCCAACCAGAATGCTCGCTGTGGTACTCTGCATACCCTTTCTCAGTTTNTTGGCAGTTTGCAGGGCCATCGCGGATCATACTGTGCCGAGGCGAGGTGTTTCCGCCGGGCACCCATTCGCGCCGTTCGAATGGTTCGTCTTGAGTATACCCGACTGAATATCTTGTTCTTGAGGTTGGCGAACGCGGTGGTGATGTGGTTGATCTTCTCTTGAGAGCGGGTTTGAGAGATGAGATGGATGACGATTTGAAGATACCTCTCAGAGATGCGGTTTTGCGACCTGGAGACAATTTCCAGATGACCGGGTTGAAGATCACTGAAGATTCTGGTGTGATTTCCTGGTCTGCAGTGGTAGACTCGATCGAGCTTTTGGGCGAGTGTTGTTTGTCGACGAGGGTGCGGACTTTGTCGGCTAGTTTTGATGTGGTGGAAGTCCAGCTTGCTCTTGAGATGACTTTGGGTCGAAGGTCGTTGTTGTGTTCTGATGCGGTGCAGAGCATAGAGTCGCGAAAGCTTTGTGAGACCTTTTTCGCGGCCTTTTTTGGAGAGATCGCTTGCCCGTGAGATAAGGCTGTTTTTGCTGGATGGACTTGTAGCTTCTTNNCGCTTGTGATGCTTGCCTGGGCTCTCAACTTTTGTTGGACAACGTCAACCGTGGCGCTCAACTCCTCTTCCAGGTTCAAGAGCTTTTCGCACGTCAGCTCAGTGTGCTTGTCATCCAATTTCTGTCTGTAGGTCTTCAATTCATGAGAAAGTTGTTTTATCGAGGGCGCAGTGCCACCGAAACTTGTCGAGTTGAATCTGGTGAGCTTTGACAACATCTTGGGCACCCGATGAACGTGGTGATGACCTTTTGCCAAACGCTCCTTGTAAATACATATCGAATCTCGGATGCGCTTTTCTGGCGAGGAAGAGATAGTATATGACACGGGGAATGGGGTGTTATCGTAGTGGACTTTCAGATACTGCTCTTTCTTCTTTTCGATCGACCATGTCTCAAGGTCGTTCTTGCACACTTCTAGAATGTCGATAGGATCCATGGCTTGGAACCAAGGTTCCGAGGTTTGAGGCTCGGTGGTTCTGGATTCGGTGTTACAATCCATTTTTGATATGTTGGATGTTGCTGAACTCTTTCATAGAATCTTCAAGCAGTATCTTGTGGTTGGGCTGTAGGAAAGCTGGAAGAGAAAGAGACCAGAGTTGAGAGTCCATGATGTACTCGATGCACAAACGAAGCACAGATTTTCTCCTCGTGGCTATCGTTAATGTGCTCATGACTACCTAGACTTGGCGTCGTCGTATAGGTAGAAAATAAAGAGGTGCCAGTGTGCGACCGCGAATTCTCTCATAGATTCGAAATGATTCAGAACCAATCAGTCATACCGTGCTGTATATAACGATACAATGCCCATCTTGACCAACCGCGATTGTTTGACTCTTTCGGTCTGATCCAAGTCCTGTCAAGATGAATGCCGACCATATCGCCAAATTGCCGATGGAGTTGATTCTTCACATCTGTCGATATCTTCCTTTGCGAAGTATTGCGTGCCTGGCTCTGACCAAGAAAATGTATTATCATACTCGGATTTTGCAAAACTTATGGCAGCCGCGAGTGAAACCAGAAGAATCAATATTTTACGGTCCCACGGATTTTGGAGCACGCGACACCGGGCCGGAACGGGAAGAACGAGAGATGCTCTACCTTCGGAAAGACATTAACAACCATGAGTTGTTATGGTTTCTCGACTTGCTGCATCGCAATTTGCCAGATCACTGACTTTGCGATCTTTGTATGAAGGTGCATTGGCGAGTCGGCTACACCAAGAATTACATCCCTTATCGCTCTTGTGGCAAAGACGAAACCGAAGGATTGTTCTTCTGCCTACCGACATGGAACTACCAGTTTCCATTCCAAGACGCGCAGCAGGTTGTCAAGCGTCACAAATTGGGGGCGCCTCATGGAACCCCTCTTACAATCCTTCGTAGAGAGCAAGAATGGGAGACCGTCAGCGACTGGCCAACCCACCCATCCGTCGCCCCGGATGACCAACTACCCTTGGTCTGGAACAAACAATTGGAAGCCACACCTGAGGTTGTGGAGGACGACAAAGGTCCGTCGTTAAATCTGCGGGTAGAACAACGTCTCTTCTTCCCTGACGAATACATGGAAGTCCTCAAATTGAGGTTGCATGACTGGGTCAGAGAATTTGGCCAAAGGGCACAGGCTCACTTTTCAGTCTGCTGTCATCAGCATGAGCATGACATTGGGAGGCATATTGCTGATTTGTTGGAAAGTCCAGAGTCTTCGTGGAGAGCCGGCTCAGAGTTAAGACATCGTGACGTGTGCTTGACCAAGTATGCCTTCTCCATTCTTGAAGGTCGTTGCGAGGGCAGTTTCCAGGTCACCTCGTCAACATGGGTCTTGCTGGGATCCTGCAGATTTTCGTTNTCACCTGCATGGCTGACTAGCTCGTGGCTGTCAAGNAGGACTGAGTTGGACAGGGCTGTGATTCAGAAAAGAATGACTGTTTCTCGTCCTTCTGTTATGCTCTGGCACCTGCTGCCCTCATGGTTCGACGAACCCGAAAGGGCACGATTTAGGATAGATTCGGTAATCACCATTGTCAAGAGCAAGTGGAGCTGAGACAAGAAGGTGACAGATACGGCTCAGTCCTCTGACGCNGAGTTGGGGTGGAGCTCCATTATGGAAACTTGGATCAAGCGAATCTGGCGAAGCACAAGGATGTGCAGTGCAAGAAGAGAACAGAGAGGCTAGAACAAGGTACAGAAAAAGTCTTCAAAGCGGGCGACTTGGGGGAGGTTTTTTGGTCGTATATCGTTATTGAAATTGTGTAGTCGTGTATATATCACCCCGTCCTTCGAGTCAATCTCTGTCGCCTGATTTCCGCCATACGACATCTTTGTTGACGCTCATAATCAGGATCATGGTTGGCTTCGTCCGGCTTTTCGTCAGATGTAGAAGCATACGTCGATCTCAAACTGGGCACATGTGTGTATTGCTGCTGAGGTGCAATGATCTCTCGCTGTGCGGCCCTTTTTGGTGCGTTGTCTTGAACAGCGATCGTCTGTGGAGCGAGCTCTTCTGTTCTTGATGCTTCAGGCTTGGTTTTCCGTGGCATAGCTTGCTCAAACTTGGCCTTTCTTCTTCCTTGTGCCTGTCGTAGCTCTTCCAACATTTTCACGCACTTGACCTCCTTCTGATCCAGCAGATAGAGACGTCTGTTGTCCTCAGCTGTCCCTTTATTCTCGGCCTGTCTTTTGTGGATCTCAGCCCTCTGACAATGGATCTCTCTTTCGTTATGCAAGATCTCGCTCAGCATATCTTCAAGCTCGATTGCGTCATCTGACTGCTCGTTTGTTGATTCTAGGTTGTCCTCGGTTTGGCGATTGTGTTCTCGGTTGATGTAATCCTCCATCACAATCAACAGATCCCCGAACAGAAGGTTGGCGGCTTTACACGAAGGAGGCCTAGTGTCATCGAGCCGGATGGCCAGCTCGAAAGCCCGACGGCCGATCAAACCGGCAAGTCTAGGAAAGCCATAGAAACCTCTGCTGAGCCAGAATACGAACTGCTCATCCCACAGTAAAAGGATGTCCCGATTTGACTGAGCAATCTTGATGACGTCTCGTTTGTATTGATCGAATTCTTTCAGACCAATGCCTCTGAGTCTTGGAGGTTCGTTGTTGGCGAAGAACTCCGAGAGTCTCTTCTTGCGCTGGATTTCCTCTGGCTGTGCGTCGACGTAAGCTTTTACGATTTCCAAGAACTCGGAGTATTTGAGGCCTCCGCGACTAAGACACTCTCTTTCGACTCTGGTGCGGAAGCTCTTGGGTACGCTGCCATTGGAACAGAGCCACGCTATGAACTGGTTCATCGTCAAAGAGTTGTACTCCAAAGGTCGTAGGCAATAGTTGTAGAGGATGTCGAAGACCTCAAGCTCCCAGCGTCCGACTTCCATAGGTTTGAATGATTGTAGAACCGGAGGGCGCCATTTCCACTCATGTGCAAAGATGGTAAAAGCATCTTCCTGATCCTCCGTGTATCGCCTTGATACAGCCTCGAAGTCGTCGATGACCAGATTGATTCCCACGACACTGTTCAAAGGAAACCCTTCGCGTACACCGTCCGGCTGAGTGTCGTCCGAGGCCCAGTCCATCATTAATTGTGCAATTCCGATCACTCGAAGATCGCGGTTTGACATCAAGCGGTGGCCATAGACGGACAAATGTTGGTCTCTGAAGACGGTGTTCACATCTGGGTTTAAGACTGTTCCTTTGGGCGGATCTGGAAATGGAGCCTTTCGCGATGCCGCTGTGCTGGCCTTCGGATTGAGCTTTGATCTGGTGAGCTTGGCTCGCTTTCCCATGTTGGCAGTGACAGCAGGTGCGAAAAGTAGCAGAAGTGGAGTGCAAGCGGATTCGTCCTAGTTTATATTGTTGACAGCCTTGACAGTGACGCTTGTGGATGTATATTGGTGCTGCGACTAGTATAGGTTCACGCCAGACATTAACTATGATAGGATCGTCTCATGGTCCTGGCGAGCGGGAGCAGGAAAGAGGTTTGCAGTATAGGTCGATCGGCTGATGTCGGTCTGTCTGTCACGGAAAATTCGCGTTGACCAGCCAACATTGGTTCGCGGCTTCCTCCATATTGGACATAGGAGACAATTTTCAGTCACTAATCAATACACTTCAGTGAGCGAGACGATCATGGAAACATCGATTATATCACAATGGCCTGTGAGTCGAGGACCTGAAGACGAGTTGATATATTGTGACAGAGGCACATTGATGCGAGGGGTGAAGTTACCATCGCGAACGCGTCAAAACAAGGGCTTCCATACCGACCCTGCCTATCCTGGGTAACTTCTGTCAAGACCTCGAATAGTTATTGCGAGACTTTTTCGTCGGTGAAGGCACGCGCTACTAATACATTCGCGCTCTTCGCAGTGCTATATGCAAATCTTGTGTGGCCGATGAGACTGAGAACCAACACGCCTTCTGCCTGATGCTGCCTTGAGCCTCAAGCCACTTTCCCCAGATTGGGCAAGCATCAGGCAGAACTTCGTCGCATCCTCCATCTTTTCACCAAAGACAGCGTCTCATCCCGTGTATCTCAGGCTGCACCGTCGCCACCTGAGTCGTAAAATGGAGAGTAAGGGAAGCATATAATACACAGTATGGTAGGTTGTTTTGTAAGTCGAGCCATCAGCAACAGAATCCATCCACATCCACCCATTCTTCAACCGCCTTGTCCTCATTATGTCTTTCTGCGGAACCTCGATGCCTTCAGGCCTCAGTCCATCACAAAGACTACAAGTAATGGGCACCTATATGTACTCGCAATGCTCGACAACAGCTCTTACACTGGCAAGGTCGCTGCTTGGCCAAAAGAGAAAATGCGATAGTCCTGAAGCCAACCACGACATCGAAGAATTAGCAACCGGACCCGAGGCACCTGCATCTTTTAGAAATCTCCGAAAGCGCGCGCGAGTCTCTTACGTGGAGCCCACCGAGTTCGACATCGAGAGCGACGCAGACTCGGGCTACAACTCGGACTCGTCTGTCGAATGGGGCTCCCGTGCGAAGCAAACCAAGCGCCCACGCAAGGAAAAGCCTGTGAAGCCATTCCCCTTCTTGTCTTTGCCCACCGAGCTGCGCAACAAGATTTATCTGCTGGCTCTGGAGGATCCTGATGGTATGGTGCTGAAGGAAGGCTGGCGTGCCTACCGTCGTGTGCCTCAGCGTGGCCAATATCATGGTTACAACAACAAAGACAGATATGCTGGTTTAGCAAATCTCGTCGCCACTCGTTCTCTCGATCCTCAGGGCAATGACACACCGAACTCAACCGTGTGTACTCTGCTGCCCTCCCTGCTCGCTGTGAGCAAGCAGATCTACGCCGAAGCTGCAGCCATCCTTTATGCGCAACCTTTACACTTCGAAAATACAACAGCTTTGCACAGCTTCCTAGCGCCATTGAGCAGCCAGACCGCATTCCTCATCCGCAGCATAACCATTCATACATACGAGACCTGGGGACGCGGAATACGCAAGGCAATGAACGTTTCGGCATTGACTCTTCTCCGCAGCTGCAGCAATCTCCAAACGTTGCGCATTGAAGCCTTCGATCACTACGATCACTGGGGACGGTACGGCGCCAGACCATCGCCTCAAGAAGCTGGCAAGCGCGAAGGCTCTCGGATAGCACAGCAAATCTACCGTGACGCTGCATTCTGGTTGGACACCATCAATGCAGACAAGGCACTACAGATCTTGGATCTCAAAGGGCTGCAGCGAGAGATCTACTCCCACCCTCAGCACCCTGAGGAGTATGAGAGGGGCGTGGAAACACTCAAGCTGGCCAACGTCGCTTATGCGGACGAGTTGACGCTTTTGATCAAGCGAACAGGCAAGGCTAAGAAGAGCAGCAGGAAGTTCAAGGCAGCCCGTTCTAGTAGTTAGAAATCTCACAGACATAGACAGCTAAAGGAGCTGATGCACTGTCCGCTCGATATGCACATCTATCGTATACCATTTCCACAAGTACTGTACCATTCCATCTAATCCAGTTTCATATCGTAGCATTCTATCAATCATGTCCACCACTTCTTTGCCACCAATCAAAGTCACACTACCCAGTATTCTCGTTATTGCGGAAATAACGATCACGATATCGGTTCCTCCAAACACGAATCCTTCGACATATACGGTCGAATATCTCGCTGACACGACACCATCCATCTACCGAACCTTTCGTACTCAGGTCTACCCATAACAAAGTAAAACAGCCTTTGTCCTCCTTACAAGGGGTCACACGAGCGGGTTGGCCCTCCATTACAGGAATGGTTTAAATCTGTATGAACAATTCTGCCAAGTCCCGATTTTCTCATAGAGATTTTGACCTATTTTGTAGTGGAGGGGCCAACCATTCTGTATCCCTTTGTATCGCACCAACCCCAACCCTCCCCAAGAAAAACCCATACTTTCCCACCTTCCCATTGGCTGCCTAACACCCCTCCACCATGCATGCATCTGCAGATCCGAAGAGAATAAACCGGGTAAAGGTACTTGTGTACTGTACGAAAGCCAACGGAAAGAGTTTAAAACCAGAGGTCAGAAGGTGGGATACTGGTGTACATGTCAGGTACAACTGACGGTGGATGATCGCAAGAGCTTCCAACTCCTCGGGTCTGGCTCCGGTTGTCCGAGGTATGCGTGTGGAAAGAGAGAAGCCGCGGTTGGCGTTGATTGGTTCGGAGTGGGCTGCGAGGCTGGTAGCTGGACTCTTTGGTTTGAGTTTTGAAGATGGAAGAAGATCATGACGATTGAGTGGCTCATGGGGTTGATTGCATACGGTATGCTAAGTTACCAGGGATGAGAGACTCAGAGCAGTGAGTGAGCAGAAAGAATTGATTATTGAAAGATGGATAGATACAAAGAGCAACTGATTGCGCCGACTATATAGACAGATAGATTACCAATCTCCCAATTGATAAAGGACATATAGACAAAGATGGTGGTGGGTATAAACAAGAAGTGAATGTACAGTCCCAGAAAAAAACGCGAATCATTATATCATTCCCTTATGAGACTCGAAGAGCTGCAGTGGTCTCTCCCCACATGCTGCTCAACATGCTGTGCTCATCGGAGGTCAGTTGTGGCATTATTATGCCTGCATGGTAGGCTTCGCTTCCATGAGTGCTGCTGCCACTGCCCCAGTCATTGCCAAACAGCTCATCACCAGTAGCAGTGCCATCCTCGTCAGTGCCAATGCTGAAGACACTCTCGGGGTGGGCGACACTACCAGCCATGCTGCAGGTCATGGCGTTGATGTCAGAGTTTGTGACGGTCCAGACGTCAGNGGGTGACTGGAGCCATTGGGGAGCCGGGTTGGGCAAGCTTGAAGCCATGGGGGTAATGTGCTTTACATTTTGGTGGTGGTGGGCGTCAAGAAACTCAACAGGTGGACCGCCATAGATGTTGTCAAAGATATTGGTTTGGCCGTTGTCCAGCGAGCCGAGCAGGCGTTCCCAATCCGAAGGTTCTTGCTTGATGGATGCGTGAGCATCAGGTGAGTGTGTCCGGGTGGGAACGTTGCTGAAGGAGAGATAGTCTAGATTGAGCTGCTGCTGAGAGAAGGATCGCACTGGTCTTAGGTTTGGTGGCGCTGATGGTCGGGCGGACGCGGATGCGGGTAGTGGTGCGGNGGAAGGATTGGCGGGGCTATATGCAGGTTCGGAGGTAGAGACCTGGGGTATGATGGGCTGGCTCTGTGTCTGGATCGCATTGTGGTGCAGTGAGATGTTCGGGAATGTCGCCCGCCTTTGATCATGACGATCGAAGGGATTCTTGACCATGAGCCTTTGAGCTGCTGCCTTGAATCGATTCTTCTCTGTTGGAGAAGCATTTCCATGGTTTGATGAAAAGCCCAAAGGACGAACAGCGCCATCAGAGTTATGGCGCGACAACGGCGGTTGTTGCTGTTTAGCTGTAAGCTGTGCTGAGATGGCTGGACAGGAAGGAGTGAGCTTTTGGAACTCCGTTGCAGAGGGTGCCTTGGTCTGAGTCAAGATATTGACGACAGCCGAAGTCATCTTTTGGTTGTCCTTGACCAGCTTGCTGCTCTCTCCGAGTTCCAGACTTTGGAAAAGAAGTCCCAATCCAGATAGGACAAGGAGCTCATCTTTGTTGATACAGAACGAGAAGGTAAGTCCTCTCTCGCTCAGCAGTTCGACAATCTGAATACTGTGTTTAGAGGATCCGGCCACTGCAAGCAGGGACGAAGAAGCTCGTGGGCCGAGGGAGGCGCACACTGCTGGTCGGTGGATAAGAGCGCGGATGAAGTGGTAAGTCAATGNACTGTGAAAATTAGCCAATGTTTTTGTTGTGACGCCCGGATGACATACCAGCAAAGGAGATCGGCTGCTAACAGTTCCGGTAGTCGGTTTGTCGTTGGCAAATGGAAGGCGCAGGTGTGGCGCCAGGGCGCCGTGCCACGCGTCGAGTTCTTCCGACAAAGCCGAGAGCTGTTGGAGAGATAGATCGTATGAAGAACGAGCGGGATAGATCTCTTCTAACACCCGAGAGAGAATACGAGCAGCGCGGAAGAGTGCTAGTGCGCTAGATACTCTGGTATACTCGCCAGGGCAAGGCGCTTTGAACCCAGATTCATCGACGTACTCCTCATCGGCATCACGAGGCTCTTCGCAGTGGACGTCCTCATCCTTGAGCTGTTTAGGAAGACCTAGAGTGACAGCAGAGANAGCTAATGTGCATTAGTGTTGATCGTCGAGACGATGAGTGTGTTAGTTAACGTACCAGTCAACCGTGTACAGAGACCAGAAGACCTTCTTCCTCATCTCGCTAGTGGAAGCACCAAGAGCGAAACGCTTCTGTGATTGATGCAGGCCCAATCTAGAGGAAAGGGTGACGGCAAGTGCCTTGTATGTTAGAAGCCTGTCATAGTCTCCACGTTGCATGCAGTATAGTTGTGCCAGAACGAGACACTGCAAAGTAGGCATGCTGTGATCGGAGAGTATCGTGTCAATAGCTGCCTGCCATTGTGTCTCGTATGATTGAAGTTGAGATGTGTCGCGTGANNCTAGACTATGTCAGTCATGGTCGTCCCTGTTATCGACGAAACTACTTACACCACTAGACAAAGCAGCGATTCCGAAGACGAGGTTGAGCTGAGCATGGCTGCAGTTGTCTATAACGTTCTCGGGGGCGGACATGTAAGACTGGTAGAGCTCGAGGAAGGTGGGACGATGCAGAATTGGGAAGAGCGGTGCCCACTCTTGGAAGAAAATGCCAATCAGTTGGTCGGATTCGAGTCTGGCAGGTGCCTTCCAGACGATGGGGTCTGAGAGGGGATCCCGAGGGGCAATGTGGGTGCTTCCGGGTAATAGATTCTGAACGTTGATGGCTGGTAATGCGCGGCCAAGTTCCTGTACTCGTCTTGAGAAGGCGTCTGTACGAGGTTAGCGATGGACTCGACGACAACTGGAGATGACTGCACCATAGAAGGCCTTTCCGCTTGATGTGCCGGCAAAGTGGGCGTTGGTGCCGTTGCCGTCAAGCTGGAGTGTTTGTTGAACTTGAAAAACATCTTCGCTAGTTGTGTTTGGTGAGGAGCTGCTGGCGAGGCTGATGGCCGCCGCGGTGAGTTCTGAAATGCNCGATTGTGAAGAGGCAGAGTGCAGTTTCGACAGCATGTCAACCTTCTCGTCCTTCTCGTCGAGCAACTCCTTCAACTCTCTGACCTCGGCTTCTAGACTCCGCACTCTTTCTTCCAGCGACTCTGTGTATCCTCTGGGGAAGGCGCGACGGCTGAGCTTGTCGCTAGTCTTGCATTCGAATCCGACGCTGGTACATTGTGAACAGCTAGGTCTGATGCCATCACATCTGATCTTCTTGCTTCGACATCTNNACCAGGACATGAGTATATGCGGTAGATGGGACTTCTGGCCAACATACCTATCGCAAGCCTGTGCGATGCGGGATTGGGCGCTGGTGCCAACCTTGATCACCTTCATAGGTAGAATTCCTGGCATGGTGCCGGTATTGGTTGGTGAGGAAGTGTTTGATCCAGTCGTGTGTGAGGGTCGAATAAATATTGGTTGGGGTGGCCGGCGATTTAGGTGAGCACGAGATAAGCGGTGTTCGAGTTAGGGATACCGAAGGATTGGTGCATGCGAAGGGAATCGGGTCCAAGAAGTAGGGTGCGTGGAAGGAGGCGTGATTTATGGTTATGTACGTACAAGTCCAAGTGTGGAGATCTCGACGTGACGAAGAAACAAGGACGGATGGTGGTCAATTCGAACCGTGCGAGACTCGAAACGCACTCCAAGTCTGGGGTGAGCACACACAACAGCGGCAACCCCCAGACGCCAGATCCCACTCAAGCCTCTTGGAGAGACCAAACTAGACCCAAAACGTAGACAAAAGCCTCGGACCTGTGTCGGCGGTTCGCCCAGCGCCCTTGTGATTGGTCTCCGAGGCAAGACTGACAACCCTGCCATGACCGGTACTCTTGTTCGCTGCGGGGAGAGCTGGATGCGTTGGACGATCATAAAGCCTAACGTCGTTGATGGCGCCGAGTTTGAGGCGGCGCTGCTTCGTAGCTACCTATACCCGTGAATCTCCGACCATCATTGCTTTGCCCATGCACGACTCGAGATGGCTGTGGTTTCGTCCAATCTTTACCAATGGCAAGGAATCTCCAACCGATGTCGATGTTGTTCGTGTGCTGCTTTGCGAAGCTGACAACCAGAACAATACGACAAGAACGTTTGTCAGAATTTGGAAACGTTCGAGACCAAGCTTCAGGCCATCGCAGAAACCGGGGAAGCCAGCTCCGAGTCGATTTTTAATCATCTATGTACATAAGCTCAGCATACGTGACTACGTATGACCAGATTTGTCACATCCAGCAAGTAGGATCTGCGGCCGAATTCCCCAGAGCCAAGTCCTTGGACAGGTAAATCAATCAGACATGAGCTTGATCAGGGTGGCCGTCATGTGGAAACAATTATCATGACACGAGGAAAGCATGGGCGTCACCCATTTTCGGCACTTAGGCCTCCAAGGCTTGACTCATGACTACCAAACTTGAACGCTGTCGTGGCCCTGTAGCGCGGCTTTCTAGCTGCGCCAATTTGCATCAATTCTCTCATCGCGAAGTTTGCTATGACTGTTGATGTAGATCCTTGATAGAGGACGGCCTATCTCGATCACTACGGGCGTAGATGGTCACGGCTGTCAAGCTGCTCAGGCTCGTACCGCTCGGGAAGCTGTCATGAGCCATACAATGGTTCGGGCGGCCGTGGAGCAACAAAAAGGGGTCATGATTTCTCCAATCAAAGCGGGTGGGAGGCTGCCTCGTGGAGATAAGGTAGGTGTGGGGTCCCGTGTACGTGCGTGACCAGTGGTCATAGAGCGACAATCTCAGCTTCTAAACTCAACCACTACGTCTTGTGATAGCATCTGTGGATGTTGCTCTGTCTTCCAACTTTCAGGAGGAGTCAGAGACTCAGAGTAGATAAGCTCATGAAAAATCTTCAACTGGCTCAACGTCTGGCTCCGACAGATATCTCAATACAGTCTCACTTTGCATGAGTTGAAGTTTCTACGAAGCAAAGCAGTTAGCATGTGGAGCAAACATCAATGTTCTGACATCTCCGTGGTCCTGCCGGAAGCTGTCCGTATCGATATGCAGATCTTCGGAAGGAGGTCTATGTTACCAACTTACCTGGTCCTCGTAGTAGCTGTAAGCTTTCTCCAATAGCTCACTTTCGAGCAACCTGAGTCGTTTAGCAAGATGCCAAGCTCGTTCCCTGATGCCAGTGCCGTCGCCGTGCTGCGTAGCATCGACTCGGTCATCTGACCCATAGAGGTCCTGTAGCTGACTCGCCACACGTTCCTGTAATATGCTCACAGCTCGGAGATGATAGACATCCCACAAAGGGCTTTGTTCCAGGATAGACCGGAACCCTTCAAAACCGTGCACCGGTTCGTCTTGCCATGTGGCGATCAACTCTCTAGTACCTTCGACGGTCTGTTGAATTTGAAACGAGAGTCCATCCTCCTCATTGACGCAGATGAGCCAGACGTATGCACCTTCGAAAATCACGCCATTTTCAGCGTCGACGATCTTGAAGCCTGGAGCGCAATTTGCAACTGCCGATTTTGCTCGTCCTAGTGGGTCGTCGTCTGGGATCGATAGGTCGAGAAATAGCTCACGAGCAGACTCCATCTCGTCCTCGATGAAGCCATACGAAAAGAGCATCTCGCAGGCGCCTTTGTTATCTCCATAGGTAATGGTAATCTNCCCGTTTTGCTCAATGTCCATTCCATCTCGTAACAGCAACACTGCGTTGCCTTGATCGTCGACTTCGTAAATAGCAGCTGTGCCGGTACCGGAAGAGTGGTTGGCCATGTCGATGCAGGGTACCATACAATCGCCCACTCCAGGATACTCGAGTGCTCTGGAGCGGTAAAAGGCATCGACTTGTAGCCAGTCATCGAATGCAATGATGCCATCGACTTCGTCCCACCATTCCTCGGCACACCATGATATGTTTGACGTTGCGGTTTGGAGTTGTTCAAATTCGCGATTGAGCGAGTTCAATTTTGCAGTCAAGGCAGGAGCGAGCGTAGTGCCAGTCAGTAGTTCGCACTCGGCGGGAGACCAGAAGGTAGGAAGCAGTTCCATTGGCAGGTACTTGACATACTCGGTAAATGGACTTGATACGCCCTTCTTGTTTTGAGCGGAAGGGCATGTAGTGAAGGATTGCATGAGCAGGAAGGCCAATATGGCGCCTCTAGCAGTNNCTGACACAAGGTCAGCTGTTGTTGGGGAGGAGTGGTACGAAGTGTGCAGGCAAAATCCATGACGAAGCATTGCGATGTTGTAGCTTATGAAGTTGAACGAAGAACAACTTATCTTGAGAATGAGGTGGAGGGGTTACATGTCTATATGGATAGAGACTGTGTAGTGGGAGGCAAGGAAAATGTTCCAAAAGTCACCTACCCTGCCGAATTCATCAAGGCCATCGAGGACAGCACGAAAGTCAGAATCTGACTTTGCATGATCGTGTATCCTATCGAGAGAAAGGATAAGGTCTCTAGGTATGGTCATGANGGGAGGTTCATGACCGCCTTTGAGAGGACGTTTTGCAATGACAGTCGAGCCACGGTCTTCTTTACCTGGCAAGGGACCGATACTGACGCCATCAAATGAAACAGCGTTGAAGGCAGCCCATACAGGAAGGGTATCGAAGGGCAGAGACAGCCAGCCTTGGAGTTTACCGTCTCGGATCATAGCTGCAGGGTGTGCAAGAGGCCGAGGGTGACGTATATAAGGAGATTGTTGTTGGTATGTAGCAGGCAAAAGCACAAATGGTCGCCAGGCTCGAGGGTTGCACACGACAACCAAACTGAACGGTAACAAAGCCCGTGCACTGTTCAGGCCCCCGTTGATGCACGACGAACTGAGACGGGCCATGGAGGCATCGACCTGCTCGAGGTACATGATACTGCGAGGGTGACTGATGCAAGACACAGTGTTGAACTTGTGTGGGAATACATGCAGGAGAGCAGCAGAGGACAGCTGAATACATGTCTCACACATTCGATACAAAGACTGAAGGAGCGAGGCTTCCACAGCGGGGAGTGTCTCGATCCGGGCAGGGCCAAAGCTTGCTTTTGGCTTGGCGGTGCAGTTGTTGACATGCGGATAAACAACAACATTTCGAAGTCGAGCTTCTTCAAAGGTGTTGATCCNNCGGATCCATCGTCACAAACATCTTTACTCGACCACACCGACTCCCAGTTATTCTNTTCTTGATGCTGTCTGCGCCACAGTGACCACTTCTCCTTCTCACCCCGCCGCTGTACACCACCCTCGCCGCCCAACCCGAGGCGCACTGCTGTCTCGTTGTCGCAACCATCGACCCTCGCCTTTCTTCGCATATCCCATCGCCCAGCTGCGCCCGTGTTATTTCTACCACTCATCACAATGCCTCAATCCGACAGCCCTTCGGCCGCCACGAGCTATGGCCAGGTCATTGAGTACATCCANAGGTCCGTGTCGCATCGAGCATGCCATGAACCAACACTCGGTCTAACCGCACTAGACCGCCTCTACCTGGCTTCATACACACACAAGCCCAACGCGCAAACGCCTTTCCCTTACACAAACAAGTCCACCAGCAAGTCGCCGTCCAAGCGCTCCGCCAGATCCCAATCGACCACAGCCGCTGCCCCTTCGCTTCCTCCGGTATACTTCTCGGTCGACAAGCACTTGCTGTACAATGCTTTCCACGCAGACTTTGGCCCGCTACACATCGGCCACCTCTACCGCTTTGCTGTCATGCTGCACGAGGTGCTTGGAGACCCCGAAAACGAGGGCAGACCAGTTGTTTTCTGGTGTAACGCCGACTCAAGGAGTATGCATACTCTCAAACGACTCTCTGGCTGTTGTTACTAACTGATGGTTCAGGTNCGCGCAAACGCTGCATGCATTCTCGCTTGCTACATGATTCTGATCCAGAACTGGCCGCCGCATCTTGCTCTGGCCCCCATCGCCCAGATGGACCCTCCATGCATGCCTTTCCGTGATGCCGGCTACAGCCAAGCTGACTACGGCCTAACCGTGCAAGACGTTGTCTACGGCGTGTGGAAGGCAAAGGAAGAAGGCCTCTGTGGTCTGAAGGACTTCAGCCTTGAGGAGTAAGTTTCATGCTTGCCTTTGTCCACAAAGACCAACGACTGACGAGCTTTCAGATACGAAAAGTACGAAAGAGTCGACATGGGTGACTTCAACTGGATTTCTCCCTCCTTCCTGGCCTTTGCTTCTCCCCAACATCAACCCACTCGTGTTATTGCACCCACTGACCCCGAATGGGCCAATCTTCCTCGCTCCCTCTCTGCTCTCCACCGCTCGACTTCAGTCCCCCCACCGTTCAAGAATGTTCTTTCTCACTTTGTTGAGCGCGGTATTGGTCTTGTCGTCCGTCTCAACTCTGAACTTTACTCGCCCTCATACTTCCAGGCTCTGGGCATCAAGCATCTTGACATGATCTTCGACGACGGCACCTGCCCTCCTCTCAGTCTTGTCCGTAAGTTCGTCAATCTCGCGCACGAGATGATCACCAAGAAGGGCAAGGGAATCGCCGTCCACTGCAAGGCTGGTCTTGGAAGAACTGGTTGCTTGATTGGCGCATATCTGATCTACAAGCACGGCTTCACTGCCAACGAGATTATCGCATACATGCGCTTCATGCGTCCCGGTATGGTTGTCGGTCCTCAGCAACATTGGCTCCATCTCAACCAGGGCACCTTCCGTGAGTGGTGGTTTGAGGACACCATGAGAGAGAAGATTGCTGCCTCAATGGTGCCCGCGACTCCCACAAAGGCCACTTCTGGAAACAGCAGACGCCTCGCTAGCAATGGCCAGACCTTCACTCCNCCTAATGGCAGCACCAAGCGTGCAGCTCTGGGTGAAATCAGCCACATCAACGAACAGGAGCCTGCATCATTCGCCAGCAGCACCAACAAATACGCCGTCAACGACGAAAACCTGCCTGCGCCTACACCCGGTCAGCCCCGCAAAACTAGCAAGGTTTACGGCCATGTCACCGGACGCAAGGTTACCAGAACTGAGAATGAGCCCTTCGAGATCAGACCCGACACCGAGATTGTCAGCATGCAGCGCACAAGCATGGGCGAGAGCGAAAGCGAGGAGGAGCAAGCACTGCGTGCCCTGACCTCATCACGAAAAGCATCACAATCCCCGATCAGCCGCAGCGGCAAGCGTCGGGCGGTTAGCTGCACCACGACGACTACCACGACAACAAAGTGGGGTGTGGACGAGAGCGATGTTGAGAACCGTCTTGCAGAAATCCACGAAGACTCGGCAAGTCCTCGCAAGCCCAAGACGCCTTCGACCAGATCTGGCAAAGGCGACATCAGCATCGGCAAGCGTAGTTCACCATCACGTCGCAGCACCGAAGGCAAGACCAGCGTCCGCAAGACAAGTGGTCGTGTCGGCAGTGTGGGCGCCAACGTCCCTCGCACTCGCGCTTCATGAATGAACAGCATCTGATCCATGATGTTCAACCACCCCTTTACCAACCACAGCGTGCTCTTTTCTTACTGCATAGCATTTGTCAACAAGCGCCATATCAGCATCCAGCGTGCTTAACAATTCTGCATTCGCGACGACAACGCACCAGCGTATCTGCATAGCGGTCTTCATCCTCACCAGCATGGAAAAGGTCCACGGCTCTGTATCTTACGACGTTTGGCATCTGAACGATCTGTTCGAAGCCGCCTGTCAAGGGCCCAATTTCGTATCTCCTTCTTACTTCTTCCTTTCTTGCTTCTTCTTGCTGTTGGATTGGCGTTTGTGATTTTTCTCTTCTCTTTCCTTGTTCTTTCAATGCATAGTGGCATTTTGGAGTTTTACCGGACAAGCAAAGTGCAATCGGTCGCACTCAAGGCACGCACGCGGCGTTATATGTTTTTCTGTTTCCAAGGACGGTCCAGATGGAGAAAAGAGGGACAAGGGCGTGGGGAGGCTAAAGGGGATGATCATGTCTCTTTCTTCTCTTGTAGGAGATGGTGAATGTCATGTTTTGGGGATTGTTTCTGTTTGATCTCTGTGTTCGTAACGAAACTTCAGTCTTCCATCGTTGTATGGGATGCAAATGCAATCGAAGGGCTTTCTTATTCTTGACAACTTTTTCCACGTTCTCACTGTGTTTTGTCTGTGATTGGGTGGAAATGGAGTTCTCGAGGATCCCTATATGAAACGTTGTTCAAAGCTTGTAGATGCACTCCCAAACCATGTTTGTACGCAGAGGACTGGACAGCTATAAGATCGGAGGCTCATGTATATAATTTGATGAGTCTGGAGTGCTAGGACACTAGTGTTGTTGTCGATACCATCTTCAGTGAGCAAAACTATTGCTGTGAGGACAACCCTGGTCTTAGACTTTATACAAGGTCAGCTAAACCGAACTCCCCCAAAAGACCCTTCTTGACCAAAGACGCTCAGGGCCTTCATGTCCAGAAAGCGTCCTCGAGAACAACAAGCCCCTCTCATCTAAAGGAAACCTTGCCCTGTCTCTCTTCTATCCCATGCTCTTTTCGCCAACAAAATGCCCATCTACTCCTTGACATAGTCCACAGGCAAATCCATACCCACCCTCCTCGCCGTCAACCTCACCCTCTCCTCCTCATTCATATTCATACCAGGATTATACCTCTCGACCAGCGTAACATACATCCTCTGCGCCTTGAGATATTGCGCCAATTGCTCTGCCTCCTGCACTTTTTGGAGGGAGGACTTGGTGGCACCGATGCCGGAGAGACCGGAGGAAGATGCCATGGTCGCGGATGTGGATTCAGCGTCTGAGAGGGTGGCGCGTGTGAAGGCGGAGGTGGGTGTGGTGGGAGAGACTGAGGCGAAGGTGCTGCGCAGGTGGGTGGCTAGGGGTGAGGGTGTGGGTGAGGTGCGAGNGGGTAGTTCGCGGAGGAGGGAGCGGTAGAGGCTGCGGAGGGTGGTGGGTGTGGGCGTCGACATTTTTGGCGGGTTTCGTGGTGTGGTTTGGTGGGAAAGCTGGAAGGTGCTTTTTGTTCGCCGCTGAGTAAAAGTGCGGGAGATTGAGGTCGCGTGTTGGGAGTGTTGGTAAAGAGACGGGAGGATATGGTCGACTCGAACAAATTGAGGCGTGGGTCAAGTCGAATTTCTGAATGCGATGGTTGATGGGAGATGTGATGGCTTGAATGAACTGCGGCGAAAGTTGGATGCTTCGGCGGTGCTTGGGCCACTTTCCTACATCCATCGCTTCAAACCATCTTCTCACTCTCGTGTCACGACATCTTTTCCACTTTCAGAATGCAACACAAGAACAACACTTGATTGAAGGCGTTTGGTTCTCGTATCTATGCACTGGTGTTCATAACTTAAGCATTGAGCTCAGGATTTCAACTATCGAGACTGTAAGGACCTCATGTCATTTCCCTCCTATCAGTCGCCAGCCACCGAAGTCCAACCCTCTATGCCTTGTTGCCGAACAGCGTGTTGTAGGTGTCGTATGTATACGCCAAGTCCAAATGCCAGTAGTTTGGCGTGGTTGGGCAGGTAATCAACCAGGCTTCGTCAAGAACCTTGACAACTTCCTCAGGCAAAGGACCCTTCTCAACATCCTTGAGGTTGCCCTCGAGCTGTTGTTGGTTGCTGACACCAATGATGATACCATCATTACCGCCATCCTTGATGTTGAGTCCACTGTGGTGAACCATCCATCGCAGTGCCGTCTCGATCAAAGTCAGGTTGTGCTTCTGGACAACGGGCTCGATAACGCGCAGAGCATCGAAGGTGGCATCTCTGAAGTAACGCTTACGGTACATGCCACCCATCTTGCCGACCGAATCGCTGTAGCGACCTTCAGTAGGCACCTCGCTAGTCTTGTACTTTCCAGAGAAAATGCCTCCAGCAACAGGGTTGTAGACGACAATGTCCAGGCCGTAGCGACGGCAGACAGGAATCAACTCTCGTTCAATGCTGCGGGTAATGGCGTTGTACATGCCTTGGTAGATGGTGGGACGGACCCAGTTGTTGTACTTGCAGTGCATGACAATCTCGGCCACCTCGAAAGCCGTGTAGTTGGACAGACCCAGCTGGACAAACTTGCCCTGCTTGTGAGCTCTGTTGACAGCTTCCAGTGTCTCGGTGAATGGAACAGAGCGGTCTGGTGCATGGAGGTAGAAGATATCGACACAATCAGTACCTAGCTCAGCCAAACTCTTGTCAAGAGAGGCAAGGATGCTGTCGGCCTTGTGCATACCGGGCTCATGAGGGTAGCACTTGGTAGCCAGGGTCAGACCACGGTCCTTCCAGCGAGCATCCTTGGTCCAGGCTTCCTGCTTTCCGCCCACGTAAGTGCGAGCAGTATCGATCTCATTGTAGCCTTGAGATTGCAGGTAGTCTAGAGCCTTGTTGTAGTCGGCGAGATCAGTTTGACGAGCGCCCGAGTCAGTATCGGGACCNNCTATTCATGTTAGCTCAGTCGAGTGGTATGGCGGTTGCAAGCGTACAAAGGTCATGGTCCCGAGAATGACTCGCGGCTTGCCGGTTCCTGTGAGCAACATTCTGGATGAATTTTGGTGGAGACGAAAAGAGCTTTTGGGTGAGATGTCTCTCGGAACGGACTTGAATGGCGAAGAGAAAGGCTTGAACATGGACAGAGTGGTGTCTGGCTGAAGGACCCCTCATCGTCGGCAGTGACGAAAGAGGCAGCTACTAATATGGAGATAAGCTAAAGGCCGCAAAGGCTATTGTTGCCGACTTCCTGCGGCAGGTGCAGTCGCTCGCTGGCTTGTGAAGATGATGATGGCCTGTGGAATATATGCCAACCTATCATTCTGAATCGATTGTGTCCACGGAACAGACTCGTGGCCAAGTGTTTGATACTTGAACGCCGCAGCTGACGCAGGAGCGAGACGAAACTCCCAACGCCCGGAGCGCCTTGTGGTGGAGTCAGTAAGGAGTTCATCAGCCTCCCAATCACGCAAGCAGTCACGTTGCACTTATTCCGCCAACCAACCCTTATCTCTGCTCAACCAGTGCAACCGCGTGCATGAATCCAAACAATCACTCGCTGCTCCCGCCGCGAAACCCCTCTAGTGTCCATTCGTCGTCGGCTACCAGTCCTGTACATATTTCTAGGGACACCTCACCCTTTACCGACCTGCCCCACCCTGATGCCTTGGAACTCGAAGACTACAAGAAGCACGGAGATCAGGACGACGACGACTTCGCCTGGGACGACAACTACGACCAAGACGATACAGCCATGCCTTCGGACCTACGGCATCCAGGAGACAGCAGATCGCATGCTGCTCCCTTACTCTCNCCCGAGAGCAAACATCGCGACTATGAGTCCTCACCTCCAGGCAGTGCCGCCCTCCGAGAGCGCCGCTCACGTCTGCGAGAGCGCGACCCCGACGTGGCCGCCGCCCATGCCACCAAGCAAAAATACACATATGCTGCCGCCTTTCTGGTCCTCAGCTTGATCTCCTTCACAATACAAACAGAAACTGCTGTATATATCCAACACTCGTTGCATTGGAACAAGGCGTACTGCATGCTATACTTTACCCACGGCAGCTGGATTCTGCTATGGCCAACACAACTAGCCATTTTGCGACTGCAGAAGCTAAACATGCCTTGGGAGTCCTTCTGGCGCAGACACAAGGCCATTCTACGGAGTACAGCCCAGATGGTCGAGCACCAACGATTGGACATCCCACACCATATGCAAAAGCAGTCGCCCATTCCATACTTTATCAAGATGACCTCCATGGTCACTTGCGCACTCACTGTCGCTGGCGGCAGTTGGTACGTCGCTGTCGATTTGACCACTGCCTCCGACTTGACCGCCATCTACAACTGTTCCGCCTTTTTCGCATACGCCTTCGCTATCCCGCTATTAGGAGAACATTTCAGATGGAACAAGGTCTTCGCCGTGGGAGTTGCCATCATTGGTGTGCTGGTTGTCGCGTACGGCGACGTCAGCCCCAGCAAGCACGGAAGCAAGTCCGGTGGTGGCGCAGGCGGCCCTACCGCTCCAGAACCTGAAGAAGCATCCAACCGCGCTCTCGGTAACCTCATCATTGGTGTCGGCAGCGTGCTCTACGGCTTCTACGAAGTCTTGTACAAAAAACTCGCTTGCCCTCCTGAAGGCTGCTCCCCTGGCCGCGGCATGATCTTCGCAAACACTTTCGGCTCTCTGATTGGTCTTTTCACTCTGACTGTCCTCTGGATCCCTATCCCTATTCTACACTACACTGGCATTGAAACATTCGAGTTGCCTACCGGAGAGGCGGCTTGGATGTTACTCATCTCTGTCATGGCCAATGCCACATTTTCTGGCTCTTTCCTTGTTCTTATTTCGCTCACATCGCCAGTGTTGAGTTCTGTCGCTGCCTTGCTGACGATTTTCCTGGTTGCTGTTGTGGATCAATTGCTTCCTCCGCCGTTGAATCAGCCCTTGACTGGTGCTGCTGTTGTTGGTGGCTTACTCATCATTGTAGCATTCTTGTTGTTGTCATGGGCCACGTATAGAGAGATGGCCGACGAGAGGCGCAAAAGGAGAGTGAGGCTGAGATTGAGAGCGATGTTGAGAGTGTCATTTAGAGATATCTCAGACTCTTTGTTTCTCTTACGTCATATAGATGTGTTGTTTCCGTTACTGGACCGTTCTTGGGTCCCTTGAGAGGATGAGATTAGGTGGTGGTTTGGCTCTCTACTGTGCATATAGCTACATCACAAACACACGCTGCATTGGGTCGGCGTTCTACTCTTTTAAATTTTACTCCCGACTCAGCTCACCCGTTGCACGAGTATAGACATGATCTAGCAGAATCGATCTGCATCCCAAAATACACATGGAGGTGCACGTGTAGAGGCAGGATGACAAAACCGGAAGGACCATTCATAACAGTTGCTCCCTTGCCAGGGAGAAAGAAACCGATAAAAGGAGATCTATTTGTTCCATTGCAGCATCGTCATTTCTCCATCATCTCCATCATTCCTTCATACCTCAACATCCATTTCACATCCCTCTCTCTACCCTATCTACCAAACGTCAATTCCTCCTCACTGTCCTCATCACTGCTATCAGTATTACTCTCCGCCGGACTCATAAAAGGATCGGAAATAGTCCTCTGCATCGCAGGTCTCTCATCTTCCTCTCCATCATCAAGAGGAACCCGTTTCTTAGCTTCCGTAGTACTAGGCCGACGTTTGAGGCCCCCAACTTCTTCTGTATTGCCACTCTCACTCATTTCTTGTGTTTGTGAAGCAAGCTCTTCGTCATCGGATGCAGAGTCCAAGTCTGATGAAGACGACGACGAGGAAGACGAGTAAGCGGAAACAACCCTATCAGAGCCACCGCCAGTGTTGCCGATCAACTCGTTGATTTGGCGGGTTGTTACTGCAGACAAATCGAGATCGGGGAGGTCTGATAGCGGTTGCATGGGCATTTCAAAGGCTTGTTGCACGGCTGCTGCGTCTGCCGTGTCGGGGTCTGTGCTTTCGAGTGTAGAGGTTTCTTCGGCTTCTCTCTTTGCGCGTGCGGCGAGGCGTTCTGCGAGTTTGTTGCGCGCGCGGGTGGGTGCTACGTTCAAAGGCGCGGGTGGGTTTATGGAGCCAGGAGAAGGTGGGTTCTAGATAACAAGGTATTAGTAAGAGTGGTGCATTGACGGGGTGTGGGAGAGAACTGTGCTTGTTGTGCTAAAGGTGCGTACCTGGCAATGAATGTGTTTGGGTTTGTGCATTGGTGGAAGAAGCCTGCGACACCAAGGAGAAAATGGTGCATGTGAAAGGGAGATGGATGCAGGGAATGAGAGATGTACAATGAACAAAGAATCTTGTATAGTACAGATAAGATGCTCGACTCCAAGAAACATGGAAGAGAAGCCTCCATGGCCCTTACAAGTCGAGATCTCGTCGTCAAATCGTTATAGCCAATGCCTCATTACAGAAGCCGAAGGACGCCGATCAGAGATGTTTGGAGCTGGATTTCCAACCTCTTTTCTCTCCCATGCAATACACAACAAACGATGCAAACGAGGCAGAAGGACAGGATTGGGGGAGAGAACTGCTTGTGTAGAGAACAGACAAATCTGTAAAATGTGCAAAAGATGTGTGTAGTGTGCGCGCGCAAGTAGCATTTATCGGAAGTGGTTGATGTCAACATCGTCAAACGAGAGTTCACCGACCTGCTCATCATCATCGACCGCCTTCTCCCTCTTCTCGCCAGTTATCGACTCCTCGAGATCGTCGTCATCGTCGTCGCCATTACCGAAGCCACTGAGCAGGCCTGAGGATCCTGTGTCATAGCTGCTTGCATCTCCTGCTTCTTGCAGCGCCATACTGTCGGCTGGTACCAGGCCTGCATTGGATAAAGTGCTGGAGTTGTTGCCGCCCGAGAAGCCGCCCTGGCCAAGCATGCTGTTGGCGCCCATGCCGACTTGTCGAGCACCAAATCCTTGGTCAGGCTTCACGCCACCGAGAACAGCGTTGTCGCGATCTCTGGTCTCGGAAAGTGTTGTCTCGAGATATTGGATCCATTCGTCGCGGGTGATGCGTTCCATAATCTGTTCGCCAAGAATCTCTGGGGGTTGACGATCTTGCAACTTCAACACCTCCTCGGCAATTAGAGTCAAGTGGCCCATATAACCAAGACGCATACCCTTCTCCTTCTGGGCATTGTCAGAAGCTGCTTGTCCGTCGAGAATGCGCTGGGTGACGTCGGCTTGCGAAGCCAAGTCGGTGCAGTTGGAGTGGCAGAAGAGGTCAATAGCAAGTGTGCGGTTGTAGCCACGCTCGAAGCTGCCATTGAAGACTTGTTGTACAACATCGTATACAACGTTGTGGAGAAAGTTGTTCCAAGGGAAGCGGAAGAAGAAATCCTACAAAATAAGTATAACAAAAAATGCTCAAAGCAAAAAGAAAACTTACAANNGGATCGTGGGGACGACCTGATGCTCGACAAACATGATCTTCAACAAGTCTCCAACAACAGGCGAACCGTCCACATCGGCCTCCCAAAGCCCGTTGTCGCCCTCAGCGTGGTGAGCATCGGGCTGCAGCGTAGCCGTACTATGGCTAGGGTCTTCTTCGTTGGAGCTCGTCACGGATTGACTGTTCTTACTGGGACTGGCAAACAGAGGAGCTGGCTTGTCCTCGGGATGCATGTCCACGTCTTCTTGGGTGGTCCGGGGCTGATCTGATGAAAAGTTGAGCTCAGAGTCTTGAATGTGTTGTTGAAGCTGCTGGGTCAACAGTGAGATGCGGCGCTTACCCTCAAGTCGAGGTCCATCGCCCTCTTGTTCAGGGCTGTCAATATGTAACTGACTTATTTCTTCTGTCACGACGGTGGTGCCGTCCCGAGGTGACTCATCGGGGACGTGGTGGATGCTCGACGGATCGTCCTGCTTTGTTAGAGGCGGCAAACTTGTATCTCCTGCAATCTCGTTGAATTCATCGGCATCTGAAACAGCCACCTTCTCGAACCCATCTTCCTCAGACGCATTTTGCACTTCGAGTCTCTTAATCTCTTCGGGTGATCCGCTGAGGTCATCGTCTGGTCTTTGTGCATGGTGGAACCCGTGGCTATCGACACTGCTTGCGAATGGCTCGTGCTCGTCGTACGAAGAACCTTCGATCGGTTGTCCTGTCAGACGTCCTTCCAGCTTGAGTTTTTCTCTCTCCTCGTCCCTGTGCTTTATCTGAGCATCACTTCCGCGTTCGTTCAGGAGGGCCATGTTGCTGCAGTGCAAGAGCTCGGCCATAAGCTCGCATGTCTTGAATCTGTCGAAACCCAGAGGTTGAATCTCCTTGCCAAAGGCGGTTTTGAGACCAGGCTTCTGTGCGCCAGAGCTTCTGATCAAATGCATAAAATCGGGGACGTGTTTCGCGAATTGACGAAGAAGACTTCCAAGGTAGATAGGATCGGTCGTTCTGGGCTCGGGACCGACCTGGTTGTCGAGATCATAGTCCGAATTGTTCTTGCGAATGACCTCAATGATGATGCCGACTCCGACGGTCAACGAGTTGCCTCCTGCAAGCATGTTCTTGATCAGGATGGTTGTGCATTCGTCAGAAACGAGCTGTCTGGTCAATTCATTGGGGCCGATAACAGTTTGATCCTGAGTGGTAGCATTCGCAGAAATGGTGATAATCGCCTTCAAGAAGTCACCAGCGGCTGTCTGGGTAGAAGCGCTGTTTTCAGGGCCGAGGTATGACAAAAGAACAGGGATGAGGTCCTGTGTTTGCAACCANNCTTATGGAAACTGTCAGCAACTCAAGACCCCAGAAGGAGCGACACGACTTACGTCAACAATTCCTTGGCCTCCTGGAGCTTTCTCCAGACTGATTATTTTCAATAGCAAATCCATAATCATAGGACAGTCGACATGTTGCAGCATATCGGGAACAATGTGGTCCAGCGATTTGAAAAAGGCCAGCATCTCGTCTGTCTTCTTATCCAGCAGAGATTCATTGACCTTAGTGAAGTAGCCAGCCTGCAAAGGGTCGAGCGGGGCAGGGCGACTGACATAATGCCAGAATTCGCGAAGGTAGTTCTGGTACTCGAGCACGGCTTCGGTTATGGACCAGACGTCCGAGGAGAGGACCTCACAGGCGACATAGGCGTACTTTTTGCGCAAGGCTTCGCCCTTGTCTTCCTCTTCAGCAGCTTCGGCGGCATCGCCGCCAGCGTCGGATTGATTGACCGACTTTGAGCGCGAGCGCGAAGCTGACTTCTTGAAGAAGCTGATAGGAGACGATCTGTCGGGCTCCTCATCCTTAATGGAAGCCTTATCGGAGTGTGNGGGCTTGTCGGCAACGACGTATCCCAACAAGGTCTGGAGAGTGGACTCTTCTCTGAGGAACTCGATGAGTTTGGAGTTGTTCTGCTTGAGCTCCTGGATCAGGTCGCTCTCGTCGAGCAGTTCGTCAAGCGAGACATTGGGCTTCTCGAGGATGGAGTCGATTGAGGAGATGTTGGCATAGCCGCCAAAACGCCAGAACATGGTGGATCAAGTGATGCCTGACTCCAGGGCGGAGCGAGGGCTTTCGTCGGGGAGGGGTTCGGGAGCTTCAGGACAGAGATTGACGTGGTAGACTGGCGTGGGCATGCCAGGGTGCCGGGTCGTGTGCGCGGAGTGTGGCAGCTATTAGGACCTGTGCATGCGGCGAGGATATGGTGTTGGCGCGTGGTCGGGCAGGGCGGACTGTTGGTCGGATCGAAGTTGGACGAGGGTCGCGGGCCTTCGCTCTCGATTGCCAAGCGTAGATTTGTGTTTGTATGCAGCGCGATGTCGGGCCTTTTCTGTGTGTCGGCCGCCTGTACTACTGTCTATCTGATGTAATTCTGCTTGTAGAGACAGATGAGGGTATATCGCAACAGGCAGATGGATTAATGATTAGCTCTCGTGTGAGAAGACACGGTCACAACGGACATGCCTAGTTAGGCCTCGTGCCCTGTGCGGCTGAGGGCTTTCGACCACCGCCGAGCGCGCGCGCCGATCTGCCGGCCGGGCCTCCAAGCGTGGGGGAACTTGCCTAATGCAATCACTTTGTGCATACCACCAACTCTCTTCTGACACCCAAACACCACCACACACGACATCCTCGCCACCATGAACCGTCTCTTCGGCGGGAGGAACACGGGCCCGAAGCCCACCCTGAACGATGCCATCGGCAATGTTGGTGTCTCAAGCTCTCTCCATGAACCCTCGTCATACTGACCGACCAACAGNATGCAAACCCGTGTCGATACCATCGACGTCAACATTGCAAAGATCAACGGCGAGTTGACCACCTATCAGCAGAAGCTCTCCCGCATGCGCGACGGTCCCGGCAAGAACGCCATTCGCCAACGCGCAAAGGCCTGTCTCGAGCGCCGCCGCATGTACGAGAGCCAGAAGGACCAGCTCATGAGCCAACAATGGAATATGGAGCAAGCAACAATGATGCAAGACAATCTACGCAACACCATGACCACCGTAGACGCCATGAAGACCACCACCAAAGAACTCAAGAAGCAGTACGGCAAGATCGACATTGACAAGATCGACAGGCTTCAGGACGAGATGGCAGACCTCATGGACATTGGCAACGAGATTCAGGAGAGCATCAGTCGCAGTTACGACGTGCCCGAGGATGTCGATGAGGCCGAGCTGGACGCTGAGCTAGAGGCTCTGGGCGAGGAGGTCGATCTTGGAGAGGCTTCATATGAGGGTGCCGACTCGATGCCTGCTTTCATGATGGACCAAAGCGCTCCTCCGCAATTCATCGACGAACCTCCGGAGAGCAACAAAGTCAAGGAAGCCGCTGGCTAGGCCCGAACTATCTGTCTTTATGAATTATGACGCTCCGCTCGATACCCATTACCACTCCCGAACAACTGCTCTACACATCACTGCTTCCTACTCGAAATAAAAGAATGCCTTCAACCACAGCTTTATGAAAGCTCTCGCTCACCGCCCTCCTGCCCAACCTTTGTCAAACTCAAACCCGCCGTGCCTCTCATACATGAATACCGTTGTCCGAGGTCTGTGATCACACCTTTCTCCTCCTCCATTTCCACATCTTGTCTTTATTAGTCTTGCGCTATCCTTGTTATCTGCCTTCTTTGCGCCTTGTTGAGCCCTTACATGAATGTAGTCTGCTTATGCTAAATTGCCTCGCTTGGCCCGTAGCGAGTCCTTTCAACCGACAAGACACTTGAACATCATATTGTCCTTAAACTCCAAAGATGTGCAGTCCATCACTAGGATATTATCTAGGGTTGGACAACAACAGCGAATCAGACTGGGGAAACAGCCAACGCTGCCCCTCGTGCTGATTGATCGACCACCTGCAGCCTTGGCGGTCAACCACCACTCGAACCTTTTGTATAACATGCAGGTCCACGGGGCTGACCGCTTCTTGGCTTCTTTCATGCGACACTCGAACGGGCAGGTCGCATCGTGTTTCATCGTGAACAGATACACGTGGTGATAACGGTTGGACATCTTGACCATGCTTCTGCACGAGACCACTGCGACATAGGCGACTGCCGAGTATCAGAATCTGTGTCCTCGGACGAATGCTTTCCTGGAATGAAAAAATGACCTGAACTCGAGATATACAAGCTTCTTGACCATCATATAAGTTCCAGGGCTGCCCATCCAAAGGCTTCTCACATCCAGTCCACTTTGCAGTTTCCTCCAAGCGTCCCACTTCCAACCTGAAATAACTATGGTCTCCCAATCTATCCTCCTGCTCGCTGCCACTGCCGGCCTCGCATTAGCAGCACCCATCGAAGCCCCTNNCGAACGTCGCGGCAACCTCCCCGAACCCGTCTCAGCCGCAACAGCCATCCAATACCTCTCCTCCATCAAGGTTGCCGCCGAGTCCAACAGCCCCGCCTACGACAGAGATCTCTTCAAGCACTGGATCACCATCAGCGGCGAGTGCAACACACGTGAGACTGTCCTCAAGCGCGATGGCACTGGTGTAGTGACTTCCTCTGCTTGCGCCGCTACGTCTGGCTCATGGTACTCTGATTATGATGGCAAGACGTGGACGGCGGCTTCGGATGTGGATATCGATCACTTGGTTCCGCTGAAGGAGGCTTGGGTTTCTGGAGCTAAGGATTGGACGAACGACAGAAGACAGCAGTTTGCCAACGAGTGAGTTTGTTGCTTTTACTGTTCCAGAGTTGAGTTGGCTAACCATGGGTTTCTACAGNNTCTTACTCGCCCTCAACTTTTGGCTGTTACCGATAGCCTCAACCAGGCCAAGGGTGACCAAGATCTTGCAGAGTGGTTGCCTCCTCGTGTCGCATACCAATGCGAATATGTCCGTGCATGGGTACAGGTCAAGTACTACTACGGCTTGACTATGGATAGTGCAGAGAAGGCCGCCGCCAGCAAGGTCCTCACGGGGTGTTAGAAAGTACTGTGTATTCCCTTCTACAGTCTTCGTATCGAAAGATATCGAGAGAATGAAAATCTTTCTTGCTATCATCTGAAAAGTGCGCAAAGCTACTTGTACTGCCACGTATCATCATGGTATGACTCCCGAGCTATCTTTCTACAGTCAACAGTGAGCAGATAATCCACAAAGTCGTGACCCCAAGACCCCAGTCCCGATTCCGACCTAGTATACTCATCCGCACGCCACCATTTGCGCATCTCGTCAAACGTCGCCTTTCGCTTTTCGCATCCCCATTCGCGGTCTTGCGCGAGTACATCCTCGAAGTGGCTTGGCTGGTTTCTGTCACAGTATCGTGCTACGCTAGCAATTAATGTGTAGTCTTGAGGCTCGTCCTGTGGCACACAAGGCCAGTCCAAGACTTTGTGTTCGTCGTAGAACTTTACCACAGCCTCGATGATGGGGATTATGTGGTCGTTATCTTCATCGTCCTCGTCAATCTTTTCCATGAGCAAATGGACTCGCTCGGCGACTGCAGCTTGGAAGGGTCTGATTTGGTACTTGCTGCCGATGAGATACATCTGGATACAAAAGTCCATTTCGTCTTGAAGCTCACAGAAGATTGTGTTGTTGTCGTATAGGTTTGTACCGTATTCGACGTGACCACTATCAGGTTTGGAGATGGGAATATCAGCGAGGAAGTTGAAGCTGTATATGTGTTTGAGCATGGCGTGTACGACATCTCTGTGATAGCCTTGGATCTCATAATGATTGGTGGTCGTGTTGCTCCAGTTGCCATTGTGAGCAGCACGAGAAACCTCTGAGGCTTCCTTTAGTAAAGCCTTGTGAGCGTGAGTTTGGTCATCGCCGACTGTTAGAACAACATCGGGCGCCAGATCAGCTTGAGGGTTGTTGTATGATGGGCGGAAGGTCGTATGGACAGAGTTATCGAAGGTGCGATCTTGATCACCCATTGTCTGTTTCGGTCGTTGTTGATTGAGTAGTGAAAAGGCACTGAAGTGTCGGAATACAACTGTGGTCGACGTACCATTATATATACTAGGACCAGAAGACAACAGCTCAAACTTCCGCACTGTGAGGTTTGTGAGCAAATTCAAGGCCACTTTTCAACGATATGAAGCTACGCAATACTGTCGAGAGACAGAGCGACAATCATAGAGAGATGCCGTCTTGATCTCTCTAGACAAATCTTTGTGTTGACATGATCATACATGTCTGTGGTCTGCCATTTTGCTTTCCATCGCCATAAGGAAGCACTTCTGAGGGACTGACTCTCACAATACCCCTCGACAGCTCTTAGGAAAAGCATATCGTGTGCGAGTACGACGGTACATTTTGTAACTTGATAGCTTGCTCCATATCTCGCGGGAGAGTGGTCAAGATGTGAGTCATAGCAACACATGGGAGGTGACTCTAGTGAGTAGATATCTTGATGACTTTTGCGTTAATCTTTCGAACCACCCTACATAAGTATCGACCTGAGCCCAGCCAAAGTACGTTCTACTATCCCATTAACAATCCCCAAAACTCGAACCGAGCTATCTCGACCCCTGAAACATGCCTGACTCTGCCTACGACTCCATCTTCGTCACGGCCCTTCGCAAGTCATACAACAGCTTTGAACTTCTCGAGTCTATTGTCAATCTCAGAGTTGGAGACGAGCAAGTTCCTGCTCATAGACTTCTACTGGAAACGGCATCAGAGGTCTTCCGTGCTGCATTTGGTGGCAACTGGAATAACGCGGCCACTGGTCAATATGCAATCGAAGGTCATTCCAAGGACGTCGCGGTCACCATGATAAAGCATATCTACGGCTCTGAATTGCGTGGCATCGAAGGCCATACCGAAGATGAGAATATCAGGTTTCTCTTGGATGTCTATATGATCGGTGAAGAGTATCTGATTACCTCTTTGCAAATCGAAGTGATCCGCAAGATCAAAGACTTGTTAGGGAGACTGCATGGCATGGAAGACGATAGGCCACTAGAATGACTCATCGAAGCAATCATCACACTCTACGAGACCAACAAGCTGCGAGACTGTCGGACCCCTGGTTATTATTGTGTCAGACGCACATTACTGGAGACCACCGCACGTTTCTGCACCAAGTACGGGCCTGCTTGTGTAGAAGAGATGTGTACCCCAGCAGACGACGGTGAGCAGCCCCGGGAGCGGTACAGAAATTTTGTGAAGGAACTGTACGAAGCACAAAACGATGGGCATGAAGGATTGTCGTACCATGGATGAGGGATGTGAAGTATGCGAACCTGAACTTGGTCACCGTAGTAAACTAGCCTGCGCTTGCGAGCGGACATTTGGAGGGTGGAGTCAAGACTTCATAGATTGGGTCGCGTTTCGTAGAGGCTGGAACAGAGACGATGAAGACGAATGTGATGACCAGACAGACTTGATAGATGGTCAAAGCCAATAAATTAAACAGACAGCGACTCCAGGAGATCATACAGAAAGTGGGTTCGAGACATTGATTAACAACCTCTGCTGCTGGGAAGAGAAATTGACTTTGCGGTGCTTTCTATGGCAAGCGGGATATGGTACTAATGAAGAACCAACGAACTTCAAACAGAAGGTGATATTCTGATTGCGGGAGTAGGATCCTCTTGCCACTTCCAATTCTTGTGAGCCAAACTCGATGTGCTAAGAATGCAACGTTGCTCAGAATTTTTTGGTCGTGGCTTCTATATCGTTTACGTGACTGTAATTTGGCAGCTGCCATCTTGAGATGTGATTCCCACGTCTTGGTCCCTCTTGGAGCCGCGGCATTCGAGTATGGCACATGTTGCTAAACTGTTCTTATGTAGTTGTTCTCGGATGACTCTTTCGGTGCCATCTGTTCACTAGCAACATGTTCGGGTCTGGCCCAAGTATCGTAAATCATCCTGTGAGGGCGATTCATGGCGTGTGGGTGTGCGGTGCCTTGTTCTGTGACTGGTCTAGACGCGTGCCGTTGTTCTTCAACCATCAACAGTAATGGCTGTCTTAGGCCTGTTCTTGTTCAAGCCCTCGAGCAGCATGCAAGCCTTGCAGATAGCCTGAGATGACATGTATCCGCAGCGCTCGCACTTTCCAAGTGTTTGCTTCGCATTGGCCGGTGGAGTGGGTCCCTTGGTCTTCTTCGGTCGTAGCGGCACTGTTGTCTGCTGCTTCTTAGTCGGCAGCTTGATCTCGGTCTCCGTTCCCTCCTCTTCGGCTCTCTCGTTCTCTTGTAGCTTTTTCTCCATGTCTCCCATCTCGCCTCCAGTTCCTCTTCCGTTGCCACTGCCACAACCGCCGTTGCCATCATCTTCCTCATCTGGGCGCATGCTGCTTGTTGCTGGTTGTGCTTGTGCCTGGCTGGATCCACATGCACCCTTGCAACGTCCATCTGCGTCTGGTACGAGCATGGCCATGTCGATGCCGCTTCGTACAACGTCGAGAATGCTTTCCGGGCGTATGCGTTCGAGGTTCTTGATGAGTGTGCGTGCGCTTCCGCGGAAGGCTTCTGGCGAGTAGAGACATTCGGTGGAGAAGTAGTCGAGCTTGTTGTGGTGAGCGTAGAGAACGATCTCCTTTTCGTAGGCATACATGAGCGGCTTGGAACGCTTGACGTTCGTGATGGCGACTTCTCCGTTCTCGGTGGTGGCTTCTGATCCGGTGCTGTCGCCTGCCTTGTTGTCGGTGACAATGCTGGTAGCTCTGCTTAGTCGTGGCAAGTCACCGCGCAGCAGGTTCATGAGCACCGTCTCTGCCACGTCGTCGGCGTTGTGTCCAGTGACAACATGCTTGACTCCCAATTGCGCAGCTCCTCTGTCTAGTGCCTGTCTTCTGAAGACGCCACAGTATGTGCAGTTTCCTTTCTTTCCGATCTGAGCGACGACCTGATCCATACTCCAGCCGTAGAGCTCCTCATAACTGACGATCTTCAGCGGCAGCTGGAGGAAGTCTGCATTCCGCCTAACAGCATCCAGACTGTGATCGCGGTATCCCTTGATTCCCTCATCCACCGACAGCAAGATCAGATCCAGACCCCAGTTGCGTCTCTCATTCAGCGTCTTGAGTACTGCAGCCAACACACACGAGTCTTTTCCTCCACTGGCACCAATAGCCACACGTTCTCCAGGGTAGAAAAGATTTGTTGATTCGACGGCTTCGGCAACTTCTTTTTCGAAAACGGCGGTGAAACAGGTGGCACAGAGTCGGTGGTGGTTCTTGGGTCGTAGAATCTGTGCTCGCTTCTCGTTGCACGCAGAGCACAATCGTGAGGCCATGATTGCTCTGGGGTGTGGTTGAGGGGATGAGGTTGTGAATCCGAGAATAATTCGTTATAGGATGGCGCGGCCTTGTCGGTAGATTCAGGTGCTTGCTCGTCGTCGTGAGGCTTGTATAATTTTCAGGCGAAACAGTCAGAAGCATTCATCACTCAGAAAATGATCGTCATAATCTCGGCTGTTCTGTTTCTCGGCCGCGCGAGACTGTCGTGGCAAAAAAATATGCACTCGTCTTCATCCCGAGATGCGAATCTCAAAAGCAAAGTCCTTCTGGAAGGCCTTGCCAAGCCTCGACCGTCTTGTTCATTCTTTCGACCTTTGTCGTCTGGATTTCATGGTTGGATCTAGACGTCTTACCGGAGTGTGGCTGCAGCATCCTATGGAATGTGATTCTCTTCCTTACATCCCTTCATTGTTTATGCTCAGCTCTGGTATCCATCTGAGCGTCCTGTCACGCAAAGCCTAAATGTCGCAACCGATTGTTACGCGGGCAGCCACGGAGACGGCGAGCCCGCGACATCGTTGACAAGGCAATCCTTCAGCTCCTCCGTGTCTCTGCGTGCAAATCTCCGTTTATCAACTGGAACCAAGAGATCAACATGTACTGTTCGTCGAAGATACCGGACTTGCAGAAAGTCGAGTCGAGTCAGCAACAACACTCTCGGCCGAGATTGAGCTCTTCGAATGCTCAAACCCGTCCATATTGACTCCACCAATATTTCATGTCAACTCTGTTCTCGTCTCTTCTTAGCTTGCGAGTCAGGAGGAACATCGCTATGTTACTCCTGTCTCGGTACCTATGGTCGTTGTAGATTGAAAGTCATATTGTGACAATTTCCCAGTCGTGGCAGTTGCATGATATGCTTTGTCGTGAACCGGTCTATAAAACCGTTTGCCTTGTTCCCCTGGAAGATCCAGCCAGCCACCTGAGAAACTATCAACCAACCCCCTGCATGCATGGCCAACTGGTCGTACCTGATGATCACTGTGGAAAAGAGATGAACGATGGACAAGATTGTTGTTTGTAGAATGCGAGCTCTATTGCGAGTCGATTGATTAGTTGTGTGCTACCTAAGTACTATCTATTGTATGCACCAATGTCGTAAAGTCGTGCTGAACAACTGCTTTCGCTGTTCGCTGATGCCGCTCTTCCTGTCCAAAAAATGCCTAGCGGTCTTCCCAGAGACGCCTTTCAATGCGATGTAGAATGGTATCCTGCACAAGAAACGAAAAAAGAACTGAACGATCGACAATGCCTTGACCCGCAAAGCTTGCCCCAGAAATCTTCCCACTATTCGACCAACGATCCTCTAGTGAGCAGTGGAAAGGAATCTTGAGAAGATGTTGTTTGATCTGATCTTCTTGGCCGAGGGTTGTTCGTAGTGGTCAGGAGTAAGCTTGGGTTGCTGGATCTCAACCATCGAAGGGCAGTCACTGTTGTATCTCTGAATTCGGACAGGCACATCCTCATATGTCGCATCCATCGATGACACAATGGAGTTGGGAGAGTCGACAGAAGAGGCAGCAGAGACAACAGAGTGAGCGCGGCTAGGAGGCGAGAGAGATGGCATGCGAGATGATCTGCGAGAGCTTGCAAGGCTCATGGGTGTGTCGCAGAGGTTTTGGCGAAGGTCGGTGCGAGATGTTCTGCGCATGTGTTCGGCAGTGATGGAGAGGTGGCGCTGCTGTTGCATCATCTCCTCGCGGAGCTGAGCACGCTTGGCCTTCTCGGCCTGACGAGTCTGCCACAGTCTAATGGGTGCAAGGAAAGGCTCGAGGTGGAAGTAAAGATCGTCCTCACGAACAATGAGGTCCCAGTTGAGAAGGTTGAGGAGCTGCTTCTCCATAAGATTGACCTCGACGAGGTTGAAGCCGAAGCCTTCGTATCCCTTGACAGCAGTGTAACGAGCCCAGTGCTTGTTCTTGGGAGATGAGTCGTTGAGAGACTTGGCAGCAAGAATGAGGGCTGCGAGGAAGATGCGGTGGGTTGTGCAGCGCATACCCTTGGCGACAGGAGGAAGACGTTGTTGCAGACGACCGAGGTAAACAAGGGTGGTCATGAGAGTAGGAACCTGAACTGATGATCTGTCGACAAGGGACTGGATGAATTGCTCGACGGAAGGAAGAGCAGGTTCTTGAGAGAGATCGAAGCCTTGCTCGGTAGGAGTAATTGGTGGTGTAGGAGGAAGATCCTTGTTGTGGATGGGAGTGTTGTCACATCGGATGACCTGAGAAGCCTTGAGTGCCAAGTAAGAAACCATGTCTTTAGAGACAGGCAGGTAGATGAAGTGGTTGAGAGCTTCGGCGTTCTGCTCAGGAGTTGCCATGGTGTGAGACATTTTGGAAAGAATTAAGATGACAATATCTTGAAAAGGATTTGACAAAGTTGATAAAAATCAAACAAGAGAAGGTTGGAGTCGAAGATATTCGCGAATATCAATCCTCTGACAATAGGTTGGACCAGAATGGGTTGGACAATGCTGAGGTTGACAATAGAAGAATAGCAAAGATGGAGTGGTGAAGCTTATTCGAGTTGCTGCCGGAGAATGGTCGAATAAGTAATCGGTATTGTGGTGGCTCAAAGAATAGAGTATTATTAGATTGAAGATGCAGAAAGATGGTATGAGAAAGAAGTCGAAGTCGCAGGACGGTCGTTTTTCTTTATGTATAGCTTCCAGGAGCAGGGAATTAAGACTTTCCGGCCAGCGGACAGGTCGAATTGAGGCAGGACCGTTAGTGAAAACGGGGGCAGTAGGAGTTAAACGTTGTAGTCGAGCCGCGTTGTTGCTGGTTCGATCGAGAAGCACCAAGAAAAGTAAGACAGCTTGTAGACGTTAGGAATAAACGTGCGTGACGAAGGGGAAAAGAGAGAAGTGAGTGTTCAAGGGCTGGCTAGCACGCCGTTGGTTGTATTGGGCGACTGAAATGAGAAGATGGGCCATCGTGACCACCGGCAGCGAGGCAGATACTTATTTCCTCCTGAAAATGTACGCGGCAACGCAAGGCAAGCATGGCCATGGACACGAGGCCGTTGTTGGCAGCAGGTTTGAGAATGCAGGCGGTTCGACGTGAGGTGGGCGTGTACGAACGCGCTCTGGCATGCAAAAATCGTCCCCTCCGACAGGAATCATGTTGGCTGCTGTCATACAGCAAGTTTCCAGGCCCCTACAGCCACGCGCTGTCTCAGACAGACTACAAGAGATCACCAAAGTCGCATTCCGTTTCAAGATGCTTGCTCGTAACGTCTGCCGCCCAAAGGCCTTGTTGGTAGAGATCTCAGAGAAGGAAGAGAAACCAATAATAGGGTAGGCGCCGAAGTGGGGTCGCACCTTCCCTTTGCAGCCGTCCGGCAGACTGCCGAGCCCTACAAGATCTATCTCCTGGCAAGATGCAACACAGCAGTAGAGGGCGAGGCCGCTCCCGTCTTGGACATGAAAGACATCATTGACAACCACAATTGACTTCGATTACTGTTTTCGGGGTAGAGGGTATCGTGGCTGGGAACCCGGCCACCTATCGCATTTATCTCAACGTGCGATATGATATTCTTGGCAGTAGAGTGCCCAACTGGTGATGAGTCGTGACGCTTTCGAGCTGTTCGCTCACGCTGGCAACTCGTGGAATGTTCAATCCAGCTCAGCCACTGTGGATTGCAACGGCAGTCTCCACCAGGCGCCTTCTCCTGCACCTACGATGTTCTGTGGAGAGCGTGGCCGAGAGTCTACTCCTATAATAGTCTGCGAAGGGGGTTTGCAACTCACAGGAGGTCCTCGGCCGCTAGAATCTCAGGAGAGCGGCAAGCGAGGACAAATTCACCCTGAAGGTACCCGCTCTGCTCTGTGCCATCTGCGAATGATCGATCTCAATTGATGCTTACTTGCATATGATGTTGGTATTTTCAGAGAGACGTTCAGGTCGATACACTGCATCCTGCATGATCATTTGTAGGGGCAGCGTCTCAGCAGGCGCTGGCGATGATTTTACAACAAGAATAGCCTTCTCGTGCAGCAAAGGAAGACCAAGATCTGTCTTGCATGTGATGAATTTGATCTCGCTGTATGACCACCATAACAAAACAAGTCCACAAGGAACGAGGGGTGTGAAGATGATTTTGGTCCTAAGTTTGAGAATCAAGCGTCGCTCGAGAAAGTGCTTGCGCAAGCAGCCAAGGACAACAGATTGTGCACCACCTTTCCTTCCCTTCTTCCAAGGACAAAGGGCAGCTCTAAAATCACGAGATTATCGACCCTCACAAGCACAAGTGATGACGAACCGTTTTCCTGTCTCTAGAACGAGTTTTTGATCATGAGCGCAACAAACCAGGGCTTGGACTCGGAGACACACGGGACACGACACGACTGGATCCAGGTCATGGTGTCTAAAGGTCAGAGGCAATGTGACTCTAATGCCAATTTGGGTCATGTTGTCGAAGCTTTCTCAGTGGAACCGGCGTCTTCCACTGCGAAGACAGCGCCTCTTAGCAAGTCGTCATCTACGCTCTGGGCAGAATCGCTTTTCTCCGGCTCTTTCCGTGTGACTTCACGATCTCGAGTACCATGATGGCCGAGGTCGAACACTTTAGGAATACGACGACTTGGCTCTTCATGTCGCTAGAGTCATAAACCATAAGCAGCTTTTCGTATCTTCTCATTCAGCCCATCGCAGTCATCATTGACGTTACTCTCACTCTTCACGTACATACAAAAGGATTTCCGCTTCTGACTAAGGGACACGCGACACACGAACAACCACAATGAATCGACCATCACACGAAGACGACGGCTGGGACCACCCGGAATGGAACCAAAACCCGCCTGCTCTGGCTGGAGACTTGACGACAAGAAATGACCTGAATGGTGTTGTCAATTCTAGACGAAACCGTGACCGGAGAATAGATGACGACGACTTGAATCGCATCCATCCAGAGCCGTACGAACTGATTGAGGTGAACGAAAAAGGCAAGAGTTTGCCTCGGGTCACGGAGGACCCGTACCCTGGCCCTAGTGGCCACCAACCGGAGCGCTCGTCGTCCTCGTCGTCGACGTTGCGTTCCGCCGAGATGCCTGTGTCTGGTAGCAGGCGTCTCGGCAACCGCATCATGTACGTCCTTGCCAAATACGCAAAGTTCGTTGGTCCCGGTGTCATGATCTCAGTCGCCTATATCGATCCTGGAAACTATTCTACTGCTGTCGCAGCTGGCTCTACTTTCCGGTTCAGGCTTCTGTTTATAGTCTTCTTGTCCAACATTTTTGCAGTCTACCTGCAATGCTTGTGTGTCAAGCTAGGCTCAGTCACTGGTTTGAATCTGGCAGAAATGATCAGAGCTCATTGCCCTCGATGGCTCAACTGGATTCTTTATCTNTTTGGAGAGGCAGCAATCATATGCACTGATATCGCAGAAGTGATTGGTACTGCTATTGCTCTTAATCTCCTTTTCCATATCCCTCTGGTAGCTGGCTGTGCTATCTCTATTGTGGACGTTCTTGTGATTTTGATGTTTTACAAACCGACTGGCACTGTGCGAGGTGTTAGNATTTTTGAAGGCTTCGTTGCTTTATTGGTCATCGGTGTTGTGGTTTGCTTCTGCTACCAGCTTTCCATCATCACCAATACATCAATCGGCGATGTCTTCCGTGGCTACATCCCGTCTTCAGCTATTGTTAAGTCTAANGGGGTACGTATATTACCCAAGCCCGCTTGGAATAAACTTTTGCTAATCTTGTCTAGCCTATATCAATCATGTGGCATCTTGGGCGCAACTGTCATGCCTCACTCGCTCTATCTGGGCTCGGGAATCGTGCAACCACGTCTGAAAGAATACGATGTGCAACACAACAACATCCCGGCCGCCTCAGATGACGATGATAGTGGCCCGGTCAAGTACCGTCCCAGTGTGGCCGCTGTCCGATCTTGCATGAAATACTCAATCGTCGAGCTTTCGACATCTCTCTTCGTCTTCGCCTTGTTCGTCAACAGCGCCATCCTGATCGTCGCCGGAGCTTCACTCTACAACACCGATGCCGCCAGTGCCGATCTATTTGGCATTCATAAGCTGTTGGCTCATCAGCTCGCTCCTGTCGCAGGAACCATTTTCGCCCTCGCTTTACTCCTCTCCGGTATCTCCGCTGGTATCGTCTGCACAATTGCTGGCCAGATGATTTGTGAGGGCCAGTTGACATGGGCAGTCAAGCCTTGGGTGCGCCGCTTGATGACACGCTCAATTTCCATCACACCTTCCATTATCATCGCAGGTGCCGTAGGCGCAGATGGGCTTTCCGCCGCGCTCGATGGCTCGCAGGTTGCTCTCAGTGTCATTCTGCCTTTTGTCAGTGCGCCTCTGATTTACTTTACCTGTCGTGAGAGGTACATGACCATGTCTGCGAGCAACGGCGACCTGATTAGTATGCGCAATCATTGGTTCACTGCCGCCATTGCGGTCATCATCTGGCTTGTCATCGTGGTTATGAATGTCGCGCTTTTGGTGTTGTTGGGTTTGGGTGTTAATTAGCCCACGCTGTGATGTTTCCTTTGGGGGCTTTTGAGTTGAATGGAGAAGCTCGCTCTTTTCTTTGGTGGCACGGGAGACAACTCGAATACATAATGTCTATACTGGAAAAGCGTTCTGTTGTCGTTACACTAATAGTTGTTCATCAAGTTGATACACTTTCATCTTGCACAGATCATGGAATATAGATGTCTTACTACACAGCCATCACATAATGTCTACAATTTGGCCTTAGCAGTCTCCCAATCCTTGACTCTCTGCTTGGCCTTCTTCTCCAACTCCTCGTCCTGCCTCTTAACCCTCTCTTTGTACTCACTCTCCTCATCAGGCGCATCCAAAAACGCCACAGTCTCCCTCCACATCTCCCTCTTCAACAAGCCATAAACCCNCTTGTCCGTCTTACTCACCAAACCCAATTCCTCCACAAACGCAACAACTTCATCCAAACCTCCCACTCCATCGACAATACCTGCTTCCAGAGCCTCTAGAGCTTTAAAGCGCTTGCCTTCAAGCACCAAAGTACGATAGGTTTGCGGCGAGCACTTTTGGCGGAAGATGGATGACATGGCTGCTTTGAGGGGCACACCTAGTTCGACCTCGTTGAGGCAGATGTAGCCGCGATGGGGGTTCATGATTCTATAGTCGTGCATCATTGCTGTCATTAGAGCGCCGGCGAAGCCGTGGCCGTTGATTAGGGCGACGGTGGGCATTGGGTAACTATGCGTATGNNTTGTTAGCATTTTGGGTTGACGATCAGGGTGACACCATTCGCATAGCAGAAAACGGCAAGAACGACCACAAGTGCAGCACCAATGCCTTGGACGCCCTCTAGAGCTGGCATAACCATTGTTTTGGTCGCTCTAGATATGCCGTTCGAGCAGTAGAGCACTGGTCCAATAATGTCGTGTTATATCATCCTCCACCCCAAAACATCTCTCAACTCCCAGAAAACGGACAGAAATCAATGACAGNNAAGAAAGACAAAACTTNNACGTCAACAACCTCTTCCAAAGCGCAAACAAAGAGTCCTTGGTAAAAGTTGGGTTCGAATTCGCATGCTCGAGATCCAGTCCATTGCTATAGAACTTGCTGATGCCAGACGTGGTAATCACAACGCCATGAGGATACTTGAGTGCCAGAATATCCAGCGCAGTGTGCACGGCATTGCAGAACGACTGTTCGCACTCATCAGTGATCGGTAAAAAGCCTTAGAAGGCAGTGCTTACGGTGGTGAGTCGATTGTCTGGTGCAGAGTTCCACATGATCATGTAGACTCTTTCTGCCAGCCTCGTGACGACGACTTTGCCATTGCTATCGATTGGCACCTCGAACAGTCGGCCTGACTTGTAACCCATGGCTTCAAATAGTTGGTCTTGATCGATAATTTAGGTGTAAAAATTACCAAAGATGGATGCTGCCCAACAACGGAGAGAGGTGGAAGGCTTCACATGCACCATGATCGTACCTCGGCTTTGAGATCCAGGCGTTTACAAATCCATGACATCTTCTACGACAGAGAGCCAAGGAGTCACCAACGGGTACACTTTGAGATAGTCTCACGGTCATGAAATCGATTTCCTTAAGATAAAGATGGTATACCATTCGTATAAAACCAGAGAAAAACAGATGCAATGCACAGATAGATCTGTAACTGTACGGCCTAGAGCACACCCATGATACGATGGGAAATAACAGCAACGAAGAAAACAGAGACTAAAAGGTAGATAACAGCAAAGATAGAAAAAACAACACGCCATTGCTATATCATCTCTGGCCCATGCTAACCTTCAAATACAAGAGAAAAGAGAAGAAAATAAGGTCATCCCGGTCATAAAGCCATCATAGTCTCGCATTCATCAGTCTCTCCCTTGCGTTTGGGATGAAAATGAGGAAAGGAGAAAGAAAAACAGCAAAGGTATAGAAAGTAGATGCGAGAAATAATGAGCCTGAAAAGTGCACCGAACTCCTTGGTACACCTAGAGGCAATGAACGCCGATGTGCCCTGTAACACCAGCAATGCGGCGTTGCTTATTTGATGAGATGATTATTGGCAGAAGAGCTCGATCTCTCCCATGCCGCCGACAGTCTCGCCACGTTGTTCGCGCCAAGTCTCGAAGGCTGACTGCACGTCCTCATCGCTTTGGATGCTAACGTAGTCGTCCTCATCCAGGTACTTCAGCTTGACCTGGTTGGGTGTACGATCACTCAGACTGATGTTGGTGCTGCGAGATAGCTTGGCATCGATACGGTCCCTCAGAGAGTGGTATGAGATGTTCAAAGGCACAACAAGGGTTAGGACTGTGCTCGAGGCGTGCACTTTGATCTTAAGCTGATTCAAACCGAAGTCGGAGCTAGAGGACAGAGGAGGAGATATAGGAGAGTCATAGCCACCGGAAGGCCCTGGGGTAGGCGTATTAGTGCGAGCTGATCCGACATAAGCCAGTCCTGGGTTGACTCTCAGAGCGGGTGGACCATCGTGAGCGTATGGAACATCTGCGTTGGATCGAGTCGATGATCGTTCGCGCTGGTGTGGTGATTGCACGGGAGCGTGGGCCAGACTGGGCGAATTGCTCTGACTTCTGGGCACTGAACTGCTCACAGAATACTGAGCAGGGAACGGTGGGACAGGCACATCGGGCACTGGCGGTCTCGAACCATTTGCAGCTCTACGCTGGACATGGTTGATGTCTGGGCTGCTTGCAGATCTGTTTCTTGATGTTGCAACCTGCTGAGAACTGTGCATGCCAACCAATCCAGGTCTAGGTCCAGAGGTACGCTGACTGGCTGCGTAACTCGTTGCAGAAGCCATACTGTTCTCGCGTGAAGCAGTACGGCTCATAGCTGGGGCAGTATAGCGTGTTTGATTGTCGTGGAATTGATTTGGGAAGTAGGACATGCCTGAAGAACCGCTGGTTCTCTGTGAAGGCAGCGGTGTCTCAACAGGCGAGAAGTATGAGTCTTTTTCCATCGAAGGTGATTGTGCGTAGGGCAGTTGCTGAGTTCTCAGACTGAGCGAAGGTTGACCGCCGATTGCGTTAGCTGGGAGACGTGGTGGAGGCATGCGGCCCCCTAGACTCAAGGGAGGACCACTCTCGCCAGTTGTAGATCTCGAACGAAGGCTTGTTGTTGATGCGTTTCTGCTGCTCATAGTAGAGGACTCGAACGAAGAATGCGGAGCATATGCAGGGAATGGGGATTGCGGCACAACTGTGCCCTCTTCATCATCGTCGTCAACCTCTTTGTAGGGATTCACAAGATCTTCTTGGTTCTGCTGAATGTAGGTGAAGTCGGTGGCCGAGGTGCCAACAGAAGGTCTGTGGGAAGCAGTGGTACTGTCGCTGCGTCTTGCGAGATCATTGCAGACAGCCTTTTGCTCCAGCAGCTTTGAGTACCATTTGCTCATGGTATCTTCGGTAGGGAAGCGAACGACGAAGTTTTCGATACCCGGATCGCCCTTCCAAAAGATCTGGCAAGTGTACGAGCCAGGCTTTGATGCCTTGACCACATCTGTAACATTCTGCATGAAGATACGACCTTTGAGCTGCATCTTCGGTCTGCCCTTCTTGTCGACCAACGAACGTGTGGACATCTTGTTCTTCGGCTTGTTGCGGTCGATGTCCTTGCAACACAGCAGAATTGACTCGAAGAAGTAGACGTGGTATTCTCGTTCCTGGTCTTTTCCTGGCGCGCTGTCGCTCTTGATAACCGTGTAACTGCCAAAGAGAAGAAGGCCACCGAAGCCTGTAACACGATGACCCTTCCAGTCTTCAACGCGACTCTTGAGATCTTCCAGGGCTTCCAGCTTGTCCTCGTTCTCGATGGCGGTGTTTGTGCGGGTCAGAACGGTTGTGGCACATTCCTTGCCCCTGGAGAGATCGGCCATAATTTCCTCGTTGTAATCACCTTTCTTGTGCAAAGAATCCAGAAGCAGTGGGTATTTAGATAGTCTCTGGAAGGGCTTCATTAGGAAGCCGTATAGAGTGGGAGGAGATTCGACAAGCTGGCGCATGTCGATGGTACCGCCGGCTTCCTTGAGCTTAGCAAACTCTCTCATGACAACCTCTTCACATAGTTTCTGATTGGCGATATAAGGTTCGTACACCATAAAGCCTTCATTTGCCTGGATAAAGATCTTTCCCCAGTTTTGTTCGTCTTCTGGCATAGCATTCGTTTGCTCCACTCTGATAAGAAAGCGGCGTTGGAAGTTGAGTAGTGCATCAAGATTGTGGAAGATCTGATGGCTGACATCACCGGAAACGACACCCTTGCTTTCGCAGAGTTGCTTGAAAGCTTGCAAGAGTTCGAGGTGCTGTACGTAGGTTCTTTCGGTTTGGACCAATTCTTCGACGATGTGTTGTCGTTGACTGCGTTTGCCAGAATGAGCGGCGATCTGATCCGGGCGAAGGTCTTCGATAATATTTTGTTGCACCATAATGTCGAGCAGTCTTGAGACCATTCTTACGANCCTGGACAAGTTAGAAAGGGCGATGTGAATGGAAGAGGATGTTATTACCTTGACAAAGCCACCAATGTCGTCTTGGTAGAGATCGTAGAGAATGAAACAATCCTCGACTGAGAAGTTGAGACCGTTGATGCAGCCACGCAAGAAACTGGAAGTGAGGGCTTTGCCCTGTTTGGCAGCGCTGATCTTGGATACGTCAATCTCGACAAGCTGGTCGGGCCGTAGAATGTTGTATAAAGAGACGAGCGGGTGGCCAAGCTGGAAAGTCTTCCAGATCAGCTGGACGACATCGAGATCTTCGTGTTGTTGTTCAGTTTCCAAGAAGTATTCATCGAAGCCAGGAACAGCCAAGAGGCGTTGGCGCAGAGTAATGCACATTTGAAATAGCGAGGCATCCTTGTCGGCGACCTTGTTCATGACATTGCCGGACGGCTCGACGTTTCCTTGGATGGTGGAATTTGAGGGCGATAGGGTGGGTGTCGGCGGAACGGGAAACAGCGTCGATGTAGATGTGCCTTGAGTTGTGTCCGAGTTTCTTGAGAGGACGGACTGAATGGAATGCGAAGAGTTGGTATGGTTCTGGGACTGGACCAGAGGGGAGGTTGCGGAAGGCATTTTGGAGAAGAGAGCCTGGGGCGCTGTGTGTGTTCGGGTCAAGGAAGCATGAGAGGCGACCTGCATGATCGGGGACAGAAGCCGGGGGCGCGCGCAGCCGTGGTATATACCGGCAAGCACACGTGGGCGTGAGTGTCGAGGGAGATTCAGGCTGGAGGACGATGCTGGCGGGCAGGTCGTTGTCGAGGGCAAGCGCGTGCCGTGCGCGGTCGGAAGGTGCAAAGGCGCGATGCAGGAGCGAAGATCTACTGTGGCATGTGTGAAGGAGGTCGTGTCTTTCTCAGGTGACAGTCCTTGGTTCGGCGGACGGAAGTTGGGCAAGGAGAGTGAGTGATTGCGGCGGTGGGGCCCGTGTGGAAGCCACTTTCTGGCCGTGGCTTTGTATATGTCTTGTTGACGAGTGAAGGAACGAGCACGACTCTGGCGGCGGCGGGGTCACGACTGTTTTCCCGGTGGACTGGGCTCGAGACTCTTCACTACTGCGGCGACACGACGGCGACGACTTGGGACGGAGAAGTGAACAAAGAAAGGCAGGACACAGGCTCACACAACGAACGGCGACCACGGCGGGCGGCCCTTCTCAAAGGACCAGGACCAGGACCCTGCTCTGTCTGAAGCCCCCGGCTTTTTCCTTTGTGAAACGCGCTTGACTCCTTCCACTTTTTACCCTACGAGCATGCGTCCGCCTCTGTTACAAGACTTGCCGTCTGCATCGCGACCCTTCTGGTCCTGCCTCGACGGCCTTTGACCTGTTCAGCGTTGTTGTGCGTGACTCTGTGATTCCGTGACTGTCTTCACTCGTGGTCGCCCTGGAAAAACACAAGCTGCAAGGTCAACGAGCCCTGCTTCTGCGGCGATCACGCGAGGGCCACCTTGTTCTCCTCGCTTTCCCTCGCCAAAGAAGTGCAGATTGACGATCCTCCGTCCCGCCCGCCCAGCGACCTGACTCTTGTCAGCAGCCCAAGTCCTTGTTGAAGCAAACTTTGTTGATTGGCCCACGGGGTCTGACTCTGCGAACAAGTCCTGGTGCCAACTCCCTGACACACACAGCGAAGTCTGAAGCGCCGCAGCAGTCTGATCGCGACTTCCGTTCCGACATTTAGCCCGTTCGTGTTTACCAAATCATCTGTCTTGCCTCGCCCACCAAAACAAAACACTCGCGCGAGTAGACGCCTGATATGGCCCAGGACGAAATGAAGGTCGACGAGGGCTATTCAGGAGGCTCCGAGGAAACGAGAAGCCTATCCGACAGCGATTCTACCATGCACATCGATCCCGTCGACGGCCATGTTTCAAAGTCATCCACACCCACGCTTGAGTCGATGCTTTCGCCCGTACTGAGCCTGCCNCCGGACCAGAGATCAGCCTTCATAACCTCGCTGTTGCGACTGCTGCCAGAGTCGGAGCGATATGGTATTTGCATAATTTCCTAGTTCCATCTATACACCACCATCTGACATTCACTAGACACCGCCTATACAGCTCTTCGCTCGCTGCGCACTTCGTCCATCGCATCCATAGTCGAGCGCCTCAANCCCCTCCTTCATCTCGACCCAGTAGTCTTCCTACCACCCGAAATTACCTCCCAAATCTTTCTTCATCTCTCACCCTCCGATCTCCTCCGCTGCTCGACCGCTTCCCGGCTCTGGCGCGAACGTGTCTTGGACAGCACTCTGTGGAGGACCTGTTTTGCCCGTGAAGGATGGATGCCAGACCTTGCAGAAGTGAGAAGTGGTGAAGCTGCCGAAGCCAGGCGCCGCTTGACCCTCTCGCGCAACGCTCCTCAAAAGCCTCCTAGAAGGAAGCCTGACGGTGAACTCGAAAGAAGCGGTAGTATCAAAAGAGCAAAGGAATCCGTCGATGGGTGGAACGAACAACACAGCACACTGGAGGCCGACGATGATGCGATTCCGCAAGACCCAGAAGATGGTGCTGCTTCCCTGTCCGCCATGAGCCTCGCTTCCGAAGCCGACTACCTTGACATAACCCCGGGAACCGACCTCTCCTCAGGTTTGCTNCCTCAACTCTCTCCGTCGCTCTACAATACATACAATGCTTCACCACGGGTCAACTGGCTATATCTGTACAAACAACGGCGCCGTCTAGAAGACAACTGGAACAAAGGACGCTACACGACGTTTCAGCTGCCACATCCAGACCATCCCGAGGAAGCCCACGACGAGTGTGTCTACACGATACAGCACTCGCGTGACTGGCTAGTCAGTGGTAGTCGCGACAAAACTATTGCCATCTGGGATCTGGAGACTCAAAGACGTGTGAGGACATTGTCTGGTGCTCACATCGCTTCTGTGCTATGTTTGCAGTTCGACGAGCGTCCAGATCAAGATATCGTAGTATCAGGCGGAAGTGACTCTTTTGTCGTCATCTGGCGCTTCTCGACAGGTCGCATCATTCGCAAGATGGATGAAGCACATACCGAATCCGTACTCAATCTACGTTTCGACGACGACCTGCTGATAACATGCTCCAAGGATAAGACCATCAAGATCTGGAATCGTAGAGAACTCTTTGTGGACAGCGATATCATTCCAGCAGTCGCAAAACGTCAGCTTGAAGTTGGCCATCCTATGAACCCTATCAAGGAGTACTCGCTACTACTTACACTTCTAGGCCACGGTGCAGCAGTGAATGCAATTCAAATGCATCAAGGTCAGATCGTTTCTGCATCAGGAGATCGAACCATCAAAGCATGGGACATCAACACTGGTACATGCACAAGAACTTTCACCGGCCACACCAAAGGCATTGCCTGTGTGCAGTACGATGGTCGCCGTATCGTGAGCGGCAGCAGCGACAACACCGTGCGTATCTTCGACGCAGCCACGTCTGCAGAGGTTGCATGCCTTCCTGGCCACAGTAACTTGGTGCGTACTGTACAAGCTCGCTTTGGTGATATGAGTGTCTCGTCTGAGCAGCTCGAGGCCGATGCACGTGCTGTCGATGAGAGATTCCACGATGCTCGTATGAATGGCCTCAACCCTGACCAGAACAGAGCACGCGGTCAGCGCAACGCTGGCTCGAGCAACCCTAATGAAGTATGTGCGGTCGGTGCGAAGATCCCACCAGGAGGTGGTGGCAACGCCTGGAGCCGTATTGTGTCAGGCTCTTATGATGAGACAGTCATTATTTGGAAGAAGGATTCTGATGGTAAGTGGGTTCCAAGCAGGAGGCTGCGGCAAGACGAGATTCTTCAAACTAGACGAAGACCTCGCAATCAACCCGCAGCGGTCCCTCAGCAGGTAACGCAACAGCCACCCCAAAATAGCGCAGATGAACAGGACACAGCTGCGCAACCAGGCATGTCTGCTGCCTCTGTCACAGCCCCGGCGATATGGCCTCCATCTGCCACGTCTACTCCAGCTCCCCAGGTCCAACACCAGGCCCCTCAGCAGATGCAACAACACATCCAACAGCAGCTCCATCAACATATCCACCAACAAGCACAGAATCATGCCGGCCCTGCTGGTCCACCTGCTAATCATCATCACCATCACGGCCACCATGGAGGTGCTGGACACCACGGCCGTCATCGTATCAGAGAAGACAGCAATCGTGTCTTCAAGCTTCAGTTCGACAGCCGGCGCATCGTGTGTTGTTCGCAAAACCGAGTCATCGTAGGATGGGACTTTGCTGCTGGTGACTCGGATCTTGAACAGGCGAGCCGCTTCTTTGGAGAAACTGATTAGGTTGTGGCAATGATGTTGGTTCATGTTCTATTTCTCAATTCATGCATGCCTTGATGGTCTGGATCACTTCTTGGGCATATTCTTTCCTGGTGAATGTTGTACTTTAAGGACACAAGTCTCATAGCGTGCGCACACATATTGACATGACTGTTCAATGTATCACGGCCTCGTCTGATGGTGTACTTAAGCCTTGAGCTCCTCCATGTGTAGTGACCCTGACCCGCTCAATGCTTGTTAGATGCAAACATCACCTGATCTTTTTCGGGTCGACATTTGCTGGATTGTTTACGTATACGCGAGGTACGGAGTTTGAAGGGTTCGAGTATAAAGAGGATGCAGGAGTCACGAACTGAAAGCTCCTCAGCTTCACCCATCTTTTGATCTCAGCCCCACCATCCCCCACGCAGGTGTCGTGTTGCGGCGGTTGGACCAGCTGCAATGCACAGCGTGCGTTGTTACCAGAGCTTCGGTTAAGCAGTCAGCGCCATGCATTATTGAGATGCAGATCGGCGTTGATGGTTCAGCCTCCAGAGAGCCTCGTTGATTCATGGTCGACAGGTAGGACGAGCGGTAGAGCAGGCACAGAGGCGCTATGTTGAGCTGCAAGTGGTCGAGGGTGAGCGAGGCGGTCTGCAGCTCGATATGCTTGCGGCACGTCTTGTGTGCAAAGATACCTTCGCATCGCGAAAGGCGTTATCCGAGACATGTCGTTTGTCTTGACGACTCGTCATTTGGCAAAGTTTGGCCAGCGAAGCGCCGGCAACGGTATTCGTCGGTGCGTCGGACAAGACGATGGGCCATGGCAGCTTCCCAACAGCTCGCAAGCCGAGAGGAGAGCCAGAGCCAGAGCTCCCAGTGTTTGATAAATCCCTAGGACACCTGCAGCTGCCAAACGGCCATCTCTCATCGCCATTCCCCAATCGATAGCAGAATCACACACGGCGCTGTTTGCCACTTCTTCCGAGGAAAAACACCGACTTCCAAGACCATGTCAGAGCACACCGGACCCAAGGGTACGTGAGTCAAAAGAGCCATCGTTGCTTTCCCGCCATCGGCCCAAATCCTTATCTTCCTTCCATCACACCCAACACCATGCGGCCTCTTGTCCAATTCGCTGTGCGAGCCTCCCGCTCAGCCAGACCACTGCGTGCATTCAAGCCTACACTCAATCGCTCCTTCCACTCGTCACCACGCTGGCTGTGTCCAGACTCACAGAACGATGATGACTACCGTATCAATGCCCACACCACTCTTGCATGCGAGCGAGACCCAATGCTGACTACGTCTTCCAACAGGCGGCTTCGCCCACACCCTCGCCGAGCGCGTCGAGCAATGGAGCTCCAGCATGGAGCAGTCCGACCCCGAGTTCTTCCCCAAGTCGGCAAAGGGCCAATCTCCCAGGATTCTCTGGATCGGTTGTGCCGACTCTCGTATCCCCGAGTCGACCATCCTGGGCTTGAAGCCTGGTGAGGTCTTCGTCCACCGCAACATTGCCAACATCATCACACCCACCGACATCAACTCGCTGTCCGTCATTGAGTTTGCTGTTGCCCATCTCAAGGTCGAACACATTCTCGTCTGCGGCCACACCAGCTGCGGTGGTGTTAACGCCGCTCTTGGAAACACCAGACTTGGCCTGCTCGACATCTGGCTGCAGCCCATGCGCCAGCTGAGAATGGAGCACACAGAGGAGCTGGAGAAGTTCGACACCCAGGGTGACAAGACCCACAGACTCAGCCAGTACAACATCTTGCGCAGTCTCGAGGTTCTCAGAATGAACCCCACCGTTATGGATGCCATGGCCGAGCGCAACTTGGAGCTTCACGGTGTCATCTACCACGTCGAGAACGGCAAGCTCGAAGTCGTCGAGTCTTCCGAGGACGAGACCAAGCTGAAGAAGCGTCTGGCTGCCTTCACCACAAAGAAGTCTGCATGAGTGCAAATTACACATTTTCGAAAGGCCATTGGCCCTGTGGAGTATTCGGAGTAGGCATTGGACGCCCACGGCATATCACGATAAAGTATGGTACTGGAGGGAGGACTTTTGGAAGACGCTATACAGGTTGTCCGCGCTCAAGCGTAGCAACACATAATTAACAACTATCAACCGACTTGCTAAACGGCCATTTTCCAAATTCGTGATGACTCAGTGTATCCACTCTACGGCGCGATTTGCCGGTGTGCTCGGACGTAGCATCATAGCTCCATGGTCAACATAAAACAATTCGACGGCATGTTTCTGGCACTTTGTTTTTGTCGTCTACTTTGTCTCTAGAAGCCCAATCGACAAGATGCACGAACTAGCAGCATACGCCAAACCGCAAGAATCCAAGATGCAATACCACTAGTGAGTTGCACTTGTCTATACACGCATAAGCCATCCATATACAGACACTGAAATTAATNNTAGCTTGGGACAATCGGGACTTAAGGTATCCCAGATCATTCTAGGAGCCATGTCTTACGGCTCTTCCAAGTGGCAAGATTGGGTTCTTGACGAGGAACAAGCATTGTAAACAAACCCAACATCATCCTTACGATTGTTAGATTACTGACTGTTCTCCAGGCCTTTACTCAAACACGCCTATGATCGTGGCATCAACACCTGGGATACTGTAAGCCACGTCCCAAGTCCATACATCTAAAACCATATCTAACCAAGACATGACCAAATANNGGCCGACGTCTACTCCAACGGCCGCAGCGAAGAAATCATCGGCACTGCAATCACCAAATACAACATTCCTCGCCACCGCCTTGTGCTGCTCTCAAAATGTTATTTTGGCGTCACCGACGAAGACAATTCTGCGCATCAACCAACGATCCCGCAAATGATGAATAATGATGGGGACTTGGTGAACAGAGTTGGGCTTTCGAGAAAGCATATCTTTGATGCTGTGGAAGCTAGTGTCAGGAGATTGGGTACTTATATTGATGTGTAAGTTCTTTGGTCTCTCATGGTTGTTGGCAGAGGGAAAGTACTGATAAAAGGCAACAGGCTACAGGTTCATAGATTGGACAGGGGAGCACCCAANAAGGAAATCATGCGTGCACTCAACGATGTCGTTGAAAAAGGCTGGGTCCGCTACATCGGCGCCTCTTCAATGGCAGCCTGGGAGTTCCAAGAGTTGCAGGTAAACTTTCATTTACCTTCGAGCATGTTGCAGATGAGAAACTGACACAAAACANNACAGAACATTGCAGAAACTCACAACTGGCATAAATTCATCAGCATGCAAAACTACCACAACCTCCTCTATCGCGAGGAAGAGCGCGAAATGATTCCTTACTGCAAAGCCACTGGCGTAGGCTTAATCCCTTGGTCACCCATGGCCCGTGGCGTGCTCGCTCGTCCTTGGTCTTCTCGCTCCTCCATCCGCGAATCCTCCGACAACACTCTAAAAGCATTGATCCGCAGCAAGGAAACCGAAACCGATGAAAAGATTGTCAAGAGAGTGGAGGAGGTTGCGAAGAGAAAGGGTATCAGTATGGCTGCTGTGGCGGTCGGGTGGAGTATTGCCAAAGGCGATATTCCAATTTTGGGGTTGAGCAGTAAGGAGAGGATCGATGAGGCGTGTGAGAATTGCAAGGTCAAGTTGAGTGAGGAGGAGATTGCTGAGTTGGAGGAGTTGTATATGCCAAAGGCCGTTTCTGGGTTCTAAGGGATGGGGGCAGAGTTGACGACAACTAGATAGAGACATAAAGTATTGTCATTACTCAGAATAGAGCAGGACCAAAATTTCCTTTCCAATATTTTCGCACTTTTGATATGCTTGCCACTTTTTCGCGAATTTAGTAAGTTCCGGCCTTGCCAGCACAACCCATGTTGTCAATCCAGTACTCGCATTGCTTCTTGATCAAGTCTGTGCCCGTCTCGAGCTGCTCGGTCAACGGCACCTTGCCAGTCTTCTCAGCCGTGTAGGCAAAGTAATCAGACAAGACCATCTTGTTGACATTGACGCGAGTGACACCCCTCTCGATACACTTGTTCAAGATTTCAGGGATGAACTCGTTTGTGCCGTGAAGCACAATCTGCACTCGGTCATCGACCTTCTTTTGAATGGCCTCGAGNNACTAAGACGTCACCATTAGCAAGACTCTCAAAGCAATAAAGCAGAGAACGAAAACTTACCGCTCATAGTCCAGATGAATGTTCTCCACACCATGATAATCACCATGCACGTTTCCAAACGCCGGAGCCANAAAGTCAATTCCCGTAGCAATGAAATCATCAACCTCTTCGGCGGTAGTCATCATACCCTCCAACTCTGCAGTATCCTTGACACCATCCTCGCCACCTTCGATTCTGCCGGGCTCAGCTTCCGTGGCAATGCCCTTGGAATGACACAACTTGACCAGTTCCGTCGTCTTTGCTAGGTTCTCTTCTTTTTCGTAGTGTGACATGTCTACCATGATGGAGTCGAACATGGGTGTGCCGTCGTGTTTCTTGAGCTCGGCGGCGCGCTTGATGACTTCGGGGTCTTGGGCATGGTCCATGTGCAGGGTTACGGGGACCGAGGCAGCGGCACAGGCTTCGGCGGCGGCAGACACAAAGGAAGGCGAGTAGTGGAGTGCCCAGGNGAAGAGGAGGATCTGAAGAGGTGCCTTTTTCGACTCGGCGGCGCGAATGGCACCGATGATGGTTTCGAGGTTGTAGGATACTACACCGAGGACGCCGTACTTGCCTTTGGCTGCTGCATTGAGCATGCGCACGGCAGGGTTGTTGGAGAGTTNTTGAAGTGCCATTGTTGTGATTATGGTTACTTGAAGTTTTTATGCTTGTTCGTCCTTATCGAAGCAGAGAATAGGTCAAGCGGTTTTGTATGAACACGAAATTGTTGTTCTGCTGATGTTCGAGGATATATAAACGAGGTCATTGCCCCGCTATATACCCCACCGGTCTTCTTCCCGACGTGTCCCGCGTTGCCCACCTTGGGGCTTCCGAATCATTCTGCCGAGAGGTCGAGGTGGATGCATCCTCGAGATCCGGAGGATGTACTCCGTGATATCGGTGATTTTGCCGGAGAGGCTGTTCGGTGTGATATAAGCCGATGTCGGATGTTGTGTATCATATGAGAATGGTGAATCCGAATATATGTGGTCTATAAAAGGTATGACTAGTTGCTCAAGTGTGAATCAGGAGGTTGTTATGCCTTTAGAAAAGAGACAATGGACAATAGGGCCTGAAAAAGAAGAAACAAGAAAGAAAAATAGAGTCCAGGAAAGAATACTTTTCCACACATGGCGTCGTTCAATATTTGATGCAAGGCATTAATCATTATCGACCGAGCAGTAAGCTGAGTCTCTTCCAAGAGCATGTTCTTGAAGGCATGAGTGCCAAATTATGTTGGCGAGCTGGCGTGCGTCAACAAATCTGATGGCCTCGTCCAGGCCATAAACTAGCACACAGGATGGCAGCACTCTGTTTCCGTAGGATACAACCGTCCACCAGGGCGTACTGTCACAGGTGCTGCGAATTGAGCTGCTTCAGTGTCCTCTTCGAATGCTGCAAGGGTGCCGATGGGCTCAAAGAATCCATGCAACAGCAAGAGGTTTGAGTTTTAAGGGTCGTGGCAATACGTTGTCCTAGTTGGCATGTCCGTTCGCAGAGACCTTCTCTTCAACCTCGACATACTTTGCGCATGCAAAGTAGCCTTTATTTTCGACTACGCCTCGGTTCTTTACGACTGCCGTGTATTTGATGACCCATTGAGGAATGACCTGACCTTCCATCTTCTGATCATTCTCTTGTCGCTTTCTCTTCTCGCCAATCTTCTTCGAGGCTTGCGACAGGACTTCGGCGCCTTCATGATCGAGTAGCCCTCTGATGGTACCACGAGGCATGATATTAACCGAGTCATTGTTGACGAGCAACTCAACATTCTTGCTCTTTGCCAGGCTAGACAGGGGCTGAGGTACACTGCAGCAGTCGCGCAGACTGATCTGGTTGACCGAAGGCTGGACACTCGCCTTCTCGAGGAAGGGTTGCAAGCGGTTTGCGCCAAATTCGGACACACCAAGTCTTCGGACCAGCCCGTCTTTGTGCAACTTCTCGACCAATTTCCAGGTCTCCAGCTGGTTGTCCACAGGTTCAGGAGAAGATTCCTTGGTTCCTCTGCTCTTGATCTTGTCTGGACAGCACTCGCTCTCCTCGTCAAAGTAAACGCCAGGGAAGGAAACGATCAAGAGGTCGACGTTGGGCATGTGTAGCTCCTTCTGAACCAGATCGACGGCTTGGCGAAGATGGTCCTCTCTAGCAGAAGTGTCTTCATCAGAAAGGAAGAAGACCTTTGCGGTTATATCATACTGGTCCCTCTCTTCGTGTAGGGAGCTATTGGTAAAGTCGAGGCGTGGGATGTACATGGTTTTGGCGTCGTCAGAGTACGAGACCCAATCGACCTGCTCAGAAACACCATCTTGTTTAGCCTTCTCTTGGGACAGCTCCTTGGCCTCGTGCCTTGCACCCTCGAAGTTGTCGCGTAGACTCCAAGTGAGTTCGGTATGGGAATTATCGGCGGCGCCCACGCCCTGTTGAAGCATGGTGTTGCTAAGAGAGATAAGCAAAAGCTGGCATGATGCGACATGGTAAGCATTACCCAGTGGATAGAATAATAGATTCGGCCGTCATGGTGGTTGGGACGGATTTCTAAGCGGAAAAAGTAGGAAATGATCAGGACGCTCAAAAAATGCGGAAAATGTACAAGATGCAGAAACAAGTAGGTTGCAACGAAAGTGCGATTTTCAGAAAGGTAGAGAGCAGATAGATATCGCGTGAGCGGGGTGCAGGTATATCCGGGAGTATAGGTGGGAGGAAGTGGGATGGGATTGTATGATTCGGGGATGAGTCGAGGGAAAGCGCTATCGCCGAGGTTGGCCGAAAGCCAAAAGGCAGTCGCGGAGGGCCAAAGTCTGGAGCTGGAGCCAGCTGGGCGAGGCTGACTGTGAGCGTCTGTGACTGTGACAGGCTGGCTGTTATTCCTCAGGAGGGGCATTTATTTTGACCCAACAAGCTACGCTCCACCTTCAACCACAAAAATGCCCATCAAGTAGGTAGCACTTTGTAGCTGACAGTATTTGCTCGCACTAATGCGCTCGCTAGATATCTGATCCTCCTGTCAAGGCAGGGCAAAGTGGTGAGTGCAGCGGCGTGCGTGCTTGCAAGAGGCAGGAGCTAACGCAATCACCACAGNCGCCTCGCAAAGTGGTTTACAACACTGTCGCCCAAGGACAAGGCAAAGATCATCAAGGATGTATCGCAGCTAGTCCTCGCCCGCCGCACGCGCATGTGCAACTTCCTCGAGTACAAAGGTCGGTCGCATCATGTCCCCCACCCACGCACCAATCCACAAGCTGACGGATTCTGTCAAGATTCAAAAGTTGTCTACCGCCGCTACGCTTCCCTCTTCTTCATCGCCGGTTGCGCTTCCGACGACAATGAGCTCATCACTCTAGAGATTGTCCACCGCTATGTCGAGCAGATGGACAAGTACTACGGCAACGTTTGCGAGCTCGACATTATCTTCAACTTCCANAAAGCATACTTCATCCTGGACGAGCTACTGCTAGCCGGAGAGATGCAAGAGAGCAGTAAGAAGAACGTACTCAGGTGTATTGGCCAACAAGACAGCCTGGAGGACATGGAGGTACGCATATTTTTCGCTGCACACTTGGCGTCGCTTGACACTTTTTCTGCACACTTGTTGTCGCTTCACACATTTTCTGCACCCGTCCACCTGGCATCTGCCAACACGCACTGTACTCACACTTGGCACAGGTCGAAGACGAAGCCGTCACGCGCATCATGTAGAGGCAGTCTTTCAACAATACCGCCGTCTCATACTCTACAGCACTCGCAGCATTTTATGGCGTTACATCGGAAAACAGGCGTTACTGGTGGTTTTGTGATTTGCATTCGGACAACGATACCACAACTTGTGCACTACTAGCAATTCAAATGAGTGTCCCTCGCCTTAGGCAGGGCTTCCGGGTCTTAGACCTGCTGCTCAATTATAATGACCATCCAACGATGCCCTTTTTGGTTCAGGCTCTTGGTGTGACTCTGCTGCTCTTGCTACCGTTCCTCTTCTCTTTCTGTTCTCATGGTCTGTTGCTGTCATGTCTGACATGAAGATGGTTGTCTTGTTGTTGACACTTCCTCATGGTACATTAACCTTTGTCTCTCTTTAGGTTCTTGTCTCGACTCATGGCCTTTCTTTCGCAGACGTCAAACAAAAACAACAACAAAGCGAAATACGACCAGGGGCCACGTTCTCGACATATTGGTCGATGCATCAACCGAGACGGTTGTGCTGCCAGTCAGATGTTTGAGGTCCGGGCTTTGATTGGCTCAACGACGTCAGACGTCACGAATCCCGCCGAGGAGAGGNNGCAGCCGCAACCGGCGGAGAGGCACCTCCACTGGGCAGTCACGATCCAACGTCCGCTCGTAGCACCGCTCAGCNNTATCACGACCCATTCTTGCTCCNNCTTCCCATCCCCCAGCGATTTGTTATTCGACCCAGCACGCTTGTCAACATTCGTGACCGAGTGCGACACTTATCTACTCGATTGACCGCTTATCAGCAGCTATCTGACTCCTCCTTGCGCACTATCGCCAACCGTCGCATCCCGTCGCGCGTCTGANAAGACTCACCTCACAAACACCTTTCACTCGTCTAGCAATCATCTGGACGACTTTCGACCTCTATATACATCAAAATATCCTTATCGCATCGCGCCACATCCTCCGAGCAATCGCACATCCATCTGCAACATGAAGGTAAGCTCATTACCGACGCGACACCCTCAACACACCCAATTGCGTCTATTGAGTCGCAGTACTTGCCGCCGTCAACTGCTTGAGGGGTGCTCTGCGAAGTCTGTCTGAGCACTGCTAACGACTTTCCAGTACGTNCCCCTACGCGACTTCCAAGTCGTCACAGATGCCTTGAACTTCTCGACCACCGACCTCCACGTCATTGGCAGTTGCGATCTCTACACAACGAAAGCGGCCGGCAGCGACAAGAAACTGTACAAGAATATCGAGACTTCGCTCGAGAAAGAGCATGGAAACCTATTGCGCTTGGCCGCTTCGCTGTCACCCCCATCGCTCCCCATCGACAGCAGAAAGAAAGAGCGCAAGCCATCAGTCCATATGCCAGAGATCAACCTCTCTCGCGATAGCCCTTTCGGTTCCTTCAACCAGATCAGTGCAAGACGAACGTTTGCCTATCTAATCGCAACCCTCAACGCCTCACACCCCGATTACGACTTCTCGCACATTCTCCGTCCTACCGATTTCCGCAAGACAACAGGCACATCGATCAGAAGAAGTGTGGATAGTACTCTTCTAAACATGCGTCCCCGTCGCATGTCTACTCTTCTGTCACCTCATGCCAAATCGTCTCTGAGTGCTGGTTCACCTCAAGGTATCACATCACCAAACGCCGAGTTCGTGTGGAGCGAGCACATGTGGAAATTGATAGACATGGAGATGGATCTCAAGGCCTGTGAGAAGTACACATGGGACCCCGAGGATGACCCTTTCGAGGCCGAAAGCGCTTTGTGGAGCCAACACTACTTCTTCTTCAACAAGGACAAGAAGAGAGTTTGCTATCTCAACTTCCGCGCATTTAGTGTCTTGTCACACTCACCCGCCAATGGCATGCATACACGCACCGTTCCCATCACCAACCCTGGTGTTGGAGAGGGTGCAGGAAAGAGAGCTCAATATTGGCTCGGTCACAGTGTCGACAACAACGACGTCGACAACTGGAGAGAAGACGACGATCTTGAATTTGAAGATTCGATGAGCATCGACAACGATAGCAATGAAGGTGAATACAGAAACGATCTCGATGATGTCCGTGACAAGCTCGAGGACGGTTACTACGCCTGGGCCGATGGCACTGTTGACTCGAACGATGCCTCTGGCTGGGATCCTCGCCGCATGCACCGTGGCTCTAGTGAGGGTCCTGCGGATGCGATGGAGATTTAATCTGCTGAGTCAGATGTCACCCTGATGGCTGTCGTGGCCGTCAATTTTCACCAACGCTGGACGTCAATTTCTTGTTCATACTAAGTTCTAATCTGGGAATCGGAGTGGTTCAGGGCAGGCTGGCAATGGCGTTTGGATGTTTTCTTTCCTTCTGTTCTACGACTATGATAGGCGCTGGGTGCTTAAAGTGGGAGATAATCAAGCGATCCTACCCTGGATGGTTGTGTTCATAGCGTACTCCTAAGTTTGTGTGTTTTTGTTTCAGAATCGAAACCTTTCTCTGAAGTTGAGTTTCTCACCTTCTCATAATTCAGAATGCAACACCTTGATGTTCTGCATTGACAGCATAATTCGCATGTGGATCCAAGCAATATCCAGGCCGCGCCACCCGAAAGCGATCAGATAGATCGCGAGGAAAGCAAACAAGGGATGTCGTAGGAGTATGGCTCCGAACAATTTGCCGATCAAAGAAGACGCGAACATGGTACGACACGAATAGCATGGGAAATTGAGAACGAAATCAACAAAGTCCCACAGTGCTGCATCGTTTCCCCTCCAAACTTCCATCATCTCGCCTTTCTCCACAAAGACAAAAAGTTGTCCAGATTGTTGCACTAAAAGATGGATTATACAAGCGATGAGCAACAGTCGGTCTACACTGTGCTGGTTACAGGCGCAAACAGGTAAGGATATGTACTGAATGCAAGAACAAGCTGCCGACTGACATGTNNGAACAGCGGGCTAGGCTTCTCGACCTGCTGCCGTCTCATTGACGAGTTCCTGCATCTGCGACCGCAAACCCAAACCCTGCACCTCATCATCACCACGCGCTCGTCCTCCAAGAACAAAGATACCCAGACCCGACTGTCCGCACACCTTCAAAAGACACTGCAAAAAGCCGAAAAGTCGACACCGGGCATCAGCCAAGTACTCGCGACGCGCATCAGGATCTCTGGCGAAAGAGTGGATCTGTGTAATTTGCGCAGTGTTAAAGAGCTTGGAGAGAAGTTGATTGANGAGGGAGACCGTATTCATGTGCTCATCTGCAATGCAGGTATTGGTGGGTGGAAGGGGTTAAACTGGCCCAGTGCCATCTGGTCCATGCTCACGGATTGGAAACACTCTTGCACATACCCAACCTACAAGCTAGGCTTTGTAGGATCCGTCGCACCTCAAGGCTCAGAAGAAAAGGAACAGCAGTTGGGAGAAGTGTTTACGGCGAATGTGTTTGGTCACTATTTGCTCGTTCATGCGCTGGCGCCTTTGATGAAGGGATCCAACTCTCAAGAACCCGGCCGCGTCATCTGGATATCGAGTATCGAGGCTTACTCTCATGCCTTTAACCCAGAAGACCTGCAAGCATTGACCTCAGACGCAGCCTACGAGTCCTCAAAACGCCTTACCGATCTTCTGATCCTAACCTCTGAACTGCCATCCACCGCGCAATCCACCTCTGCATTCCTCCAGGAAAAGGACGACAAGCANAAGAAGCCGAAAATGTATCTCGCTCACCCAGGTGTTTGCGCAACCAGTATCGCAGACTTGCCATTGGTGTTGTGGTACGCCATGTTGTTGGCGCAATATATTGCGCGCTGGTTGGGTTCGCCCTGGCACCCCGTGTCCTCGTATCTCGGTGCCGTGTCTAGCGTTTGGCTCTCACTGACGCCCTTCTCCTCTCTCTCGAACCAAGAAACCAACGAAGGAAAAGCAAAATGGGCAAGCTCGACAGATGTATTCGGCAACGAACGCGTCGTGCGAACAGAAGTCGGTGGATGGGGATGGGGTGGCAAGGTGGGAGAAAAGGCAGATGGAAAGATGAGATTGAGTGCGAACAGGTGGAGAGGTCAAGAGGACGTGACCAAGGAATCGAGAGAGGAGTTTGAGGTTCTTGGTCAGAGGGTTTGGAGGGAAATGGAAGAGTTGAGAGTGACCTGGGACAAGAGGTTGCAAGGTTGATAGCAGCTAGCCCTTCACTCTCGCCCGTCACCACAATTATAACATGTTCCTTCTTCTTCCTTCCTCCTCTCTCCGTGCCTCAATTCGTGCAAAAGAAGAAAAGAAAACTCCGACCACAAGAATCGAACCCTCACCCCCACCCTCTGCCTCCCCATCCCAAAAGGAAATATACTTCCTCTTTATACCAAAAAGAAGGCTTGAACAAATCAAACGTTCGTGTGTGTTCCAAAGATTTGAGTAGGCACTGTCTTTGCTCTCCATCCCTGTTTGAATTGGTAAAAGGCAAATTCGAAGTCAGAATAATGGAAGAGCAGTGCTAACTAGAACAGGATTTAGCTGCATTATATGGGTTGGACGCTGGAAGCTTGGCGGGCAGATGAGAGTGGGAGCACCCTGGCTTCTATCTTTTGCAACTTTGGTGCAGTCAATTATTGCTTGTGTCGTGTCGACTTCCAGTTCTCGAGTAGCCTGCTAGAAAGACTATTGCAAACTGTGTCAGTCGTCAAGCATTGTAACAAGACGAGAGAGGTTGTTCATGGACTCATCTTACATTGTCGATCAAATCATACCAAAGCCTTCCATCACCGCCCTCGTATCATTTGCTCATCTCTACACACATCTTCATCAAGTACAACAATAAGTCCGAGTTAGTATTCTACAGCACGAATGCTCTGTTGCCAACGATCCTATTCTCTCTCCTCATCTTCTTGCATCCCCTTTTCTCCGATGCCAAAGCTCTCCACACTAGCAAAAGAAGGCGGTCAAAACACCACAAGTCACCGCCAAATACTAAAAAGGGGTCCTCGGAGATGTCTCCTAATCATAAGTGTCTCGCCATCACACGAATGATCGTCGAAAACGGATAGGAGGACAGGAAACACGGACCGTTTATGTTCAGTGATTAGACTGTTGTTGATCTTGATCAGCAGGAGCAGGAGAAGGCATCACATGGTACTTTGTTGTAAATAATGGCTTCTGAGCATTAAAAGGTTGGTCAAGCATTGGTTTGCATTACTTCAGATAGAATGGTTAGTGGAAGATCAACTGTGGAATACTGTTCGAGGTATAGTACGCCGGAAGGACAATTGAGAACAAGAACAGATGCATGGATGAATGAGTAATTGTCTTGTGGAGGACGAGTTTTGTTTTGTTCCTCAGAGAATACTGATATATGCAAACATGGCAAAACCCCGAAAATGCTAGCGAGTGTATGTATGCATCGAGACCATCCGGGTCGCAGCCCGCCGACCCAGACTCTCTACGTAAAACGTATGACAGAAAACAAAAAGAACAAGAATGATAAAATCTACGCAGCTTTCCTCAACTCATTCGGAGGAGAAGGCGGATCGAAATATGGTATCTCAGAAAATGTTTTTATGCAAGGGTGAAGAAAAGAAGAAACCGGAATATGCTGAGACGCCGGACGCTGTGCAAGATTTGAACAAAAGAATTCGTTGATGCATTTTTGGGTTGCATGTTTTGGTTGTTGAAAAGAACTCATCGGGTGACGTTCTCCATGGCGCGGTCCAGATCCGTGCTACGACGGACTTCTTGTTCGATGAGTTTGTCGACAAGATCGGAGTGCTGAGCTGAGAGCTGCGCCGCAGCTTCTTGGGCAGCGACAGCGTGAGCAGCAGCAGACGACGCATGTGCACCTGCCAGCATGTAGCCATCCTGACCTTCCAGTTCGAGCGGCGTTACAGGACCAGGGCTGCCTAGTGGTGCAAGGCGAGGGCTTAATGGCTTCTCAAAGCGAGCTGATTGCGGTCTTCCAGAAGTTGCATTTGCAGCGGCGGTGACGGCAGCCTGAGCAGCCAAAATCTCCCGTTGGTAAAGGTACAATTGCTTCTGAGCCTCGGAATAGAGCCTTTGCTGGGCCTTGGGGCTGACTGGAGGGTTGGATGGCGACGTGGGGCCGGTACCGGGGTGTTTGCAGTNGGATGATGATTGTGACGAAGGAAAGTTTGCTGGATGGAACCGAGGCAGACCAGGCAACTTGAGTGTGTTGGCAGCGGCCGGGTTGCGGTGCCGCATCTGCGAAGATGTGGCGGCAGAGCGAGGATGAAGACCGCGAGGTGATGGAGGCCGCAATTCGTAGCGTGGCGTGGGCTCAAAGCGGGATGACATGGGCGACGATGGCCTCAGAGCAGGCGAGGCGCGAGGAGAAGGCATGGTGGGAAGGCAGCAAGTGTCGGGGTTGATGGTCAGAGTTGAAGGATGCTGGGGATGTTGAAGCATCATTTGTAGAACGAGGAGATTGAGAAGGCGATGGTCCGTTTTGTCGGATCCAGATCAGCTCATTCGTGTGCAAAAGACTCTTGAGACGTGGGTGGTGCGAGGCAAGCACGAACACACGTTGGTTTCGTCGTCCGGGCTAGCAGCAGAAAGAGCGAGTGTGGGCCGGTTTTCTTCAGGGTTGGCCTCTTTCTTTAAATTCGATTGCGGAGGAAAAGCAGAGGAGATGGAGAGGAGGCTTGGTGCTTGATGGAAAGTGAGACGCTTTTTTATGATACGAAGTCCCAAAACATGGGCTCGGGTCACCGACGGTGGGTCCGCCATGGCATTATTATATCGACCTGTCGTCAATGTCCGCAACTGCTCGATACGCGATCGAAAATGAGGGCCCAAACCACCGACCAAGACCTCCCCCTCACCAAGCACCAAGCACCAGCCTGCGTCATGCATCAAGCACGTACGCTCAGGCCGTCAACAGGTACTCGCGGCTATTCCTAACCTCTGATCAAGCACGCCATGTCAAGGTTTCAAACGAGCCAAACCCTCTGTCTTCTGGGAAGCCTTGTCGCCGTGTCGCAGCTTTGTGCGAATCAAACCTTTTCCAAACCCTTGTCTTCAGGTTCCCATTCGCGACCAAGCACTCCAGAGGCTCAGCTGGAAGCTAAAAGTCCACACACGACATCGCCCGCTTTGGTCCATGTGCAACGTCGTGTCAGATTGGAAGAGGAGATAAAGGCTCATGCCAATCTTGCGATTGCTCATAGGAAAATATTCCCGCGCTGGTTGGTAATTTGTTCCGGACAACTTCAAGCATGTCACAAGTGACCTGCTGCACTTTGCGATGTCGTCTTCATGACCCCTCGCTTCCAATGTCCTGCTATCTGCACGCTGTCATACACAACCTTGGGAGTCGGCTCTGCTTGCAGCATCAAGCTGGACGGTTATCGGCACTTGCATCGTCATATCTTTGTCCTCTCCCAACTCTGCGCATGACTCTTGCCCTGACGGTGTCCCAATCTCCGAGTGGCTGAGATTGCGGAAGCACGCCTGTAGCGGTTTGTCAAGCCAAGTCCTGTGCCAATTGCGTTTGTCACATCACCAAAGAGATGTGGGAAGAAATAAAAGTGGAGGGGCCAAGCCAATTCGTTGGCTCGTCTGCCCACGCTGCCGGACCTGCGTCCCGTGGCGGCGTGGCTGTCCATTGGCTTTTCCTTCATTTTGCCCTCTTTTGGCCGCCTATACGGACTACTTGTCGTCCTCACGTGACAGACCTCTCCTCTGGCCCTTGTGATACGTGGATCATCTTTCTAGCTGTCATGGAAGCAAAGAATTCCAGTTGCGGGAAAGTCAAGCGTGGCCTCGGGAAACTGGCACTCTGATCTCTTCCTTTGTTCGGCCAAGGAATCCTCTTGCTTGCTACGGAAACCCATCGCACTATTGTACAATAGATGGTCCCGCACCGATGATCTTTTACTGTGTTGGCAGCCCGCAGCCATCCGCCTTTTAGGTCGCTTGAACCAGAGGAGAGGAAGGAGAAGGTTAAGCGGGCTATCATGCATGCCCAAGAAGCGCGCGACTCGCAAGTCAAAAGACACGTTTTCCGTGTGGGACAAAGCTGTCCTCCTAAGGCATCAAAACGCGGTGGAGCACAAACAGATCGTCCTGCTGATGTGCCATCCTCTTTATCGGCATCTTTCTGTTTGCGATCACGGACGAGGGTAAGTAGACTCGACGAGAGGTAGAGATCGAAGGTAAGTCGATGCGTAGCAACCGCACATCAGAAACTGTATCTTTCGTACTGTGGTCTCCTCACACAACATGCAGTCTCTAGAATCCTATGCCGTGCACTTGTGTCCCCTCTTCTTTGCTGCCGTGTCGTGCTATGGGGTATCCTGCTTCGCCATGTTTTTCCCGACTCGACTCGCATCGGCGATGGAGAGTTTGTTACGAGAATACGAGTCGCCTACTTGCCTACCTATCTCGCGCGGTTCCTTTGGCAAAAGGCATACTTAGACGACTAGAGTCGCATAAAAGCCAGTTGGATAGGCAACGACTTAACGACCTTGATATTCTTGCAAACCATGTAGATCGCACAAACGTGGTGCTCACGGAGTTACATGCTAGGTTCAAAGGACGAATCTTATTTGAACCGCTCACGACCAGCCCGTTCTCCTTCTCTTGTAGTTGATTACTTTGAAAGAGTATTGCACATGGGTAAGAACAAGAGAGTTTGTATCTCAGGACGACTTCGTTTGTAAGATTGCAAGAGAACAAGAACGATGCAATTTGGCATGCGATGAAATGATGGCGGTTGGTTGGCCAAAGTAGCAGAAGGAGCCGTGCATGGTGGTATTTCTGCCATGCACGAGCACAAATTGGGATAGAGACTGTATAGAGGTGGGCGGGGTGAATAGAAGAGGAGAGCCAAGCTTCAAGGTGTTGTTGTATCCTGGTAGTTAGCCTGTTAGCCCTTGTGCTACACGTCTACTCGTGCTGCCAACGCATGAGCTTCTCCTCATCCGATTGTTAATCTTGGTCCGTCTATCGTTCTCGCAACTTGACCATCCAGTACGATCCTCGATAATCGAAGCGAGAGACTAGCGGAATGAATGGCATGAGTACACAGGACGATAGATTTACATTTTGTTCAAAGCAAAAAAAGCGAAGTGACTGGTTTACAATTGATGCTAGTCGAGCTTCGATGTTTGCAAAAAAAGAAAGAGCCCCCTCAGAAGTAATCTATACGTTTACTCCTCGTCGTCGGCATGCTCCAGGCGACCCTGCTTGGAGTTGAGGTACTCGTTGCTGCGGAGTATGTCAGCTCGGATTCAAGTTTTGACCAGTCCAGAAGATGCGGCTTTTAGATCGACAGCCGAGAGAATGGAGTGGGAAAAAGCGAAGATTGGAGAACATCAGGAGAGGTTCCTTGACCGCATTGGGCTTCCCACATCCACCTCTTGGTGTCGTGTCTTCTGAGGCAGGAAAATGGTGTCTTTGGCTGCTTACTTCTCGGTGGCCCAGTTCATGAGCTCGTATCCGATGAGCATAGGGACGGCCCAGTAGAGATTTGACCCTTGGTTCTGCGGTAGGTGTTGAAGACGGCGGCGTGTGCGGCACCGGCGAGGGCACGCTGACGGTTCTGAGCCATGGCGTAGGTAATGATACCACGCTGCGGCGGGGAGCCTGAGCGAAGGAAGAATGGTTAGTGTTGGTTCGATAGATGAGGCGTGAAACATGGCGGTGGTCGAGTCGGGCGAAAGCGACTGTCGGCGATGGCAGGTCGAGGAGATGTTGCACGGCGTGTAAATTGAGAACAAATGTCAGGAAAAAGGCATACCGAGGCTACCCCACCATCCCATGTACCTGAGAGAGAGTTAGTAATGCGCCGTGATGTGTCGAGGGTCGTTGATGCGCCGGAGCTGGTGGGCGCTCAAGGACACTCGGGGGCTCAAGCGACTCACTGGCCAGGCTTCTTTTCTCCGCCACCACCCATTGTGATAGACTATGTGTAGATTGAAAGGGGGAAGAGAGAGGAGAGTCGTGTGGAACAATATCCGGCGTGCTGTCGTCTTGATGGAGGCAGGATCGAAGTTCGCCATGGCCGTGGTCAGCACGCCGCTCGGGCCCTGCGGCCGCCAAGCCCCAGTTGTCGGAAGAGACAGCGACTGGGCCGACATGCAAAGCGTCACCACCTGAAGCTCTCTGTACAGCTACGCGCCACTGCACAATACACCAATCCAACCATGGCCGCCAACGCTCTCGGTGCCATCTACAAGTGGGCTGTACCCGCTGCCCTCGGTCTGTCGCTCGCAAATGCCTCCATGTATGATGTCAAGGGCGGTACTCGCGCCGTCATCTTCGACCGTCTGTCTGGTGTCAAGGAAGGCGTTATGAGTGAGGGAACCCATTTCCTGATTCCCTGGCTGCANAAGAGCATCATCTACGACGTCCGCACAAAGCCTCGCAACATCTCCACTACCACCGGTTCCAAGGATTTGCAGATGGTTAGCTTGACTCTCAGAGTCCTGCACCGTCCCGAAGTCAAGGCTCTTCCCAAGATTTACCAGGTTCGTTCGCCTTCCTGCTGCGCATAGAGTCGCATGAGCTCACGTTGAATGTCNCAGAACCTCGGTCAAGACTACGATGAGCGTGTTCTTCCCTCGATCGGAAACGAAGTCCTCAAGGCCATCGTCGCCCAGTTCGATGCTGCCGAACTCATCACCCAGCGTGAAGCCGTCTCCAACCGTATCCGTACCGATCTCCTCCGCCGTGCTTCTGAGTTCAACATCGCCCTCGAGGATGTTTCCATCACCCACATGACTTTCGGCAAGGAGTTCACCAAGGCCGTCGAGGAGAAGCAGATCGCACAGCAGGAAGCCGAGCGTGCACGCTTTATTGTCGAGAAGGCCGAGCAGGAGCGCCAGGCCAACGTTATCCGCGCAGAGGGTGAAGCCGAGTCAGCCGATGTCATTTCCAAGGCTGTGGCGAAGGCTGGTGACGGTCTCGTCCAGATCAGAAGAATCGAGACACAGAAGGAAATTGCCCAGATGATGGCCAACAACCCCAACGTCACCTACCTGCCCGGCGGCAGCAACGGAAATGGTCAAAACGGTGGCCANGGAGGCAACTTCCTGCTTGGTTTGAGATCGTAAAAAGATGTCGTGTAAATCTATTATACCTTGGGCTTGTTATTACCACGGCGTTTGATGCGGCATGGCAGGCATGGGCATGAGCAAAACTACCACCTCTTCTCTTATCTTCTTGTATACATAACTACGTACGCACGACCAGCGCTTCTCTTTGCTTCCAACATGCCACTCTACCGAAACGCCATCGCTAATGGAACATACGAAACCGAAACACGTTTATCACTCTCCGTTCCACCGCAACGTTTTGGTATAGAAACGCACCAAGGCTTCATAGCCCAGCTGATCACCCTGGCGTAATAGTTGGGCCGCGTCGATGTTCAGGGGACTGTCAGGCTCGGCAGAAGTGAGAAGTTGCTGCACGGCCTCTAAAGTCTGTCGGACGGAATACACGGGGCTCCAACTAGACTTGAGCAGATCCAGACATATCTCTCCAGTTTTGAAATGTACATTCGGATGGCAGATGGGGGTGACGAATGTGATGGTAGGAGGTTTGTTGGGATATGTGTCTGGGATTATGATGTTGAGTTTCCAGAGGCCATCNNTAATATTTTGGTCAGGAGGTGGATAGGATCACATGGAGGTGGTTCAAGAGTTACTTTGGTATGCGGTGCCTTCCACTCCTCTGAGTACAGCAGTCCAGTGGGTCAGTTCTTCGTCGTTGATGGGACCGAGATGGAGTAGTGCATCACTTGGGTCCTTTTCATATGAGCGTAACTCATGTAGCAACCTCTTGGTCACCTGCTTGGAAGCCATTCGGTAGCCTGATGTCTTTGGTGTGCTTGGAGTTGTCCCTTGGGGAACGGAGGAAAGTGCGGGGATGAGGTTGACGTCGATGATGCTTGGCATACCATTTGTTCGCCGAATGGGAATTTCTTCGTCCTGTCGCATTCAACCTCATTCCAGCACAAACCTCAGTACAAACATGACGGTCCCTTCAGCAGACGTCTCAATCCTCCACAGAGCCGATGGCTCAGCAAGATATTCAGCAGCCGGCTACACAGTAGTGGCGGCCGTCAACGGTCCCATTGAAGTAACACGCCGTGATGAGCTGCCCCAGCATGCTGCTCTGGAGGTCAACGTGCGCCCTGCCGTCGGTGTAGGCAGTGAGTACTGCCTTCCCTAGATGTGTTACAGGCAAGATCTAAACTGACACTCGCAGGTNCCTAAAGAACGTCATCTCGAATCGCTCATCCACTCGACACTACGCGACATTATCCTAACGCACATGCACCCTCGCACCTTGATCCAGTTGACTCTGCAAATCGTCAACACCCCTGAGCAGGAAAACACTCTTCCTGCCTCTTTCGTACGTCTCAGTCATGCCCATTCTGTACACTGTCCCCAGGACTAATAGAGGCCCCAGGCCCTCTCACCTCTACCAGCTCTCCTCAACGCCTCTATATTCTCTTTACTCAGCGCTAGCATTCCGATGAGCAACACTTTCACCTCAACCCTCTTGGCTGTTTCTTCCTCGGGCGACCTCTCCATCAACCCTGCTCCCAAAGTCTTGCTTTCCGCCTCCTCTACACACGTCTTTGCCTTTTCGTCGACTGGAAACCTCGTTCTGGATCTGAGTGAAGGAGAATTCGACCTGGATACTTGGGAAAAAGCACACGACAAAGCAAAGGAGGAATGCTGTAAAGAGCAGCTATCAGAAGATGCCATGGAAGAGGGAAAGCCAAGCCTACAAGGCTTCGTGGAAAGAGTTGTCGAGGCCAGAGTTGAGAAGGAGAGAGCTTGGAAGAACGGCTAGATGCTGCGACTCGACATCGACACAACACGAATCTGGACCCAACAGAGACTGTCAAGGCCGAACATGGAGTACAGGGTGCAGAGGGAGACATGCGAAAGGCAGCGTCGCCTGGGATTTGGTGGACCGCATCGTTTGATGAGAACCACTGTTGGGTCATCAGGCTCCACAACCAGGCGTGGCAGGAAGTCTCACCACTGCCCGGTACAAATGAATGCACCACGAATTGTATCACAAAGGGCTCTTCTGTCAGATACAGATGCAGCTTCGATACCTCTACTCCTTTGAGATAAGGGATTAAACAGTTCTCATACTCGAGCCATGGAGACAGAAGACGAACCCACTGCAAATGATGTGGTGGAGATGGTACTACTCTTGGCTCCATCTTGAAGCATGGAGCTGTGAATCTGTTCAACTCAGAGGGAAAAGAGTACTCTTGACCAGCCAACCCCTAGATATACTCAATGATAGATTGCCGCTTGATGGTAACCAGGAAACACTATTGCATTGTTCACTTCACTTCAGTCACTTCACTTGCCTCACTCGCCTCACTCCTTCATGTGGTATATAAAAGTTCATTCCAAGCCCCTATTAGAGCTCGGTTCTGTGGCCCACACAGCAAATCACTCGATGGAAACTGGCGTAAATAGAATCCAGAGGTGGTGAGTTCGACTGTCCACCTTGGTTGGTCGAACTGTTTCCCCAAGTATGCTTGGTTTTTGTTGCTTTTTCTCTCTCTTCTGCTTTTGTCGGGTCTCTCCTCTCGTTTGCAAGATCACTCCTTCCTTGACTACATGTTTGCTCTTTCCTCATGATTGATCGCACCTTCCTTATGTTCGCACCTTCCTTATGTTCGTACCTTCCTTATGTTCGCACCTTCCTTATGTTCGCACCCTCCTTATAATCGTACCTTAAAATTGCATTCTCTCCAGTCTCCTCTAATCACCGTCTGTCTGCTTGTACAGAACTTGCCAGATTTTAGATCATCTTTGTTGGATGCCTTTGGCTGTGTGATCTACCAGTTCCCCAAGATGTGTGTTCTGGCTCTGGACAAATGGCAAGAGGTTTACAGCGCATCCCGAAGGAGAACACTCATCTGACTGGGCATTCTTCCATGAGTACGAAAGGGAAAGTTGGAACAAGGGAAAGTACAATCGAGGGTTTGTTCCTAAATTCGCAAGAGGGGTTTCAGGGAAGGAACGATTGACTTGGTGTCTGGAGGAAGGCACGATCCAAGTGGGAGAGCGAGGGTAGAACGACAAAAGGCATTCCACATTTGAAGAGAGACGGACCCGAGTAACAGACTCATGGAAGCCGCCAATACTCAAAACAAGCAGCGTAGGCAGGGTAGTTTGCATTCACTCAGGTATACAAGAGATGCGTCCACCCACAACAAAAACAAACAAACAAGCCCCCTATGCAAATCATAGCAAGTCATCTATCTCTCAGATCCTTTTGAACCCTTCTTTCGTATCCTCTTTGCTCCAATCAATCGTCACGCCCTTCTCGTCCTCTTTGTACAGCACATTGCAGCACTTTTGCAACCTATCAAGTACACTGTCATAGCGGCGTTCACACTCCTTGCACACCATCGAAACCATTTGTCGTGACAATTGCTCCTCGTCCGCATCGCCAAAGTGCTTTTCGATGCGCTTGCGCAACGTGTCGATGCCGCTGCGTATACTCTTGCCGTCGTGCGAGGCGAGCAGCTNTTTGGTGTTGTGGCGTGAGTAGAGGGGTCGGGAGGCTATGCTGGGGCCGGTCATGTTTTGATTCAAGAGACCTTCCGCACCTTCGATAAAGTCNNCTGGAACGAGAATGTCAGCATAAACGCGATACTTAAATTTGAGATCAGAACTTACGATGATTTTGCCGAGCGGCCTTCGGACCACACGGCCGACGTACTCTTCCATATGTTCGGCGCGGTCCATCAAGGCCTTTGCTTTCCACTCGGCGAGCACTGAACCTTCCTTACCACCATCATCCACTTCCTCGATATAGTGGTTCATGTTTTCGATCAATAGAATGTGGTAGTTCAAAATCTCCTTGTCCTCATATTCGAGACCATGTGCCGTTGTAGCAGATGCAGCAACGCCAGTAGCGGTAGGTGACTCTCTAGCAATGACCTTAAGAGAGTCCCACATAGCTCTGTTGATGCGAATGTATGCATCGTCGATCAATTGACGTGCACCAAGGACCGCTGCATGACCATCGTACTCTCTGGCTGCTGTAAGATATGTACCTTCGACGGCATTCGAGAACATGGGGAAGATTTTCATGAAAGCGATGACACCCTTGCGCTTCTTGATCTTGACTTTTGTGTCTTCAATGGCGTGAATCTGCTCGTCGACGAACTTCTGGAAGAGCGTCTGCAAGCGTGAAGAAATCTCGTTGAGGTTGTGAAGCAAAAACTCTTGCGATGTTTCCTGCAAGCGGTATGCATGCAGAGCCAGGACAGTGAGGACACCGACTCCTTGGATAGGATCGCCAGCGTTCGCCCATTCCATCAGAGCTCTCAACTCGTCTTTCCAGAATGCGAATGTCTCTTCCATGACATCAGCCACACGTCTTGCCATGGCTCGGTCAGGTTCCATTAAACGTCTACCAGTAAGATCGGGACCTATGCGTGCTTCGGGGACGTTAGCCACTACTGCATCTGCAAAGTCAATATTCTCGAGACTAGTGGCGTGGAAAAGGTCAACAATAAAGTTTTGCTCCATGGAAATCAGTGGAACCTGTTCTTCGAGCACACCATTGAAAACCTCGAATGGTGCCATACGTCCAGGTTGCGCCCTGTCAACAGCCGTAGGCTTGTCGCCACCAATGCCAGCCGAACGGAAAGATTTGGCCAAAGTTTGAGATCGCTTGACCGTTAGCTTGCGAGCAGTACTGGTAAGACCTTCGGATGTTTCCTTCTCGACTGAGGTGAAGAGCAGTTCGGTAGCTTCGCCACCAGCCGTACGCGCTCCCCTCTTCCAGTTGTTGGTGTTATCTCGGAAGACATCAGTATACAGCGGACGAGCCTTGGTATGATACATGCGGAGAGTGCTTTGCCATGCAGACATATTGGTCTCCTTCGTAAAGAGAAGCAACGGACTGAATTGCCAAAGGTTGGCACGGGCCAGATTGAATCCTGAGCCGTTAAGTTTCATGGTAGCATTGCCAATACCGCCGGGGTGTTGCATGAGCGCGGGTTTGGCAGCACCGAGTGCTGAGGCAANAGTGTTATCCAAATAATGCATCAAGCGTTGGCAGAACTCAGCACTCTCTCGCATGTATGCATTACGTTTCTCTTGCAGAGCGTTCATGGTACCAATGTCGCTAGTATCGAGACCGGCCGCAGGCCCAGATCGACTCAAAGCATTTGTTGAACGTACAGAAGGATCGATAGTAGCCATAGCCTTGTAAAGAAGAAGCAGCGACGATTCTACTGTCATGAGAGCTTCTGGGTTGCTGAGATCTCCGTGTCTAAGCGGCTCTAATTGACGCGGTGAGATCGAGATAGTTTCAACGAGCTTCTGCAGCTCAGTATGCAAGATCTTCTGGTTAGCGGTTTGAACTTGAAGACCCTGTGATTGCGCCTCAATAAAGGCAATGTCGTCGTTGAGAGTGCTCAGTTCAGCAGAATAAATGGTCAGGAGTCCGTCAAGCTCATCACACTCTGCGATTGCTCGGTCAAGCATTTGGTCAACAACGTCAACCCGATCATCTTTTTGCTCAAGATGACCTAGCCAGCTACCAGCTTCGACACGACCCAGCTCGCGTTTCAGATCGGCCTCCAGATCTTCCAGTTGCCTTCCTTTTAATAGGCCAGATCCCCAACCAAAGTCGGAGAGAATGGATTCGAATTGAATCCCTCTGCCGTCGAGTAATCTTGGGTCAATGTTGAGTGAGCGAAGGTGGTTCTCTTGCTGCGCTGATCTACGCTTTGGTCGTCTGGGCTCTGGTACTGCCACAGGGACTTCAGGTTGTTTCGGCTGTTGTTCTGGCTCAGGCTGGTGGAAGTAATCTTCTGCAGTGGCTCCATCGATGGGCGTGTGAACGTGCTTAGCCTCATCTGCAACTTTGGGTAAAGTTTCCGGCTCGGTGTTTCTGATCTCTGATACAGGCTCAGCCACAGACGAAGGGAACTCGGGTTTTACAGGAGACACCGGGAGTTCCGATCTATCAACATCCACGCTCATCTTGCGCAAAGGAGCCGGAACGACACCAGTGATACCGTCAGGTCCCTGTCCCTTAGTAGCAGCCTCTGCCAAGGCTCTCATACGTTCGGCTGCGCCACCAGCACGAGGCTTGAATGCACCCTGAGCTGCAGCAGCTTTTCTCAGGGCATCTGCGAGTTTGGGTCCGGTTTTCTTTTTGATCATTGGTCCAAGGCCAGGACGATGCGCTTCCTCGTCCGATAAAACATCTCTGGGTTCGGAACCTGGAGATGGTACTTCTTCTGGTTGTACAATTGGAAGAGCCGGAGCCGGAGCCTGCGCAGGTTCTGGTTCTCTAGTCATAGGCTGCGGTGGCGGAGCTTGGGATGATACATCAGCACTCGAAGCAGTCGGCGTATCATAGAAAGCACCAGGTATGCCATCAGAGGTTGATTGCGNGGGCAAGAACTTTTCGATTCCTAAACCACGAGGACTCGAGGGACGACCGACAGTAGCAACAGTACTAGCATTTGTACTTGCACCGGATACATTTCGGCTTGTTGAAAGTGGAGGTGGGCGTAATGCTTCTGACTCTGGATCGTTTTCGCTTGGTGTTGCACTATATTTTCGACCTCCCGCCATGAACGGCCGCTTGCGCTCAGGAGGAATTTGGATATTATTAGAAAACTGATCAGACGGAGCGGTGGATAGATCTCTCTCTCGTTGGCTCACAGCACTGGGCTGTCGCTGATTCTTCAAGGTTTCGAAAACTGAGGGCCGAGGCTCGGTCAGATCAACAGTGGCGGGATGAGGCTTCCTGGGAGAGGGTTGTCTCATCGGTGAGACTTCGCGCGACGGAGGCTTCCACTGATTGAGCGTTGACGTGAACATACTAACTTCGGTTGCGGCTCCAGTCGACTCATGACTACGCTGACTCTGGATACTTCGCTCGCTCCGCACACTCTGGTAACTCTGCTGACGTCCTTCAGCACGAGCGGGAGCCAAAGTTCCAGGCTGTTCGTTCGGCTGATTGAAATGTGATGGAGGCTGATCAGAGAGCAGGGGATTAGATCTGATGGACGAAGCGAACGAGGCGTTGGGCGAGTCAGACATTTGAGGTTGTTGCAATTCAGCCTTCGAAGATTTGGGAGTCAAACGAGGTCGAGGGCCAGGAGGAGGACCATTGTTCAGTGGCGGAGGAGCAGCACCTCGTTGCATAGGCTCTCGGCTCGGAGCACGACCAGGCTCTCGACTTTGAGCACGGCCGGGCTCACGGCTTGGGGCACGCATAGGCTCGCGACTGGGAGCACGCATAGGTTCACGACCTGGTTTCTGCATGCGCTCTCGGCTAGGCTGTTGTCGCAAACCTCTGTCCTGTGAAGGCCGAGGCTGAGAATGCAGAGCTCCAGGCGGAAGAGGCTCGCCATTTTCAGGCGGTGGCCGAAAGCGTTGGCGAGAGTCTTGGGACGAGGGACGATGTTGTTCGGCAAAAGGTGGACGAGGAGGGGTATTCTGAGAAGCCTGGCGATCTTGGACAGCGGGCGAACTACGGGGTGCTTGTTGCTGGCCAGCAGCCAACCCTAGCATCTGGTCTACATCTCGAGGATCAAAGCCACGTAGGTCTGGAACCTGGCCTTTTGTATATTTACGGTAGATCTTGACCAGACTAGCGACGAAGAAATCCTTCTCTTTGGACGTGGCAGCCTGCCAGTAGTAGGGCTTGGAGATGGTGACAACGAAGCCGACGCTACCAGCCCATTGGTAGTGGTTCTGCTTGGGTGGAGGGGCATTAGGATCGGGGTGAGCAAAGGACTCGATGGCGGACAGGTCCTCGAGGTTCCAGGTCTTGCCGATGGAGAAGGAGCCGTTGTTGTTCTCACGAGCCTTGTGCATGCGGACACGGCCAGTGCTGCGGACGGCGACGACGATGATGCGAGGCTTCTTGTTGTCGGGAGCTGAGGTGGGCGGGGAGGAGTNCGAAGGATGGGCGGCATCTTCAGATATGCGAATATGCGTAATGTACGACTCGGCGACNNTATTTGATCGTGTCAGCGGGGCTAGACGGTGCATGCAGACATGCAACTCACGCTGTCCATTCTGGTCGAGCTTGGAGAAGCAGCTCTCGACCATGCGTCGCTTCTCGTCCTCGAAGCGTTCGGCACGGGTCATTGTGTTGTTGGCAGGAGGTTGGCCTTGTGGCAGCGAGGGCTTCCTGCCGCGGGCGTCATGTTGCATGGCCGAGTCGGACGGGTTGCGCGACTGCGAGCCATTCATGCTGTCGACGTGACTACTGGATCCTGCGATTGTACTGCATCTGGAGGTCGGCCAGACTCACTGAAGCTGACGGACAGCAGAGGACCAAGCAGAAATTGTGGCTGGGAGTATGAAGACGCGTAGGAAAGATGACGGATAGATTGCTGGCAGCCGTTCGACTTCCGGCACAGCAAGCAACCCAAACCTCAAGCCTCAAGACTCACAGGCTCAAAGCCCTCCTTGCCCTCCTTCCAATCCTGCCGAGCTGCAAGTCTTGGCACCTGGGGCACTCTTATCGCCGACTGTACCCTAAGCCCCGTCGGCAGCGCGGGCCGAGCAGGTGTGTCTACCGAACCTTCGACTTTTTTCTGTATCGCGACTACCTTTTCGCGACGCCTTCCATCACAATCATTTTTCAGACAAACCTCACACCATGTCCTCAAAAGCTCCATCACCCGAGCTCCTCGCTCTCGTCAATGACTTCCTTGCCAGCAATGGCTTTGAGAAGGCCGCTAAGGCTCTCACAAAGCAGGCCAAGGACCAAAACATCACTCTGGCCGCTGATGGAAAGACTACCCTGACCGCTCTCTACGATGCCCGTCTCAAGGAGACGCCCGCCGCTGCCACTGCCGACGACTCTTCCGACGCCAGCGACAGCAGTGACGACGAGTCATCTGCCTCCGACTCTGGCTCCGACTCCGAGAGTGAAGACGAGAAGAAGCCCGTGAAGAAGGAGGCCTCCAAGAAGCGCAAGGTCACTCCTCCTAGCTCTTCCGACTCTTCCGACTCTTCCGAAGATGAGAAACCCACCGCAAAGAAGACCAAGACTGTCAAGAAGGCCGAGGTCTCCTCCGACTCCTCCTCTGCCTCGTCATCCTCCGAAAGTGAAGACAACAGCGACTCTTCCGATTCTGACTCCGACTCCTCATCATCCTCATCATCTTCCGACTCAGACAGCTCCAGCGATTCAGACAGTGACAGCTCGTCGTCCTCAGACAGTGACTCCTCAGACAGCGAATCCGAATCGGAAAGCGAGAGCGAGAAGAAGAAGAAGTCCGCAAAGGTCGCCAAGGTCGAGAAGCCCGCAAAGAAGGAAAAGAAGGAGAAGAAGCCCGTCGTCAAGGCCGAGCCCTCGTCCGACTCTGCTGCTTCGAGCGTGACCCTCGCCGATGCTCCTGCGCCCGTCAAGGCTGAAGTCGACACTATCATGGTTCCCGCAAGCTCAGCCCTTGGCCAAGCTGAAGGAACTGCTGCTCCCTCCAACGACGCGGACGAGCACATGCACCCCAGCCGCAAGCGCAAGCTTGGNGGTGCGTTCGGCGAGGCTGAGCAGCAAGTTGCTGTCCCTGCCACTGATGAAAACATCAAGCGTGCAAAGAAGGAAAATGTTCCCTTCAGCCGCATCCCCAAGGATCAGTGGGTCGANCCCCGCCTTCAGAGCAACGCTTTCGTGCCTTACGACTACGCCCAGAAGGCACACGAGGCATTGATCGTCACCAAAGGCAAGGCTTTCACCAAGGCCAAGAACAAGGGTAAGCGTGGTAGCTACAGAGGTGGTATCATCGACCAGACACCCAAGGGTATCCAGTTCGAGGACTAGAGGTCTCAAGAAGATTGGGAATTGAAGTACAGACTACACAAAAGTCAAAGCGTGGAGTTTTTGTTGCGCAAAACAGGTTCGGGGTTTCCTATATCAGGTGTTTTTGTTGGATAGAGTACCAAACATTTTCGGTCCAGGCATGGCTCACTTTCTGTAATCAGAGCCAAATTTTCACAATCACTTCAATCACAACAGTCTATTGTTTTCTCTGCACTATACTCGCCAGCGCGGAGAGCCTCTCAACAGCATGTATCTGCCGAACTCCGTCAAACATTCTCAATGTATGTTCCTAACAGTCCTTGGCTTGATAAGGTTAATCATCTCAAACCTCGAGCTCTTTGCTATTGCCTTCATTTCTAAATTCCCTCATCCACAACCCCATCAGTCCACCACCAAAATGATACAGAAACCCCAAAGACTCTCATTCAGACACAAGTGTAGACTACACACTCATCTTGTGCACTTCGGAAAACACCCTTCAGATCACATCCCGTGCCTGGCAGAGCAGATGCAGCTTGAGCAGGATTAGTGTTTCTTGCTCACACCCAATTCAAAGATTCACATCATGAGATCAGCAAAGACCAACCAGCATCACCAGGAGTGACACGACGTTGTCAGAAAAGAACGTGGGAGGAGCGGGGATCTGGTACTCACCCCATGGATGGAAACAGGTATAAGTGCAGCTCACTCTTTACTTCTCTCCCTTCTTCCTTTCTTGTACTTGTCTGCCAACAAGATTCCACCTCAACACTACTCAAGGAAATCCTGCTTTCAACATGAAGCTCACAGCTACTCTCCTCGCTGCCCTCAGCGCCACCGTTCTGGTCACCGCTTTCCCTGTCGACGCTCCCTTCGACAAAGCCCTTGCCAGAGCAGAGTCGAAAGATTCTGCTGGCTGTTATTGGGCACGAGATACATGCAGCTGGTTCAATATGATGCAAGTCTTTTTGAACAAAAACCGGACGCTTGGCTTGTCATCCAGCTAACGCTCACTAAAGTTGGTGCACGAAAAACTTGAACGTCTGCTACGAAGAATGCTTGAGGGAAAAGGGCTGCCCTCTTCATAAGTTGCCAGAGGTTCCACCTCCAGAACTCGAGGCTTCCAAGATCACCAAGCTCGCCGCCCCTGTCGACGCTTCCTCCAACGAAGTTCTCACTGAAGCAGAGTCGAAAGAGCCTGCTGGCTGTTTTTGGCGACGACAAAAGTGCTCCTGGCGGGGCGCAACGTAAGTGTCTCTCCAACAAGAAGGACCCTGCTCGCCATCCAACTAACGCTGCTATAGCTTCGCGTGCACCAAAAGCCCGGACGCCTGCTTTGCGGAATGCCTAAGGAAAGGGGCTGCACCGTTTATCCCAAGATGCCAGATGGAGGACCCCTAGAACGTGAGCCTCCCCAGACCACCAAGCTCGAGAGTCTCGACTAGAGAGAGTCGGGCGGACGATGCCGTTACGGGAGACGACCTCGCTGTAACGAACAAAAGTTGAGATGTCTTATGAGGGATACGTGAGTGAACTTTGCCCGCAAGGAAAGAACCCTCTTGTCTGTTCGTCTGGCTAATACATCCTCTTAGCTCCAACTGTGAGTCATTGACGACAGTGCCTACAGCAACTGCATGATCGAGCATTGCTGTCAGTGTTCGTGGATGTGGCCGTGGGTGTGGAAGGGATGCGTGCTGGTCGGACAGGAAAAGTTTTGCGTGGTCCAGAATAAAATTTTGATATGAGGGACAGGTCTTTGGATTTTACCTTTTGTACTTTAGTATGGGATATTAAGACTTTTAAGAAATGGTTCGTTCGAATTTGTCTGGTGGTCTCTTGTGTGCTCTCCCATGTGTGCGTCTTTTATTGTATTGTGTATATCATTGCTCGGGATGTTCTGGAGGTTTAGGTTGAGATGGCTTCTGTCATCTCAAATCGAATGTAGAATAGTTCTACCGTGAGATTGTCGGGTTTTGATGACATCTGTAACTTTCGTAGTGATGGTCAATATCCATGGACATGGACAGAGAGAAATGCTGCTCGTGTTTCACTCCAGCACTGTAGCTTCTCGGGATATAAAGGTGACCGGTGCCTTCATTGATCTGTATCCGGGGTAATCTGGGGACGTGAAGATACTACAGCGAGTTGTTGACAGTAGTTACTCTTTCAAATTTGGGGCAGCATTATACGACAGCTGCTGGACCTTGAGCTACACGTAGGAATTTCTGCCTCAGTTGACTTCTGGGGCTGTCAGGGCTGGGAAGAGTCCACAACCTGCAAACCATGGCTGTTTTGTATTGTCAGGCCATCAATAAGCTTGTCAAATACGGAGTGTTCGTGTAGTGTTTGGGCGAAGAATGTTCTCAGGGCTCCGGTAGTTACAAACTTGAAACAGCCCTGTCCAGACTAAAAGATGGTGACAGGTTCGGGGTCAGAAACATGGGGTTCGATACCTAGATCATAGAGGATGTTAGACCAAAATTCGCCTAGAAGGATGTCATGTTTCGCACTCGTCGGAAGAGAAATACGGAGAGGAGTCGAAAGAGAGCATACGCCGAGCCCTGTTGAACCGTCCGTCCACAAGGGGTCTGACGTTCAAAGCTGTTAGACGCGCGAAGAGAAAGAGCTATGAGCAAGGCTGAGGCGTCATATGCAATGCCACAACGTTTCGTGTGCAGCTGGAAAAGAAGAATCCTCGGTGGCGCAAGCAAGAAACGGTCTATGCTATCTTCAGGGCTGACGAGGTCAATCGTACCGAGTACCAGGTTCTGTCTNGAAGATATGTTGGACCGTTGTTGGTGGCTGGCGTAANNTCGGAAGATCAATGTGCTTNNTGACAGGAGCGACGAACAGTCACCTCATCGAACAGTGAACGCTCCGAGCTTCCCGAGAACAAGTATTTGTAAGNNGCAGGAACATGCTAATNNGATATAGGAGATAAAAGGGGTATCTAGATGAGCTTGGTAACGAAAGAAAGAACGAGAAAGAGAATTGCCGGCAGCAGCACCACACCAAAAGGTAGAAAGAACAGATAAGACACACTGGGGTTTTNNTGGTACATAGAAGACAGCAAGGAAGATGAAAGAAAGAAAGTCCAAGATAATGCGCCATGTTTCGGGTTGCCCCATTNNTCCTCCTGTTCGCCAGTGTAAGNNAGTTGTACAAAGCCTGTAATCCTTCCTTCCAAGCACACGAATGCTGTAGGAACGTTCTATCCGCATTGCATGATGCAGTGAACACGCGAAGGAAGAAGGATANAGGAGATAACGCCAGTCGACCGATGAGAAAAGAGCAAATAACGCCAGTTTGGAGTTGTCCACTTTTTGCGCCAGATGGAAAATCGAAGGAAGTCGCAGTTCTTTTTTGGTCGAGTTTTTGATTTGCTGTGTTGGTCGTTCTCCAGAAGAGGAAGTTGTTCCTCGGAATGTGGAGAAGAGAAGGCAGGGCCAAGAAATGTGTAAAATTGATCATGAAACAAAAGCCGTTGATGCCGAGATGAAACCGTCAGATGGGGTATATTATGCGAAAGAACTCCAGAAACCGGGTAGCGAGAGATAAAGCAGAATGATCGAGTGTGTGTAGCGAGAACGACAGATTGCTCTCTGCTTTGTAGCAGCCGAGTAGTGGACGGTGGTTGTGTTCGAGGGTTGTGCTCGAAAGAGTTGTGTTCCAGAGGAAGCAGCAAGGACTGGGAGTGTGGGTTAGCGCAAGTCCACTTCAAACAGTCCGGCCGTCCCGCGCCGGACCAGAGCTTAAGGCAGACTAACCCTTGCGGAAGCAAGTATAGAACAACGCCAGCGCTTGATTCCTTTGATTGCTGTGTCTTCCATTTCCTCTTCCGGCCGCAAGGAAGAAGGAGAAGCGAAATGACAGCTCATGATACTCTCGTGTCAGGCGGGATCACAAGATTATCGAGGCTTTGGTGGCGGAGGTTGGCCAGGCTTCAAAGTGCCTGTTGTGTCGTACGCTCCTCGGCCCATGTTGATTGTGACGACGTTGCTGTTCCTTCTGATCATAGGGAATCTGGCTGCTCTTGGAGAGGAGGACTGGGTGCGCAGTGCAAACTGTAGGTGATTTCAATGTCAGTATACCATTTTCTCTTGTCGCATTTGTCATGCCCGGGTGATACAGTCGGGCAAGGAGGNGCAAGGCTTACGATGAGTAACGGTAATCAAGTNCGATGTCCTCGTGAAGAAAACCACGAGAACCGGAGACTCCGTCTGACGGAAGGCGGCCGGGCTATAGCTCTGTAGCGAGGGCGAATCGAGNNTCCTTTTGATACACGNGGACTCTCCCCAAGAGAATGTGTGTGGAATGCTGGTCTCACCAAGAAACCGAAACCAAGAATTATAAANAATGTATACGCCTTGCGCAGAGAGTGAAAGGTATGCGAGGATGAACAAGAGAAAATANNAAGGAACAAAAAAGGTGGCATACCCATGGCGAAGGCGATACGGGTTATATCTATCTCGACTCTGTCTACANNAACTGCTCGCGTCACCACGTATGCCATCTTTGGNGTGCAACCCCTTTCCCTTGGGTGTCTCGCTTGGTAGGCCCCAGGGAGATTGAAATTGATGTGCACCCATTACTTTTTTNNTGTCGAGCGCAGACTGACGCAGACGGGGCAGCCGTGCGCCTGAGCTTTTTCTGTTTGGCTGTTTCAAGTCCGATTTGATGCGCGCAGCAAGGGCGGCCGATCTTACAGCTTTGATTGATTGACATGCCCGGCAACGGTACCAACAGTCAGCCCCNNCCGGCAGCGGCGCGGCGACTTGAAGAGCAGNGGGATGATTTGGCAAGAGGATGAAGCCCCAACAGCAGCAGTCAAAGANGATCGGTTTCCAAGCCATTCTCTCCGTCCCGCCGGGAACGAGGCTAAACCCTGTCAATCAATTGCCATCTAATGCAGGCACACCCGCCTCAAAGTGTCCGCGCATCTGCTTCCAGCCCACAGCCGCTGCATGCACCTTCGTTGGTCTTACGTTTCTGGCGGACGTCAAAGACACCGGACAGGAAAT